TTGGTCCGGTGGGCACTTTTCCTGGCGCCGGTATACCGTCTTCAGCCGGCTGCAGAGGGGCAGCAGCAGCTGTCTTGGTTCATTACGCACATGTGCGTGGACCCGTGCTGCACGCGGCAAAAGGGCTGGCAAGGGGTGGAAGTAGGGAGGGGGGGAAAAAAGGTCGAACCGCTGGGCTCACGAGGCTCTGGCGCCCCGGCGGGAAGAGGGGGCATTGCATGGCATGGCACGCGCTAACGTACATTACATATGCTTCTCCCATGAGACGAGACGTCGGTCGTTGGGTGGTGGAGGGCTGTTGTTGCTACCGCTGCTGGCTAGCCACGGGCTCGATCCAATGGGTTTGCTGGAACGTCGTACAACGGCGGGAAGGCAGAGAGAGAGAGACTGTGTTGCAATGCCCCACGCGCAACGCAGCCCTGGCCAAGGATCATGGCCGTTCAGGGTTCTTCTGCAGTTCAAGGAGCGGAAAACAAATGAATGACATATGTGAGCAATCGAGCGATCGAAACGGACATTTTCTTATTCTTGTTTTCTGCGTCGATCGTTCGATTCTGTTGTTGCTTTTTTCCTTCTTTTTTGCTCATCGGTTTTTTTCTCGTGGTGTGCATCGTCTCCGCCGGTTCCGCCAGCTTGGCTCTCCTGATTCTTTATCGTTTCTTTTTGGGCTAGGAAACACAACAGCCAGGGAAAAGCGAGCCGGTTAGAAGCGGAAGAAAACCGTTGGTTGTGAAACATGCAGCTTTTTTTCTCCTTCGGGTTCCTTTCCCACTTTTTCTTAGTCTTTTTTACTATGACCGCCTGCCTGCCTCATGGAATCTGTTCTACTGCGGGCCCTTTTCCTTGCTTTACGTATGTTGCGTCTCATATGATCTTTTTATTTTTCGTGCGTCACCAAACCCCTTGCATGTACGATTCTTCCGCTTCCCGTTGGCCGCTGCCGTATGTCGTACCGTTTCGGCATACGAACATGTCTAGCCCAGCCAACGGGGAGAGAGAAGAAGAAAACAACCCCCCCCAAAAAAGTCGACTGCTCACATGGCACAAAAACCAAGGAAAAAACGAAACTGGAATTCGTACCCAAGGTTTACATGTAGGTGGGGAGAAAAATATCACGCCTCTGCCGCGTCCTCTCTCTCTTTTGTCTCCTTCCGGAATAATAATAGAACACACGTATACGTACATGCGTACATTCATGCATAACATCGGGGCTTCGGCTCCTCACTTACCCGCGCAAAGGCGGGTAACCTTCCCTTTTGTATGCGGGCATGCTTGATTGGCTCATCTTGCTTCTTGCTTTGCCTTTCCCTGCGCGTCTTTATTCTTTCGCCCTTTCCCTTTTTCTTTCCCTAGCGTGGAGGCTGCCTAAACTTTTGCCCTGCGCATGGTCATCTCCCGCGGGAAGCCACTGTATGTATGTACATACTTTTCCCCACCTCTCTCCCCCCCTTGCTTCTGGCCGGCCCGCTGCATGGGGAATGCCAGGCGGGTATGTAGTGGTGGGTTGCAGCGGCATCAGCGGGACCCTGAGCAAGAAGTGTCGCGGGTATACATGCTCCTTGTAGCATGTGTGGCTGAGTACGTTGGTACGACTGGCCGGCGCGAGGCGCGCGCGCTGTGAGGCAACGAGCTTCCCCTTTTTACTTACCTCTTGCCTTCTCCTTCTCACCGGTGCGTGTGCAAGATGCCGTTGCATATGCAGCGGTCCGTCCACGTGTGTAGCAATGGAGGGTTGTTGTGGTTATAGTGGCTTGAAAGAGCAGGGGTCTTGGTCACGGAGGGCGACGAAAGAACTTGGCTCTTTCTTGCGAGGATCATGGTGTGGCTCATTTGAGTGGGTAATTGGAGGCCAGGTCTGCATGCGCTTTGTGCGAATCAGAAGGCCCTCCAACTACATCCAGATACGGCATCTTAACTGGCCCCATGTGGTGTCATCTGTGGGGAATTGGAAGGGCAGCCTCTTCTGCAGCGTATCTTGTGCCCTTCGTAAGCATCGTGATGGTTTACGGCTTTCCATAGCTAGTATTCCGCGCTTCCTATGCGGCAGGAGATGCCTTTCGATGGTTTCTGTTTTCGTGGTGCACGCGTGAGACTCGGGAGTCGAGGCTAGGCTCGTATGGCGATACGAAAAACAGAGATCCGATAAAATGACGATAGAAGAATGACGCGAGGATCGATGGGCCCGTGATGATTCGCAATGGGCTACCTGACTATTGGGTACATAGTCGCTGCCTTTTCCCTTTTCCCCTTGGCTCGGGGGTTGTAACGGTAGCATGAGAGAGGATGGTGGTGGTGATCTACAAAGGCGTTAGGGGGTTAGTGTACCCCGAGTGCGGCTGAAGTCGATCGTGGGCGCAATCGGCGATGAGATGGAATTGTCCCTTTTAGCCACGAAAAGTGACGATGGTTTATGGTGGGTTCTAGCTCCCGGCCTTTCAGCTCGTGCCGATCGCGGAGAGCAACAGCCAGGGTCCGATCAGTGAGGCATGAGCTTGCGTAGTCAAATGTGCGCGCAGCGCGTCTGCTACGTATGCATTAGCTTTGTTTAAAGGCACGTATTCTTCAATACACTATTGGTTTGAGGTGGGTGCGTGCTGGTTTATTTCGTAATCATCTGCAGTTGACAAGTGTCGATATCGGAGGCAGTTGCTCACATGAGCATGTGTGCTAGAAAGGTCAGCCCGCAGCAAAACAACTTCCTGAGCAAATCTACGATGAAGTATATCCGGGCTTCTGATTGGCTGGCCGCCCTTGTTCTGCGTTATCAATCTCGAATCAGGTAGCAGAGCCTCTGACGTCGCGGTCCCAACCACAAGCCAACGCTCATCACATCTGTGCGCCACAAAAGGCTCGGTCACACCGCTCTCGATGTGTAGACGTGCTGGACGAGGCAAACGGCACGGACTCGCGGGACTCGTCATTCTATTGTAAGTACAGTAGGTATACGATGTTCGCCTCGCTTGTGTGTCATATGGCGACGCTCTTAAGACGCTTCGACCTTGAAGATCGTCTCGATTTGACACAAAGTCGGCTATAGCCATTTAAGGCTGCCCTCTAAAATTGGAACTCCCGCATGGATGATCTACACATGAGCTCTACCGGCCCTTTATTTTCAATGCCCGTCACTTATTTCTTATCCTTGCTTTCGCCCGCGTTCACGGCAACCGCCGTCGACTCGCTCGTCCCCTAATGTGGCCCGTAGTCACGCCGCGCTTTGCTACTGTGTTTGGACTTGATGATACTCATCGTTGGCAGGATGCTGATCATCACTCCGCGAAGATACTGGCAATCTTGATTGGCTTTTGGTGCCGGCAATTAGAGCATAGGTCTGCTGATCTATGGTAGACGCGAATCGGGTGAAGCGCCCGCAGTGCTTTATGTGTGTCCGTTAGTGAAGTACTTGGAGCCCTCCTTCCGGCTTTGATGCGTCCCCAAAGATTGGATCTCGAAAGTGACATCGCAGTCGCGGAGACCTTTAAACCGAGCGGAGCAGCTTTCAAGTATCACTCGTGACCACGGGGAGGGAGAAATGGCACGGGCCCAATGACTGGGAGCATGTGTGTATGTGCAGATGCCGTCCTTAGGAAGGTAGAGGTTCCCGGGAGTCACACGCCCACTATGCAACGCCGAGATGCTGGACATGTGTGCACGTTCCCCTTGACACGCCTTTGAACACACGTACCATTTATCTCGTGGTCTGCTGTTATTGTTTCATTCTCCTATCGTTTGGTTTAAAAGGGAGAGATCTTCTATAGCTCACTGCAAGTGCATATCTCAAACAATTGGGTGATACTCTTCCGACAGAATTTACTCTCTCTGCTCTCTAACTAGTTTGGCGTGTGTGCACCTGGGCGGGGAATCCACTGCAAATCACTGGCTGCTCCAGTGGCAACATATTCATTCCACAGCTCGTAGAAAGCAGTCAGTTGAGGGTCTTCCTTATGTGCAAAATCCGCATTATGTTGAGCACCCAAAATTTGCGGTAATGGTGATGATTATAATGATGGCGGTTATGGTGAAGACCACATTCAGATGATGATGATTGCAGAAGTATATTGGGGGACAATCCATCCACTCCGTGTGCACTCAACCACGAGAAAGATGAGAGGAGTTGTACAAATGTGACCTGGTGAGACGCGACTAGTTTCGCAGATTACTAGCAGACCGTGACATGATCCATGGAAAAAATCAGAGAATCCGAGCCTTTATAAAGCACTTTTCAATAAGACCTCCACGAGCCAGAGACGGGGCAGCAGCACCGCCCACTCACCACCCTAACATTCTGTCAAGACCACATGACATTGCCAGCTTCCGATGGCCCCATATGCTGCCGCTGTCACCAGACCGAGACGTCACTCGTCCAGCAGCCACCATTCTCTCGTCCCGTCGGCCAAGCTTAAAAGCATGTCCTTCCTCCCATCGACGTACTCCGCAAAGCAGCAACCACTGTGTCCAGAAATACAGCTACCAGGAGTTCACTTTTTTTTTCCTCAGACATTGCCATGACACTTGTTCGGCGTGCCTCTTCCTTTTCTATCTCTATGCACGGGTCCAAATCTGGGGTCGACTACGATGTGCTGAGTCCCGTAATGGTGTCCAGCATCAAAAGCATATGATGAACAAGGGCACAAGGGTCTAGTGCAGAAGAACATGTGCATCAACGCAGAAAGCAGTAAGAAATAAGCTTGTTTGCTCACTTCCGAAGACCATCAAAAGATCGACTAGCATCGTTTAACATTTTCATCTATCGTACAGGAGCATCGCATATCTATAAGTTCTATCGTCGACCAGAGCAGGGAGCTGATAAAAAAATATCCACACAGCCGTTTTTTTCCGCAACCACCCCCATTGACCTCAGTCCATTTTTACACTCACCCCAAACAGAAGAAAGAAGACAATACAGAAGAGAACCAGCCAATCCCTCCAAACACCCAGCATCAAGTACAAACCTGCCACTCAAAAAAACGAGCAGTAATCCCACCTCTTCATCATCAACTCGTTCACTCCTCATCCTTCTTCTCCCCCAGCACGCCCTCAGCACCCTGCCTGATCCTCTCGATCCTCGCCTTCTCGACCTCGCTCAACACGAACCTCCTCATCCTGCCACCAATCCTCGGATCGACGACCATGTCATCAACCCAAACGCTCTCCTTGCCCTCCTCCCGCTTCTTCGCCGCCTCCTTCCTCACGCTCTTATGCCACTCCTTCTCCTCACTCTTCAGCACGCGCTGCTGCTCCCACTTCTCGTCGCCGTCATCATCCACGTCCTCGCCGACCGGCGCGACGCGCTCCTCCGCGAACTCCGCTTCAGGGCCGGCGAAAGGCCGGTTAGCGGCGAGAACGGCGGCGGCGACCTGGGCGCCGATGTCGTCGGCGAGGCGGCGGCGGTTGAGGAAGCGCCACATGCGGACGGGGGTGTTGAGGAAGCCGAGGATGTGCGGGTAAGGGATGGGCGCGGACGGGGCGAGCTGGGGCGGGCAGTTGGGCGAGAGCGAGGCCGCGGCGTAGTCGGCCGTCGAGATGTAGGGCGGCGGTTGGGTGCGCTTCTTCTTCTGTTCTTCTTCCTTCTTCTGCTCTTCTTCGGTCTTTTGCTGTTCTTCTGCGGGCTTCTTGTCCTCCTCTGACGAAGGCTGCTGTGCGGTGGGCGAAGCGTCATCCGAAGGGGTCGAAGATGCCGGAGGAGGGGTGGTGGCGGGAGTGTCTTCCTGGGCAGCAGGCTCCGGCGGCGGCGGTGGTGCGTCCAAAGGTCCCAGCCAGCCCTCATGCAAGCCACGTACATACTCCTTCCACGTATTCCGGCCGATGACGATGTCGCCCTGCACGCCCGACCACTCCTTTATGCCCGCCCTCGCCCGCGCCTGCAGCACCACGGTATCCGTATCCTCCTCGACGGGCTCCGCGCTCGCCTCGCCGCGCGCCTTGCGCAGGTTCCGTATCTTCTCGGCTGCCTGCGCGCGCACGTCGCCCTCCCGCCTGCCCTCGATGGCGTCCCAGTCCATGGCGGCGGCGACGAGGATGGGCTTGACGTACTCGATGAAGTGCTCGCGGGCGCCCATCAGGCCGTCGGCGGGCGGGCCGGCCAGGTAGACGGTCATGCGGCGCTGCATCTCGTTGGTGGGCAGCGGCTCGCGTGCCAGGTGCGCGACGGCATCGCAGTACTGCTTCTGTATCCGCTTCTTCTCGCGCCGGTCGTACACCAGCGCCGCCGTCCACGAGCCCGTGATGGTGAGGAAGATCATCCAGTTGCGAGAGGGGAGTTTGAAGCGGAAGTTCGGTAGGCCTGTTGTCATCCCGAAGGCAGTCGTGTTAATGTTATGCGGGTTTTCATTCTGCAGGGATTGTATACGGGCTGGGAAGAGCAAGTGCTGGTGCTGGTGGTGGTTGCGACGGACCCATCATCTTGAAGACCGGATTGCCTTGCGAGGCGCCCGCTTTTGCGCCTGCGTCGGCGGCGGCTTTGGCCGCGCCTTGGGATGCGGAATTGGGGTCGGCCATGGCGGGGCGGCGGCGGCCTTGGAGGTTTTTGTGGTGAAGGTTGCGGAAGAGAGTAGGTGATGGTCGGAGCTTTCTGGAGTGAGCAGAGCCCTGCCAAAAATTCGAGTCCCCGTCGGCGATTGCCAGACGCCGACATCTGGGGCACCAGAGCATTATTTCGTCACCCCCAGGCCAGCTCTCGACAACTTTCCGTCCCACACCTACCACGCAAAACTACCTGCGCTCAACACCCCCAATCCTCCGCCTCTGGGCAGTTAATCACCATTACCTTCGACCTCGAACAGCCAACCCACCCCGCCTCGATCTCATCCCACCAATCGCCCTTCCTCCGGCTGCGCAAAGCGAAAGCCAGCCCCATACAAAACCATGGCCGAATACTGGAAATCGACACCAAAGTACTGGTGCAAATTCTGCCAAGTCTTCGTGCGCGACACCAAGTTCGAGAAGCAACAACACGACGCAACCGGCAAGCACCAGTCGGCGATCCAGCGCTCGCTGCGCGACCTGCACCGCACGCGCGAACGCGAGGACCGCGACAAGCAGCGCGCCAAGGATGAGGTCGCACGACTGAACGGGCTTACTACCGGTGGCGGCGCTTCCTCTTCGTCCTCGGCAGCAACAGCAACGGCGAGCAGTAGCAGCAGCAAAGCGAAGGCCACAAAAGCGGAAGCCCCCAGGCAAGCCACGGCCGAGGAGCGCAAGCGCCAGCTGAAGCAGCTGGCCGAGCTGGGCGTCGCCGTGCCGGACGAGTTCAGGGGCGAGATGGCCATGGCGGGCGAGTGGCAGACGGTGGCGGTCAAGCCGCTCGACGGCTTGTCAGAATACCGGGACGCCAACCTCGGCGCGGGCGGCGCGCTGCTCAACGTCGGCGTGCGAAACAAGCGGAAGGCCGAGGACGACGAGGACGAGGACGAAGACGTGCAGGCGCTGACCAAGGGTGAGAAGAAGCCGCTGAGGAAGCCGGGTTGGGGCAACAGCTTCAAGACTTACCCCGGCGCGAAGGGCGGAGATCCCGGAGATGATATTGAGGCTCTGCTGAGCGGGGCAAAGAAGGTGAAGACGGAGGCTGCGGACGCGGCGGTCAAGGAGGAGGATCCCGATGAGGGCGTGAAGAAAGAGGAACCGGAGGACGGTGGCATCAAGAAGGAGAAAGGCGATGAGGAGCCCGTGAAGGACGACCCTGTTGGAGGAGAGCCGAAGCTCGCAGATATACCGCCAGTGAAGACGGAGGAGGGCGAGGGAGAAAAGGAAGACTCTGGTGCTGCTACCGGCGGCGTGGTGTTTAAGAAGAGGAAGAGCAAGGCCATGCGTCAAAAGTGAGGGTTCACTACGCAGAACTCTTGCGCTTCATTTTTTACGCAATCTCGCCCTCAGCGCTCCCAAAACGCAGGTTGTGACCAACCAGGTACGTGACTTACTTGTGAGCTCTCCGTGAGCGAAGAGATGCCTTCGTTTCAGATACGGATAGCAAGCAGTATCGTGTGCAGGACCAGGGGAAGGTCACGGGACTTGGTAGACACTGCTTAACTGGCTGCAGACCCCGTTACATGCATGGGGTACTGGTCGTGCTACGTCATAACAAATAGGTCCCACTACGCACCCATCTTTGCTGACCGGCAAAGTCGCCAGAGATACGAATAGCTTCCCTAAAAAGGGCTATATATAAATAGACAACCTAATCTCATTGATGAGAAGGTCCGAAGCATAGGAATCAGATCATTAAAGTACTACCCTTCCACATTGAAGATACCCACACGGTGGAGAGTTTCAAGAAAATTTGAGCTTACTGTGGGTTCACATCTCGTTCTGCTTGGTGTGGTTGGTGGTTGCACTTTCCTGGACGTTACCAAGGTTCCTCTTGCAAAAGTGCAAGGCGACCCTATGAAAAAATATATATGTATAAACGTTTGCTTCCACCCTCTTCCGTCCACCTACAACACACCACAGACTCGACCGCTGACACCAGCTTGGATTCACTACCATGATGACTTCGAAACTTTGCCGTATCTGTAGAAATAGCCGCGCCTTCTCCCGAGCGCCTAGGGCTATCCCCCCAAAGGCTATCCCCCCAAAGGCTACCTCCTCAAAACTTGAGACCGATAAACTGATCGGCGAACTCGTCACACTCGGCGCATTCGGCACATGCGTTTATTTGCTTACCGAACCGGCGATGTCATGTTTCGATTCGTTGATGTCATGTTTCCAAAACAGCGGGAACGTCGCCGAAATCAAAAGCACCGTCGCCGAAATCAGAAGGACCACCACCGAAGTCAGAAACAGAATGGATGCCATGGACGTTAGGACCGATGCTATTTTCAAGAGGTTGGATGTAATCAGGGCTCAACAGATCGAGATTCAAGCAAACAATCTACGCCGCTAGGATCGATAGAGTTTGTGACTGCGATTTACACGTCTCTTTACGATCTCCACTTGAAAAAAGTAAGTACATCACCATAGTGAGTGCTAAAAAATCCAAGCCTTAGCTGCTCATCTCTACAAGTATCTAAGCTCATTATATGAGTAGTGGAAACAACTGTCTGGACGCAAAAGTAGGCTTAATAGTTATACAATTACATCCTGATAATAGCTTCAACTACTCATGTGAGTTAGGTATCGTTTCTCGTGAATATAGCTGCAAAGGATAATTTCTTTTGGCGCCTGCTGTGTCAATATCAATGTAGCCTCATCGGAGCTGACACCCAACTACAGGGTCAACATCCTATAATGTCTACACAAAAAGCATGATTTCATGCACAAGGCTTCCGGGGAATATGGGACTAAGGATGAAGCAGAGTAGAGTATGGTAGCATTGTTGGTACCAGGAAAATAAATCTCAACTCATTTCCACAAGCTCCCAACTTTTTGTTAAACGTACAGTTCATCATTCTACATTCGAGTCCAGATGATGACATCTACTGCTCCTGTATTGAGAGTTGTGTCTTTCGAAAGAAACGAATGTGACGGATCATCTCCTCCAGAACCTACCGTGACAAGCAATATACATGAAACATTAAGAAAATCAAGAGAGCACCGAACACAAACCCCCTTCAAGCAACGGAGCCACCACCGCGAGCCAACAAACTCACTTGTCTCCGAGTCGTTGATCGTTGATCTCTCGTTCCCTTACACAGTAACCCCACCGAGAAACCCCCTTCCATGTTTCATCCCTCATCGACCTGAAACCCTTAGCATACATCACCAAACTATAGCAGTCTCCTTTCTCGACAGCACCAAGAGAGAAACATGAACAAGGAGGAAAATCTGGGACAACTCTACGTCATCGTTAGCCAAAAAAAAAAAAAAAAAAGCCCTTCTCTCCTTCCGAATTTTCGCATCCCAAACTCACCGTAGCTTACCGCGATTGCCGCTCGGTGGGCAAGTGTATCACTTCTCAAACCGATTTCGTCATGCCAAGCCAAAGCATGTCTTAGGATTGGAGCAAGGACAGTAGCAGCAGTAGCGGACAAAGACACGCGAGCAAATCCGCAGGTCGGCTCGAGAAACGCATTGCCTTCCGTTTGAGCACCGCTGGCAAGTTAGGAAACAAAGGAAGAACACCTACTAGTCAAAGGGAGCAAAACCTTCCGGAACGGGTAGACATTCCAATGAATAGCAGTTCCTGCGCACATCTATCACCATTGCTACTCACCGTAAATGGCCAATCACTGTATCGAAGTCCACATGCACGTGGTCACATACCAAAAGCCTCCGAGAAGGCTGAAGACCGTCACAACCCATGCTCACATCACACATCACACACCACACGACCACCACCACAGTAACATCAACAGGAGATTCACTACCGAAAAGAAGAAAAAGCAACAAAGCTCTTTCTCTAATTCTCGAAGTAAAACAACCCAAGAAACAAAAGCGGTTCGAAATCAAAGAGAGAAGGAGAGGTAAGTTCTTTTTTCTTTTTATACAGCCGTTTCCCTTTTATTCTTTCTTCACTGGAAGCCACTTTTATTTCGCATCGTTTTTCTCACGCCTCCTTTCCTCCCGCGTCCACGTACGTCAATCGCATACACGCCATTTGAGAGGGGATGAGGAGAGCAACAAAAAGGATGCCCGAGTAGTAGTAGCTCGTTGTGAACAAAAAATTCAAAAGCGTTTGTCATAAAAAGAAAACCGTAGTTAAAAACTAGACCCATTTCATGACTTTAGCGCACATTTCAGGACTCTCTCATAGAAGAAGCTAAAACAGAAGACAAGAATCATGAAAAGCCGTGGAAGAAAAAGAAGTCGAGACTAAACAAGTGGAGGTGCGAAAGGGGGGCGAACTAAAAGGTTCTAAAGGTAGTAAGTAGGTTCGGAGTGTTGTGATTGAGAAGTAACCGAGAGAACCGTGCAACCAGCCCGCAGAGCGAAGAATGACAAGGTGATTTGGATCGTTCGTCAATGGCATAGCGGAAGGAAGAAGTAATAGCTCCTTCCCTCCGCCCCATTTTTTGGCTGTCAATTTCTTGAAAAACTTCGTTCTCTTTGTCGTCCTCTTCCCCACGCAGAAAAGCAAGATAAGCAGAAAGCAGAACATCTGGAGAAAGCGAATTGGCCAGAATGACTGGATTCCTGATTCGTCATGAAGAAACCGAGGCACTCCAACCATTTGCACGTGCTAGACAACAAACTCCAAGATATTGCTCCACCGGGTGTACGCTCGAGAGTGGGTAGGCGAGGTGAGGAAAAGGGTGGCGGGGGTTACATCGTTCATTTAGGGAATCGCTCGTCCGCTTAGTTGTGGCCCGCCTTGCGGAGCGAGTTGCTCAGCCACTCCAGACCCTCGTAGAGACCGTCACCGGAGGTAGCGCAAGTGGATTGGATGTACTGGATGCGTCGTTAGCCCTTGTCGCGTGCTCTTTGTCCGGCGCGACTTACCCAAGCGCGTTGCCTGAGGCTGTGGAGACCAAGCTTGTCGGTGATTTCAGCGGCGTTCATGGCGTTCTGGACAGCAGTGTCAGTAGATATTCAGCGAGCAACACGGGCGGGGACGGCGTACAGGCAGATCCTGCTTGTTGGCGAAGACGAGGAGCAGAGCGTCCCTCAGCTCGTCCTCGTTGAGCATGCGCTGCAGCTCCTCGCGGGCCTCCACGACACGGTCACGATCGTTGCTGTCGACGACGAAGATGATACCCTGGGTGTTCTGGAAGTAATGCCTCCACAGGGGGCGGATCTTGTCCTGTCCACCGACATCCCACACGGTGAACTGGATGTTCTTGTACTCGACGGTCTCGACGTTGAAGCCTAGCCAATGCGTTAGTGGGGTGCGCAGCGGCAGGGTGGGCGTGGGCGCATGCGAAACTCACCGATGGTGGGGATGGTGGTGACGATTTCACCGAGCTTGAGCTTGTACAGAATGGTCGTCTTTCCTGCGGCGTCAAGACCGACCATCAGGATACGCATCTCCTTCTTGCCCCATAGCTTGTCGAACAGCTTCGAGAATGTGAGACCCATGGTTGCGACGAGGTGGTGGAAGGTGGGTGTCTAAGGGGGCTGCGAGAACAAGCGGTGTATTACGAGCCGAGACCTGCAGCAGAGAATTCGGGGTCAGCAGGCGGCTCGCGAGGCGATGGCAGTCTCGTGAGTTCGTGATGGGGTCGCGGGCGATGACGAGCGGCCGCGGCGTCGAGCGATCGGGCTGGACGCTGGGCGGCGGCGGGTCGGGAGAGCATGCGGCAGGGAGAAAGCAGAGGGCTATTGTTGGGAAGGGCGGGGCGTGAAGAGGGCTCGAGGATTCGGCAGCTTGAGACTTACCTGGACACGGGCGGCTCTGGGGTGGTTGGGTGGTGTGTTGCGGAGAGAGAGTCTGGGTGTATGGGGGCGTATCGCAGCGATAGACGGTCGTTGAAATGTCCACGGTGTTTCCTGTCGCTGGGCGCTCGCACGGGCCGCGCCTTTCCTAATCCAGGTGGGGCGGCGAAATCCTCTCCACAGCTGGATCGAGTCGCTGGATGCTGACGCGCGTGACTGTAACGCTGGAAACCGCAGGCTTTGAGGAATTGCTGGCCTTCTTTCTGCACCGCAATCGCTTGCTTTTAAATTGCGTGCCTGCTGGGCTAATGCGTGCCAGCCACTCCCATCCTGCCACGGTTTCCTCTTTCTATCCTTCGGCGCCCGTTAAGGCAGCAGCAATGGGAAAAGGAGATCCGCGGTCATTGCAACATAGGGCTGACCGCCGCTGATGCACTGCCGCCTCCTCGCGCTGCTTCAATCGCCCACACGAGCTCGAGAAGAGGGCCAATTCTGCGCGTCTGCAGCACCAAGCAACGAGTAGACTCCTCGATTCAACCAGCTACGGTATCCAGCCGTCCCTGTATCCCTTTGCAGACCCAGTGGAGATCATCAAAGTCATGCTATAGTACAATTGCCCATGTGAGCTCGGTGCCTGCGCCATCCTTCTCGGTGAATGCGCCGTCCCATCGCCTTAGTCCCTATCTAGCAGAAAATGAGAGGTGGCTCCAAGTAATGCAGAAAACCAAACGCCAGCGCGTCGCAATAGAACCAATGGCACTGCCACGATTATCTCTGCCTGGTTCGTTGTTCATTTAACCTGTTACCGAACGCATCCGTGCCATGGCCCGGGCCAAAACCCTCCCAGCCACCGCCGTCAAGCATCTGCGTCCATGCGCTTTCAGACATGGGCGTCAGCCCCGTCATGCCAGCACCGCCGCTCATGTCCCACTCTCCCACCCCCGACGTCGACGTGTAGAAGAGCTGCTCAAAGTCATCGCTTGTCGTGGTAAAGGTGAAGTTATTGTTGGGCGCATTCGACCCATTGTCTGCCATAGCCGACAATCCTGCCACATTCCCCCCATAGCTTTGCCTCTGAGGCTTGCTCTGCCTGTCCGAAGGTGTTGAATACGACGAACGTGAAGATGTAACGTTCTGCGAGTTGCCCGAGTTCGACGGAGAAGGATTCTCGCCACTGCCGTCAGGCGATAAGTCCATGTCAGATGTAGCCCTTTCCGCTCGCCCAAAGCTTCGCGAAAACTGCGCCTGGCTCGCCTGCATTTCTCTTGGTGTGACTGCACTGGGCGTTCTTTGTCTGCTTGGGAGGTCGAAGACGTGTTGGTCTTTCGGTGAATATGTGAAGGGAATTGCCTCTGTGTCCATGTTGACTTGCTGCGCTAAGTGGAACGGTGGACCGGGTGTAGGCTCTGTGCCCGTCGAATTGGACAGATGACTCTTCGTGCCTGTAGCATCGCTACCCCTGTGGAACGTGTTTATCGGTGCCGCATCTGACTGCGATTCCCTGAGTTCAAACACAGGGCAGCAGCCCACGCCGTCTGTATTCACTGGAACGGTTGCCTAGATTATTATTTAGTAGCAGGCCTGAGTCAGGTTCACAAATACGGCTTACAGGAGCTCTCGGCTCAGTAGAACTTCCAAATGGAGACATTATCCCCGTTCCAACAAGGTCCAGATCAAGCTGGACGAGGAAAGACTCAGTCAACGGATTCCTCTTCTTGAGTGCTTGCATCGCTTGGAGGAGGAACTGGAGGTGATTGTTCATTTGTCCGTCGCCAGGGCGGTTTTTCAGGTACTGCACGAAGACCCGCGCCGCCACGTAGACACAAAAGGAAATGAACGGGTTCATCTGTAGGAAAGGTCAACGCGCCGCCATTTGCCTTCGTCTTAGGGAAACGTACCAGAGAGGTATCCATGTGAGCAATCAACCTCATGATGCCCGCGATCTCAGAAGCAGCTGTGACGCATCTGATCTTGCTTTCTTGGGCAATGTGGGCAGGCATCCTGTTTTTGTCTGCTTTGAAGATTGCCGCCTGATGCAGACATATGACAGAGGTGTGTATCTTCATCGTCATAAACACCACATTAGGGTTGTTAATGCCTGCAGGGAGTCTCATCTCTTCGGGCAGCGCCAATGCCAGGTTGAGGAGCATATTGTCCAGTCTGCGATGCCTCTCCCAGAATTCACCATTGATGTCGTCCTCACGTTCGTTGTTTGTCGGACGGTGGAGGTGGAGGAGGTTACGACCAAACATGCATGCCAAGACGCAGACACCTGCGAATGGTGTCAATCTCGACGAACCACCCACCGCCAAGGCCTGTTCCATCGATATGGCTTTCTCAGGCTTGCTCCTCTCGAATGCCTCGTCGGTTGCGGGTAGGTTTGTTGCAATCTATCGACAGTCAGCACATCCATTCAAGCCAGACGTCCAAAGACCATACATCTTGTTCGTCGATCGTCATTGGCCAGCCCGTTCCGATGCTCGCATAACGATCAACGTTGAAGCACATCCAAAACGTCCTTCTTCTCTCTTCCCTCTCAACCCAATCCCTGGGCGGAGCCAAGCACTGCTTGACATCCAGTCCGGAGCCGTCCAACTTGTGCAGGTTCATCATTTGGGCCATTCTTACAGCCCGGCCTGCACTGATCCACGCTCGCGGAAAATACATGGATTTGAACTCATAGCTGCAGATGAGAGCCCAGGCCTGGCAGTGGGCGAGAGTAAGCATAGACTCTCCGTGCCCTTTCATCTCATCCATCTGGATGTACTTTCTGGCACGGTAGTAGAAGTGCTCCTGCAAGGATGAGTATTTCTCGGAGGTAGACGCAGCAAGAGTCCACATGATGTATCTCAGACAGATTGGAGGGCGCATATGTGGAGCGAGATTCATGGCGGCGAGGAAACGAGGGCGGTGGATCATTGGCACGACGACGTTAAATTTATCGAAGTAGAGTTGGGTCCTGCACGACGGCACGGTAAGCACTTGGAAGCATGCGCGGGCAAAGAGGAGCACTAACAGCTCGTTGATGATGTCCTGGTCGGGAAGAGGTTCGTCCAAGCCTAGACCAATCATTTCCCACGAGAACGGATCAGAGCCGGAGCTGTTGTCGGCGGAGCCAGCTTGCATGTTGGGCATTTCGCCTGGCGAGACGCCATTGCCATGCTGGAAGACAGTGTCCATGACCTGGGCCACGTTGTCCATCACAATGTTCTGGCCTTGGAAATCAGAGGGTCGAACAGGGGGAGCAGACGAGTCTGTTTGAAAAGCATTTGAATTTGAATTTTGTTGCTGAGTCGCCTCGGTTGCTTCCTGGGACTTGAGGAGCGTCTCGACTTGTTCTGTCGGCGGGCATTGTTCAGCGGCAGGTCTACCTGAGGTCGCGCGGCGAACATACGCAGTCTCGCTTCCAGGGCCTTCACATAGCCTCTCTTGGGCCCGCTCTTCTTGCGCACCTCGTCATAGGCGCAGTCGTGGGCCAGTCTCTTACAAGTGCCGCAGCTTGGGCGCTGGCCGTCACATTTCAGCTTCCTCTTGCGACACAGTATGCAGGCGATGCGCTTCGCCTTGGGCGGCGGGGCAGTGTGAGCGTCGGGGCCATTGCTGTCCGAGCGACCGGCTTGCTCAGTCGGGGCGTGTTGGGAGAGGTCGTTGAAATCGAATCCTTCGTCACAGGTCTCGGGGGCGGGCATGGCGGCGCCGTCTTACGCAGGCAGCAGCGGCGAGCGGGGAGCGGGGGCGGAGGGAAATCACGTAGCGAAGCGGTTGCGGAAGGCGCGTCCAAGGTTTTGTGTCTGAGCTTGGACATCAGCAAGAACAGAGAGTTGTTTAGAGTCCTCAGGCCTAGGCGGCAGTAAAGCAACGCGCGATAGATGTCACTAATGGGGTTTGGCGCAGGATTACCTGTCAGGGCTATGGTTGCGACGCCGAATCAGCTGCCTGCCGGCACCCGCGTTCTCGGCTTTCTGTGTCAGCAACGCTAGCCTTTAGTCCTGGCCACCCCCGTCTCGCGCAGATCACACTTGAATTGGCAACCACATCTTCTCATTCCCGGCCTTCCACCACCTTCTACCAATGCGCCCGTCAGCTGGGACCACCTCAGGGACCATTTGCTGATTCAAGTCTCTGCGCTCCCAAATCGCATCCACTCAGCACCCGTGAGTAAACGAGGCCATGCAGCCCATCTGACATGCCGCTGCTCACACGATGAATGCAGCCAGTCATCTTTCGTTGCAATCAGGGATGAATCCCATGCCGTCAGCATGAACCTCGTCGACGTCAGCTTGTTTGCGGGAAGATGGTTTACGCTAAAGGTTAGTTTCGTAAACTACCGCTAACGGCGTCATCACTGATTGGCTGCCCAGCCATGATAGTGCACTGCTGCCCAATTTGGGTCAAGACACTACACAAGCGGCGAGTCGAATCTCTTTTCCGGATGCACTTGTTCACATTTGCCTCGTGTATCCATGTTCAGATGCATGCTTTTACAAAGGGGTGCTGCAGCCGATGGCTAGCGCGAAGAATAGCAGGACTTTAGAATATAGCGTAATCATGCCCCAGCTCTGCTTCAGAAAAATTAACATTTACGGGTAGTTGAAGCTATCGTCCGGACGTATATGTAGAATTTTTAATTCGACATTCTTGTCCGGACGATAGCTTCAACTACCCATGATATGAGCCGATGGCTAGCGTGGGACTGTAACGAACCCTTTGGACACCGCTTTGCTCGAGAAGACTACTGACGACACAGCAGTACTACAACGACCCATACTCCTCGCTCGGCTCGTTAGTTATCGGCCCATTAGTAGTTGACTCATTCGTTGTCAACCCATTGGTTGTCGAGCCATTAGTCCGGCGCTTCTCTACCTCACTGGCGCGCTGCTCCTCTATCCAATCCATCTTGTCTAATATCTGACGTTTCTTCTCCTCTTCCTTGGCCTTCGCGGCATCGATCGCGTTCGCGTCGATCATGATATCCAGCGCGTCCTTCAAGTTCATCAACCGCAGGTCCCTCATCCAATCCTTGATCCGGTCACAGATCGTCCTCATCTTCTGCACCTGCATTTCGTCCTCCATGAAGGCAGCGTACACGAGGTCTTTATGAAACCGGAGCTGGTCATCGGAGCGGGACTTCTCGAACCAGTTCACAAACAGCCTGCACACCTCGGGACTGACGACCATTGTGAAGGTGAGCATGTCGTCCACGTCAACCTCCTCCCACTTGCACACCTCCCGGTAGAACTTCGACAGCGCTCTACACATGGTCGCGCCAGCCCGGGCCATTTCTCGCTCGGCCTCGCGCCTGCTGTCGCTGTCGTTGATCCACTTCTGCGCGAGGAACCTGCCCATCAAAACACCCTCGACGTTAGCATATCCACCGTCAACGCTGATATCGAAAGGCCCTCACTCACGGGAACTGCGGATCCTCTCCCGCCGGCATAACCTTTGCTGAATCAAGCATGCCCGCCATCAAGGCCTTCTGGGGCGCCGTGAACGCGGTGCTAGTGAAGCCGTACGTGAACGTCGGCCGGACGGGCGGCAACCCCAGCCGTCGCTCCAGCTCCGCATCCTGTGGCGCGAACGCCGCGCGAAGGGCCTTGTCCATGTGGAACTCGCTAGTGACGCCCATGGCGTACTCAGACGGCCAGCCCAGTAGCGGGCCGAAGTGGTGTTCGCGCTCGCGCACGTCGCGGTACTGCGACAGGCGCCATTGCTTGACGAGCCTGCACGTGTCTTCTGACGGCGTGCTGGTGAGTGGTGGGGAGGTGATGTGGTCGATGAGCTCTTTGAGCGCCTCCGGCTTGGGGTGAAAGGTCGAGAGTTGGATGTGAGGGAGGGAGGGAGGGACTCCTTGACTGGCGACGCTGCTGGTGAGGCCGGTACTGGATAGGGAAGGCGAGTTGCTGCGATCGCGTTGTATGGGGGATGAGTTCGCGGAATCGTTGTACTTAGCCGTGGCATGTCCACGGTTTTTGCGGGAGCCGTTGGGAGCACATGGTCGCCCGCGGGGAGTGGAGCTGCCGTTGGAGGAGTTGTCGTCGTCGGTGGCCCTTTGACCAGAAGACAGGCCGAGAGAAGGCTTCATGGCGGGGCCAGAAGTTACAAGGTTGGGGAGTGTAGGAGCCTGGCGAACAATTTGCGGGCGGGTGCCATTAGCTGCAAGAAGTTCTCTCGGAGAGGCCGGGTGGCCGTTAGGTGTGGCTTGTGTCAGGTTCAGATGGAGATTCTGGTCCTCAGAGGCTCGAGAGAGCGGGTAAGAAATGTTTCCGTTAGCCATGATAGGCGTGTGTGTATGTAGAATTTTTAATTCGAAATTCTCGTCCGGATGATAGCTTCAACTACCTGTAACGTGAGCAAAAAAACAAATCTACGCTAGCCATCGGCTGCGAGAGGGGACTGTAATATCACCCCGAAAACCGGTCCAGGGTCCTCAGGGTCCCAAAGGATCACCAGGGTCCATGCAGCTACCCGAAAGTGGAAACAGATGTGCAACTTCGAACGTCTGGATATGAAATTTTTTGAAAAATACCGTAAATGGTATATATATCTGGGTAGCGAAGACCACCCAGTATGCCAGCCGTGAGGTTGAGGTTGAGTCAAGTAAGTGTCTGTGGCGTACGTGTGTCAACAGTTTCGCCTTAGATTCCAAAGTTCGGCTACCTAGCTTGACTTTTCGAGAAATATCCAGCGTTCGATTCCTCTGGTCATATTAGCCCATTACCGCGTTATGCTATGTCCGTCTATCTCCGAAGGAGGTCTATCGTTTGAACCCGCCCTCCGCCATTGTTTGATGCAATTGATCTCGTAGGCAGCACACTCTCTACTGCGATACCATGTAGATGTTTTTTTTTAAACGATACCTGTAGCCAGTAGTATGCCGGTCATACTCATGTAAAAACACACCATTCACTCCGCCCAATGCTATCCCATAGAGTGCCATGTCTATCCGAGACACAAAGTAGCTGAAAGCTGAATACCACCATCCACTAAAACGCCAGCTCATCGACATCATCCCATCCCAAAACGTTGTATATCGATTCTTCCGCACCCTCTTCCTCCTCAATCCGCTCCATGCCACCTCCCTCAACCTCCTTCTCCTTCCCCTTACTCTCCCGGCCCCCTTCCCTCTCGCCCACCGCGCCCTTCACCGGCGTCTCACCCACCGCCACGGCCCTCTTCACCGGCGTTTCGAGCACCTGTCCGCGCCCGGCTTTCGTCGGCGTCCGCATCAACGCGGCCACGCCTCTGTACTCATCCTCACTCCCCTCACTCTCCTCCTCTCCCGCCAGATTGGCACCCCTCCTAGACACCGGCGCGCCTGGCATCCTGAACGCCGGCGGCGGTGGCGGCACCTTCAACAGGCCATCGCCCCCACTCCTTCCACCCGCCGAAGCCTTCAACCGGTCCCCCAGTCTCGACATTCCGCCCGCCTTCGCCTCCGGCGTCGACGCAATGACACTAGCTTCAGCTCCTCTATCCGCGCTACCCGATGGGAGGAACCAATGCACCGTCTTCCCCGCCGGGCCGCGTGATGGCGTTTCCTCGACGCCGCCGCTTCTTCGCGCGCTGGCAGAAGAAGACGACGCGTTCTTGACGACCGACCCGGGTATTGTTGAGTAGCTAGTGGGAGCGATGACATCAACGGGACCCGGCCGCACCGCCGACGACGGGATGATGGGGTCGGAAGCCAACGGTAGACTAGCGTCGGCATCCTCGTCCTCGTCCATGTTGCGCGCCGCAGCGATGGCGGGTGCCGCCAATGTAGAAGAGAACCTGTTATGATTCGGCGTCGCCTGGAGAATGACGTCCTTCGTCTTCCTGCCACGCTTAGGCGTTGCTCCCACGAGGATGTTGCTGCCGCCTCCCACTTTGCGTGTTACTGGCGCACCGGGCTTGGTGCTGCTACGCGACGACTGTGCAGTTGACAACTGACGACGAGAGTCGGCCGAGTCGGCGACGTCCTTGAGCGCAGCGCCGCGGTTGGGCTTGCGTAGGGTGCCGATGGCCTTCTCTAGCTCCTGCTCGATGTGTGCTTTCTTCTTGAGCTTCGCCTCGTTGCTCTTGGCCATGGCGTCCAGGTCGATGGTGCGGCGGGAGAAGCGTTCGAACTGGGAGAGGGAGTTGCGACTGGATGAAGTCTTGGAGTCTTTCTGCTGAAGCGGGATCGAGGATAGAGACGGTGCTTCGCTGCCTTCGCGCTTTAGATTCGCAGGTAGAAGCGGGTCGGTTGAAGATCGCGTGAGAGAGGGATGTCGTTGCGGCTGGTGTGCTGCGTTTTCTGTAGCGACGCGGGAGAGAGGACGTCGCTTCTTCTGCGCAGCCCGTGGGTCTGTACGAACAGCGGCTTCTCCAGGTTTACTGCGGTTGGTGCTTGATCCAGAATTGGATGATTTTGCAGGGGATGCACTAGGTCCGCCGAGTCTTTTGTTGATCGCAGCGGCCTTCTCTGGCATCCGGCTCATGTAGCTAGAGCAGGTCAGCAAATGTCTGAGATCCACGAATAGCGGCAAGTCTTACAAGGGCAGAATGACTTCTACACAAAAATTCTTGAGCTTGTCTGAAGTTCCCGACTTGTCCGAACTTGGCGTGAGAACATCGTTCTTCCCACTGCCAGGTTGAGGAGCTTTTACAAGCGTCTCATCTTGCTCAACGGACTGCCAGATACACAATCTATCGAGAAGCAGATCAAGAAGCACATTGAGGTCTTGCGGCTTCTTAGGCTTACGTTTCTTGACAGGTGCTGCTTGTGACTCTGCTTGTGTTTCATCTTGCTGTGTCTCTTCCTGTTCTGTTGCCTGGAAAGAAGGTGATGCTTCAAGGGCCATGATCTCCAAAACAAGGATGACTTGAGCCATCGACTCTCGGACACGCAGATCGCCTAACCGCCGCTTCAAAATATCTGCGGGAGACTCGCTGTGACCGTGGGGCGAGGTACCAGGGCGATCCTGTAACCACCATTTCTTGACATGCTCATCCTCTCCAGGATAAAGTCCTTCCTTGTTGGGCTTTAACTTCTTGCTCTTGCTCTTGCTCTTTTTCTTCTTCTCCATCTTCGCCGCAGCCATGTCTTCATCGTCAGATAAACCCGGTAAGGGCATGGACTTGACGATCTCCGGCAGCTTCTCCCTGTGCTTCTTGTCCATAGGTCCTGGCTGTAGCAATATCGACCGCATGAAAGCAGCCAGATCCCCCATCTTCAAACCAGCATTCTCCTTCGACATGAACGCAGCTCTAGCCCTCGACATCGGTCCTTTGACGAAGAAAGCCAGCGAAGTCTTCGTAAGATACAGCGCCTCAAGATACTGCTGCACGACCGTCTGAAAGACCTCTTCCGCGGTCTGCGGCCGCTCCTCCACATCCCCAACAGGAAGCTGGCCAGCCTGTTCCGCCGAATCCACAAACGGGTCCGCGTCCTCCAGTCTCTTCGGCGCGGCATGCACGATCTTCGGGACAGGCCGACGCATGGATAACCGCGGTGCTGCACCGTGGCCCTCCCCGCGGTCAACCGGCGTTGTCGACGCATTGGTAGACGGCGGCGAAGCCACAGCAACGCGCTGCCACCAGAGCCGGCCGTCCTCCTTCCTCAGCGCCTTCAGCGGCTGCGCGTAGGGTAGGCCGGCGGGGTGCGCGGGCACGGCGCCCACGTCCTCTTCCTTGACCCAAGCCCCCAGTCTGCATAGCGCGTACACGCCACGGCGTACCCGCTCAACAGCATACAAGCTCCCGTTGTCCGCTTCGAACCGCGTCACCAGGACCTTCGGCGTCGCGGGCACATCTTCTTCCTGTTCTTGTGCATTCTTGCTCTCGGGAGCATGGCACTCGAGTGCCTCGACGTACGCGGAGAAGAGGCGGGTGGAGGGGAGGGAGCCGGAGGGACCGATGACGTCGAGGAAGGAGAGGGGCAGTTGCGAGCGGTCTATGAGCTTGACGGGTGTGAGGGTGATTGGTCGGTCGGAGGGTAACGTTGGGCAAGGCTGCGGAGTAAAAAATTTACATTAGCTTAGGGGATCTAGAGAGTTTAAGTACGATGCTAGCAATACGCACGCGAATAGTTATTAATTTCTGTGCCAATGCTTCGGGAGCATGGTCGCCTCTCTTGCGTTTGCGGGATTCGGCTGGCGGCTTGCGCGTTTTTGCGGCGGTTGAGGAAGAAGTAGCGGGGCGGGCGGGGGTGAGAGAGTCATATTTATTCGCTGACACCATAGTGCGCCAGACGGTTCAGCGTTGCGTCCAAGCCTGGCATGGCTCGTCGGATGTGGGGTTATCTTGGAAGTGCTTGTGGTTGTTCTCTCGGACGGCTTAGGCTTGCTGCATGTTCGCGTGCTGCGACGCGCTCCACGATCGGCCGATCCGCTCCACACGTCACTCTTCCCGCGACGGGAGACCATCAACTTTATCTCGTTTTCGTGTTGCACCTTTCCTGCTTTGACTAGACTGATGGGTCCGTGGAGATTCGTTCAATTCATGCTACTTTTTTGCTTTTCCTATTTCGGATGCTATATGCCAGCTGCCATTCGCCAGCTTGATAGCGGAGACACTTAGATGTACTCCCTATCCGCGTAGCTCTGGATCATACCCTCCGCAGTAGCCTCGTATTCCTTCAGAGCCACCTTGTCACCCTCCACCACCGTGTTGGCTTGGACGAACACCTTCCTCGGCTGCTTCTTAGCAAGCACGACAGGCCTGACCTTGTCGGCAAAGAAATCGTCGACATGGGTGATGTCATTGTACATCTTGGTGCCATTCTCGACATCCGCCGTTGCCTTGTAGATGTGCAGCTGCTGGAGGTACTTCTCCACAGCCGGGCGACCGAGGCTCAGAATCTTGCTCCTCTCAAGGCGGATTGTGAGGTCTGACAGGTCATCCTTCGTGTACTCAAGCTCGCAGAACTCCTTGCCGGCGTTCAAGAATACACGCAGGATCGAGAAACGCGCCTGCATGTGAGCCTGTCCCCACTTGCGCGACTTGGGGTCCCAGAACTCAAGCGCAGCGACACCCGCACGAGCCATGCTGAGGTATCCTGCATACAGCACATCACCCGCCTCGCCATTGATGTCCGTCTCGCCAGAGCCGAAACCGAAGATCTTGAGAATGTCAAAATCACAAGACAGGGCCATGGCCACGCACTCTGCACGGCACTCTTCGTAGCTGGCAGCAACTGGACCGAACACCGATCCCCAAGTCTGGCCAGGCTTGTACCAGGTAGTGATCGGCTTGTTGGTCAGGGGGCTGATGGGAGGGTTCTTGATGTCGAAGTTGTATTCACCGGGAGAAGTCTCCTGCAAGAGCTTACCACATCCGTGACCAAGCAGCTCGTGAAGGCCGACTTGGACCTCAAAAGCGGGGTCACGGAACTTCCTGTAGACTTCATCATCGCTGTCTTTGATGAACGGGATCTTCTCATTCGGCGCCTTTGCAGAGAGAACGTTACCCAAGCTCACGTTCTTGAATCCTTCCTTCTGACGGATGTCGTCATAGTTGGGGATGTTGATACCCGCCGGAATGCCGCTGCCGGCAAAAGTGAGAACCTCGAGGGACGTGAAGTCGGGGCTGAGGAACTTGTCCTTCTCGAACTCCTTCTCCCATGGCAAGCGAGGAATGAGAGACGGGGCAGCCTCGACCAGTTTACCGAAGGCCCTGGTCCTTTCCTTGTTGACCATAGCCACGAAGCCTTCCCACTCGCCGCGGATACCGTGAGGGTCACGGTAGGTCTCAACGAAGCCGATGTCTGTCTCGACCATGGGACCCTTGTCCCGAATCCAGAACCTCTGGCTGTCTTTGTAGGCCTCCAGAGAGCCAGTGGTGAACGACTTCTCGTACGCGTCCAACATTGACTTTTCGGTGTCGTTGCTAGCGTATTGTCTCGCCTTCTTGATCGCATCAGCAATCGTGGCCATCTCCTTGGAGTAGTCGCCAAAGACAAGCTTGAGCTTCTTGCCCTTGAGCTTGCCATCCAGCTCCCACTCAGACTCCTTGATGTCGCGCTGGTCCTGCGAGGGCGAGTCCAGCGAAGATGCAATCAGGACATCGAAACCATCCTTAGTCTTCCTGATCCTAGTGTTCTCGGGAAGAAGTCTCTTGTTCTCCAAGAAATCACTGATGATGGTGATCTCCTCCTTAGTGATATCGGGGGAGTCGGGGTAGTACGTAGACAGGTGGCCCGCATCGGGGTATCCCAAATGCATCGTCCCAACATGCTTGTCCGCGAAGATGTCGTTCTTGAACTTTTCGTACAGCTGCAGCGATTCGGGGGTCAGAGTGGCGAGAGCCTTCAGCTGCCTGGATTCGAGACGCGGGATGAACTTGGAGTCACCAAAGCTCTTGTAGTTACCGGCGTTGCCCAGGAACTGAGCGGCGTAGTCCAAGAACGCGTTGAGCTCGTCGTCCGAGAGGCCGGCATCCTTCTGAGCCTTCTTCCAATCTCCGTTGTAATGACGGTGGAGGGTGACGATGAAATCGTATATGTGCTCGGACTCGGGGGAAATTTGGCGGAGGACAATGCGCGTACCGGCGAAGCAAGCACTGCTCAGCTGTTAGCAGAACACACGGATACCGAAGTCACGCGCCGCGTCAGGAGTTTAGGGAGGATCGCCAGAGCTGTGCGTAGTGCAGGCGGCCATTTCCAGCCAGAAGCTCACTGGTAGGAATTTACACCGGTGCATCGGCACAGGAAGCACCCGCGAGCAAAGCTGAGGCAAATACAGGCATTGCTTCGAGAGCGTGGCACGGCGGACTAGCTCAGCTTCACTACGCAAATGTCTTCACGTGTTTCGCTGGCATCCTGGCGATGTACTGCAGCTCTGCACAGCTCAGGCGAGCCCCCGCCGACAATGACGGGCAGATGGGCAGGCGTGGGGTAGGCTGACATGGAGAGGTAGTGGGAGTAGAGCTTCTGCTGGTCGTTGAGAGCTTCAAAGTGAGGCTTGATGGCCAGCGGCACAACCGTAGGCGGGCTATCAGCCAGATAGTGCTTGAGAGCTTCGGGATCCATGGTGGCAGTTGTAGTTGCTGCGGTGGTGTTGTGGACAGCTCGTCGTTGATAGCGGGGTCCAAGGCAGCTGGAACCCTGCGGGGCGGAATCCACGGCTTGGCGGGCGCCCTCTCCGGTGGTACACAGCCAGGAACGAGACAAAGAGCTGCAGCTGCGTGCATACGTGCGCGCAGGCACTGCTCCCAGCAACGGCCGCGACAGCTGCACGCTTCTGTGCAAAGAATCTACTCGGCGGCTGCTACCGCGGCACGCCAGCGGCCGGAAGGCCGCGAGTGCGCTCAGAGCCCGCATCCGGGGGCTCATGGCAGCGGCGGCAGGGCTGGCGGGGCGCGGGCTCGGGCAGAGGCACGCGGCTCGCAGGAGAGCGAGGTAATGAAGTCCAATAATTGCCAGACTCCTTTTGCGATGCGAGATGTCGATTTGCGGCCCGCGTGTTGACTGCGGGTGGTCCGTGCGGGCGCTTTCCCACACAGACCACAACAGAGCGGGCGCCTTCGCTTTCCCTCACCGCTGTCCTCCCATCCTGCTCCTTCTCCATCGCTTCCACCGCCCGACTACCTCCCCCTAGTCGCGTCTCCAGCTTTTCTTCGCCAACTCCTCTCTCCAACTCTATCCACAACTTCCACATCCCAACCACCAAAATGCGCGAGATTGTACGTAGCTGCGGCAGCCTGCTTGTTTTCAACGCGTCCCCTGACAGCCCCGCGTCTTTGCCCCCGGCCGCAACAACAGCGCCAGCACCGCAGTCCACCATTGCTAACATCGCTTTTTCGCACCCATAGGTTCACCTCCAGACCGGCCAATGCGTAAGTCTCCTCCAGCCTGCTGTGTTCGCTGCATCGCGCTAACTTTGCCCAGGGTAACCAAATCGGTGCTGCTTTCTGGTTTGTTGCCAAAACACTCCTGCTCCTGCGCCCCCCGCTGACGGAAGCGACACCATAGGCAGACCATCTCCGGCGAGCACGGCCTGGATGGCTCCGGTGTGTAAGTGTGCGCCTTCTCCGCCGCGCATGGCAATCGCTGACCTGTAGCAGCTACAATGGCACTTCGGACCTCCAACTGGAGCGCATGAACGTCTACTTCAACGAGGTACTCTCTCCATAATTAGACAAACACGTAAAGTATGGCAATCTTCTGAACGCGCAGCAGGCGTCCAACAACAAGTACGTTCCTCGTGCTGTCCTCGTCGACCTCGAGCCCGGCACCATGGATGCCGTCCGCGCCGGCCCCTTCGGCCAGCTCTTCCGCCCCGACAACTTCGTCTTCGGCCAGTCTGGTGCCGGTAACAACTGGGCCAAGGGTCACTACACTGAGGGTGCCGAGCTTGTCGACCAGGTTCTCGACGTTGTCCGTCGTGAGGCCGAGGGCTGCGACTGCCTCCAGGGTTTCCAGATCACCCACTCCCTGGGTGGTGGTACCGGTGCCGGTATGGGTACGCTCCTCATCTCCAAGATCCGTGAGGAGTTCCCCGACCGTATGATGGCGACTTTCTCCGTCGTTCCCTCCCCCAAGGTCTCGGACACCGTCGTTGAGCCTTACAACGCCACTCTGTCCGTCCACCAGCTCGTTGAGAACTCGGACGAGACCTTCTGTATCGACAACGAGGTACGTGACATTTGCCACAGTTGGCTCGTTCGAGCGGTGAACTGACTTTCTACAGGCTCTGTACGACATCTGCATGAGGACCCTCAAGCTCACCCACCCCTCGTACGGTGACCTGAACCACCTGGTCTCCGCCGTCATGTCCGGCGTCACCACTTGCCTGCGTTTCCCTGGCCAGCTGAACTCTGACCTGCGCAAGCTTGCCGTCAACATGGTTCCCTTCCCCCGTCTCCACTTCTTCATGGTCGGCTTCTCTCCTCTGACCAGCCGTGGCGCCCACTCTTTCCGCGCCGTCACCGTTCCCGAGCTCACCCAGCAGATGTTCGACCCCAAGAACATGATGGCTGCCTCGGACTTCCGCAACGGCCGCTACCTTACCTGCTCCGCCATCTTCCGCGGTAAGGTCTCCATGAAGGAGGTCGAGGACCAGATGCGCAACGTCCAGAACAAGAACTCTTCCTACTTCGTTGAGTGGATCCCCAACAACGTCCAGACCGCTCTCTGCTCCATTCCTCCCCGTGGTCTCAAGATGTCCTCGACCTTCGTCGGCAACTCGACCTCGATCCAGGAGCTCTTCAAGCGTGTCGGTGACCAGTTCACTGCTATGTTCCGTCGCAAGGCTTTCTTGCATTGGTACACTGGTGAGGGTATGGACGAGATGGAGTTCACTGAGGCTGAGTCCAACATGAACGATCTGGTCTCTGAGTACCAGCAGTACCAGGAGGCGTCGGTCAGCGATGCCGAGGAGGAGTACGACGAGGAGGCTCCTCTCGAGGAGGAGTAGATTCCTGTCCAACTGGATCGGTAGCTTGGGTCTTAGAGAGCCCATTGAGCTTGGTCTTGTTTGGTTTTGAACTTCTGAGAACGTACGAGTGGGGTGAGCTCGAACGTGTAGTTAAGCGTTTCAAAACAATAGTAGTGCTTTGGTAATCCATTTCTGCGATCAATATGCAGCCTTTGCTTTTCAACGACTGTGCCATTCAACGTGTCCACATTGAAAACTACGAGATTGCTCTGGCTGCACGACTGACAATAAAACCGATATGTTTGCATTTGGTATCTTAGATGTTAAATCCCAACAATGACCACCCTTGCTCTCAACCTTTTGGCAGTTGAATACCCTTTGACTGTTAAAACGCCCTGTGTAATGCAAAATGTCGTCGACCTCGTAACTTTGGAACCTCTCCCTCTCTCTACGCCATATTCTAATCGCTCTCCCCCATCTACTTGCCGTTGAGACACGCAATGTTGAACCGCGCGTGATTTGAGAGTATACCCTGTCTCTAATCTCGGTCTCTTCGCCCCACCCCTATTCGCTTCTCCCTCACATACTCTCTACCCCTATTAACGAGTCCCCCATTCACGTGAACAAGATGTGGGTAACGGTTAATGGAACCGAAAATCTCCGCTCGGTCCGGGCCGCATCCGTTTCTTTCTCTTTTGAATGCGGGCTCGTGCATTTGCCGGAAATGGGCGCGCTTCCCTCTCGGTGTCCTCACTTCTCTTCCTTCCTCACTCTGCCCCTTCTGAAGCGCGCGAGGAACCCCCCGTATACCCTTGTGTGTCACTGCCATTCATTTACGACGACTTCTTACCGGCAGCGCGCTCGCGCTCCCTCTTCGCATAAATCTCAGCGGTGAAGGGGTCCTCGTAGCGGAGGGCGATGCTGTAGGCGACGTAGACGAGGGCCGTGAGGAAGACGCCGGCGGGCTTGCCGAAGAGGATGGCGGTGCCGAGGAAGGACGCGGTGCTGCCCCAGTACATGGGCGCGTCGGTGACGCTGAAGGGGAACGCCGTCACCTTCTCGTCCATCAGGATGCCGAAGTAGTCGCCCAGGTACGTGCCCGTCACGCCCAGCGCCCACATGGACGACAGGACCAGCACGTTGCCCGACGCGAGCAGGCCGTACGCGATGCTGCGGAAGGTGGGCGTGAGGAGGAGGGGTAGTGTGGGCTGCGCTTCGATGGCGGTTTTGTAGCTGTGGGGTGCCGGGGGTTTGGGCGTTAGTTTGGCGGGTGGTGGAGGGGATGCGGGAGGGTATGATGGTGTGGGTTGCATGGAAAGATGCACCTGTGTGGTGTCGGTGGTGGATGAGGGAAAGAGGGAGACATACATAGCATCGCGAATGATTCCCAGCGAGAAGATGGTAACGGCGAGCGCGTAGCAGCCGTAGCGCGGGTTGCCGCCAAAGAGCTTGGTGATGACCTTGTTGTGGTATTCTGTCGACCCAAACCGCGTCAATTAGCTTTCATTAACCCTAGAAACGCGACGGCCGGAGCTGTAAGAGCTCTCTGCAGAAAGCAGGCGCGATGTGGGTATGCCATTGGAGCTCTCGCGCCTCCAACGGTGCGAGGTGGTGCGGAGTGACTGCCGCGCAAGAAGTTCCCGACGCTTGGAGCTCTGCAGTATTCGACAGACGGAGTGGACAGCACAGTACCTTGTCTAGCAGCGATGCTGGAGAGGCGGTCAGCGGCTGTTTTTCTAATTTCTTTGTTGTAGAACTGAATTGAGCTCGGCACTTACTTCCAGAAAGTCGGGTTGAACGCAATGCTTGCAGCAGACACTGTTTAATAGACGTTAGCGCTTTGATCACTCGCGCGCTGGTCAACGTCATGAGCTTTGGTGGTATTGCGCTGCGGCGGCGCAAAGGTTCGTTGTGCGGAAATGACGGTGTAGCGGGGAAGGAAGCTCATGGAAAGAGCTGGTAGCACTCACGCCAGAGAGTCGGCTGGTTGAAATCGATGTAGGCAGCCATGGTTGAGGGTGGAGAGGACTGTGGTGTTGGAGCTCAGAGTAAAAGGGAAGAGGAGGGGCAATTGGCAGGAAGTGACGGAGGGGAAGCTTTGAGGAAAAGCGAGACACGAGGGATTTAGCGTTGGCGTTGTTGACAGATGGTGTTCTTCCGCCTGGCGCGAGATGACGGAGCTCGCATGTGACTGCGGAGAGCGGCACGGCAAGCGATGGCGACCTTAGGGCCGGTGGAGCGGCAAAGACCCCACGTTTTTCGTCATCGGCCATCGTCCCAAGGCTCAACACCAAAGCCCTGATCGTCGGGAGTCTCGGCCAACAAGGACCCTGATTGGTGATCTTCATGAGTTGTCAGAAGCATTAAAATATATCATTAGCGTTGCGATCATAGCTGTCTTGATGGACCGTCGTCCTCCGCGGGAGGCAGAGTCTAGCATAACATGTATTGGCAATAAGAACTCGAAAAATATCAGATCCTTCCTTTTTTGTATCCACTCTGGCCCGCTCTCCCTTTTGCTTCTCTAATGGGCCTTACAGAGACTTCTGCTGTCCGAGATATTAATTTCGCCTCACAAACCGTTCGTTGCGCACGAAAACGCGCCGCCGAAATTGTTCGCTTCGTAACCTTCGATGATGCTCTTGACGACTGCGTACGTTCCGCCGCTAAGGAATAGCAGGCCGATCGCGCAGAGGATGACATTGAACACGAAGCCGACTGGACCTCTCCAGCCGCGGATCTTGTAGAAATCAGGTCCATAGTCTGCTTTGCGCATCCGGATGTAGGCGACACCCCAAAAAATGAAGCCGAAGAACGAATCGAAGAGAGAACTCATCAAGCTGAGCAAGTCTGAGAAGAACGGAATCACTTCAGCGATAATGAAGGCCACAATCCACAGAGCCGCGAGGATAAGGCCCCAGGACACCCAGCCGACGACCGTGTGGTCGCCCATGTGACGCGTACCGGAGTATAGGCGGAAGAAGACGAAACGTGCCGAGACCGAAGCATAAAGGACTCCCAGGAAAATAATAGTCGGAATCATGAAGCTAAAGCTGACTTTCTTGTAGACCTCGTTGCTGATGGAACCAAACGCCGGAGCCGTGATGTAATTTGTGCCAGTGTAGGCGTAGACGATGGAGCCGACCAGGCTGAAAACGATGACCTCGGCGATTGTGACAGCCCAGAGCGCCTTGGGGAAATCCCTGGGATTCTTCATCTCCGCGATGAATGACGGAAGGGTAATCTGGCCGATGAACGTATAGCTGATGTTCATGAATGCGTTCATGCCAGCTACAAATGTCGTACCTGCTGCTGGAATCGCCAAAACGATAGGCTCACCCAAGGAGGGGTAGCCGGCAGGGTGGGGTTCAATCGCGGAAAAGATGGTTGCCAGGAGGACGGAGATGAAGGTAAAAAATGCGGAAGCTGTGGCCAACTTTGCAAGGGTCGAAAAAGTCCTGGGGAGTGAGCAAACCCAAGAGATGACGGCGACAATAGCGGAAAATCCAATGGTGCACATGCTGTGGTTTGTCATTGTGTTCAGATATTTCGCACCAACAAGACAATGGAGACCCTGAGATGCGTCAGTGTCTGTGGCAGGCGGGCGCGGAACGCTCCGAAACACTTACCTGAATGAAGGTGTTGTTCAGGAGGAACATCACAGCCGTGAACCACCATGCCCATTTATGGTTGAAGAACAACATCTGCCCAATGTCGCATACATCCTTGACCTCAGGATGGCGAAGGCAGAACTCCCTGGTCGGTGGTCAGAACGAAATGCGCCAAACAATTCTGAATTGAAACTCACCAAGTAATCAGGGACGTATACAGCACGAGACCGGCTATCACGACGGTCAGAATCAGACCCGGTACGAGACCCAAGACTGAATACGACCAGGGGAAGGACATGATAGCCAGGCAAATGTACTCGGAGAAGAGCAAGGCTGCAGTTTTGGGCCAGCTGCACGTGCGGTACTTGATCGCATTGGATTCCTCCAGAGCGATCTGCTTGCCCACGCTCACGGTGCTGTCCGAGTCGGAGCCGCTGGTGGGGATGACGGGCTTGATGATGGGCTCGCAGATGCGGCGCATGGGACGGTCGCCGTGAGCGCGGACGGCTTCCGAGTCGTAGCCCGCACCATAGTTGGCCGAGGTGTCGAGGACATTCTTGTCGTCGGCCACGGCGCGCGAAGGCGAGGCCTTGCGGTCGTCGTCGACACTCTTCTTGTCGAAAACTAGCGCCATTTCACCGACCGGATGGGTTGGACGAAGGTGAAGGTGTACAAAGGATCGTGACTCGAGACGGTCGGCGGCATGAACCACCAGTTATTCTCCAGGACACGCGTAAAATTAGGGCGACGCAACGAGGATTTCCGCTCGGTTGCGTGCTAGGGTCGGGCGTGGGAGCCGAATAAGGAAGCGTTCGGGACAGAGAGGGGCCAAACAAGAGAGGTATGGGTAAGCTGAGCGGTGGGCCAGGTTTTATATGAAAAGTGATCTTCGAATCAGCCCGTCAGACTAGCGCTGGAGTAGCAGTAGGACGTTGCGTTGCGTGGTTTAGCGCAGAGCATGGGAGGCCCATCAATTCGCGTCTCCATGGCCGGCACGCGTTGACAAATGGGCGACGTCAGCTCGACAGGGAAAGGAAGCTAATGCGCCAGGGCAGCACCAGATGGAAGGAACAGTGGGTGAATGATGTTGCGCAACCGGGCTCCTGGGCGGCGCGCAGCAACACTGCCCCAGATTTCTCTGCCGCCTCACGCCAGGATGCTCGCACTTTTGCCATCGGCGGTCCCGACGAAACGTGGAAAGAAAATTCAGAATCCGGGCGGCTGAGACGAGCGTTGGCCACAGGCTGCCCGCAAACGTCGGCGGCGTAGAGCCAAAATGGCGATAACGTGATAAGACGCCATCGATGCCTACTCCCCGCTAAGCATCAGCCAAGCGGTTGCCTCCGCCTCTCGCCCGCGGGACGCCTGTGCCCTGCCTCGCCGACACAGAGCGCAGCAGCCCACACCCCGGCTTCCGCCCGCGTGAACAGGCCGCCTCGTGCCCGCCACAGGCCCGCCACCTGCATCCTTCGGAATCGCCGTGCACCTCATCGGACGCTGCTGAGGCCTCAAACTCTTTGCGGAACCAAGCGAGCTTGCCTAGCCGTGTTGTGAGCCCGTTGGCCCAGTTGCAGATCGAGATCTGATGGCGCACATCAAGCTCGAGGGCAAGCAGAGGCCCAAGGGCTGGGCAGCCGTAGCCAAGACAGCCGCAGCCAAGCGAGCGCCGCATTAGGGCTCGGAGCGCATCAGCATCATGCTGTTTTCGTGAGCTTTCTGGAGAGGCCATCGTTCGAACGTTCGGCTCTGCGGTTCTATGGTGCGGCTCGGCCCTCGATTGCGTCCAGAGTAAAATACGCTTGCCCTGCATCTAGCCTCCTCGCCGGGTGCGCGCCCACGAATCTGGGACGCTGGGGCTTCCGTTGGCATGCCGGTTGACGTTGGTGTGTCACCGTCTTCGCATCCTGCGTGACCGGCCCTGTGCTTTATCTGCTACCTATCAGCGAAGAAGCTGCGGTGAGACCCTATTCGTATAACAGTCCAGAATATTGCCTATCTCATGCTTGGCGGCTGATTGCTAGCCCGTCTTTCTACTCCGCACTTACGATGCCACTAATGCTCGAAAAGCCATGGCATTTGCCCACGTGGGCACAGTCAGATTGTTTTCATGGATGATGGCTCGTCCGGCAGTAGCGACCTGCTCGAGCGCCCGAATTAGACCTAAACACCTGTCTACACGCTTTTTGGGAATCAGTCCTAGTATATGCGAATCCAAGAGCCAGCGCCAATTATGCCATTCAACGTCATGCCTTCCCGTGGATTCCATTTTGATGCCTCGCGCCCATAGGCTCCTCTACTCCTCGTCTTCATCATCGTCATCGACGACCCGTCTCCGCTTCCTAGAGCTTGCCGCAATGACTTCATCCTCATCGTCGTCGTCCTCGTCCGCGTGAGCCCTCTTCGGACTACCGCGCCTCTCCCTACGCTGTTGTGCCTCAAGGCGGTCGTCGATGTCTTCCTCGTCCTCATACGTCTCGGGCTCCTCGTCGCTGCCGGCGAGGAAGTCATCGTCCTCGTCGTACTCGTCCTCCCTGAAGCGAGAGCGAGGTCCAGCATCCTCCTCCTCATCGCTATACTCTTCCCGCCTGGGACGTCTCTGCTTGGCTCCGCGAGCACCACGGTCTTCATCATCATACGCGCTCGATTGGCCATAGCGAGAACCGCCATATCCTGAAGACCGAGCAAACCCGCTGCGGCCAAAGCCTCGGTCGTTCCGCATGCGCTGGCGCTCTCTCTGGCGCTCCTCCAGCTTAGCATGTCGCTCACGCTCCCTCTCAGTCGCCTCTGCCTCCCTCTTCTTCTTCTCCGGATCTTCAGTCAAGCTGAAGATGGCCACAGAGCCGCCAGCACCAGAGCGTGCTTTGGCGGCAGCGGCGAGAGATTCCTGCAAACGCTCCAAAGAATCGTCCGTTGTGCTCTTAGATGGAAGAACGGAAAGACCAGCGGTGACCTTGTTGGTGATGCGCACCAATTGCTCGCGTTGATTGGGCGTGCAGAGATACGTGTGAGAGTCCTTGCTTGGGTCATACGTAGTAGCTCCGCGATTCTTCATATCCCGGATGCTAGTAGGCGTAGGCTTGGTAGGGTTAATCTGTGGAGGAGCAAGGGGCTTTCCGTCAAGCTCGTACTGCTGCGTGGGGTCGGAACCGAGCTGCAGAGTAAGGGAACCATCGGACCATCTGAGGATGCGTGCATTGGATTGAAGCTGAGTGGGGTTGGAAGGAGAATGGCGCCAGCGGATGGTCGTCTGGGCGGTCTTGAAGGGGGAGAAGGTCGACGATGGCTCTCTCTTGCTGTGATGATCCGTTGTGGGCGGTTGCCACTTCTCCAGGACAAAGGTTTTGGGATCAACTGCGAGAAAGCGTGGTACCTTCATGAGATAGAGCTGCAATCATGTCAGCAAGCAGCGCAGGCTGGCAAAAGGTCCACACGCACCTCGTTGTCGCTGGGCTCAGGAACTGCATGGCGTGGCAGCGATGCTTCGGCAATCTGGAGCTCCATAGCCTCGAATTCCTCCGCAGCCGTACTCTTCACGCGATCCTCGCGGCCCATGTCATCGCCAGAGTCGAGCTCCTCATCGTCGAGTGTGCGCTCCGCCCTGCAGGAATTGACGATTAGCAGTGGTCTTGCTTGAGACCAAGTGAGAGACGTGGCGCATAGTCTCAGGGTCCGTCAAAGCCAAACAAATAAAATGTAGCAATACGTACGGTGCCTGCTCAAGATCGTCATCGTCTCCTCCGTCACCGAAAAGGTCATCCTCATCATCCAGCGGCGGTTCGTCGTCATTGAGCTCGTCGTCACTCGCCGCAGCCCCAGCGCCGCCAGTGGTACGCCTTCCGGTGACAACGTCGTCATCGTCATCCTCGTTCTGGTCGGGTGGGGGCGAGGTGGACGTGGCAATGGCGCCGGTGGCCTCAGCGTCGTCGCCGAACATGTCGGCCATGTTATTCTCTGAATCGGACGCCATGGCGGTCGGTGTGAGACGCGCGATTGACGGACGGCAGGAGGACGCGGAGGCGCAAAGACGAGCTGACGACGGTGCCGGGCGGGCGGCGACGTGCGCGGGTGGGTGGCGGAAGACGGTCGGTGGAGGGGGGAAGCGCAGAGGATGGGCTTTGTGGTGAGCTGCAGCTGGATTCACTTGCAGCGCGCGCGTCGCACTGGAGCTCGGCGGGCACCCGTCGCGGCGGCGGCGGCGCGGAGAAATAAGCGACCGGCGGCATGTTCCCCTTTCAGGAGGGGCGCAACTGAAACCGCCCGGCGTGCGGTAGGGAGAGGTTCAGACATCTACACTCCTCCCATCCCCTCGCTCTCTGTCTTCTCTGCCACACATCGCTCGACGGCTTGCCGCCAACCTCAGCCGCCTCCCCTATCCGGTTACCTTAAACTGCGTGAATTACAGACATGGCGTCGTTCTTCTCCAGCGTGTAAGTGCTTAGCATTCCTCGTGGCCTGAAGCACCCTCTGCATACCTTCTCCTCGCCCCGCCTGCCCCGCGAACCGCTCTGTCTAGCCGCCCAGCCCAATTCATTTCCTACGATCATCTCCGCACGTGGCTATCATTTGCTCTTTGTTCCTTTTTCTCCACCCGTTGCACACCGCCCACACGTGATTCACTCCCCGCGTCCCTGTTTGCCTTTTACCACCCTTCCTGCTGTCATTGTCTCTATCCTCTCCATTCCCTTCCTCATCCGCCCCCCCTGCATCTGCGTCGGGCACGAGCGGCACCCTTTCAAGCCCCACTTCCAATAGATAAAGGGCCTAGAACGCCACCACTAACTCAATTGCCCGACAGTCGCCAAGGCTTTGGCGGACGATCCAACAAGAACAGCAATAACCAGCAGCCGCCGCAAGCCAAGGGCAACGCGTCACCCACTATGTCTTACCAGAACGCCCCCCAGCAGTACCCTCCGCAGCAGCTGCCTCAATCACCCTCAATGGCTTCCGCTACGCCCACCGAGACCACTCCCATCGAGGCCGATCGCTCGCAGTCGCCGTCGAACAGGAAGCCCCCGTACTTCTTCCGCGAGGAGTATTCTAACCTGATCGTCAAGGGTAACTTCATGACTCTGGCCGCGCGGCCGAAGATGGTTGATGAGGGCGAGTGGCTCGCTCACCAAGGTTTGTGCCATCTGCCTTTCTGTCTCACTTTTCCTGTTCTCACCTTTGGTAGTTGTTGAGCAATACCGTCTTCTGGATGGCATGATCCAGGTCATCAAGACTCTTGATGAGCGGACAGGTCGCCCAATTTGCAACCCGGACACTTGCCCCACCATGTCTGCCGCTGGGTAAGTTCCATTACCTTGGTTAGTGAGCGACAGGTCATGCTAAGTATTTCAGCCACACCTACACCTGGTTGGACAACAACAAGAAGCCCATCAAGATTCCCGCCTACCAATACATCCAACTCGTTCAGAAGTGGATTGTGGGAAAGATTGGCGACCAGAACCTCTTCCCTGTTGACACCTCGATTCCATCTCAGCCTTCCAGCACATCCGCCGCCACCTATGCCTCAGGAGGCCTGAATACCCCTGGTTCTAACTCTCCCATTCCTGCCGGACCAACCTCGATCAACGCTCCGCTCTCCCAACTTTCCGGTGACGAATGGATGGGTAAGCCTGCCGGCTTCCCCAAGCACTTCAAGGACGACATCAAGTCCATCTACCGCCAGATGATGCGCTGCTACGCTCACCTGTACCACGGCCACTGGCTCGACCCCTTCTGGAACCTCAACGCTTACAAGGAGCTCAACACATGCTTCATCCACTTCATCAACGTCGGCCAGCAGTACGACCTGCTCAGCGACAAGGAGATGGAGCCCATGATGCCGCTCATTCAGCTGTGGCTGTCCAAGGGTCTCCTCCCGGAGAAGCAGGCTGATGTGGCTCAAGCCACTTCTGGTAGCCAGCAACCGGCCGCGCAGCCCCAGGAAGGCCAACCCGCTGCCGCTTAAATGGAGAGAAGAAGGATACGACGAAACGACGTGAAGAAGATCTCCGAGACGAAGGGATCTATTTCATTTTCAACTAGTTGATAGAGCGAAACGATCTCTTTTCCACGGCCGCGAACGCTTTCCTTTTCAAGAAAGTCAAAGACATATCCGCGCAAACGCAAAGAGAAGACGACAAAGCATTCGGCGAGCTTAAGGAGAAAAGAACGGGATGGGTAACTTGGAAGGAAGGATGGATCGAGGGGTTTAACCTTTTTTTTTTCTGCACTTGCACTTGATTTTGGGAGCCATCAGTGGTGCATGCTCTGGGCGTTTTCTCTTTTCAATATTACATTGCAAAGGAGCGGCAGTTTCTTTGAATGATATCGATGCGGTCACTCGTAACCCTGGTTCATCACCTTGCTTGCGCTTGCTTGGGAATTTCGATTTGTCTTTGCAGCAAAATCGATGTGAGCTCCCGCAGAAGGGTGCTTGAGCTCTCCATCGAGCTGGTTGAATGAGGAATGAAATACCCGGTTTCCAGGCGAATGCGAAAGCCATGGAATGAGTTGCTCTCTTTTTTTTGTTTGTATGCTCTTGATTCAGTGACAATCCGGCCCATTGCCAATCGTGAGCATCTCCGCCGTCAAACTTGGCGTGTGCCACCATCTTATGATGCATTGTTTCTTCGGGTGTCTTCGTGATTCCCACATCATACACGTACTTCTTCTATGCCCAAACACCCCCTTATCGCCCCAAATGGCAAAGACACTTCTTCGTACAGTAGTAACCCAAATAACCGCTCCCACCAAATAAACGCCTTGTCCCACCGCAGGAAAAAATGCATGTGTAGCACAATGACAATCGTACAGAAGGAATACACAGCCCAGCCGAAACATGTGTATATACAACCACCTGAGCCACCATCATCAGCCTCATCAATCCAGCGTCCAGTTATGCGGCCTATCCTTGTCATTGGAGCTCATAAATGTTTTCTTCTCCGAGGGCCCCGGCGGTTTTCCGGTCGAGGCAAGCTCGGTCTCAGGCTGCCCAACGAAGTCGTCCAGGATCTTCTGGATGACGGCTTCTTCGTCGACCGCAGCGCCAGCCTTAGCAGCGGCGGCGGCAGCAGCCTCGGCCTCAGCCTCAGCCTCAGCAGTAGCAGCAGCATCAGCGGCAGCCTGTTTCGCGAAGAACTTGCTCTGAGCGTTGAACTGCTGGGTCATCTCAGAGCGCAACAGCCAGTCCTGGCGGCGCGACTCGGTCTCGTCGAAGGCGTTGTCGCCGCGGCCGAGCATCTTCTTGAAGTCCTTTTGGAGGGCGTGGGAGCGGTAGCCGCCGGCGTGTTCGGCCTCGCGGATGACCTGGTCAAAGACGTCCGGGCGGTCGCAGCGGTAGCAGAGGCCGAGCATCTGGATGTACGAGGTGCGGTCGAGCGGGCGCGAGGCGGGCCGCTGGGCGCGCAGCTCCTGCAGCTGCTGCCAGATGGCGACGCCCGAGGCCCAGTCGCGCTGCTGCGCGCAGGCGTGCAGGAAGCGCGTCAGCGCGTCGGCGTCGAAGCCCCAGCCGTCGGCCGCCAGCGTGCCGCAGATGTCGGCCGCGCGCTCCAGCCCGTGGAACTTGAGCAGCCCCGCGACGATGGAGCTCATCACGCGCGGCGTCGGGTGCACCTTTTGCACCAGCCGCTCCGGCTTGCGCGGGTGCCGCACCACGCGGTTCTGCAGCCGGTACAGCGTCGACGGGTGCGTGAGCGGGATCGTCGGGTTGGCCAGCATTAGCGCGTAGCTGTCCGTGGTTATGCCCGTCATGAGCTGCACGAACCGCACGAAGCCGCGGGAGTCGTTGGTGTTGATGTGGTAGGAGAGTGCTGCGGTGCAAGTGATCTCGTCTGGCCGCATGTGGACTTCGTGGAGAGATTTGATGACCATGGAACATATGTCGTGCCGCTTAAGCCGGCTGAAGCCCAGGAGCAGCGCGTTGTAGGTCGTGATGTTGGGCGGGGCCGGAGAGGTGAGGAGCTCCTCGCAGATGGCCCCGACAAGAGTGGGAAAGTTAAGTTCGCCACGGAAACACTGATCGAAGCTTTCGAATATCCGTTCATTCATGGCGTGGCATTTTCGGTGGAATTGGCCATCGGGGTCCTGCTCATAGTACGGATACTTTCCAAATATCGGCTTGACTTCAGGGACGCGGTCCTGATTTTTCGGCATTTTGGTCCGTTGAAGGAAATTTTCAATACTCCTGACGAACCTCTCCTTGGACTGCTCTCCCTTCATGGCTATCCAGTACACGTTGTCTGGCAGCCAGCAGTCAGACAATTTGTCGTCCCAATCTCTTCTATTCGGATACTTATGCAGGTGTGCTGCCTCAACCATGAATAGCACCAGCTTGGCCATGGATAAGTTCATGGTCTGTAGCTTTCGACGGGTCCAGCGGGACTCTAGTCCTTCTATTTTCCGACTATCAGTGGCATATATCGACTGCGGAGGGAAATCGTGGGGGTTGAAAGACGGCCCAATGTTCTCAGGCCATTCCGGTTGTCCTGAACTCGTCATGGTGTATCTCCGCGCATCCTCCCACTCCAAGATGTCTCGAGGTCTTGATACGTCCTCCCTGTCGTCCATCATACGTTGATAGCTACGCTTTTTCGCCTTACCCAGCTTCTCGCGCATGATAGCTTCTGCGGCTTCGGGGTCCTTGACACCCTCAACCTCCTTCTTCAGCCATTCTGCCACGTCCTCGGCATCTTTTCCTTCGAGCTCGAATTCTTCTATGTCTTCTTTGAGCCTCGAAGGGTCGGCCTTGTCCTCTACCCGCTTCCCATCCCGCGTCTGGCCAGCGTCCCGCCCTTCGCGCGTTCGCACATCTGCATCGCCGGGCTTCAGTTCGTCTTTGACCTCTTGAATGGCATGGTCCCATTTTTCCCTGCGTTGCTGCTTTGCGCGGCCATCGGCAACGGCGGCACATGCGAATATGGCCGAGTAGATGATTGTTGAACTTGGGATTGCTGACAAGCGCTTCCGAAAAGCAGTGGTCGAGCGGCGGGCGACGGCGGTCGAGTAGGAGAGGCATTGTTGGCAGCGGCAGGCGCATTTTGTTGCCCGCAGCGTTCTCGACCAGAGGGTTTGCATTATTCGGCTACCGTCGTGACATTGTCCGGCGAACGCTCTCAGGGCTCGCGGAAATTCGCTCGTCCGGATGACCGCTCGGAGTGTGACGTGATCGGGGGGAGGAACCGGCGGACGTGGGCGTGCTCGAGGAGCGAGGGCGTCAATTGAGGTCGAGGAGACGCGCTGCAGCTGCGCGGCTCGCGTGATAGGGCGGTGTGGTGGTGATGGGCGTGGCTCGCTGTGGGTGCATTTCTACGTGAGCTGATCTCCACGAAAGATCCCTGCGCGTCGCGCCGGCGGGCGGGCGGCCAAGCGCAGTCCTGCCTGCCCCGCCTAGAGCTTCACCTTTGCCCCTCCATCTCTTCCGACGTCGTCGCCTAACAAATTCAAGCACCATGTTGGCTCTCACCTTGACCGCCGAACTAGAGGGGTAAGGTCCCTCCGAAGTCCGCTATTGCGGCCAGGAAATGCTCACAGAAAATGCAGCGTGACGGATCTGAAGCCCAACGACACCCAAGAGAACCCTTTCTACTACACTTTCAAGGTCCAATGCACCTCGTGCCGCGAGATTCATCCTAACTGGGTGAGCGTGAGTCGCTTTGTGAGTCCAAAGTCCACTCTTCCTCACGGCTATGAATGCTAGATTCCTAATCCTTGCACATAGGAACAAAACGAACAAAGCGGTAGCAGAGGCGAGGCCAACTTCGTTTGGAAGTGCAAGAACTGCAAGGTAGAAAACTCTCCACCCGATTTTACTTTTTCTCCTTCTCGGCCTATGTCTCTGCACGAACGACATTTACTAGTTAGATTTTCACTCAGCTATTATACAATCCCTGTAATGCACCAATTCCCCGATCAAGTAATACTAACTACTTACCAGAGAGAACATTCTGCCAACATTACCGAAGCCCCGAAGTCCTACCCTCAGCAGTCGCCGCCGAAGAGCCAGAAGATCATCACGTTCGACTGCCGCGGCCTGGAGTTTGTCGAGTTCAAGCCTGATGTAAGCACTGTTTCTTTTTATCCTTTTCTTCCATGATTTTTCATTCTATCATGCCACTCTGCTCGAGGAGGCTTCGGAAGAACCTGTGAGATCAACCATTCTGTGACTCTTTGAATGGACGACATGGTACCTGCAGACTGTAACAAATCAGTTCCACCTTTGTCTCCTAAATTCTCTTCTATCCCTCCTTCCTCCGATATTTCATCATCAATGACACCCTGCACATCAACCGATTTACCCCCTTGATCCTTCACTCATTCATCCAACCATCTCATGGGGAACACATCTTGCCCTTGAGCAGCACACAGCTCAAGCATCTTGCAAATTCTCTTCCCTCCCCTTCGCAGGCCCTCATACTGATCTAATTTCATTCACATAGGGCGAATGGTCCGCTACAGGTCTCGAATCCGGCAGCAAGTTCGATCAGATCGACTTGACTGAGGGCGACTGGTTCGACTACGACGAGAAGGCGGGCGAAGAGGTCAGCATCAAGGATCTGAAGTGGGACATAGTTCGTGCCTAGAGATATGGAGACCAGAGCGTCTGGAGGAGAGCAATATGAGAGTCCGACCCAAAGCAAGGGCGAAAAGTTTTATCAGTATGCGTGCATGAACACATTAAGTTAAGAGGAGCCGAGTGAATCACAAAAGACCATGCCATTCCATTCTGTTGCACACCTTGCACCTAGATTTTACTTCAACTACCGTGAGGGAGGAGTGCAGCGTCTCCTCACAAGACTGCCTTAAGCGAACAACTCTGTCGAGTCTCCACACTCGCACCGACACATTTAAGCATGAAAGGATCGGAGATTGCTTCAAACTTTGGTTATTCGAGTATATCTACAACGAATGGGTATCTCATCATCTAGACTATCCACAGCGTGTCCCTCTCATCAGGCCGGAAACCAACCATCTACGAAAATAAAAGATCTGCCGTTGGGTTCTTAGAAAAAGTTCGTCGAAAAACCATAGCAACACCTCAGAGCCCTCTCCTTATCCGACGTGCTTTTTCCGCCATTTCCGCACCCGCGTCGCACCGCCCTAATGACCGCCCTTCATTCCGACAACCCCAGCCCCCATTCCTTGCCGGTATCAGCCGAAAAGCGCGGGCAGCCAGCCCCACAACAGCATTGGATTTTGCTGCGTTTCCGTTGGCGAGATGAACAGCGGTGGGGAGGTTTCAGTTGGACGAATGGCGATGAAGGAAGAGAGCCGGGGGCCGGGGGGGCCAGCGGTGGCGCAGCTGCTGAAAACGGCAGTGTTCCGACGGAGCGGTAGCGGGGGCCGGTGTTGCCTGTTCACAACAACATCGTTCGGTCGGGGGCTGTTTCGATGAGTCGCGCGCGTTTGAACGGGAGGGTTGGGGAAAGGCATCGTCTGTCGACCATTCCGTCTTTGTTGGTGCGAATGCTTGAGGCCGGAGTTGGTCCCTTGTCAAGGCTAGGAAAGGTTGTGGGACTGAGGTCGCAGATGGCGATTGAGAAGAGCTAAAGCCGTGTCGAGATGACCGGCGGGTCTGGTGTCGTTGCGACAGGTTGTGGGAACGAAGGACTTGAATGGAAGACCAGGTCGTCAGAGTGACGGGAGTTGTTTTGGTTCGGTCGTTTCGCGTGTTCCGTTTGTTTGTTTGTCGAGTCGTTTCGATCACTTCAGACAAGGAGGAGCAGCGCGGCGCCTGCGGCGGTCACCAGACCCCGTAGCCACAGGTCGCGGAGACATGCGCCGTCGACGGTGCAGGAATGGACCTGGTAAAGTCAGTGGACTATTCGAAGCAAGGTAGTTGACGTAGAGGTGAGGTTGATTACCTTTCGCTGCTCCTTCTGCTCAACTTCCGCCTTTTCAGCTGACCTTGGAATAATGGTTTCGGCAAGGATGATTTGGGCGTCGAGAGAATGGTCTGCGTCAAGAGTAAGGTCTGTAGAGGTGGCCTCCGGATCGGTCTTTGCACGCTCTTCAGCGGCGGCCGAGGACTCTGCTGATTCGGATACAATGGAATCGCGGCGAGGGGTGACACCCCAAGCATTCATGGTCTTGGAAGAGTCGAGTGTCTCCAGGAAGGACTGGACGCGAGTGTCCAGAGCGTCGCGGAGGCTGTCAGTAAGAGCCCAGGGCTGGGAGGATGACTGCTCGTTCTGGTGTTCCATGATGGCGGGTCGAATCTTGTTGCACAAGAAAGGGCTGAATGTCTTGGAAGTTACCCAAGTTTTGGTTGAGCTGAGGCTAAAGTAGGAGTCCGGTTGGCGCAATGTTCCACGGTGTATGACGCGATAAACAGGCGAGCAATCCGAACTTCCGTTTTGGAATGGCGTGCTTATTGGTAGGTTGCACGACACGAGCAGCTATGCAGACTGACTGCTCAGCAGGCAAGGTGAAGCAGGATATCGGGTCTAAATAAGTGAGGCTATCGGAGCCCGGTAGGTCGTTCACGTGGGGGGTCTGGCACAAGACTCAAGGAAGGAAGTGAGTTAAGAGGATTTGTCGAGTTTGGAGTTGCGATTGTCGATGGCGAGTTTAAGAACGGGTCCGGCAAGTGGCAGGGATTGGGGGATTCGGGTCCAGCGGGATGATCGGGGCCTTTTAAGACGTCATGGTTAGCTTGGTGTTGGCGGCAACACGGGACGGAGCGGTGGTAGGCTACCTTCGGAGCGTTTGCAGATCAGGCGGATAAAAATTCACCAGGCGGTTGGCAGGATCAATATGACTCCCTAGTGCGTACAATGGAGAAACCAGGCTTTGTTTCTTTCACGCGGACCGGGAGGCGCGAGTGGTTATGTAGAGCAAATAGGCTTCAGCGCCAAGCATTGAGTAATGGCGAGGTACGGTGTGGGTAATGATGCACGCGCGAAGCTAGCACGGCACTCGATGCGAGGATAGACTTCCCAGTGGAGATTGACTCTCGGGTTGTTGTGATCAAGATGTGGGATCACGCAATTGGTGATAGGAATCGGCCAATGCGCTTTCAGCTGGGCACTTGGGCCGGGTCGTATTGGATGCAGCGCCAGGAACGAAGCTCCGCGCCGCCAAAGCCGCAGGGTCCACAGATGGGTAGAAAGATAAAAGAACGCTAGCGTAGAACACGAGCTCGAAGAGGGTCTAGGTAGCATGGTGGCTTTTGGATTTTAAGAGCGGACTGGAGCTTGAGCCGACTCTTGCTCGTGTTACCGCCTTCGGGTGGTGCTGCCGCAGCTGAAGCAACCCCTGCGTCGGCGCGCTGCTGGCACTCTGCTAAGCTCGCTTGGCAAGTTTGATGGTGAGAATGGCTCCGCGGTGTCCGCGGGCGCTCTGCGCATGCATTCCAGCCCTCCCGTGGCTGGCTCGAGACCGCTGCGCCCATCTGACGGCGCCGTGAGAAGCACCGGCGCAGTGCGGAATGACCGATCGTCGTCCAGTCATGGAGGTTTCCGCCGTGTCTGCTGATGTCCGGCGTCCTCCACGGCGCATGCCAACCGCACAGGCAGGGAAAGGGCAGGGGACCAGCCTCACCGGACTGCGGGGTTGAAATCGGTAGTTCGAAGCGGCTTTGGTCTTCCAACACACCCCTGTCACCCGTTGGCTCTGCTCATGCTATCAATAGCCTCCTAATAAGTCTACCGCGTTCGGTAGTCGACGATAGTGTCTCGTGTGTTTTTTTAATTGGGCCTCGTATAGCAGAACACGCCGAATCAGCTCCTCTCCCCCCGAGCCTAGAGGAAGACGCCCTCTTGCTCGTCCTGCGCCTCACTCTCTGCATGAGTCGCACTGTTCGCCGAGGCAGCCCCAGCAGCCTCGGTGGGCTCTGTCGCACCTTGGTTTTGCGCACTGCCCTCGCTCCTCTGCTCGCCATTATGCTGTGCTCCACCGTTGACTTGCTCCTTGGTCGCATCATCTGCCTTGGCGTCCTCGACCCAAGGCATTCCGCGATTCACCTCGACCTCCAGCTTCAGCAGCTCGATGCGATCCTCCATGCGCGCCATGACCTCTTCGTTCTCCTTGATCGCCTCGGCGCAGTCGCGGTCGCCCTCGTCCGCAAAGGGCTGCAGCTGCACGTTCGAGCGCCGCAGATGGTAGATCGAATTGCGCAGCTCAGCAGCTTTGGCGTGCAGCGACGGCAGTGTCAGTTCCTTGATGGCTTCGGCGAACGCGGCCGGCGTGATGGGCAATGAGTCGGCGGACATGGTGTGTGGGTCGGGGGCGAGCCGTTAGTGCTTTCAGGTTGTTTGGCGTGAAGTCGGCGTCTGTGATTTTTTTGATGACGCGCAGCGGGGAGCTTGGAGGCGGGCGGCGGGCGGCGATGCTTTCTACCCGCGCGTGTGCGTCACTTCCGCGCCTTGCTACTATACGCGCCTCCCCCCACGTCCACAGCAATGAGCAATGCGTGGATCGTAGCTTGTAGGCCATTCTCTGGGCTACGCTCGTCCTCGCTCGCCCTCCCAACCTGGTCAATTGCCTCCGCCGTTGCCGCGGCTCGTCCTGTATCACCGAGAACACTTTCTTCACACATTTCGCGCCTCGGCACAGCACAACTCAAATGCTACAGCTTACGCCCGCCACTCCTTCGCCTGCTTGACCATCGCCAGTTTACCACGTCCACAACTGCCTTCGCCCGTAGGTCATCTGTGTCGAAGAAATCCGCGTCTACACCCCCGTCGGAAGCCCGCAAAGAGACATCCCAAGATGCTGAGGGAAAGGAGGACACGCCGCTCCCTGGAGGAGATTTGCCTCAAGACAAGATAACCAAGATATTTGGGCCTGGAACCTCGGTGGAGAAGGGCAACAAATTCCTTCGTGCTCTGCAACACCGTCGCGTTACTGGTAGTCTGGCTGAAAAAGGTGTCAATTTCGAGGGACCAACTGCTTTCCCCAAAGAACGCGCCCTGAATGCACTCGAGTATCTACGCAGCACACATCCCGTCGACGAAGAAGCGGCGGCAGCAGAATGGGCTCAGAAGGAGGCTCAGCGCCTGGAAGGCGAGCTGATTCAACGAGCCCAGGATCTGAAACTATACAAGAAAGCGGAACCGGAGCAAACGCTTGGTAGTGTCTATGGGCACAGCGAACTGGAAGCCCTGAGAAGAAGGAATGAGGAAGCTTACGAACGGCAAAAGGAAGAGGAAGAGCGACGCAAAGAAGCTCAAGAAAAGAAAGCAAATTCCGGGAAGAGCGGTACTTTAGGTCCGGTCAAGGCCAAGACAGGGCTACGTAAGTGAAGCTCGTGGACACTGCCAATGATATCGTGACTAATAAATGGCACGCAGGCAAGAAGGAAAAGTCTGAATGGGTTAAGTACTATGAAGAGCAGGCCATGATTCGGAAAGAAAAGCAAGCTCCTAAGATGAGCGCTGTAAGCTTCCGGCACCTCCAACCACTTAGATTCAGATCCTGATCATGCTATTGACCCAGGCCGCACGCATCCTCCCTTCGGCTCTCGTCGCCGCCCTCGTCCTCGCCGGCGCCTACATCCTTACGGAGAAGTACACGCCCCTAGCCGCCTCCGCACGCCTCTGGCCCGACACGCCTCCAGCCCTCGCCACCTGCTTCGCGCTGCTCAACATCAATCTCTTCATCTTCCTCGCGTGGCGCTACCCGCCGTTCTGGCGGACGATGAACAAGTACCTGCTGCAGACGCCGGGCTACCCGACAGCAGCATCAGTGCTGGGCAACGTCTTCTCGCACCAGGACCCGAAGCACCTGTTCATGAACATGCTGATCCTCATGGGCGCCGGCCCGCAGCTGCACGAGCTGATCGGCCGCGCCAACTTCCTCGCCGTCTACCTGGCCGGCGGCGTGCTCGGCTCCCTCGCCTCGCTCGTCGTCAGCGTCGCCGCCCGCAACTTCGCCGTCTCCACCCTCGGCGCGTCCGGCGCCCTCGCCGCCACCATCGGCGCCCTCCTGCTGCTCAAGGACTCCGACTCCTTCACCCTGCCCTTCTTCCCCGACTACAAGATCCCCGTCTCGTCGAACGCCCTGCTCGGCGCTTGTCTCGCTTACGAGATCTGGGGCCTCACCCGCCGCGGCCAGACGGGCATGGACCACGTTGCCCACTTGGGCGGCTACGCCACTGGTATTGCTGCGGCTGGCGCGTTGAAGTGGCAAGTTGGTGAGAGGAGGAGGCGGGAACAGGAGAAGAAGAAGGAAATGGGTTTCCTACAGAAGACGTTTGTCGTCAGGAAGGATGAGTGAGCAGACGGATGAACAAAAGAAAACAGCTGCCATGAATGATGGCCCATCATTAGTAAGGGCAAATTACGGAAAGCATACGCTTTGTGGGGATGTCTTAGCGGCCGTGTAAGGCCGTAAAAGTTATTGCAGGTGATTGTTTTTGGAGCGGTGCAAAAAGGTTGTAGACACTCCACTTCTGGTGGCATCGTCGATTCGGTATAGCTTTGCTGCCTATGCTTATGCGGAGGCGGTATGGAATCAGCCTGCATGGAATATATCTTCTCTCAGTTCATCACGTTCTCAAAAAATACTGTTGATCCAGTGATCTGTTGATTTGATAGTTTCTACTGCCTCAACCACTCGCTCTTCATCAATACGACAAGCGCGAGTGGAGAATGAACAAGAAAACAAAGAGAATAATAAAAAAAGCAAGACGACAGGGGTATGTGGGTTAAACCTTGAACCATTCGAGAAAACACGGCTTTTGTGTTGCATCAGAAGAGAAATAGAAAGGATCGTCTTTTTTCAAGCGTGTAGAAGCCGGATCTCACCCCTTATTTTGGAAGGGAACAAAAGAAACATGTCCTATTCCATCCGCTCTTCCGTCTGATGGGAGGATGGAAGAGGTTACCCAAAAAATCCCCGCGCGCGAACAAACCCCGACCGTCTCCCAACTCCATGCAATGGTCACAAATGAAAAAAAGCGAAAAAGAAAATATGGATTGCAGTGCCAACAATGCACGGCTGAAGCGGTCGTTTGTTCGATAAATCTTGATACTGGCTTATTCGAACGCGCTCAGGTCAAGCGGTACACTGCTACCGCGGCCAGCTCTGTACTTCTTCGGTCCACCAGTAAATTCACGCGGCTTGGGCAGTTGATCGTCACCCTGGAACTTCCAGCGGCCATCGTTGATACGAAGCATGCCAGGGCTGGCGGGTGCCGAGCTCTTCGCCGAGCCACCGTTTGACAGCGTGAACGCGCTGGGATCCATTGTCGCAGCGCGGGGCGGCGGTGCCGATGAAGGGGGTGGAGGAGGAGGCACAGCCATGGTTGGTGCCTTGACTGGGTGTGTGCCGGGCGGTGGAGGTGGGGCGGACGGAGCGGACGGAGGTGGCGGCGGAGCGGCTATGGAGGGTGCTCTCGGTGGTGAAGCGGGTGGCGGCGGTGGAGGAGCGGCGGGAGACGAGCGGCCAAACGCATTGCGGGCAGCTTGTTCAGCCAAAGAAGGCGTGTGGCCATTGGTTGGTGGTGGGGGTGGACCGGGCGGAGGCGGTGGTGTAGCGCGGGAAGGCGGTCGCGGAGCGGAGGCTGGAGGTGGAGGTGGTGCGGACGGAGGCGCGGGTGCCGACGAGGCAGGAGGTGGTGGTGCGGGAGTCGAAGGCTTCCGTGATGCTGGTGGAGGAACAGGTGGCTTCTTGCCTACAGGCGGCGGTGGCTTTGGTTTTCCGCCAAGTGCGCCGTGTGACGACGAAGGCCGCAGAGAGTTCTTGAGCGCTGCTACGTTCGGCGGAGGCGGCGGTGGAGCACCTCCAGGAGGTCTGGGGGCTGATGGAGGAGGTGGTGCTGCGCCAGTGGGAGGTCTTGGTGCTGTCCGCGAACGCGTCGTCTCCGGATCTGACAGATATGGCGAATCGGCCTTGTCTGCTCCTGTGTCTACCCCGCTCTTTCCGGTCTTCCGTAGCTTGGGCATGCCCACTCCAGCAAAGAGTCCTCCTAGCTGCGGCGCAGCGCCGGCTGCCGCTCCTCCTGAACTATCCCCAGTCTCACTATTGCTCCTTACTCGGTTGCCGCCTGGAACGGGCGGTGCAAGTCCACCGGGGGGCTTCGGTGCGCCGCCGGGAACAGGCGGTGCGCCCATTGGGGGGCCGGCGGGGCCATCGAGAACTTTGCCAACCTGCGGCGCGGAGCGGTCGTTGACTTGGGTAACTTTCTTGAGCTTTGCGCCTGACCGGATATCACCAAGCAGTGCTCCCTGTTTTCGTCATTAGTAGCAGCTCTCATGCTGAGGATTTCATAGTGCACAAAAGCACTCACTCTGCTCTGACCACCGCCTGCGGGCTTCTTCGCCAATCCGCCTGGCGGAGGCGGCGGTGGAGGAGGGGGACCACCAGCAGCGCCTGGCGGCGGCGGAGGGGGAGGTGGTGGAGGCGGCGCGGGCATGGCGGAGCTGTCGTGTGCGCGGTCAAACTGGGCGTGTCAAGATCCCCAGGAGATGTTAACACAGCGAGGTTGTTGGAATGTTGGCGCCTCAGAGTGCGTTTGAATGAGGGCGAGGGATGATGCAGAGGAGTGAGCAACTTGGCGCGAGCGAATGATGTCGGTCGGGTCGGGCTTGGGCTGCTAAGCTGTGGCTCGCGCTGAGCGCACAGCCACCGCGCGTTGCGAATCGTCATGCTCGCGGCGGCAAACCTTTGGCCGCCGCCGCTTTAATCCCGCAACATCCGCCATGAACAACTCCTCGCGTCTTCTCCGCGCACGTCCTGCGCCGGCATCGCCATGTCAGTTATGTCAGCACACTCTCCGGCAACCTAAGTGGCAGCAACGGCGTCCATTGAGCTCCGCACTCGCCTCCCGGTCCCTTCCTCGAAATCAGCTTCCGCAGCGAACTCCTCGCAAGGCTCCAACCTCACACGCACGCGCGTCTCCCTCAATTACGAGCCACTTCCTTGTCCGTGCAGTCAGCACTACCAATGCGGCCACATCGGTGCCTACTGCGGCGGATGTCGAGAAGGCGCATGAGGCAATCTTAGCTATCCTCAACAGGGAATCTGTGCCTTCAGAAGATACCCTTTTAGAGGTCCTCGGCGTTGCGGAGAGAGCAGCCAGGTACTTGGCTGCTCAGGATGGCCAACAACAGCGACCAGTTGGTTCTGGGAAACCATCAACAGCAAACTCGGTATTGCTGGATCTGGAGCCGCATTCGGCTGATAGCTCCGATCCAGTTGAGACGCTGTCGACATTGCTGTACAAGCTGATGAAATATCCACCTGTTTTCATTTCTCCTAAGGTCTTGGATGGCTATATCACGACCCAGTCCCTTCTCGAGCAGCCTGAAAGCTTCCCGGAAGTTCTGCACTTGTATGCAAATAAGCCCGTCGCAACGTCGAATACGACGCCCGTCAAATACAACAAGCCGAGCCCGAACAGCGCCGCAGCTGCCGTGCCGTCCGATGTCGCAAACCGCGCACTTGACGCTGCAATCAAAATCAAGGACTTGCACCTGGCGCTGTCCATTGTTGAGCTTACCTTTCGGCAGCCTGCTTACCGTCGTGCACTCATAATCCGGAAGATTATGCCACCACTCATGGGTCTTGCTCTTGCCCCCGGAGCTGCTTACGTCTTGGCTTCCAAATTTGCGCACTACCAGCAGGTAGTAAACCCGCAGTCGGCTACGCAAATGGCCATGGTTGGCATAATGACATATGTGGGGGCGGTGTCTACGATTGGTGTCGTGGCTGTCACTACGGCAAACGACCAAATGGACAGAATTTCTTGGGCAATGGGGATGGCGTTGTCAGAGAGATATCTGAGAGAGGAGGAGCGAGCGGCTGTGGATAGAGTCGCGCAAGCGTGGGGCTTCAAGGATCCCAACAGGAAGGGCGAAGAGGAAGGTGAGGAGTGGGAAGAGTTGAGGGAATGGGCAGGCTTGAGAGGAATGGTGCTGGACAAGGTGGAGCTCATGGAGGGCATGCAGTAGCCTGAAAAGTCAGTGAGCTGGTAAAACGGACAAGATGAGCATCTGTCCCTTGCAAAATACTATATTCCTTGTGGCTTTCTGCGGATGACCAGCTGAATTTGCGACCAATTGGCCAGTAGTATTAAACATGGACCAACTACTGTTGAACAAGTTGCGCGGCGAATAACGGCAGCAGAACTCGGGGTGCATGAACGATTGTGCCTGGCCGAGACGTCACCGCCCGGAGACGCGCCAAGCGCATGGGCGGGCTTCCGCCGCTTGTGAGGCGCGCGCGTTCACCAGCTCCGGCTTCACTTGCAACAGCACCTTGCGCACCACAACCGCAACCCCCGCCCCGCATCGCGCCCTCCTCGATCTGCCCCCGGCTCGATTATGAGGAAGCGCTCCGAAGCGCATCGCCAACATGCACATTGTCAAGCCCGTCTGGTTGACGCATCCCGGTAAGCTCCTCCGCGCAGCTGCTGGCTTTCCCGCGCGCTGTCGCGTTTCCGAGCCACGACTAATTCGCGCGCCCTCACAGGTGAGCTGAAGGATTTTGAGGTCTACAGCTGCCATGTCTCGCCCGATGGCAGCAGACTCGCTACCGCTGCCGGAGGTATGTCGACCTTTCGCACTCGAATTCGCAGCCTTCGGGCAGCTCCTACCTTCACGCCCGGAGTACTGAACATCTTGCACAGACGGTCACGTCCGGATTTGGTCAACGGAGGCTATTATGAATTCTGCGAACCCAGACTTCAAGAAGCCCAGGCAGCTCGCTGCCGTCAGCAACCACTCAGGCACCATCCACACCGTGCGCTTCTCCAGCAACGGCAAATACCTTGCCTCGGGCGCAGACGACAGGGTGGTATGCGTCTATATTCTGGACCCAAATCCGGTTTCGCATTCCACTTTCGGTACGGAATATCATACACTGGAATTGGCCAGCTTGACTGAGATATATCATAGGAAGCAACGAGGAGCCGCCTGTTGAGAACTGGCGCGTCCTGCGGCGTCTGATAGGCCACGACAACGACGTCCAAGATCTAGGGTGGTCGTACGACTCGTCGATATTGGTTTCAGTGGGCTTGGACTCGAAGGTTGTGGTCTGGTCAGGGCACACGTTCGAGAAGCTCAAGACAATCAACAGCCACCAGAGTCACATTAAAGGCATCACATTCGACCCAGCGAACAAGTATTTCGCAACCGCCAGTGATGACCGTACCATCAAGCTCTTTCGTTTCACGCCGCCCGCCCCGAACGCGACTTCTCAGGACTCCGTGGGTAACTTTGTGCTCGAGACCACCATTGTCGCTCCGTTTGTCACTTCTCCGCTTACAACATACTTCCGGCGGTGCTCATGGTCTCCGGATGGAAACCATATAGCTGCGGCGAACGCCACCAATGGACCGGTGAGCTCTGTGGCTATCATCAACAGAGGATCTTGGGAGAGCGACATCAACCTGATCGGTCACGAAGGTCCTGTTGAAGTTTGCGCGTTCTCGCCAAGAATGTTCTACAGGGAGCCTCTTACCGACGCCCATAAAGACGCCAATGGGAATACTAACCTCCCTTCAGTCACTGTCATCGCTTGCGCTGGACAGGACAAGACGCTGAGTATATGGAACACTAGCTTCGCGCGACCCTTTGTCATCACTCAGGAGCTCTCAAGCAAATCTATCTCTGACCTTGCGTGGTCGCCGGACGGAGAGAAGCTATTCCTTACCAGCCTTGATGGGAGCATCATGGGTGCTGTCTTCGAGCCAGGAGAATTGGGTTATGTTGCGCCCCTTTCCGAGAGTGATAAAGCTTTGCAGAAATTTGGTGCTGGTCGAAGACTCGGCATGGTCGAAGGCACAGATGCGCTTCTCCTGGAGGAAGGAAGCAAAGCAGGAGAATTGAAGGGCGTACAAGGCCGTATGGGTGAATTGATGGGCGATGGAGCTCCGGCGACCGCAACTACTAACGGTGTCACGACTCCGGCTCAAACGAATGGTTCTGCTGCCTCTCAGCCAAACGCTCAGTCTACACCCACAAACGGACAGAGCTCCGCTGCTCCGGCACCGGCAGCTCCCGCGTCATCTGGAGATCCTAGAGTCGACAAACTCAAACAGCGTGTAACCGTTACCAAAGACGGCAAGAAGAGAATCGCTCCTCTTCTCGTATCTGCATCTTCTGGTTTGGCGGAATCTTCCTTGCCACAGACACAACTCGTTTCCGCACAACAGACCAGAAGTGGCCCAGGCGCTCGAAACGACAGCCCTCACAATATTCTAGATCTATCAAAGCCCTATGATGGATTCCCGAGGGGAGGATTGGCTGGTCTTCTGCTTGGAAACAAGCGGAAATTTGCCGAAATCGAGGGAGATTCGGAGCATAAGACCGAGAAGAGATTTGCGAAAGCCACCGCAAACGGCGCTGCTCCCATACTGGTCAACACTGCAGATGGATTGATGCCGCCAAAAACCTCCGAAAGACCATCCGAAATAGAGGTCCCTGAGCCTCTACGACCAGCAATTGTGAACCCCAGCCTATCTGTGAGTCAGTTGAGGCTCGCGGTGCCAATGATCCGCACTGTCATTGTTCGGACAGTGGATGGCAGTGAACCGCCGCAGGCTGGCGATGTCTCTAAGGAGGACCTCCTAATCCTAGAAGCGAAAAACGCAACGACACCATCAAGAACAGGAAGACCACAAGATCGAGATCCTACGCGTATCACATGCACGAAAAAGGGACAGACCCTGTGGCAAGACTTCCTCCCAAAGCCGGTCATGCTTGTGACTGGAAACCCGAACTTCTGGGCTGCAGCATCCGAGGATGGAACGGTACATGTCTGGACACCTGCCGGGCGTCGGTTGCTCAATCCGTTGACGCTCGAAGCTCAGCCGGTCATCATGGACTGCAGAGGATGGTGGCTACTCTGTATCACTGCTGTAGGCACTTGCTACGTCTGGAACATCCAGACTCTCTCTGCTCCTCATCCTCCGATCTCAGTCGCCCCTATACTCGATGTGGCGATACATTCACAAGGCCCCCACCTCGGCAACACTCCCGGAATCGTGTTTGCGCGCCTGAACTCCCAGGGTCGTGTCATCGTGGCTCTCTCCAACGGTGACGGATACACATACTCCCCAATGCTCTACGTCTGGCAGCGGCTCACGGAACCTTGGTGGGCCGTGGGTTCGCAGTACTGGAACACGACGGACTCTTCCGTCAGCAATCTCACCTCTACCATATCATCGACCAAGAGCGAGAAGGCCAAGGAGAAAGATGTCGACGAGGTTGCACCCGAGAACATATCGGCGGGCATCATTCCACAGCTCGAGCGCAACACGTCGAACAACGTGCTCATTCGCGGCCGTGCTTTCTACCTGCAACGCCTCATCAAGGCGTTGCTATCCGCAGAAGGCTTCGAAAACTTGGAGTCGAGTATCAGCGTTGCACATCTGGAGAACAGAGTGGCGGCGGCGATGACACTAGGCGCTCGGGAAGAGTACAAGATCTATCTGCTCATGTACGCAAAGCGACTGGGTGCAGAGGGATTGAAGGGCAAGATCGAGGAGTTGCTGCGGAGTCTCATGGGCAACATCTTCGAGGACGAGGACGAGAAGAACGGCGAAAGCGGTGGCGCCGAAGCGAACAGGTCGTCGTCACAAGCTCCGAAGGACGAGCTCGTAGGCTGGAAGCGGGAAGATCTGCTGAAAGAGGTCGTGGTGGTTCTCGGTAAGTTTTCCCCATCCCTTTGCCAGTACTACGAGTATAAACTAACCATGTCTTCAAATAGGCAAACACCGTGACCTTCAGCGTATCACAGTCCCTTACGCCCGTATCCTGGGTGTTGTCGATCAGCAACGCCCTGGGAACAATGAGGATGGCGATATGGACACGGAGCTGTGAGCGGAAACGCTTTGGCTTCGTTGCTGTATCGCGATTCCTCAGCTAACTCGTTCTCTTAGGGACTCCCTTCTTCTCTTTTCCAAAAGGCGTGTACATTAGGCTAGTGAAAGCGTGGGGTGGCGGTGCTTACGTGGCAAGGGCGTTCATATAACTGCTTGCTGGGTTGCATTTGTGTGCGAGGGAATGCGTCTTGTCCTAGCTTAGCTCCTATTCTTTTTTTCGTGCTTTTCTCTTCTTTTTCTTACTCCGCCTCTCTGAGCTTGCTATAGGTGCTTAGGGAGGGTGCGGGTATGGACGGAGGATTGCTGAGCGAGGTAACTGGGATCTAGCGCTGCTTCTTCGATTGTTTTCCTTTTTCTTTCCTCGGGCATTACGCAAAAGGTAGTCCTGGAGATGGTGTGGTGGGGAAAAGAGTGATGAAATACAGTGCATAGGATGATGTGCCAAGAGATCAGTACTCTGATTCTATTTTCTCTCGCTGTGAACTTCTGTGGTGATGCTCCTTGTGGCGATATGTATGTACGAAGAACTACGCAAATGCTTAATATGGATAGAAACGATCGAGTGGTTAAATGGTGTGTCGCAGCCGAAGGCCAACAGATACCAGTCCGTATCCGCATCACAGAGGGAGCCAAATGATTTCTAAAGCATTCAAGTTTATGATAAAGGAAATTAAAGCAAGCTCTTCCATATTACCATAGTACGTAGCAACAGTGGCCTCGTATTCTAAGGCCCTTCTATTATTCGCACAGATAAAATCCAGAAATGTATGTAATAATACCTATTAACTTAGAATAATTCCCGTAAATTTATAAACTGATATTCTATAATGATGACAACAATAAAGTTTTCTTCCATTATTTGCACGGAATTCGAAAGTCATGCCGATCCATCGTTTTCACGCCGAAGGAAGTTGAGCAATTCGCCAATGATTGTTCCCGGGGGTCCACTACTCGGCTCAGAATGATCTTGTATGTAAATGAGCTCCTGATTCAACCAGTGGCGGAGAAGGCGTTTTTCGAAATCGTCCGGCGCGTGCTCCATGATTTCATATTCTGCAACCGGCGTACCAGGCCGCAGTATCCAGACCCACCTGTTCGTAGGGCGCCTGACGGGGTCCCCGTTCTCTAAGATTTTGCATCTTGGGACAGTCTGGTGTTCTAAAAGCATGCGCACAGTGTAATGCAAGCTTTCATTGGAGTTGCGGCTCGGGATCGTCCTTTGGAAGCCGTTAGAGGACCAAAAGTGACAACACGGTATCCGGTTTTCGGACCCCAGGATGCGGAAAAGTCCTCTCTTGGAATCTTTTAGCTTGTTGTTGACTTCGGAATTGTCAGTAGAGGTCCAAAGAACTAGTGCTTTGAGTTGGTCTTATTCTCACAGTCATCTCCGTGGCCTCGCATGTTTTTATGGGCGATTCTCCAAGTTGGCCTTTTTCCATGTTCCGAGGGTGGGTGGTATTCGTTCCATATGGGGGCGAAGTCGAATTTCAGGTAAGCTTTCAACTTCGAGATCATCCATATCAGCGCGAGTTGTGCAAGGCTGTCGTTCTTTTGGCCACCGCCGATGTCTCTGTGGTAGCCTAAAAACCAGCATTGTTGTAGATCCGGGATATTCTGAGAGCCTCCAACCCCTGCAGGGGTTGTACCATCATTGCGCTCGGGGACTTTCCACACTATAGGACGAAAGGTTGACCGCCTCTCGTGTAGAGAAAGAGCCTGAAAAGCGTGGTTGATGTTGCAAGAAAGGTCAGAATTGACGAAGCTTAGCCGACTTTTCTGGAGGCCAATCGTGCTGACCGTATCCCAGACTGCACACGCCTGAATACGAACAGCCTCGGGACTACGATAGGAGCCCGGTTGATGAAGCTGGTTCACCAGCCGATCGCTAGGTTTTTCGTTGCTCCATGAGCGAAAGATGCCCGGCAAGCGGTAAAGATGGGTCTTGGTGAGGAGCCCAATCTGTTCGATCAATTTTACTATGCATCTCACTGTGAAAGCACCCCTCGAGAAACCAATGAGGTATATTTCGTCGTCGGAGCTCCCATAATTCTGGCAAATGAAAGTATAGGCCTCCTGAATATTCTCATCGATGCCTAGAAAGCTGTTAGAGTACCAGTGGTAAGAATGGCGAGAGAAGAATAGTCCAACAAACCCGCTCCAGTAGCCTGATCCACAGGCTTCAAAGGATTGTTTGGATCAGTCCCAACTCCCGGTTGGTAAAGAACGATCTGAGGGATTCCGTAATCATCTGAGCCGCTGATGCATCGCGAAATTCTTGATACGTTGGTCAAATTCGTTTCAAGTGATTCTCTGCACGCTGTACCGTCACAGCAGATGATAAGCTTTTTCTTCGTCCTGCGGACATTTTGGTCTTCGTCCATATCAAGGAGATCGGTCTATGAAAAAGAGAATGACTGAGATGCATACATAGACGTAAGATAAATTGTCTGACAGTGTCCTGAAGGATAGAGCCACTTTTCCAGAGGCTTTCATTCTAGAGCACGTGGACTTATTATGCTTACAGAATGCGTATGATGGCCACGATAGCCATTTCTGAGACCAAAATAATTCTGCAACTTTGACAGAGCATGTGGCTTCTACATCTGCAAAAGCAGCTGCAAAGTACGGGTATGTACACCCTTATGTTGCACTTGGTGGCTGGCGCGAAGATCGTAAGTTCCGTGGTGCAAGGAGTTCCCGCGGCTTTGTATTGCAGCATTCAGCAAATTTTCAAGGCCCTGATGATTTCAAGCTAGCCACCAGTCGCACGAAGATGATGTATAGTACTGCCACATACACCCGAGAGCTAACATTCGTTTTCTTTGTCTTAGACCCTCCCAAGCATAGCTGAACTCAGCTGATGTTGCCAGACATAAGTTCGGATGGGCTTACTGAGAGGCTTTCCAACTGAGCGCTACTATAAATTTGTTTTTTCTCTGTGTTCCGACCCTTGGTTTTATTACCAATATTGCCAAAAAAGAAATCACCATTTGTATGGTCTCTGATAGCTGTATCAGCAGCCTCCTGTGCTTACCATCCAACACAGAGATTTGATTCATTTCCACACAAGAGCTCTGCGTCGGCAACGCTTCGAATCATGGGATTAATAGCACAAAACCAGATAAAGCCCTCGAATCTCTCAACCATCGCGCAATAGCCACCACGAGCATTGATAAAGCGTTCCTGATCTCTTGTATAAAAAAATCGATTCTATAGGAAATTGACTGTGACTACTTATAAAAGTATCCCATTAGTAACCCCGCATGCTTAACCAAAGATACCAGTGCATCATGCCTCCGTAAAGTTCAGTGCTTTTGTGTAAACGACAACGTAATAACAAATGCATGTATATTAGTTGGGGGCATTGTAACAACTGCTTATTATCATTAATACCTATATAACTACCTTTTTTCTTCTTTTTTCCAGCAGCGTCTCGGAAGAACAAGTAAGGGAGAAGAAGTAATATGTCTATCTTACACAAAAGAAAACTGAAACAAAACAGTCACGCCTTAAACATAACAAAAAAGCAAAAAAGGGCGGATGAGTCAGAAGCCTCAATGCCTTGCTGTGCCTCATTGTGGTTCGATCGAGTAGCACATATGGCGCACCCGCCTGACCCGCTTATTCCCGGGATGAGGCTCTGCTTGGAAATAGAATACTTTTAACTTTCTAACGGCCGTAGTCAAAGCACTCGGTCTAAGTAGTATTGCGTTTGAATTTCTGCAAGGGAAAGTCCAAGCCCAGTGGTAGTGTCACTTGTCAAGCGAACAATAGCGGATATGACAGCCAAGTACTGTCGGTCTTCGTCCGGCCCCCGTGCAGTGGTTTTCTTTTTCTCGTTACCCAATGCATTCCGACCCACAGCCCGCTTAGAACATGAACGAAAACACTTGACCCTACATCAGCGTCGAATACAAGACAGGTCTAACTCGGATGACGCAAACGGATTATGGATGCAAGGTCGCGACTTCGGACAGGGCTGAGACCACTCACCTGCCTGGTGCCGAAAGTCCTTTCCGTGGATCGTTATAGCGTACACAGCCGAAACGCGCAGCGAGGTCTCAAGTGACATCGGCCTAAGGCGACCAAGTTTCGCCCCCGCATTGTCCCTCAAAAAAGAGTCGCTCCCCCCCGGACCTATCACAGCCACCATCAACGAGTGCAAAGACCTTTCGGCAGGTATGGAGGGCCCTATGATCATGAAGACCATCCCGCTGTCAAAGCGCTGGAGATCACTCTGGCGCCGTACGAAACGCAAGCCTCAACTAAAAGCTTCAGTCCAAGCGGGGTTTACGGGTATCGAAGAAACGCACAGGCCAGCTGAAGAAGCCCTTTTCGAGTACGTTAAGGCACTACCTTCTGCTTAAAATTTTCTCTCGTCTTTGACGCTGGACCCTGGGATCCTGCTGTTGAATAGACTAGCTGATGGTATCACTTTGCATTAGTATTGTCTGCGTCCACGGCCTTGAAGGTAACCAAACAAGAACATGGACAACCAATGCTGACAAGCTGTGGCCTGGGTGGTCGCTAGGAAAGCAGCTTCCAAAGTGCCGTATGCTTGAATATGGCTACAGCATCAGACATGAGACCTTACTGGATACTTCCCTGGACCGGACAATTGATGAGCTCGCCTCCAAATTATTGGAAAACGTGGCGAGAGACCGGAAAAAGAGTACGCCGGATTGGAAACCCGTAAGTGCCATTCCGCGTATTCAAAGGGCTGAAAATCTAATTACCAAAAAGAGTCGACCGATAGTCCTTGTGGGCCATGGTCTCGGTGGCCTCATTTGCCAACACGTAAGTTCACGAGTATGATACGGTCGTAAGGAATAACAAATAACAGAAATTAGGCTACCACATTAATCAACGGACCAGAGAATCTGAAAAAAACGGCTCAACTGGTTCATGGAGTCGTGCTCTTGGCTACACCGCATTCTCGCGCCGGCTTGACACAATGGGCGGCAATAGCGGCCAGATCCATGGACCTTACTAATAAGGAGGCCGCAAACATGAGGGCCATGTTTGAGAAAGGCGTGGATCATATCGTGGAACGGCAGCGTTTGTTTCGTGAAATGGTTGAAGCGGCGGATCTCGCTTCGACGACATCGGAAAGGGGTCGAATCAAAGTTGTCAGCTGTTTTGAATCAAGAGACCCTGGGAAGCAGGTAAAAGCGGTAGCGGATGACAAGGTTAGCCCAACTTCTTTCACAAATAATAAAGAAACGAGCTGACCTTTCCGCAGCGAATTTCACCAGAATTTGCGATCACACCATACTCGAAACCCATTCAAGCTCACGGGATTAGTGATGAACGTCAAGGTTTAGCGAATTTTGAAGCAGAAGATGGAAGATCTGGCTTCGACGTGCTCGCAAAAGAGCTGTCCGTGTGGTCACAGCAAATGCAGAGCAGCACTAACAAGCTGCCCAAGAAGCTCTATGGGGAACGTATCAAAACCCATAGCGAAATCGTCCGCGCACCAAGATAAGCACTGATCCTTAACACATATGCTGCTCCTACAGAACACGTTGGAACTTGTCTGGCGCTGCTCCAATTTGGATTTGTTGAAGAGTGCAAACGAATGGATTGAGCGCTACTGTTCTTGAGTGAGCAGCAAAACTACTTGTAAATACACCAATAGAACTTATGGCGTCAGTTGATACTCTTCTTCTATTCTTCCCAACACTGATTCCCTATGACCAACTTCAACCCATTCATAAACCAGAGTTCTCAGACGCACGCTTAACTCGTCCCTTTTTCTTCAGGGCAGGAGTCAATGTCGGTATTGGTAGGCGAACAAAAGGATCTAAAGCCTTGACAAGATAGTGGCTATGACGCTTACGGGGCAGACAAGCGCTTCGCCGCATACCCGTTCAAGATTCGGGCCGCCGAGTGTTCAAGGACTAGAGGGTGGCGACATCGTTTCGCAGTCTTGGCGGTGGGTTGGAAAGCAGTGGAGAACGCCACGGCGGCATTCGTTCCGCGTTAAGGCCGGATACTGCCTCTTCCTATCTTCAATGAAGACAAAATCCGGCTGGCTACCGGTGATCGATGAGAAGGGTGGTTGTGGAGTGGATATGGCGTACAAGAAAGAGACGCCGTGGGTGGAGGATTGCCTGCTAAATGTATCAATTTGATCCATGAAAATGTCCGTCGACTCATTTTCCCCGTCAAAGGAAAACACTCGAGAAGAGTAGCCATCCCACTGGATCTTGTATCTCCCAAACATGTGTGAGGAAAATCCACCCCCGATTTCCTCTATTCCTGACACGGAATTCGCCAGCCCAAACCTGCCAAAGAAGGTCAGAACGAGATATCATAGAAGCTGACGTGATCACTGCCTGCAAGACAGCCGTCATACTAATGCGTCAAATTACCTAGACAGTTAGCCTGCCGAATCCATACTGTACATGAGAGAGACAAAAAACGATCAAACGCCTGCTTGAATAGTATGTGCCAGAAACGCCGTTCTCAATGCCACGCTCAGCATGCTTTGCTCCAAAAAGTCTGAAACGCCTGGTCCGTACGGTTAAGAGTCGTTGGTAACATGGTTTTTTTTTTTCTCGATGTAGTGAGGAGGTTTCGCTTTTCTGCGTCGACGGACAAGTACATAAGCTCAGAAGGTGTGAGCTCAGCAAGCTCAGAGTTAATACAGGGTTCGAACGGTAACCTTCGAGCAGCCAACGGCCAGGCCGGTAATGGTCCTTGGATGGAAGCGGGTGATATCCTGGACACTGGCCCAAGCCGGGAGAGATGGCAACGCGATGGATGGATCCAGGAAAAAACCATCCCAAAAGGTCGTGTGACGGATTCCTTCCGGTCCGGTCCATTGGTATGGCTGCTGGTGATCCCGCCATGGCCCAATGACTCGCATGCCGAAAGCTTGTTGGGAAAAGGCTGCAGGAGATTAAACCCTCATTCTTTTGACGGAACCTTCTCGTTGTTGATGAGGTCCTCTGCGGCAGCCGTTGGAGTCGCCCCGGCCACCGCAACATCTCCAAAAGAAGCCTTCAGGATGCTCGGGATAGTTTGATCTCATGTTCTCTTCACTATCGAGCGGGCCGAATGTTCTGTCGCACCAGTCTGTCCAAACCTCGTGGTTGAAGTCGACAGCAAGCGGACCTGGTGGCAAAGAATGATATCAGCTGATCCATCATGAAACGACTAGTTCTATGAAACAACAAGACAAGAGTACGTGAGCCAAAACGCACCATCATGCCAAACGCATTCGCTAGGGCTATCAGAGGCGGTTTCGAATTTCCTGTTACACCGGGTGCATTCGACGAACTGGACGCTTGGGCGTTTGCGGCTTGGCGCGACACCATTTGCGCCTCCAAGCATTGCCGTCATGGGAAGAACAGAAGGAAAAGAAGTAGCAGACGATGCATGGAAGATGGGTTCCTCGCTGCTGCTGCGCGAATCGACCATGAGTTCGTGGCCGACGAGCTCGCGGACGATGGCCGACTTTTCGCAGATGGCCTTGAGGGTCATTCTCAGGCGCTCATGGCTTGCGTAATCAATGGCTTCGTGCAGGGCCCTGGAAGTCATTGTTCCTTTTGGGGAGGCTTGCAGGAGATAGAAAATCCGGGGTTCGGTTCGTGTTGGTGGTGCCGTAGGGCTGGGCTGTTAGACGGGTCGTGATGGCGATCGCTGGGCCGAAGAATGCTGGGGCTGGGGTAGAAAAGGCGGTTGTGATCGCAGACAATGGGGTTGGATCGGTGCGCGCGTGATTTTGTTTTTCTGAAACCCCTGACCCCCCTGGAATGATGCAGCAAGCCGGGTCTGGCCTCACGACAGTCTGCACGTTGCTGGCGCCTTCGTTGGCAGGGATGCGCTGGATTGACGAAAGCGCAAGACGCGGGAGGCTTTGGGACAATGATACGTTTCACGTGCGGCCGTAACAAAGGCGCGCAAATCAGAGAGCCGGCTGAGGGCATTCAAGCTGAGTCCGGGCCGGGATCGCAGGGCAACACGTGTTCGGCTATCGGGCTGCTCCGATCGGACCCCCACCCCTACTCTCCTCGTCTCTTTCTACCCCTCGACATCGAATGATACTTAAATGCTCCTGCACCGGGCAGAGCTTGACGTGTCCCGAGTTGCAGCACGGCCCAGCGATGTCCCAAAGCAAAAGTACGCCTTTGAGCGCCTTGGCAGTAACGCCAATCGATGCCGGTGGCGGATTATCGCATCCTTCCTGTCTGGGCCTTGAGATACCGAAATTGTCTTCATGAAGTTGATGCAAATAGTGACTCCTCTATGAGTTGCAGTGGTCGAAGATGTCGTACGTCCGTATTGGGCCAGAGATTTGGCAAACGATGAGAGTTTAGACGAGAACACCATGAAAGGAAAGAGTGGCGGTCGTCCCTTAGTCGCACCCGTGACAAGACGGAACCACCTGAAGACTGAAACTCATCTCCACAGCTCATCCGGAGCTCCACCCACTCCATACAAGTGGTGAGACTTTGGAGCATATCTTTCCGTCTGCGAACACCGCCCGTTGACCCGGCAACGTCCGTCTCAGACCCATCTGAAGAACACCACCCGCTTATCGTCAGACTTGAACCACTCATCCTTCTCCATTCATCTCAAATCAAGTCTTATACCAGCAATGTCGTCGCCTTCATCGCAACAGACTCTCGTCGACGCTATCCACGCCGCCTCGCCGGAGCTGCTGCGCGAAATCCTGCTACGCATTGCTTTCGTCGACCGGCCGTGCCGCGAAGCCGTCGAGCAAGAGTTCCTGGTGCAGACGGTGCAGTCGTCGTTCTCGAGGCTGAGCTGGGATGGTTCAGCGCCGAGCCAGACGCGTAGCTCGTCAACCAAGCGGCGGCGGTACGAATGCTGCGCCAGGTGCGAGAGGGAATACGACGTCACCAAGAACGATGGCGAGGCGTGCCGGTGGCATCCGGGTGAGTTTCTTCGTATTTCCGTCTAGTCGTCATTTGGACTGGAACTGATGAGCGTGCTTTGCGCAGGGGACTTGGTGGTGAACTGGAACACAGGATTTTGGAAGTATCATAGGGAAGAGCGAGACGGAGCGATTGATTCGGCAGAGTCGCGCCAGAGGTTCCCGGAGAGGTTCCTGTGGAGTTGTTGCGGGATGCAGGGAGACGTCAAAGATGCAGGATGCCAGACGGGCCACCATGCAGAACAGGGGTATTCGGATAAGAGAGTGTGTCAGTCCGGCGAAGGTGATTCGATGGAGATGTAGAAAAGCAGCCATCTTGCAGTTACTGTATTGGGAAATTTGCAAACACCGAGCGGGAAGCGACGATGAGGTCATCGGCCCGAGAACGCGTGACGCGCCGACGCGAACCACTAAGGACTTTTTCTCGCGACACGTCGAACCTTCGTACGGACGTATCGCTAAATTCTTTGCAATACAGCAGGCGTCATGGCACCCCGGCATGAGCCACCGCAGCTTGAGCCGATTACGACCGCAATTCTGTCTGCGACCCATGAGCGGCTTCAGGACACCTTGATCGACTTGGTTACGAAAGACAAGCACACGCGGGAGCTCTTCGAAAAAGCGCTTTTAGTGCCCGAGGCTGCCCCCACTGCTGGCGGGAATGACTGCCTTCCTCTCCCGGAGGTGAACGTTGATGCTCCTGCTAACACCAAGCGGAAGAGATATGAGATGTGCGAGCAGTGTCACAAGGAATTCGACACGACTTAAAATTTCGAGTGACGCTTGCGTCTGGCACAGCGGTAGGTGACCCACAGCCAGCCGAGAGCCCGGAAACTGACGGCGATCGTTTTACCTTAGGTGACCTGGAGGTGGATGTCTATGGGGACTTTTGGGCCGATCATGACGAAGATTGCCATGGAGAAATTGACACCGAAGAGATGAGAAAACAATTCCCTGACGGCTTCATATGGGAGGGCTGTTGCGAGAAGAGGGGCTCCGCCAAAGGTTGCGAGGTCAGCGAGCACGTCGCCGCCCCCTTCACCGCAAAGAAGCGCCGCAGCTGAGCTCAAATTTGATTTCTGTTCTTACGATGCACGTACTTGGTTTGATGAAAAGTCCTGTCGTGCTCGTCGGCCCGACAACAAGCGAGACAAGTGCACCAAAAGAACAAGGCTCTGCAACACCCTCATCCGACTTCGCAATTCACATCCCTTTCTTCTCCTCACTCTCACTGTTCAACATGTCTAGCACTGATGCCATGCGAGAAGCCGTTCTTGCCGCCAACCTGGAGCGGCTGCAATTTATTCTGTTGAATTGCCTTGAAAGCGAGTACGGCAGGGATCTTGTCGAGGACGAACTTGAGGAAGAGCTTCGCCTCGAGGAAGAACTTCGCCTCGCCGAAGAAGCCGCCATTGAGAAAACAGACAGCCCCCAGCAACCAACCTTTGATATTTCAGCAAAATCAGCAAAGCGGAAGCGGTTCGAACGCTGCGAGCAATGCGAACGAGAGTTTGACGTTACCGCTAATGGGCACAACCATTGCGTTTGGCACTCCGGTATTGATCCGCAACCACGATGATATTCGTAAGAATCCTCTGCTAATTTTATACAGGATACTTGATCGTCAACCCGTCAAAGTCCTACGACTGGATTTACAAGCAGCAAAACTTCGACGCCCAGGAGCACCGCGAAAAAGACCCTGAGTCGTACCTCTGGAGCTGCTGCTTGGAGCCTAGTGATACCGAAGGCTGCATGGACGGCTATCACAAGGCTTGCACATCATCTCAGAAGAAATCCCGCTCCTGATACTGTCGCACCTACCCTGGCGGCTACAGCAACCTCTTCCGGCGGAACTCTAGCGCGAAGTTGCTTTTTTATTGACAGCCGCGATCGCGACCTGTCACATCCCCTAGCCAAGCCCGACCCCCCTTGTTGTCAAATTTCCCAACCTTCGCGCCGGTATTCCGCTGCAAGAGTGGCCTGTATATCGAATGATGTACGGGAAGAGCTTTCTCCAAATGCCATTCAACCACGGCATTCGTCGCAGCGCCAACGTAAGCGACATGGGTGCCAGCGAATTTTAAAGGATGCGGCCCGCGGCAAACCATCTTCTCTCTTCAGCACATCAAAATCACCATGTCATCATCACCAATCGTCCACGCCATCAACTCCGCGGACAACGAACGCCTCCGCAAGACCCTGATGGCCATCATCGCCGATCCACGCGGCAAGGAACTCGTGGAAAGCGAGCTTCTGGTTCCGTCCAACAACACTGAAGAACGTCCGAAAAAGCGCAACAGATATGAGATCTGTGCCCAGTGTGGCGAAGAATTCGAATACGCAAAGACCAAGGAGTATGAATGTGTCTGGCACAGCGGTAGTTGCTTGGATTTTCCTCTGTGCCAGACCTCAATGTTAATGCATCGGTTAGGTAAATGCGAGGTTGACTGGGACTCTGGCGAATGGGACGATACCAATGAGGATGTCTCTGGTCCGATCGACACGGAAGAGAACCGAGAGGAATATCCTGACGGCTTTTATTGGACTTGTTGTAAAGGAGCCGCGGATGCTCAGGGCTGTGAGAAGGGATTTCACAAGGAGTGCGTCATAGCGAAAAGAGCGTGTGCCTGATCAGCTTCAAAAAATCTCTCGTAATGCAGCCCATTGCGCCTGTCCGAAAATAGAGCTTTATGTACTCAGCAATATCTGTTAGAGAGGAACCATTAAAAATTTGACGCAGAGATAATTGCTTTACACTTCGAAGGATATGTAAAGGGGTCTTCGTCGTCCTTTTCCAGCTACATGAAACATTTGGTTGGCTCGAGCGTCCGATTCCGGCAGCAGGCGGCAACCAGGCAACAACAACACAAACACTTTATGTTGACGACAACTCGTTTTTTTTTTTCACTTTTCTTTCACCACCTTTGAAGTCTCTTTGTTTTCTTCCTCCTCCTCCTTTACTTTCATATTCGCGCGAAGTCATGCCAGACGCTCTCACACAAGCAATTTTCCAAGCTGAGCCAGAGCGGCTCCAGCGCACGCTGCTGAAGGTGATGATGGATCTCAAAGGCCGACAACTCGTTGCTGACGAACTTCTCATGGAAATAACAAGTCCTAACGCCTCTTCTACGTCAAACACAACTCCATCAAGGAAAACCCGCCATCCCAGATACGTTGCCTGCCACAATTGTAAATGCGAGATCGATCTTAGGAACTCGGACCGCACTGGCTGCAGGTGGCACACCGGTACGTACGCCGATATCAACCTTTGTCCGAAGATGCACATGCTAATTCATGGTCGTTTTCAGGTTGTCTGAAACTGTGGCATAGAGATTCAGTCTGGTCCGGGTATCGAAGCATCATGCTGCCTAGTGCGAAAGACGCAGCGGAATGGAATATGCCGGGATTCCGATGGTCCTGTTGTGGAGGAGAGGCTGGTCACGTCGGATGTCGAAGTGGGGATCATGTGGTTGATCGTGTCAAGAGGACTGAATTCGGCGAAGGACGCTCCCTGCTTTTGCGAGGAGGTGAGATGACTTGGGAGAATTGGGATGCTAGGAAGTAAGAACTACGGTATATCTTCGTATGATATGTACTGACGATCTACCTCAATCACAGGTGCGCATTGCCCTTCTTTTCTTGTGCTCTCCTCGCTGCATCCTTTCCAGCTCTCCTTCCCCAGACGGTCCCTGCAGTCAACCCGCTACCACCGGGGTAGTTACCGTAGTAAAGACCCCCCAACATCTCACCAACAGCATACAAGCCATCTATCGGCTTCCTCGTAGCTTTCGACAGAACAGCCGCCGTCTCCGGCTCGACCGCCAACCCCCCAAAAGTAAACGTAATCCCACATCCAACCTTAACCGCGAGGAACGGCGGCTCCACAATCGGCAGCGCCCAATTCGACTTCGGCGGCTCCAGCATCCCGGGCTCCGTCGCAACGCCATCCTTAACCGCCGGATTGAACACCCTCTCAGGCTCCCTCTCCCTCTGCCTCCTCACCGCCTCATTGAACCTCCTCACCGTCTCCACCAACCCCTCCGGCCTCCGCAACCCCCTCTCCGCACACCTCGCCGCCAACTCCTCCACACTCCCCGCCTCAATCCTCTCCACCACCTCCCCCCTATACTCCTCCCCCCTCAACATCCCCGCCCCGACCCGATCCCAAACCTGAAACGCCACGCCCCCCCTCTGCCCCAACACCGCCTTCCCAAACCGCGCATACGTATAATTCCGAAAATCCACCCCCTCGTCCACAAACCTCTCCCCATCAACATTCACCATTATCCCGAGCGGATACCCGCTCTTCGTAAACTCGTTCGTCAGCCCCCTATCCCCGCCGTCGCGCGGGGCATTCGCGTCCCAGGCTACGGCATGGCACCCGGCCCAGTCGCCTGCGGCTGCCGCGCCGACGGAGGGGTTGAGGGCGGCGCAGAGCGCGTCGCCCGTGTTGAACGGCGTCCCGCGCACCAGCGCGTGCGTACCCCAGGAGGGGCCGAGGTGCTGTGTGCGCAGCGCGGCGCTCGCTTCGAAGCCGCCGGCTGCGAGGACGACGCCGCCGGTTGCGTGGACGGGGGTTTCTTTCCCGTCGGTGGGGTTGCGGAGGACGGCGCCGACGACGACGACTTTGCCCGGGTCGTCGTTGGGTGAGGTGGTGGAGGTGGGAGCAGGAGCAGTAAGCAGGCGGACCAGTGGCGTCGACCACGCGATGCGGATGTTCTGATGTGCGGCTGCGGCGGAGAGCAGGTCGGCGACGAGGCCTTTGCCGCCGTCTTGCGTGGCGAGGGCGAGGTTGCCCCAGAAGCGCCAGCGGCGAGCTGGCGGCGGCGGTGGCTGCGACCTCGCTGTCGGGGAGGGAGGGGAGGGGGAGGACGACGAGGGGGCTAGGGTTGGGACGTCCTCTTGGTACGCTTGCCGGTGGAAGGAGAGCTGGAAGCGGACGCCGAGGGACTTGAGCCATTGCACTGCGGGAAGAGAGTCCTGGACTAGGATTGATCCGAGTTCGGGGGAGCTGCGGCCGTCCGTGACGCGGTGCAGGTCGGCGGCGAAGGCGGAGACGGGGTAGGGGTCGATGGAGATGTTGGTGAGGGAGGCGTCGGGTGGTGCGTTGTTGACAAGTGGGAGGAGCGTGGGGAGGCCGGCGTGCGTGGTGCGGTAGGCGCCAGCTGTGAAGTAGGTGTTGCCGCCGGCCCAGTCGGGGGGACCTGTGTGAGGGGGTTGGTTTTAGTTGGTTGTTGGAGGTGTTGGTGGGAGTAAAGAGGCCGGTTTACTTAGTATTGTGACAGAGTCGGGGTGTTAAGATTTTGTATACATGGATGATTCTACCCATCTTCTATTACAATGCTAAGGAAATCGACATCTCGTAGGTAGATGCGTACATTTATCCACGAGAAGCACAGATTCGGCACCATTCTGGGCGGCCGAGATGGCAGCACTGAGACCGGCGTTGCCGCTGCCGATGACGAGGACGGTGCAGCGATCTGGTAACGACATCATATTCGCCAGGAAGTTGGCTCTGCAAGAGAGAGGAGAAAGGTTTCTCGGAACGATATGTGTTTTTGTACTCATTTCGGGCGGCTAAAGGTGCAATGCGGAGTAGCTAAGTGGGACTGTCGATCGGTTGTCGTTCGGGCTGCCGAAACGGCTATGAGGAAACCCCGCATGTTGTGCGTCAGCGACGTGGATAGTGTGAACAAAGAGCGAAATGCTTGTGCAACACAACTGGGTTGAGCGTATCAACAAATGTTTTAGGTGGAAAGCGTCAATTAGCAAAGTAAAACCTATGTATAGGTTGGTTGATGTGAATTCCTCGACCGAACTCCGCTCTCAAAAATAACCCAATAGCGTACTATGATCCAATAATTGGACCATTTCAAGGAAAAGACGCGACCGCATCTGCGATGGCAGTTTGTTATAGAAATTCAGCGTAAATAGGCCTCGCAGAGACCACCTAGATGTTAGCACTTCATCCTCGCGTGCCGCTCACTTCACTGCTAATATCACACCTTCACAGCTGGTACATCCTCGTAATGAAGCAGGCCCCTGTACCATATCGTTAGTTTTTTATCCTCCAAAGAGTCCCGAGTTTTGATTTACCGAAGGACTGAATCCACAACGGCGCTCAGCAGCAAAGACACAACAACACACCATGGCATTACCTGGCGACCCATCTGCTCGAGGCTCATATTCAATGTAGCCCCAACACAAATTGCAGATAGGATGCCCGCTGCTAGAATAACAGCCTGATATTCGCTGTTCCTGTGCTTGTGGAACCATAGGACCACGGCGACTGTCCAGATCCCGCAAGAGCAGTAGAACTGCAATGGAGACGGTCCCCAGGCAGCAACTGCATCGAAAACGTTCCCTGCGCCCCCATCTTTCGGCGTCGTCTCTTGTAGACGGTATCTACTGATACCATAGCTTGACGCAATGAGTGCCGATGTGAGGGCGAAGTTCTGTCCAAGTGAACCCAAGCAGGACCGCGCCGGTATGCGTTGATGGGGTGGACCGTTTGGCCATAGCTGGGTCTGCCTACGAATTATCAGTCTTATCCTTCCCGCATCTCATGCAGAGAACAACTTACACGATGAATGATCGAGGCCCTTTGTGTTGCCCTGGATGGTGATCCTTTTGGATCGTTAATGGCTGTTGCGTCTCATCCCACTGCGGATCCCCGCGGAAAACTGGTAGGACCTTGGATTGTGGCATCAACTTGCGCATGAATTTCCAGGGGCTGTGAATGCACCGCTCGCCGCCGATTGTTGCTTGGCTCTTGACATGTGTGGTCGGCAGTGCCGGGTCGAAAGAATTGCGGTACAAAATGAGCATGTCAGCGTACATGCGGTCCGCGTGGAATCTCTGAAATCCCTAAAAGTTAGCATCGGTAGAGATGACAATGAGGATAAAGGAAAGAGAATTTCTACCATTCCGCCTTTGTGCTTTGATGGTGCAAGCTGCTCTCCATCTGGTATGTTCTTCGGCTTTGCATCGTACGTAGCGTCGCGGATATGACCTAAACCCAGTTAGTTCGTGATTCACTCCGGAGGATTCAACCCTACCCATAGCCATTCCATGTGAAGTAGCGCTTCTTTGAATTCCGATGTGGCTCGCTATGCCGCAGTAAATAATGGCATTTTCTTCTTCGCTGTACTGCTGAGGATTTATGCCACGGATGACAGCGAACCCAGTCCCGCTGTGAACGGTTTTGCTTATGACGCGGAGACGATCAGCAAGCTCAGTAGGTAGGACGAAGGTACATGGATCCAGAGAAAACACTGGAAGTTGCAGGCCTGGTTATATTTTAGAATATCGATTATTGTTCAAAATGTAGCCGGGCCTTACTTTTGAAGCCCTCCATAGCATTCTCGATCGCCACAATATCCTCGGCACTGAACTGGATTAAGTATTGCTCAGGCTTGATATCTGCGCGCGTCCAGCAAAAGTCTGCGTCAAGATGCGAAGGAAAGCCCTGAAGACGACCCCTTTCCGGCTTCGCAGCTTCCGTGCTCGAGAAAATCTTGCTAGCCAAAACTTCATGACTGAAGCTCTGGGGGGAAAGGATCTCGGAAACGTTCATATCGAGGTTTTTCGGGCGGATGAGTGCGCAGCGGTGGAAATCGTAGATGCCGTCTGTGGTGTGTTTACCCGGTTTGTCGTGAGAGGGTCTCGTGAGGCTCTATTCCCATTCTCTAAAACGGCAGGCTGTCAGCAATATGGACTTTGTTGTGATAATTCTGAGGTACACTTGCTTGCTCATTGTTGCAATCGAACGTGAACTTTGTCGAGGTTGTCGGGAGTGAGGGACAGGTTCACTGCCCCGCCTGACAGCCTCCATGAGGCTGAACCTTCAGAGCTAGGCTGAAGGTTTGACCACGTCATCTCACAATCTTGGCTTGCATTTAAATTTTGTTACACAGCGTTAACAGCAGGCGAATAAGCTACCAGCCTTCGCTTCCTGATCCCTGCAGCTTAACGCAACCCTTTGATGCCGAGCAATTGTATGCACAGTCTGGTATAGCCACGTCAGCATACGAGAAAGGCTGTGAGGCTCTGAGGCCAAAAGATAACGCGGCATAGCCACGAGATCGACCCCTCCCTCGGCATCAATCCTGTTAGGCTGGCCACAAGGCTGGCTTGCAATGAATGCTAGCGCTTGGATGCCCCTCTGCAAAACATGCTCAGCGCCATTCTCCTCCACTTGGCCAGGCTATACCTACTATTCATTCAACTCGATCTGTTCTCAAGCTTCTCGTTTTCCAGAGAGGTAGGCAACGATGGGGCAGAGAGATTCTATTCTCGGATGTCTCAAGCATAACTTCTGCCCAGGAAGTGAGGATGATGCTCCTGCATCTACACCTTCAAGAATTGGGGCTATCACCTCTTCCCTTCTCAATTCCCTTCACGAGTATGTGCAAACACCATACATCATCCGCAGACCATCCGCCGGGGAACACAAAATATTCATTACTGGGATCATGGAGGTGGGGCTCTCTGAAGTTGCAAAGGACGCATCTGAGTCTGCACTTTCAAAAGGATGGAGCTCCAAGCCTGTCATACCGGGAGACCAAAGACAAACGAGCGACGACCCCTATTCCCAGACTCCGCCGCCAACCAGAGAACTAAGTACGTATATCTAACTGTGATGGAAATGACAGCTAACTATGTTTATGGACCGCACCGAAACGGACGCCTTTACAACCGCAGGTACTGGGCCGCCGCCTGCTTGTTCGCCAATGTCGCAAGGCGGCAAAGCTGTCTCCACTACCGTCCCTACCATGCCTCTTGACGTCGGAGCTGCATCAGTGGAGGTTCTGGTCCACGACCACCACACCCTCTCCAGCTCATTGGACACTATCCCCCTAATTGGAGACTCGGATTGCCATTACTGGCGCGAGATAAGTGACGAGTTTGTGAACTTTTCTCGGGCGCCTGGCAGGAGCGATAATCTCAGCAAAGATCCCGGGCTCTCCGATATCCCAGGACAGGCAAGAGATACGATGGACAAGAACAGATTTTACGAAGAATGCTTCCGTAAAATTCTTTATGGATTCGCTCTCCTCAGTCTAGCGTCAGCGTTACCTGTGGTTGAAGCCTATCCCGGCGAAATTCTGATTGAGGATGCACAGAGAGGCTGCACAAATATGTTCTGGACCGTTGCCACTCCCTTTTTGTTCGCCTATGGGAATAGACGAACCGTATCTGGAGCATCGATGGCAACCTCATGCTTTGTATGGATGACAACTAAAGCAGACCCCGCAGTACCAGCCACAGCAGCTTGGAGGTATTTTGATTTGCCATTGATCTGAGGAAATCATATGCTGATTGTTGTGTCAATTAGCATTTTCGCTGTCTGGATGTTCTCTGCGACAGTCTTCATCTCAGATGTTGCTGTCGGCACTGACCATGGAAAATTGTACGTAATGAGACTTCCTGCTTGAAACGTATCACTCAGCTAACTATGATCCCTCTAGGTACATGGTTCTTGTCCTTGCCCTCACCGCGTATCTGATGACACTATCGCCTGTCGTCCAGATGCTGAAGAATGAAGATGCAGTCACTTTGGTGGCTGCTTGTGCCTCGCTTGCAGCATTCTTGGTGTCTCTGGCTTTCAAGCGTCAGCGCAACAGACAACAGCTTCAAGGGCCCGAGGCCACTGTCTAACGCACTGAGTGGCTTTCCCGTTCTCCACCCGACATTCGCAGTTGGGCCTTTCGCTGATTAGCCTAATATGGAGAACGAAATGATGTTGAGATTCCCCGCCTCCGTGTGTGGAGTATTCTTGGAGGGTTTACGTTTTTCTTTTGACTGATTCTCACGCACCCGGAGGGCATCCACATGGCGTTTTTCTTTTTACCGATTCTCACAAACCTGGAGGGAATTGTCATAAGCATGCGTCCACAAACATGGTTTATTGACTGACCATGCCTGAATGATCGCTAAGCGCGTTCATTCCAGTGCCTCTTTCGCCCTCGGAAGGGCCCGCACTAATAGCGTGGCGCAGTGGGTTAGGCTAAGTCCTGACAGGGATCCTCGCGGTGGTTTCTTTTAACAATTCTCACTTCTCCTAGAGGACATCCCTACGGCGTTTTCAATTAGCATGGATGATTTTACGCGAACAACGGGCTTGAAGCCGCAACATTCAATTAGCGTGATAATTTTACACGAACAACGGGCACGAAGCCATAACATTCAATTAGCTTTCGTTGAACAGTGAAAATAAATTGGATTGAACACTACTAATTCTCATAATACAACAGTAAAACCCACCGTTTATATACACTAACTGCTTGGCTTGATTTCATGAAGTATAATGAGTGAGCGACGTTATTGTGGTGAGATAAACGAGGCATAATCCTTGGTGTTGAGAAAAGGCATAACACGCGGCAAATATATGGCAATGTAATGATAAGGTCTGACAGGTTTCATGTATTTCATTCCACTACATGAGTATAGGCGCTTCTGATATCCAGTAGTATCTAAACTTCTTTACTGAATACGGCGTGTGGTTGAGGAACACCCCCGATCACGGTTAGTTCAGCATCCTAAGGCGTTAATTGTCATTTCTTCCATGTCCTTGCCATTACATGCCTGCATGTGAAGTTGTCAATACGAAGCTTTATCCGCGAAAATCCGATCCCTTGATTCGAACAGCATTCTCAGTCATGCGTGGCCCCACGGAAACACGAGCCCTTATGAAGAAAAGATACGGAGAGCTCTGTAAGACAGGCACAGCAGTAAAAAAAAAGAAATCACAGGGAAGCTATCATCACATAGATTGCAGCTTCCCAGAAGGTCACAAACACTACAGGCGATGGGTGAAGCATATCAACGGAAGAGGTGGTGATCATCTACGACTATGCGCAGCGTGCGCTTACACTTTATGGAGCAATCACGGATTCCAATTGCAATCCCCCATATTTATTAGCAAACAATCCCTTGGCAATAGGTCTTATGGTACAACGGCGCTGGAGCGCTTGTAAAGAAAATTTGTAATGAGTTGCCACTTATCATATCTCCGACGTTGTGGACGCTGAGGCGGGTTCTTACGCCTGGAAGCCGGAGGCGATCGAAAAACATCACAATGAGTTTGGAGCAACAAACTTCTCCAATAGTTTGACCGCCTGAACATGCCAAACGAACGCGAGATTACTCTAGTCACGCAATTAAGCAAGGCGGTGAACCTGCTCTATATATGTAAGGGCCTCCCGGACAAATGTGACACGATCGAGCGCTTCACGGAGCTTCTCAACTCAAACCAACGCTTCAGGAAGTCACTAGTCTGGCCATACATGGATTTAAGCTTGAGAAATCCTCTCGGATCTGCTCATGGTCCACTCAAGACCTTCGGAGGATGCTCTTCGCCTGAGTTCCATGCTCTGATGGAAGCATCCTGGGAGGAACTTACCAGTGCCACTAACGCCTTTCGCATATGCAACGAGCTGGTGCATTTAGCCGAGAAACTCGCGACCCGTGTATCAGAAATCTGCGCTCGTAATCGCTGCTTAAGCGTGAGCGACCTCTACAGACTCATCGAAGCGGGACTAGTTCGGCCGAGGGGACTGGACGAGTACCTTGCCAAATGGATGAACGGAAGGACTTCGCTTGTAGTAACCCTTGGACGGGCCGTTGGGGTAGCTGTGGTAGCTAAGGACCTGGACGAGGGCTGGTCGGTCTTTGAAAGAAGAGTCGGACGCTCAATCCGTGTAGCTGAGTACATTCAAAGCAGTCACGCAGAACGCCGCAACGAGCAAACGAACGAAGTCGGGCGGCATTTTGCAGGGATGCTCGAACATGACTGGAAAGTGGCGACAAAAAAGTGGGCAGATATTCAAGCAGGCGCAATTTTTGTAAGTGTTCTGAGCATTGACAAAGTTTATTCTGCTGGTGCTGACGCTTTCGATCCCAAGTGCGTACCTGATTCGCCGCAGCAATGCCAATGGGATTTCCAGGTCAACATGATCGCTGATCATAGTCAAGCTTTACTCAAGCAGCTTAATGTAGCGGCGGATCGCTTTCTCAACGCTGACGGACGCCTCGGCGAAGGACACAGGATCAAACTATTCCGGGAGCTTCTTGAACTGGATTTACGCTTCCAAAGGTCAATCGGTTGGGAAGGGCCCGATTCATGATTGGAACAATCTCAGTGGACAGGGGCAAGAGTCAACGTGTAGTTATCGTAGTTTAAGGCATCAAACATTCACTTAGCAACAGTAACCCAACACCCCCTCCTAAAGCCCCCTCCCTACCGATACGCTATCGCCGTAAAATTATCAATCAGATTCCTCTCCACCTCCGCACTGGACCACTCCTCCGCCCCGGAATCCCCCCTCGTCTCGCTCCAACCCTCCTCTTCCCCTTCCTCCCCCACGCTACTCGACCACCTCTTATGCTTCGCCTGCCTCCCCGAAGACAACGCATACCTACTACTACCTCCCACACCCCCGCCCCCACCACCACTCCTCGTCGACACCGTCGTCCCCGTCGCCCTCGACGACTCCGACGCCCGCCGACTGTGACTGTGGCTGTGACTCACGTGCATCTGCGACGACATCCGCCGCTGATGCCCCTCAACCAACTGCGGCAGTGGCAACGGCGGCAGCGGCGCCTCGCTCCCCCTTGGCATTTTAGGCAACGGGGGCAAGCCGGACGGGTACGCGGCGCGCGAAGGCGGCCGTTGTCCTCCCGCAATCGTATTCGCGCGGACGAGCCGCCGGCGCTGCTCGACACTGACGCTGGCGCTGCGCTGTTTCTCGACCGCGCGGAGGGTGACGGATTGCTGGCGCGTTACCGTCTGCGGAGGAGGGGGAGGAGGGGGAGGGAGGTCTCGCTCGCGCTCTCGCTGGTGGCTGCTACTGCTGCGGCTGCCACCGCCGCCGCCAGTCTGCCCACCACCGGCAGCAGCAGAACGCTCAAACTCATCCCAAGCCCCCGCCACAATCTCAAAATGCCTCCTCCTCAGCGTCGCCGTCGAAAGGGCCGACGACCCCCCCGCCCGACTCCTCCGCTCCTTATGCTCCCTGATACTCCCACTCGCACTATACAGCGCCTCGTCCTCGGCCAACGCGACGGCGTTCTGGAACGCGTTGTGGATCTGCCTGCCCGTCCACCTGCTGCTGGCGTAAGGGTCCCGATACCGCTCGGCAGCGTAGGCGAGGATCTCGTCGGCCTTGATGCGCGTTGACGGGTAGAGTTGTTTCGTCTGCCAGATGCCGACGTCCCAGACGTCGAGGGTGGCGCGCTCGTTTAGGGGCGGGTAGGAGAGGGAGAGGCGGAGGCGGGTGTGGAGGGAGGGGTTGATGGTGGGGTTGAGGTGGGAGGGGGAGGTGGTGTGCAGGAAGAGGAGGCCGGGGTAGTTGTCCAGGGCGTGGAGGAAGGTGGTGGTGGTCAGGGTGGTTGAGGGGGTGGAGGGGGTGGAGGAGTGCAGGAGGACGAGGGGCTCGGCGTCTTCGAGGAGGAGGACGGCGTCCCATGCCGCTGCCAGGGAAAAGATTTCCTCGATCCGCGCGGTGACGTCTTCGGGGCTGCCGGCGAGGATCGTGCTGCAGGAGAGGGGGAAGAAGGGCTTCGAGAAGTGGCTGGCGACGCATTCGGCCGTCAGCGTCTTCCCGACGCCCGGCACGCCGTGGAGCAGGATCGTCAGGCCGGGCTGCTTGCTGCTACTGCTGCCGAGGTATTGGTGGTTCATCGTGCCTGGTGGTAGTGGTGGTGAGTGCTGCTCGGCCTTCATGCACTGTCGCTGCCGGAAATGGTGGCGCAGCAGCGGTTCCAGCTTCGATCTGTGGCCGGACGGCAGGACGAGCTGCTTGAAGCCTTCGCCGCCCGGTCTGGTGCGCACTTCGTGTAGGTCGTCGATGTCGAACGCGGCCCACTTCCTGGTGCGGAGGACGAAGCCGTAGACGCGGTAAGGGAGCAGCATCAGCTCGTCTTCGCTGAGTGATCCGGCTCCTCCCATGTATCCACCGCCGCCGCTCATTTCTCGCGGCTGCAGGAAGGCGTCCGGCATCCTTTTCTCTCGACACAGCTCCCAGACGTCGTTTTCTTCGTCGTCGATGTCGGCGCCCACGCCGATTATGGCGGGAGCCCAGTGCGGGTGCCGCGAGATTGCTTGCTGGAAGTCGATCATGACCTGAGCATCGACTTGCTCGCGGGGGCTGATGGCTGTGCCGCGACAGTGCATGTGCTTGCCTGCTGCAACCTCCATGAATTTTTTACCACGGACCACGAGCGTTTCGCGGACACCGGCTGGATCGACGTTCATGCAGTAAGGGTGGACAGGCAAGGTCGTCACCCTCCGAGCTCCACTGTACTTCTTGATTTTGAATAGCGTATGGACCGGGCCGATGAACTGCCCATCGTAGTCCAGGTGGACGCATCTGATTTGAAGCGCTCCGTGGCTTGTCCCGTTCCCTGGAAGCAAAGACACGTCTATCACTTTGGATGCTTGTTTTCTGTCCGAGGTGATGGCCATTTGACACTCTTCGAAAAGAGAGCAAAGCTCATCGAACTCGATGTGAGACTTGTGTGATACCGGCGGTGTGCTAACGCTGCCTTGACGTTTCGGAATAGTAACTGATTGTTGGATAATAGGAGCGTTGTGACGCGCGGACGTATCTTTTCGAGCAGGCATATCGTTGCGGGTGGGAGTTTCGTTGCGAGGAGTGTCGTTACGAGTATGAGTGTCATTGCCGGTAGGACTGTCATTCCGCATAACACTGTCATTACGGATATGAGGCTCTTCTCGAACAGGCTTTTTGTCGCTGACAGGAGTGTCGTTGCGGACAGGAGTATCGTTCCGAATAGGAGTGTCGCTGCGCATAACACTATCGTTACGAATATGGCCGTCTTCTCGACCAGACTTGTGGTTTCCGACAGGGGTATCATTCTGAACAGGAGAATCTTTTCGAATAGGAGAAGCGTCGGGAACGAGAGAAACGCGACGGGCAGGTGACGCAGGCGGAGGAGATGCAGGCGGTGGTGACGCGGGCGGGGGTGACTGTCCGGCTTGCGTTGCCGGATCGAAAGTATTCGATAATGCTTTCTCTCCCTCTGGCGGCGGAGGTAGAGTCTTCTCCTCCTCAGCTTCTGGTAATGTGCCCGGCATCGACGTAGTTGTCAATTCAGTCAGGAGCTTTTCAATGGCTTTCATGCGGTACTCCATTGCCGATGTTCGTCCTGGATACAGTTGTTTTGTTGAAGGCGTTCTTTTTATCTTGGGTTCTGGGGTGGGGTTTTCGGGAGTTGGCGCCGGGAAGACTCCTGAACTCCGCCGCATTTCTCTCTCCGGCGGAGTTTTGATTCCATCTGGATAATCGCTCGAAAAGGAATCTTCCTGTTCTAAAGGACTTTGGTCCAATTCCTTGACTGTCATTTCCATGGCTTTCGCACCATCGCCCCCTGAATAAACTGATGGTAACAGATAAATCTCGTCGGGGTTCGGTGTGGTGTCGGTATTCACCAAGCTCTGGCGGTTCATCATCGTCATGATTGTGTGCTGAAGTATGGAATATGGGTGCTCTGCGGTAGGAAGTTTTCACAAAAAATTGAAAATCAAGAAACAAGTTCAAGTATGGCTGCAAGTGATGTTGGAAAACAATATGCTAGCTGAAGTACCAATATATCCGTCTCCTGGAGGCGAGGGGGGATGTGGAACACTCTTGGTGTTGGTGGTGGAGACTCGCGACGCATGATGATGGAGATCCCCGGATTAGGAATCCCTGTGCCGCAAAACGGTGGGCTCGCTCCCGTTAGCGTTAAGGGTACTGTCACTCAAACAGACGAACGTATGGGAATGCAAGTCGGTCTGTAAAGATTTCGGCACGCTGTAAAGCTGTGTACGCGAGCGTGTGGCCTGATGTGCAACACTACAGGTACCCAGGAGCGACTACCGATGTCGCAACTCGGCAAGACGAAGCGTATCGCTAATTTAGCCTTAAGACTATTCGACAGGGTTATGGAACGCTGAAACCAATCCCGCATTTAGCCTTGTGTTAAGCGCCTTCTAGAAGATGCATAGTACGATCTCGGTTGACTGGAACACGTCGGGTATAGATCTGCGCTGGGGGACCCAGTGTCCGTATATTTCATTGGCTTCAGGGCAATTGTGTTCCGACCATAACAAGCTGAACCGCAGTTGACGACGAGATGTTTGTATCTGCTGGAAATGTGCATGATTGCTTTCATGCATCTGTGTTTAGGGCGACAAGGCTCGTCAAACGGGCGGCCGTGATATGCAGGCTTCCGACAAAGAGATAGAATTTTTCTGCAAACTCTGTATCTTGCTAGCGGTGCTCTTAAGATAGAGTCTCCAGACTCATCGCATCTGCATCACAACCAAAAGCAAAGTATGGCTGAAGATACTCACTCCTGGGGCGCGCCGCCGCCGCCATGGCCTCCAGAGCAAGCGGCGGATGAGCTGAGGGCCCGCTTAGTCAACGCGCTTACATCTTTCCACAAATGTGCCAAGGACATTGAAGAGTGCAAGGCCATATTCGACAAGTTTTCAAAGGCTGTCGACCTACTCGAGCAGCTAACATTGACCGGTGAAGGTGTTGGCGGCGCCGAGCAGTACTGGAACATGGTGTCTGACAAGATCCCGGCCTCGAACGAAGACGCGTTCAAGCTTGAAGCCAGGATCCAGCGAGACATGGAGACTCATATGGTTCCAGAGCTTTCCATCATCCGCCTTCGTCGATGCGCTGCTGTTCTCATTGCCTACGACGCGGGGAAGGCACTGAAGTACGAAACAGAACTGATGGGAAGCCATGTCGTTAAGCACCCATCGTCAATCAAAGGGTTGCCAGCGTCGCCAGAATCACAAGCCCATTTGCAAGAACTGGGAAAGAGGAGCACAGAGAGACTAGTGAGGAAGAGGGACAAATTGAGAGGCCTGATCGCCAGTCTTGAGGAAGGAAATTTTCAAGTAAGACCCTACAATGACAATTTAATATGCCAATACTAACATTTCATCTGAAGAAAATGCCAAGGGGTACTCTGAAACAACCCCAGCTCGGCAGCGCACTAAGAGCCTCGCGTCGGGAGCTCACGGTGCAGATGAGCCGAAGAGCAGATACAGTCAACGGAGCAACCGATGAGCCATACAGAACTGACAGATTCCAAGAGCTTTTGGAGATGGACGCATATAGTCGGGGTAGCTGGATTTCTAAGTAGTCGTTAGGAGGGGCAACCACTTTTATTCAACACTAACGATGGCTACATGAAGTATTCGTCGGTATTTGGGAACAAGAGCAGGTCGAGCATGTGGTCAGTAGATGAACGTACAAGTCAGAGCCTGTTCAGATCTTGAGAAAGCACAAGTGACCAATCCACGCAGTGATTCTCAAAAACAACCCCTTGGAAATTCAGATCTGCGAAGCCCAGGGCCATATTGTGGAGAGGCAACGAGAGTCTATGGTTTCCGATTATCTCCCATAAGGACCTGTCACCTTCGGCGCGGTCACGCCCTCACCCCTCGCCGTGCTCAGAACGCTGTTGAAGTAGTTTGGAATGGCCATCATGTCTGCTGAAATGGAGATCATGTGGAAGCCCTTTTGCGCGTACTCATAGCTCTGCTCGCCGGAAGTGCAGTATATTCCCGTCCGCTTGCCGTTATCAACCGCAGCCTTGTGGATGCGCTCAATGGCAGCCTTGAGATCATCGTGCATGGTGCCATCGAGAATGGGATGGCCAATGTTGTTACCGAGGTCGAAAGGTCCGATGAGCAGAACATCGACGCCCGGGACGGCAGCAATTTCGTTAACCTGAGATGGAGTCAGACATCATTTCTGCAATTTCTTCAATGACCTTTTCGTACGTTTGCTAGTGCCTCCTTGGTCTCGATTTGGGCAATGGTAACTAGGGCTTCATTCGCTTGCAGCAAGTACTCGGCAGTGGTCTGGTTGGAGAATTTGGCCATTGGGAAAGGAGAACCGAAACCACGCGTGCCCTGAGGAGGGAACTTGGCGGCCGATACGAGCTTGCGAGCATCATCTGCGGTGTGCAAAAGGGGGACAATGACGCCGTGGGCACCAGCATCAAGGGCACCTGCAAGCTGGATCAGAAATGTTCACCAGGAGATGAGGAGACTGACGCTTGACCATCCAAGCCTCATTGGCTGGAATGCGGACAAGAGGGCTCACACCGCAGCCTGCAATTGCTGCCACACATTCATGCATCTGGCCATCTGGGATCGAGTCAGATCAAGTGGCCATGGGAGAGGGCGATTGGGATTGCCAACCATCGATATTGCCATGCTCCGTGTCGACGCAGATCCAATCCACGTTGGTGCTGGCAATGGTACGGGAGTGATTCGAGCCCGGCAGCATCTGAAGATTAAGTTACTATCTAGAAGTATAACGGACTAGTAAGCATTTACCTGCCATGCACCAAAGCTGGCGCCGCCCTTCTTGATAGCCTTCTGAAAGCGGTTCGCGGCCTGCATCTCGGGGGATGATTCTTTTCGGGCTCAAATTGTCGAACAGAGAGGGAGAATTTATTGGGGAAAGATGTGGAGGATAGAGATGGCAAAGCAGCATGTAAGTAGTCACCCCGCACCCGCTCGGCAATGAACCCCACGTTGTTCGCTGTAGCATCCTGCCGACGAGCCGGACGAAGGATACGGATCAGGTATTTTCAAACGCCGTTATGCATTGATCTACTGGGTCGGGTCTTTTTCCGCCTCGTCCATAAGTGCCTCGACCTGCTCCTCCTTGAAGCGATGCATCAATTTCCGGGCTGCTAGTGTCGTCTCCTGGCCGTCTTTCGCCGGCTGCTTTTCCACGTGAATCTGCGTCACCATGAGCCATGCCGTTGTCCAATTGGGTAACCCGAGCGCGTTCCGGCTTACCACAGGCGTATCAAACTCGTAGACGTCCTTCCACTTCTGTTGGCCGGGAGCCATGACGTCGATCTCGGTGTACTCGAAGGGGCGCTTATCCCAGACATTCGACAAGACGCCCTTCGCATTGTCGCAAAGCGCACAACCCTGGCGCGTAAAGAGCGTGAGTCGGCAGACGCGCTGCAGCAGCCGCGCCGTTGGAGCGAACATGATGGTAAGAGGACGGAGATGCAGCGGGGTTAACGCACAGGCCGAAAGAACCAGCTCCAGCCTCATGCGTCAAGCTTCAAACGCCGATTGGAACGCCGCCCGGGCGGTGAGAGCTGAACCACCAGCCCTACCACCATCGCGTTCTCGAACTTTCTCACGTCACTGCCTTGAACCCTTGCTCGCGAGCCCCCCGGGCTCCGCTGAATTCCCTTCTCTACAACCCTAACCTCCCACAACATCCACCATCTTTATTTCCCGCCTGTCTCGCCAATCGCCCTAGATCCGCTTCCTAAACCACCTTCAAGTCACGACCCGCAATCCTCCGCCAACAATGGCCAAGAAGTGCGTCCACAAGGGCTGCGGCAAGGTCTACGAAGACGAGGCCGAGCCCTGCGTCTACCACCCCGGCCCTCCCGTCTTCCACGAGGGGCAGAAAGGTCGGTAATATTTCTCTCTCCCAGACAGCTCCTCTTTCAACCATTCTCCACCTTCTACATTTCCCCCCACCTCAGCGCCTAAACTTACCGTCCCATCCCGCCCCAGGCTGGAAATGCTGCAAACCCCGCGTCCTCACCTTCGACGAATTCCTCGCCATCCCGCCCTGCACCACGGGCACCCACTCCGAAGTCGACGACACCCCCGCCGAAGAACCCAAGCCTCACGCTGAAGCCCCCGAACCGACGCCCGCCCACGCCTCCACCGTCGGGCTCACAGACCACACGCCGCCGGCCTCGCGCCTGCCCACGCAAGCCGCGCCGACGCCGACGCGCTCGCCCGCACCGCCGGCCGAGGACGAGGAGGACGACCCGAGCCTGCCGATCCCGGACGGCGCGACCTGCAAGCGCAAGGCCTGCAATGCCACGTACGACGCCGCCAAGGGCCGCGGCGAGGGCGTCGAGGAGAGCTGTGTTCACCACCCGGGCGCGCCCATCTTCCACGAGGGCAGCAAGGGCTACAGCTGCTGCAAGCGGCGCGTGCTCGAGTTCGACGAGTTCATGAAGATCGAGGGCTGCGTGACCAAGGACCGACATCTCTTCGTGGGCAAGAAGAAGGACGAGAACGCCGAAGATATCGTCGAGAGCGTGCGGTAAGCTTCATCCTCCCCCCCTCCCTCCCTCCTGCCCCTCCCCCGCAAACTGACCAAGCCCCCAGCTCCGACTTCTATCAAACCCCCACCACGGTCATCGCCTCCCTCTTCCTCAAGAAAATCGACAAGGAAACCAGCACCGTCGCCCTGCGCGCCGACGGCGTCGCCCTCGACCTGCGCACCGCCGACCGCAAGCGCCACGCCGCAGACCTGCGCTTCTTCGGCCCCATCGACCCCGCAGCCTCCTCGTACAAGATCATGGGCACCAAGCTCGAGCTCGAGCTGCACAAGGCTGACGGCCAGAGCTGGCCCGTCTTGCGCGTCGACGATCCGCGTACCGGCGAGATTATTCAGACGGGGAGGGCGGGGAGGGTGGCGTAGATGATTGAATGGTTTGTCGGGAAAGGTTGGGGGAAATGAAGATGAAAGAGGCGTTTGTAGGAGCGGGGATTGGGTAAGGAGAAATGAGTACGAGGGCGGCCGGAAAAGCGGTGTCTTCGGGCGGTGAAGGGCGTTTAGGTTGTGGGGAAAACAAAAGGGCTGCTGCAGCGAGGGACGAGTAACGAGTAGACGAACCGAAAAAAAGATGTAAAAAGTGTAACTGAATGATGCATCCGACGATGGCGTTAGAAGGGTGGGTGGTGAACACGTTTGGGTTATGAAGGGAAAAAAACAGAAGGCGGAAAATCTTTGAATCATTTTTCCTTATGGATAATGTAGGTAGAAGAACGGATCTGAGACGTATTTATGGTACACTAGTGCCTGACCTAAGCCCTGCATGCAACTCTTATGTAAGTTCCAATGTCTGATTCTGCGAGTAGTAAGATCTGCTTCGGATGAGACCTGCCTCGAGGTCTTTCGTGATACGTTGCGTCGAGGTAACTTTAATCTGACGGCATCTTGAACAGCTCTGCAACACATTGTCATATGCTCACTACACAGATTCGACCCAGGGTTTCAGTGTTTAAAAACATTATCAGTATTTTTTACGTCGTTACCCATGAGTAGTCCAACGAGGCCGTCTCTGCATGACAATGCATCCCTAAAAGAATGCTGGACATGACAATAAAAAAGAGTAAAAAGAGACGTCAAGTCATAAGAGGGTGGGGAAAGGAATGAGTAAAGGAAGAGTCCTTTAGCTCTGTTCCACCCTTTTTGGTTCCTTTGTACATATTTGTGGGAAGAATAAAACCCATCTCTTGAGTAGCCGAAACATCCAAAGATCAAGCACACCTGGGTATGGGTAAGCCAAACGCAGCGCAGCAATTGCAATCAACATCTTCTCTTCTTGTCTCTAATCTCTCTCCTCCTTCTCCCTATTACCGCCACTTTCTTCTCTTTCATTTTTGTTTCGCGTTTCTTAATCCGAGCCGAGCGGCTTTGTCGGCGCGAACTGACTCCTCTCGCGGATCTTGGCGCCCTTGAGGTAGAAGAGGATGGGCACGGGAACGAGGACGGCGGCGACGCAGCCGAGCAGGGTGCCGGCCCACTGAACGCCCATGCCCTCGAACATGTACGTCGCGAAGAGCGGGAAGCCGGCGCCGCAGAGGGAGCGGAGGAAGGTGTTTGCCGCGATGGCGGAGGCGGCGAACTGCAAGATTCCCAGTCAGTATGAAAGATCCCCCTTCCCTTATTTTCACGGAGTGTGCAAGACTCACCATAAGATACGCATCAACGAGGTAATTCAAGCTCTGCAAGAAAATCGCCATGAGGCCGAACCCGCTGCACAGGCCGGACAGCGTGGGCACGATCCAGTGGATGTCCTTGGTGTAGCCGGTCCACGCGAACCAGAACAGCCCCACGGAGAAAGCGACGCCGCCGATGATGACCTCGGGCAGACGCCACTCGGGCACCGGCACGTCGTTGTTGGCCGCCAGCTTGCGCTGGTAGCCCGGCTGCCGGAGCACGATGAAGGTGCCGGCCAGCAGCTGGCCCGTGATCATGCCGAAGTAGGGCAGGCCGCCGACGCCCAGGTTCATGCCGTGGATCTGCTGGAAGACGATGGGGTAGGCCGTGAGGAAGAGGTAGAGGATGCCGTAGACGAAGGCCTGAAAGGAGAGAGAGAGTTAGCGGTTGACGCGCAAAGATGTCTGCGGTGTTGAGAGGAGGAGGAGGCTTACCATGTAGATGGAGAGCAGCAGCACGATGGGCTCGGTGACCAGCATGCGGAGAGGACGGGAGAAGTTCTTCTCGAGCAGCTCGCGGAAGTCGATTTCGATTTCCTCCTGCTTGGCGTGGATGCCCCAGTTCTTGGTCCTGCGGCGCAGCTCCGCCGCCTTGTTCACGAGGATGACCGGCGGGTACGTCTCCTGCAGGAAACAAATGTTGATAGCGAATGCGAAGAAGCCCATGAACGAGACGATGTACTGCGTCCAGCGCCAGCCGAGGTAGGACATGGTAATGAATCCACCAATGAAAGGGGCGAGCAGCGGGCCGGTGAAAACGGTCATGGAGAATACGGTGATAGCAATACCACGGGTCCTGTTATCGAACATATCCGAGAAGACGGCGGCGACGGTAGTAAGGGGGCAGGCGCCGAAGAATCCACTCCAGAAGCGGCACAGAAGAACGGTTTGGAGATCCTTGGCCGTGGCGCAGGCGATGAAGAAGATGGAGAAGCCAAAGGACGAGATGATCAAGGGCTTCCGCCGGCCGTACAGTTCAGATCCTGGCGCCCAGAGGATAGGACCAGTTGCAAAACCCAGGACGTACAGGGACACTCCCAGGATACCAACCTCAGTGCTGACCTCGAATTTTTGAGCCACAACGCGAGTAGCAGAGGAGAAAATGGAACTGCCAAAAGCAGCCACGAGCGTAGTGTATCCCAGCATCACCGCCGTCGCAAGCTTCTTCTTCAATGGCCAGTTCTGGGCGTGCATTGGGTCGTCCGGACCATCAAACTCCACGACATACTCCTCCCGATCTGGCAGGGGCGGCGGGTATGGCTTGCCGGCGCCAAAGTTTGGCAATGGCTTGTTCGACTTTCTGCTCTTGATGCTCGCACCAACAGTTCCGCTATGCTGGCTGCGTGCGGTCTGGATCCTGCTCATGGCTGTCTGATTGCGTTCCAGGTCGGCCATGTTATCCCTGGCAGTCGGCACTCTTGACATTCCAATCTCGCGGCGTTCTACCGAGGCGGTAGAGCCATCTGATGAGCTGCTGGAGATTGTCGAGGAGGTGTGGGTGCGCTCCAGGGCCTCGTGCTGCTCCGCAGGCGTCTTGCCATTGGTGGCATCCTGCTCGCACTTCTCGATAAAATGGTCGGCGTTGTCCATTGTTGACCCGGGCCGGTCCAGGGGCGGATGGTTGACGGGGCGGTTTATTAATTGGCGAGCACGCGAATTCCTGGGCAATTCGCGAGCAATGGCAAGACGGATGGGAAAAAGGAAGGCACAGGGCACGAAAGACGGGAAAGGGCACAAAATGAGGCCTCCGGGCTCGTATTAAAAGGATTGCTCAGCTTGCGGTTCCGCGGCTTGCAGCGGCAATCTAAGACAGCTCCCTCGGCACTTGAGGATGGCAAGCGGTAGGGCGCACTGGAATGTCTCCCGGATTCCGTTAGGCAGAAGACGGCCGTGCTCGGTGGGTCCTGGTCCGTGGCGGCCCAAGAAAAAACGTCGTGGCGGATGCTGATCAGATGTCGGGAAAGAGCGGTGTTATCAGGAGGTTCTTCTGTTGCGTTTGCCACTTGGTCCGTCTCGTGAGCTGGCGCTCGAAAAATCTCGAAGGATGACGACAGCGGCCAAGGCGGCTGGAACTTTTCCGCACTCAATGCCGGTCTGCCGGTGAAGTCCCGAGAAAGCCAGGGGAGCAGAGCGGCTGTGGCTGAGGAGAGGCGCTTTCTGGCGTCGGGTTTATCGGTTTATCGGCAGAAAATCTGGAAGCTCAACACACAGTCCACCGGTAGATCTGGTCGGCGCACATCCAAGCTTTGCGTCCACCATGAGCAGCGTTCATCTCGCCTTTATATCGACCTCCATCTGCCTAGCTTCCCAGAGCCGGCTCATGCAGTACCCCTCACGGCTGGGAAGCTCCCTGACGCCTCAATGGTGCTGATTGGTGTGGCACCTTGATGACGCTTAATAGGGGCGCCACCAGCCGCCTTGGTCAGCACGATAGCGGCACCCTCCTAAATCCGTTCAGGAAACCGGATGTTACCCAAGCTTACGGTGTGAGGTGGGAAAGCTAAAAGCAGCTGCTGCTCTGCGCGCTATGCCGTGATCTGTCCTGTCCGTCCTTTGATCCGTGTCTCACGGGCCGAGCACGGACTCTCCGAGCCGTCTCGTGCGAGAGAAACACCTCTCCGTCCGAACCGTTTAGTAGCTGTCACCGCTCGCGCTTTTCCTTTGCCCCGGACTCCGCAGCGGCTGTGACCGGATGCGGGACTCCCACAAAATGCAACCCCGTGATAATGAGCCAGGTGTCGATCGAGTCCGCCTGTCTTCAAGGTTGAACCTTACGGCCCGGCCCGGGATCGATCGGAAAGGCAGTTGGAGCCGCAACCGGGACTATCTTGCCTTTAACCGTACTTATAGACCGGGGTTGGCTGCTCACCTCCGCGATTGTCGTGTCTCCACATGGCCCCTGGTGGAGCATTCTAGCTGCCACCGCTTGCAGAATGCTGAAGCATTGCCCAGAAAGCTAAGCATTTGATTCTGCATTCGGGTGAATCCTGCGCTTCCGACGACAGCCTTAGTGGTTTTCCAGCTGAGTCAACAGGAAAATTGATTTAGGTTACATCCCCCAGATGGATCAGGCGAGCTATTCTTAGCAAAAAGGTAGTTCTATAGTCGACAACATCGCGAGCTCAGCTCCAAGCCACACGCCTCCAACGTCAGCCTTATAGCACGCAGGTACGCTAGTTTTTACGACGTCGTTTCCGAAGTGCTCATCGTATCCATGTCTGCCGTCGTCGTATCGTACGTAGTGGAAACTGTCGCCGCAAGCACCTCATCCAGCAGTTTCCGTGGATCACCGTCTGCGTCAGTCCCAATATCAGCAGCCAAAAATGCTCTCGCAATGCACTCGGCCTCCTCTAGTTCCGCTCTTTCGTGAGCCGGCATCACCGCGCATGCCGAGACAAGATCCTCTCCCCTTACAGACATGAGAATCAGTTGCTCAGCGCGTGCCACAACCTCTTTGCTGATGCCGTTCATTGCTGCACAGATGCTTCCAAAGCTCGATACACTACGGCCGAGTCGGAAATTGTAGAGATAAGTGATCTGCTCGTCAATGCTTTCCCTGTCCTGGTCAACACGGACCTCCATGTGGCCGAATTGCAGAGCTGGCTGGTTGATGAGATATCCTTCCTCGAAAATCTCATGGAAATGAGTGGCCCCGAGTACTTTCGGGCACTTATTTCCTAGGTTGAGAAGGTATTCGAACACGCCGCAAACAAGGCCTGCCCCATCATTCGCGCTTGTGCCCTTGCCAAATTCATCGAACACGAGTAGGCTGCGGGGTGTAGCAAGGTTCAGCGCTAATGAAACCTGTTGAAGATCGATCATGAATGCACTCTGGATCCTGGAGACCGATTCGCGGGTCGCAATGCGCGTGAGTATCTTGTCCGTCAAGCCGATTCGGGCGCTTTCTGCTGGCACGAAACTGCCGACATGAGCCATGTAGACGATAATAGCCACCTGTTTCATGTAGATGCTTTTGCCAGAAAAGTTTGGGCCGGTGAGAATGAGCATGTTCGGGCCGTCCATTGCGGCTGAGCTTGTTGGAGCGTTGGAGCGCTCAGATGTTGGAACACCTGAGGAGCCGTGGCCGACCTCAAGGTCAGGTTCAGAAGGACCAACAATCAGAGTGTCATTCGCGACAAAAGAAGGAACCGTTAGCTCTTGTAGAATATGGCGTCCAGCTTTGATCTGGATGACATTATCCTCGACAACTTTTGGTTTCATTAATTTGTGCATCCTCGCACCTTGGGCAAGCGCCATGAGTGCGTCCAGTTCCGCGCAGATGTCAGAAGCTTTGATGAAGACGTCTTCGAATTCTAGAACGTACTGTGCCAGGTTATGGGTAATTTCGATCTCCTTGTCGCAGATCAAACCATGCATATCTCCGAAATGGTCATCCATTTCCCGCATGTTGTCATTCTTGTAGTAGACGTGCTCTTCGCTCGTGAACATGCGCTCCCAAACGTCCTGCTGGGAGCCTTCGTACATTCCATGGCCAGTGTCGGGGTCCACTGGGACAGTGATGAGGAATCCGATCTGGGGAAAGAAGATGACATTGATGCTGGTTCCCAGCACAGCAGGAACCTTTTCGGCTATATGATTGGCAACTTGTGAAAGTACGAGCTCGATCCCATCGTACGTCCGCTTCATGTTGTCAAGTTCTTCGTCGATTCCCATATGGACAACTGTGCGATGCTGATACTCCGACTGCTCAAAGTCAATTATATCCGTAATCTTTCGTCCGACCTGTGCCAGGCCCCGGAATTCCACTGTTTCCAGGATGAAGTTCCTGATGTGAAGATGATCGACTGCATTCATCTCTTGAAATGCATCCTTGATCTTCAGCATATGGTAAGCGAAGAGCCGAGTTCTTGCCCAAAGACCGCTAGTGATGCCTTGCTTTTTCCCTGGACCAGCATTCACGCCCTTTCGAAGATTGACCATTGCGACTCGCATGTTTTTGATTCTCTTCAGACTCTGCACGATCTGATTTACGGGCGCAGAGTTATCCGGTCGAAGAAAGATAGAGATGGCGTCTAGACGCTTGTTGATGACGCCAAGGTCGAGGCTTGGTCTGAGAAAATACTGGCGTAGGAGTACTCTGCCTTGAGGGGTCTTGGCAAGATAGTGAAACAAGCCGTACACCGAAAGGCCTTCCTTTGACCCCGAGTTGGCTTTCGTGGGCCCTTGGTTATGTAAATGAGGGTGTGATTCTGACTGCAGGATTTGGAGCGACAGTAAAGTATCCATGTTCACGAACCTAGATATGTTAGTAGATGACGGTGATATGGAGGCTTGTAACTCACATAGTGCTTCTGAGAGTAAACATTTCGATAGTCGCGATGCGAAACAAATCAGCAGCAGCTCGATCACCAGGGAGAAAGGAAACAGATCTGCGCCGATGTACGTAAGCCAGAACGGCACCTGCGCAGCCCACAGATATCTTGCTGTCCAAGTTGATCCACCCGTGTAGCCTCAGCAAGTGCTCCAGGCGTCCAGTGTCTTCATCATCGCCATACGCTCCACTGGTCTGAACATCGCCAGGAATGGTAAATGTGACATTCGGCCCACCGTCGGTCCCAATCTTCAGGTTCGCAAGCTTGCTCTTGCCCGAATCATAGTTGAATTCTGGTGTCGGACGGACTTCGAGAATGTATGGGAGCGCGAATTGGTCATCTGCAGTCCCAACGTAAGTCAAGATTCTTGATTCCCGTCAGAGGAGAACGTACGAGAATCATCGGTAGAGCTAAGGCTCCTTCGTTCTGGATCCAGCTTGTCCAAGACCGAATCATCGGCTCTTGTGGCGACGAGCACAACGGTCGGATCAATGTGGAGTTTAACTGCGGAAAAAAGTCAGCGAGTTTAGTAACTCTGAGAATGAGAGTGGCTTACGGGTGTCGATGACCTCCACGTCCCCAAGCTTCATGTCCTCCATGAGGTAAAGTTTCTCTTCTCGGGCGACGTAGTAAGAGCATCCCACCGATTTACGCTCCCTGATGTCTACAGCCATGATAATTTCGTCAAGCGCGTCGATGTCGGCATCCGTTGCATCGACCAAACGATCGAGCAGCGCAGACTGAGCCTCTGGGGGCCCATTTGACGTCTGTACTTGCGGAGAACGCCATTGCACGACTCTTGGTGCGAGGCCTTGTGGAGTCGGGGTAGAAGGAGGCTGCGACGACCGCAAGGCAGACGCGCGTGTGGTGGATGGGCTGTTCTGCACGACGCGGCTAGACGCACTATGCGGCACTGACTCCGATCTTTGACGCTTGCGAGACGCTCTGAAAGCCATAGTTCACGCGTTAAAAGATTGGACGCGGGTCGTTATGTGTAGTATAAGAGGTGAGTCGTGAGGTGTAGTAAGAGATGCGACATTGAGAAAGTGCGACTGATGGGGAATACTATTTAGGCAGGCATTCTATGACAGAGCCCACGCTGGACCCTGAAAAAAGCCGCGACACCAGCACCTGAATACATGGGATAGCAACACCGAGAAACACAAAAATTGAATTCTGAACATGAGAGGAAATTTTTTGACTCGCCTTTGCGCCTAAAGTGATAATCTATTATACCGGATTTATCTTTCATTCATCAAGCTGCACGGCAGGGCGCTTGGCAGGGCAAACCACGCGCCATGGTTCCAGTACATGCCAGTTACTACAAAGAAGCAGCTTTGTCATGACTGGGTGCGCCATGCTGCTTACCATACTTCCATACCTTGTTCTCTAAGTCGGGCTGGACGAACAGCCACGCAAGGTTCGTCACCCAGCTGAGCACTGTGTCTACGAACCAATTGTTTCTTGGGCTTCCAGTCAAAGTGCCCGCCCTCATTACCTTGGCCAGATAATTTGTAGCGATAAGATAATAACCCTTCTCAAGCTCCTTGACGGCAGCAGATGCCACCTCGTCCTCGGTTTGCGCAGGGTCGCCTTCTTCAAGAACCATGGTAACCGGGTGCTTTACGGTTTGCTCAAATTCGTGACCGGGGCTGGTGATGGTTCCCGGACAGACGCAATGAACCTTTATCTCCGGATCAGGAGAGCCAGAGCTGTGGAAGCGGCCGCCGTTGTAGAGTTGCACTTCCTGGCGTAAGGAGTCGGCGAAATTGCGGAGAGCAGCTTTAGCAGGACTGTAGGTGCCATAACCTGCAACCCCGACGAATGCGGCACTCGACGAAGTCATGATGAAGTGACGAGGAAGCGGGGCCTGTTTAGTCGAAGCTTCGGCAGGAGCAGTACGCTTTGTCCACGCTCTCAGGACCGATTGAGCCAAATACACAGTGGCGAAGTAGTTGATGTCCATCTGCTGACGCAGCTCTTCCACTGGTGCATCCAGAATCAGCCTTGGTATCGACATGCCCGCATTTGCCCACACAATATCCGGGGGCTGGCCGTTATTCCACGCCGTCACTTCCGCGAGAAGACGGTCGTTTTCTTCGGGCTTCGTTACATCGGCGCTGATATAGTGGAAACGCTGGGAAGGTTTGACTTTGGCGGCCTGATATTGTCAGCAGAGAGCATACAGTAAGCACATCGCCGCGCAATTGGTAGTGTACCGAAATGTACTCGAGAGCCTCTTCCAACTTTTTCGCATTACGTGCAACGATGACCACATTGGCGCCTTTCTGAGCAAGCAATTTGCCAAGGCCTCGGCCCATGCCTTGGGAGCCACCGGTAATCACGACAGTCTGGCATCTTGTCAGCATTCGCGTCGTTTACCAGAAGAGGTGTATTACCCTGCCATCGACCTGAAAGTGGTTCTTCCTACTGAAAAGTCCCATGATATCCGCGGCGAGAATGAGAAAAAAGATGACAAGGAGTGAAGATGCGGTCTGCAACCCGAGAGCCATTACGGGAGATTGAAACGCTGTCAGACAGCGAAGGGGACTTGGGGGCCGTCAGTAGCTCGACGCGCTCCGGAGTAGTGGGAAGCTCGGGCGCGGCGGATGTTGACGCTAGCTCACCGCCCGCGGCAAAAAAGTTGCGCGCAAATACAATCTCGGCGCGCGGAGGCGAACTCACGCTGCACATCCGCCCTTCAGTCTGCCTTCCAACAACCGCCATGGCAAAGAAGAGAAAGGCCTCCGGCCAACCCAAGCCGAGCAAGGCAACTGCGCAGAGTTCGAAACTGGCCATCAGCACCTATCAAGATGTCGCCGATTCCGAGGACGAATTTCACATCAACCGCGATAAGATATTGTTAGACGAAGGCCCCGATGCCAAAAGGCGCCGGAAATGGAAGGAACAAGGTATGCGCACTGCGCAATATTTTTATTCGATTTTTTGCGCAATTTCTAACTGTCCACTAGACGAGCTTCTCGAAGCATCCGATGAAGAGGTCCTCAACTACGACGAGCAATCAGACGACAACCAGGACGAGGATGACTACGATGAGCCCGCTGGCGAAAGAGACGCGGCATCTGACTATTCTGGCTCTGAGGCTCCTGCCGGTGAAGAGGACGAAGACAATGAGGCCTGGGGTGCATCGAAGGAGGATTACTACGGTGCCGACGCCATAGAAACGGAGGAGAATGCGCTTGAGGAGGAGAAAGAGGCCATTCAAACCCAGAAAAAGCAGCTGGAGCGCATGACTGAGGCTGATTTTGGCTTTGACGAGTCGGAATGGCTGGATGCAGATCAAGAGGAGGATGGCGAGGCAGACGGCGAGGTCGTTACGGAGGTCCTGCCGGAAGTACAAATCACGGACGATATGGGCCCCGCTGAGCGACTCAAACTACTCAAGACAAGATATCCTGAGTTCGAGCCGCTGTCGAAAGAGTTTCTCGACCTGCAGCCTCTGCACAATGAGCTTGCACTCGCCGCTGCCGCCGCCCGGAAAATGCAACAACAACGAGCTGCCAGGGCTACCGGGCAGAACAAGAACCTCAAAACACCAGCCGCAGTCATCAAGTACAGAGCTCTGGCTGCTTATCTCGCAGCATTGACTATGTACTTCGCTCTGCTCACCTCAACATCCACAGCTGCAGATGGAAAGGTCACGGCTTTGTCACCTGCCGAGCTGCGGGATCATCCGGTCATGGAGGGCTTGGTACAATGCCGCGAGCTGTGGAGTAAGGTGAAGAACCTCTCGATCGCGAACAAGATCGCCGATAGCGATACGAGCAACGAGCTGGAGGCCATTGAGGAGGAGCCGAACGCCGATGTCTCGCCCATGGACATCGAACCCCGCACTTCGGAAGGTGCCATGGCGCCACCAAAGACCAAGAAGAAAACTAAGGCACAACGTGCCGCAGAAGCCGCCCAAGCTGCAGCCGAAGCTAAGCGAGCCGAACGCCTTCGTAAGACAGAGGAGGAGCTTGCCGCCCTGTCATCCCTTACCGATAAGGATGCCCTGCGCAAGGCGTCGAAGACGACCAAGTCCAAGAAGCCGTCGGCAGTCTCTTTCGCAAACGACGATGATTCGGACTTTGGCGACGAGACGGAGCTCAACAAGCACGAACTGGATGAGAAACTCCGGAAGAAGAAGAGCTTGCGCTTCTACACCTCGCAGATCGCACAGAAACAGAACAAGCGCGGCGCAGCAGGCAAGGATGTGGGCGGAGACGCTGACATTCCTTATCGGGAACGTCTTAAGGATCGTCAAATCAGGCTCAATGCTGAAGCCGAGAAGCGTGGAAAGAAGGCGCTGGCTCCTGAGGAAGAGCTGGGTGGTGACAGTGACGACGAGGACAGACGGCAAGCGCGACAGATTAGAGACGAAGCCGCCAGCGAGGACGAAGAGTACTACGACATGGTCACTGCGCGCTCGAAGCAGAAGAAGGCAGACAAGGCGGCGGCAGCGGCGGCTTACGCAAAAGCTGCGCGGGAGGGTGCGCAGGTTATCGAGACAGAGGAGATCGGGGCGGATGGAAAGCGCAAGATCAGCTATGCCATCGCCAAGAACAAGGGTCTCACGCCGCACCGTAAGAAGGATGTGCGCAACCCCCGTGTCAAGAAGAAGAAGAAGTACGAGGAAAAGAAGAAGAAGCTGGGCAGCATCAGGCAGGTCTACAAGGGTGGCGAGGGCCGCGGTGGTTACAAGGGAGAGTTGACGGGTATCAAGAAGGGGTTGGTCAAGAGTGTGAAGCTATAGAGCGCTATGGTCTCTTGCCGTTTGTTCTATCCATCGCCAGAGGGCATTGGCTTGGCGCCAAGGAGTTTACTGCGTTTGTACAGATAATCCAGGCCATTTTGTCAGACCACCAGAGCATATGAGGTGTTGATAAACTTCTCGTGTATGTCGTCCGTCCCGGTTGCCGCGGTTGGGCAAATTGTGTTTGAGGCAATTATAATCCCCAACGCCCGATCCCAGTCGGTCTCGATCCGCGGCGGCGGGAGGTTGACCGACTCGAAAGCTGGTCGCATGCGCTGTTGATCAACCTGCCTCCACCGAAGCCGATCACAGGACATCGGGTGTTCCTGCATTCTTGCGCGTCCCCGTTCGTCACTGGTTGCTCCAAATCCGCCGCAGTGATCCCTCTTTGTCCGAGGCAGAGCCACCGAGATGTTGTGCATTTGCCCGCCCGCTCATCATAACCACGTCACATCACGCCGAACTTTCCCCTCAAGCAACCTGGACCCAACACCCATGCCACCGGTTATGCTTTACGGCTTGCAGCGGGCTTTGCATGCTCCCCCCCCTCTCGCACACTCGCCCGGAACTCGCCAAAATACCGTCTCTCCTTGACATCTTGCGTAGCTCACCCCTTCCAATCAACACTTGCACACTAAACCTCTTACCCTCAGGACCCTGAACCGCATCTGCCAAACTCCATTGAAGGCAGTTGTTTTCTCGACATTCCCTCCCAAACGGTCACCGCTACAAGATATCGAACGCTTCGACGACTCAGTCGTGACCGTGCAGAGCTCAAGGCGACGGGCCACCGATGACGGAGCCAATCAGGCGGCCACACGATTAGCGGGAGACGCAGGAAGCACAGCTTGCAGCGCACAGAAGTGGCTGCGTACCGGCCAAAATTTAAAGGGCGAGCTTTGAATGGGGGCAGGACAGTGTTAGAGCAGCAGAGTCCGCGACAGTAGCTCATTGATACGACGTCGTCCCGTCTGTCCGTCTGCCGCTTACCGGATAGCCTGCCTCGTTACACAGGCACAAGAAAATCCCGCGCTTCTCCTCCCTCTATCCCGATTCGAAATCGGAGCTCGAATAACGCTGTTGTTGGCTGCCTTGCAATCCCTCTCGTTCAACCACAAAAGCCTTCCCGAGTCCGTCGAGGACTACCAGAGGACCTCGTCACCTTCCAACGCTCCTCCTACCCATCCCAAACCACCCTCTCCCACAGAAAATCATACACACACCAACAATGTCTTTCCACGATACCCTCCTCCCTCCCATCCACCTCCAAAACTCAACCTCCTCCGCGGGGCCGCTCTCCCTCATGCTCGCCATGATTCTCCTTCCACCCGCCATCTACTTCGTCTACCGCGACTACTGTGCCTTCCTTTCTCTCGGCGCGGGCGGCACACCACAAACCTTCCTGGGCGGCTACCTCCGCATCAAGCTGCTCTCGCTCTTCGCCCTACCCTCCCCACGCTCCCCAGCCCCGATCCCCGCCGACCTGCGTCAGAACGGCTACCTCACGCAGCTGCCTCTGCGCCAAGGCGCCCGGCCGGACGTCGTGGGCATCGCGCCGCACCGGCAGACGACGCAGAAGTCGCCGGCGCACACGGCGGCCTACGCCGCGCTGGCAGCGCGCCTGCGCGGCCTGGCGCGCGACCCGGCCAACGCGCTGGTCGAGGGCACGTCGTGCTTCGAGAAGCACGGCACGGGGCTGTTCAGCCGGACGCCGCTGACGCGGACCTGCCGCGGAGAGGTCTGCCACGTGCACGGCAGCGACGGCAGCCTGCACATGACCCTCTACCCGGCCGACGCGAAGCTGGTCATCGAGCGCGGCTGGGGCGAGCGCCACCCCATCGCCCGCGGCGGCTTCTTCTCGCGCTTCGTGCCCCGCCACTTCGTCATGGTGTACGCGCCGCGCGACGAGGCCGAGGTCGACATTGTCGTGCGCATCGTCGGCGCTGCCGTGTGGTGGGTCAGCGGTGTGTGCGTGGGCAAAGAGGATAGCGGTGTGCGGGACGATCGATCGAGGTCGGAGAGCGATGCCATGGTCGTCGAGAACATTAGGGAGACGGGCGGGGAGACTGATTGGAAGGGCGGTAAGCCTGCGCCGGAAACGTTCTGCTTGGGCTGTCGGCAAAAGCAATATGTGGGAGTACAGGCGTGCTCGTAAGCGTGCGCTAGTGCTACGGGACGTATCGTTTCGAATGCGTGTTTGGTTTGAAAACTAGACTGTGAAGCATGTGCAAGGCGTTATGCTTCGGTCGAAATCCGGCGGAAATATCTAGATTGCTAATGGTCAGGTAGGGTCGGGATCTTAGTTTGTCAAAAATTGGGAATTGGCGGCGTTGGTTTGGATGTTGGTCTCAAATCGATACAATTGGTTAACTTTTCCATGTCGCTTGGATGCATATAGTCTTTCTCTATGTCCATTGGCAAACGCCACCGTCAATCCTAGTCAATTATTAGTTCTCACAAGTACCCCAATACGATACCTCAAGTTCACTTACCTATAGCCATTATGAACCAATGCAGCGATTTAACTCCTTCCACCTTCCCGGACCCAGTCCGCAAAGTCCTTTCTCTTACCCTGTACACCATCTTTGATTAGCACATCATATTCCCAGCAGATCAAGTATCCATCATAGAAAAGACAGGGATAACAACTCACCCTCCCATCCCAGAACCCAATTCTATCCTCGGTGAGCCACGCAAACGGGTTGCCACCAGGCACCTCGCCCTGAGCGATGTCGACCTTGCGGCCCTTGCCGATGCGGCGGCGCGCCTCCTCGCGCTCCGCCTCGCCCGCCCACCGGCTCCACTGGATGGGCTTGAGCGGCGCCGACGACAGCACGATGCCCGTCGCCACGATCAGCACCGACAGCAGCGTCTCGGCGACGATGTCGGCGGGCAGCGAGGGGACGGACGGGGCCGAGGTGTGCGATACGGTCGAGTGCAGAGCCGAGTGCTCGTGCGCGGAGTAGACGCTGTTCATGTTTCGCGAACGTGTTAGCCAAACGACGGTGGTGATGGTGATGGGAGGTAGCAGGCCGACGGCACAGTCGGACCAGCTGGCCGATGCTGGGAGAAGGGAACGGAGACGTACGCGTGGGAGAGGAAGACCACGCCGATGGCCACGAGCAGATTGGAGAAAACGGCCATGGCGAACTCTGTGGGTTGCGAGTTGGTGGAGGATAGACGGTAATGGGAGGGTTGAAAGCTGACGCGATGGATTTCCACGGATAGCCGATGCCAAGACGGCGTGGTGACGCGCAGACAATTTGATGCCGCGGGGTCAAACACGCCCCAGATGCCAATTCTTGTGCGGCTCCCGGCCCGTTCGCCGGATCAGACCTGCAACTGACGGGTGCGTCCGCTCAGACGATTCTGGTTTACCACAATTGGAAGCACACATGGTGTGAAAGTCATGAATACATGCGTCAAGAGTTGTGCCATCTTCTTAATTTTTTTGTTGGCTTATCTATACGCAAACGCTCATAAGACATCATAACCATAACCCTCCAGTATCCTATCGTGAGCTGAACATGTGGCTGATGCCAGCGCATGCGCAAAAGAAATGCTCAAGGTCATAGAGGCCTAGAAAATTTTTGAAAGAGAAGGAAAAAGCGCTCTACAACTTCTGCATGGCAACGACATCGGTGGACTGGACGTGGTCCTCGTCCTCCTCGATCTTCGCCTGGAGGTCATCAAGAGAGACCTTGTCGTCCTCAACGACCAGGTTGATCTGGAGCTTCTTGATACCGAAACCGACGGGAACGAACTTGGAGGCACCCCAGACAAGGCCGTCCATCTCGATAGCCTTGACGTTCGCAGCCATCTCGTCAATGTTGGTCTCGTCATCTGCAACTTGTTAGCATCATGTCAAGGCACTGCCTGCTGATTATGACTCACCCCAGGGCTTGACGTCGAGGGTGACGATGGACTTGGCGGCAGGCTTGGTCTTGCCCTCCTTCTTCTTCTTGTACTCAGCCAGACGCTCCTCCCTGACCCTCACGGCCTCAGGGTCCTCCTCCTCGTCGTCAGAGCCGAAGAGGTCGACATCGTCATCCTCCTCCTCAGCAGCCTTGGCGGGGTTGACGGCGAGCTCAGCGGCCTCAGGGCCGTACTCGGTGACGGGCTTGGAGGCGTCACCGGGCAGAGTAGCGAACTCAGCCTCGAAAGTGGCGATGTGCTTGTACCAGCGGGCAGCGTGGGGGAACTTGGCAGCGTCGGGGGCGGCGCTCACGCCCTTGAAGACGGCGACATCAGCCTGGGAAGGAGCGTAGCTGTGTTTCGATCAGCGCGCTGTCCATTTAAAGCGCAGAAGCGCATATGAATGCAAGATTGTGGATAGCGAAGCTGGATCAGAGGTGCGCGAAGCGCTTGTTGCCGACTCATTTGCGGGGTCTTAAGCCGCTCATAAACACGGACCAATTTTTCTCATCATGAAGCTGGTGCTGGGGAAAGCGGGTATGAAGCAGAGCTGGAGGGCTGGAAGTACTCACCCAACAATGTAGCTGCGAGTGGAAACCCAGTTGTTAAGGACTGGTGGCGGTTGCGTTAGTCAAATTTCGACGCCCCAACTCCTCCGCAGCGGTCAGGCAGACATACGGGTAAGGCCAGCGTCGGAGACGAAGTCGGTGAAGCCCATTTTGAAGGTATGTGAGGAGGAAGAGAGGTGGTTGTGGGTATCAAAAAGAGTTGGAGGGGAAGACGTGGATGTTTTGTGGTTGGGCAGAAGTGAGGGAAAAAGCTCGTCCAAACCCCACTGGGTTTTGTCGCTTCTCTCGCCCACCTTCTTCGGAGAGCGTCGGCCCGCATGTGGCTGGTGCCTTGGTGCCTGAGGCGCAGTGGGAAAATCTCGGGCGAGAGATCGCAGATGGTCGAGCATGAGATCGTCATCGCCGAAGCTCCTCGAAGCATCGACCCGCTGCAGTGCGTTTCTACCCTGGCTCGTGGTCCACAGCCAGCATGCTATATTATGCTGCGCTCTGGCCCGTATAGTCAATTGCTTCCATTTTGCACACATTGCCACCAAAATGCTACCAACACGCGCCAAGCTCGCCGCAAGGCGACTCTCTGCATCCGTCCACGATGTTTCGATAACAAGACCACTGGCTGCACGGCCACTTGCCGTGCTCTCCCGGCCATTGAACAGTCAGCCACGGCTTACCGCGAATGCCGTCCGGCCTATTACTGCCATTAGGCATTATGCCAATGGGCGACCACATCCTCCAGGCGGCACCCATCGCATGAATATGGGTGGCGGCGAGGAGGAGAAGCCTGCACTCGAACAATACGGCGTCGACCTTACCGCGAAGGCCAAGGAAGGAAAACTAGACCCTGTCATCGGCAGAGACTCCGAGATCCATCGTACAATCCAAATTCTATCGCGGAGAACGAAGAACAATCCGGTTCTCATCGGTTCTGCGGGTACCGGAAAGACGGCGATCTTGGAGGGACTAGCCCAGCGAATCGTAAGAGGGGACGTTCCAGAGTCAATCAAGAACAAGCGCGTCATTGCGCTTGACCTTGGTTCGCTCATTGCCGGAGCGAAATTCAGAGGAGACTTCGAAGAGCGGTTGAAGAAGGTGCTGAAGGAGGTCGAGGAAGCCCAGGGTGGAGTAATCCTGTTCATCGATGAGCTGCACACATTGTTAGGTCTCGGCAAGGCGGAAGGCAGCATCGACGCGAGCAACTTGCTCAAGCCTGCCTTGTCACGAGGAGAGCTGCAGTGCTGTGGCGCCACCACCCTTAACGAGTACCGGCAGATCGAGAAAGACGTTGCCCTTGCCCGGCGTTTCCAGCCGATTCTTGTTGGAGAGCCGACCGTTCCCGACACCATCTCGATTTTGCGCGGTATCAAGGAGAAATACGAAGTCCACCACGGTGTTCGAATTACCGACGGAGCTCTTGTGGCCGCCGCTACCTACAGTAATCGGTACATTACCGATCGTTTCCTCCCCGACAAGGCCATCGATCTTGTAGACGAAGCAGCTAGCGCTTTGCGACTCCAGCAGGAGAGCAAACCTGATGCTATCCAAGAGTTGGACAGGCAAATTATGACCATCCAGATCGAGCTGGAGTCATTGAGGAAAGAGGACGATATCGCAAGCAAAGAAAGACGAGAGAAATTGGAGGAACAGCTCAAGAGCAAGCAAGAAGAGCAGTCGAAACTGAACGAGAAGTGGGAGGCCGAACGACGTGAGATCGAGGAGATCAAGACCGTCAAGGAGAACCTCGAGAAGGCTAGGGTGGAGCTCGAACAGAGTCAACGAGAGGGCAATTTCGCGAAGGCCAGTGAACTTCGCTATGCAACCATTCCGGCGCTCGAGCAGAAACTTCCCAAGGACGGCATGGAGAAAGGCAAGTCCCCGGACAGCCTTCTGCATGACTCCGTCACTGCAGACGATATCGCCAACGTCGTCAGCCGAACTACCGGAATCCCGGTCACCAAGCTGATGTCTGGCGAGATGGAGAAGCTCATCCACATGGAGGACATTCTCCGCCAGTCGGTGAAGGGACAAGATGAGGCTCTGACGGCGGTTGCCAATGCTGTACGCCTGCAACGTGCTGGCCTCAGTGGCGAGAACCGCCCGCTTGCCAGCTTCATGTTCCTTGGGCCTACTGGTGTGGGTAAGACGGAGTTGTGCAAGAAGATGGCCGGATTCCTCTTCTCCACCGAAACCGCTGTCCTTCGCTTCGACATGAGCGAGTTCCAGGAGAAACACACCGTGAGCAGGCTCATCGGCAGTCCTGCTGGTTACGTCGGATACGAGGATGCCGGCCAGCTCACTGAGGCAGTGAGGCGGAAGCCGTACGCGGTACTGCTTTTCGATGAGTTCGAAAAGGCACACCGCGACATCTCCGCCCTTCTACTGCAGGTTCTTGACGAGGGCTTCCTGACCGACGCTCAAGGCCACAAGATCGATTTTCGCAACACAATCATTGTCCTCACGTCGAACCTCGGCGCCGAAGCAATTGTCGGCGACGACATGCTACACAAGCACCAGGTCGACACAGAGACGGGAGAGATCTCACCGGCCGTGAAGAAGTCGGTGATGGACACGGTAGCTGCAAACTACCCGCCCGAGTTCCTCAACCGGATTGACGAGTTCATCATCTTCAGGCGGCTGTCGAAGGACGCGCTGAAGGACATTGTCGACATCCGACTGAAGGAGCTCCAGCAGCGACTGGAAGACAGGAGGATCACGCTGAAGGTGCCGGAAGAGGTCAAGCAATGGCTCTGCGATAGGGGCTACGACCCCAAGTTTGGCGCCAGACCATTGAACCGACTCATCTCCAGAGAAATAGGCAACAGACTGGCGGACAAGATCATCCGTGGCGAGCTCAGGAACAATACGGTGGCGGCTGTGGCCATCAATGAGGGCGAGACCGGTCTCGAGGTGTCAGCCGAGACATCGTGAAGTCCAAATGGGGCGTTGCATGGATCGTAATTAGGTTGGTGGATGGGTCATGTGGGTTGACGGGGTTTGGCGCACGTTCTCGTTACTGACAGGCGAAGGGAAAAGATGGCTTGTTACGGCGAGATGAGCGAGCAGGTACACGGCATAAGGGTTGCATTTGCAGGCGTTTTGGGCGGATCTCTGCTTCATGTACGACTACGTGTTAATGTAAGTATCGGGTAGGTAATGCATCTCACTCTGGACGCCGAATGTGCAAGTCTGGGCGAGTCGCCGTGTGGGGTCGGTAACTGGAGGGCTGGGCCGCGCCAAGCGGCACCGCGCGCTGTACTGCGGTAATCCGGCATCCAGAGCATCCTATTCGCCGCCGACGTCGAGAGCCGCCTGAGGAAATGTCTGCCCGCGCAGGTCTGGGGCGCGGGGCAGCGACAGGCGAGTATTGCGGTCTCGAGACTCACCGTCACCGTCCCACCGTCCCACGTTTCCTCCTGCGCATCCCCCCTGGCACTGACTGGTGCGTGCCGCTGCACCAGGCCCCGAGGGGCGTGCGAAATCGGGCCGTGACCCACGATGGCTGGGATTGGAGGCGCATGTCGGCTTTTGAAGGCAAAGGCTCTGCGGCGTCGCCACACGAACGCGGGGAGCTGTCTGGGGCGCCGTCAGCACAAACAGGTTGCCGCTAATTTGGGCTTGGGGCTCCGCTTCTTTTCTCTGGTCGGCCAGCAATCCGCGCTGCATCGCCCGCATCTCTCCTCCGTTGCGCGCTCGCTGCTCATGGATCGCTCGTCGCCCGGCTAATCACCGTCCTGCTCTGCCTCACGCCGTCGCTTATTGCGCTGCAGCGAACAGCCGTTGCCTCGGCTCCGACAATCCCCGTCTACAGCGACTCCGATCTCGACCTCCCGCGGCGCTCAGCATGCCCGCCGCTCAGCCCGCCAACAAGCAGCAGTCGCAGCAGCGGAAAGCGCCTCGCAGACACGTCACCACCGCGTGTCTTGCATGCCGTGAATCCAAGATCAAGGCTTGCCTCACAGAGCCTTGCGCCCCAGACAATCGCTAACCGCTCCCAGTGCGACGGCGGCCAGCCAAGCTGTGAAAAATGCAAGGCCAAAGGGCGGGAGTGCAAGTACTCCCAGGATGAGGACAAGAGGAGGTACGTCTCCTGACCCGTCGCGGCCCCGCGCGTGTTGACCGAGCGCTGTCAGAGTTTCGCTGCGCAATGCCATCGAGATACTTTCCGCACGAGTGGACCAGTTAAGCCAACACATCCTCAACAATGGCCTCCAGCTCCCACCAATGGAACCTGAGGCTGCCGCAAGCCTCAGCCGCATCCTTGACGTCTTGCGCCTGCCCGCTGCCAATTCATCAGCCATAAAAGCTGCAACATTCGTTGCTCCCAATCCACCTGCCGACCACGGTCCCACTGGACTGGACTTTGCGCCCGCTGGCTTTGACTGGAATTTCCTCGATGGCCAGTCATGGGGCGCTCATTTCAATGCCGCCGCCAACGTCAACCAAGGTTTCAACACTGGCGTAGATCCGTCTTCGGTTCCTAGGCCGCCTGTTACAGATTCCGCTCATCCGACGAGCCAAGCGTTTACCACTCCCTCTGCGAGTCAGCCGTTTGCGTCGCCGCCTACTCAAGCGTACACTTCGCCGCCCACAGCGCAACCTCTTACTTCCCCTCCAACGACTCAGGCGTATACCTCGCCCTCGCAAACCCAGCCTGTTCCCACGATTGAGCAACATCCAGGCTTGACCGACAGCTCTGCGGATGATGCTGACGATGACAGCGACGATGAGCTGATTAAGCAGATTTCTACTCGTATGGGATCTTTGCAGCTTGCTCCAGACGGCCATTTGCGTTACTATGGAGCAACTTCAAACATTCTCTGCGATTTCCCGGACACTGATCACCACCAGACCAGGAGATCTGTTCGCAAAGAGGGTCGGGATGTTCTGGAAGCCAACAACCTGGACAAGGCCGTGGATCCCGCTATTGAGGAGCACCTGATCAACCTCTACTTTGCATGGCAGGATCCGTTCTTCCATGTCGTTGACGAGAAGATGTACCGAGTCGGCAGGGAAGAATGGCGCGTACAGAAGCGAGACGTGGGTTACTACTCGGAGGTGCTCACTAACGCTATGTGCGCTGCTGGTGCCGCCTTTGACGCCCGGTATCACCCTAACTTTGTTACATGGCCAAAATCTCTTGCGGACTACTTTGCTGACAGGGCCAAGGCTCTGCTGGAACTCGAAATGGACAGTCCTTGTCTGGCCACTGTGCAAGCTCTCGTCATTTTGGGAGGCCACGAAATGGCTTGCAAGAGAGACGCGCGTGGCTGGCTGTACAGTGGTATGGCCATGCGGCTTGCGTTTGACCTTGGTCTCCATTTGGATATGACGGACTATGTCAGGAAGGGAAAGATCTCTGCAGTTGAAGCCGACATCCGTCGGACTACGTTCTGGGGCACCTACATTGTGGATCACCTTTCCGGATTCTACTATGGCAGACCTGTCAGGATCAACAACGGTGACATTGCCGTGACAAAACCCACTGCAGAGCAGGCCAATGCTATCATGAGCGCTTGGGTACCTTATGGCTCACATTCTCCCATGGCATCGGACCCTACCCTGTGCTACCAGGTCCCACTGGAGTTGGTTACCAAAGCATCCGTGGAACTCTGCGAGACCATGGAGCCTCTAGGTCACGTTCTTTACGGGGTTTCAAATATCTCTCGGCAGGAGCTCCACCTCCTTTCCTACCGCGTGACAGGCGAAATGCTTGACTGGAAGGCGAATTTGCCCCCTCTCCTGCAGGTCAACTACCATGATACCCAAACCGCCTATCTGCCTCATGTCTTGATGCTCCACATGCTCTACCATCAGATGATGATTTACATCCACCGGCCGTACGTCTCGAAAACTTACATCCAACCGATGCCGCCACAGGGTCCGGGTCATATGCACGCTCAGCAGATGTGCATCGAGTCGTCCACTGCCATTGTTGATCTTCTTCGTCTGTATGAGCAGCGCTATACTTTCCGCCGCATGAACATTCATGCCGTCTCTGTCATTTTCACTACTTCACTCATTTTAATCTTCATCATCTGCTCCAAGCAGAGAGGAAGCACACCTCCACTACCTGTCACAGGCTCAAGCGAGTCAAAGGCCCGCGCCAAGAGCCTTGCCAACACTCCGGCAGAGAACGCCATCGCCCAGCTTAGCGTCTGCTTCCGCGCCCTGGAGGATCTTACCCAGTCGTACGACTCGGCTCGTCGTACTCGAGAATTCCTCGTCGCGCTGCAGCAGCGCTGGCAACAACAAGCGCAGCGCTGGAACCGCAGTCACAGCGCCGGTGGCGGCTCCAAGCGTCAGATGAAGGACCGCCCGCAGCCAGCAACCCAGCACGAGACGAAGCGGCCCCGTGGAAGCACGTACGGCTCCAGCTCCCTAACCGGCACGGCAGGGCCTGGTGGTGACGCGGGTTCCGCTGCCAACCAGCAGCAGTCTTCAAACGCCGGACAGCAGCAGCACAACCTCCCAGGCGGCATGGGTCCTGGCGCAGTCGGCGCCGGAGGCAACGATTTCGACATCGACTGGAGCGGCTTCGGCGCCGCCGCCCGCGATGGCCACAACAGCCCGGACAGCCTGGGTGAGGACATCCTCGCGCAGCTCTGCTCGATCGGTCCTGCTGGCGTCGCGTTCCCTTGAACGGGAGCGCAGCGCAACAAGGCCCGGTTCGATCCTGCTGCCGCGCAAGCAAGCTACGTGCAAGACGTCGTCGTCGCCGATTTGGTTAAGATTCTTTTCCTTTTTGACCGACGGATCTCACACTGTCTCTACCACACACATCCTTCCTATATCCCTTCGCAACGGCCGAAACCTGACCTTTCTTGAGCGTGCAAACTCCTGTTCGTGTGTTTGGTCTTGGGTCTTGCTCTTATGTTGGATGTTCAAGTGTTTCAGTGCGTTGCAACCGTTTTTGCTTTGCGCGCGTGTGGGTCTGGGGCCCATCGTTCTCCATCGTATCTGCTGCACCAACCCCCCCTTGTGAGGAATAGTCTCCTATTCCTCGCAAGTGCCTCAATGAGGGCTGTAAGAAGCCCTCGTCCGTTTTATTATCTCCAAAGCTTGCTTTGGCACGGCAAAAGGACCTATCTCTTTTGTCGGGACTCGTGTCGATTTTGGTTTTTTTACCTTTTCTATGGGTTTGCTCCCTTCTTCTTCTTCTTGGACGTGGGTTGTATACGATCTAGTATCAGCTCTGCCAAGTAGGAAGGGAAACCCAGGTCACAATGTCTCATCGGCCGGAAGCCATGCAAGCGAGGAGCAAACCGGAAGGGGGGAGGAAAAGAAAAAGTTGTCTGAGAAAAAGCATATATGAAATCGTTGGTCGGGTATGGAGTTGTGTGGGAGGAAAGGAGAAGGAGAGAGAGAGCTTTGTTTCTTCTCCTCCTTTTTCTTACCTTTTGCGAAGATGGCGAGGAGTTGGAGGATCCAATTTGGCCAGCCTCGCATTGAGGTTTCTTTTGGGTGGATGTTTCGGGCTGTTCCCTTGTTTAATTTGTTTTTTTGTTATGGTGTTGTTGCTCGTGGAGGGCGTATACCCTCTGCCGCTTTTTCCACTCTTGTGTTTTTGGTCTTGCGTATTAGCGTTGATAGAATTGGACGGTCTTCTCTTTCTTATCCCCTTTTACTTACGGTCTCCCCATGGCTGCCAATGTGATGAGACGTGCGTGAGGACTGCCAACTCTACTCGTATAAAACATTCTCACGGTTTTAATCATGGGGCTTCGAACAGCCACCTTGGCGCCGAAATCGGCAGTAGGAAAAAAAAAAGTGACATCACGAGGTGCGGAGGTGCATCAATTGCAACGAACAAAGGAATCTTTCTCGATTCGACATACGCTCAATATGTACTGCTCATCTGTTCTATCACATCTAACATCGCGCATTTTTTTCTTTCTACGCTGACACACACTCTCTTTCTTTCTTTCTTTTTCTCTCAACCACCCAGCATCTAAGCCTTGCTCAACAAGCCCTTCTCAGTCAAGTAATCGACAATCTGCTGGACAGCAACCTCAACGGGCGTCTCAGCCGACTTGATGAGGATCTCGGGGTTCTCAGGCTCCTCGTAGGGGGCCGAGATGCCGGTGAACTCGGGGATGATGCCGGCGCGGGCCTTCTTGTAGAGGCCCTTGGGGTCGCGCTTCTCGGCGTCCTCGACGCTGATCTGCACGTAGACCTCGATGAAGGGGAGCGGCTCGTCGGCGCTGCCCTCGGGGACGGCGGCGTGCAGGGCGCGCGCCGAGGCGCGGTCGGCCTTGTAGGGCGAGATGAAGGAGGTGATGGCGATGCTGCTGCTGTCGGCGAAGAGCTTGGCGACCTGGTTGGGAGTGTGAGTTTGGGGTCGCTGGGTGTGGGGGAGGGAGGGGAGGGGCGTGAGAGAGGAAGAGAGGCGTGGTTGGGGTTGGCGCTTGCGTGATGCTGGGCGGGCGTGCTTGGCTGGGCTGGGCTGGGGCGGTGTTGGTGTTGGTGGTTGCACATGGCTGATGATGCCATTTGCACTAAAACCGCCGACATTTGCGCCCTCTTGTGCTGACAGCGGTGCCGCGAGCCTGGTGTGTATGCGCTGGAAGAGAGCGGTGTTTCCTCATACCTCGCCTATCCTGCGGATGTTCTCGTTGCGGTCCTTCTCGGAGAAGCCGAGGTCCTTGTTCAGGCCGAAGCGGACGTTGTCGCCGTCCAGGCGGTAGGCGGCGTAGCCGAGGTGGAGCAGGTGCTGCTCAAGAGCGGTGGCGATGGTCGACTTGCCCGAGGCCGACAGACCGGTGAACCAGAGGGTGAAGCCCTTCTGTTTGCGGTACTCGCTGCGCTCCTTGCGAGTGAGACCGGGGTGCCAGGTGATGTTGCTGTGAAGCAGGCCGCAATGTTAGCTTGTATGTGCTATTCTCGGCTGCGCGCTGTTGTCTGAGGTCTGATGCGGTGGTGTTGGGTGAAGTGTAAATACTGCGCGGCGAAGGTTCCGATAGCGGGGCAGACTGTGCAACGAAAATTCGTAGTGAAGCGGAGGAAAACTTACGTAGCCATTGTGAAGTGTGGAGAGTGTTCAATGGGTATCTGAAAGGTGGGAGAAGTGCAAGCTGGGGTTCAGGAGAGAGGAAGACGTGGAGGGATGGAGAAGAGGGTCTTGGGGGAGTTTTTGATTAGCGCTTGACGTTGCCCCTCCTGCTCAAACGCGCGGCCAAGCGGCGCGTTGCCCGTAGGGCTGCCACACGCGCCTTCTCCGTCCGGCTTATTACCCTTCAACATCCGCTTTCCTGCAACCTGCCCTAAACGGACGGAGATGCCTGCTTTCGGCATATGCGCAGCCGATGCTCGACCTCAGCAGCGATGACTCGATTCACGCCCGCAATGCCATGAGTGCTGCGATGACGCCGCGTATCGATAAGGCCTAAAGTGCGGGAAGATCGCAATTCCGCACGTCGTCATCCGCGTCTGAGCGGAGGGCGCCTCGTCTCATCTTGATGTGGCCAATTATAGCCACCCCATGCTCACCCCCAAACTAACATGTTAGTGGCTCTACATTCTCCATCAGAGAGCAACGTCTAGTTACCACGATGAAATACATCCACCTGCGGCATTCAAAGTCTTCTCTTCAATCATTTGAATTAACTAAACCCCTAGACATCCGCCAACTTTTAATTGGGCATCTCGATGTGATGGTGGGATGGGTTATTTAACCGAACGGTCACACAGCATGAGACGAGACACATTGATAAATCCCCGCCTTATCACATATAGAGGGTTATTGTAGCCGAAGGCTAGCGCGAAGAACAGCAGGATTGTCCAATCTAGGGTAACTATGTCTCAGTTTTTTTTTTCTTTGGGGGGGGGGGGGGGGGGGGGGATCAAAAAAACAGGACAAGATATGAGTGGTTGAACTATCGTCTGGACGAGAATGTCGAATTCAACACTCTACATCCACGTCCGGACGGTGGTTTCAACCGCCCATGGCATGAGCGAAAAACAAATTAACGCTAGCCTTAGGATGAAACCTTGCTGGAAGAGGTCTGAACCAGGCTATCAGCCCTCAGTCTTGAGTCGCTGGGTTCCCTTGATGTTGCTAAGCAAAAGTAATACCGCTGATCGATCCTGAGTTGTGCCCAAGCTGGAAACCCCTATTATCATTCCCAGAGAAAATGACGGTGGCCCGTTGTTCTCTCTCGACCAAAACCTTCTTCACTGCCTTGTGCAAGCCCGGATCTTGGTTTGCAGCCACACTTTCCAAGAGCGGGAGATCGACCTGTGCGCCCATGCTTGAGACCTCTTCATCGCAGAGGCTGCTCTGGGTGAATTGATTTGCCGGCAATAACTTCTCAAGATCATCGAGAAGGGCTTTGATGCTTTCGAGCAGTGTCTTGAAGTGTTTCCTCTCATAAAGCGCCCACTTTGTCTTCCTTGTCAAGCCCACTTTCTTCTGTCGTGCTTGCGCAAGGCTGCGCATATGCTCGTGGAGGACCAGCATTTGTCTCTCCATGTCGGTATCGGGATCGTACGTTGCTAGCTCTGTTGCTGGGCCAGCCTTTTTCTTGAATCGATTCGAGACTTCTTCCGCCTGAGCGAAGAGGTAGAGGATTTGCCCGATCGTTTGCCTGACTTGCTGAAGCGCGTCTGGTGGGAAGTTTCCCTCGTTTTCCTGGATACAGACAAATTCACCCCAGCGGGAAAGGCGGAGACGAGCGTTATCCAGCTGCAACTGGCTGGTGCCGAAATCTCTGCCGAAATTGCGACCAAGCTGGACGAACTCGAAGCAGTCGACCGCGTTGTTGAATAGGCCGGCGAGGCCCAAGGCCCCGATTGCTAGGCCGGGGATTTCCATGTTTTGGTGAGCTGGTTGCCTTCTGCTTGTACTGGGCTTTTACCTCTTGGAATATTTGCGACCCGAAGTATCTCATATAGACTGGTTTATATCCATCGACATACTGCCAACAGCTGTCGTAAAAGCCTCCTCTGTCAGGGCTATAATAGAATAGGCAGCCACCGCTCCCACCGCCTCCCGCTTTCCCCGCTCTCTGTAGCACCTTGGCTCATTCTGGCCAGGTGAAGGCGATGGCTATGGCGACGGCAAGGCTGTAGTGTAACCATGAATCACTGTCGATCCAAGACAGTACGACCAATCATGCCTTAAACTTAGGCTCCTTTTTCACTTTTGACACATTTGCCTATTTACACGGCATGAAGGCAGCCTCACATAAGCACTACTAATGCGAGATATGCAACGTATGTATGAGTTCGTTGGACAGCTGGCGAGGTTATATGTACGCAAGGGCTGTCTTGTCCATTTCTGCCTCCCCTGACCTGCGCCGCTCGTGTCCAGGGGCTGTGCAAGCATAGGGCTGTGGCTCTCTGCGCCATACTACACCGCATCAAAATTCTGCCCTAACGACACTATCTCGTCACAATTCGAGAGCCCATTGTCCGAGGCTGCGCCAAGGCTAGTTGGGCTTCGGGGCGAAAAACTGTCATCCGCCATGGATTTCTCGGGCGCGCAAAACCGCGGGCTCCAGATTGGATATAACTCAGGGACGATTCAGTTCGGTCGCGCTGCTGGTAGTCTCTCAGTTCGGCGGAGAAGTGCACGGCTAATACTAACTCTCTTACAGATTTGCGCCGATCTCCTGACCCGAAAACCTTTTGGAACGTACCGTTCCGCCGAAATCCTGACTTCGTTGATCATGGAAACGTATTGCCTTTGATTGCTGATGCGATGGCTCGTCCTTCCGCGCGTTTTGCTCTCACGGGCCTCGGCGGCATCGGGTGAGATATGTCTGGCCCTGTAGACTAGGATACTTCAACTTACAGTGATTTAGAAAGTCCCAATTTGTCATCGAATTCGCATACCAGTTCCGCGCAAGTCTTCCAAATATCGGACCACCCGCATTCTGCTTTTGGGTGGATGCCAGCAGCCAGTCTCGATTTGAAAATTCCTTCATGGACATTGCTGTCCAACTTGGTTTGGTGCAGCGCGGCCCGGAAGGTACTAAACAACGAGATATCCTCCAGGCTGTGAAAGATTGGCTTGTTAATGAGATGAATGGGGACTGGTTATTGGTTGTCGACAACGCGGACGACCACTCTGTTCTGTTTGCGCCTGACACCGAAGGCTGTGGCACCGGGGAGACGAAAGGGAGCCTTGCGAATTTTCTACCTCAGTCTCCGAACGGCAAAGTGTTGATCACCTCAAGGTACAAGACTCTGGCGCAAAGACTTGTCGGATACCGCCTTGTAGATGTTCTGGAAGTACGACCAATGCCGCACTTACAAGCTCTCGATTTAATGCGGAAGAAACTCTCTGTCGATCGATTTGAGGAGACATCCGCTTTTCAGCTCCTGGAAGCCTTGGATTTTATCCCTCTAGCAATCGTCCAGGCATCAGCCTACATCAACCAAAGAAGACCATTTACATCTATACGCAAATACCTTGAGGACTTGGGACAAAATGGACCTGCAGTTCGCCATCTGCTAGAACATAACGCTGGCGATATAGACTTTGGTGGCGCTAGTTCTAGGTCAATCCTATCAACTATAAAACTGTCGTGGGACTTCATACGGAAGTTGCGACCAACCGCTGTACGGCTAATCTCATTGATGGTCTTCTTCAATTGCCAGAGTATTCAAACATTTCTCCTTCATCGGAACCGGTACCAGTACGCTTATGGTTGCACAATACGTCATTATGGTCGGCTTCGCGACGCAAAAATGGGAGGCTCCCATGCTTCAGATATCTCCAAGTCTCCGCTCTCTACGATCGAATCTCGCCGCGCGTATACGCAGACATCATCCGGTTCTGTGGCAAATTTTGAAAGCAATGCAATGGACAGAAGCCTTCATGTCCATTGCAAACACCCAATATCCAACAATGAAAAGGAGTTTGAAGAGGACGTCCACTTTCTTCAAGATTTCTCTTTAGTCTCGATTAGCATAGATGGATCTGCGCTACAGATGCACTCTCTGGTACGGACTGCCATTCGAACCTGGCTGAAGGACCTCAAGGAGGACAAAAAGTGGGAATACTTGAGCATTCAAGTACTCGCAGAGGAGTTTCCACTCCACACTGAGCTCGAGCCCTTGCATTTCTGTGAGCAGCTGGTGACACACGTGGAACTCGACGTCGAGCCACCACCCTACGGGGATGCTTTCAAGGATTGGGCTCAGATAATCGTCGCAGTCGGGTCTTACGCCTCCGATCGAGGAGATTGGTGCTTGGAGCGCAAAACAGTTGAGATGGCTTTACGGTTTATGAATACTCATGGGCGTGAGACGTTTCATAAAGAGGTTGCTTTTTCAGTCACGACAACTCTGGCTTTTCTATTAGCTGAAACTGGGGATTGTGCAGCTGCCAAGATGCTACTCGACAGCCTCGAAGACGACCGCAAAAGGCTACCCTCACGGCATCCAGACTTACACACAGACCTGCGAACTCGAGCAGAGGTTTGCCGTAATCTAGGAGGATTCAATGAAGCAGAAGCGCTGCTTCGCAAAGCATTCGACACTTGGAGAAGTATTGATGGGGAAAATGGATTGCGAACCTTGGACGCAAAGTACGGTCTTGGGATATACCTCTTTGGTCAAGAGCGATATGAAGAAGCGAGAGACATACTAAGCTCGATAAAAGGACAATATGAAGAACTATACGGTGAGGGAGACTTTAAACTTCTGTCCCTCATGTTTGGTCTCGCGCGTAGTAATCACATGACTGGGGAATTTGAGGTTGCTGAAAACCTTTACCAGAGAATTCTGGAGCTCTTGACGGAGGAAACTCCTGGGAACTGTTGGGCGAAGGCATATGTCATCTATGACATGGGGATGCTACGCCAGTCCCAAGGCAGATACGATGAAGCTAAAATCTTGTTCCGTGACGCGCTGGAACGACACGAGGACACGGTTAGCAAAGATGATAGTGAATATGCGGAGAAACTGAGAGAAGATTTGGAGAATGTATTGCGACTGTAAGCGGAACGAAAGGACACTGCAGAGCTATCCCGTAACTAAATGACGCACAACGATGTCAGAAGGAACGTTATTGTTAAGAAGATCTGACCAAATTTGACATAAAAATTCATAATAATTGCATTTGAGCCTCGAATCAAAGAAATATTTGCAGCATCACTTATTTGTTACGTATGTGAGTAGAGCATTTGTGTTGGCTCTTCACAGCGACATCCGATTTAGGCATCGGAAGCGGCTGAGCTGGAATTGCTCTCGGGTATTGGAGTTGGAAATCTCGGCAAGTGCCCCCAGGTCGACGAGAACTTCATACGGAGTTGATCTATGTGACTACACCCCTTTTCCAAGGTGTGCCTGGTATGCATTGTGGGGACCTGAGAATTTAGGCTATGCAGGACAGAGGAGAGCCAGCTGGCCGGAGCCGGGAGCATTTGGAAGCAAAAATAGACTCACCGAACCTCATCGATTTTACTCATTGAGAATTCCAGTTTCACTCGTGCGGATTGGAGGTGCTCATTGGATAGTTGCTGAGAAGATGGTGGAGAGCACAGGGAACGCGGACGCTGCCTTGAAACACAGAAGAAGAATCTTCCCGCCGTTCTTCTCTGTGGTGTAGGCATGTACCCTAGCCAGAGAGTCGTCCATGCTCTCATGGTTGCAGCAGCTTCTGCCGTGGACCCGGCGAGCGCATGAACTGTGCGCTTGGCAGCGTCCAACAAAGCTCGTATTGCTCCCCCACCTCGCAGCCACTGACGTTCAGGGAAGCTCTCTCCGAAAGACGGAGGCATCCAGAGACTCTGCACCAAAGCCTCCTGAAGCCAGTTTTGCCCGCGGCTCTGTTTGATGTTTCCAAAGAAAGAAGGGCCTTCTCTCGGAGCTCGGGAGGGGAGGCCAGGGACAATGCCAGAAATAGTAAAGCCGCAAGCCAGATTCTGTTTACCCGCAGCCAAAGTCTTCCCGGATGGAGTAACCCTGGGGGATCTGATGCAGCGGTCGTGCAGCTCAGCGGCGCAGAATGGTCCATGCCACCACGACGGCGGCCGTGCTCGGCACACCGGGACGAGGCCGCCTCGGCCTGCGGCAATCACGAGCTCTAGGTGCGTTGTTCTAGCAGAGGCTATTTTAGTCGAAGGGGTCGCTGGAAGGGGAAAGACGATGACAGTTGTTTGATGAGGTCGAGGCGGCTGAAACGGGAATAAGATTCAGCCAAGGGGCGCGCCTTGCCCGAACAGGCAACGCGATCGACCAGGCGAGCCCTTAGGTCGCCAAACCCGCTCGACGACGACAACACCATCCCGGTACATGAAACAATAATCCACAACACCATCGAAGTAGCCTCCATCGAAGCACGAACCCGCTCGTGGCCGGCCAGCAGGCCTGGCGGGGTCTGGTTCGACGACAGTGTGGCCGTGGTGACATCTCAGTCGGCGTTGCAAACTTCAGTTCACATGTATATCTACCACAGCAACCTCGCTGCAAATGTAGCTTTTCGTTCATCAACCCACTCTCACTTCCCTCTCACGTACTGGTACACTCGCCTTTTCCCCTTTTACTATCGTTACTACACAGCCAGGCTTCGCTGTTCCATTTCTCCAAAACACTTCCCAACAACTCTCCTATCGTTACCAACACTACATTCAACGACATCTCTTTAACATCTACATCTATTCAAAATGGTCTACTCCAAAAACCTCCTCGCCATCTCCCTCATGGCCGCCACCACCGCCAGCACCGTCCGCGCCACCCCAACCTTCGGCCTGCTCAGCGGTTCCGCTTCCGGCTCTGGCTCCGGCTCAGCCGATGGCAGCATCTCCGGCGACGCCAGCCTGGGCGGCAGCGTCTCTGGCGGCGCGAACGTCGGAGCTGGTTTGGGCGCGAACGTCGGAGCGGACGTCGGTGCTGGGCTAGGCGGTGCCGCCGGCGCCGCGGGCAGCCTGATTGGCGATATCGCGGGCGGGCTGTCGGGCCTGGCTGGTGCGCATGGTGGGCTGGGCGTCGGTGGTGGCGCGGGAGTTGGTGCGGGTGTCGGTGGCGATGCGAGCATTGGTGGTGGAGCGGATGCAGGCATCGGGGGCAGTGGCTCTGCGGGAGCGGGAGCGGATGGCAGTGCCGAGGGCGAGGGAGAGGGAGAAGGTTATGGTGAGGGAGAGGGAGAGGCGAGCGGATCTGCTTCTGGTATGTGGTTGAACTGATACCCCGCTCTTTTTCTGGCTGGCTTCGATGGACTTTGGCTGACTGTTGAATAGGCGAAGCAGGCGCTGGAGCTGGTGGTACGTCTCAAAAGCTTGGTGATTCGATGGATTATTCTGATAAGAACTTTAGGTGACGCCGGTGTCGGTGGTGGCATTTCTGGCGGTGTATCTGGTAAGTGTTTGCATTTGTCACGCTCTGATGGAACCATCGACTGATTGATTTCTGGAAGGCGGCGCCGGTGCTGATGGAAGCATTTCAGGGGGTGCCGGTGCCGATGGGAGCATCTCGGGGGGTGCTGGTGCCGACGGAAGCGTCTCAGGGGGTGCTGGCGCAGATGGAAGCATCTCGGGAGGCGCTGGTGCAGACGGAAGCGCATCCGGTAAGCTTCCACAATTCACTCATTACTTCCGAGGTCTTTCTGACCCAATGAAAAGGCGAAGCAGATGCCGGCCTGGGCGGAGATGCCTCAGGATCCGCCTCTGGTAAGAAAACCACGTCTCCAAAGCTCTGAGAAAGTTAAATCTGACTAATCTTGTTTAGGCGAGGCTGGACTGGGTGGCTCCGTCGGTGGTGGCGTCTCTGGAGGCCTGGGAGGCAGCGTTGGCGGTAAGCTGCTTCATTCCTTGAAATCATCTCAGCACTCCTTCTAACAACGTTCGTATAGGCGATGCGGGCGCCGACGGCTCGATCTCAGGTGGGGCGGGAGCGGGTGCTGGAGGTGGGTTGTGATCTCCCAAAGACAAACGATCTCACTTTTCTGACTGATTTTCTAGGTGATGCAGGAATCGGCGGTTCAGCAGGCATCGGCGGTTCAGCGGGACTCGGCGGTTCAGCGGGACTCGGAGGCTCAGCAGGTCTGGGAGGTTCCGCAGGCGGCGAGGCTGGAGGCTCAGCATCAGGTGAAGGTAAGCCGTCTCTGTGCTCCTTTTCTGCACAACCACATGTTGATTGCTCTTTTAGGAAGCGTGAGCGGCGAGACGGGAGGTGAAGGCTCAGCCTCTGGAGGCGTCGGGGCGGGCATTGGTGGTGAGTAGCCTAGCACTCATCCCAAGACAAATGTTTCGATCATGTACTAACGGTAATCCAGGCGATGCCGGCCTTGGCGGTTCAGCTGGCGTCGGTGGCTCTGCTGGCGTCGGTGGCTCTGCTGGCGTCGGTGGCTCTGCAGGCGTTGGCGGTTCTGCGGGTGCTGGCGGTTCTGTGGGCGCCGGTGGCTCTGCTGGTGCTGGTGGCTCTGCAGGTGCTGGTGGCTCTGCAGGTGCTGGTGGCTCTGCGGGCGTTGGTGGCTCAGCCGGGGGCGAAGCGGGTGGCTCCGCCTCAGGTGAAGGTGCGTCGGCTATGCGCTATTCCTGATGATGGCCTTACTGATCTTTTTAACCAGGCAGCGTGAGCGGTTCGACTGGCGGCGAGGGGGAGGGCGAAGGTTCAGGAGAGTCGTCGGGTGAGGGCTCAGGCGATGGCTCAGGCGAGGCTGGTGGTAAGTTATCGAATTTCAAGCTTCTTGAGATGCTCTAACGTCTTTCCAGGTTCTGCAGGTGCTGGTGGATCGATTGGTGGTGGCATTTCGGGTGGAGCCGGCGGTGAAGTTGGTGGTGAGCAGCCTCTCTTTCGATCAGAACTCTTACGGTTTTTGCTGACCAAGTCTTTTAGGTGACGCCGGCCTCGGTGGATCCATTGGCGGTGGCCTGGGTGGCTCTGCGGAAGGTATGTTCTTGAGAAGTCTCCTCTCTTCGACCAACTCGTTTTCTAACGAAAGCTTCAAGGCGGCGCGAGCGGTGAAGGCGAAGCAGGCAGCTCGGGCTCAGGAGAAGGTAGCGCCAGCGGATCAAGTGACAGCTCGGGATCCGGTGAAAGCTCTGGAGAGAGCTCAGGCGAGGCTGGCGGTACGTTATGATAGTTCAGTTTCAACCAATTGTTCTTAACTGATGACCTGACAGGTTCAGCTGGTGCTGATGGTTCGATCGGCGGTGGAATCGAAGGCGGAGCTGGTAGCAGTTCGAGCTCTGGAGAGGCTAGTTCTGGCTACGGTACTCCTCCCGGCGAGGGAAGCGCGGAAGGTAGCTCCTCCGGTATGTGAAAACTCCCCTTAACTTCACGGATTCATACTGACGATTACATCAAGGCGGCGATGATGCTGGTAGCGACGATTCGGGCGACAGCTCCGACTCAGGCGAGGATTGCGGATGCGACACTGCGGTCACCTACACCAGCAGCTTTCTTGTCACGCCCACGCCTCCTGCTGGCGGTCCCGCTGGCACGGCCACGGTCGATGGTGTTGGCGCCACCCCGCCCGCCGGTGCCGGAAGTGGCCCGAACTACGGATACGCTCGCGGCGTCACCTACGGCGCGATCGGAACTCCCTACTCTACTCCTACGCCCACTCCCACACCCGTCCAGTACGAAGGCGCCGCTAGCAAGACTACCGTTTCCAGTGTCCTGATTGCCGGTCTTGGTCTGCTCTTCACCCTGTTTTAAGCGCCCTGTTCGTGGAAGGCGCTCATGTGGTGGAATATCATTCATGCAGTAATACTGTACGGCTGTCTTGCGCATCGCTCTTGTTTTTGACTTAGCATCAGTAATAATGCCTGCTTGCCTTTTGTAGAGTCCAGTGTCTACTGGTATACGTAGTAAATAGTCAGACTTGTCGTTAAGGATTTAGAATGTCCATGCATCAGTTAGGGGCAGAACTGTGAACCGGCTGACTATCATTTCACTTACAGATGGGCTTTGTAGCTAAAGACTAGCATGAACAATAGCAATGCTTCAGCACAGGGTTATGATGCTCTAGGCCAGGGTGGACGACAAGAAGAAATAGCATTTCGCAACTTTCTTTACAATATTTGACTTGCATAGAGAGTTGAAGCTATCGTCCGGACGAAGATGTACAACTATTTTACATTCACGTTCGGATGATAGCTTCAAGTACCTATGGCACGAAATTGGATAAGCGTGTGTACACAAAGAGAAAATGCTAGCTTTCGGCTGTAGTACCTCTCTCTATTTCATAAATTTATGTGTTCAGGAACGGGATGATGGTATTGACGACCGGGGAAATGCCACAAGTCATGAGCGCATACACGACCAAAATCACCATCCATATTCGATAAACCTCCGCGGTTTTTCATTTTTCTACTTAATTTTCCGAAGCCACTCGGCTCCACGTTGAGTTTAGTCGTTGTCTGTTGTTTCTATTGAGTAGCTTTCTGTATCAAAGTCTGAGATAGAAGCCTAATGCGGCATGATAGTCTCGCCATTGTAGAACTTCTCCAACACCTCTACCTCCGATGTAGCCTGCTGCACTTCCAGTAGGTGCCTCGTCAGATACGTGAACAATTTCTCATCTTCCTCATCGTAGTAAGCCCATGTCGTGATTTTGTGATTCGAGAGGCCTCCCATGCCGTTCCTCTGGAGATACTCAACGAAGAGTTTGCTCTTGTCCTTTTTTTCGTCGCGAGGTAACGTGAAGTGGATGACGTGAGTCACGTTAATTATCTTCACACCTAAGGCAAGACTTCCGGTGGTGATCAGGACCTGGCATTGCCCGCGCCTCAGAGCTTCGACGTTAACTTCTCGCTGGCGTGGACTCATATTGTTGCCCCTCGCCCTGACTTTACGAAACCCATCATCAAGTCGGCGGGAGAGTAGATCCTCAAGGATATCGCAGTCTTCGGTGGTCTTCGTAAAGACAACAGCCCTGACCTTATCGTTCCTATGCAACGCCTTTGTAAGTCTGCTGACAAGATCCATGTAATGATTCTCGACGTTGAAGAAATGCTGGTGAACCTGTTCACCGGGAAACACCTCAGGCTCGAAACTTTCGGTGACAAATCTTGGAGATTCTGGATTATGCCATGCCGAAGATCCAACGAGCTTTTCGTAGTTCTCCCTTGTGTGCTCAGTGAAGTCTTCGTCGCCGAAAAGACACCTGAACTTGGTATTGCAGTCAGCAGCGCCATTCTCGTAGAGAAGGCGATGAAGAGTTCTCCGCGAACCATCCTGAAGCATGTCGGAAGCTTGTTCAATTACAACGTATTGAGCGGGTCCTGTCATTCGATCTTTGGCAATCCGGTTAAGCTTTCCTGTGGTGCCGATGAGAATGTCGCCAACGGTGAGATCGTCATTGCCGCCAATCGAGAGTACGGGTTTGACGTTAGTGTTGTAGCATAGGTACCAGGCTCTTTTGAAGATTTCGATGGCCAGGTCCCGCGTCGGACATACGATGATGGCGAAGGGTGCTCTGCAGCTCCGTCCCTGCACTTCAGCGAAATCTTCCGGGGACATGTAGGCAATGGCTGACTTGTCGTTCTTGATAGAGGCTTTCATGATTAAGCCTAGCAAGGCTGCCGTCGACTTCCCGCTGTTCACTGGAGAAAAGACTAGAGCATCGATATCATCGCACTCTGTTTTCTGGAAGAGTTCAAGTATGCCCACCTGTATATCGGTGAAACCGGTGATGCTCAAGTCTTGGAGATTTTTGGTCAGCTGTACCGCCGAACGAACAGGTCCAAACAAGTATCGCGATACTGAAAAGAGTACTGTAAAGTCAAGCACGGTGATCATGACACTGCCTTTGTATTGCAGCCGCTCCTCGTCAAGCAAGACTGAATCCTCAGGGCTGAGCAACGAGTAGGTGGTACATGTAGGTAACGTGTGTGCAGACCGAAAGCGACGGATTGACTTCTCGACACAGAAGAAGAACTCCGGGATGTACTCTTCGGGCATGTTGAGCTCTTGATCGTCAACGGGAAACACCCATTGATCTAAGGTGTGCGTATCTCCATGACACCACTCGTCGTTCATATAGCAGGCTCGACAGAGCACAAAAGTACCGTTTGAGCACTGTCTACAGTAGAACCAGCCGGAGCGTGTCTTAGAGAACCCATGATCGCATACCGAGCACTTGAGATCCTGCAGAAAGAACTCAAGCAAAGCACTCTCGCCTGAGGAAGAGTCTGTTGCCGTCATTTTCCGAAGTGGAGCGGACTCAATGTATGGAACGGGATCCTCGGGCTCCTCACAGAGCCAGCGCATGTGGAAATTGTCGCAGGACGGAGCGGTGTACTCATCCAAAGAAGGCTCCACATGACAAGAAGATGCGATAGAAGGTGCTGAAACGGTGGCTGTTATCATGTCGTGGCTTTCAGGCTCAGAATCATCAAGCTGCTTAGTAGGCTCGATAGGCTCGGCATGGCGAAGATGACTGTCGAGGTCGGGAGAGAGGCTCTCGAAGATCATGGCAACCTCTTGCTCGATCCTCAACCTGGACTGACTGGCAGTTTGTCCGGCGGTGCCTGAATCCGGTATGGTGGACGAATCGAACTTCTCGGGGTGAAGGTATTCCATAGCTATGGTGAATTCGTTGCGATCGGGGTCGCAGTCGAGGGTACGGGTGAGCGCGGACTTCTTTGAGCCTGAAATCTGTCGATTCAACGCGGCATGGTGAGGACCAGCAGGTATGGGAGAAGAGGGTGAAGCGGCATCGTTGCGCTCAGAGTCGCCGGCAGCGTCCATGATGATGGCGCCCGGCGTGCGGTCTACGAAAGTGGGCGTGTCAGCGCATGGCAGTACAGAGGTGATCGGAAACTTACGTCTTTGAGGCTCGTCCTAAGTTTCGATGAGCGAGGATGGAAGAAAGGTGAGGAAGAGGAAGAGGTTGCGGTCGGGGCGCGGGCGGCCGGCAGCTTAACACCATCCACGCACGTGCTTCAGGCAGCTTCCCTGCGCCAGTTTCGGCAGCTACGTCATTCACCGAGGCGGTGCATGGCACAGTATTCCGACCTGCTAGATATAAATGATGCGCCTCTAAAGGTCACGCAGGACAACCTACCACGAGCTGGTGTTATACTCTCCAGCAATCTCGCCTAACAATCCCTAAGATACGCGATGGAAACCGGATTCCTGTCGATCCAGCAACTCCACCTTTTCCGAGCCGGAAAATATACCCAGCATCACTGCGGTTGTGGGTGCGAGAAAGCAGGGCAATCTGGCTCGGCAACACTTGACTGGATTCAACCACAATGACTTGAAAGCAGACTATGGTGATCTTTCGTAATTTTCTTAAGATACTAGCTTCTTCATAGATGGGATATTTGAAGCAGATGTCTTGTTCTGCTGCGAAATATAGGAATATGCAGCAGTGTCTCCATGCCCAAAGTTGAAATACCCGGTGAAGCAGAACGAGGTCCCGGAACGACAATTCACGGTGACTGTGAGATAATTAAGTCTCACCTAGCTCGAGAAGCCAGGTGAGGTGTTATACCTGGTCACAAGCAGCACTTGGGGCTCAGCTGTCATGGAATACCTTGACCATCACCTTCGACGCACGGTCCACATGGACGACCAATATCACTGATCACTTCCGCGTGCCCGCCCTGAACCTCTTCCTTCTTCTTCATCGGCTCGACCAAGGCTTCCGCAAAGATGGCTCCCAGCGACGTGACCATGTCGCAGATGTTCCAGCGCATCGTCCACGTCAAAGTGGGCAAGGAAGAGGAGATATTCTCCATCCACGCCGACCTGATGGTCCAGCACATGTTCTACTTTGCGCGCGTCCTCGAGACTGGCCCGGCCATCACTTCCTGGTCGCTCCCGACGGTAACGCCGCGCAGTTTTCACCTCCTCCTCGACTACGTCTACGGCGGACCGCTCAAGCTGAGCTGGGCCAACGTCAAGGACCGTCCCGACCTCGTCGACGCCTGGGTCCTAGGCGACATGGTAGGCGCAACCAGGTTCTCCAACATGATCATCGAGACAATCGCAACCAACGCGACGCGGCCCGGTCCGCGCTGCAAGCTGCTGCCCGACAACGTCTGCATCAACCACGCCTACACGCCCAACGTCACCGAGAAGAACGCGCCCCTCCGCACCCTCTTCGTCGACCTCTACGTCCACTTCGGCACGCCCGACACGCTGAACGAGCTGTTGGCCGGCCCGCACAACCTGCGCGACTTCTGGTTCGACTACTGCAGCCGCAGCCGCAAGAGGGACGAGCACGACACTGCCGCCCGCAAGCGCGGCACTGCGCTGCGCATGTTCAGCCCGGGCAGCTACTCCAACACGCACCCGCACTACGCCACGCCCGAGCCCATCCGCGTCACGCGCCCCGGCACCAAGGCCTACCTGTGCCACTACGACGGCGTCAACACCATCGTCGTCGAGGACGGCGGCCAGCCCCTGTTCGTCCACCGCGAGCTGTCCGAGCTGCGCCAGGACATCTTGCTGAAGTGTCCGCCGCGCGACATCGTCTTCCCCGCCGGCTGGCGCAACGCCGCCGTCATCTTCCTCAAGTGGCTGTACTTTGGCCGAGTGACCCAAGAGTACGTCCCTCTCTTCTCCCTTCTCCCCTCCCCCCTCCTCGAAACCCCCCACACGACCACTAACACCCCACCGCCACGCAGAACCCACCACCTCCGCGACTTCATCCGCGCCTACACCCTCGGCCTAACCCTGCACAACCCGCAGTTCCGCGACGACATCCTCACGGCCACCATCTCCTACTGCACGCGCAACCAGATCCTGCCCTCCGCCTCTGAACTCGCCCTCGCCTACACGTGCACCACCGGCCCGGCCTTCGAACCGCACCACAGCCCGCTCCGCCACCTCCTCGTGTGCTGGACCCTCACGCACCGCCACCACCTCGACGCCGCGGGGCTGGCCATGCCGCTCAACCCTCTCGCTTTGCCCATGGACCCGGCGCTGCGCGAGGCCCTGGCGCGCGATTTGGGTGCCGAGCGCGAGGCAAGGACGACGAGCATGATTGCGGATATGGCGGCGATGAGGAAGCTCGCGGAGGAGGGAAGAGAGCACCCGAGACCGTATGCGGATGAGAGGTTTGCGGGGGATGTGGCGCTGGGAGGGGTGGTCAGGGGCGCGGTGCCGTATTACGGGGACGATGTGTGCAGGTTTCATGCGGCGCATCCGTATTTTGGGTATAGGGCGCCGTTGGCGAATGGGGACGGGGAGGTTAATGGGGGAGTTGGTATGGCGGCTGCTGCGGAGAGTAGTGGTGCGCTGGGTGCTGCTTCTGCTGCTGGAGGGAGTAGGGGACTGGCGGCGGCTGCGGCTAAGGGCGGCGTGGAGCATGATAGGGTTGCTGCGCTGCTGGGGTTCAGCACGAAGGTGTCGAAGGCCGAGGAGGGCCGATCGAAGCAGCCGGCGATGAAGAGCAGCGCGGCAACGGGATGGAAGAATCCGGCCAACGACATGCAGAGCGAGGTCGTCGAGAACAACCCGTGCCACGCGCTTCTCCGAAAGAGAAACTGCTACGGCGCCGTCGTGGTCGGATACAGGCCGAAGCCCATCTGGCCCGAGACCGTGACCAACGGTATCGTCGACAGCGCCGTCACGTCCTCCACGGAAAGCCAGGACAAGGGCGCCAAGAGCCAGGCTGCTACGGAGCCGTTAATCGCGAAGAGGGAAGAAGACTACGCGAAGGACCCAGAGATCCTAGCCATGCTGGCCGAAGTCGAAGACAGGCTCAACAGCGTCTCCCTCACCAACACCACCACCACCAACCTCCGCCCTCCTTCCCCCCCTCCCCCGCCGCCGTCGCCCCAGCACCACCAACCGCGTCCACCACCGGCCTTGCACACCGGCCCCATGATGCAGCACCGCGCCGGCCAGACATCCACTCCCTACACGTCCCCCACGGCACCTTACTTCACCGCCGGCTTCCCGCAGCCGCAATACGACGTCGGCTACAACAGTCTCAGCGGCAGTGATGACTATGAAGACAACGAGCAGAACCGAGTCGCCGCGTTCAACGCCCTGCGTCTCCCGCCTGGCTGGCAGCAGCGCCGCTGCGTCGACGGCCGCGCGTACTGGGTGCGCTTGGTTCCTGGTTCGCAGAGGACCGAGGCGACGTGGGTTGATCCGCGCGAGGCGGTTGTCTGGAGGAGGAGCGATGAGGTGTCGTTCGTGCCGGGTATGGGATGGGGTTTCGAGGAGGGCACTGAGACTGAGGCGGATGATGACGAGAGTCAGGATGGTGCTGGTGGCCAGGACGCGGATGAGGATATGCCTGACCGTCAGCAGGTTGAGAAGAAGATGGATGAGGATGGCGGTGGTTTCGATGTCCGGGATTTCGCGCCTGCGGTGGAGGAGATGGTTGAGGCGGAGTGAAGGTCTCGAACTGACGGACTGATTCTGAGAAAACGACTTATAACGAAAAACACGATTGCGAATGAGCGGAGTTGGTGGATACTGGATTCAAGATCAGGATAAGGTTTGTTTATCACGGAGGTTCCGATGGATGGTACTGCATAAAGAGCGGCTCTGCGGAGCACTATGACTGATGGGTTCACGACTACTGGGATTCATGACCAATGAGGTTGAGCTGAAACTCATTTTCTTTTCTATAGCGCTCCATAGTCTCAATGTGTCCTACACGCCCAAGGGATAGATAGCTTAAAAAGCATGTTGAGACAACTGGTACCTACATTTTGCGCATTAATGTGTAACCCATGCAATGCGGAGAACTTATCTGAAGTTTCCCATCACGCAGTCAAACGAGCTAATGTCGGGAACTTACGTCATTCACTTTTCCGCGCCTTCTAAGGTGGGAAGGAGCTGGCGCATAAAATATCAAAATATCTTGCGCACAACCCGCCCACCCTCCGCAACTAAAACTCCTCCTCCACCGCGGAACACCTCCGCCACCAACTTCAGCCCTTGTGTCGCCTCGTGTACCTCGCGCGGAATCATGTCGCTTCAAGCTCAGGTACGTTCATTTGCCACGGCACCAGTAGTCGCCGCGCATACTGATATGAGACACAGCACGACGGTCGCGTCGAAGAGGTGCAGCACCCAATGCTCACGCCCGACGACTACATTGTCAACGATGCCACACTTATCCCCAGCGCCATCTACGATACCTTGCGATGCCTATCCCAAGATACCGACGTCATGGGTGCCAGCGAAATGCTCCAGCGCAATCCACATGGTAGCATGAACGCCGCCGCTCGCTTTGAACGCCTCCTGGGAAACGCCGAACAATGGATCAATGGCGGACTCTCCAGCTTGTCTGTCTTCGAAAAGGCCTGTATCTGGCACGGTCTGGTCGATTATCGAAGGCGCTTGGCTGGCCTAGAGCTGTCCGATCCGCAGTCCCCCTCCACTTCGCCCCAGCAGAACATCATCGCCGAATACTATGTTCCCTGGCATGCACCCAAGCCTACTAGCGATGATAGCATCTGGCCGGCTGACTCGCTCGTCGGGAACCTCAAGCTTCGCGCAAATCTTCAGGCGCTCTTTGAGTCCACGAAAAGGTTCCAGGACCAGCTGACACCTCTGGCCGTCCACACACTTCCCTACCTTATGAACCAGAACGTCATGGTCTGCTCTGGGTCGCGTAAGCTCCGATCACGTTGTCGATTGAAACACCCTGTTCTAAAAATTTGTACAGATTTCGAGAAGACACTGGCCTTGGCCATCGGTGTCGTCGATTTTGTCGTCAGATTCAGTCAATCTCCCTCCTCCCGCATTGCTCCAAAAGCCCTGATCATCCTTCCGACCAACCACTATTTCTTCGAGCTCCACTATTATCTAGTAGAGTTGGCGCAGAGGAAGCACGACTTGAGGATCAAGATCGGTGGCATCTCCACATGGGAGAATACTGTGTGCAAGGAGGTTGACAGCCTGACCACCGGCATCGACATCATGCTCGCCACGCCGGGCAAACTAGAGAGGGCCGACAGCCACGGACGCATCGACTGGTCCCGCTTGATGCTCGTCGCCATCCACGAATTCGAGGAAATGGCCCTCGACTTCTCCCACTACCTCCCACCCAGCGTCCTCGACCCCGTGCACGGCTCAATCGGCAAGACGGCCAGGGCCTACGGCACGCACTACAAGCTGCTCGTCACCTCCGACCGAGGCTCCAACCACGGCGCGCTCCTCACCGCCATGCAGTCGCTGATGCTGACCCCGGCGCCGCTCTACCACATCTCCGCGGGCTGCCCGGCCGACGACATACCCAATATTACATACCGCTTCCACAAGAGCTACAACACAACCGTCAGTCACCTGGCCCGCGAGGCGTACGAGGTCATCCAGCAGCAACACGACGGCGCCACAGCCACCACCTTGTGGTCGACAAGCGAGCGGGCCGCGGCAGCCCACAGCCTGTACAAGGCTACTCTACCTCCTACCGACCTCTGGCTCGCGCACCCCGACATGCAAGACAACGACAAGGTGACTGCCTTGCAGGACTTCCGTCGGCATGCAGCTAACCGCGGCGGATGCGTGCTGAACACGACTACCGACTGCGCGTCGGAGCTGCGCGGCAAGGCGAACTACCTGATCATTCACGCGGACTTGCCGTCGACTGCCGCCAGTTCGGACTTGTACCCGGCTTGGTACGAGTGGTTCGAGGTGTCGATCAGCGCGGGCAAGACGCCTCCTGGCATGGTGCGTACGTATTGTACGCTAGTCCCCGAGGCGGAGCAGGACATGGCCTGGGGCATGGCCCAGGTCCTGCGGGACTACCGCAAGGAGGTTCCTGGCGTGCTGGCTGAGATTGCGGGTCTCTGAGTGAGACGAGAGACTGGTTGGTTACGAGCAGTTAACTGGGAGATAAAGACGGGTAGATAGGTGAATTGCTTAATTAATGCTGGTTGGCAATAAGAATTACCTCCCCGTTGGTCCTTTTCAAAAAATCAATCATGAGAAATAATACCATTACGTGGGTACTTGAAGCTAACGTCCGGACGTAAATGTCGATTTAAAAATTAAACAAACACGTCCGGACGTTAGCTTCAACTACCCACACATGCCGAATTATCGCAAACATAAAGGAATGAAAGAATTAACACAAATCCAATTACCACAAGAAAAAGTAACTTTACGTGGGTCGTTGAAGCTAACATCCGGACGTACTTGTTCAATTTTTAAATCGACACTTACGTCCGGACGTTAGCTTCAACGGCCTACACATGTCAAATTTGCGTCAACTTGAATCATCACTGACGAAGTATCAGGCTGATTCCATGATATTCGCCTTTCTTCATTCGCTGTTTGCTGTTCGTTAGCTCCTGGCACGTATATATTCCACCCTGCTCCACAGATTAGCTTATGGATCACCTTGTGCATTTCATCAATCACAAGCATTATAAAGCAGTGGAAAGAGATAATACATGTCCAATTACCAATAACTATGCATGCTACGCTCGAAAAAGATGAAAAACAAAAAAAAAAGGAAAACTCAGTAATAAAAAAAATAAGACGCTCAATCCCCTAACACCGCGCCAAGGGTCCACCGACCCATATGTATGTTTATGCTCGTGATATCGTATACTCGACTTTTCTCTTTTGTCGCAAGTCGTCGCCGCTCAAACTCGTACAAGGAACCAAAAAAAAAACTGGCCAAAACAAAAAAAAGAAATAGAACAAAACTGGGTCATCACGCCTCCACAAGGCGAAAGAAGAAGAGGAAAAAAGAAAAAAAAAAGACTCACACCCGTCCCACCTCCCTCACCCCAACACTAAACCCCCCCTTCTTCCTCGGCCCCAAACCCTCCTTCTCTAGGACCTTCTTCTCCTCCATCACCAAACTCTCCCCTCCCACTTCCACCACACCAGCAGCACCACCACTCCCCCCCTTCTTCCTCACCACCCCCAACTTAACCAACCGCTCCCACACCTCATCCCTCCGCATACACTCCTCCCGCCTAAACGCCAGCCCATCAAGCGACTTAACCCCCTTACACGCGCTCGCAACGAGCATCTCGTACACGCGCCTGCGCAACTTCGTATCCGCATCCAACCGCGAAAGGTAGGCACGATCGCGATCCTCATCTGCCGACGGCAGAACCAGGTGCTGCGGCTGCCTTTGCTGCTCGTTTTCCTGCTCGAGAAGGGAATTCTCCACCGGAAGCGTACTAGCATCACAATCGTCATCCACCCCAGCGCGGGAAACGCGGCGGTCGGCCGAGGGCGGCGGGTAGAAGCCGACGTTGAAAGCGTTGTTGCGCAGGTCGACGCGGCGCAGGCTCTTGACCTTGCCGAGCACGAGCACGTTGCGGCGCAGGCGGCTGAGGCGGTTGCCCGCGAGGTCGAGGCGGGCCAGCTTCTTGCTGTTGAGCAAGGGCCGCAGGTCCTTGAGCGCGTTGAAGTTGAGGTTGAGGCTGCGGATGTTGGGCGCCGCGGCGCCGAACTTGTCGGGCAGCGTGTGCAGGCCGCACGACGCGAGTTCGAGGCGCTGGAGGTTGAGGAAGGGCGTCTGGGTGCCGGTGGCTTCGTCGGCGGGGAAGGAGATGGTCGGGATGGTGTTGGAGGAGAGGTAGAGCTCCGAGATGTCGGTGTTGGCTAGGAAGCTTGCCGTGTCGAAGTCGCCGGACGCGGGGTGCTGGTCGCGGGCGGAGAGGACGCGGAGGTGTTTGAGCCTGGCGATGCCGGAGATTGAGGAGAGGCTGTTCGAGTCGGCTGCCAGGGTCTCCAGAAGCGGGAAGAACGATGCGTCGAGCTTCGTCAAGCTGTTGCGGTTAAGGCTCAGACGCTTGACCTTCGATACACGCTCAGAAGAAAATGTAGAGAGCTCGTTGTCATCCAGATTGAGAGTCTCCAGAGACTTCAGGGTGTCAAGAGAACGGACACTGTTGATCTCGTTGTCCGACAAGTCCAGCTCGGTCAGACGCTCACTGCCATTGGTTAGAATCGTCAGTGATGCATAGGAAGAAGAAAACGACTTACAGATAGGCACCCTGAAAGTCGACCTTTTTGATCTTGTTGCCCTTCACGCTCAACTTGAGCAGACCGTCCAGTTCCATTATTCCGTCGAGGCTATCGATCTCATTCTCATCGGCCTTCAGCTCTCTCAGGTGAATCAGCATTGAGAAACCCTTGAGGCTGTCAATGGCGTTTCCGGACACGTTCAGGTACTGAAGGTTGGTGAGATGGCTCCAACTCGTGAGGCTATTCAAACAGTTGTTGCTGATGTTCAGTCGCCTGAGAGTAGTTGGTGCACCGGCCAGCTGAGCAATGTGGTTGTTCGAAACATCCAAAGCTTCAATGCGATAGCAGAGCTCATCCAGACGGTTCAGGGTTGGTAGATCCTTTTGCTGCAAGTCAAGGCGACGGAGGTCCTCCCAGAAAGGTTCTTCCGGCTCATTGTCCTGAAGTGCTTTGATCAACTCCATCGTACCCTGCGCGTACCTGTCCTCAAGGACATTGACTGTTTCGGTGCCATTGCGCTTCACAAGCGTACGATTGGGCAGTTCATGCTCATCCTCTCCGCTGATTGTGAAGGGAGGAAGCTCGCTCAGCACAAATGTCACGTCGGCAAAACCAACAGGGTTGTTGCTGTACGGGTTGGCGGGAGATTGAGTAGCAATTGCCGGAGAACGGCCCTGACGGGAGACGCTGACTTGGAATCTCATCCTTCGCTGCTCAGAGTCAGGGTGCTTGACCATTGACATCTCGTTGTCGCGGGCGGGAGATGGTGATGGGCTGAAATCAGTAACTGTTTGCTTCGTGGCTCGGCGATATCCGTTGAACTTGGACCTGGGCGTGATGAAGTCATTCTTCAGAGGCGTAGGCATATCATGGGCTTCATCATCAAAGGCACCAAGCCGAGAGAGTGCGTTCGGACCAGGAGAATCCATCCTGGGGGATTCTTCACCATCATCATGCTCGTTTCTGTTCGAATGGAAAGAGAAATTGCTAGGCTTGGGCGGAGCATCGTCATCGAAAGACTTGAAGTCGTGGTCGTAGTCTTCGTCGAGATGAGGAGACGAAATTTCCGGAATCGTTTCCTCCCGGCGAATGTGCTTGGGGATGTAGTTCGCGTGTCTGTCGCTCATGGAGGTTGCGCGAGTCTCAGCCTGAGTTACGCTTGAAGAGAAGTGGCTCGAGAACTTGGAGGGGACGCTGTTTGTATCTGAAGGCGGAATTTCAGCTCCTTCGCGCGTCCTTGGCCTAGTTTGATCCGAAGAAGGTTCAGCTGGCTTGTGGGAGCTAGTTGGTTCAGCAAAGTCATCGAAGAAGACATCATCTTCGTCCCGGGGGTGTTGGAGATCATCGGAATGGGGCGGAGTCCGCCTCATACGTCTCCGCTCCTTGACTTCGTCGACAGTCAAGTCAGGAATGTTCCTAAGCGGGTCTTCCTCACTAGTCATGTGGCTGACATCCATTGTAGTCGATAGCCCCCCAGCACTCCGACTCTTGATCCAGATGCCTTTATCGCGGTCAAAGCTCATACCAGCGATCTCTTGCGGGATGAGATGCGCAACAGCTTCGGGAGGGAGCGTGGCTACATTGTCAGACCGACGAGAGAAAGTGGTCAGGTTGGTCTTACCAAACGACGACTCCATTGTCGAAGGACGTGACTGAGCAGAATCGCCATGACCAGCAGACTCCCTCGAGTCAGGTCGTGTGGCATTCGACTGTCCCCTTTCCCGGCGGCGCTGCGTGAGATGGTTGGTCAAGATGCGAATGTCGGGCGATTGGCCTTGGAAGAAATCGCTTTCCTCCTGGGTCCTATCCTCCAGTTGCTTTACATTAAGTGAGCGGAAACTTGAGGCCATGAAGTCATCACCGTCATCTTCTCTAAACTTTCTAAGATGGCTTGCGATGCGCGGGTTCTCTGCGGAAGTACCAGGGTTCCGCCAGCCACTCCTGGATCCTTCGCGACTGGGAGGCCTTGAAAATGTCAACGGTGAATCGGGGACTGCAAGCATGTTGTAGTTGGAGTTCTCATGAATCGGGCTTTCGCCTCCGGATTCTGCCAGGCTTTGCAGCGCGCTGTTTGGCCTGCCTTTGGCGCGAATGTGATCCATGATGAATCGAGCCTCATCAAGAAAATCCTGTGTCGTGACGGATCTCTTACGGTCCTCGTCTCTCATGCCCTGGCGCAGCTTTATTGAGAAAGCCGCGATCTGGGTTGCCACTGCCCTCTCATCCTCGGCATATGTCGAACGGTCGCGAGATTTAGGGCTTTCGAGGTGCTCCTGGATGACCTGGAGCTCTTTGGGAGAGTTGTGCAGATAGGCTTCCGTTGCTTCGAGAATGTCGGCTTGAATTTGCTCGCGCCTGCGTTGACTTGGCGTTGGGTTGCGGGGACGAAGGAACCTTCTAGGAGGATGAAGGTCCGGGTTCCCAGAGTGCAACTGTCTGTCAAAGCGGGTCTCCTGGCTTCGCTTCCTGTAACCAGAACGCGATCTCTCACGGCTTCTTTCGCGGGAGGGCGGGATGTTCTCACGTTCTTCCATATCCATGGCGAGTAAGGTCCGACGTCGCTTTGCGCTCGGATTTTTGAATGGTGAAGGGGGAGCTCGCTTCCCTTCTGCTTGCTCAAGGTCGCCACGAGCAGCAAGCGCTCTTCTAAGCCCGATTCTGGGCGATTTGGGTATCTTAATGGAATCTCTGTTCGTAACGGTCGTAGTCCAGCTCTTGACACTATGTCTGGAGAGCTTTCGCTTGGTGTGGATGCTTTGTCGCGGTGTGCCACCGTTCAAACTGAACTGGAAGCGAGGTGCAGATCCAGGCGGTGGAGAGCCCGATCTATCATCATCGTCGTAGACAGGCTCCTGGGATGATTGTTGGGAGTTGCCAAATGAGTCCGGGAAAGGATAATCGTCGAGGTCGCCGCGACCGAAGTAGCTGCTTGCAGATTCCCCAAATCCTGGACGCGCGCCCTCTTCTTCTGAGTCTGACTCGAAATCATCGTCATCGTCTTCATAGTCAGCGCCCGGTTGCTGGAAGCTGGCCTCCTCAACGGAAGGCAATCGAAGATGATCGAGATGATCCATGCGTCTTGCGGCGCCGCCTCCGCTTTGCCTTCTGCTCTCTGCAGCGTGCTCCTCCTGGAAGAGGGTATCTTCTAACTGGCTCATCCGGCGCTGGAGCTTGTTTGCGGTGAAGGTGTCGTGGTCGCCGAACAGTTTTAGTGGGCTGCTCGAAGATTGTGGCCTTTCCGGGTGCAGGAACACAGGGTTTGGACGACGGGCCGGAGTGCTTGGTGAAAGAGGAGGGCTGGAGTGACGGGGCATAAACTGATATCGCAACCGGCTGTGGGGTCTTTCGAAAGTTGGGGGGTTTGATCCGCTGGAGTTGCTGCCCGCATTCGAGTTCTTCCGACCCCGAGGTGACGGGCTGTGTGGACGGTTCTTGAAAGGTTCATCGGTTGCGAAGTCTCCTCGCTTCATACCAACGTAGTCGGGGGCGGTGATCTGGTCGGGAGTGCCGGTTGGCAGATCTTCGGGCATAGGCTGCGAGCCTAATGAGCCGTAGCTGTGCAAGCTTTCACCGAAATTTGATTGTTGTGGCTGTTGTTCGGCAGACGGATTCCGCATTTTCTCCAGCTCCGACTTGGATAGATCAACGGCGGCGTATTCCACGTTACCGTCTTCCGTTCTGTGCTTTGTGATATAGACAGGACCGAAGCTGTCATCGGTCAGCTCCGTGTGGCCACTCACCGCGCGGGATTTCTGGGCGGAAGACGTGTTGATTGCCGGAAGGCGGCCAAACGCAGATTCGCGGTCTACTCTAGGCGTGTCGCCGTGCGTCTTTATTTCCGGGAGAGACGCATCCTGGCTGTCATGTTTAATGTGATGAGATTGCCGCGCTTCTGGAATGTGCTCTGCAGCATCTTCCTCGGCAGGAGGATGGCGCACTTCGGATCCGGTATCAGACACGTTATCATCTTCGTTCTCCGACATAGCCTCTTCTTCCTTCTCAGACCCATCATCATTATCATTCTCCGACATGTTTTCCTCCGATTCAGAACCATAACCAACATCGGGATTCAAGGCACCGCTGTTCAGGTTCCAGCGCAAGCTGTTCCTTGCAGGCGAGCTTCGGGATTGTGCAAGCTGTGACGGCCACGGCGGCGGGCTGGAAGGCATGGCGAAGCTGTCTTTGATGGCCGATATACCAGTTCTCCTCTTGGACACGGGCGATGAGCGAGCTAGTGTTGGCGGTTGGAACATGTTCTCCAGACCCATGGGGCTGAATAAATCCTTCTGGTCGCCGTAGCCCATTTTGCCATGCAACAGCCTTCTCTTCCACTCCGGCGTATCCTGAAGCTTCTTTCCGCGCGTGGGTGACGAGGGCGAAGGTTTTATCTCTACGGTGCCGTGCTGGACTACGGAGCCTGTTGATGATGCGGACACGGAGCGGGAGTGAGAATCATCGGGGGCGTTGTTGAGGATGTTGTTGTCGCTGTTTGTGCGCTCGGCGAGGGCTACTTTGCGCTTGCCGGGGAGAGGTTTGCTGGGGCTCGGAGAGCTGGTTGGGGCTGGGAGGTCGCTGTTCAGTACAGTTGCCAGAGCAGGCGAGCTTGGTAGGCGCGGAATGCGACCACTAGCGGGAATCTTGTTCGGGGTTTCGAGGATGGGCGGCGGCGATGAAAAAGGCGGGCGGTCGTCCCAATCCTCGGAGAGATCGTCCAGCCATGGCTGCGACGACATGGCTGTTGTGATTGCCCGTAAATTGCGGTACTGGCGATCCTACGTAGATGACGACAGCATAGGGTGGCCACTGCTTGGCTGGGATTGTTGACGAGATTAGCAGGCGGGGGATGGTTGTCGTCAAGAGGTGAAGCTCCAGCGCGCTCACTTCTGCAGGTGAGGGACAAACGAATGTCGTGCAGGGAAACAAGAGCCTCGAGATCGCGCGTCGATCAAACCTCAGCGCGGTGGATATGTAGCTTGCACACAGACTCGCGCGTTCGTGGGGACAAACGGCCCAAGGCGGCCAGTAAAAGTTGGCAACGCAAGGTTGGCCCAGCAACGCCCAATCGCGTCGCGCTGTCGCGCTTCACGCACGCACCACCAACGCCCGCCCAGCCCGTCGTATGCTTCGACAGCAACTCGACCCCACCTCGCCATTGCCTGCAGCCCGGAGTAAAATGCCTGCATAACTGGCCCCAGAACAGCTTTGCGCCATCTGTGCTGGGAAACCAACTCCGACGTGCCCGCATCCGCTCGTCGGGACAACCTCTGAGTTGTCTCTCTATGCTGCGGCGCACTTCCAACACCCAACTCTCGCCCATCCCTTGCGTCTAGCACTCTGGCCGCCCTCCGCCAGTGTCACGCAGACTATGTCGCGGTCGCGCACCGCCACCTGCCGCCAGAGTTCGTCATGGCGATCCGACGGCGACACCCGCTCTTTACCCCGCTAACCTTTGAACCGTTCGAGATTGACGACGAAGAGCTCGGAGCCGACACACCCCAGCGTGCGGCGAAGCGACGCCGCATTGAGGCCAACGCAAACCGTTATCTGCAGGGCTCCACTCTCTTTATCCAGACCGCTGCCCTCAGAGGCCCTTTTGAAAATGGTTGGCAGAACCCATGGGCTAAGAAGAAGCCCATTGACTCTGAAACTACCGCACGTCACCACAGGCAGACAACTCGAGAGCCCTCTTTAGCCCCGCCATCTACCGATCACCAGTTCGCCCGTCCTCCTCGCTTCAAACACACCGCGATAAATGCGAATCCTAGGCAAAAAGAGCGGCAAGCGAGAGCTGAAGCGGAGCACGTAGAACAGGAAAGGAGAAAGGCAAAAGCTGAACGGAGGGAGCAGCGGCGGCAGGAGCTGAGGAAACGGGAACAAAAGGCTGCTGGGCTGCTCAAGGTTGGTCGCGGGAAGAATACAACACAACCGGTAGATCTGACGAGAGAATCCTTCAATACTCGTCTCACGGCAGAAGCATTGGGCGATGATCGTCCGGTCGCAGTAAACGCTGAACAAGAAGACATTACGAGGAGCAAGGAATATGGATCAAGAGAAATACGCAGCAGCTTTACAGATGATTGGCTCACCCGCCTTCGCTCACCTGCGAAGACGCCTGAGCTGTCTCCTGTGCACATCGCTGCATTCGAAAAACAGATGGACACGCTTGAGGCTATGACTCCAACTAAGCGGCCATCACAGCGCTCCCATGTCGACGACAATGGTAATGCCGCGTCTAGATTTAATATCAAACCCCGGTCTGAGCGTCAGAGGTCCCTCGTGCCAGAGAGCCGCCATCCCAGCGGATCAAATAGAAGGAAGGGCTCACATCATGGCGAAGCTTCAATTTCAGAGAAAGCTCCGGGCGTCAGAAAGACTTCAACTGCTCCGTCGTCTTCTTTTCCAAGACCGCAAGATCTGCCCTTAAAGCCACAAATCAGCGGGTCTCAAGAAAGAGTCAGATATGCTAGAGAGCGCTCTAATGCTCCGGATCCGGCGCGAGCCAAGAGTGGCATGCCCCCGGCGTTGCAAGTAGATCTTAACGAAGAATTTCTACTCAAGAAACCCTCTTCAGGCAATCATGAGCGCGTGGATTACATTCCAACAAACATTCCGCGTACAACAGCACAACGAGGAATTGGGCTTGTATCCGCTCGCGCTCCTGAAGAGGTATCGTCCCGTCCAGCGCCTCGACACCGGAAACACACTAGCGGATTCACACCTATAAACCATCTCTTCTCATCTCCCCCACCTGAGCCTTCAGAACCAGCAGTGAGCACTACTCCTCCAGGACGCCCAGTCTTGGGAGTAAAGGCAGCCACGAACAATGCCAATCCGGCAGGTCTAACGCGTGCACCTTTTTATCCGAGAAATGAGGACATCCAAGTGTTGTCTGCTAGTGACATACGGCTTCACAACGAGCCACATTACCCACTCAGTGGGGCTCTTGAAGGACAGGAGAACAAAGCCCGTAACGATGAGAACAAGATTTCCGGGCAATTACCTTTGAAGGAGGCTCTCGTGCAGTCTGCTGAGAAATGCGTGAACCGAAAGCGTAGAAGAGATCACCCGTTGAATGCCTCGCCGACTGCCACGAATTCCCCGGGCTTTTCTTACCGCAGAGCCTCTAATCCTACGACCAATGCTCCGAAGCTTCAACCCACGGGCAAGGCCAACAAGGAAGCGGGCACACGGAAGAAGAAGAGGGCCCGCCTGATGACTTTTGGTTCTCTGCCCTCTCTGCCCGTCGAGGAAGTTCCACGGGAAGAATACCAGCTTACGACTGCTGGTGTGCCTGGAGGAGGGCGCAGCGAGGCAGTGGTAGGGAGCCAGGCAGCTAAAGACAAATATTGCAGCCCACTCCGCGATCTTTCCACTCAAGCAGCTTTCGCTTTCGCTCAAAAGGAGTTCCAGCGAGAGTTCCGGTCCCCTCTGAGGAATGTAACCGCAGCATCTCCAGAGAAAGCTGCAGGTTCGCAGCGAACCAGGACTAGCACACCTCCACCCTCTCAGCCGCCGGCTGAGTACACCGCCATCACTCCGTTCAAAGTCTTTAACAAGGGCAAACCTTTCCTCGCTGAAAACCAGTCCCAGCTCGAACCGGCACCAGTGAGCACCCAAGAGCTTTTCAATACCGCTACACCGCTCGCATTCAGCACGGTAAAGAAAGATAAGAGCGCACGGAAGAGAGTCAGCATGGCAGTTTCGCCCTTGAAGTCCGTCAATGATTACGGCACAGGTATCAATGCCGGAAAAGACGAGAGTGCCGCTAAAAAGGGCGGCGAGGGTGAAACAACAGTGGCTGAGGTCACCTTTGCCGACCTATCCACAACACCCCCGACGCCGAACTTCCCGCTATTTTCCCAACGCGCACCGCCCTCAGCGTTTAAACCGCCATCCCTCATTCCAACTCTATCGTCTGCCCTCAAACCCAGAAATCCGAGCTTCACGGCGGCTTCTCGCACCACCAGCCAGGCCAATTCGTCCTTTTCACGACTCGCTCCACCGCCGTCGTCCGCACCGGTGTCGAGCCACCCCGTCCGCCAGGAGTATCGCCGAGTGCTCTCTCAGGGCCACAGGCACAGCCGCAGCCCGAGCCAGAGCTCCCAACAGCAGCAGCGCTCGTCGCAGCAACTGGCCCAGAGGCAGCCGGCTCTCTTAGATGATGTTGATATCGATTCGGCTATGGATGCTGCGGATTCGTTTCTCGATACGGCGAATCTTGATGTAGATTTGAAGGGGCCCCCGGCAGGCAGTGGCGCGCGAAGGGCTCGATAGTGTGCGGGTGTCGATTTATTCTTTTCCCCTTCTCCTTGTGAGGGCATTCTGGTCTATATGTTTATTCGGCGGGGGCGCTGGCGGGTTCTTTAATTTCCTGAATATGGCTTTTCGAGTACATGATATGGGAACCGGGCATAGCTAGGGAGTCTGAGTGTTAGGTGATGTGGATGGGGCGAGAAGTTGGGCGGTGAACGGGATATCTCAGCTGCTTGTATTGCTCTTCTATATCCTGGGGACGCTGAATAAAGCTTTCCTTTGGGCTTATGGTACCATGAACATGACATGGGGAAATGAGGGATTTTACAAAATTTTGCTTCGCACCCAAATGACAGCAGTGCTGAACGGTAAAAAAAAAAAAAAAGCAGGCTGAAGACTGACAAGGCCTAGTTGAGAAAGATGCCGTGGCACAGGTCATGAGGAAGGATCTACATCCGTATCAGAATCTCCACGCCGCTATCCCTGGCATCAGGAAGCCATGTTCACACGTAGGGACACTAATGCAGCCTTTAAGAAGATTCGGTAGAATCGTTCTTGTCGGAATCATTCGCAAGGCCGATCCAGAGCTCTCCGTGCTGGCTGCTTGGCCCACCTCTATATAGACAACGGCTGGGACCTATTGATTTTTGAAGACTTTCCATAATCTTAGGGTGAGACAAAAGCTGGGCTACGAAGAAGGCCTCTACAATAGTTGCCTCACTGATCCTGCCGGTCTGAAGAAGCAACTTCATGGCCTCGTTCCGGGAAAAAACTGCAGCCGTCAACACGGGTGCTGCTGCCAACAGAGAGTTCCAACCATCATCGCTATGAAGCGTCCTTTCGAGTTCCTCTTTGTCACGCGCGGACGTTGAAGTAATACTTCGCAATTCCACGGGGGCGGATGCGTATGGGAAGTAAGGCGGGATATTTGTTCCAAAATCTACCCAAACGCTATCTGACTCCAGTAATAACGCAAGACTTCGTGTGCGGTCTTGGTAAATTGCTGCAGTCACCATAGGCGTTCTTCCATATTCGCAGCCAGCATATACCATTTGGTTGAGATTGACATTTTTGTGATGAATGAGCAACCTCATAATTTCCTCATCCTCTTCCTGTATCCATTCACGATCCTGTAGGGTCTCGCCATATTTGCGGATATCGAACCTGAACATGTATTCCAAGATAGGGTTGGCTTCCAGGTCAGGGTAAGAGACCAGGGCAAGAAAAAACTCTCGAGATTGATATTGGAGAGCGAGTCTCAGATGATTATCGTCATGGGACTTCTCGCGAGAAACGCTAAAATCCAAGAGGATCTGCATAAGATCTGCCCGACAGCTGCTCACTAATTCACACATTTGAGCTACTGATTCTGATGTGCCTGGTTTGAGGAGCCCGCGTAGTATCTTTTCATCGGAGCTAGGTTTGGTAAGTGGAAATTTTGCCGAAATGTAGCTAATGGCTCTACCGAGATCCATTCGTTCGACGATCTCACTGAGGAATTCTTCATCATGAGTCAAACCCATGGCGTAGCTGAGGACTGGACAATCTGACCGCGGACTGCCGAATAAACTCGCGCCTGCTTTGACTAGTAGCCTTACGATATTCGTGGCATTTCGTTCGATCGCAATGCCCATTGCTGTAGCTCCGTGGTTGTTGGTGGCATTTGGGTTGACAATCGGCTTCAGTGCCCAAGATTTTCTGCCCAAACGAACACCTCGCGCCCGGATTATCCAGTTCAATAGTTCGGAAGCTATCTTATCGTGGCCACCCTGAATTGCAAGTAATAAAGGCGTGTTGTTGAGGCAATCGCGCTTGTCGATCCCAGCTGGGGAACGCCGCCAAAGGAAGTCAAGAGCGCTTGAAATACCACACCATGCTATGAAATGCCAAATGTTCGAGCTCTTAGTCGGCCACGGTGTAGATGTTCCTGATCCCGTATGGAGTACATCCCAGAGGTGCAGGATCTTTTTGAAAGTCTTGCTATCATTCATCCACTCGGAGATTACTGGAAGAAGGCTCGTTTGTGGTATGCCTCCCGCTTCCGCTTTTGAAATGTGCTGGTGGAGGAACTGAGCCGCATAATCGGCCAAAGGGAAATCATTTGTAAGGTGATACCAAGAATGCTTCGCAGCCACCCAAAGCTCCGCTAGACCAAGATACATGACACAAGCTCGTGCGATTTTTGAATGACCGGCACCAACTGGAGAGTATGTATCCTCGAACAAGGCCGGAATGACTTGGTGACCCTTGACTAGAAAGTCCGGTACAGACTGATGTATGAACTGCGCCTCACGTATGAAACTCTCATCATCCACTGTGATGGTGAAAATCTCCCGGGATTTGATTTCAATGAGGCCTTTCGAAAGGTCTTTGATTCGCCTTTCCGTATCTTGTAGAGAGTCGCAGTAGTATTGACTTGTTCTGAGGCATGTGATAGAGGGAAGCTCTGTGTCTGAGTCAAGTGCCAAAGCTTCGCGGAGCTCTGCGATCCTCAGCGGGCGTTGGGCACACAGAACCCACTGGAATAGCTTTTCGGTTTGTTCCCGGTCGCTAGCATCCACGGAATTGAGAAGATCCGAGTATAGCTGATTCAACTCCGTTGGAATCTGTCTGATTTCTTCATGTATGGCCTGCGCGTTGACGCCTTTTCTGTTCAGGTCCGCAGCCTTAGCAGCGACTAACACAGCCCACTGAAATCCCCCCTGCGCCTTGGATACTATCTCGTTCTCGATCTGGTATTTTTTGGTGGCTACGTCGATTTCTTGAAGGGTATCTCTTATAACCTTTCGAATGTCGCGGTCATTTTGATCTTCGATGTAAATCGTCGAGATGGATTCAAGGCCAAGGATTGGGTAGTGTCTGGACGAAAAACAGATTTTGAGGCGTGAATTTTGGCCTTGGGCCGATATCTTCAGCTGCTTCAGTTGCTCCAAAAGCTTCTGCGCATTTTCTGCTCCACATTCGTCAAGAGCGTCAATGTAGATGATTATCGGGCGAGATCTGGAAGCCTCCAGGAGGAATTTGGAAAGGAATTGCTGCAGCTCTGGTTGATTCCACTCCCATTTTTGGTTCTCCCAAGAGCCAAACTGTGTTTCCTTCTCTTCAAAGCGTCGAGTAAGTTCGTCAAGGTGATCTGGAAAGTAGCCCAGTAGACTGTTCAGGAGCGCTCTGTACAGGCCAACGAGCGTTTTTTGTAATGGAACACCTCTGCCATGAATGAAAAACGAGGCAACTAGTTCTGCATCGGAATTTTGTTGCATGGTATCCCAAATGTGCTTCATGGTGGTTGATTTGCCAACCCCTGGGTTGCCTTTTATCCAAAGAAGATCCTGGGTAGAGCGCATCCAATCGGCATATCGAGGATCATTGAGTGCCCAGTTGCACGTATCTTCTGCAGGAATGATGTCGTCCCTTCTCAGGTTTTGCTCTCGAAAAGCCAGAGACTGCAGGCATTCTTTCGATGGTTAGCACAGCTCAGTCGAGGTCTGTGGCGACATACCGCGTTGCTTGGTTTCAAGTGTCGGGACTAAAACCGTTAGACCTGGCTTGATTTTGATACGCAAGGGACTGACCGCTTGAATATGCTGCACGAACAGCTCTTCGCATGGTTTCAACCATCTTCTGCTCAAGCTGCCGGAGAATGACAAGAGAGGTTCGATACCCTCTGTCGTAGTCTCCGCCAAACTTCACCATCTCTGAATGCGTGCGATCAATTGGGTGTTGGCTTTTGCTACCATGTGTGGCTGATGCCGGGTCCACGAGCCTCTCCGGTGGGCCGGAGAGCCGCCACCTATTGTTCACCTGGAGAAAGAATATTAGCAAACGACAATATTCATCTAGAACGGAACCACTTACCAGCTCAGCTGTCGGAGATTCTTTCGTTTCATAGAATGATATCACTCTTGGTTCATTTTTACCGAAAGCCCGTGGAAAATCTCGCATCTGCCGTCCAAGCAGAGGCGAATTCACGCTAAGAGTCTCGAGTAAAGCTCTGTTTGGCTGGTCTTTAACGAGTGGCACGAGAAACTTTGTAGCCATGCCTTGATGGGGCACACCAAAGAAGAAGAAGGCTGCTGTCGATTGAAGTATGTCTGTGTCAAGTTCGTCGTCAGCGTCTTTCATCACCACAACAGCCTGGTATGTCATCAGCATCAATTCAATTAAATCCAGCTCTCTCACAACTTACCTCCTTGATGACGAGGCCCCCAAGACTATGCCCGAGAAAGATAATGTGATTATGGTTGTTCGAGCCAGTGACTCTTGTCTCCTGGATGCTCATCCGAAGCTCCTTTCCGAGGTCTGTCAGATTCTGAAAAGAGCTACTGTCTTGCAGTTGGGTATCATATCCGTAGATGAAGATTCTGAACTCCGGAAACTCCCAAGGAAGAGCATCACGGAGCCACATGAATGGGCCGTCTCTTTCTTTGAACGATCCGAATGCGTGGCCGCCCAGGCCAGATACAGCTATCAAGCTATTGCAGAATGTTAGCCATCATCTCTGATGAGACTTTGCAAAACTTACTCGACAGTACAATCTTGGTCGTCTTTGCAGTGCAATGGGGTGAGGCCGTGGAAATGAGTGTCAAAGATAAGATATCTTGGCCTGAGAATCATAGCCTCGTCGACATTGGGAGGCGTGGGAATCGGAAACCTCCATTCTGGTGGATTTTTGGGGTGTAGGGTGTCAGGAATGGGTTGGAAGCTCAAGGTAGCAACCCTTGAAGTCGTATCAATAGGACTGGAGGCAAGCGAATGAATTGTGACTGTGGCCTGGCTTCCTAGGCCCAAGGTGTGCTGAACAAGCTCCTGAACGTCTCTGCGTGTCCGCGCATCGTCCGGTATACCTTGCAACCTGAAGTTCGTGTAGCTCTCGTTCGTCATCTTGTCAGGATTGTGCAGTCATAGTATCTGGGATGGGATGACAGCAGCAAGCTGCTCGCGGTGTCAGGTTAACGACGAGGCTGAACTCGTGGAAAGCTTGCGATGAATGCGATTGCAGGTTCAGCTGACAGACATGGGTATGTTGAACCAATCATGCACCGAGCTCGCTCCAGAAACCTGGTTCGCCAGATACAGGGCGATTATCGCAGCCGAACGCAGGCATGAAGAATAATAAGGCCCCAGTGGAACTATTCCTCAACGAAGTTGCAATAAAACTCCCCATCCATATGGCCATGCAAGCTCTCCTGTAATCACACAGACCATTAGCATAACAGTACAATCTTCCCACCGAAACGGCAGCGCAAGAGTGATCAATGCACAAGTCATTCTCTGTCTCCCCAACGGCCAAAACATCTGTTTTCAAACCGATATATAGATTTCTCTCTTCTCTCATATGTCTGCAAAGCGGGGACGGGGCAGTTCGGTGTGTTCCAAGTTCTCGACGGGGTTCGGGTTCAAGAGGCTTCAGGGAGGGGGAGAGATGGGGCTCACTGAGCTTGGGATGATTGTTGGATTTCGAGACCAAGACGGACAAAAAAAAAAGACGAAAAAAAAAAGAAAAGAAGATGATAACGCCTTGATGCAGCCGTCATGCATACACTTCAAGAGTGAGAAAAAGAGATAAACAAATCCATCGCTTCTTCAACACACAGCAGTATGAGTTTTACCCAGGAAAGAGAAGAAAAAAGCCTTTCCCATTTCCACGTGAGGCGCGTCGGGCCAGAATAAGAGAAGAGAAGTAAAGGCGGAGGATGGAAACGGGAAGCATGGGTACCGTGTCACTAAACGAAGAAAAGCCAAAAAACCCTCCGAAAGTCCCTCCCCTCCAGTTATCATCTTCGTCCAGCAAGCCCGTCTCTGTGATTTGCCCCCTCGCTATACCCTTTACTCTCCCAGCCATGGCGGCATCCATTCCGATATGTCATATCACTAAGTCGTTCATGCCCGGCCGATCAAGTCCGTCGTTCTCGTGTTGCTTCTGTAAGGTATAAGAAAATTGACCAATCAGCCACCCTCTCCCACACCGTTGGTATCCATAGGGCTCCCTCTACCTCCAACGGAGATTACGCTTCCGTTTGCGGTCCGTCTCCTCCTTGCGACGGCCTTCTTCCTCGGCGTAGCCACGGGGACGCCCTCGGCCGCAGCGTCCATCATGGTGCTATCCCCGCCCTCCTCGTCTTCTTCGTCTATGTCTTCCACCAGCTCCCTGCGCCGATCGTGGAAGATCTGTGCCTCGTCCAGCTCGTTGACGTCGGCGGGCCGCATGCGCAGCCACTTCATGCGCGGGCCGCTGCGCGACCGCTCGCTGACGCGGAAGCCGTAGATGCGAGGCTCGTAGATGCTACCGTCGCCGAGGCCGGGCGCCAGGTTGGACGGCGCAACGCCATTTATGGTGGCGGGCTGCGGAGGCAGCTGGCCGGCGATGGTGGAGGATGAGGAGGCGGTACGCGACTTGCTGTGGGAAGCCTGGCTGGATGAGTCGGCGATAAGGTGGTGGTCGTCGCGCTGGCGGTCTAGGCGGGAGGCGCCAATGTCCAGTTCGGGGAAGGTCATGAAGAAGAGGCAGCCGAAGGTGGTGCCGAAGAAGGCGCCGTCGACCGTCTGGAAGCGCGAGTTCGGCGGTGTGTAGACGTCCAGGCACGAGGGACAGAAGAGCTTGACCGTCTCTTGGCCGGGCGTATCGCTGCAGCCGACAGGCAGCACCTTGGCGCCGTTGCAGTGGACGCGCGGGCACACGCCAAAGTGCTGCAGCTCGTACTTCTCGGCCATTTGCTGGATGCCGGGGCGCGAGGTGATGTAGCGCTGGTGTATCAAGCCGTACAGCAGCTCGGCGCTGCTCTCTATCACGCTGATATCCGAGTGCATGCGCAGATGGCGGCGGTCGCTGCGGCGGTAACCGACGGGCTTCTCGTCGCCTAGGATCTCGTCGTCGTCATCGTCGTCGTCCTCCTCGTCTTCGTCGTCCTCATCGTCCTCGGGCTCGACGTCGAGAATCATCTCCAGGGCCTCTTTGTACATGGGTACCTGCGACTGCAGGCCGGTCAGGTTGAAGTCATCTTCAATGAAGTCCTCGGACACTTCGGCGAAGTACTCGTGGCCGAGCAGGTTGCAGAAAGACGTTATCCACGACTCGGCGACCTGCGAGGACGAAGACATGGTGCGAGCGGGGGGGTGGCGGTCGCGGGGTCGGTGGTTGGGTGTCTAGAGAGAGGCCAGGCACGGTGCCTGACGGTGAGTGATGACGGCAGGCTCAGCTTGGTGCGGGAGAACGCGGGTCATGGGGCCGCTGCCATCAATCGCGTAGGCTGGAGTCAGCAGACGCGCGTAGCGGTTGCGTTGCTGCGGCTTGGTCGCTATGTCGAGCGGGTGTTGTGGCAGATACAAGGTTGGTGATAGCGGCGCGGGGCCACAGTCTTCGGCGGCTTTGGTGGTGCAGCCCGGGCCCCAAGCGAACATCGGCCCCGGTCACGTGTGCGTGCGTGCCCACCAGTCTGGATCCCGCGGCCACGACTTTCGTCACACCGCATTCTCGCCCGACACTTTCCAGACAAAGTCGAAACTCGGCTGCAACTCAGTTTCACCTGTCACAGATTGTGGTGATCGGTATGAGAATATCATCTATTATCCACCTTCGGCTAACATGGAACATGTCGTGGTTAAGAGTTGCGAGCAACTGCCGCTATGAGCCCCAGCCACCCAGTGACCCGGTTACTTCTTTCCGTGCCGAACAGCAAGAATGGCCCTTCTGCAAGGAAATCGCACCGGGAACAAATTTCGCATACTAATTTAATTGAAAAGCGGCTGTCTCGAGAAGCAAATGTTTCCCCATGCATGTCCCATGATGTCAGCGGTAGAGACGTAGTCTTCACTTTGCGCTCTTATGCGGAACTAAGATACGACATCAAGATTAACTCAACTTTCGTTCCATGGTTGTGCAACACTAACCAAGTACTAAACGCAACGTCCCTCCTCAACATCATTACCTCCGTCGTCAGCCTCTTCGCTCCAGTTTGCGCCTACCTATTACCACAATAAGAGCACAAAATACTTTGGCCTTCTTGAAGCTATCTCGCAAAGAGACTCACATTCTACATATGTGAGCGGTTGAAGCTACCATCCGGATGTAGATGAATATTTAATAATTTTACATATCCGTCCGGACAGTAGCTTCAACTACCTACGTAATGATAGAAATTAGTTCTGATGACCCAGCTCTACACCAGAAAATTTTACATATATGGGTAACTGAAGCTATCGTCCGGACGTGTATGTCGAATTAAAAATTCTACATACACGTCCGGACGATAGCTTCAACTACCCATGATACGAGAAAAAAAAAAGAACCTACGCTAGCCATCGGCTGCGAGAGGGGACTGTACTTATTAGGTTAGTTCAAGTTAATAGTAGCTGCACCTGCTGTACAGATGAGAGAGGCCCCTCCCCGTCCCGCCCGGTCTACGGTCTGGTCTCCTTCTTACCCGGTAGTACTTCTCTACTGTTCGCAGGCAACTGCTTTTTAGGTTAGTCAAAGTTGATAGTAGCTGCATCATCTGCACAGATGGGAATACACCCCTCCCCGGTAGTACTGCTCTACAGTTCGCTGGCAACTACTAGGATCTGCGACGACCTGGTTGCTGTTTGATGCTGATCCTGGCCACGGTGGTGTTGGTGATTTATACAGAGCACTTCCAAACAAACAGCGGCATTCTAGTTGTGATAATGCATCTAATTGATTTTGCCCTCGGCAATGGGTATAGAAACTAAGTGAATAGGTTTTATCCTCTCTTTAACCTTTTTTGTGCCCCTCTCTCAGCCGTTAAGAATAGAAAATGACCGCATGGGTAATGACTGAGCAAATGAGTCGCCCTGCTTAGGCATCTCCAAAGCATGTAGAAGCTGTGCCCAGCGGAGCGCTTCCTCTGAGCAATGCTTGCCTCTAAGGTCAAGAAAAGAAATTCTACAAAAGGAAAATAATGAAAAAGGCCAAGCCCGAGTCAATTGCCTACGCGGCAATGGGCTCCGCCGACTCGCTCTTCACGTTCTGCTCAGCCGTCTCGCTGCGCTTGGTCCTGTTACGCGAGATGGGTGCTCTGCGGCCATTAGCCATGACGCCAGCCTGGTCCTTGACGACGGCCGCCTTCTTGAACTTCTTCTGCGCTTGCGAGTTGCTCTCGAGAAGCTCCGGACAGTGTCCAGACTCTTTGAAATGCTTGCGGATGACACTCCACTCGCCCGTGACCGGTGCTGTGCAGCCGGGATGCGGGCACCTGTACTCCTTACGACCATGAACTCCGTTCTCGTGCTTTGTGAGATTTGACGAGTCGGTACAGCAGAAATCGCAAAGCTTGCACTGGAACCTCTTTTCTTTCAGATGAGTGCCTTGGATGTGACCCTTGAGCTGAGTTGCCGTAGCGGCGGCGTAAGTACAACCTTCGTAATGGCACGCATGAGGGCGCTCGCCAGTGTGAGTGTTGTGGTGGTTTTCCAACGTTTGGGCGGTGTTGAAACTCTTGTCGCAATACTTGCACTGGAACCTCTTGTCTGCGCGCCGTTAGGCCTACCTCGACGGGCTTAGGGAAAATTCACTTACACTTCGAATGGATCGCAAAATGCCTTGCCAACTTGCCAGACTGCTTGAAGTCGGTGCTCGAAGTACAGCCACGCCACTGACAGCAGTACTTGCCGTCGGATCCCTCAGTGTGCTCGTCCTTCATGTGCTCTGCCAAGTCCTTCGCAGAATCAAACTTCACGTTGCAAAGAGTAGGCATGCCATCCTCCGACTTCACGTTCGTTTGCCAAAGGCATATATGCTCCCCTCCTTCGACGGATTGTGCAACGCCGAACCCAGTGGACATGTCCGAGATGAAGTCATTAGGGCCAAACAAAGACTGCTCAGCATTTTCAAAGTGTGACATTTCTCGCGCCTTCTTGCACGGTGGTTCATAAAGTGGCTCAACTCCCTTAAAGCCCATTTCACTGAGCTCAGATGGTCGAAAGAAGCCATTCAGGGTTTGCCGGTGGTGGGGACGAAGAGGAAGATGCGGATCAGGAGAGGAAACGACGCTACCAGACAGACTACCGTGATCGATCGAAGAGTTGCCTAGCGTGCGTGTTGAAGTGCTTTGGCAGGAACCCATCGTATGATGGGGGAGCGTGCTCCCAAACATGTGCTCGTTTAGCTGCGCTAACCGACTGAGCTCGTCGAGGCCTGACGATCCCTGCTGACTCATCGAGTCTATCTGGGAGAAAGGTGGCTGGCTGCAGTGTCCATTCGAATGGTACTGAGGTAAGTTGCAAGGATAGGCTCCATGGGAGTGAGTGCCGTAGCAGTGAGGAATGGTATTCGAAGATCCGCCGTTAGCCGCCATCCAGTTCTCTAGCTCCTGACACAAGTGCTGATTGCTCGTGGTGTGACATGTGGGGCTAAAGTTCTGTTGGCAAATGTCGTGGTCGATGTGGTCACCGAAGTTTGGTGCGCAATAATGGCTTTGCTCGCAGGAGCTTGCTCGAGGGCATGGCTCCTTGTAGCACACCTCATCCACCAAGCATAAGCTGTCAGGGCACGGCTGTGCGTTGCAGTCGACGCCTGTGCAAAGGTTGTCCCAGCACACATCCTGCAGGTTGCAGTTCGGATCCGCGCAGGCATCCGGAACCGGGCAAGCCTCGTCTCCCGAACAGGTAGGAGAGCACGCGTCCCAGAACATGCCTTCGCAGCGGCTATCTGACGGGGAGTGGGGAGGTCCAGCATGGCAGGTGGCCTCAGTGCATATATCGGTAGCAACGGTCGTCAGTGGGAGGAGATGCCGGTTCGATTTGGGACTGTCGTGCTGCGTGGGAGAAACCAGACAGCTTTTGTGCCGGTGCAAATCGTCGTGAGTGTCCCCATTGACCAGTAGGTGTTGTGGATTGACGCAGATAGGGCGGTGGCACTCTCCGGTCTCGATCTCGCAGCCGAAGTTCTCGATCATATGGCGTTTCCAGGCGCTGGCTTCCAAGACCTCGCCGCTGGAGTCGCGCTTGGAGCCGGCCAATTGAGGCGACGGCGAGCGCATGACGAAGGCGGGCGTCCTTATAAAAGGAAGCAAACTTTGTTCTGCAGCCATGTTAGCACGAGCTTGAGGAGGCTGATACCGTGTTTCGGACCAACTATGATGTCGTTTGGTGGAGGGGCCTCCGTTAAGAGCGATGCGGACATGGGCCATCAAGGTGTCGAGAATGCGAAATTCCGAAAACTTACCTCACCACCTGCGTGCAACACCCTGATCCTGCCAAATGAGGCAAGAAGCATTAAGAGACAGCTGCAAGACGTCAAACGAGCCCGTCGGGCGAGGTCCGCGGGGGGTTACTGCGAGCACGGGCGCCTGAGGCAGGCTGAGAGGTTGGGAGGGTGGTTTTCGAGGCGTACGAACCAGCGAATCCATGGCGAATCTTTACTCAGCAACGGCCGCCGCAAGTCGCGCCCGCCCCCACCTCACGCCGCCGGAGGCACGCAATCGCACGCCGGCCACGACCTCTTCCCATGTGCCCCGCGCGCGTCGGGTCTGCACGGCAGCGTCGTCATTCTTTCGCTCACCGACGATCGCTGCCCAGCAACCCGGCACTGCAGCCAAGCCAACCCAGACGGCGCAGCACTCCCGGCAGTGTCGCCTGCCCATCCGCGCGCAATAATATTAATACTTTCTCCGCTACCCTACCCTGGCCGTTGCTGCTGACAGAGCCTCTTCTCCCCCACAACCTCCAATCCCCACACCCCGCCCGCTCCTTCGGTCGCACACGACGATGGGAAACCTCTGCGGAAAGGAATCCAAGTCCGACAACTTCGCCGGTCCCGGCCGCGCCCTAGGCTCCGCTCCCGCGCCCTCGAACAACGCAACTGCTTCCATACCTGCCACGAAGAAGAGCGCACTGCAAGGCAACGGCAGGACCTTAGGCGGCCCCGAGGCAACTGGTGGAGACGACCCTCGCAGCGCCGCCGCAAAAGCTGCTGAAGTGCGTCCCCCTGCCCCTTGATCCCTGCAGCCTGGCCGGCGGTCTGCGCTGGCACCGATGCCGATTGCTGACTTGACGCTCGAATAGGCACGAGCCGCGAACAACCAAGCCAAGACGACGAGGAACCAGAAGCTTACCAACCGCGCAGCATTGGAGGAAGCCAGCTACGCCGAGCGGAGGCATCGCGACGCAGACGACATGGCCAATGCAAGGGCTTGGAATTGAACTGGCTTTCAGATACCGATGTGACCGATTTTGCTGGGCCTTATAATCGCCAATGTGTGGCATATAGTCGTGGAAGGATGGCACGACATTTACACGAAGCATGATGACCTTCAACAGAATTAGAATACCCTTATTTCATCACCGGGGCTTGCGGGAAGAAGCCTCTTGATACTGTTTAAACCCAAATATCAAACTTCATAATTAGGCATTCAAATAGTCTTAGGAACGTAAGCATTGTGAACATTGTATCCATTATATGACTACGGCAGGTGTCTACAGACTAGCTACCAATGGCTGGGAAAATGGGACTGAATGGGCATCTCCTCTTTGTATCTGGAAGCTGTTCATCAAACCTCGCCGGTTCTTCTGCATTTTCCGCTTTTCGTAAAAGAAACCTGCTCGTTACACGAGATCTCCGTCAAAGCCTTTGCTTCGAATGCTGGAAATTGGGAGAGCTTATGCTGCAAATGGGCACGTGAGTTGACTAAAGCCGTCGCAAGTAGAGTCCGGCAGCGACATCCGAGAGATTAATGGCCGTCTTTCACGCACTTAGATCCTTTGGAGCTTAGGTCAGCGCAGCAGTCTCGAAGTAGAAAGGAAGCTCATAAAAATTGGGGGCTTCTCGACTGGGTGCACACCTCCTCTAAACCACGTTGTACTTTCCAGTAGCGCCACGTGTCTCGGTCTCCTGAGCAGCAATGGTTCCCTCCTTGAGCAAGCGCATCAGCTCCCTCATTGCGTTCTGAACGACAATCTCCGTATCGCCTTCCACCAGAATGTAGAGCTTCGGCGGCTGATCCGGTCCGGGCGTATCGCCCTTGGAGTAGAAATTGCCCTTCGTTGTGATCGACGTGCCCGTAGCTTCCAGGATCTTTGCAACATTGGTACGGTTCGTGACAGCCCAGCGAGCCTTCTGGGGATAGTCGTTGATCTCCAGCGTAGCGTGGTAGGCGCCCGCATCGGGTCCCTTGTTGTCGATGGGCTGTCCGGGACGCAGTTGGTTGCGTTGCGTGAGCCGACCATCGATCTTGCTTGCTGCTGCGCGGACGCGCTCGAGAGGATCGTTCGACTTGGATTTGGAAGCAGACGCTTCTGGCTGCTCCGTCTTGTAGACCTTGATGGGTTGGTTGAAGTTGAAGCCCGTGGCGTTCGCGACCGGCTTAGCCTCCGTGGGTGTCTGAGCGGGCTCTGCCGTCGTTGGAGTCCTTGCTTGAACAACAGGCGCCACAGCGTCCTCTTGCTCCTCCTCATCGTCATCATCTCCCTCCATCTTGTACTTGCTCTTCATGGCCTTCTTGGCAGCCTCATGGCGCTGATCGTAGTGTTCAAGAGATTTGCCCATGAAACCCTTCCTGCTTGCATTCGATCTAGTACCCTTTGCCTTATCCGCAATCTCTTGGAGATTCTCGGGGATGGGCAACTTAGCGTAAGTGAATGCTTTAGCAATCTCCCTCGCGCGTCCAGCTTGGCGCGGCGTAATGAAGGTGATTGCGGTGCCCGTGTTTCCAGCGCGTCCCGTCCGACCCGCACGATGGACGTAGTCTTCCAAGTGGTCAGGCGCGTCATACTGGATGACAAGCTTCAGTTGTTTGACGTCAAGTCCACGAGCCGCGACACTGGTTGCAATCAGAATGGGGATGGCGCCTTTCTTGAAGTCGGAAAGTGCCGAGTCACGATCAACTTGGTCCTTGGCACCATGGATGGAGTCGCAGCTGTAGTACTTCTTCAGAAGCAGGTTGAGAAGCTTTTCAGCAGTCTGTTGGGTCTTCACGAAAATCAGGGTTCTGGGAAATCATTAGCTTCGTCCATCGGTATACGTGGGAGAGGTTTCCACATACCTAGCATCATCTTCTGTGTCATAAAAGTCACCAAGAATACCAAGCAGGCGGTTGAATTTGTCATCCTCCTCGACGACCTCGATTTGCTGAGTGACTTCAGGCGGCACACTGGACCTTTCGCCAACGATGACGGAAATGGGGTCGTTGAGTTGTTCCTTGGCGATTGTCTCCAACGCACCCGGGAAGGTGGCACTGAAAAGCACCGTCTGGCGCTTTGGGCGCACGTTGGACAAAATTCTGCTGATCTGAGGCTTGAAGCCCAAGTCAAACATACGGTCAGCTTCATCAAGGACAACATAAGTAACGCGGGCTAGGTTGGTAACGCGACCACTGTTCGCTCCAAGAAGCTCAATCAAGCGACCTGGTGTGGCGATGATGATCTCAGCTCCCTTCTTCAGCTCGGCAATTTGCTCCTTGATAGGCGCACCTCCACCGCAGACGACGGCGCGAAGATTCAATGCTTTGGCGAACGGACGAGCTTCCTTGGCGATCTGAGCGGCCAGCTCACGAGTGGGAGCCATGATGACGGCGATGGGACCATCAAGCGGCTTGAGAGGATCTTGGTCCATGATATGGCGGAACATGGGCAAAAGAAATGCAAGCGTTTTACCAGAGCCGGTCTTAGCAACGGCAACCAAATCTCTACCGGACATGATGGTAGGAATCGCTTGACTCTGGATAGAAGTGGGCTTGTCAAACTTGAGCTGTCTCAGAACGTCCAATGTCTTGAGGCCGAGTCCGCACTGCGCGAAGGCCGACACAGGCTTGGGGACATCGCGACCCATGACCTTAATACCATCAAGCTCGAAGCGAAGGCTTGAGACCGCATCCTCATCCAATGCGGCCAACTCCGAGGGTTCGGTGTAAAAGTTGAACCTGACATCCTGATAGTTCATCTTCTTATGATCGACTTGGCCAATCGTCGCCTTGGCCTTCTTCTTGACTGTCATTGCGAGAACGTCTTCAGGGTCCGAGTCTACTGCGGCTTCCTTGATGTCTTCATCATCACTGTACAAGGCGATAGGCTCCTTCTGACCGGACTTCGACATGGTCTTCGTAGGCTTTTTGGGGGTAGCCATAGTGCTCAATCCCGACATGAATGCATCCAGCGGGTCTACTTCCTCTTCGTCGCCCTGAACGGGCTGAGGCGCGTCGGTCATTACAGCGTCTGAATCGGGCGTCTTTGCAAGTTGCATGCGCTCCTCGCGCTTTTCTGCTGCAGCACGAGCGGCGGCGGCCTGCTCTTCTTCTGTGCCTCCATCAGCCATGCCTGCATCGTCATCACCAGAGTCATCAGCGTCATCGGCCTGTTCAGCTCCATCATCTTGGGCAGCAGCATCTTCAAGGTCCGGAGTGGGGAGCTTTTCAAGCTTCTTGCGCGTCGATTCTTCGTCCTCCAGATCCAGCGCTCTCTTCGCTCCTGGCTTCTCGGCATCCGTAGCGCGCGGACCAAACCCGAAGCCGCCAACATTGCCCTTGACTTTGAGCAGGGAGCCGGGCTTGGGGGCTTGGCTCTGAATAGTCGCTGCAGGAGGCTTCGTGGAAGGAACAGCCACGTCCCCTCCAAGGGCATTGGCACCAGCGGTGCTCGGGCCGCTCGCCTTCTTTGCGATCGCCTTCGGATCGAACTTGCCGGCATACTGTTGCTTGGGGGATGAAGCGGTGGTGTCCGGTGCGGGTGACCCTGGAGAAGCTGCGGCTGTCGGCGATGCGACCTTCTTCCTGTCCATAGCCTCCAGTATCTCGCGGGCCCCACCCTTGAGTTCTTGCTCTTTCTTCTGTGCTTCAATCTTTGCCTTCCAAAGCTGAGTCCTCTTGAGGCGTTCGGCCTGCTTGCGAGCTTCGGCGCTTTCCGCTTCGGGGGCTTGGGCGTCGGCGGTCGTGGACGAAGGCGGAGCCTGGCCTTTCAATGTTATCTGATCTAATGAAGACTTGTCGGGGTGTAAACTTACATCGGAAGGCTTAGCAGACTCCTTGGATCTAGCTGGGCTAGGGTCGCGCCTACCATTGCGCCTCGAATCGGCAGAGTCGTCCCGACGTCGCTTCACACGGTCTCTCGAATCATCACGTCGGCGGTGATCGCGAGGCGGCGAGCGGTCGCGCGACCGCTTTCGGTCACGGGAGCGATCGCGGTGTGGGCGGTAGCTGCGGTCATCACGGCCGCCATAGCGACGTTCACGGGAGCGGTCCCTGCGCGGGGGGTCATAGTAGTCGCGTTCGCGATCACGGTCGCGCCTCTGCAGTTCAGAATCAGTATGCCGATAACCGCAAGCGGAGCGCATTAATGAGCTTACAGGAGGACTGCGGGAGCGACGACGATCACGGTATGAGTCGCCTCTGCTGGAGTACCGATCGTCGTGGCGGCGGTACTTGTGCGAACCTACGGGAGTTGGTGAGCGAGTTGACGGCCGAGCCATGGCAACGAGCCCAGAGGCACTGTGAGCCGTACGGGTGCTGTGCGATTGTTATGAGCAACGGCCAGGCCAGTGCGGAGGTTGTGTTTGTGTCGTGGGGCCACACGAGGATGGATGGTTGAAGGAGGGTGGTCGCGGCAGTTCGAAGGCCAAGCGACGCGGAGCAAGAAGTTCGCTGAGTGCAGCCCGCGATTCAGGTTGCGCTAGCGGCCGCGGATCGCCCCTCGGCAGATTGTTTGGCCGCGCCGTAGATAAGCCGATAAGCTCGCGCCGGCAAAAAAGTTGCAGCTCGCAAACGCGCTTCTTTGCGTCTTGTGTGGTACTATTCGTGCTTCGCCGCGAGTCTTTGAGGCCGCAAAAACACAATGCCGTCGATTACGCAGTCCCGGAAGCGCAAGGCGCCCACCCGTGACATTTCTCCCCCCGAAGATGCGGCCTCCAGCGACGAATTTGAAGGCGGAAAGCTTGAGGGGATCCTGTCGCAAAGCGAAGACGAATCCGACAACAGCGTGAGTGAAGAGGAGGAAGACAGCGAAGAGGAAGAAGAAGACCTGGAAGAAGATGAAGACGAGGAGATCGACAGCGATGAGATTCCCTCCTCTGAAGACGAAGACGACATTCGCAACCAGATCAGAAACCTCAAGGTCAAAGGAGAGCCCACCAATGGTCGCTCCACGCATACCGACGATGCTAGCGACGGCGAAGGAGATACTCGCATGCGATCGGCTTCGCCCGAATATGGATTTCAAAAGCTCGAGAAGAACTACAAAGTCACGACCGACGCAAATGGCAACCCTCGCTACGTCTATCAGGAAATTGAGGCAGGATACGATACCGACGACTCGGATGCGCCCGCTGGACAAAAGAACACCATTGGCGACATTCCACTCTCTTTCTACGACGCGTACCCTCACATTGGCTACGACATCAATGGCAAGAAAGTCATGCGCCCGGCGAAGGGCGAAGCGTTGGATGCTCTGCTCGATAGTATAGAGATACCCAAGGGTTGGACTGGCCTGACCGACCCCGCTACTGGCAAGCCGTTGCAACTCAGCCGGGAGGAGTTGGAAGTTTTGAAGCAGGTTACTCGCAACGAGGTGCCTGCCGACGGCTACGACCCCTACCCAGATATGATTGAATACTTCACAGGAAAGGAGGAGATCATGCCTCTAAGCGCTGCGCCTGAGCCCAAGAGACGCTTTGTCCCCTCGAAGCACGAGGCCAAGCGTGTCATGAAGATCGTCAAGGCTATCAAGGAAGGCAGAATACAGCCATACAAGCCGCCGGAGGAGCAGGAAGAAGAGGACCCGACGATCAAGAGGTACGACCTGTGGGCTGACGAAGCGCCGCGACCGGATCACTTGACGCATATCCCCGCGCCCAAGCTTCCGCCACCCGTCCACGAGGAGAGTTATCACCCGCCGCCTGAGTACCTTCCGGATAAGAAGGAGAAGGAGGCGTGGGAAGCAGAGGATCCGGAGGATAGGGAGCGGGAATACCTGCCCACTGACTTTGGTGCCCTCCGAAAAGTCCCCGGCTACGACCAGTTCGTCAGAGAGAAGTTTGAGAGGTGTCTCGATCTTTATCTTGCGCCTCGTGTCAGGAGAAGCAAGCTCAACATTGATCCCGAATCTCTCCTGCCCAAGTTGCCAAGTCCAGACGAGCTCAGGCCATTCCCTACGACTTGTGCGACAATTTTCCGTGGCCACGATGGTCGCGTGCGCAGTCTAGCTGTGGACCCTAGTGGCAGATTTGTTGCTAGTGGTGGCGATGATGGTTGCGTCAAGATTTGGCATATCCTCACTGGTCGACAGGAGTGGAGCGCAAAGATCTCAGACGAGGAGGCAGTCAATGTCGTCAAATGGCGGCCCGGGCAAGATGCGGTAATTCTCTCCGCTGCTGTTGGGGAAACCGTCTTCCTCATTATTCCTTTCGGCTTGTCCATCGTGACTCCGGACGTCGAGCAAGCCAGCCGCGAAATCCTTGATGCTGGCTGGGGGTACGCTGCATCAAATCCCTCAAAACACACTACCGCAGATGGCGCCCCGAAAGCACCTCCTGCCAAATGGAGTCGGCCCGGCTCCAGACTCGAAGAGCAAGGTGTGCTGGTTCAGGCGACTGTCCGATCGACCGTGAAGGTGATCAACTGGCACAGGCGTGGAGAATACTTCGCCACCGTTTCCCCACAGGGGCAAAGCAGTGCCGTGGCAATTCACACGTTGTCGAAACACTTGACGCAACTTCCGTTCCGCAAGCTGAAGGGGCTGGCTCAAACTGCGCAATTCCACCCTTCGAAGCCGATCTTCTTTGTTGCAACGCAGCGAACTATCCGTAGCTACGATCTTGCCAGGCAGGAGCTCCTCAAGATCCTGCAGCCTGGTGCGCGCTGGATCTCTTCTTTCGACTTGCATCCGGGTGGCGACAACCTCATTGTCGGATCGTACGACAAGCGCCTGCTCTGGCACGATCTCGACCTTTCCAACAAGCCGTACAAGACATTAAGATACCACAAGAAGGCTATTCGCTCGGTGCGCTTCCACCAGGGCGGACTGCCGTTGTTCGCCGACGCTAGTGACGACGGTAGCCTGCAGATCTTCCATGGCAAGGTGGTGGGTGATTTGATGGAGAACGCGACAATTGTGCCGCTCAAGGTTCTTCACGGTCACCAGGTCAAGAATCAATTAGGAGTGTTGGACGTTGATTGGCATCCACGACAGCCGTGGTGCATGAGTGCTGGAGCGGACGGGACTTGCAGGCTTTGGAACTAGACAGGAACAGCGGGCAAGTCGCCCGTGCAGTTATCTATCAGCAACTAATTTTTTCGCGGCCGATATTTTTTCGTACCTATCAAGAGAAGGGTCCTCTGTTAATCTCGCAAGCACGAGCGTGTAAGACAGCTTCTCATAGGGGCTGCCTGAGGGGAACGGCCCCTGCGCTGGCTGGTCGGTCGTGAGTAGTGGAAGCTTACCCTGCGGATCTCCAGCCAATGAATGCGCGCGTATCCACCCACGTTCCCCATCCCGAGCTTCAGGGCAAGGGCCCTGTTCGGGGCGAACTCCAGCATCTTGCGCTGCCCTTAAACCAATCAGTTAGAGCACGCGACCAGTTCATCATGGGCGCGCAGGTGTCGTCCGACGCGGTTCCGCCGCCTTCTTATGCGCCTCTGTCCCCAGGCAACCTAGCTCCGTGACGCCTTCTACATTCCTATCACTCTTTGCTTATCCGCCAAGTATGCCTCGCCCAAGCTTGCCACCTACACCAGCGGCCTCGACCGAAATCCCTGGCAAGCCTGACACCGGCGCTGCACACGATCCCTCATGGGTCCTCCCGCCAGCAGCTATGAGCGACCGCAGCAGAAGCAGCGTTAGCTCCTCTAGCGTCGCCTCCTGCAATGCTTCCGATTCCTCCTATCACCCTACTTCTCCAGTGCCCGTCAAGCATTCCGTCGCTTCTACCGCCCATTCCTCTTCGTCAAACTCGAGAAAACGCTCTGCCAATGGTGCCGTTGCAACGCAAGATGACTACGGTCTCCCTCCGCCGCCGACCCGGCTGCGAAAGATTATTCAAATGAAGCCGAAGGAGGAGAAGAGTGTTACACAAGAGCAGGAATCGCAAGCGACCGAGGCTGCAACGACAGCTGGATCCACAGCGAAGGGCAAGAGTTCTGGAGGTCGTGGCAAGAAACAGAACAACGGCACCACAGCGGCAGGGCGGAAGATTGCGCGGAAGACGGCGCATAGCCTCATTGAGCGCCGGAGACGTTCGAAAATGAACGAGGAATTCGGGGTGCTTAAGGACATGATCCCTGCATGTACTGGCCAGGAAATGCACAAGCTCGCGATTCTGCAGGTAAGTCGGAGACGTCATCGTATTTCGCGTAGGAACAATAGTTGGTCGTAAACGAGAGCGCATCCGTCATAACCTGACATATCCGTGCTTACGAGTCAGCCGACTGCACGCCAGAACACTTTGCTGATGATGTCTTAGGCCAGCATTGAGTACATGCGTTACCTTGAGCGCTGTGTTGCCGAGTTGAAAGCAGCAAGCCGGGCAAAGCGTTCATCCGAGTCGCCGCCCCAGCAGTTGACTGAAATGACGCAATGGCAGCCGCCGACTAACGTGGAGGAGGACGAGGAAGAAGAGGAGAACGACCAGGACGAAGACATGTCTGATGCCGTTTCCCCTACTACAGCTACACCGAACGCACAAAGTGCGCAGCCGCCCTTCCCCGGGCCGCCCTCCAGCACAACATCACCCATAATATACCCCACAGACCGGGGTCACTTCTCCGCACATACCTCCCCAGCACTACTCCCCGCAGATGGCGACCACAGGCGGTTGAGCTCGGTCAACACGTCACCAAACATCTTCGGCATCCCGCAGCACCGCTTCTCGTTCTCGGCGCACTCAACCACAACTTCTCCATCCATCCTACCCTCGCCGTCGGTGGTTGGTCGGGCAGAGAGCAGATCGAGGCATCCAAGCTTTGCCTTGACGAGCCCGGCTTTGGGGCCTCAACCGGATTCTCGGGAGGATCACGAAGCGACAGCGGCGCTGCTGATGTTGAACAACGATCGTAGGTCGTGGAGCGGGGCCAATTCGAAGGCGTCGACGCCGGTGTCGCGAGGCATGAGTGTGAAGGATCTTTTGAGCGGTTGAGCGGGGAGGCTGCAGCCGAATTCCTCATCCTTCGTCTTTTAATGCGCCACGGCGCTTGCATCGGTGTCATGTGGGTAGTGTGACCGACGTTCGGCACACGAGCTTACTAGAGCTTGGTTATGACTGGGGAAAATAGACTGCATAGCACGGGGCGCAGGTGGCCTTGGTTGTGCCAAAAGTTGGGGTTTTGTGCATTTCTGCTTAGATACAATTCTCGGCCCTTATTTCCGTAGATGCGGTTGCCGAGCGGCACGCGAGTAATCTCCCATGCACCATTCGCGGGCTGGTGTTCTGTGCCGTCTGGATGCAGATGCAACGAAGTCCAAGCTGCGGCGGCCGCGTGTACGCACAGCTGGGCGGATAAATGAGAGCTTGCACGAGCGCGGCATTGGCGGGAGGGGGGTTTATGTACGCGGTACAACGCGGGCGCTGGAGCGATCGGCGTTGGTTGGTCGTGCGCCCTCCCTTGACATCACGGACGTGGGGTTGCTGCATTAGCCGTCTTCCAGAAGGCCGCGCGAACAGCGAGACGGGCAAGCTCCCAGGCTTCGGCGCGCTGCTCAAATGCGGGACCTGTCCGTCGGGCTCGCTGCTTGGCAGGAGTCCAGGGAACTCGATCCTTCAGGTGCGGTGCTGGCCTCGCGCGCTGAGCGCTCAGGTCACGGCGGTTGATTCGACTCGCGCTGCGTGCTTAGCGATGGCTTGCTTGCGCCGCAGCCCTGCACCTTAGCCCGCCCCATGGCACAAGTCCACCACCAGCTTTCCACCGTTGACCACACATCGCACCCCAGCCCCCTCGACAACACCGCCTCTCTCCCTTCTTTCCCGCGCCAAACCTGCGAGCTCTGCGAGCTCATCCCCCGCTGCGTGTTGTCGAACCCACATGCTTAACCTCCGCTGCGCGCGGTTCCGAGCAGTGGGATGGGGCGCAACGCGCGCAAGCGTATCTCATACGGTAATTCACCCTTGCTTACCAGCCCAGCCCAGTTATATCAACTGACCGCCGCCGTAGTCTTGCCTCTCGCCAACTCCGCAGCCGGCCATCGCCTTGGTGTCAATGGTCTTGCTGTAGATCCTTATAACTCCATCCTGTACGTCATCCCCATCCTCGCCGCCAGCGCCGCACGCTGACCGTTTGCGTCTCCCGAACAGCTACTCTGGCGGCAGAGACGGCGTAATATGCGCTTGGGACACGCACCTCGACCTGCGCCCGGCTCAGGAGCGCGAAGGCTACGGCTCGCTCGCTGGCCTGGACGATGCGCCGCCCGCCCCGAAGCCGGCGACAACCTTCAGGCAGCAAGTGCAGGCCCACACTCACTGGATCAACGACATCATCCTTGCGCAGAACAACGAAGCCCTCGTGTCCGCCTCCTCCGACATCTCCGTCAAGCTCTGGCGCCCCGCCAGCCATGATGCCCTCCCGCCGCAGACGCTCGGCTTGCACAGCGACTACGTCAAGTGCCTCGCTTCGCCCAGCCCCACCGCCAATTGGGTTGCTTCCGGTGGTCTCGACCGCAAGATAAACCTATGGGATCTCAATGGTGGCGGCAAGACGTTGCAGATTGCCGTCGGTGACGATGAGAACACCGCGAAGGGCTCAGTCTACGCCCTCGCCGCCACCAACTCCCTGATCGCGAGCGGTGGCCCCGAAAGCATCGTCCGGGTATGGGACTCAAGATCCGGCAAGCGCATTACCAAATTCGTGGGCCACACGGACAACATCCGGGATATCCTGATTGCCAAAGAAGGTGATACGATCATGACAGCGTCGTCAGATCAGACGGTCAAAGTGTGGTCCTTGACCGCAGGTAGGTGCATGTATACCTTGACCATGCACAACGACAGTGTGTGGTCGCTGTACTCGGATCACCCGCAGCTCTCCGTCTTTTATTCCAGTGATCGCTCCGGACTTGTCGCCAAAACAGACGTAAGAGGCTGCATCGAGATGGACGAAGGATTGTCGGTTGCGGTCTGCCAGGAGCATGGAGGCGTAAGCAAGGTTGCCGTGGCCGGTGATTACGTATGGACTGCAACCGCCAGCTCCAGTATAAATCGCTGGCAAGACGTTAATACCGAGGCCGATGTCCAACTGCCGGATAATAAGCACCACCGTCTTAGCTCCGCCACGGCCCGTACGCGCATACCATCTCCGACTTCTCCGACAAGCCCGCCGTCCATGTCTATTGCGCCGCCAGCCGAGAAGATCCCGAGGAACGCACTCTTGCGTATGTCGAATGCCGCGTCTTTCCACCTCTACCGTGATCGTGACCAGGAATCCGCGACTCTGCATTCTGTTGCAAGCTTAAGGAAGCAGCCGGAGTTGATCGAAGACGAAGCAAAGGGTCCGACGCCGATGCGACCATTGCCTGATTTCTCAATAGAGGGGCAGAACGGTTTAATCAAGCATTTCCTCTTGAGCGATCGCAGACGGGTTCTTACTTTGGATACTGCCGGAGAGGTCATGCTTTGGGACCTTTTGAAATGCGCGCCGATCAAGTCGTTTGGTAAACGCCACCTTGAAGATGTGGCCCCGGAGGTGAACACCACGGAGACGGTTGCGCATTGGTGCGCTGTTGATACGAGAACGGGTAGTTTGACCTGCGTCTTGGAGGAGAATTATTGTTTCGATGCCGAGATGTATGCGGATGAGCTGCAGTTGGAAGAAGCTATTGAATTCAGAGAAGACCAGAGAAGTGAGTTGGAATTTCAAATTCTGCAACCATGGTTATGAGTCACTAACTTGGTATAGTCAACCTGGGAAAGTGGATACTACGATATCTCTTTGCAAATCTGATTGACGAAGAGATCAAAAGAGATGAGTCTTTCCGGCAAAACATCCTATTGGAGAAGAAGCAGCAAAGAAAATCACCAGGCACTATCGAGATACCCGACGCGCAGATGAATGGTTGGAAAGAAGGGTCTGCCCCTTCGTCTGCCACCACCTTGCGCGCTAACAACGGGTTTCATCTCCCTGTCACCACTCCAGGCTTGGCTATTGGTGTTGCCACTCCTGGTGGCCATCCTCACGCGCACACACATCAAACCACAAATCACCTGCCGCCAACCGCCGAGGAGGGTACTCAGCTCGAGCAGACAACGTCCGGCGGTAGCAAAGAGAGGAATTCCGGTGACTACTTTTCGACCAGCCCCCGAACGCAGGCCGCTACGACACCGAGTAGCGCCAGCCAGCCCCGTAAGTCTGGTGAGGCTCAGTCGCCAACAGATGGCGACAAGGAGAACAATAAAGAGGGTACCATGTTCGGCCGCAAATTCAAAATGTCCTTCGGCGGTATGAAGAAGCTGGGTCGAACAACCACGTCAGATACCACCAGCAAGCCCTCCATGGAGTCGCCCACAGAGACGCCCGAGGAATCAGACTCCCACACTTCGAAGAGCGAAGATCGTGTTATCGAGGATAATCTTCTGGGAGTTATCCAAGCCATTCGCCATCGCTATGAGGATGAGCTCCAAGAGGGAGCGCAAAACCTAACTTCTGCAATTACACCTAGTTTGGCCAACGAAACGCCAGTCTTGAAGCCTCCGATTGGAACTTCCATTCTCATTCAGGAAGACAGGCCAGATTCTGGTGGTGTGGCGGATTTGTTTGAAGGAACTGTGGGATCTCTGGGACAACAAGCGGATTTCATAGAAAAAGTGGCGCCTAAATGGCTGGGTGAAGTGTTGCTAAAGGTATGGCGCTTTTTGCAGACCTAAAGGACCGGTGCTAACATGATTGCTCCAGAACACCATTCCCTTCAAGGAGATCGTGAAGGTCTCATTCATTCTCGAGCCGTACCAGAATATTCTGCCGGCTATTGCATCGGATGGGTGAGTCCAAGATTTGGCAAATAAGTTGAGCACCGGCCCCGACTTGCTAACAGTGAATCCCAGAAACAACCGTCTCAATGCCAACCGAATGCTCCGTGCCCGCAAGATCATGGCATACGTTGCTGAACGCATCGAACCTCCGCCAGAGCAGCCCGATCCCAATGCACTAAGACCAGAAGAATACCTTGAGCTCTACTGTAACAACCAGGTACGTCTCCACCTCAAGATAAACCCCACAACAAGGTCAAAACTTCATTTAGCTGACTCAGCAAATCCAGCTCATCTCCCCAACCATGACCCTCGCCACCATCCGCGCGCACGTTTGGCGCGGCGGCGGCGACGTCATCCTCTATTACAAGGCCAACGGCCGCAAGGAGATCAAGCACGCGCAGCCCGCCCCACCTGAAGGCCCGCACCCGCCTTACGTGCCCCCCAACAGCAACATTCCCCTGACTCCGGGCTCCCCAGGCCTGGTGAGTCCGGCTGGTTTCGGTAGCGGGCTGTCGCCGGGTAGTCCGGCGAGGAGCCCGAGGACGAGCGGAGAAGGGAAGGGTGTGCCTGGTTCGTACGATCCGGGCAAGGCTATGCCTCCGTGAAGGTGAGGGTGAGGAGGTGGTTTCGATGCATGGTTTGGTGTGTTGTTTGTTCGTGGTGGTGGGTTCGGTGGGTTAGGCAGCATGGCAGCATGGTTTGCGTGTTGTTGTTGTGGTTGGGTAGTGGGCATTTTCTGGGTCATTGCGTCGTGAAAGGGCTGCTTCTTTTTTTGATTCTTCGTTGGAGGAGCGGAGATACCATGGTTGTTTTTGCTTCGATCTGTTGGAGCTTTTTTTCTTCGAAGGGGGTGGGTGATGAGGGGAGGTCAAGGAAAAGGGAAGGGGGTGAGAGAGAGGCTGTGGTTGAGATGAGTAGATTTGGGGTCACTCTCTCTTTTCCCCTTCTTGGTGGTTTTCCTTGAGAGGTGGGGAAAAGTATATAGCGGGGAGGGAGAAGGTGGTTTTGACGTGGGGGAGGTTTCATCTTCAGTTCCTTGTAGCATATTGGAAATCAGAAAGACTTTTTTCCTTTTAGGATGGGTTCTTGATCGAGTGTGTGTGCGAAGTGTGTAGCTCGGATGGGAAGAGCTTGGTGAGAGTTTGTTGGGAGGTGTTTGGAGCGTGAAAGGTGTTGTCCGTGATTTTGGCGGAGCGGCGAAGGCTTCAACTTCTTCTCACTCTTCTCGTCTTGCAAAACGTACAATGCCATCACGAAGCTTCAGTGCAGAGTGTCTTTCTAGCCTTGTGCGCCATCAAGTGACCTCACTGCAGGGTCTGCGCGTGATCATTGCTCACTTGTCTCGTGCAAGCTCGCACGCGCTCTCGCTGCTAGTGTAGCCTTGGACGTTTTCTATAAAATACGGGTACATCGTCCTGACTGAGTTCTACACTTCGTCAACAACGATTGCTTGTTGTTCTATAGTTTTCAAATGATGATATGAATTGTACTGTCTTTGCGCGCGGCGTTGCGGCGGTTGTATTGTGAAAGTTGGATTTTCGGGAAGGTAGGAAGTGATTAGGGGCATTGGTGTACAGCATTTATGGATGGTGGTGATGATGAGGGGCAGCTTCGTGGAAAAATTCTGCGGTCCAGCATTCGGATGAGGTGAAACAGTTCACCGTTTTATTGATTGTTGGACTGGGCTATGTAGATGTTCTTAGTAGAGGTCAAGCAACTCGACCAAATTGAGAAGACGTAATAAGAAGAACCGCACGCACAGTGATCCATTGCCACTGAGAGTCAAATTCATTGAATTGGTTGAATCTTTAATGTTGCATCGAGAAGGACTCGAAACGTAAAGGACGTCTTTATAGCCTGTCGGGTCGTTGCTGTATGCAGCGTGGCGCCTGTACCACGTGTTCGTCATTGCGCTGTGCTTCAACCACGAGTCCTTTAGCGCATCACATGCATGTAAGCAGCTGTTGAGATACTTCAAATGACACATCATAGGCTGTGCTAGGCATGGTAATCACGCTGCAGGCAATTCGCTTCCGCACAAGTGCCGCAATAACCCGCGTAGCCATCACTTGATCATTCCTGGGGGTTGCAATATTTTATAAACCGAAATATCCTCATAGATGCGATAGCTGTAGATGATCACCTTCTTTGGCTCTGTTGCGTGTCGCTCAAGTCGAGGCATTCACTGTTGTGTTTTGGGGCGGAACGCTGAGGTTAATTTCTGCAAACTGGGTGGCTGTCTTTCTCTCTCCTGTCGGAGTCCTCTCGATCAGCGTGCCTGTCAGGGCGTGAGAGGGTTAAAGTATGGTTGATGCTAAGAGATTATGTGCAAAGATGATGGGGAGCAGCATCAATAGGTTTTGTTGAAGTGAAGTATGTGGGAAAATTGAGGAAGTGGATCTATTAAAGCTGCAAATGTTTCTAGCGAGCGAGAAGACGCAGACAGAACAAACGAGGCCGAGTGATATCCGTTGGTAGAAGGATTAATATGGCTTAGGCATTAGTTGCGCGTGAATAGTTAGCATCTTAAGGAACGAGAAGTATGAGGTGCTATATAAAGTATTGAGAATAGCTAAAACAAGGCCCTAGGCATGGGGCGATTGTGCGAGGCTTCCCGCTTATCCTCATGTGCAAATCTGATCAAATGCAGACAAAAGTACACTTATCATGAGGTCACCAGTTCCTTGCAATTGGTTGGCTTTGCGGATGATCGGTGGTTGGATGATTCGAGCTAGGTGGCACATCTGAGCCCAAATCAAACACGATATTGTCATCGTTTCCGCCACTAATGAACTAAGCCATGGATTCGGCCACCATATTGTTTAGAATACGCATCATTAGTGTGTATGAAGGTAATAAAATGTGGAAACACTTCCAAGATTTGATGACATTTCTGGGGTTCTCCGACTTAGTGAAGAGTACGACAGGTGAAGTTTTGGGGTATTACAAAGGGCTAGAGGTGTTGGTGCTCCGTGATATACGTGTATAGTCCTTTCAGATAATAAAGGTTCTATGACAAGTTGGCTTTGTAAGTAGATGATGGCTGGGATAGTTGAGACCTTCCGGACCTTCTCGTTAGCAGCACTATTAGCGCCACCCGCTCTTTCAGTAGCCCACCAAGAAGATACTCCCCATTATTCCACCTACCAGAGGCCTACTTTCGTGCAGCACTTGATGCCATCATTTTAGCGGCTCTCACTTTCCCCAATCTCGCCAACCCCAAACTTTCATCTCCATTAGGGGCTTAGAGTCAACCAGGGCAACCGGGGAAGGGAAAGGAATACATCACATTGAACTGAAACACTTCACTCAGCAGAATTCCTGGAATTCAAGGGCTAAAAGCACGCAAATAAATTCCCACTCTTTACCCACCTATATACACACCCACAACCAACCCCCCTTTATCCTCCACTCACGCAAACGAGCTTCCCAAAGCATCATACCTTGCCTGGTCAACCGCCAATACACTGCCATGCCTCAAATCCTTAGGCCAAGCGCTCGAATCCGCCGCCGTCCACGTACCCGCCTGCACATCCTCGCTCACGTACGGCGCATAGCCATCGCCGCCGAAGAAATCGAGCAGCAGGTAGGCCTTGCCGTCGACCTGGTTGTCCCAGTAAGCGGCAGGGCCCTCAACGTTCTGCTGAATGATAGCGCTGGCGCCGCCAGGACGGGTCCAGGTGCCGAACAGGCCATCGGTGCTGATCTCAGTGAAGACGTTGGTAGCGGTCTCGTTCTTGATGAAGCGGGCGTAAGCGTTGTTGCCGAGGGGCAGGAACGTCAGGTCGATGACGGAGCTGGGCGAGTAGTCGACGTAGTCGGCAGGGGCCTCGAACGTCTTGAAGTCGGACGTGTAGGCGGAGCGGATCTTGATGGCCGAAGGGGAGCCGCTGTGGGCCGTGTCCGAGGTGGCGTAGAACTTGCTGGACCAGTGCACCAGGTACTTGCCCGCCTCGGCGTCCCAGATGGCCTCGGGCGCCCAGACCATGCCCGCCGTCGCGTCCTCGACCTCGACGAGGCGCTCGCCCGTCCACGTCACCAGATCGGTCGATTCCCAGACGAAAATGCCGCGCGAGCCGGTGCGCTGGGCAGCATCCCAGGTTGTCTGCAGTTGTTTGTGTCAGTTTGTGTGCTGACAGAATTCAGTTTTTGAGTTTCGGCTTTTACCTTTGAGATATCGAGATCCGTCCCGATAATGTACCACTTCTTTCCCGCTTCGTCACCCCCGCCAGCGATGATAGTGGGGTCTCTCACGCCACCGGTGCCGAGAGTGGGCACAATAACCGGGTTACCGCCATTAAGGGCCGAGAACGAGATTGCGTTGTTGCCATTGCTGCGGTAGAAGTAGACGCTGGGCTCGTCGCCGAGGAAGAAGGCACCCAGGTAGCCGACGAGACTCGAATCCGCGCGCTTGCTGTACTGGCTCAAGTCCAGAGACTGGGCGGTGGGTGCGGCGGCGGTAAGAGATGCGCAGAGCGCGGCGATGATCGACGTGGCGAACTTCATCTTGTTCCAGGGGGCCTTGTGAAGTCCTGAGCTTGAGAGGAGCTGGACGGACTGGATTCGACGGGCGATGCGAAGTCTACTTAAACGCAGTCCCCCCGGCCGCTGTCATGTCACCCCGGCGGTGGCCATTGACGGTGACGTGCGCGTGCGGGCCGGTGGACAGAGCTCCGATGTGGGCGAATGGGCATGTTTAGGCGGAAATGGCGAGCGACAGGGCGGTCTTCTATAATTGGATTGATAGTTAAGGTTGCTCTTTCAGTTCGCTCCGGTGGGCGCCGTGAGGATTGCGTGTTTATAGTCGTTGGCCGAGTGGAGCGGATTAGCGAGCAGCCGAGCAGGGCGGTGCAGCCATTGGACGACGGTATAGCCGGTCAGGTGTAGCGGGCCGAAAGTTGCAAAAATCGTGTTATTTCCCCACGAAGTGGATAGTGTAGTGAGGGGCTCCGCCGTTTCGGGGATCGCGGGGTAGCATTGAGACGGCGCGCCCAGGAACCCGCGCGCGCCGTTGACGTAATCCATCACCACCTTCCCTCTACTCTCGAAAAGCAGGCTCGCATAAATGGCGAGCGTTCCGTTGCGGGGCCCCGCTCCGCTGCCTTGCTTCGTAAAGCAATATTTCAGGCCGGCCACATGATCGATCATCATACGTCGTACCGAATGTGACTCGCCAATCCCTCGGTTTGCGGCTCTCTCCGGATGGGTGTTCGAAGCCTCATGATCAGCGCTCAGGGGCTCTGAGACACAACTGCTGCAGCCGCCTGTAAATCAAGCGAGTCGTGTGATTGCCAAGCTCCGTGACGGCTGACTTCTCCGAATTCATGCTGTGTGTTTCAACGTCGAACAGCGTCAAGCCGGCGGCTACAGCATTGACGCCTTCCCCAGAGCTCCCCAGTCTGGTTCCTGCAGCATCTCCCCGCGCATAGTTCAGCCAGCCGACGTTATGCCAAGAGTGTGCAAACAACCAATCGAGCATCTCGCATAAAGCCAAATGTTTTGTTTTTCAGTTGCTTGGGCCAATTCAGACCGAGCGGAGCTTTTTCGACTGTGTTTCGGTAGTTTAAGGTACGGTCCGCTGCAACAAGTACCACAAAGCAATAGCCTTGATCAATGCATGATCTGTGACTTCCATGCTCACATGCTCGCAAGCAAACACTATTCCCGAGAGCTACTTCTGAAATGCAGCTCCTTCCTTTCTTTTGCTCTGCCAAGACTACACTCCGTATTACACACGACAAATGAGAAAAAAGAAAAGTAGTCAGCACATACTGCATCGGAAAGAAGCAAAAACTCCAGCCATTCCTGCTTCTTTCCCCGGTCCCAACGGCGACAAATGACGCCACAAGACATACCTGCCACTCGATTTTGCAGACACGTCTGCTTCTGACAACTTACACATGAACTTACACATAACTTGTGACTGCGCGCATCTTGTGAGATGTCATCGTGCGCCAACATGTGTAACGAGCCATTCCCCCAGTCCCAGGGCTCAGGGCTGGGGCGCGCCCGCATTCAGCTCCGCCAATTCCAAAGCTTGAGTGTGCGAGGGTGAAGAGCCCTGTCGAACGTCGCACGACGGGCTTGACAAAGAGTGCTTGGCTGTATGAGTCGGCATCTTCCCTGGTCTGTGGATTTGCAACACCCCTGGTGATCTCCGCTGCGGCTCTCGCATGCGCACGCCCATGTATGTACCAGCCAGCCAATAATTTCGCCTCGCCTCACTCATAGTAGCAAGACCTCTAGGGAATCGTATAGCGTCGGGTGCCCAGAGCCAACCACCAATGGCCATCGGGTTCTCGCCCGCTCCAAGACAATTGTCCTTCGAGCAGAGTAAGCCAATCGACCGACAGGGTAGTAGGCGGCTATTGATAGCAAGCCCTGTGTGATATACGGGCCATTCGGATGTCTGGAACCCAGCGTCGTACCGGCACGCGGGTCTGACAAGAGCGGCAGATCCGGCACAGCATTACTCTTCTGACCAATGTGTGCGACTCACCATCTTGCCCCTTTCCCACGTGATGCTTGTCTATTTGCGGACGCGGTGGGCAGAGGATAGCGAACCGATGGCTCAACATGATTCTGCACCGCCACAGAACAACGTCATCGCGATGGGCAGTCTCGATGGCAACCGGTCAATCCAGGCTCTTGACCGGCTGCAGAGATGACTCTTCGGGCTGTTGTTTGGTTTGGGTGTGCGTGCATGACGCGCGAACCCTCAGCCCGGTTGACGTGGTTGCCGGTCAAGGACCAACGCGCAGCCGTCGCCCTGCCAGCCACCGGGCGCGTGGCTGCGGGCGCGCACCAATTACCCAAGCTCTTTCCTGCGATTCCATCATCGCAGAGAAAACAATCGAAAGCATGAACAATGACAACAAAGCAGGAAAGAGAGGAAGAGTCAAAGGGCGAGAAGGAAAAAAATAAGTCATGCAGGAATGCGTTGTACGCGGCCAGGGACAGACATGCCACTAGCGGATCCTCGCTCAGGCCACAAGGCCCAATCCCAGCAGCCGTGGTGCTGGGAGAGGCGGGCGGCGGAAGCATGACAGGCTTCCGCGTCTGCGCGATGGTGTTGCGGCCAATGGGCTGGCTGAGAGTCGCGAAGAAGACGTCGCGCCGCACATGGCCGGAGCGAAAGCAGCTGCGGGCTTGGGGGCGAAGGCAGTTAGGCTGAAATGCACGACGCGGGCCGGAGCTGCACGCCAATCAAGCGCAGCTCGCGTGGACTTAGGCATGCTGGGCCAGGCCTCGCAGGGCCAGCCAACTTGCGGTGGGCGAAACAGCGGCGAAAAAATTTTCATCCTCATCAAAAGCATGCGGAAATTGTGGGAGGAATTGAGTGCGGCTCAGGTCGACGTGCCCAGGGCGTCCCGGCAGCGTTGGGCGCCAGGGCCGCCGGGCGGCGCGGGATGCGAACGGGACGGCGGCGCGGGGATGGCTGGAGAGGCAAACGGCTCACACAGGGGAAGCGAAGGCAGCGGAGCGGCGTGGAGTTGCACAGGCGGCGCGGCCGTGGACTGCCTGCCTTACCCTGCCGCATGAACCACGAAGCTGAATCGCGAGACCCTGGCCAGGCCGGGAGTCAAACGGCGGCAAGTGCTTACCAAAGCCGTCGCGCAGCCTCTGGGTTGTTCTGGGGCTGATTATTATTAGGCTGCATGAGAGGAGCAATACATACCAGTGGTGCGTGACCGTCGTCAGCGCTCGACGTTAAAAACTGGCAGTCTGACGTCTCTCGCGACCCACCAGGCTTTGGATCTGCCGCGCATCAGTGGCTCTCACGCCCTCTCACCGATCGTTGATGGACCTGGGCCCGGCGGTGTGACTGCTACAGGAGCCCAAGGAAGGCCCCGGCACCAAACCCAAGCGCCCACTCCAGCCACACTCGCGCACGGTCCTCTCCCTCTTAACCTCCTCCCCCAGTCCCGGTCGCAAGGATTCTCACAATAAAATCGATCCCGCCCGCCCGCCCGCCAGGTGCTTTCACTCCCTTTGGCTCTCGCCAACAACCACCACCACGCGACAACGTACCTCGCCGCGGATCGCCACGGTCCCTCCGCCGCCACCCAGCAGCACACAGCCACGCTTCCAATGTTAAGAGACAGAGACTCGGTTTTTCCTCACTTCTCCGCGACCGAACCTCCCTCTCTCTGTGCCGCGCTGCTCACCTGCGCGCGCTCCACCACAACGCCGCATTCGCCACGGTGACGGGTCTTTATAGTACCCTGACCCGCCTCTCCTCTCTCTGCCGACATCCTCTCACCATCTATTCCTAACACCAACCTCGAAATGTATTCCTCTGCGCAGTATTCGGCTCCTCCGCCGAACTACATGTCCTACGACTACATGCGCTCTCCGCCCGTCTCGCCTTCCCCCCACGGGCCCAGTTATTACTCTACCAGGTACTCCTCGCCGCGAGGATCGCCGAAGCACCACTCTCGTCGCGCCAGCCAGTACGACCCGCCGACCTACTCCTACTCGCGCCCCCCACCACCGCAGTATGCCTACTCGTACGCCTCGCCGCGATATACCTCGCGCGAGTCGACGCCGCAACGCGCCTACGACTTTGTAAGTGGCTCCCGTACACGACCGCGGAGTCGCAGTCACTACGCTCCGGAAGGCGCGCCGTGCGGCAAGTCTTGCGACTGCAAGTACTGCGGCTGCGGCGACAGGAATCGCTCGACTCGTTCGCAATCCTACCGCAAGGTGGCCGTTGACGACGACTATGACGACTACTACCGCGAAAGCCCGCCGCCGCCCTACGAACCGCACCAAAGCTATCCGTACACTACTTACGAGAAGGTCTACACCCAGGTCCCGGAGCACAAGGAGGCAGACGCCACCCGCTCGCGCGCCCGCCGCGCTTCGCACTCGTCACGGCCCACCGCCACGTCGACACCAAAGCGCTCTCCGCCGGCAAAGGCAGCCCCCAAGGCCACCGACGAGGACGCGCGTCGTGCGGGCATTCCGGCCGGCTACTCCTTCAAGAACTGGGACCCTACCGAAGACCCCATCCTCCTCCTCGGAAGTGTGTTCGACGCCAACTCACTCGGCAAGTGGATCTATGACTGGACCGTGTTTCACCATGGGCCGGCGACGCCGATGTCCGAGATTGCCGGCGAGCTGTGGCTGCTGCTCATCCAATTGGCGGGCAAGGTCAAGCGGGCTGAGGAGGCTATGTCCAAGATTCGTAAGCAAGAGAACAGCGAATTGGTCGAGGACTTCTTGGAGAGTGGCGAACGGCTCTGGGTCCGGTTCAGCAAGTTGCTCAAGGTGTGCGAGGATTACATGTGGAAGGCGGCCAAGCGTGAGGCGGGCGACAAGAAGCCCGTCTCAATGGGCAAGAACTCGGGCTGCGAGTTCGTCGACACCATCTTCGGACGCGACAGGGAGCTGGAGAAGACGGAGAAGCTGATGACTGCGATGCGCCTGTGGTCCATGCGCTTCGACGCCAATTGCGAAGAGATCCTTCGCTACCCTTCTGCTTAGACGCTGCCGTCAGAGTAAGCCTATGACTCACGGCTGATTTTTTTTTCCTTGTCGCCCTGGGGGTTCCTTTTTTCTTCCTATTGGCTTTTGCAGAGATACCACTTTTGCGAGATTATTGGTTCTTCATTTTTCTAATGTAATTGTACGGACATGGGCATTCTTTCTCTTCGTTTCCTCAAGGTTCTGTCACAGGCTGTACGCTATCAGATCATGTGCATTTGGGCGGTGGGCTTCAGTCATGCATTCACAGAGGCGCTTCTCGATTGCCATTCGGCGCTTCCTCCGAGTCATCTCTTCCCTTTGTGCTTCAAGGTCGTTTCTGGCGGTTACAAAAAGTTGGATACCTCATTCGTTGCACCACTTTTCCTTTGATTTAGGCACCAGCGATTCTGTTCCTTGCTCTGGGGGAGTTTTTTTAGATCTACAGACCATAATTCGCCCAGGCGGCCACTCGCGTGGTATTCTCTTAACACTCTACCCGCTTCACCCATGCCCTCGTGACGACCTCCTTGTGCCAGATATGTTGGCGCCTGGAAAGTTTAATCGTTTGATATTTGACCATGAGTTCTCTTCGCTTGACGTCTGGTGAACGGGGGAGGGACCAACGCACGAAACCTGTCCAAACAGCACCCAAGGCCAGCCACATGCGGCGCACATGCACGCACGCTCTCACACGGCAAACGTATGTACGTACACGGGTAGTACCCACCGTGTCGGTTTGGGGGCCGTGTAGTGGAAAGGGAAGGGGGGAACACAAAACCCCTTTCATCATTCCTCTCTTTACCCCGTCCGGGCCGTAGTAGTGTGTGTGAGTGTGAGTGTGAGTGGAGACACACACACTCGCGCACCCCAGCCACTCCTTTCGACCCACTTCCCCCCAAAAGAAGCAATGCTCGACAGGCAACATCGCACAAGATTGCGGCGGCGGCCGCGCCGCTGGCCCCATCCCCTTCCCTTCCCCACTTGCCCCTTCGCACGCAGCATGCTACATCCCAGTAAGTTCCCATATCGCCGGGAACCGGTTACGCCGCACATACGATCTTTTTTGCTTACTCCGACTGAACCGACGACGTGTCACGGCCGGTACGGCGGCGGCGGCGGAGAGGCGCAGCCACAGTCTACTCGTATTGATGAGCGGCGCAGTTACAGTAGTAAGTGGTAAGTGGGTATATCGATAGCACGGCTCGTAGTTCTGTCCGTTGGTTTTAGTTTTAGTCTTTTTTGCGAACGCCACTAGGGTGACTGATGCACACGCCCCGGCCGGCCGTCCGTCCACCACGCGTGTGCGCGCACGGCACGCAGCCGCCGCGCCGCCGCTGCTCGTCAGCCGCCCCGTCGTTTCGGCGGCCGATGATGCGGCCGCCAGCCAGCCAGCCAGGGGCCTGTGTGTGCCTAGTGTGCATGTACCTATCAGCCTTATACAGCGGCGGACCGTTTTCTTTCGGCGCTAATGTAGGGCGCTGCATCATCGTCGTCTACATGTTCCCTTGCCTCAATTACAGCCCCCATCACAATCCCTTGTCTGGCGGCGGCCCCCATTGTTCTATGTATGTACGTACATGACAGCGGATAGTTGCTGCTGCGCCGTCGTCTATTCAAGATAGGTATCCCCACCAGCGCCAGCTGGCGTGCGGCGCGCGCGCAGTAAGACGGCGTGAAGGGACTAATCTTTCCGTTTCCCCTTCTGTAAAGTGGCGAAGAGATAATGCGGCACAAAACGGACTCCCCCCGCCTTGCCGCCAACGACAAACTCCCTCGGCACAACGCACGTCCAGCTGCGGGGATCTGCGGAAGCGCCGCGTGGGTTTTGTTGGTGCGATCGGCTGGCTGCTGATAAACTGCGTGATCTGATGCGGGGAACCAAACGCCAAACGCCTGTTAGCCGACGATCTAGAATAAGACGGGAAGTCCGTTTTGCAAGATTGGGGTAGCGATTACGCGCCGGCTCCCACATGGGCGTTGTTGGCATATGTTGCGGGCCAAAAAGACTCGCTGTTATTTTGCACGGCGTCAAGTCCCAGCAGGGGCTGTGATACCAAGTCACGCAAAAGAAGCGGATGGCACAGCTGGTGCTACAATACGTACCAGCCCACTTTTTTTTGTTTCCTGTGCGGCCTCCATATGGCCTGCTCCTTCCACCCTGCATACTGCAGCGAACCTAAAATTAAGATGAAGCTCTGGCAAAGATGCCATCACAGCTTCGTCACCAGGCCTGTGCCCCCCTCATGGCGGCGGTTCGGCAGTTTCGCTTTGCTCTCTCCTTCGCTGGTGGTGTCCCCGCAGTTGCCGCCACACCCCCGCGGCGCGCGTGGAACGCTGCATGGAAAGCAGCTGACCTCTCTTTCCACCCCTCTCTTGCTTTTCGCTCAACGGCGCGGACCGGCGCCGTCCGTCGACAAGGAAAGAGGAACGTGACGGGTCGAGTGACATTTTTCCCTTTCTTCTACGATGGCGTTTGGTTGCATGTTGCGCCATTAAAATCGGGGCAACGACGTTTGTTGGCAACGTACAGTAGCAGCTGATGGTTAATTGCTGGCCCCAACGGCGCGCGCGCGCCGCAGACACGCAGACACGCACGCGTACGGTGCACACATTCCTCTGCGCCGCGGCTGAACCATGTGTGGGGCGGCGCCAGCTCAACGAAGCTGCGCATGTGCGGCGCGTAGAAAGAAGGCAGAGAGAAGAAACAGATGCTGCCTGCTCGGGAATGCGGGCCCTGAAAGTGAGCACGCGCTGCGGCTGAGGAATGCGCGGCGAAGAAGAAGAAGAAGGAAGCGTGATGTTTGGGCGTGAAGAATGCCGCTAAGCAATGCTCGTGCTATAGGGCAGCAGCGACACGTTTCCCGGCACGCCTTGTCATTCGCTGGCCGTTCTCTTCTGCTCCCTTTGCTTTTTCCCGTTGCGGCTGCATTTCCTTGGGCGGAAGACATTGGCTGCTCGGGTCTTGCCTTTAGGGCCCTTTCCTTGATACAACGACTCTGGATCGAGAGATGCGGAGAGACCAGGTGACCACCACCACGACCTCTCCTCTCGCACCCACCCACCATCATCCATCCCCTCCGGCCTTTTTTCCCTACGGCACGTCGGATTGCTCGCCCTGAGTCGCGCGCTTGCGCGTGTACTCCCGACAGCCTATCCCCCTCCACCCCTCCTTTCCCGTCACATGCCGACACACCTCCAACAATGTTCCGTTCTTCCAATCTCATCTTAATCAACCACGTTGAAAAAAGCCGCAATGGTGAAACCTGATATCGGCGCCCTCCGACAGTAGTCCATGTAGTGTACCTAGCTGTCGTCGACAACACCGTACCACACACATCGTCATCACCATCATCATCGTCTTCATCACAATCTCGCATACACCCAATCACCCAACCGCTGTGCTGTGCCCCGGATCGATCCACAGATATCGGCACATCGAAACGCAGACTAATCGATAGCAGCGACAAGCGACGACCCGATACCACGGGTACGACACACGAATGGAGACCCACATTCCGATTACCCTTTGCTCGAGCCGCGCCGCAAGTCGCGTCGTGCCGATGGCTCCGTGCCGCACAAGGCAGCCTACTACAAGGGAAGAACACCCGAACCCCTGTCGCGCCGCATTCCTCATTATCCTGGTCCAGTGATCGACCAATGGTGAGGGTCGAGGAAGCGCGGACGTGCGTGCTCTCTCTCTCGTGCTCATTTTTTTTTTTTCACTTTCTTTTCTCGGTGACCGGGACTGTTTTTGTGTGTTTCTTGCGAGACAGTGTGTTTCTTTTTCTTTTTTAAAATTGGTCGAGTGCGTTGCGGCATGCGGTTAGTGGTCCCGGAGGGCCGTCGCGGTTAAGCTGGGTGACGACGAGCACAGTGACCTCGTCTGCATCCATCACGCTCTCTTTTCTTAATGGATGTCGCCGATGTGGAATACAAGCCCCCGTCACGTCATCAGCAAAAGCTGAGTACCTTCAGACAGGAACAGAAAGCAAACGTGAAAACAATGCATTACTAAGCCAAACCATCCAAACCCATTCTCTTATTTCCTTCCAACTCCGTTCTATATCTCCAGATCGGTAACCGAACCAATACATGGCTGGGCGGGACCAAGGCCGCAGAAGCGGCCAGAAGCGCTTCCCGGCTAATCACGACACGGAAATCTCCTGATTCGTGGGGTGCTTGACCGGGGTTGGGTTCGCTCGGGAGAGGTATGCATGCACGTCGCATATGCCGGTTGTTTATTTTATTTTTTTTTTCTCGCCATGCATCTTCGGGAACCGAGAGCAAAAAACGCCTCGAGCGCTTAAGCACTGGCGAGGTCGCATATGCGGTCAGCTGGGGCGGCGCCGCCAGCCGCACGCCGCACACGCCGCAGCCCTGGGGTGAGGAGGATGCACGAGCAGGAGCACGAGAGAGAGAGAGTCTGGGCTTCGGAATCTTGTCTTCTGATTTGCTTTCCCCGGGCATCTTATCGGGAAGGGAAGATCGCTGCTCTGCGATCTGGATGGATGCGGGAACACGTGGGTGCGATGATTTGTTTCTTCTCCCGGCAGATGCTGTGTAGCCTCGCTTTCTATTTGGCACGCATGTCGTCTTATCTCTATTGTAAGGCGTGAGCTAAAATGCGGATCCCCCTACAATGTGTCTAAGTGGAGAATGTTAAGTTTAGAGAGCTTCTATTTTTCCCTCACTTACAAAGTAGAGATGGCACACCTGCAAGTCTGCCAATCAGTTCCCATAGTCTTCTATATTCAGAAACAAAACGCATTCCCGCACATGGTCCCCTTGTCACCGCCGGGACTACCCTGGGGCTTGGTACTGTACATTACATACATACATTCACGTACTCGGCTACGGTGCTTGGGGGCCGAATCACCAATCGGGATGTTGAAAGGTAGGTCAGCGGCGGCGTGGGACAAGGGAACCCCTGCACTTGCTTAAAGGTGGGGTGAGGGGGGGGCGTGGGTGCGAGAAGAGATGCAGATACGCGCGGATGCGTGCAAGCGAGGACCAATACTTTGGGCTTGAAATACGTGCTTTCTCAGTTGCGTTGCTGCAATTTGCAAAGTAAAGAAGTGATTGGAGGCGAGAGTAAATGCTGTTGTTATTGGAAGCCCTTCCCGAGTAGTGTTGAGGTCCTGGTGATGCAGTGCTGACTTCGGATACAGATCTTCTCGAAGGGGCCAAGAACCATGATGGTGGTGGGGGCTGGAAATGCATAGTAGGACAAGTCGGCGCTTGGGAGCTGAAGGATGAGTGATAGGGCTGACTGCTATATACGGCTGCAGAAAGGCGGTTTGCAGAGGCGGAGCGTCGATCACCGTGGGCTGAACGAGCTAATTCAGTGTCAGTGTGACATTGGTGGCAACTCCGATACTACCTTGCTTCTCAGCTCTGTCTCAGCTGAAATTGCATACCGGAAATGATTATTCTCTACTGTGGCTTTCAAAGGGGTGTTGCACTCTTTCTCTAGACAGTTAAAGCAAATGTCCAAATGCAGATGGGACCTCCGGACGTCTTCAAAGGACCTGGATATAGGTCTCCATTACCCGTGTGAATAGGTTGCAATATCTTGGATGAAGGTTTAAATTGTTTCTATAGAGATTTTATTCAGCTATTCAGTGAATTTTCACAGACCTGGCTGTGGCTTGCTCAGTGCTCTCTCGAAGTTTGCCAGCTTGTGGCCGGCTTGAATTTTCAGATACTCGTTAACAATGGCGTCGACCACGGTCCAGCAATTAACCCAGCTTTAGATCAACTCTCTGAAAGAACCAAGTCTACGTTCCAGCTCGAAGGGGTATATTGAATCGTACAATCGGGAAGAAGCCAAAGAAGTAGAAAGCATCACCGTATCTCAACACTTCTCAAGCATACATCCGCCCATCAACCGGCGCATCCACCGTGCCGTTCGAAAACGCACAATGCCCAATCACCTCCCCATCCTCCATCTCCGCCTCCTCCTCCTCCTCCTCCTCCTCCTCCTCCTCACCAGGAACAACCCCCCACATAACCGGCCGACACTCGTCCGTGCCCTCGGGCCCATGACACGCCGCCGCAATCGCCGCGCTACAACTACCCGCAAGCGGCATGCCCCCCGGCCTCAGCCTGCGCAGCCCCAGCGCCACCGTAAACACGCTCAGCACCGCCGCCGCCACAACCGTCAGGATCATGCCCAGCGGCGAGAAGCCGCACGTCACCGCGCTCGCCGCGCTGCTCAGCGAGACGGGGCTGGCATCCTCGCCGTCGGCGCCGTGCGCGTCCTTGCCGTCGACCTTGACGAAGAAGATGCTCTGCGAGATGATGAGGTGGAGCAGCGCCGAGAAGGCCATGAGCGGCACGCCGACGCGGTAGGGCACCTGCAGGAAATACGTGCCGCGCTGGGAGCCGCGCGGGTGGGAGACGCGCAGCGCGGCGCGGCGGTGCGCGTAGGCGGACCACTCTTTGGCGAGGGAGATCTTCGTGATGAGCCCGTTGAGGAAGAAGTAGATGAAGGAGAGGAGCAGTTGCGGCAGGTTGGCGATGAGGACGGTCGCGACGACGGCGGCGTCGCCCGAGGAGGGGATGTGCCAGCCCGTTATCATGTTGTATGGCGTGGTCTTTCCGAGGCCTAGCTCTTTGATGAAGGAGATGCCGCCGCGGTCGAATTTGGATCGAAGCTGTGCCATTGCGTATGCCAGGAGGCTGAGGATGATTACTATGCATAGCACGGCCCTGCGTGGCGTTAGCTCGTGTTCTGGTGGAATGGCTCGTTGCAACTGAAATGTAGAAGGATATTGTAGCCATGCTGGAGGACGCTCTTTAATCGGTATAGGCCAGTACGTATTTGCAAATACATACTTGAGCCATTCAGTTATTCTGGAGCAATGAAGAAGTAGAAATGTACTCACAGAGAACCGGTGATGACCCAACGAGTCTTCCCTGTGGCCGTGGCGGCTCTGTTCTTTCTGGTTCTGTATGTCTTGGGCGCTGGCGGCTGACCCGAGAGTCTTGCGGCGTTTATATAACCGTGAGCGAAGTCTCTTTGTGTAAGGAGACACATTCCCCGAGTTGTCGTATCACGCTTCCGGATGAACGAAGCTGCTGCATCACCGATGGTGGTCAATGGGCTATCCCTGACCTTTGCAATGACGATGGTAAGAACGACAACTTTCTGGACAGTCTTGTCAGCTTAGACCATCAAAGATTGGACCACGGTAACTTACGACTGCGTTGGCAAGAATAACGACGACCATAAGACTTTTCGCAACATTCAGACTGCACCCATTCTCCATCTTTTCGCTAAGGCAGTACTCGATCTTGAATCCCCAAACTTTCCAGTCTGAAGCACTGGACCTTATGTCTTGCCAGTAGCCGTCGCCACATAACGACGATGGGCGGTCAGACCCGTAGTTGTCATATTCAACATTTTGGGAGCATATCCAGTTGTACCAGTTGTCAAGAACAGGGGCTCCTGCCGGTATGATGTTGCTGGTATACGGGTAAACAGACAAAAGAGACGAGTTCGCGTCGCAACTGACGAGGCGATTGTCTCCCGAGCTGATGATGGCAAACGACGACGAGTTCTTTTCACAGCTACTCGCCATACCAGCTCTTTCCGCCGTCACGCCCATTTCCTGATTATCGCTAGGCAAAGTAGACGTGACCAGGATAACATTGCGTCGGTCGGAAAGGGGTGTCTTTGCATAGTCCTGGATGCAGTCTGAATTGTTCCGACGTTCGAAAAGGGACCCGTTGTTCCATACTCCAAGGTTTTCCATCTTCGATTGGATCGAATAGGGGTCGTGTCTTTCGTCTATGTGCAGATACGACGCATTACGTACTTCAGTAGTGCCGTCCTCCAGCCCCACTATAAAGTTTGTCGAGTAGGTAAAGTCCGAATAAGGCGGGAACGTGTTGCTGTCAAATGAGGCCCCCTTTTGGAAGTCTTCGGTGGCAAAATACACGTCGTAGGAGTTATTGGCTGTGGAGACAAAAAAGGTTGAGTTGTAACTGGAACAGGTCAGCTGGCATATCTCTTAGAGAGGACGAGGGTTTTTACAGAAGATGCAGCGGGACGGAAGATAGGGCCAACAGGAACCAAAATAGAAGTTTGATGGACTTGATATGGCTGAAGTTCTTCATGCTGGGCACGCCAATGTCGAGCCACTTGCCTTGGCCATGGGCTCGGTCTATGTCTTCCCGTGTGGGGGCAGAAAGACATTGCATGCAGTAGTTGCTGGCACCGAGAAGGAGCGTGCTGACAGCGTTGATGGCCAGGTGGATTCCAAACTGGATATGATCGATGTCAGAGCATGGCCCCGTCCGGATTGTCGCAATGTTTGAATGATGGCCATTTTTGCTGGCGATTGCGGATGCGACGGCAATGACGACGATATTGGCGATGAGGGTGCACAGAGACAAAGCCGCGCCTACGGTCACTCCAAAACGCCAGCCATCGGGCATCCGCCGGGTCAAGGGTCCGAGGAAGGATGAGCGGCTTTTCGGGGAGCTATTCTTAAGAAGCGTGCCTGTGTCGTCGTCCGAAGGGCCGGAACCCATAGCCGTGGGTAGTGCTTGCTCTCGGTCATATTTCGCTCCGCCAATCGAGCTGTGGGACTGCGTAGATGGCTCGTATTCATCTTTATGTCTATAGGGCTCTAGTGGTATGTATTCGGTGCTGGGATTCGTATAGCTTTAGCTTCGCTCTCTTGGCCCTCGTGATTGCACCTACTTTGTCTTTGCTCCACTCATCCTGCGGGGAGACACTCGGTAGGAGATACCGGAAAAGGCAGTAGAAAGAAATGCGCCCAAGAGGATTCTGCGGGAGGGTGTCGAGAAAAAGAGAGACAGAGACCCACATAGAGGGAGACGGAGATATCCTCGTTGCAACCAGGTGGTTGGGGGCCGCGCAGGATCAAACCCCAGTAAAGCATCACGTTTTATTTTTAGGTGCTAATCGTGTGAACTCTATATGCATTGACAGTCCAAATAGTCCGATCCTTATAGACAGATACCTGCCTACCTAGCCACTCAATATTTACTTCCTTTGCTTGCTTGAACCCAGTGAGTTGCTCCCTCCAAGGCCACACGAAGCGCCGTAGGATCTAAAGGATAAAGTTGCGCTAATGCACATTAGGTTTCGCAATCAAGCTCATTTTTGGGGGCCAAAAGTGTGGTGTACGACGTCATATCCAACTAACAACACCATCGCCTCCACCAACAACGACAGAAAGGTTAAACCAAGGAAATCAAGTAAGTAATGGGGAGAGAGTTTCTTGCTTTCTATTTCAAAGGTGCGCACGATTCAGCGCTCTCACGTGACCTATTGCTAAACCCGGAAAGACTTCCCACCAATTCTCTCACGAGTTTCCGAGTCTACTTGATATACTTTTAAGCGTCAACAGGCAGAGAACTTTCTCCTTGCTCCGAGCTCCTTCTTTAATCTCCCATAGTCACATTGCACATGCACATCAGGAACAATTGTTTGTCTCTCCTCACACGAGATATATTCGATCAACACCGCATATTTACAAAGAAGTTCTCGAGAATAAAAAAACCAGCGCTTGGCTACAAAAACTGTACAGAAACCAAGAGCGCTTCGGGGCATCTTCAGAAAGTTTCAAACAGATCCGATATTTTCAGACCTTCACCCTTTTTCATCACCCATCACGCGTGCTTCGTTCTTTTACAAACATTGGCTGTAGTAATCGTTCCAGGCCTTGCAGGTGAGGCCGGAGTCGCACTCGGTGCTGCCCTTGTAGTTGGAGCCGCCGCATTGTCCGTACTGCTTCACGGAGCTGCCGGTGCCGGTGCTGGGGGTGGTGACGGGCGTGTAGGCGGGCGGGGTGAAGAGAGGAGTGTCGGGGGTAGGAACGACGACCGGGGTGGGGATGACCTGGGGCGTAGGGACGGCGGCGGGGGTCGAGACGGCGGCGACGGCCTGCTGGGCGACCTGCGAGGGGGTCGAGGCGGCGGGGGTGCTGGCGGCGGGAGTGGCGGCGGAACCGCTGCTGGCAGAGCCAGAGCCCTCGGGCCAGACGGCCGGGCCGGGCATGGTGTAGTTGGTGGGGATGGGCCAGTAGATGTTGATCTTCAGGCCGGGCTCCTCGCCGGTGTAGACGCCGGGGATCTTGACGGTGGGGGCGGGCGAGCCGGCGCCGGAGCCGGTGACCTTGATCTGGGCGCACGAGATGTAGAACTGGGCGCCGCCGACCTCAGAAGCGCCGTGGAGACCGACGTGCTCGACGCGGAGGAGGTACTCGCCGGCGGGCGTCTCCTCGGGCAGGGGGAAGGTGAAGTTGGTCAGGCCGTTGCTGAGCCACTGGAGACCGTCGTCGGTGATCTCGCCGGGGCCCATCTCGTAGACCTTGAACCAGTCGCCCGAGCCGTCGTACTCGGCGGCGGTGCTGTCGGCCTTGGACATGTAGACCTGGAGCGGGCCGGGGTGGCCGATGCTGGAGTCGAGGGCGAAACCGACCTCGGCGCCGGGGGCGACCTCCTTGGTCTTGGTGCTGCTGCCGCTGGCGAGGCCGCCGACGTTGCAGCGGAGGTCGTTGGACGAGACGTCGGTGACGGGCGAGTTGGCGTTGGTGTTCTGGCGAACGTACTCGTACGGCTCGGCGTCGACGACGGCGCCGTCAACGATCAGCTTGTTGAAGCAGTAGTGGGCCGAGATGCTCGGGACCATGGCGGCAACGGCCGCGATCGTGGCAAGGCTGAACTGCATTTTGTCGGAGAGGTTGAAAGAAGTGTTGATCGAAAGGGTGCTGTGTCTGAAGGAATGGTTGACCACCTGGGTTCAAAGAAAGGACGAATTGCAAAGCAATCAGAAAGAGTGACGCACAGCGATCACGCACGAGGAGAGAGAATGTTCAAGAGCTGAAGGCTGAAGAGAAAAACATGTTTCACGGCGGAGAGGGCCTGCTGTTATATGCTGCGACGGGCTGTCGTCGACTGCCGCCCCGGGCTCTCTCGCCAAGTTTCATGCCGGGTCGGTTAGGTACGCACGCGGAGATTGCTGGGCCTGCCGCTGGGCGCGATGGGCGGGAGCGCAGCGGTGGAGTAGGTGGTGCCGTCCAGAAGCGGCAGTGGGTGATGGGTGACAGGGATGGGCAGGGGCTCGCGCCAACCAGCTTCGGCCTCGCCTACAAACCGCCCCGTCAGTGTTTCAACTTTACAGCTCAAACAACACCCGCCCTCCAAGTCGTTTCACGCGCTTTCTCCACCAATGACGCCGGCGACTGTTTGTTTCTCGATGCCCTCGACTGCCGCACGCCATCGATTTCTGCCGGGCGCCGTCGGAGACATGGACGCGTCGCTCTCAGCAAGAGCCGACGGCACCGTCATTGCCATGACCTTGGTTCATGCTGCCGCATATAGCGCGCGCAGCTATAGAGGCTCCTATTTTCGTCGGTACGGTGGTAGGGCCGGCCTCGAAACTTGACGATCTCGCCCCGAACCGAGCGCCCCAACTGAGCCTCCTTTCTCGCTTCCTCAGTCATCTCCGTTTCTCCACAGGGCTCCCGCACAAAGGCAACGATCACCGCTGCGGCTGACCTGATCAAGCCTTTCGAAACGCCGCAACACCCCGCCGGTAAGAACACCCGCGCCTCCTCGACGCCCAGAACACACCCCAAGAACTCTGGTCAAACGCCCAGATTCCTGGCGTCATCGTCTGTTCCTTCTACTACCGCCACCATATGCACGCGTTCCTAAACTCCGTTGCTCGCAAGCACCGAAAAAGGACAGCCTTCGTAAAACAAAAGAAAACCGCATGAAGCGCCGGCACCAGCAGGAGGCCCCGTTTTTTTTGTTCCGCCCCGAATCCTGGGAGGCCTTGATCCTGCGATGCAAATGTCGTCACCGACTTTGTTGAAAGAAACCCCATTGTGCTTCTGCCCCCTAGTGGTCTGGTTGGATGGAAAGAGCCGCGCGCCTGCTCAGGTACATAGCACTTCCTCCACCATTCTATTTTTTGATTGAGTTGTTCATGCAATCGCGCCTTGTCCCCACCTTGATTCCCCAATCTCCCCATATTGCTCACCGTGTGGCGGTCCCTTATCAATCGTTTCTTCTTCCAGAATGACGAAAGGAAAAGGGGGCCTTCCCGCGTCCCGACCCTCCCAGCTTTTCGGAATCTGAGATGGAGGTCTCTCCGGCCGCCGAAAGTGCCGGACGGGCTATTCAGACGCGCGTGGGCAGCAGCGGTTGGACTTGGTTTCTCCGGTCGTAGTGTGTTCCCCTTGAGAAGTCGAAATAAGGAGTGCTGTCTGGACTGTACATGAGATCAACAGTGATGATCCACACACATGATTCGTTCGCTCTGTACCTTTCTCGTATTCTTCGTTGGCACTCTTTCCTATTGTAACTCGTCAGCTGCTTTGCTGACGGCCGTATACGAACAGAAGGGCGGCTATGCATGGTTCGGTTGATCGTCTTGGGCTTTCTACACTTCGGGCAAGGCAAAGCGAGGGGGGGCTATTCGGCGCGCCGGACCGCCTTGTGCTTCCCGACTGCGCCCTGGAGTCTCTCGGCTACCATCTGTAGGTGGTGCTTGACGGGCCTTACCTATGCGATGCGTTTGGTACGGAAGGAATGCTGCCGTTTCCACTGCGAGTAATGGGAGCCCTCTTGTGCATTTGCATCCCTGAGGAAAGGAGCTCAACAAGCACTCGTCTGATCCATGAGAAGCTATAGGGGCTCAAGCAAAGCCTTCCTTAGACGCAGGAGTATATTCGCGTTGCTGTTGCTAACTATCTCGAGCTACAAGCTCTCCGCCGTTGGCATCGAGCTGGAGTAGCTGTTTCCACCTTTTCTAGTCTGACCATGCGCTGCTCTTGAGGGAAAGAATAGTGCTAAGAAGGAAAGACTAATGACATAACTGTAGTACAGTTTCACCTACCACCTCGAACTTCCAGACCTGTACCATTGATACATCCCGCACAACCATCCTTCTCTAAGCCTTCAAGAGGGTTCCACTTGCCCGGATACAAGGGCACGTCCACATATTCCCTGGAGCCTTTACATGTTTCTTGCAAACCACGAATTGGAATCGACCGTCGCATTTATCGATCCCATCTCATAGCCACGATCTGTCCCTCTGAACCCTGAAGCAGAATCGTCGTTTTCGACACTAGCAGGAGGTCGGTTCATCTGCGTCGCATCCACTGGTTGAGGAGGCACTCGTCGGCGTGTTCTTGGAGCTCTGAAAATGCGCCGCTGGATTTCATCATCCCAGGAGAGGCCGTTTCCAACGAGGAGTACGCGCTCTGGAGGTTTTGGAAAATGTCTGGAACGTCTCGCGGTAGGGTTGTCAGTGCCACGTACACGCCACAAGACGCTACGAATGCTGGGGAACAACGCGGAACGTTGGACCGCAGGATCTGGCGGGTGAGGTAGGGAGTCAATCGCATCGGATGCGCTTACCGGTCCTGACTCGTTGCCAACCGTCTCTCGAGTCGGGGTTGCCGGTGTTTTGGGCTTTGGTAGTGGGATTCTAGCCAAAGCATCGCGTATATGACGCCCCCAACTTGAAAAGAACTGCGGATAGCGACCAGGCAGGGATGCCTCATTCGACGATTTTGCCTTACTGTGAGCCTGGGAAGCGGCGATACTGAATGGCAGCGTAAAAGGATCCCCGTTGTAGAAAATCGGCAGTGATGTGTTATCACCTGTTTCCGGGGTCTATTTCCCATCAGTCAGCCACTCATAGCCTTTTGGTACCACGATCGGGTGGCAGGCCTTAGATGTCGCCGGTGTAGAGCTCGCATGGTCCGACCAGGCCTCTTTCTCCTGGTAGCTCGTCAGAGATGTAACTGATGAAATGGGCAGTCGTAGCTCATGGACTCACCATCCAATCCTTGTAAGCCTTCAGGACACCCCCACTCCGGAGCGACCCTACAAGCTCGTAGTCATTCGAGAGTTTCCTCTTCGGGCTTTCGTTCTGGCCATCAACTTCTGCTTCGTCGGCCCCATCCACGGCACCGTATTCATGCTGTTCCTCCTCTGAAGTTCCGCCAAGAGTAATAGTTTCTTCCGACCATCCATCCTCAGAGTTCCCTTCTTCCTCGGCATTGCCGGCGCTCGCGTATAGCAGCGTCTGCACGGCGTCAGCGGAAGCATTGGTAACGCGGACTATGTGACCCTAGTACCTGATAGCACTGCGCACATACGTATCCGTTCGTTTGAAACTCTTCGAGCGGGTATTCCTCTTCGCACCCTACACAGACCTGTGTCTCATCGTCGCCGCCGTCTTGGTCTCCCGCTGTGTTGCTGCTGCTGCCCTGTTCGGACCGCTCTTCCCGTGTCGTCGTGCTGTGAGGGGAGGTGGACCGCGTGTCTTGCGCACCATCGTTTTGCGGTGGCGAAATGGGCTCACTTCCGCCCTGTGGACGGGATCGTCAGCGGCGACGGCAGATTCGGCGATCTCATCATTACCTACGAGGCATTTGTGACAGACGTAGATTTCTGGAAGGGAAAAAGACTTGAGTTCTGGCGGGAAAGCGCTGGGTTTCTTGACTTGACCGCACTGGGCGCACTTCTTCGTGGGTTGAGGGTCCGACATGAGAGATGAATGAGCGGCGGGTGGGATATTGAATTCTTGGAACGTAATGATGAGTAAGTGGATGTGGGATGCGATGAGAGTAGAATGGTGGTGTGTGAGGTGAGAGATTCTCTTCTGGGGTTCAGCGTGGGCTGTTCCTGCCTTCCATGACTGAACCTGTGGCTGCCTTGTCAGGACGAGCCACGTCTTGTGGAGAATTTCCACATCTCGACTCGAATCTGACGCAGCAGCTCCGGAAAATTAATTCGCAGCCGAGCTTGAATTCCTGGTGAGCCGATACTTTGTAGCAAACATTATCTGTTCGCTTCGTATTTTTGAGCTTTCTTCCTATCTGCCGCTTCTTCCTTCTGCGCTGCCATGCTAGCTTCCTTCATCCACGATACAGTCTTCTTTCGTTACTTGGATGGCACAATCTCCGTGTCGCTAATCTTCTGTCCCTTGCCTTCATACCTCCACCTGCTAATATATGCCGGTGTCTTTCCATCGCCTCCATTGCTCGTTGCGTACACTCCAACTAATGTGCCTGTGATACAGTCAGTATAAGCTCACAGCCAGTTGAGAGACAGGAGCGCTTACCAGTAAAGGGACCACTGCCCCCGCTCACGATAGTGGCAGGCGCATGAGAAATAGTCTTCGCCTCCTCGGCCTCATCCGACGGACCAGCAGAAAAGGTGTAATGCGTATCATTCAACGCCTGGACGTACAGCCTTACCGGCCCGCCCAGCCACGCCTCAGGCACAGGCTCAACGACCGTCTCGGGCGCAGGTCCCTCATTGTTGCCCGTCCCATTGACACGGAACCTCAGATGCGGCGCCAGACCAGCCGATTCGTCTGAAGCCAAAAGCACGACACCAAGATCCAAATGCTGGTCCTGTGTCAAGAACACCGTCACGCCCGCCTCTTCTTCCTCTCCCGCCGCAGAATCTACCGCCACATCAACACTGAAATCAAACAGCGTATCCGTCTGCCTCCTGCCCACGAACGTGATGCCGTCCGTCGGCTCGAAGTCCGTTCCGCCTGTCAGATTCGCCTTCGACGGGACGAGCCGCAGCGCATTCGTCGCCTCCTCCGGGCTGACCGCGAAAGCGCCCTCAGGCGGGAAGCGCCAGAACAAGAAGTGCTTCGGGATGCCCTCTCCGGGCGCAAAGCCAATGACATCCGCATCCCCCACGAAGGGGCCCTCGCCAGGCACATCTCGCGTAGGCGCCGGCAGCGGCCAGCCTTCCATACGGCCCCGCACAGGCTGCAACACCGGCCACTCGCCGTCCTCCCACGACGCCGGGAACAGCACCGTCTCGCGGCCCATGGGGTAGTTCGTCCACGCCGGCCCCGACCGCGTGCTCAGCGCGATGCCCCACCAGTGTCCCGCCGCGTCCTGGAAGAGGTCCGCGTGGCCGACGGTCTGGAAGTACTCGTCGGTGCCGCTGTTAGTAAGAATGGGGTTCCCTTCGAACGCCTCGTAGGGCCCGGAGACGTTCCTCGAACGCGCGATGATCTCGGTGTGGCCAAGCTCGGTCCCGCCTTCTGCGATCATCAGGTAGTACCAGCCATCCTTCTTGTACAGATGCGGCCCCTCCGGGCTGGCGCCGCCGGTGCCGTTCCAGATGTAGACGGGGTCGGAGACGGCGCCCGTGTCGAGGTCGATGGTCGACTGCTGGATGCCGGCGTACGTCACGTACACCGTGCCGTCGTCGTCCCAGAACAGATCGGGATCGATGGACGCGGGCGTGAAGCGCACCGGGTCCGACCACGCGGCGTCGTCGAAGGGGTCCGTCGTCTTGAAGATGAGCCCTTCCCACGCGACCATGACGACGATGTTGTAGAAGACGCCGTCGTGGTAGCGCAGCGTCGGCGCGAAGACCCCGTTGTTCTGGCCCGTGTACGTGTTCATGTCGGGGAATTGCGAGGCGCGGTTGTAGGCGTTGGAGACGTGCTTCCAGTTTTGCAGGTCTTTGCTGGCGTAGATGGGGAGACCGGGGAAGCCGAGGAAGGTGGAGACGCTGCAGAAGTAGGTCGAGTCGTGCGAGGGGACGAAGATGCAGGTTGGGTCGGAGTGCCAGCCTGGGAAGAGGGGGTTTGTGTAGGTTGAGTTGGCTGTGGTGTTGGTGGTGGTCGGGAAGGGCTGGCCTGGGCTGGCGAGTGCCAGCATGGCGGCGAGGGTGATGCATGCGAGGCGCATCTTTCCAATTGATGCTGGTATGTGATGTCGACCGCACAGTCGAGGTATCACTGATGTACTTTCATGGGGTTTAAAAGTGATGCTAATCCCTGTCATGTCGGCGGCAAATGCTCAGGTCCCGGGAAGTACTAGCCGAATCGCAATACTTCATATTTAGCCTAATGGCGCGTTTTAGAAAAGATATTCAGGTTCTCGTACGGCAGATTCATTTAACATCTATTTCCCCGCCTTTTTCCGAGGTGGGGAATATTTCGTGGTTGCGCTTTTCGGTTAGACTTTTACAGAGGGGATGGCTAGCGCGAAGAATAGCAGGGCTCAGAACATAGAGTAACTATACCCCAGCTCTACCTTAAAAAATAACATATGGGGGTATTTGAAGCAATCATCGGGACGAGAATGTCGAATTAAAAATTCTACATACACGTCCGGACGATAGCTTCGGCTACCCATGACATGTCATTTTTCTCAAATCCACGCTAACCTTCGGCTGCGAGAGGGGACCGTACTTTTCGGGTGCCCCGCCTTGCGTCATCCAAGACACTTTCCAGGGCCTTTCCGTTTGGAAAACGAGTACGACCGCTGTCTTGGGCTCGGATAAATCTTCAACACCAGGGCTAAGTTCGAAGCTGCTGTACGCACGTTCGTTCAGTATCTCCTGGGCTGGCTCGATCCACCGGCACGCCCACCGGCACGTCCACGGGTCACCTTTTCGGGCTTTGCACCTTCTCAATCAGTGGATTAATGATCTACTTCTCTTACTCACTCACGTTCCTACCAATCATAAAACTACAGTGGACGTGCCGGTGGACGCGCTAGTGGATCGAGCCGGTGGATCGAGCGGGCCCAGGAGATAGCTCTATGCCGACCGTTGACGTCTGTTTAGGCCTTGGTAACGGTCTGTCTGATATACCAATAGTTGCATTTGCAATGCTAGGGACCCTGTATTTGACAATACGCATGCCTCATCATTAACAAGTCGAGTATAGTGGTGCACAATGTCAAAGAACAATCCAGCCTGGAGAAATTTATCATTGAAGCAGCAAAGTGGTGCCTCATGGCAATCTTATTCATTAAATGTGTTCCTGAGGCTAAAAGGTCCTTGCCAGAGGCTAGAGCCTAGCTATCCAGTTCTCCAAATGTAAAGACTGACATTAGTATATATTTTCGATAGATTACGATCACATAATACGGAATACTCTTCATCATCTATTTTAGCTACAGCCGCACACTGATCAATATTGATGATGATGTGCCTTAAGTAATGTTGTCAGTTGTTAGAAATCAGCTTGTATAGTCTTATCAATCTCGCATACAGGATAAGCTTAGGCAACACATCCTCCGACGGCAGTGACAGGTCCTTTCGCTTGATGCAGATAGTGGTGGCTGGTAAGTATCTTTCGTGAAAGTCGCCTATGGCCGTTTTATATTCTCACTGATGCTCTAAAATAACGCCATCAGTTGATATCACGGTATTCAGCTGGCCAGTTTTGTTACGGTGATGGCTTCACGTGAAAACTGTTTCAATATGTGGAAAGGGCTCGTCAGCTGCACGCTGCTTTTTGGCCGTGCAGGCATCAACGTCGGTTACTTAAAATCTTAGAGCATTGCGCCACGACATACAGCAACTTTCACTGCTCAAGTCTCTTATTCTCAGGCCACAACCTAAAGAAACACTTTGGCTCCTTCTGTTCCGGTGGTGAATTAGTATTGTAAAGTGGCAGATCTTGGAAACAAACGAGCAGGGTACCCAGCATGGTCGTACCGAAGACCCTCAGTACGGCTGACCATTCTTTGCTGATGAAGTTGTGTTGCGCAACTTCACCTTTATGCCCGACATCGTGAAGTATCTCAAATGATGATACTCATCAAGAATGCATCTTGCGGAGAGTTGTCTCCGATGTTGCATTCTTATGGTTGACCGTCTCTCTCCGGCCCAAAGAGGAGAATGCCCAAGAAGTGTGTATCCTTTCTATATTGTGTCGCACCCTAAGTCTCTACTGGATACGTATTGAGAACCTCAATGTCGAAGGAGGGTTGTCCATAATAGGGATTGTTTAAATAGCTAGAAACTGCTGGTCGGTGAACAAGTGACCGTGCACACTCAAGCGGGAGGCTGACTTCAGTAAATGCGTGATAGCAGTCATGTGCGAAGAACTCAGCTCTTTGCTTATCCGTAAGCAAAGTGAAAGTTTCAAAGCTTGACCATGAAGGATGATGAACAGGGAAAAGGTTGTCCCGTGAATTTGAGGAGAAATCTATCTTCACGGCTACGATAATAACCAAAATTGAGTCAACAGAAGCAAAGGAGGACATATGGAATCGAGATGGAATGGTCGTCAATTTTGAACGATCACTGCTCTTGTCTAGATCAGAGGTAGTAAAAGGGCGTAGATCATGAGTTCGCTTGAAATTGGGGCGGTGCGACGTTTGTCTATGTCCCCAGTTTGCATTGGTAGAAGCCTTCGACGAGTTATGGGGGGTCCACATGCCTCAGGCTCATGATATCGCTCCATAATTCCCCCAAGCATATCAATATAGCCCGGAACACATCATGAGATGTGTATTGGATTTCTAGCATCTATGACTTTTGTATGTACAGACCAGCTCCTCAACGTCTATACCCTCTTCAGCATCACCATCCTCTTCAAGAAATTACTTTTCACAGTACCGTTGCTTTCGTGCGCCACTGGCTCAGCAACATGCTCAGAAACCGGATCAGCACTGTCTTCAGACCCATTCTTCTCTGCAGCCAGCTGCTCCATTTCACCAATCTTCCACGCCCTCAGTAACCACAAGAAGACCGCGGCCCCAATGTACATGAATCCAGTGAAAATCTGTGCCCCGAGATAGTTGCCGTGATTGGAAGCCGTGATCTGCAGCGCAATGGCCTCCGAGAAGGTCGTCGGGATCACAAGGATGACCCATGTGATTGATAATGCTGACGGCAGGTCGGCAATGCCAACAGCCTCAGCCGTGACCGGGGCAACGACGGCCCAGTAGGTTCCAGCAACCATGCCGACGACCAGAGCAAAGAAGATCATGACGCCGTAGGTCTTTGCGAAGATCCAGATGACGAGGGAGAACAGGCCGGCGAGGAAGGTCATGACCGAGGCCATGTTCATGCGGCCGACATTGTCGCTAAAATAACCGATCGGGGGTCGGCCTAGTGCTTGACCGAGGTTAAGCACGGCGCCGATGACCGAGCCTTGGTGTGCTGACAGGCCGATACCGCTCTGCGCGTAGTTCGGTAGCGAGAAGAGCAGTACGATGTAGCCCAGCATGCTGAGGAATCCGAAGCCCAGGAGCAGCAGAAACTCTGGTCGGCGGAAGAGCCGATAGTCGAAGGCTAGCTGAGAGGAGCCAATCTTCTTGTTCCGGTCCTTGATGAGCAGGGCGCAGGCGGTATTGACAGTGAATGCGCAAATTCCGAGGATTCGGAAGGCCCAATCCAGGCCGATGCGCTGTATCATGGCATTGGTGGCAAGTGAGTACATCAAGCCCCCTAGCCCAGAGCCTGAGGCGGTTATGCCGTTGGCGAAGCTGCGGCGCGTTGTGAACCACTGTGGAGTAACCCCAACGGAACCCACGAAGAGAAAACCCATTCCCCAGCCGAAGCAGACGCCCTGGCTCAGGAAGAGCTGCCATATCTCTGTCGCAAATGAAGCGCCGATCAGAGAGAGCGTCTCAAAGAAAACTCCAATAAGAAGCGTCACACGAGTTCCAAAACGGCGAGTGGTCATGGTGGCCAGAGGCGCCACGAACAAAGCCTGTGAGATTGAAAGACCGCCAACGAAAGCGAAGTCGAGACGGGTTGCGCCTGGGAAGACATTGTTGGACAGGTAGTGAGCCAAGAAGACGCCGTAACTCTGGGAAGGCTGTAAGTGTTGGGGTGAAAGATGAAGTGAGCAGAAAAGAACGCACGCTATTCAAGCCCCAAGTATGGGCGTTGATCCAGAAGGTTGCTGCGCAACACACCCAGCCGTAACCGCCGTTGGGTGGCACGTCGGGTGCGGGTGTGGGTGGCGGGGCGGTAGCCGATGGCGGGCTTTCGTCCAAATTCCTGTCTGGCTCGTCCAGATTCTTCTCCTGCTCCTCGTTCTTCTCCGAAACGGTCGCAATTGAGGGCTCACGAGTCGGCATCACGTCCTCGGCGGGAGAAGCCATGGCGATGGCAAGGGAAGCAGGCACAATGACTCCATGATGGCGGAGCAGCGGTCTTTTAGTCAATGGCGCCGTTAGAGCAGGCGGCGAATTCGGTAATAAGAGAGCGGTGCCGTTCTACCGCCGGGATCGTCCCTCGATCCTCCCGCACACCCCACAGCTTCCCAGACGGGCAGCATTGGCGTAGCATCACGAGGCCGCCGTTGGCGAGCCGAAGGATCGCGCTGGTGGGCGGTGGTGGACAAAAGCCGGGGACGGTTGAGCTTGTTGCCGGGAGTGACAGGGCGATGGTCGGCAAGGCTGACGGAGACCCTTTCGACCTCGCCGTCCGGCTGGAACCTGGCGTTGCTGCGACGACCCCGGCCACCGAGCACAAACACCACTTCACCGGCTTGGCACGTACCTGACGCCAGCAATCGTCGTCCCCGCCCTTCCCCCAGTCGCCGCCGCCTCCACGTATCCCTCCATTCGCTCGCTTGACCGCTCCAATCCCATCGTCCAAGCCAGCTCCTCGCCGCTTCGCCAACGACAGCCCGCCGCATCAAACGCATCTCGTACCACCCCGACCAGCAAGGCCCGACGTGCAGCAGACCCAGCATTCCGCCCAAGCCCGCCCAGCATGCTGTCGCGCTCGCGCAGTAAGGACAAGGGCAGCAACATCCCTGGGCCCACCTATATGAACAATGAGCAGGTCGGTCAGTACTCCCCGTTCCAAGCTGAGACACCCAGCCACCGCCGCAGAAATGTGCCAACCGCTTGACCAGGCAACTTCCTCAGCAATATCCGCAACAACCGCCCCCAACGCCCTAATGGCTCCCGCCCGCTGCCTGCCTCCCCCATGGGCTCGCTCCGCTCCTCGAGAACTTTCGGCAGCGCGACTCCTGAGCCTCGAGACCCGCCGACCTTGACTCCGACCAAGTCCCAGCCACCTCGCAGCACTAGTGCTCTATCGCACCGCGACATGTTCTCGTCGTCTAACAACAGCAGAGGCTCGCTGCGCGAGCGTCTGGCGCCGCGCGCCGCCTCCAGCCTGGGTCGGCCGCTCGTCCGGGATCCATTCACTCGCTCCACCTCGCGGAACTCGCAGAAAGTAGATCCAGCTACAATTGAGCGCGCCGACTCTCGGACGTCTTCACGCTCGACAAGCGGCGAGCAGCGCCACGCGTATCGGGAAAGCGGTGCCCGGTGGATGGAACGCCAGGAGGCTGCGTCGCTCAGGAAGGCCCTGGAGGACATGGACGCTGCCGAGGAGCAGAGGATATTCGCCGCCGCCCAGGACGAGGCCGCCGAGCTGGTCTGGAAGCACCAGAATCCCAAAGCGGCGATTCGGAGCCCCGATGCGCCCTATGAGTACACGGCCCACCTAAAGAAAGGGAGCCACGCCCGAGCTCAGAGCTATGACGCCCCCTCGCCGCAATCGAGCGCCAGCGGTCGCAACAGCTCACTCAGCAGCCGCGGCTCCAGTTCCTCATCCGTAAAAGTGCACGACTTTGTGATCGCCAAAAAGAGTGATAAGCTCAAGTCCAAAAAGGATACCGACGCCCACCCCTCCAAGGCAATGGAGTCGCCCATGCAGTCTCCCACAAAGAGCCATGTCTCGTTCGATGTCCCTAACCCCCGACGCCGGAGCAGCGGTTCTAAGAGAAAACTCAGTGGCAGCCTGTTCCAAAACCCCAACGACAAGATCTATGAGGAGCCCGAGGAGTCTGCATCTCCACCCGCCGAGCAGAAGCCCACGCCGCCGTCGCCCTCGAAGTTGCCCATCCACACCCGCAGGAACCCCTTTTCGCGCATTCAGTTTGGGCGCGACAACTTGACCCGTTCGAACACCGACTCGCAGGCCACCCCCCAGAAGAGGTTTGACCGGTTCGAGATCCATAGGAATGAGCCGACTCAGTCGCGCAACCCTGCGTACACGTCCAATGAGAATGCGCCTGTAACCCCTACGCAGGCCCGGAATCCTGCGGCAAGTTCCCCGGAGGAATCGCCTGTCAAGATGAAAGATGGTAAGGAGATTCGGGCTGATGATATCCGCGCAGCCACGAGCATGAGGCTCAAGGACAGAAGCCCGAAGCTGCCCACCCCGAGCATGGTCAGTGATAGTCCGGGACGCCCCATTGTCAGCTTCCAGAAAGACTACAAGCCGAAAGAGGTTGCGCTCAAAGAAGAGCAAGCAAAGGCCATGGTGGAGATGAAGTCTCCTGAGGCCAGCCATGAGCCCAAGTCCTACCCCCCGAGCCCGCCCAAGAGCGCAAGCGCTCCCGTCGTGCCGACCATCAACATGCCGGACGAGCCTTTTGGCAAGAAGAGGAGCTCCGCAATCCCGCCAATTCCGGAAATCAATGTTTCTGATGAGACTCCCCGGCCAAGATCTCGGGGATCGGCTGCAGCAGCGCCCATTCCTTCCATCTCGGTCGGCGGCGCCCCTTCGGTTCCTTCGATCAACGTGTCCGACCCCCCGAGCATCAATGTCTCTGGTGGCTCAGCACGGCCGCTGCCAACGATCAACGCCCCTTCGTCTGGCTCTGCAAGGCCTCTTCCCGATCCGAGGTCGGCGCGGAATGGCCGTCCCCTTCCCCGTACGGCAAACACGGCACCCAGTACTATGCCGAAGGGTCACTGGACTCCTTCCGGTGGTGTGCGAACCTCGGCTCTGTGCGAATCCTGTGCACTCCCTATCGCTGGTCGTACCGTGAGTGCTGGCGGTGCTCGCTTCCATCCGGAATGCTTCCGCTGCTACCACTGCTCGGAGGCGCTGGAATGTGTTGCCTTCTACCCGGAGCCGCAAGGAAAGCGTGAGGAGCGTCTTGACCGCATCTACAGGCGGAGGAATGGCGAGGATGTGGAGATCATGGAGGGTTACAGCGAGAATGACGATGGCGATGAGGGGCTGCGGTTCTACTGCCATCTGGACTACCACGAGTTCTTCAGCCCGCGATGCAAGAGCTGCAAGACGCCTATCGAGGGAGAGGTCATTGTGGCTTGCGGTGCTGAATGGCATGCTGGGCACTTCTTCTGTGCGGAATGCGGCGATGTGAGTATCTTTTTTTGTCCAACCTGGTTGATGGAATGCTGACGATAGATGCAGCCGTTCGACTCCTCGACACCTTTTGTTGAGAAGGACGGCTATGCTTGGTGTGTCAACTGCCACACCAACCGCTACTCGACCAAGTGCAAGAAGTGCCGCAAGCCGGTTACGGATACCGTTCTGAAGGCACTTGGATTCGAGTGGCACCCCAACTGCTTCGTCTGCACGGTAAGTTGTCGTTGTTTCTTTGCATACTGTTATGTGCATGATGCTGACGATAATCAGGAATGCTCGGGCGAGTTCGTGGACGGCAGGTACTTCCTCCGCGGCGAGGAGAAAAACCCTGTCTGCGTCAAATGCGAGGAACGGAGGCTCAAGGCTTAAAGGGATTAATGGGGCTGGTGGGTAATGGCCTGTAATGACCCGGACTGGACTTTTTCACTTCTTTTCATGTGTTTTTTTTCCCTCCCTATTGTTTCTCCCCCTTTTCCTGCTTCTCTGCTTTATTATTACTGCATTGCTTTGCTCTCACTTGTATTGCTCTCTCCCCGGTTCCTGCATTTGGTTCATCGTTTACTATCCCTTCATGCGCATTAATTTGTACGAGTTCGGGAAAGCGGGCGCTGGGTGTATCAGTGGCGTTGGCGTTTTGATCTACTCGGCGGGGTTGAGGAATTGGTTAAGTCTGATGGATGGCTGTAAGATCCGAAATGAATAGCTTAAATCATTAAATAATAAGCCGATGTCGTATTTCTTTCTCTCAACGAGCTGTACAGTCCCCTCTCGCAGCCGATGGCTACTGTGAAGAATAGACAGGTACCAATTACGGGTGGTTTGTGAACACAGCACGAGAAAACGTTCGAGAAAGAAGAAGTAACTCAGTGAGTTGCTTTAGAATCCATTGCAGAGTATCGGTGGGTGATGATGGGTACCTCCTCATCCCGAGTCGAGGCAAACAAACAAAACGGACAACTCTAAAGCCCGAGACTGGCCCACCCAAACAGGAAAGGGTTTAGCCTTCGGGCCCGACGGAGCGCCAGCTTCTCGGTAGGCCTTTCGCCCCTCGGTGGCGCTAGTCCGCTACCCAAATCCTTCGGCCCCCAAGCTTCGCGCCTAGCCGGGATTCCGTTCGTTCAGGATCCCACCACGAAGGCCTATCGTGCCACACGCGGAGGAGACGGAGACGGGAGTCGGAGGCAACAGTTTATGGGGGCGAAGAGCTGGTGTTTTGGCATGTCCGAAGGAAGTGAAGGCGCGCTCTATGTGAAGGCGCATATAAGGGCGCTGCGCGCCGCTGTTGGTGGTGAAAGTGAATCACAGAAGACAAGCAACAAAGATAAGCAAGCAAGCCTCTTTACGATCGTCAAAGCTTAGCAGAATTAAGCTTTTTGTTTTACCATACCAAAGTCACTACCCATATACCATCACTTCTCTCTATCTCGCTACCACCAACCAAACCCACCACCTCTCGAACTACCACACCCTCAAAACCGACCAAACCCCAACAATGTCATCATCCACAACCAACAACAACCCCACCCCCCTCCCCATCCTAATAATCGGCTCCGGCCTGGGCGGCCTCCTCCTCGCCCAAGCCCTGCTCTCCGCCTCCATCCCCTTCGCCATCTACGAGCGCGACGCGGCGCCTAGCGTGCGGCCGCAGGGCTACCGCATCCGCATATCCGGCGACGGCATCGCGGCGCTCGAGACGACACTGCCTCCAGCCATCTTCCAGCGCTTCGAGCAGACGTGCGCGCAGGTCAAGCTGCTCGGCGCGGTGGGGCCGGGCGGCGCGGCGATAGATGCGAAGACGGGGAGAGAAGTGGAGGGGGAGGAGGGGGCAAAGTACAAGCCGACGCCGGCGCACGTCAAGCGCATGCAGCAGGCGGCGACGAGGCGCAGGCCGTACACGCCGGATCGGGCGGCGGCGAGGCGGGTGTTGATGGAGGGTAGGGTTGGGGAGAGGGTGCGCTGGGGGAAGGCGTTTGAGGGGTATGATGTTGTTGAAGAGGAAGGAAAGAAGGTCGTCATCGCGCGGTTTGCGGACGGGTCGACGGCGAAGGGGTGTCTGCTCGTGGGCGCGGATGGGGCGCGCAGTCGTGTTAGGAGGCAGTTCTTGGGCGATGTGCTGCGCCCTGTGGACACGCGCGGCCGGATCGTCTATGGGAAGACGGCGCTGACGGAGGAGGTGGAGGGGAGGATGCCGGAAGGGCTGTTGGACGCGATGAGGTTGGTTGAAGAGAGGGGGAGGACGGATGGCGCGCCGGTGACGTGCCTGTACGAGCCGATCCGGTTTCCGCAGAGGGGAGAGGTCGAGGGATGCCCGGAGGAGGATTACGTCTACTGGGTGCTGGTGTCGAGGAATGAGGTTTTCGGCGTCGAGGACGATGTGTTGGCACGCATGTCGAGCAAGGAAGCAAAGGAGCTGGCTTTGGATGTCACCAAGGAGTGGAATCCACAACTGCGAGCGCTGTTTGAACTGGCGGATCCGACCCAGACGGCTGCGATGCGTGTCCTCAGCATGCGACCGGAGATGGCGGCTTGGGAGCCACTGAGGGAGCCGGTGACGCTACTTGGAGATGCGGCGCATGTTATGTCGCCGTCTGGAGGTGTGGGCGCAGTCACAGCGTTCCGGGACGCAGCGAACTTGGCCAAGGTGCTGGTGGAAAACGGAGGACAGGTGTCGGCCGAGATTATTGGAAAGTACGAGGCCATGATGAAGGAGTATGCGAAGGAGGCCATTGAGGAATCGCGGCAAGGTGGTGTCAGATTCTTCAACCACCCACCGTTCGAGGAGTGCAAGTCGGTTGATGCTTAAGATTTGGTCCTAGATAGGTTTTAGAATGGTGTCTTGCCTCCATAGCTTTGTTTTCAGTAATTAATGTTCTTCTTTGTTTGTAGATGTCTCTAGAGGAATAAAGCTTTTGTTGCTAGGTGCTCTATATAAGCCAGTAAGTTAAGCCACTTCGGTATGCTAGTGACGCTCGAAGAGGTGGTGCTTGGTTAAATGAGAGCCTGAAGATTTACGTAGGGCAGCCCAAGTTTCCGCCCGTCCTCTGTGGGTAATAAAGAGGTCGAAGGTTCGAAAACGAGCTGGGGAAGACAAAAAAGACGGTCCCAAGGAGTCTTTCTGAGCTTAACCCGCATGTAGCGGGGTTCAGTTTTGCCATTTTAGTCGACAGTCACAGTCTTTTTTTTCAGCCTGTTCCATCAAGACTTCTTCTAATAAGATATAAAGAGGATTGACTTCCATTTTGCGCCAGAAGGCAATGCTCCTGAAGTGCGCTGAAGAGGAATCAATCATCTCTTTTAGGAATTCAAGAAGGTTGCTTTTGACGCCATATTTCCCCTGCCAATTGTCAGCCAGTATAGTGGCATTTCCTCCCCGTCAAATCTGGTTCGATGATACAGCGAGGTGGAGAACTGGGGTTAGAAAATCCAGATGGTACCGGGCTATGATATTGTGGCTTCATGGGAGCTTGGAAGAGCCCTCCGGATGGGTTGTGCTCCGATATCCGGGCCGTAAACCTCGAGGCGGCGCATGCAGTCTGCTAAGCCACAATTTATCGGGACAACCTTTGGTGGTGGTTTGTAACCAATGTCTCGAACAAGCAGGCCCATTGTCGCTGGAGTTAAGATGAGGCCGAACCGCGGTTGTACCGGAGTTAAGCTGGCGGGGGCGCAGCCCCCTCACAAAAGTTCCCGCCGCCCTTCCTGCACGCCAAGTACTGTTCCTAGATCCTCAGATCCAGGTCCTGAATCAGATAAGCGCGATCCTTTTAACGGACATAGCCAATTCTGTTCCCGGAAATACATGTAAGTTCACCTATTAACGCCGGAGCACCAATGGCGTTATGTTGCCCACGGATGGATTCAAGTAGAGCGCATTCCAGCCGCGAGACGTCTGTTTTTCATCAACAAGCTCTCCTCATCAACAAATATCATCAGCATTCATTCACTCACCTCATCGAAAGCTCTCACAGACATCAACCGAAAAGATGGTCGAGATCGCTGGCAAGAAAGTCGGAAGCACCGGCTTCGGCTTGATGGGTAAATCGAACATGATCAACATGGCTGGCGTACATCTTGTACTAACACAAGTCCAGGCATGACATGGCGTCAGAACCCGCAACCATTCGAGGAATCTTTCAAGACCATGAAGGCTGCCTTGGAGGGTGGTTCTAACTTCTGGAACGGCGGCGAGTTCTACGGCACACCTGAGCACAACTCTCTCCACCTTCTGAGGGACTACTTCACCAAGTATCCCGAGGACGCCGACAAGGTTGTCATTTCGATCAAGGGCGGCGCCAAGCCCGGTCAATTGGAGCCGGATGGTAGTCGCGAGAATGTCCACAGGAGCATCAACGAGTGCCTGCGTCTCCTCGACGGCAAGAAGTTCTTGGACACGTTTGAGTGTGCCCGTGTGGACCCCAACGTTCCCATTGAGGATACCATCTCGTACATTGCCGAGTTCGTCAAGGCTGGCAAGCTTGGAGGTATTTCTCTTTCCGAAGTCGGTCCTCAAACCATCAGACGCGCCGCAAAGGTTCACCCGATTGCCTTCGTCGAACTCGAATTCTCCTTGTACTGCACCGACATTCTGCACAATGAGATCGCTAAGACCTGCGGCGAGCTGAACATTCCTATCGTCGCTTACTCGCCGCTTGGCCGCGGATTCCTGGTACGTTTCACACTACAACTTTGAATTTCAAGATGCTGACAAAATATCGACAGACTGGCCAGATTCGCAGCATCGAAGATCTTCCCGAGGGTGACTTCCGCCGCATAGCACCGCGCTTCCAGCCTGATGTCTTTGACGAGAACATCAAGCTTGCAGACGAAGTCGACAAGATTGCCAAGAAGAAGGGCGTTACTCTTGGTCAAGTCGGTCTTGCTTGGGTCAGGCAACAGAGCGGCAAGAATGGCCTTCCGACCGTGATTCCCATTCCTGGTGCTACCAAGGCTTCTCGTGTCCACGAAAATGTCAAGGAGATCACCTTGTCTAACGAAGAATTGGCTGAGATTGATGAGATCTTGCAGCGGATAGAGGTCAAGGGTGGGAGATACCCGGCTTGGGCTGCAGCACACCTGAACGGTTAGGTGCTTCACAAGCGCCAGTCGTTGAGTTTCATAGTAGATTACCTAAATCAAGAACGGCGTCAGCTAGTTGCCAATGGATCGCCAGTAGAGTATACGTGTTTGTGTAACGATTGTCAGATCAAGTGTAGAATTAATCACCATTTGGTACCACTCCCGAAGGAGGACTCCATCAGGATTGCAGAATTCTTTTTGACATCACTCGTGGGTTTATGAGGGAGGGCAGTGAAGTGAATGTAGAACGAACCTTTTCTGAGCTGTACCACGTCGGTTGAATTTAGAACTCAAAGACTGTTGCATGATTTTCGGAGCGAACTTCCTCTTCTCAGCGTAACGCTGCAGGCATCGCATAGACGTGGGACGACAAGCGACCCAAGCCGTTACAAGATCAAATCATTGAATCTCGGCGGGTGCTTCGTTCCGGTGCGGATGAGCCTAGTGCAGCTTCGAGGTGCGGGTGAGGAAGCGGAGTGACGTGACAGAGTTCGGTGGCCTCGAGAATTTAAGCCGGGGCAAGTGCGGAAGTGGGCGCTGTTCCGCGCCGCACCAGCTTTTATCGTGGCCGCCCATTGGCAGATGGAGCGCACGACACTCGGGCCACGGCAAGCCAGGTCTGAGGGCCCTCCCCCGACGCGCGCGGTCGGCTGGGCAGGTGCGCGCGGCAAAGCCCAGCTAGCTCGAGCTCAGCTCAACACCATGGCCGCTCGTCGCCGTCCCTTTCCCGTAGTCATCATCATCAACCCACGTCTCGACGGCCACCCCGCGCCCTCGCCACCATGGAATCGCCTGGATCGCCCCTCTCAGAGCTGTCCTCCGACGAGTTCCAGGAGGAGGTCAAGACTGAGGACCGCTCCTTGAGCGTCGACACGTACAACGACGCCGACCACGATAGCACGCGCCCGTCGAAGCGCCAGCGCACCGGCGCCGGGCCCTCGTCTGGTCTCGCAAACTTCCGTGGCGCAACTCCCGAAGCACCGCAGCCTGACGCCGACGCCGACATCTATATTTCCGAGGACACGGACGGCAGCGTGCCAGCCTCGCCGCACCATGGCTACAGTGGCGGCGGCGGCGGCGGGCTGCAAGAGGAAGAGAGCTTCGGCCAAGAGCAAGTCACTGTCTGCAAGTGGGAAGGATGCGAGGCCGGCGACCTAGGAAACATGGACAAGCTGGTCGATCACTTGCACGATGATCACATCGGCACCCGCCAGAAGAAGTACTCGTGCGAGTGGACAGACTGCGCGCGCAAAGGCATTCCACATGCCAGTGGCTACGCCCTGAGGGCCCACATGCGCAGCCATACCAGGGAAAAGCCCTTCTACTGCACTTTGCCAGGTAAGTTGCTGCTACCACCTTCGCCATTTCCTCAGCCATTGCCTCAGGCTATGCCATAGTGAAACTAGTCGCTGACGACCAACATAGAATGCGATCGTGCTTTTACGCGATCCGACGCTTTGGCAAAGCATATGCGTACCGTGCACGAAACGGAAGCGCTACGGCCCTCGGACCCTGTTCCCAAGCACCACTCCTCTAACCCGTCGAACAAGAATCAGCGGCTGCGGCTGGTCTTCAAGAACAATGGCACCGACAAGCCCGGCTCGCCGATGCCCGCATCACCGCACTCTCAAGGCGCGGGCCAACAGCAGCCGCCACCGCCCGTCGAGAACGAGTACGAGCACAACAACGTCATCTACCGGCCCCTCGACCCCACCATCCCGCACAGTCCGCTCACCCGCAAGTTCCCGCATGACATACAATTCACGAAGGAGGAGATGAGCTTGTCAGCGCCGGATCTGCTGCGACTGCTGACCCGACAGATACAGTGGGCCACGGCGGAAGGCGAGGAGCTGAAGGCCGAGGTCGATGCGCTGGAGAAGGCTCGTAAAGACGAGTGGATGGCGAAGGAGCTGACGCTTGAGAACGTCATGGAGGCTGAATTCGGCCGCATGGAGCGTGTCGACCCCCTGTTGAACGAGGATAGTGCCAGCGCAACCGTCTTCCGCGAGATGTTGAGGGAAGACATCAAGGTCGGCAAGACATTAGACGTGCAGCCCAAGCCCAACTGGCGAGATATCGTTCCAGTGCAGAAGACGAGGGAAAAGGAGGGGCTCGAGGCTGCGGGCGAACTGACGGGCATGGCGGGTGCTCACAGGTTCGATGCCGCTGGTGACCCAGTTGTAGAACGGAGGCCGGAAAACCTGGGCATAGGCGTTGGCGGTGGCCCGTGAGAGGGCCTGTTTCAAGGCGAATGGGCTTTGAGGGGTTTTGTCGAGTCGAGAGAGCTCGCATTGCAAAAACACGGCGCTTTTCCTTTTTGAGGCAGCATGCTATGCTGCGTTATGCGAATGTATCCTCTTACTGCTTTGCTTATTTCCACGGCTGAGAAGAGGGAGCAATTGAAATGGAGTGGCCCTGGTCTCGGATGATTACCTTTCTCTGTTTTCTTCCCTTATCATCATTCTGAGATATCTAATGGCTGGTTGCCGAAAAGAAGAATCTAGAGAGCATATCATCTGCATGACCACTTTTCGCTAAATCCGGATCTGCGCTTGTTCAACACATGTTGATTATGTGAAGGAGCTGGTAATCTTCTCAGCAGCTATACGCTAGACTTGGTCCTGAGTGGGGACCTGATAGGGCCTTCATGCTTGACGATCGCAGAAGGAATATCAAAGCAACTGCTGAACCTGGAACTAAGGAATGCTGCTCTTATTGACTCACCGCTAGACATGCTCTCAAGGAGGCCCAGTCCAATGAGTGCGTGAAACGGAACATTCCACCTCCAAGCTTCCAGATCTGTAGCAGGTAATCTGAAACAGTGAAACCTAGTTTCTTCTAGAAGCCAGATCATAGACACATTCTCCACGTATCTGGGTCAAGTTGAACCGGATGTTCGGCTCGCAGTACCCCTGATGACATACGATAGTAGCCGCCGTTTACATTAGACTCTCCGGGGAAGCATGGAAGCGGAGCCCGATCTTCTAGTGCGGGACTTTCTGTCCGCAGAAGATGCGGCGCTACCAAATGTACACTTCAGTCCGGCTGCTTACTGGCCAAACTACTGGTCCTTGCGGGAATTGAAGGCTTGAGCTCTACTCGGTAGCTTCGGAAAGGTATGCGAGCGGCAACTAGAGTGTCGCCGGCGTCCAGCTAACAAGCACGTCCGCCACAAAATGGTGTGGGTGGCTTCCAGAATGGACCGTAAGCCGGATGTTTCGCAAAACTGCGGGAATAATATGGTTCGATGGAAGACGGGAATCGCCCATCTAGAGCAGGACAAATCTTAAAAAGTCAGTCGAGGCGTGCGTCAGTCCAAACATACGGTTTCAGATCTCGTTCATGCTTGAAAGCATACGCATTGCGCCATCTCGGGACTTACCATCCCGGTTGAGGCGCAGGGAAAAGCCTGCGTGTGGCGCACGTCTGCTTAAAAAGTCCGAGAAAAAAAAGTAAAGCCCTTGGCTCGTTGCACATTCGCAGATCATTCTTCAGTGTTTGGAACACGTCGGGCGCCGAAGGCTTACGCAACGCTCAGCGTCGTCGTCTGCCAGCTCACACGCCACGGCGTAAAGCATCCCGGTGTTACAAGTCATATCCCAAAACTTTTGACGTGTTCAGTGCTCTAGCTTGTGTCCGGAAGACATTCCGAGGGCGCGCGCTGGACGGCACGCCTGGTGGGACGACGCTATTGTATGAGCGGGAGATGAGAAACTCGCCTGTCGACGCCGCGTCGGCAAAATGTACGATGTGGTCGCAGCGCCTGTCGGGGCCCAGCCGCAGAAGCTTATTTAGTCGTGCCTCCGGACGTGTCTGGCTGCCGGCATTGCTGCTTCTCTGGGCTCCAGGCTGGCGCTACACATTGCCATGGCTGACTCGAGAGAGATGGCGTAGTGCGGCTGGATCTGGCGCTGGCGCACGCGAGGCGGAGGGGGAGATCGCGATGGCATGGGATGGACATGACGAGAGCACATTTGGCGAGCAGTGCACCCCTGACAGTGGGAGTTGTCGCCAGCACGCAGATCGTCTCGAGCGCCCTGGGCTCGCGACAGGCGGGGGCCTCCTGGTGGCGCGGCGACGACGTTTCAGACCGGTGATCTCCAAAAATGGGCGACGCTTCGACAACATGACTCTGCGCGGGCCCGAATGGGGTCTCGGAGGTGATGATGGGCAGCCGCAATAATCGCCAGTCCTTGCCCTTTGGGAGCGCGTCTCCGGAGCGTGAAATGACGGCGCGCATCAAACGGGGCGCGACTGGATGGAGATGTGCGCGCGGAGAAACGGCGGAAGCGGAGGGAGCAGAAGCGCGATTGACACAGCGTGCAGAGGGAGGCGCCGGCGCGTGCCTGCCTAGACGCGCATCCGCTCCTGCATCGCTAGCGGCTGTTCCTGCTGCCTTATGCGGGGGACGACGTGTGCCAGCAGCCATGCCGACCCACGGACGCGCTGCGCATGTCCAACCGTGGCAGCAGCAGCAGCAGCACGAGGCAGTGCAGCCTTCCGGCGGCGGCGGGGGACCACTGGATTTTCGGCGGGCAAAGACGCAATCAGCCCACGCGAAAAGAAATGCGTGCAAAGCGTCCAACGTGCGCGGTTGCGCTAAAGATGCTAAGACCGCTGCGGGAGCCCATCCTCCGGGACAGGGACCACCAAAGCGAGAGAGCGTGCGCCGAGCTGCTTTGCGCCCGCGCGCGTGTGCTTTGCTTCATCAGCTACGTCGTAGGCGCCTTCTGCGCTGCAGAACTCGTCTCTGGCAGAGAACATCGCCAGGTCTGTCTGAAACCACAGCCCCGACGCCGCCCCTGCAGTCCCTCCCTTTGCAGAGTAGAGCCGTCAGCCAGCGCCGACGGACAGCGAGCGCGCCTTGGTTCTCCTATCTTCCGGCCTAACGCCAACGGTCCCTGCCCTGCCAAAGCCCCCTGAAAGGCCAGCCGACCCTGGGACGCAACCCCAGGCACCAAATTCAAAAGCACCCGGCCAGTCGCCGCCAGCGCACGCGGGACCTGTCTGCGAATATCGCCCACGACAACACACATCCTCGAGCCCGCGCCTTCGGTCCATGCTGAGCGCGCCGCGAACCACCGCATCCGTCGCACAGATCGCGCATCTGCCGTGCCGCCGACCTTCTGCGCATGTTCGCCGCCAGTAGTACCGCCCTCGCCCTGCGCTCCGGATCTTGAACCTGGCCTTCGGCGCCTCGGCAGGCCCACGTAAGAACAACAACTTCTGCGCCCTGCCCTCAACACCACACCACCGCTCCGCCGACGGCACCCCCGGGACCATGGAGATCACCTCTCCGCCCGGCTCGCCCGCCAGCGGCATGCAGCGCCCCATGAGCGCCATGATGCGCCCAAATCGCTCGAGCAGTCGAATGAGCATGAGCAGCCGCGCCGGCACCGGCAGCAGGGCTTCGGACGAGGACAGCAAAACCGCTGTCAAAGTTGGTGTGTACACTCCATCCCGGCGCGTCAACCCGCGTCCGAATTGCTAACACAACGCGCCCCGCAGCCATTCGCGTCCGCCCTCCGCTCAAGCCCGGCGATCCTAACTATGAACTCATCCCGCAAAGATTTCGCAACAGCGCATGCCAGGTCAGCACTGACACGACAATTGCTGTCGACTCACAACAAGGAAAGAAGTTGTTCGTCTTCGATCGCGTCTTTGGCGAGACTGTGGACCAAGCTGGCGTATGGGAGTACCTCAGTGAGAGTGTAAATGCTTTTGTGCAGGGTTACAATGTCTCGATTCTGGCATACGGCCAGTCGGGTGCTGGAAAGTCGTACACCATGGGTACTTCGGGCCCAGCACAACAGGCAGACCCGGCCGCCATGGGTATGTTGGACTTCCGGCGCAAAGTCAGGGTATCCATGACTAACGAGGTTTCCAGGTGTTGTTCCTCGCGCGGCAAGATTACTATTCGAAGTTTTAACAGGTCATTCCACGCCCACCGCCGGTGGTTCAGGGCTTCGGGCACCCACGCGGTACTCTACCATTGGTCTGCCTGGCGCGAAACCTGCAGAAAAGAATTGGCAACTGAAAGCCTCCTACGTGGAAATCTATAATGAGCAGCTCCGTGATCTCTTGGTCCCGGCCGACGTGCCCCAGTATGAAAGAGCCCAGGTCACGATTCGGGAGGATCCTAAGGGCAGAATTATCCTTACTGGCCTCCAACAGATGACCATTAACTCCATCGACGACCTGCTCCATGCCTTGAACTTTGGCTCCTCCATTCGTCAAACGGACGCCACCGCGGTCAACTCGCAATCTTCCCGCTCGCACGCCGTCTTCAGCTTGAACCTCGTGCAGAAGAAGAGCAGGTCTGCCACTGGGCAAATGTCTGTGCAAGACAAGCGGAGATCGATGCCACTAGAAGCAATGTCTGGCTCAGACAGTATGGTGACAGTGGATAGCAAGCTGCATTTCGTCGATCTTGCAGGTAGTGAAAGGTTGAAAAACACCGGAGCCGAAGGCGCGAGAGCGAGAGAAGGTATTTCCATCAACGCCGGTCTGGCAAGTTTAGGAAAGGTCATCTCGCAGCTTTCGCAACGTTCAGGATCGCACGTCTCGTACAGAGACTCGAAACTCACCCGTCTGCTCCAAGACTCTCTCGGTGGCAATGCCATCACCTACATGGTGGCCTGTGTGAACCCTGCCGAGTTCCACTTGAGCGAGACTCTCAATACCGTTCAGTACGCTCAGCGTGCTCGTGCCATCCAGAGTAAACCGCAAATCCAGCAGAGCGCCGATGAAGGTGACGCAAAGGCTATTATCGAGCGCCTGCGGGCAGAGGTTTCCTTTTTGCGTGACCAGATAAGGTTGTCGGAACGCACTGGCCGCAAGGAAATCGTGCCCAAGGAAAGAGCAGAGCGGTCCGCCGAGCGCGAAATGGAACTCCAAAACCAGCTTCTGGACCTCCAAGAAAACTACAACGCATTGAGCCAGCGCCACGCGAACTTTATCTCTGAATTCACAAAGGCCCGTGACGCTGACGCTTCAGATGCTTCTGGCCTTTCTGACGCTCTTGGAGAGACCGCCATGGAGAGACTCAACCGTTCGAACTCATTTGCCGAGGCCGTCCAGCAGGTTGTGATGGAGTACGAGAAGACGATCCAAAGCCTTGAGGCTTCCCTGTCGACCACGCGATCCTCGCTTTCTACGAGTGAGAGCAGCCTGCTCGAGAAGGAGACCAAAATTGCTTACATGGAGAGCCTCAACCAACAACTGCAGACGCGCATCCAGAAGTACGCGGACCGTGAGGCTAGCAATGAGAGCTACCTCAAAGACCTGGAGTCCAAGGTTGATGGCATCACCTCTGGAGAGGAGAAGCAGACGGCGATCATCCAAGATCTGCGCAAGGAGATCAACCGGGCACGTGAGAACGAGCAAAACTGCGAGGAGTACATTTCCACTTTGGAAGAGCGCCTCGCCGAAGCTGAGCAGGACCACGAGCTGATGCAAAGGGAGATTGAGCGTCTGGAGCATGTCATTGAGCGTCAGCGCAGCATCGGCAAGCTTGACAACCTTCTCTACGAGCTTGACAACATCAACAAGGAGAACAAGCCTGCCGAACAAGTTCTGACCAACGGCCATTCCAAGGGCAAGAGAAACGAGGACATCGAGGAGGAGGCTGAGCACGAGGTGGAGCGCTCCGGTAGCCCGTCACCCGAGCCATCTAGCGCGACGGCTTCTGACGACATCAAAAACACTACGGTCGAGGTCCCCCCCTCGACTGACGAGACACCTCAGAGCCCTGAGCAAACCAACTTCGTCAACGACAAGCTTGAGGCTGTGACGCAGGAACTATTCGACCTTCGTGTTGAACACGAGACGACTGTTCATGACTTTGACGATCTTCAAAGAAAATACCAGGCCGCTTTGAACACCTTGGCTGAGCTTCAGGAAGCTGTTGACGAGGCTCGTACGGACAAACGTACTTCTATTTCTTCTGCTGGACCAGATTCTTTTTTAGCGCACGCGGGGGTGAACGGGATCAACGAGATCAAAGAGGATGGACAACCTTCATCCTCGCGTACCTTATCATCGGAATTGTCCTTGCTTGGGGAGTCCTCAAATCCGAGAGACTCCTTTCATACATCGGCAACTTCTGATGCTGAGACCGCTCAAAAGGGTTCAGAGGCAGAAATTGCTGAAGAAGACAGCGTCGTGCCTCAGGACGACGCTCTCGCCCACGAGATGGCAAAGCTCAAGAAGTTACACGAGGAGAAGGAAGAGAACATGGCCGAGTTGTCCCACCGCTACGCGCAGCTAGAGAAGGACCACCAAGAAACTCTCAAGTACGTCGACGAGTTGAAGAACGAGGTTCAGAGGGCTGTTCAGCTCGCTCGTCCGGACTCTCCCTCGGCCCACGTCATTCGCCGGAAGTCCAGCCAGAACATCGTTGCCGTAGACCGCGCCAACCGTTCGTTCACTGCGCTGCGAAGCATTGCTTTGGATCACCTGGAGAACGAGCCGGAGGCGATCCAGACTTTCGAGATGAACTTGAATACCATCATGACGGATCTTCATTCTGCCAAGGAACGCGTTGTCGCGCTTGAAACCGACATGGCCCAGGTCCGCAAGGAAATGGAAGGAAAGATGACCATCATCTCCGGCCTCACCCGTGAGAGGTCCAGTTTGAAGTCCTCTCCTCTCGACATCACTGCGGTTGCTCAGATGCGCGATCAGCTTTTGGAATCCGAGGCCCAAGTCAAGCAGATGCAGGAGTCCCACGCTTCTCGCGAGCAGGAGCTTCTCGAACAGATTGAGAGTTTGAGGACCGCTTTGGGTGCTCCCCGTTCTCCTTCGATCAGGATCAGCAGCTCTGGCGATGGCGCCGCTGAGCCCAGCCACGATGTTCCCGGAGATTTCCCTGATTCTCCTGGCCCTGGTCTCAGCCCCAAGGTTTCGAGAGAAGATCTTACCCAGGACGAGGCTACTCAACAGATCGCTGTTCTGCAGCGGGAGGTTGTGCAGTGGCAGACCAAGTATGATTCGACCATTACCTCGATGCGTGCATCCGAGAATGAGCTTCAAGCCACCATTAAGGAACTCGAGGAGGCTTTGAGAATCGCAGAGGAGCGCATCGGCCAATCCGACGCTGCGGCTGCGGATGTTGAGAGCCTCAAGAAGGAGATTGACGACCACAAGGCCGCTGCTGCAGCCAGTGCCAACCGCTTGGCAGAGCTCGAGGAGTCTCATGCTAGGATTCTGCACCAGGTTGAGTCGGAAACTGGTGACAGGGAACTTACGGCGAAGGAATTGACTACTCACCGTGGTTTGGTCGCTAACCTGGAGAGACAGCTTGAGGAGCACAAGGCTGCTGTTGCGCTTCACCAGCAGGGTCTTGATACCCTCCGCGAGACTCATGCCCAGGAGCTAGCACAGGTTAACAGCCAGCTTGAGACGCAGTTGGCTGAGCACCAAGAAGCCGCTGCCGCCCTTCAGGAGCAAATTTCCAAGCTGCAGACTGAGCATGAGGCCGAGTTGGAGAGGTCGCACCAAGGCATGGTCACTCTTGTCCAGAGCATTTCCGCAGCCCTCAACGAGGAAACCGATGCTTCCAATGTGCAAAGTCATATTGAGAGGCTCATTGTGGAACGGAAGGAGCTGCTCGAGAAGCACGATGCTGCTACCGCTGAGCTTGCTACTGCCAGAGAGGAGCTGGAGAAGGCTCGGGCTCACGTTGCTGATCTGGAGAGCAAGGTTGGCGAGCTGAAGTTGATCAACGAGGAGACGCTCAAAGAACTCGAGAAGATCAGCGACAAGGAAAGGAAGAGCTCTCGTCTCGTGGAAGAGCTTGAGGATCAGCTCAACTCCAACTACGATCAGCACCAGGCGGCTAACAACCGTCTGTCTGCTCTTCAGACCGAGCGCCAATTCCAGCTCGAGGAGGCTGTTGCCGCCAAGAGTGACATGGAGAAGGAGCTTGAGGAGTCCAGGAAGAAGATTGCCGATCTCGAGGTAAGTTTCAACCCATGTTTACGGATTGCAGTGCCCTTCAGGTTAACAGTAGCGTACAGGCTCAGCTCGGTGGCGCCAAGAGGGTTTCTAACCGCGAGTCCTTGGATCCGCACTCGGCCCTCCAACGCTCCGACTCCAAGGATTCTTCCAATCTGCGCAAGTCTGCTTCCCATACCAGCTTGCCTTCGCCGCCTCCGGCTATCCCCTTGCCCCCTCTCCCTGGATCGCCACCGCCGCCTGGCGGTCCCAATGCGATTCCCTCGTCGCCACCCGCGTCAAGGCACCAGAGCAAGGATATTGCTCAGGCGCAGCTTGTCGAGGACCAAGAGGCCCGTATCCGAACCATCGAGAAGCACCTGTTTGCCGAGAAGCAGCTTACTGCAACTCTGGAGGAGGCGCTTACCGACCTGGAGGCGTCTAGCACCAAGGTCAAGAACGAGATGGAGACGTGGAAGAAGAAGTGCGCTGGTCTCGAGGAGGAGCTTAACGTCATGAAACAGGAGCAGAGCAAGAACCGCTACTCGCTCCAGGCAGTCGAGGAAGAGCGCAACGCGCGCATGAGGGTTGAAGCCGAGCGTGCGCACCTCGAAGCACGCATGGCTGCGCTGAACCAGGCCAACAAGAAGAAGAAGAAGAGCGCGCTCAACTGCTTCTAAGCGCCAGCTCTCTTGTTCACGACTCCGCGTTACGACTTCCCTCTGCCTCTTCCGACGGCGTTAGATCTCTTCTCACCTTACGACTAGTCGCGCACTTTCTCCACGGTCACATCACCACCCCTGCCCCTTTTTTTCCCTTTCTTGCACATGTCTTTCTACGTAAATGACTTTTTGACGTGGGTCAATACTGCTCATGCTGAGGACACGGTCGCGATTTGATAAATTGACAGTCTGGCGAGAATTCTCCCTTTTACATTTGCGTTTGCCTTCACGACATCCTTTTCACCCACTCTATTTCCGGTATCCCCTCCTATTCTACTAGACCCGCAGGGCTCTAGTGTGGATGAGATGGCTTTGTTTTTTGGATTAGTTGAACTGGCGGTCTGGATCGAGAGTCCTTCGCGGAACATTTCCTTTGTGTCCTGTCACTCATTTCAGAGAAGAGAGAAATACCCCCCAAGAAATTCTTCTTGAAACGGCAGACGCACAGGTCGAGAATGTGTGGGAGAGAGGGAACGATTTGGGCTTTTTTGTTTAGGAGGCTTGCGATGGTTTGATTTGCTTTTGGACTTGTCTGCTTTGCTTAATTGCTCCCATTGGTTCTCTTGTTTTGCCCCGCAACGATCGATTCTGGAGCGTACCCAACACTTCAGACCCTGCTAGAGTATTGCCCGCTGCCTGCTATGCTCTTGCGTTGCATATTGCTGATCGCTAGCTTTCCCTTTTTTGTTTTTTGTTCCCTGCTGCGTGTCCGTCTTGCTACATACCCCTCGAGCACCTTAGATAGTGGTAGTTGCCCTCGTTTTTTTTTTTTTTTTTACAACGAAGATAATGCAGGCGATCCTTGCTGTCGTTGAATTCCTCCTCCCTTGCTCGATATGTCGTGCGTGTGTACTATTGACACTGATTCGCACTCTTTAATCTCATTCACGTCGGAACTACTGCGATAGACGTCCCGTCATGCATGGCGAGATGATGTATAGTAGAGACAGCTATAGCTATAAGACGATCGGCGCGTCGCGTCCCTTGCATGTTTGACTCCGCACTCCTAAATCACCCCACAAATACCCACAGAATCCGACTGGTTTCGGCGTGCGTGTGCCTGACTAGTAGTTCGCTTGTCGTCGTTGCGCGCGTGATCTTCTTCGACGCTCTTGTGCCTTTCATGAAGGTCATTACCGTCGTGGTGAGGTTTTGATGCCGCTATTGCATGACTTGGTGTATAGCGCGCTTGGCTAAATAATCAGGTCATCACACAACTCATTGTCCCGGCTGCAGCGTAGCACGACTCGTGAGCTTGTCGGCACCTCCTTTCATCCAGGAGCGGCCATGGCCGATGGATTGTAGGAAGCGTTTTACCCGCCGTTGGGAGGGGGAAGCCATTGCGTATGTGAAAGAGTTCATGTGAAGAGTTCCTTCGCTATTGCATGACGACTACATACATACATCCGCATATAGACATACTCTCCGCTCCGGTTGGGTAGACGATAAACGCGTGGCGGGGGGGCGCCTCCGTCCCGTCCGCTCGTCCGCGCATTCTCGTTGAAGAGGAGATGCCTCCGGTATACGGGGCCAAAATGAACAGATGTACGTACGCCATATCACCGCCACCGGGTTTTTCCCCACGGCCGTAGCCGCGTCCATGCACACGCTTCACCCACCGCTCCGGAATACGATCGCGTGGCGGCAAGCCACTGACTTGGTCCCCGGCCTGCTCCCCCGGTCGTCTCAAACGAGAAAGATAAAACAGCTACGGTCCCCCTTCTCGTGTAGGTAATAGGGTGTGATTGATAATAATGATAGAAGAGAAGAGTGCGTGGTGGTTGGGCGCTCGGCATACCGCAAATGGCTAACAGATAACGCAGAAGCAGGTTGTCCATCCCTGCTCTGCCCTGTGAAGAGGCAGGGTTCAATCGGCCCCGCTACCCATAGCCCTAACGATAATGACAGGGGGTGGATGATAAACTACATGTGCCTGTGTAACTGCTAAGAGATCGCCGAGTAGCAGAAACAGGGACTATTCGCACATGATGGATGCGAATCACGCCTTCTCTCACCAGATCGGTCCCGCAATGTATTGGGTCTTGGTATTGGACATGTGATTCTCGGCCAGGGTCTAGACGTTGAAACTGGTGGTGCGCTTACACCATGGAAACCCTCACTGTTGACAGCAAATACAACGTGGTTGACGTCGGAACAAAGAGATAATAAAACGACTAGCAACTGCTCGGGCGAGCCGATGTACATGATTCATGTCTAACAATAGCAGTGACTTCCATCCCTTCCTTCCTCAGAGTTTAGGGCAGCCGTTAGGGTACCCCGATTAGACAAGAGGACGTGTAAGCGCTATGGGGGTCGCCTACTCTTGCCTAGTCGTCTCGAATTGTTGTTCCGGTACCCGATCGCAGAGAAGCGAGATCCTCTCAGCCCCGTCGACCAACGGCTTGATCGACGGCGCGCTATGGATTTGGTGGAATCGCCGTGCCGTGCCGTGCCGCCGTCGGCGTCAATGGTGTCGGCGGCGTCAGGCGTTGGCTTGGTCATGACTACTACTGCATGTAAAAAAAAATTTGACGATCGTCGTGGCCTCGTCACGCGCTGCATTCGTGTCGATGTTGGCGAAATGATATTATGGTACCGTAGAAGATGGTAGGCTGCGGCTGGTTTGTTGAGCGGCAAAAATGGCCACCGTTCTCGGTGCTGTGTGGTAGCATTTGTGGAATTCTTTACGTATGGCTTCTTGGTGGCTGCCGAAGCGGGACCGATGGAAGCATGTCTGGTTCCGACTCTGATCCTCCCGATAGATCCTCCGGAAAGATCTCGTCATGGATGAATGAATTTCCCGCCATGTTAGAAGGAGATGGGGTGAATACGTAAGGAGCGTTCCGAGTAACGGCCGAGATGGGTATTGGGCGATCGAAGTAGGGCCGAGATGAGGCTGCGATTAAAGTAGAGAGTACGTTGAAATAGCCGGGGCTGAAGGGGGTTCGTGCAGTGGCAAGCTGTTAGAAGGGATGTCCCCGCAAACACCGCCGTTGCCGTTTCTTTGGTCCGCCAACTAGATGTCAGAGATGGTTAGGCATGGGTACCTGGTTGAACATAGTATTCGCAAGTCCGTTATGTGAGCCGGTCACAGAGAAGTAGCAGTAAAGGAAGGCTGATGGTGTACACTACTACGCCAGCCTTCAGGCGGCCTGCCGGAGGGTGCTAGTTTGGTACTGTCGTGTTGTACGAGCGCTGTTATTGGTTGTCTTCACTGGCACGCGCACCTGATGATGTAGGACATCGGTCTTCGTGCCTCTTGCATCTATTTTAACTGATTTAGTCGATGCAAATATACCGAGTGCTGCCGGCTATTGGCACCGATCACATTGAAAACTACATTTGTAGTAATGAATTGCAGAGGAATTAGGAACATGTGAGGACAAAGAGGGATCATCTCCGACAACGGCGTACCTGAGCGCTGCGAAGGCGGATGAATCGGTCGGATGAACCATCGTCGCGGCTCCACCAGTCGGCTAGTCACGCTGCTGGGATCTTGGTAGGGTGTGGGAGGACATAATGGTTGGGGAAGGCGACAACGTCGTTGACGCAGAGTGGGCGGGAAGGGTCGCGGGAGGGGCAGGTTAGTGCTGACCAATATGCGAGGGGTCGGGATGTGTTGACGTGAACAAAGGTGCATAAAGTTCCATGCCGGGGTGTTGAGGGGCTGGCTGCAGGGTAGAGTAGCCTCCATAGCACAAGTGAAGCAATGGCTTGCATGTTGTCGGTCGGAGTGGCCGAATGGACGAGTTGCCGCCGGAACACGCTCTGGCTGAGATGTGCATATTCTGCGGAGCAGCCGTACGCCGAGGCACCGATCCATTCTCCGGAGGCTCACAAGCAGGAAAGCCTTCGGGCGGAATCTGTGAGCACATCCAGTCTCGGTGTGACAGATAAGCCCCCCACGCCCTCAGCCGCGGCCAACCCCTCCTATTGTATTTAGCGAGATGCTTCCTTAAACCTTCCTGTCGGATCTTGCTCGAATGACACATCGCACTGCTCCTACAGTAGATCTTGTTGAGTTTATATGATTACGAACAGCTGCTCCCAGGATGAGCTCCTTTCATCTGAGCCAATGATTGCTGTGATGCCAGGTACGGGGCAATCGGGTGAGGAGCCGAAGCGGATCAGTAAGCTTCTTTCTTTTTGTGGTACTGCTTGTTGTTTCAGCGTCAGCTTCCTTTCAAAGCTCCGATCCTTTGGCGCGGGTGGCGCTCTGGGTACGACTGATGTGGCGGCACGGTCAGAATCTTGTTTGTAGATGCGCCTGTACAATGCAGGGACAGAGGAGGGGCGGGAGAAGGAACATCATCAAGGCGTCATCAAGACAGACAGGTCCCTCCTTGCTGCAGATGCAAGCCAAGAGTAAGTGCTGCTGCTGCTGATCTTCCAGTATATGCGCAGCTTGCTACGCCCGTTGCTTCTTTCCTACTACATGTATATTGAGTGTCATCGGCGAGCGGCTGAAAATTTGTCGTTGGGGAGTGGTCAAACACGGCTGAGAAAAATACGTGGCCGCGGGGTCCCAATCAAAAGGCAGCCAAGTCCGCACGTAAGTGGGAAAAGGAGCGTGAAGAAGGGCAATCTGAGGCAAGGAGTAGCCATGTCAGCTGCAACTTCAGTCTGGCTCGCTGAAACCAACGGGTCCCGGCCAATTGTCGTGATAAACCTGCTATCTTCACGTACAGTCCGGATTTATTGGAGATAGGTATTTCCGCCCCATCGCAAAACGCCACCTCTTCACTCCTATTCCAGGACTGGGGACGGACCATACTATGTATTCTAAATGCGGCACGTCGCAATTGGCCCTGGCGTACGAAGCGTTTGACGCGTAACGGCGGGCTCCTTCGCTTATCGAGACAAGGTACTCCTTCCTCCACTATCACGTACCATCCCGACATACGCGAGGGTGAAATCCTGCCAGTCGGCTCCTCGCTTACAAGACAGTGGCGAAGCGGGGCGAAACGAGGCCGATCGGGCCGCCAGGTAGATAGAAAAAATAGTGACGGATCGGAGTATCTTCCTCTTTGCACCACCCATGCGTCGATTGAGCAATGCTGTCGCAAGAGGCCCCAGTCCAGGGTGGCCACCTCCTGGTAAGAGCGCCGATGTCCACATCAGTCTACGGGGATTTTTTCGAATTAAGGTTTGCCTTCCCCGTGTCTCAGAGCCGAAGTGGGCCTAAAAGGATCGCGTCTCCTACCCTTCTTGCCAATTGGAGGGTCCATCAAACGACCTGTTTCTCGTCGGCCATGCACGAGAATATTCTTCTGACACAAACCGCTATAGATGGACGCCACACATAAAGGCGGTCAGGCCACCCTAGAGACTGAGCCGTCCATGCGGCTTTTGTCGTTCGACTTATAATTGGTCAGATATGGCGCCTATCGGCAACTCACTTACGCGCGTTCAGGTCCCTCGTCAGGACTTCGAGCAGCTTTTGGTCATCGACTGGCCCGTCGTCTCCGGCACCACTGCTTCCAATGCCAGGTTCATTGTCCCTTCGGACCTTTGCAGCTGTCATCACTTGCCCGTCCGGCCCGATAAGCTCTTCAAGCTCTTGCACATCCTGCTTGGTCTGCCGAATGTAATCTTCTTCGAGCATGAAACCTTCGGGGAGCGCGGCATCGGCGGCTTGGCGCGGTACCACCTTGATGGTGGGATACTCGAGAACTACCTGTGTGGAAAGCGCCTCTGTGAGAGTGGAGCTCGGATCAAGGGGAATCAAGACGCGGGGCAGAGAGGAGGGTGTATGCGGTTTGAGGAGATAGAAGGAGAAGAGTGGTGTGTGAGCCTGCGGGTTTTGGTCATTGTGCTTATTGTCTGCTGCTGTGGACACCTCTGGCGCTGGTTGAGCCGAGTGGGAATCTTGCTTCGACTGCTCGGCCGAGGCGCTGACATCGGTTGGCACTGCTTGTGTATCGTCAGAAGCAGGCTCAGAGGCAGGCTGTCCCAAAACGGAAGTTTGGTGGCTTTTAACTGCCTGGATCGAGACACTCTCCTCTTTCTTTTGTTTCGGAGGATTCTGGAGGCCGTCGCTGTGTTGTTCCGTGCGCTTCCTCTTGCGGGATCGCTCGGTCAAGTGCATGGCATACAGGTCGGTTAACGACTGGTCAGCGTCGGCTTCCTGCAGATCCCGGCAATCGTCTTCCTGCAGCCACTCGACGCACCAGCGAACATGTCCACCTCTAACAGGGGTGTCAGCGGGGAAGTTCCGATGCCAGTGTTCTGGAAGACAGGGGCTTCATACTTGGTCATCCGCGTGCGGTTCGTCTTCTGTCTGGTCATGCCAATGGGCGCTCGGTCCACAATAATGCGGTTGCTCTGCAGGTAGCGCTGCAGCTTGGCCTGATTTTGCTCGTACTTCTTATTCTCATGGCCGCGCGCCTCGGCGTCGTCGTCGGCACGCTGCAGTCCGCGCTCAATGCTCGTCAGGAAGTTGTAGTCGTGATCGATGCCGCGGGGGGTCGCAAGATCGCTACGCTTGACGAAGGAGGCGGCGTCTCTCTTCCCATTGCACTGGGCCCACTGCTGGTGGCGTTTGTAGCACGGAAGGGAGCATGTGCGCACGGAGTCTCGGGGGCAGCGGTATTTTGGGGGGTTGCGGTTGCTGGACACACACAGGCGCAGTGTCAGCAGTGCTCTCTATGTGACACGACCGATCATCTCTTGCGAGATTGGGGAATTTGGGCGCCAAGATTGCAGTCTGGGGCTTACCAGACGCCGCACAGGTCGCTGAGGAGGGGGTCGTCGGCCATGGCTACGCGTGCGCTGAGGCTGGGTGAGCTGCCGGGGCAGAGGCGATTTGCGCGGCAGAGATTTGCGCTGGGGCGGGAGGCGCGACAGGAGACGCCGCGGGCCGGGCAGATCAGAAGCTCCCACGGGAGGAGGAGTCGCGAAGTGCAATCAAGCTAGGTGAAGCTTAAGCTTGAAGGGCGATGACGAGTGTAGAGTTTGCAGCGGAGACGGCGTCGGACTTCCAATGGGCCAGGGTCTCCACGCCAGCTAGCGCTTGTGCTGCTGATCCAGCGGCTGCAGCCTCCGGCGCGCTCGCTGGATCGCAGCGCTTCGTGTGGAGGCCGGCCTGCGCGCCGCATGCATATCCCCGTCGCCGGCCTGGCTATGCACGCAATGGCAGAGAGCTATCACTTTTGGACCCGGCGGCGCGGACAGGGCCCGTTTCACCAGGTCAGCCAGCCTGCAGAACAGCCGTTTCTCATCAATCTGGCACTCCAGACCCAGCCACGCCAGCAGCTCGGCCCCAAAGCAGTGAGCTGATGCCAGGCGCGCATCAGGGGCACAGGCCCGACCAGAAGCAGCACATGGCAACTCCATTGGGCACTGCAACCCCGGCACTAACGGCCATCGTCGCTGCGCTAGGGCGGCGCACTCGCGCAGAGGGTGTCGACTGAGCGCGACGGAATTAATGGATCGCTGATGTACCATGCGCAATGCGCGAGCCGGCCGCAGGGGACAGCGTGCGCTCTCGCGGCGGGTGAGTGGCGGAGATGATGGCATGGCGGAGACGGCGCGTCGGCTCATTGCCAGCGCGACTGCCGGCGCTGAGTCGCGGCCGCTGACTCTTCTCCGCTGAGCTACCACGCTGCGAGGCGCGAGCAAGTGGAGAGCGCCCGGGCGCCTCACAGTCGCGCGGGAGGAAGCTGTTCCACCCCCTGCCGCGCCCATGCACGCGCAACGCCAGCCCGGGGTCTTAGCCGCTCACGTCTCAATTTCACTTCCAGAGGCGAGTCTCCGCGATACATGTCCATCCTGCCTAGCGCTGCCCGCGCCGGCCATTAGGAGCGAGCCCAGCGTACCCCCGTCCGCGTACCACAGCTCTTCGTCCCAATATTCCCACGCCTCCCCTCCACTCTTCTGCTTCCGTCCCTCGCAGCCTCCAACCAGCCAAAGGAGTCCGGTCCCTCCAATTGCTTGACCACGCCACGTCGAGCGACCGCGCCCTGCTGGCAAGCGCTCTCCAGCTAGCCGCATCGCGCCGCTGCCTCTGATATCTTCGAGCGCGCCTCCGGGCCTGCTCAATTAGCCATCTGCTCGCCCAACCGCCCCTCCAGCTCCCACCATGGCGCCTTCGCTGAGCCTGCGTCCTCGCACGCGGGATGCCGACCGTCCCTCGACCGCCCAGGGTGAGAACAGCCTGTTCATCCCGAGCCGGACCTCGTCGCTGCATTCCAGGATCACCCAGCCGCTCCCATCGCAGCTCAACGTCAAGCCCGGCCAGCGCACTCCCAAGACCCTCACCCATGCGTACATGGTGTGCGGCGTTGGCCGCGAGCCCTCGCAATGGGTCAAGGCGCCGCAGCCGCCCCAGGGGAAAATCCAGCACATGAAGGGTGCCGTCAGCCAGTTCTGGCTTCCCGAGATCCTTGGAAGCAGCCCCAGGCTTGAACAGGATAACGAGATCGCTAGGTCGCTGCACGCAGCTATGCGCGTAAGTTGGACTTCGAACCTGAGAAAACGGCGTTGAGGCACTAACAAGCTCTGACAGGCTTGCTTCCCCCACGATGTCGAAATCTGCACCGGCAAGCAGCAGCCACACTGCGTTCACCACTCCTTCGTTCTCCAGCAGGACTCGTCCCACACTCTCTACGGTATTGCTCTTCGCGTCTGGTCCCGCGCCGACGAGAAGAGGGCCGAGACGATCCGCGAGCTGCGCAAGAGGACTGAGAATGACTTCTACGACTCTCCCGATGAGACTTACTGGATTCCCTACTGCCTGAGCTTCCTTTCGAGATATCCGCTTTACAACCTTCTCGGCGACTACCTCCGCGGCATGTGGATCCACTGGAACAAGGCCACCAACCTCTTCCACGCCGAGGAGGTTTCGCGCATTCTGAGCTTCCCCGCGCCCAGGCTTAACGATCTCGTCCGTATTGACATGAAGGATTACGCCCTTTGCTACCAATTCCCTTCTTCCCCGACTGGCTTCCAGAACTTCGCCATGTGGCCCCTCTTCACGTGTCTGTCCATCCCGAACATCGTTGGCGTGGTTGAAGCCGCTGTTTCGCCGACCAGGCGCATTATCTTTGTCAGCCACTATCCCGCCATGCTCACTGTCGCTGCCGAGACGATTCGCTACATGGTCCGTGTTTACGAGTGGAGCGGCTTGTACGTCCCCGTTGTCCACGCCCGTCACGCGAGGAGCTTGGTCGAGGAGCCTGGTCCGTACATTCTGGGTGTCACTGCCGAGTGCCGCACTCTCTTTACCGCTCCGAATGACGCCCTGGTCATCGATCTGGACCGCAACTTTGTCCTTACCTCGAACCCTCCCAGCACTCTGACCCAGGGTCAGAGGACTAAGATGATCAATCGCCTGACCCAGGCTCTGAGTGGTGAGGTGGCGCCATCTGGCGTTCCGCAGCACCTGCGCTCCGCCTACGGAGGCGGTAAGCTCGTGCCTGCCGGTCAGATCATTGTCATGCGCGGTGAGGTCGAGAGCATCCAGGACCCCGAGTGGTGGAACCAGGACGCCGTCATGGGCGTCCTGGACCACATGTGCGAGAAATTAGTAAGTCACGCGTTTGCCAAATCCAAGATTGGATCTAACCGGCAGATTAAGGGACGCAACACCGGCGTCAAGGCCATCTTCGGCGGTTCGCAGAAGAAGCCCTTGATGACCAAGGTGTCGATGAGACATCTCAATGAGATCGTCCGCGAGCGCAACCAGTACTCGCGTGATGCCATGGAAGCATGGCAGGATTTCATCAACCTCAAGGGCAGAATGGACACGGAGCTGTCCAAGGTGTCCAAGAGGAACAACTTCCTTGTCGAAGAGCTTGAGAGCTGGAAGCAACAGTTCCTCAAGTTCCAGACTTTCGCTGAGCAGCTCACCAAGGAGACGTCGGAGCTCAAGGTCAAGATCGAGAACCACAAGCGCGAGAACCGCCGCCTTACGAATCTCATCGACCAGCAGAAGGACGATGCCGCCAGGCTCACCGTCCGCCTTTCTGGTACCGAGAAGCAACGTGACGATGCGCTTGAGGCTCTTGTTCTGCAGCAGGAGATTGCCGAGGAGCTCGAGCGCGAGAGAAAGCGCAACCGAAAGGAGCTCCAGGCGCTCGAGGCGGACAACTCCAAGCTCATGCGCCAGAGAGACGAGGCTCAGCGCGTTGTGTTGCACCTGCGCGCGCTCATCGACGGCCAATCTCACCACATGCAGCACATTGTCAAGTCGCTCACGTCGGACCCTGAAATCAGCGATTACATTGAGGCGGGGTTTGAGGACGCGCGCGAGGAGCTGGATGAGAACGACAAGTCCGAGAAGGATGGTTCCGATACCGGCACCATCCGGGCCGTCGACTCGCGGGCTTCTTCGCGCGCGTCCCGCCGCATCAGCCGCTACGGCCAAGCCGAAATGGACAGGAGCACTCCGACCGCTAACAAGCGTCTCTCGACCCTCAGCATGGCAGATGTTGCCGACAGGCACTTGCGCGACAAGACTGACGCCATTGCGTACATCATCAAGAACATCTCGGAGCAGTGCGAGGCTGCGGTCCAGGGCCTGCACATGGCACAGGCTGCCGACAGTGAGGAGCTCAGCGGCCACAGCCGCCAGAAGTCTCTTACTGGTTCTGAGGATGGCACTGTCGACGGCCATGGCGATACCACGACCAACGGCAGCGAGATGGGGGACGAGGAGTCCAGCTACCTGCGCCCCAGCAACAGGCACTCGAGCATCCCGCCTACGCCGGATCTCGTGCACAACAGGTCAAGCACGTCGATGTCGATGGCGTCGGCGGCGACGACCCCGGACAGGCGCAGCCTGCAACAATACAGAAACGAGGACGTCCCTGACGTTCCTACCAAAATAGTGGAGGCGGACGATGAATCTTTTGAAAACCGGGAGTCCTTTCGGGACTCCCGGGATTCATTTCGTGACTTTCGTGACAACAACACCGGAAAAGAGGAGATCCATCATCACATCGCGCCGGTCTCTAAGTATGCGCACAATATTCGACGGACGTCGTCCGGCCGGCCTGTCATTGGTTGAAAAGGTCAAGCGCGAGTCGATGGACCAAGAGCAGGCGAAGACGCTCCAAGAGCAGCTGAACGAAAAGCTGCGCGAGGCTGGCGTGTTGGATGATGTGGAGGAGGATCGAATTGGCGAAAGCTGGTTCGAGTGCGAGGAAAATACCGAATGAAAAGTAAAGTAAGAGGAGGCGGAAGATGTGGAGAAGAGATGAAGTAAATACCCAATCACGTTAGCAATTCTGGTTTCTCCGGGTGGTCTTTTTTCCTTTTATTTTTTTTCTCACAGCTCCCAGGAGTTCTGTTTTCTTTTTTTCTCATTTCTCGCACCCGCCAACTTGCCATGACGGAGTCGTGTTTATTTGGCCATAGTACGCTTTTATCTGTTTTGTCTCTTTTTTCCTTTTTGTGGACGGAATCTTCCTCTCACGCGCTACTCTTGGCTGTCTGAACTCATGGCCGCACATGGAGCTTTCACGAGCTCCGGACTCTCGTTTCGCAACACCCTCAGCACTTTTCTTCTTCTCATGCGGGCTAGGCACTGCCGCGCGGGAGCGGACAGCGACATTACCAGGGGCGCCAGTTGTAAATACAACAGGACGACTTCGAAATGTTAACCGCTTTTTCGTTCACTATCGTTTTTAAACCACCATCGCTGTGCTCCGACACGCGAACTCACGCCGCCACCGGGCAACTTTCCTCTTTTTATTTAGCACTGGCCTCGGGCCCTGATATAGTCGGTTGATACGACGGGACAGGATACTGTATACAATGGCACACACTGTACATATACATAGCCCAACCGACAGCTTGGCTCACGGCCGCAAGTCAATCTGGTCACGATCTCCCCCTGTAGATTCAGTCTATCGATATACTTTTTCCTTGTTTCACAAAGTGGACCCTGAGATGGATGCCGAGCAGCCGGCGCGGCGATGCGAAAGATGGGGTGATGAAACGACCCCAGTCCGCATCTGTTGCCAGATGGGGCAGGCTTGGAAAGGTTATATATAGGCTTAGCTGCAGCAGAAGGCCTGGTGGCGCTCGGTGGAGCGGCTGCATTGTGAGCTGGCGCCCGTTTGGGTCTAGAACGGGCACGCGATCGCCAGGTACGGGCGGTTGCAATGGGGGCGCAGGGTGCAATACGAGCCCAAGGCAGCGCTTTTGCTGTCTCGCCATCCTGTCAACTCAAACGCCTGTCCTTCTTTTACCCCATCGTCGCGCCAGCTCGAGCGCGCCACGCGGAAGATGTACCCGCACCGTCTGAGCGTCGCCGTCGTTATAACCGCCTGACAGCGCTGTCTGGGATTCCTGGATACTTTCTGGTCTTTGCTACGCTCACATTTCGCCATACGGTTCTCCGCACGCGGCAGCCTCGGCTCACCAACGTTGGAAGGTTTTGCTTCTTCCTGGTTTTTCTTTAATCTTTTTTCTGCCTTTTACGCTTTTTGGCTTTCGTCTATTCTTGCAATTTCTTGAACATTTCCGCATCTCTGGGACAGCACGTAATCGGTGGAGCAAGAGGTCAAACCACACATCAACACCGCTTCCCGCTCGTGCCATGTGGATCTCCCGGCCATTCCCCACACCCCGCTCCTCTCTCCACCTCCTGTCTCTTCTCCTCCTCTCTGCACGCATCCTCGGCGTGGCCCGCGCCGACGATGACGATGACGACGACGACGACCAGCCGGTCCTCAAGGACAACTCGGCCAACTGCACGTGCTACACGCTCGACTCGAACACGGAGAGCGACATGTCGGACAGCGCGCCGTACTACTTCACGTACCACCGGTTCTGGGACTTCCGGGCGCTGGCGACGTCGGCGGACCAGTACGCCGGCGGCGCTCCCGACCCGGTGACGGACGACGAGGACGAAGGGATGGAGACGGTGACGGATGCGGACGCGGCGTACCTCAACGGCTCGGCGTGGAACCGGGATTGGGGCATCCAGAACTGGGGTAAGGAGGCGACGGACGATTTCCCCGTGCGCATGCAGAACAGTCCGCGGAATGTGTACATCTGTAAGCTCTCTCTCTCTCTCTCCTTTTTTGTTTTCTTTTTAGTATCATTATTGCTCTCCTCTCGTATTTTCTTCTCTCTTTTTTTGCTTGGGCCACTAGCTTCATCCCCTAACCACGTTCGGTATCCTTTCTTTTGCGTCCTTTCTCGTTCGGGAAGGAAGATGAGTAGGTCTTTGCATAAGGGCTGACACCGGACGCTACCACACGAAACAGCGCAAACCAACGGCAGCGACACGGGCAACGATGACATCGAGTACCCGACGTACCTGTCGCTGCGCACCGTGCGGCTCGACGACTTCCAGTCGGCGGCCGAGGTGGAGAACCTGCAGAAGAACCTGATGCACGCGTCGCTGCGCATGCGGGCCCGCGTCGTCGGCGATCCGGGCGCCGTGGCCGGCTTCTTCACCTTCTACGACGACGACAACGAGAGCGACATCGAGATCCTGACCGACGATCCCGAAGCCGTGATTCGGTGAGTACGAGAAAAATGATCTACCCTCATCCCATATTTATCATCCCCCCTACCCCTTTGCCCCCCTCACCTCACCTCACCCCTTCGAATTACGAACCCTAACCAACGTCTCTCTCCTTAGCTACACGAACCAGCCCGCCGTCGGCAGCGACGGCAACGAGGTGCCGCAGGCGTCGCTGAAGGTGGCGCAGCTGCCGTCGTGGCGCGACTGGCAGGAGCACCGCATCGACTGGCTGCCCCACCGCTCCAACTGGTACCTCGACGGCGCGCTGCGCGCCACCAACACGTACAGCGTGCCCCGCCGCCCCTCGTACCTCGTGCTCAACATGTGGTCCGACGGCGGCGAGTGGAGCGGCGACATGGACGTCGGTGGCAGCGCGGAGCTGCAGATTCAGTGGATCGAGATGGTGTTTAATACGAGTGGGCCGGTTGAGGGGCCGGATGGGGGTGATGAGAAGAGGAGGAAAGTGAAGAGGGGTGTGGGGGAGGAGGCGGACGGGGCGCTCTTCGGCGGCGGTGATGGCGGGTTAGGGAGTTGGTTGTGGAGGAGTATGGGGGCCGGTGGCGTGGCGAGGGAGGCCAGTGTCTTGGGGAAGAGGAAGGAGAAGCGATGCGACGTCGTCTGCAGGGTCGACGGCGTCAATGTGACCGGCTTCCCAGAGATCGCACACGTATCCGGCGCACCGGCCGGATTGGCGCCAGCGGTGACGGGTTGGGTGTTGGTGTTGGTTATTGGGCTGATCACGGCGGTTACGGGGATTTATTGAGGCCTGAGCCGCGGCGATATATTTTTTAGTGTCTCCTTTTCTGATCTGCATAGCGATTGTGTTTAACGGCTTGGAGAGAGATGCATGGTACGTGCTTTGTATGAACAGTCTATTAAAAAAAATAAGTCCGGCCGTTCCTTGCTCGAGCGCTTGCTTCGAAATCCTTCGAAACTTTAAATTCCGTAGTTACTCAGTTCATCAACCGGTCCCGTCAGCCGCTTTTCACCGGCGAAGCCGAGACCTGTTGCTGGTCCTTTCCCGATGATCCCAACACTCGAGAATAATTCCTTTTCCGGTCGATCCGGGCTTCGTTATCCGAATTTATTAGATCCATTCTCCCGGAGTCATTCAATCGTCCTTTAACCCTTTCCCCACTTCCCCACTATTTCGCCTCAGTGAAGCTCGACGTCGTCAAGAGTTCCTTCATATTGATGTTGGAACCGATCTTCCGTCGGCCTTAGCTCTGGATATTTGCTGGCCTACGCGCTGGAAGAGATCTCAATCTTTGGTTGTGAATAATGAAACACTGCATGGCAGCCTTGGGCAGATCTCACGGCGACGGACGTCGGCTAGGGGGCTCAGCCCTATGGCCCTTGGGCTTGGATTGCGATGGAGACGTACATTAATGGTTCCGAGGAGCCCGGTGCCGCGGACTTCAAAATGACCAATGCTCCGTGCACAGGAGCTGCGGTACATCCCGTTGTGCTGTGGCTATGTTGTTTGAGATGCAATGCCCTTCATGAAATACTCATAACTGTCAATGATCTGCAATTGTTTGACATCTACACGGAAGCCTCCGGAAACCTATCTATTCGAATGCATAACTTGATACACGGCAACACTGACGAAAAGGAGTCACCTATTTCTTTCATGTAGTCAAATATGCACACGCATCAGATAGTGTCCCAAGTTAGTAAGCTTCTTAGTCAGGTATTCGCTTGCAAAATGTAGATGGCGACCATTTTGTACCGGCTCATCCTTCTGAAGATGCTGGCGTGACTTATCGGACTGCATCATTCAGTTCTATCGACTTCACCCTCCTGGCATAGTCCCCACGTCTGTTCTTCACAGTCGCATGTTGATCCGACAAACTAGCCCATCTGGTTAAAGAAACAGAGGAAGACACATATTCATCAAGCGAAGCACAAGAGGCAATTGCGATGATCGAAGCAAGTCTTAAAAAGTGTTTTTTAAAAATAATGATGTCTAAACCCACATAAAAGAGCGAAAATCATGATCGCTATAATCTAGTCGTGAAAAGAATGTCCTCTTCCTCCAACAAAGTAGGAACAGAGAGAGTGACAATAGGCCATCCGGAAAAAGGTGAAAGGAAAAAAGAAATAAAAAAAGGAAGACGGATGGAAACCACCAACACATCATCAACGAGAGCTTGTCCCTCTCACTCCCTGCCCTTCTCTACCATCGACTTCCTCTAAGCAAACACATCCGTCGCAAACCGATCGTTGCGGATAGTCTCGAACCACTTCTCCACCTTCTCCATATTCGTATCCTTGCCGAGCTCCTGCTGCCTCTCGAGCGCCATCTCGCAGCACACCTTGCTAACAGCCTGGCCAACAGCGCTGCTGCCGCAAACAAAAACCTTCGCGCCGCCTTCGAACAGCTCGACGACATCCTTGCGGTCCATCCACATGCGCTCCTGGACGTGTCCACAGCCCTCGCTCTGGTCCTTTGCGCGGCTGTACGCGCGGCGCACCTGCACAACGCCCCTGCTCTCCCACTCGTCGAAGAGCTCCTTGTACAGGTCGTCCTTGCCGGGAGCGCGGCAGCCGTAAAAGAGCAGCGCGGGCGCCAGCTTGCGTCCGGCCGCGATCTGCGCCGCGCGCTCCTGGACGAAGCCGCGGAAGGGCGCCAGCCCGGAGCCGGCGGCGACCATGATGAGCGGCGTGGCCTCCGGGTCGGCGGGCAGGCGGAAGGCCTGTGCTGACGGGCGGATGCTGACGTGCAGGGCGTCGCCGGCCTCGAGGTGAGCGAGGTACGAGGAGGCGACGCCGACGTGGTGGCGCTTGTCGGGCGCCGCGAGCGACGGCTGGTCGAGAACGGCGTAGGTCAACGTGACGCGAGACGGGTTCCAGAGCGGCGACGAGGAGATGGAGTATTGGCGAACGCGCATCGGCGGCTGGAGCTGGAGGAAGGCGGGAAGTGGGAGGGTGATGGAGGGGAAGCGCTCAAGAATGTCAAGGACGGACAGGCGCTTGCCCGTGACTTCAGCATCAAAGTCCTCGCCAGCAAGCTTGGTGAGTGCGGCAATGGTTTCCTCATCCTTGGTCGCGCCAATGAGGGTGGTGACGGTACGTTTGCTGGCAGGTTGTGCGAGCTCGACGTATGCGCCGAAAAGATCGGCCGCCGACACAGGCATGTCAGTAGGCAAGGTTGTGGGACCGGCGGCCGAGATGGTGACCATGCTGTCCCAAGCAAGACCGAAATAACGCATCGCACGAGCAACGTTCTCCTTGGGGTTGAGCGGCAGGACGGCGAGGTAATCGCCAACCGAGTAAGTCATGTCTGAGGGGAGCTCGATTTCGATATGGCGCTTCTCGGGTACGTCAGGGTGGGAAAGGAGCTTGGTCTCAACCACGCGTGCCTCCTTGACTTCCTGCTTCAGAAGAGATGCACGGGGAGCAGAGACTTGAACCTCAAGCTGTTCGAACAGCGGAGCGTCAGCGTTTCCGGCTGCGTTGAACTTCTCCTTCATCGCCGGCCAGAACTGTTCATCTTCCCACTTCTCGAAGTCAGAAAAGATGTCGCCAGCGCCAGCATCAGCCGTGCCGAACGGAGCGACGCGCTTCGCACCGCGCTCCTCAAGGACTCTATCCACAAGGGTGGGGATGCGGTGGAAAGTAGCAGCCCAATCGTGGTGACCACATCCGAAGACGGTGTAGTTCACACCCTCGAGCTCATTGCCCTTCAGACCCTCCATCCAGGCAACAAAGTGCGCCGCATTGTCAGCTGGTTGGCCCTCGTACGACGCCGTCACGATCGCGACTGGCTGGTCCTTGGGCAGATTCTCCTTGGCGGAATCCAATGAGTCGACAGTCGCGACGCGGAAGCCACGCGAGGCAGCATCGCTGGCAAGTCTGCGAGCAAGCGCCTCACAGGTGCCCGTGTTGGAGCCATAGTAGATGGAGAAGGGAATGCCGTCCTTGGCCTCGGTCTTGTTGGGCTTGGCGGCTTCGGAAGTGGCATGCTCTCCGGTGGAGCCGGAAGCCAGCTGGTGCTCAAGAGTGGTAGGGTTACGGCCATTGCGCAGGATGGCGCGCATGCGGAAGTCCTTGGGCTTGATCGTGAGAGACTGCTTGAAGCTGAGCGTGTAGGATGGGTCCTCGGCAACGAAGTTGAAATTCTGGAGCAGAATGGCTACAACCAAGACTGCCTCCTGCCAGGCGAAAGGCCTGCCAATACAAGCACGCATGCCGTTACCGAAAGGTTTCCAGCAGTTGGGGAACTCCTTCTGGATCCTGTTGAAATTGTCGTCCAGCATCCTGTCCGGGTTCCACTGCTCCGCATCCTCGCCCCAGACCTTGGGGTCGCGGTGGAGGGTGTGAAGCAAGAGATTGACTGGCTCATCAGCTGGGATGCGGTACTTGCCACCGATAACTTCGTCCTTCTCTGGTGACACGGTAATCATAGGTGCTGTGGGGTTCAGACGCAGGGCCTCACGAAGGACGGCGTTGATGTAGGGTAGCTTGGAGATGTGCTCAACAGTAATGGCACCTTGGCCAATGACGCTGTCGACCTCCTGCTGGGCCTTGGCATAAGACGCGGGGTTCTTGAGGAGGTAGTAGAAGGCAAAGGAGAGCATTCCAGAGGTGGTCTCGTGGCCAGCAATAAGGAAGGTGATCATGTTGTCGATGATGCTTCCATCGCTGAGGCCTTCTCCAGTCTTGGGATCGCGGCCATCAAGCATGTAGTTCAACAGATCCTTCTTCTCAGTCGGGTTCTTTCTCCGTGCATCGATGACTTCCTGACCAGTCTTTTGGAGAATGGAGATGTCGGCGTCGTACTTGTACTGAGCGGCACGGTAGAAAGATTGGGCAATAGCTGGTCTTCTTGACCTGTTGCCAGACTCGATGAGGAAGTCCACCATGGCTTGGACGAAGGGGTGCATCTCTGAAGAATAGAAAGAGTTGAAGCGGTAGTCCATGGCACACAAGGCCAGGGTATCCAGGGTCAGCCTTGTGAAGTCCTCGGTGACCTCGATCAGGTGGTTGGGTCCGTGCCTCGCGAACTTCATGACCAGCTGGCTTGCGATGTCGTGCATCTCGTCGAACATTCCGCGGATCGAGAGCGGGCCAAAAGCCGGGATGAGAATGCGGTGAGCAATGCCCCAATTCCTCTCCTGCGGGCCGTAGGCGGTGAAAAGGCCATCGTGAATGCCGTTGCGGACCTGCTCCAGGCCTGCTGCCACCTTCTTCATGAATCGTTTCTCATCACAGACCTCGTTGACCAATGCTTGGCTGCTCACGACAATGCGTGGTTGGCCAGCAAGGACGTATCTGAAGATGGAGCCTGGAGTCTACGTTAGCCCTGAGTCATCGGATTCGAAGAGTGTTCTACGAACCGTAAGTCTCGGCCATGTGAATGATGGAGCCAAGAGGGTAGGCAGCATCGAAATCATTCATGTTGCTACGGCATTCGTCAGTTTCTCGTCAACAGACAGCGGTTGGCGGTACTGACCCAATGATAGGCAGCCCCGGCACTTGGGGAATGGGAACCTCGTTGGACTCGGCCATGTTGCCTGATGTGTTGGTGTTTTTGGAAAGAGAGGAGTTCTCTACTAGAGTAAAGTAAGAAAGCATTTTGTCGGGCAGCTAACGTAGGGTTATATAAAGGGAGGCGAATAGATTAGGGAGCCGGAGAGATAGAGGTGCAGATACACGAACGCCACGAAGTCAGGAACAAACACGGGGTGGATGATACGACCGTCGGCCGGGTGCGCGGATTTTGAGAAGCTCGGCTGGGGCGCGCTTGCGCAGGGAGAAGCAGCAAATGGCAGGCGTACCTCGAGCCTCTTGCACGGTTGCTACGGCCGCTAAGACGTGCTAAAGGGTTACGGCCGCGGCGTGGACTCGAAACAGCGGGAGCACGGACGTAAGATGCAATGGGATCCACACGAACTCGTGGGCGAATGTGTCGTCAACGCGCTGCCCAGGAGCAAGGCGGAGGTGGAAGGGCTGAGACAGCCGCATCGCAGCTGAGCTTATGCTGCAGGCGGTCGTACCAATCGGAGCCAGGGCGCCGTAGAGGCAGGCGCTCCTCAGCACCGCTTCACGCTTGCACCATGGTATTACAAGAGTTTCGTCGATCAAGTACCCACAACAAAGCTTCGGTCGAGCTGCAGAAAGCGGCAGAGCTGCGAAGAGCCGAGGCTGAACGACAATCATGCTCGCCGCTCTTCTGCACGCTCTTTCGTCCGTAAATGACTGAGCGGGACGTGCGGTCGACATGTCGTGGCCGTCGTGCGTAATATTTGGCCCAAGATCCATTGGCTCGGGGGCCATGACATAGGGGCAGACACATGTCGGCATGCCGTGACGACGAAACAAAAATTGCGTTCGGCGTGCCGATGACGAGTGGGCGCAGCGGTGGCTGCCAATGAACGCTGCGTCAATCTGTATAAGCGTCTTTGTCATCCCTGGCTTCGGCCGACCTCCGGTACGCTTGCCGCTTCGGGTGCGAGTTGCGACCGGTAGGGCTGCGCGCCACTCCCGCTGCTTGACCTCAGTGTTCAACATTACCCCGTCTCCGCCTGCCAAAATATCGCTAAACAGCACGATTCCCACTTCAAACTTCGACCCGCACTCGCGCCTCCATTCCCTCGACCCACGTCCCCACCATTTTCGTCCCCGCAACCCATTCGACCTCTCGAACCACCGTCCCTTCTCCCGCCTTTCCCTCGTCCTCGTCGCTCGAGTCCCATTCTTCCACTTCCACTGCGCCCTCCTCGCCCGCCGGCACCCAGTCTCCCGTCTCCCAGAAGAGTCGCAGATCCAATGGGGGCAACTCGAGGCGTTTGCCGACTACTCCAAGCATGCTGTACACGGTGAAGCTGCGAGGCAGCTCAACGCTAAACTCCTCGACTGCTTTCCCGTCGGATTCGAGCTTCGCCTTCAATGATTCTCCGGGATAGAAGGTAAAATTGATCAGTCGCGCGGCGAGAGAATTGGGTTTTACCGCATTGGCGTCCAAACGGACAATCGTGGGCTCGCCATATTCGGCGCAAAGCTCAGAATATCGTCGGTGTGTAGCAATAACCCTGGATTCCTGGCCCTCAGGTGCGTTGCCCAGCTCAGCAGCAATTTGGGAAAGGTAGTATGTCTCGGCGTTGAGACGCTCCTTTGCAGATATCTAGCGGCAGCTGTCAGCCATCATGTCTGAGAATGATTCGGAGGGAGGAAGCTACCGTGCTGAAGTTCATGATTTTGAGACCGCCCAGACGCGCAATAGTCAGCATGTAGCCATCATCCGCCGTCAAAGGCTTGCCGTCAACGGCATGTAGACCGTGGTAAAGAGGATTGTTGGAGATTCGAAGGGACGTGAGCCCCGGGAAGACGGAATAGAGGCCGTCGATGAAACCCCAACTATCGATGGAGTTATGCGCAAGATCAACCTCTGAGACGCTGCTTGAGAAGACCAGTGCTTCATCGTCCGCTGGATTGGGGCTGAGAATCCCGGTAATCAAGTTGTTCTTCAATCTGAAGGATCGAAGATTCGGCAGCTTTGTCAAACACCGAAGATCATCCAATGAAGTGAAGTAATTCTTCTCCAGGATGAGCTCAGTTATAGTTGATGGCAGAGACGCCTGTCCAAGCTTGTCGAAGGCGTTGTTGGTGAGGGTTAACGAAGTCAAGCTAGGGAATGCGGAGCATATGCTAGCCACGTCTTTCCAGCTAAGCAGGGTATCCTCGAGACTCAGGGTCGAGACTTTAGCGAAAGCGGACGATAAACAACCGTCGAGTTGGATGTCTCTCAGTCGGTTGCCATCTACCCTCAGCCGCTTCAAGTTCTCGAGCTGGATGCATATCGACGCAACTTCCCTCCATTCCTCGAATAGGTTCCGGCTGAGGTCGAGTTCCTGGATCTTGGGAGACGCATCCTTGACGTCCGTGAGCTTGTCAACGGTGATCTCGGCAGCTTCTCCCAAAAGCTTGGAGAACGGCCTCTCCATGCACATGTTGTCGAGTAGCACGATGCGAAGTTCCTTCAGGTTCGCAAGCTTCTTCCGGATCTTGTCGAAGCCGACCTCTTCAGCCTCCTTGCCGCTAATCATGATGACCTTGCCCGATGAGTTCACCGGGACATTTTCGGGTGCCTTCCCGATTACAATAATGTCAATGTTGGAGACGCTCGGGTCTTCGACGGGCTCGGAGGCGTATTTCTGCTTCAGGGCTTCGACGTAGGACAGCGGCGGATCAGACGGACGATTGGGGCGCACAAAGGAGCCAGCAGTCGGGTGTTTTCTCTGGCCTGCCTGATGAAAAGGCTGTCAGACTGGCTTATGCAAGCGTGAGGAAGCCATACATTCAAAGTACCTCACGCCAGCATGGGAACCATCGTGCTTCCCACGCGTCGGGTCGTCCCATTCGACACCCAGCCATTCGCCCTTGGTGCCTTGCACCTGGCCGACATAGCGCACGGTGCAGAGATCGCCATTGAAGGACAGTCGCTTGCCAGGGTGGAAAGCAGCAGCCATGGCGGATATTCGAAAGCGTGGTGTGGTGTTGTGGAGAGGAGGGGTGATTTGTGGCCGGGGCGCGGGAGCTCTTGCAGGGATTCGTCATTGTGCACGAGCGCGTGGGAGCTCCGGCGGGCAACTGCACGCCAACCCAAGCTGCCCATCACCAACTGCCATCCTCGTCCACCACCACCTCCGCCCCGCACCTCACCACGGCCGCCGCCATGTCGCTCGATCCGCCAACCTACATCCTCTCGCTGCAGAACAACATCCGCACTCGTCCCATCTCGTGGGAGGGCGCCGTGCGCGCCAAGACCATCACCGACCAGGACCTGAAGAAGATCAAGTCGATTGACAAGGTCCGGAAAGAGCAGCGCAAGCAGGCCATCGAACAAGACTCTCAGAGCTTTGTTTCCTTGCTGCTCGGTGCCGGCGATGCCCAGGACATCTTCCAGGCCGCGCAGAAGGGCAAGCGTCAGGACATCATCCAGTACATGCTGGTGCTCGCCGGCGACCTTGTAGAGGGTGCGCCGCTTCCCGAGCCCTCGTGCCGGCTTTCGGACCGTGTTTGGTTGCTCGGATGCTGATATGCTGCCTTTAGACATCCCGTCCTTCCTCACCGCCTTGACGCAGCACCCTCAGCCCTTCGCACCTTTCCTGCCGCTACTGAAGCAGTCCACCAACCCCGAAGACCCTATCCCGCTCCTCGCATCGGCAGTCCTCACCGCTTTGATATCCGAGTCCCTGGTCTCGAATCCCAAGCAGTCTGCACAGGTCGAGGAAGCTCTGCCGCAGCTTTACACCTACCTTGCAACCTTGGCCAAGAGCTCCGATGCCGGTCTCCAAGATATTGCGGTGCAGGAGTACTCGGCGCTGCTGAGAACCTCCAAGGCGAGATCGCTGTTCTGGAAGCAAAGGAAGGAGACACTGAACCCGCTGGTTGAGATCCTCAAAACGGCAGCAGGCAACGTGAAGGACACTGACTCCACTTTGTATGGGAGCACAAGTGCCAGCATCCGCAGCAACGTAGACGTTGGTCTGGCTGGAGGCGTCGGTCTGCAGCTCCTGTACCACGTTCTTCTTGTGATATGGCAGCTGAGCTTTGAAGCCAAGCTTGTGGCTGATGGCCTAGACGAGTAAGTTGCTCTTCTGCCATTACTATGATGCTGTATACTTATGGATCATCTGTAGGGAGCACGACCTTGTCACTCTGTACGCTCAGCTCCTGCGTGCATCGCCCAAGGAGAAGACTACCCGCCTCCTTCTTTCCACGCTCCGCAACCTCTTCAGCGCCCGCCCCGACTCGCTGCTACCCGCAGCGACGCTGGCCAAGCTCCCCCAGCACCTCCAGACGCTGCAGTCGCGGCACCTGACGGATGAAGATCTGCTGGAGGACCTGAACGCGCTCAAGGACATGCTCGAGGAGTACACCAAGACGCAGACGACGTTCGACCAGTACGCGGCCGAGGTGCACGCGGGCCACCTGCGGTGGTCGCCGCCGCACCGCAACCCGACGTTCTGGCGCGAGAACGCGCGGCGCATCGTCGAGGAGGGCAACGCCGACCTGCCGCGCAAGCTGGCCGAGATCCTGGCCAAGCCGTGGGACCAGGACAAGCAGGTCCTCGCCATCGGCTGCAACGACGTGGCCTGCCTGATCCGCGAGGTGCCCGAGAAGCGCCCCACGCTCGAGAAGATCGGCCTCAAGGCCCGCGTCATGGAGCTCATGGCCGACAAGGATGAGACGGTCAGGTGGGAGAGTCTGAGGGCCGTCGGCGAGTGGTTGAGGTACAGCTTTGACTAAGGCGTCCCGCCGCGCGGCTGCCTGCATGTAGAAGAGCATTCTGGCTCGTCGGACTTACGTGGTTGTGTGCAAGGGTCCATGGCCAGAGCCACTGCAGCGGGGCTGTAGGGATAGCATGTGATATGTAAAGAGAGGGTCTGTTACGAATCAAATCATCTTTCTGTTCTCGTTTCCTGGCTTTTTGGATTATTACTGCCTCATGTTAGATGGGTCGGGATGCTGTTTATTGTGTAGCAAAAAATCCAATGCATCTAGAAGATGAGCCGCGGTGTTGCCATCAGCGAGAATGATGTGTTGAGTCGAAGATATGAATCTTCATGCCACGCTGGGTTGAGAGTTGATGAAGGTTTAATGAGTACAGTCACTGAACTCTTTTCAAAAGCTGGCCACGATACCGGCACTGTTTCAGATATGACTACAGGATTGTAGCCTTTTTTTTCAGTCTGGTTTGTTCAAAAGGCTTCTACATGTCCTTCGTGCGGTGGTACCTGGATTGGTTGTGTTTTCTTTGCTGGTTGCTGTAGTAGCTTGTGGAGACAACGTATGCGTTATGAGCCCTGAAGCGTACATGACAGTGGGAAAGAGTACCTCTTCCTCATGAAGGTTCTCAGTATAACCAGCGTCGGCATATTTCTCTTTTGTTTTTTCAACCCTTTCTACCACCTTAACAGGATATGTTAAGCTTAACATATCCTGCCCGTTCTCAAATATACGTTCCAACTTGTGAAACACAAACACAAGTAAAGTGTATGAACCTTTTAGGTCAAAATGGACAATTTTGCCGTGACATTTGTCTCTCTTATTCGTATCGCACTTTTGCTTCTCTCTCTTTCTAACTGCACGCCTGCTACGCCACGCGTGAGTGTTTTCCCAATCAAACACAGACCGGAACCTCTCCATCCATCATCAATGGTCACGGGAAAATCCACCTTCCACGTACTTAATAGAACTCGATTAGCCATATAGGTACCACTCCTGCCACGCCTCAATGTAAAAATGATACTTTCGGTTCGGAACCTGACCTACTGCAGGCCGGGGCAATGATAACCGTCGGGAGAGATCTCAAGAGTTCTCAATCTATAAGAGACATGAGCACGCATGAAGTCAGTCAATAAGTTCTAGGTACGATGGCAGGGATAAGGACATAGCCACTCGCACTGAATCCACAACTTATAGATGATGCAATCAATCCTGTGCGAGGCTTAAACCAAGGATATAATGTACGTTAATCCATTACACGCGGACTGCTTTCAAGGACAATGGTCGTATTAGAGAGACATTCACGGGGAAAATAACCTTCAGCAGTAATAATCATTACGTAGACTCCGATATCACCGGCGCGCCGAAGGTCTTATAAGATATATTTCGATAGTAAGAATCCCTCGCTTGATCGAAAAAGTACTCCAGCATGTCTTGTATATATTAGCTATCGAATGGAAATGTTGCTTCCCACGGTTTATGTGCCTTTCCCCGCAAAATCTTAGGTTTGTAGCTTAAAATAATCCGTAATGTGAACCTGCATTCCGTGGCACCCACACTTCTACATCACTTCTTCTACATAGTTCCCAGGGGCAAGACTATGCCTTGCCTCATTGTTCACCCTTTCTTAGAAGTAAGAAGCATCCTGTAGGGTCTACCCGAGCACGTTAATCCAAAATCTTTACCCTCCTCAGGGTGTGCAACGAGCTACTCTGTATTTCTTGAGGCAAATTTTCGAACAATAGTGTAGAGTGAAAGATGGGAGAATTGGCATGGACTTTGACATCTTATGGAAGTAGAGTAGCATATCTCCGCAAGAGAACCCCGAAGCAAACCGAGTCAAAGGTGATCGTAGAATAGTAGCTGTCTCGAACCACCCATACATATCCGGATTGTCATTTCCGCAGTGGATTGTAGGAAACTTGCCCTTCCTCATCCAGTGGACCATATAGACCTCTCCGCACAGGTAGTTGAGGCAAATGTCTAAGTGTAGACGTAAGTGTTGAAACTGTAAAGTATCCGGACGCAAACTGTGGGCAGCGTACTAAAACTCTGATTTGATGTGACACGTTTGAAGAGCATCACTCGTTTGCAACCAACTGTGTCGAAAACACGTTGCAGCTGCAGACTCGACAAGTGTTTACCTAAGAGCGAAGAGGGAAATGACCCAATGGCTCATATCTATTGGTAGCTAAAGCCAGTCTGGATCACTGGATCCGGCCCCATGTGGGATTTCAGCGGACTTCTGGCTCAATATGTGAAGAGATAGATAAAACATCAGATTCTCCCTTTCGTGCACGCAGTGCAGTCCAATACCAGTAGTTCATGGCACTTTGCGTGCTGTACCGTGCCCACTCACTCCTATAATAGCAAATTTCTATATGTCACAAGACTAAGGAGATCTATCCGCTGTTATAGTATGAAGACATTAACACATACCGTAGTAAAGGCGGTTGGAAATTGCCGAGATGAATTAATATCTGGTAAGCAGGCTACAGTAATTGATTTCCCAGTGCCTCAGTGGGAAGTGATGATAGGCAACTTGCATGTGGCCAGGCCAGGCCTTGTGGGCAGAGTTGATCATCGGAACATTCTGCTGCATATGCGCTTCAAATAATGTTGACAAAGCATTATAGCAGCTTATATGCCCGGCGGCGCCTGCATCTTTACTGTCACTCTCGCTGCTGATCAGGATAAACGCAATGAAGGAGTAGTAGACATATTAAAGAGCCGGCTGAAGGGAAGCACATACATGAAGCCACTCACAGAACGTGCACGACTGTATGAGGCGCGTTCATCACTTCGATCGCGGTGGATAGACGAGCGATCGCCCAGCTCTCGGCGAGGGCCCCACGTTCGATTCACGATGGAGCACCGCACCCTGCAGATCGTTCTACGAAAACTGTGGGCCTCGGAGTAGTGCCAGGGTTGTGGTTCTGAGCCCCTCAAAAAAAAGTTCGTGGGCGGGGCCAAAACGCATATACCTAATACGGCAACCTCTATTAAGGTTTGATAGCCGGTGATCCTCTCGAGTTCCACAGCCGCAAAACAATAAAAGAAAACTCTGACAGGTAGCGCAGCATACTAAATTCGCGGAGCGCCATTTGATGGGCATCGTCGTGCAAATTTCAACAAGCGCTGGTGTTCCAGATCATGCTTGGCGCGTGGAGGACGGGCCTGAAAACTTGGATATATACAAGCATGGATTAGGCTCCTTCTCCCCTGACACGAGAAGACGTAACGAGTTGCCATTACTGATGGGATTCGTTGGGGAAGGAGGAGCGGCAATCCTCCCGTCCCCTTGTGATTGCGATAGCGGGTAGTAAACAAAATAGGCGACGACCCCAAAACCAAAAGCGGCATGCAGCCCGAACTATCGAAAATCCACTATAAGCGAGACGGGGCAAGAACATCGGCATCCTTTCTCCCCTTGCCGACCTGCAAATCTATCTTTAACTACTTGTGGCTTATTCTGCCGAGAACGAGTCCATTTGCGGATAACGTCTATCCATTCTGGGCGCGTGCGAGACTGACAGCGGTCCCAGATCAAGCTAGACAAGGCGAGCGAATGAGGAAAAGATCCAACATTTCGAAGCCCGCCGATATTGGCCCGGTGGACGAGAGAGCTGGGATATGCCAAGTAGAAACTTCTCGTATAGCGACGACCATGGCTGGGCCCATCACACGAAAGAACTCCCTCAACTCTCTCCAAGTCCGGTTTTGCCCACGACGCAGGGTTTGAAAAAAGTAAGCAAAGAAGGGAGGATCCGCGACAGCTCTGGGTCCCGTTACCAACTTAATCTTGCTTGCTGCATTTTCGTGCGGCTGCTGCGTGCTTGATTTGCCCCCCGTCTCCCGCTTCCCTGCTGGCTGCGGTCAGCATGCTCGCATGCGCCAAACCTTACATATTTTACCCAGGCCTCGGCAGGCGCAGCCTCCCGACGGGCGATCTCACATGCATTGGCTTTGGGGGTTTTCCCTGCCCTCCTTTCGCTTCTCAAACATCGAAAAGTTGCGCTTTATCTCTCGTCGTCCGCCCGGCGTTCTCCCGCGGGCTCTTCTTTGGTCGCAAATCCCTGCATTTCGGACGACGAGCCTATTGGGTAAGGCTAGTTGGGATGGTCTGGCGTGTTCTAGGCAATGGCGTTAAGAAGTGACATACATACAGCCGTCTCTGCGACGGCTATGGCGCGGCTAACGTGTTGCTTTTCCTGCCTTCTCTCCTTCGCCCCATTGGCCCACTTAAAAGGGAGCACAAAAGAAAGTGATCTTCGCACAATCAAAAGGAAACAAACGCAAAAAATGCCACGTTAATGCCAGGGATGGTGCGGTGATTGGTTCGGTTTGCGATGACGCACCCGAAAAGCAAAGAGGCAATCAGATTCCATGAACCAAGCGGCCGGAGCGTCGAGGCTGACGCGCCGCGGCGGGCGATGATGAGGATTACGGGGCGATGAGACACGAGAGGGCGAATGAGGCTTTTCTCGACGCTTATCCTTGGCCTGCATGCCCGCGGTCCTGCCGCCGCCGCCGCTGGACCCTGGCTGCCGGCCTCGCTCTCCTGTTTCGGCGACGTGCGGTAATGCGTGATCGCGGGATATGCTAGACGCGGAACGACGCGGGAACGCGCATCCAGCTTTTGCACCTCGCAGCAGCACGCGGACAGAGGGTGAAGGGAGAGTGAGGGTAGACAAAGTGACGATGGACCGGGGGGCGCTGATCCACGGCCCCGGAGGCGTTCGATTACTGATGATGAGACAAGCCGGCAACCTGCTTTTTCATTTCGAAACCGAGTCCAAGGGAAAAAGGAAATAAACCTGAGCCACAACACCGGGCCCCTTGCTCGTCTCTCTCGCGGCAAGTCACGAGTGGAGCTTTGGCTGCCCGCTCGGCAGCTTCCCCATAGGCTCCCACAAACGCGCCGTCTATCGTCATCATGTCAGCGTCTAGGCCATGGACTTGGGAATAAACGGGGCGCAAGGAACCGTTTCTTCATGAGGCACCATCGCCGCTTCCCCGTCTCTTTTCTCCCGGCCCGCGGAGGAGTAGCAGGATTGAGGATGATCGAAAACGCCACCCAGGCCGGATGGACAGCGTCCGACGCAGGTTGATGAAGCCCGATCCGGGATTTAGACTCTGCCTTGCTGCCTAGGTACTCGCCTTCTGTCCCAGGTTCTTCGGACACATATTTCGTGCTAAGCTCAGATCAGCACTAGAAGCGAGAGGCAGATGCCGTTGGAGCAGTGAAGCGGAGGAGCAGCGTAGCGGCCCGAGCTGCTCTTACAGCTACAACGGTGCAATCCAACCGTTGCGACGACGGCGGCCTTTCTCGCCGTGCAATGCTCCTGTTGCAACGCAGCATTGAATCTGGCCCGCGATCGCGTCTCTGAACAGGCTACCTCCGCCGAACGAGACGGCGAGATGAAACGGGAGGCGCCCGGGGCAGCGAGCAAAGCAGGGCCAGTCGTTGAGGACGTTGGCCAGAATCGGAGCTAGAGATGCAACCCTGGCCGCCGACACATAATCACCACCTGATATCGGCTGCCCTGGAAGCCAGCGTCGATGACCGAGACATGCAAAAACATGCAGCAACGCACGCAGCAAGCAGCAAGCAGCGGGAAGAAGCTGCAGGAACCGAGACGGGGTCGCGCGCGCGCACGGCGACCACGTGCCGGCTGTGCATACAAGCGGCAACAGGCATCCAGCAGTAGCCGAATTTACCCTGGCCGTCCTGGAGCCAACCAAAGGTCGCTCAGTCAGTGATTTGCTGACTGGCAGAGAGATACTGAGAGAAGGAGACATGGGGAAATGAGAGGAAAGTGGTCCGGTGACGCTGGCGACGAGCTCCAGACCGTCAATAACACTGAGGCGGTGCAGGACGAGGCCGGATGATGGGCGTCGCTGCTCGCTCAGTAAGCAAGCCATTGATCACCGCCGTTATCGTAGTCGTCATCACATCCTCGCTCTTCCCCTCCTGTCTCTTCTCGCGTCCTGCTCCGTGATGTAAGCAGCGAGACAAGACTGAAGACAATAATGCCGAGATTACACGGCCAATTTGTACCGCGACCGGGGTCGTGTCTGGTGGCTGCCGTCAATTGCAGTGTACGCAGCGCATTGAATATGCCTCCGTTGCGGGGGAGAAGCAGATCATGCGAGCGCGCAGGAAAAGAAAAAGCAGTGATCAAGCAAGGCGGCGGGAAGAAGAAAGGGGCCACCGGCATGCGCATGACGAAACAACGCCGCTTCTTCTGACCTTCTCGTCTTTTCTTCTCACCTTCTCAGACCCCGGAGCCCTCGTCGTCCTTCCCCGCTGCAAGCCGCAGCCGCCGCCGCCGCCACCGTGGTCGCTTGATCTCCTCGCTCCGCTCGAATCACGGACCACGCCGCCGAAGCGCGCAAAGCGCGAAGGCAAAAATTCCCGGGCTTGCTTGGACGAGGCTGCCATCAGCTCATTGTTTGCCTCGTCGTCATCCTCCTCGCTCGACGCCGAAGGAGTGGCCGGCCGACCGAGGCAAGCAGGCAAGAGGGAAGGAAGCACCGTCGACGACGCTATCGGATAAGGCGTCCTTGCCGGAGCAACCCTAGCCTTCCCGCGTTCCCCAATCAGCAATGCCAACGAGAGAGCTGAAAAAAATGAGGCCTGAGAAGCACCTCGACCGTCGTCTCGTCGAAGAGTCGTTCCCGCGCCGGTCGAAGGAGTGTGACGAGATTTTAGCATTGCATAAGGCTTAGGCCCCGCCCTGCACGCTGACCTTTTAAAGCGCGAGCGTGCGCGTGCAACCGCTTTCGATAGTCGTCCGTAATGCCGCACTTAGGCGAAGACAAGCAACAAGCTGCTGCCTCGCCCCGTGTGATGGACCAGGGGAAAGACGAAGCAGCAGCTCGCGGAAGGATGCGCGAGCCTCGGCTTGGCGCACGCCGTCAGATAATAGATAGTGGATGATGCTGTAATCGTACGATTAGCCTTTCAGGCTTTCCAAAACTGGCCCATCTTCTCAGCATCAGATGCGAGCAGGGAACAGGGGACGCTGGCCGATGGCTGGGAAAAACACGAACTGCGGAGAGGCGACGTCGCGACCCTCGTGAGCGACCAGTGGCGGCAATATTGCGTGGCGCCCCGAGCTAAATCGAACGGGACGCGCGAGCTTGCGCGCAACGAGTAAAACCATTCATGGTCCCGTGGACATGGACATGGGATCCGCATGGATGATCTTCACCCCAATCCATCCGCCGGCCCGCGGACGCAATGGCGCAGCAAGTCGCGCAAGCGAGCATCGATCCAGAGCCGCTGCGAAATGGTCTTGATTGATTCATTTGATACGACTTCATTTCATCTCGATTTCCATGGCCCGAAAGTGTCAGCTGCCGTTCATTGCTCCACTCCAACCTCCTCCCATTCTCCCTCCGTAGATTCTTTCATCAGAAAAAGGCCCGAAACGAGAAAGCCTGCGGTGCGAAGCGAAGACATAACGAATGAGCAACAGAGGCCGTGGTCCAGCCGAGACTCACGCCATAAGCCGCCCCGGAGAGTATTAGTGCCATTAAACAATTGTACCGAGAATCGAAGTCGGGAAGTTGTGCGGAGGCGTCGAGAAGCGAAGAATGTGTATCCCTATGGTTTCGCCGTGCGTGAAGGGGGCCTGTTGATCCTCCCTGTCCAAGGAAAAAGAAGAATTGAGGGAGAATTTCCGCCAGCATTATGCATGATGATGATGATGATGCGCAGCACTGCAAGCCTCCGACCTCTCCTCTCCCCTTTCTCTGTGCTTTGCGTAGTATACAGGGTATGAGAAGGAAAGAAAAGGGGAATGTAACATCAAGTTCCGAAGTGAAGGCAAGACGAGAAAGCCAACGGTAGATTTCAACGCGCAAAAACAAGATACCCAAACATGCCCGAAAAGAATTTCTTCTTAACCTCCGAAGAGACATCATAGCTGGTGGAAAACGCCTTGTTGTATCCCCCCTAACCCCAATACTTCGATAAGCCAACCCAAGCCTGATAATGCTGCGTGTTGCCGAACCCGTATCAATTTGCGTGACATGCGTTGAAGCGTGCTGAAGCCCGCGAAGCCTGCAATCGACGTGTTTGCTCGACCGTGAAATTATCACCGCCAGACCGCTCCCAAGAGTGGAGCATGACCGCGGCATCCAACGTCCAGGGAGAAGCCGTTAGAAACCCTGCCAATTCTGCGCCTGCTGAGGGGGTCCTTGTGACCAGCCCTGCATACCCGGTTGTGGCGCGCCAGTACTCTGATGCACATTGAAGTGCTGAGGACTAGGGCTTGCCTGGTACGGATTGCCACCCATGTTCCTGTACGCAGGGTTCATGCCGCCCATTGTCGAATAGCCCATCGGGCCCCCATGCATTGACGCACTGCCTTGAGGATGATGCATTTGAGGTGGCGCGTGCAGAGGCGACGGCTGCGGATGAGGCGACTGTTGCTGACCGAATTGTTGCATGCTATGCTGCTGCGACAACGGAGATGGCTGTGGCTGTGGTGGGGGCCACATTTGGTTCTGCGGATAACCGTACGGGCCTGGTTGGCCCGGGCCGCCCCCAGGTCCCATGTTCATACTCGGTGACCGATGTTGTAGATGAGGAGGCTGATGCATAGGCCGCATCGGCGTCTGAACCATCGTGTTTGGTGCGTGTGAGGCCTGCGTGTACGGCTGCTGAGGCGTCATCATTTGCGACGGTCCTTGTTGAGCGTGCGATGGCAACGTTTGCTGTCCTGGTATCATCGGGTTCGCGTTCGGCCTGGGAGATGGGAGTCCTTGCTGAGTGCTCGGGACACCTTCACCCTCAACCGTGGGCTGGCGCTGGTGGTTTGCGAGCACGGGTTCGTGCGGTCTCTTCCAGTACTCGTCCATGTAGTTGCTGCGAACCGTTCGCTGCCCACTGAGATTCTTGTTGTACTCTGCAGCGTGCGCTGCCTGATTCAGTATCTCGCTGGCAGTGCTTGGTATCATCCGACCCTCGTAGGCAGGGCCAGATATCTCATGCCTCGGCCTCTGGAGACCACCAAAGTCTCTCGCACGCAGCTCATCTGCGGGAGCCAGGTTGATCATAGGCAAAGGTCCCAGGGTACCCGGGTGTACCCCGGGCGGAACGTCCAATTGGCCGGGTCCGTTGCTGTAGATGATCTCTCCGTGTGGCAACGCGGTCAATGCGTGGCTGTTGGCCTCTGCTGCGGCGGCTTCTCTCTGTCTTGCTGCACCTGGCCGCTTCTCGCCAGCGGGGTCATCTTCGGTGAAGCCTTGCTTCCTGGCCTTGCTCTCCCAGTAGTCGTCCCTCACGCGTCTGCCGTTGACGATGAGCCTGCTGCCAAATTGGCGGAACATGGACCGGGCCGTGACGATGGCTATTTGCCGAGAGCGGTAAGAATACGGCAGGATCTCCTGGTGGATGAGGTCATCCTTTTCGGCTTGGGTGGCGATGATTTTGTACAGCGACCTGTTCTTGTTGAAGAGCAGATATGAGTCACGGTAACCCAACACTCGTGCGCATTCTGTGGCGAGCATGAAAAGCTTGTCGCCTCTATTAGGAACGAAGAACGTGCGGCATCGGTATTCTCTGCCGTCTAACGGATGTCCGGTGGTGGTAACCTTCTTCTCTCCGGCCTCGTCGAATTCACGCGGTATATACTCATCGCCTTCGGGATTAAGCTGATCGGTCGTGTGGTCTCTAACTGTCGGCAGTGCCTTTAGTACCGTGCTTTTCGTGGGAGTGGACTTCGGAGGGGATGATTGAGGTGGTGATGTTTGCGGCAGGGACTGTGACTTGAGCTGCGGCGTCTGAACCGGACCAGGAGCGGGCAGCGTTCCCTGGGGCTGGACTGAGAGAGGACTTTCAGACACCCTTGACTTTGGCGGCCTCCCGCGTTTCCTTGGCTTGGAGTCGTCTGATGGTTCACGAAGGCGTTAGCGAACTTTGGGCCCCAAACGCGCACAATGGAGCAAAGCAAAAATCAACCCACCTTCATCTCCGCGCTCAGTCGCGTAGACGTCTTCCGCATGCTCCGGCGAGCGGCTTCGTTTTATGCCGCGAGGACTTGGCTGAGGGGCGATGCTGGAGGTGGAGCCTGACAACACTGCGCAAGGCGACACGCACGTTAGCAAGGATGAACTGGAAGCGGAGCGCGACGGCAGGCACGGCGAGCGTAAGCAACCGCGCGGGGCAGCGCGGGTTGATGGAGGTGAAAACGCGCCTGACGCGCTCGCGGAGTGGGCCGCGCAAACGGCGAGGGCGATGGGGAAGTACGCACTACCTGCTGAGTTGAGAGCAGCGGGGTTTATTGTACCGGACGGATCCATTATGCTTCCTCCAATGCCGCCGTTCAAGGACGCCGAGACAGGGAGATGCGAGGTGGTCGAGTACATGGACGGACGTCGGAAGCGCAATTACTTGGCGGCGGCGACGGCGTTTCAAGCGGCGCTATAGCAGCGTGCGGACGTGCGCAGTCGAGGCGCGACTTCGCACGAGCGTGGTCAACTTGGTCGAACGGGCGGCGCGCGCAGGCGTCGCATTCGAGGCGACGAGCAGTGGTGTGGGCGGCGGGAAGCGCGACGGTAGCTGAGAGGCTACGACACGGTGCAGGCGGATTTGGGGTGCGCTGCACGATCCCGGAGCATCGAGATATCGATCTCTCTGCTGCCAACCCTGCTGGACCCACGGACCCTGAAGCTCGGGAGCGGCAAGAATGGGGAGGCGGCGGTGTGCGGGCCTTGGACGCTGCGAGGTGGGCGTTGGCTGGTCGAGGGATGCAAGGTTCGCCGAAGGAGTTTGCGAAGTGCCACAGAGGCGAAGCGAACGGCTGCTCCGCGCGCGGGCGATGATGCAACGCGCCTGCCAAGCCCCGTGTGAGTCGGCAGCGACACTTGACTTGCGGGTGCGCTACTTGTGGCTCTGCGCTCCGGGGGGCCTGCAGAGGGCTGAGGGCGTGTGAGTGCGTGTGTGCGGGCGCGGCACCTGCAGCGCGCCCGTGGCCGGCCGGGATGCTGGCCTGTCTGCACGCTGGCTGACGGGTGCTGCGTTTGCCCACGCGGAGCAATCTCCGAGGCTTTGCGGGGCGGGAGGGCGCCGGGCGCGAGGCGGACGAGTGCTGCTGAAGGGCAGAGATTCCTGGGCTCTGGCGCGCTCAAATGGAGCTTGGGCGGCGGGCGGCTCTATTGCGCGGCGGCACCACGGGTGCGGGAGCGAAGGTGGCAGCGAGCTTGGCCGGGAGGCAATATGTAGCAGCCAGCATCCGCCTGCCTGCGCTGCGGCTAATGGCGCCCTGCTGAAGAGCGAACAGCCGGCGCCGCGGGCCCTGGTGCGGGAGTGCGGCCGGCTCCAGAGTTGTGTCGCAAGGGCGGGCGGCGCGTAGCGGGGATGCTGCGGCGAGAGCGTCTGCGGGCGTTCCGACGACACGCGGCGACGGGCCCAAACGGCGTGGGCGGGCGGAAGCAAGCGAGGCCAGTGGCAGCGCCCGTGATCTGAGGCGAAGCGCAGCGCCTCGTTCCAGAGCTGGGGGCTCAGTTGCGTCGGCGCGAGGGTGTGTCGAGCCGACGCGGGCAGCAGGCGGGTGTGCGAGTGCTTAAGTGGAATCCGCGCCCTCAGCTGCCCGGGGAATGCAGCAATCAAGCCGCAGGATTCGTCAAGACCGCGACGCCAGATGACCTGCAGCGCGGTATGATGGGCGAGGCTGCAGGCGCGCCGGCCAGCCGTATCGGAATCGCTGCACTCGCAAGCACCTGCGCCAAGCGGCATGCTTTGGGGGCGTGCAGCATCATGGCGCCCGGCGCCATGAGGGGTTCAGCGCCGCCGCCAAATCAGCGCGGCGCCTAGCGACAGGATTCACGGTTTGGGTTTCTTCGGCCTCGCAGTCGCCCGACCCGCTTGCCTGATGCTCCGCTCGACGCGCCCAAAGCAGCATCGCGACCGCTCAGCCAGGCGGGATGTGCTCCGTTTGTAAGCAGCTAAGGGCAAGCCATGCGCGCCCCGGCGGGAGCATGGATCGGTCGTCGACACGAGAGATCGGCCGCGCCGTCCGCACCCTCAGGCGGGCGCGTGCAAAGCGCGCTGCACGGCGGTGATCTACCGTCCGCGGCCGGCGGGCGAGTCGTGCTGCGATCTTGCATCTGCTCCCGCCCGCGCCTAAGCCACACACAGCCATCGCCGCCACCTGCTCCGGCCGGCACTGGCTGGCCTGCTGCTGCGCGCGCCCCGTCGCGAGAGAGAGCGCGCGCGCGGGCCTGCTCCTCGCGGGGCCCACGCATTCTGGAGACTTGCGGTCAGTGGCGCCGGCGCCCAGGGCGGCGGGGCGCGGAGTCTGCCTTGCATATTTCGACGTCGAGGTTAGGATGTTCAAAGAGCACGCACGCTAGGAGGCGGGCCAGGCAAAAAGGCGGCCCAGGCCTGTGCGACGCTGGGAGTGTGGGAGTCATCTGGTGTCCGCGTCTGCAGGGTCTTGGCCGGCGGGCCAATCATCACGCACTATGCGCCACACCGGCGGCCGTCGCAGAAGTCCTGATGTCGATGACGGCGGCGAATCAGCTCTGCCGTCCTTGTGACTCCTCCAAGCGGGCAATAAATGGAGCATTGCGGATACGGCCGCGCTGGTCATTCTGATAAGAGCATGCGAGCAGCAGCGGCCCCCGGCGCGCCCGCTTCTTCATGCTCGTCGCCCTCGCTGCTCATGCTACCCACGCGCCCATCTGGCCCAGCGCTGGCCGGCCGTGGCAGCATGCTCGAACCGCCGGCAGCGGCACCGGCGCCGCGTGCATGGGTGCGAGCAGACGACGACGGCCAGAGTCAGTCGCCGCGCGCTAACCCACCAGCCCAAAGGGGAAGGAATGTCGAGCGGCAGTCATCTGACCCGCGTCGCCGTGCTGTCGGATCCGGACGCCGCCAGCAGCCTTCGACGACAGTGAGAACACTGCTGTCGAGGGGAAGCAAACGGCGTCATGGTGCGGAAAGCCGTCCCGAGTTCATCTCCAAACGCGCACAAGGCCGGGGCCCGCATACCTCGCAGCCGCCAGACGTCAACCTTGCGCCCAGAAGCCTACCGACGACCCGGAATGCTTCACACCGTTGGGAGCGCAGCTCGCACAGAAACCGGTCCCTCGTGAGGCCCGCAGCCACTCATCGTCGCCGACGCTGTCAAGCTCTGGCTGTCTCAGGGCCTGTTGCACAAGTTTGGCGGTGTGTTTGCATCCTTTGACCGCCGTGGCCCTCGACGCGCAGTAGTCGCTGCAGCTGCTGGGCAGGGAAAGACACCGCCAGGCTTTCTCCGGCCCTTGCCCAACAGTCCGCGTCTGCACGCCTATCGCTGGCCGCTGCGCCCCCCGGATGTCTGAGCGGATGCCTGGGCAGATCTTCGTCGCGCCTGGTTGCAATTCTGCAAGCGCCTCTCTGCAAGACCCACGCCGCGCAGCCTCGCTATAGGACATTCTTCGCCAAAAGGAAACATCGGCGTACCACTGAAACCGGCCTGCCTTGGCGTTAGGGACGTGACACCGGCTTTTAGTTGAGACTCAGCAAAGCATATAGGCCCAATATCCTCTAGCGCCGTGTCAGCGGCAGTGCCTTGCAAGCGCGCTTTAGTTGCGGGTGCCCTGCATACTAAGTCAGCAGCAGCGCCGCCGATGACCTAGGTCCACGGCGCGCGCCGCACGATCCGATTAGTGTTGCGAGCACCCGCGCCCGCTGCCTGGCCTGGCCTTCAGGAAGGACCGTTGTCCGCTCCGGTAGACCGGCGAAGAGGCTGGGGGCCCATCTTGGCCCGTGGGCATCTCTACCGCGCCGTTAGCGGGACTCAGGCTCACACATTTGTGCGACAAGAGTCGCACCGAGCGCTCTGACCACAGCCAATAGCAACCTTCGCCCATGGCCGAGGGTATAAACGCGTGCCAAGGTCGGCTTGTTGATCGCGGATACCAAGAGATGACACCGCTTCATATTGCGGCCGGACTCCAGAAGACGGTGGGTCCGGAGCGGGCCCCTCGCTCGTATGACGGGTGGACGGGGAGCATCCGCGGGAGCGGCCTGGTCCAAGCGGATCTTCACTGCCGCCTCCGAAGGGCTAACTAGCTCATGATGATGATGACGATGGCGACGACGGCAGGCTGGAATATGGACCACGGGACGAGGTTACACTGGGTGCGGCCCGAAACCGCGCCACTAGCAACTCATGTCCGATGCACACTGTCAGTGGATGTGGGAATACGGATGCGGGTAGACCTTCTGATTCATGAATTTTTCATGTCAAAAATCTGCGGACAAAGTGGCGCTTGTACGGTAGACATGCCCAGGCCCAAGATCCTGGGAGGCCGGTCAAAGCCCAGCTTCGGGGTGTATGGTCGATTCTGATCGCGTGAAGCCCCCCGGTCCGCAGGTCTGTCCTACGCCCATCTACGGTGCCTGTCATGGTGCGCATCCTCCCATCGCGCTCTAGAACTTGGCTAGATAGGTGTGTTGAACAAACCGGCAGAGTCGATGCGCAGTGTCACTGCTGCGGCCGTTGATCTTACCTGCGGTAGGACGCATGCAGAGACGTTGAGAGGTGATTGCTCACGGAGTACTCTGTGGGGCTAGAGTCAAGCCAGCCCGAGACTGTGCGTCGCGCCCCCATATGGCAGTCGTGGTCAGGTGGAGGCTCGCTTCATCAGACATGTTAGCAGCGATTTTACGATGCGATGAAAATGGTCAACGTTACACTCGTATGATGGATCATCGTGCATGCGTATGACGTACGATGCACCTGTCGAAACGACAGGCGGCGATTTGCATTGCATGTCTGGCGATGTATCACCCTTAGCAAATTAATCATGCTGGTAGCAAACAACAAACGGCACTGTAACATGTCATGTGCTGGATGGACGACGAAAGACGAGCCTTAGCAGATTGCAATCCGCACGTGTATAAGGTATCTATGCTTACAATGACCATTGCTGCTGCCTTGCAGCCTGACGCTTTCCTGATCCCCTGAACGCCGACCATGCCAATAAACACCTGTTTTGCAGGGATGGGGAAAAACACTTATCGCCTTGGTCCGTTAGAAGGTGCAAGGCCTGGGACTCCGCTGTAACGCTCTTCACGCTCCGTCTTGAATAGAATCTGAATCCAGAACTCCTTCTGGTCCTCGTCGTACCAGGTCCAGTAGCGGTTCTCGCGACGATCAATCTCGCGGGCCTGCAACTTGAAGCCGCAAGTCTCGTAGGGTTCGGCGGCAACCAGCAGATACTGGTAAGACTTGTCCGGCTCCTCAATCTTCTGCTCGAAGGCACTCATGAAGCGGACCCTGGGAACGACGTTGTGGTTGATCTCAGGGTATTGCAGCTGGAAGAGGAGACCCTGCTGACGGGTAAGAGGATCGCGAATCTTGGTGATCTTGTAACCCGGACGTCCGATCTTGATGACATTCTTCTTGACCTGCACTCCGCTGGCGCCCATACCGGCCATCAACTGGTCCTTGTCCTTGCCCTCCTTCTGTTCGCGCGCGGCACGGCGAGCCAGGTTTGTCTGATGCTTACGGCCCTGGGTATGCGCGAGGTAGGAGCCATCGTTCTGGTGAACGGTCAAACAGAGGCGACACTCGAAGCTGCCGACATGGTTCTTGAAGAAGTAAGGATCCTTGTCGAGGTCGATGGTCTCGAGCGCAAGCTTGCGGAGACGCTCGCGGCGGTCAGCATTGGTGGCAGACTGCGAGGCTACACCACCGCCGCCAAATTTGGAGCCTGCACGGTTCTGTGGTATGGTCAGCGAAATGTGCTCGCGTATTAAGATAACGAAGTGAGAGCTTGCCTGGTAGTCCATGATGGCCTCTTTGCGTTGGCAGAATTATCGATTGGTGAGAGTTCGAGCAAGTGGAGCCCACTCAGTCGACTTGAGCGCAAAGTATGCGCAAAGGAGACGCGGAGGATTGGCACGCGTTGCAGGGACGGTGGCGCTGGTCGTCGATGTAGAGGTGCAGTCCGGAGGCGACAGGCCAAAGGCGAAAGTGACGCCGCAGAGCCCGCGTCGGCGTCGGCGTCCGTGCGGTCTTGGCGCGCAAACCGATGCAAACACCCGCCGCGCTTCCAGAAAAGTTCAGCCGCGACTTGCGACAGGCACCTCCGCTTGTCCTGCACCATTGCCGAGCTCACCGACTGCACCGTCTTCTCCGCAGAACCTGCAGCTCGGTTCACACCATGACGAGTCTCAAAAGGTCTTTTGGGGCCGATCCGGCGGCCCCCAACCTTGCCAGCAAGGTCTACGTGCGGTCTACCAGAAGTGGCAAAGTTCAGAAGATCGTGAGGGAGCTTTACTTGCGGCAAGACATCCCATGCTCGTCCAAACTCTGCTCAGCATGCTTGGACGCCGCTCCCAAAGACTACAACGGCAAGGGTACGTGTCCCAGTGCTGCCCTTTCCCTTGCTGAATACTAATGATCCTGCAGTGGCACCGTTTGTGCTTTCAGAAAAGCCAGCCGGGACAAAGACTTTCCCTAGCGGCCACTACCTCATTCCTGACACCAATGCTTTTCTCACTGGAATGGACCTTTTTGAGGTTGAAACTGCGTTTCACGACGTGATTGTTCTTCAGACTGTCTTAGAGGAGGTCAAAAATCAATCTGCCCCTCTTTACAACCGTCTTATTAGCCTGACCAAGAATGAGGGCAAGCATTTTTACGTCTTCTTCAACGATTTTAGGCTAGAGACATACATCACCCGGGGCGAGGGTGAAACCATCAACGACAGGAATGACCGTGCCGTCCGCAAAGCCGTGCAATGGTACGGCGAGCACCTGCAGCAGGCAATCAAGTCACGACCGGGCGCAGCCAAGTGCCCCTCTGTTGTCATGCTCAGCGACGACAGGGAGAATCTTCGCAAAGCAAAGGCCGAGGGACTCCAGGCCCTCTCGTGTACGTCTTCCTAACTTGGCTTTCACTAGCGTGGCATGCTGACGAGGGGCAGTGTCCGATTACGTTGCCGGTCTTCCTAATGCAGAGCAGCTGTTAGACATGGTTGCTTCTGGCCAAGAGCAGCGCGAGACCAAAGCAAACCAGGGCCAATGGCTCTACCCAGAGGTAGGCTATCTCAATGATGTCACGGCAGTGCGCTAACATGGTTTAGTACTTTACTCTGTCGAAAATGATGACTGGCGTGAAGAATGGAACATTGCACCAGGGCATTTTCAACGTGTCGCCTTACAACTACCTCGAAGGCTCAGTGCACGTGCCGGCTTTCGAGAAGTCACTATTGGTCCTTGGAAGAGAAAACAGCAACCGTGCGGTCTCAGGAGATGTTGTGGTGGTGGAGGTACTGCCGAAGGACCAATGGAAGGCTCCATCTTCAAAGATTATCGAGGAGGAGACCTTCAACAAGAACGAGAACGCAGATGTCGAGGAAGGCGAGGCGGTCGTCACCGAGAGGGAAAGAAGAGCTCTGCAAGAGGAAGTCAAACGAGTGCAAGGGAAGAGTGCCGAGGGCCGACCGCAACCAACAGCACGCGTTGTGGGCGTCATCAAAAGGAATTGGAGACAGTATGTCGGTCACGTCGACAGAGATTCTGTCAATTCTACGGCAAAGCAAAACCGCGCGCAACAAACCGTCTTCCTCATTCCCATGGACAAACGTATCCCAAAGATCAGGGTCCGAACACGTCAGGCAGGCGAAATGCTGGGCAAGCGTGTGCTTGTCACAATTGACGCCTGGAACAGAGAGTCGAGGTATCCCATGGGTCACTTCGTCCGATCACTAGGTGAACTCGAATCCAAGGGGGCGGAAACCGAGGCACTACTACTGGAATACGACGTCCAGTATAGGCCTTTCCCGAAGACAGTACTCGATTGTCTTCCACCTGAGGGCCATGATTGGCGGGTTCCAGCTAGCAAGGACGACCCTGGTTGGAAGGGCCGACGCGATCTTCGGGATTTGCTGGTCTGCAGTATTGACCCACCGGGTTGTGTGGATATCGACGATGCTCTGCACGCCCATCCTCTGCCGAACGGCAATTTCCAGGTTGGCGTACACATTGCCGACGTCTCCCACTTCGTCAAGCCGAATAACGCCATGGACAAGGAAGCGAGCATGAGAGGCACAACTGTGTACCTTGTGGATAAGCGCATAGACATGCTTCCCATGCTTCTGGGTACGGACCTCTGCTCGCTCAAGCCATACGTCGAGCGTTACGCCTTTTCGGTTCTCTGGGAAATCACACCGGATGCCGAAATCGTCTCGGCAGACTTCTCGAAGTCTGTCATTCGCTCCCGCGAGGCTTTCAGTTATGAGCAGGCTCAACTTCGGATTGACGACCGGTCACAAACGGACGATTTAACCCAGGGCATGAGAACGCTGCTGATGCTCTCCAAGAAGCTGAAACAGAAGCGTTATGATGCTGGCGCGCTGAACCTGGCGAGTCCTGAGGTCAAGGTACAAATGGAGTCCGAGACATCGGACCCGGTGGACGTCCAGACAAAGCGACTCTTGGATACCAATTCGCTTGTCGAAGAGTTCATGTTGCTTGCCAACATTACTGTTGCCCAGAAGAACTACGAAGCATTCCCGCAAACCGCGCTCTTGCGTCGTCACGCGGCTCCTCCCAAGAATAACTTCGAAGAACTGGCGAACCAGCTCAAGGTCAAAAAGGGTCTGGAGCTTCGCGTCGATAGTTCGAAGGCTCTTGCAGACTCTCTCGACACATGCGTGGATTCTAGTGAGCCTTTCTTCAACACTCTCGTGCGTATTATGGCTACGAGATGCATGATGTCTGCCGAGTACTTCTGTGCTGGCACACAAGCCTACCCCGAGTTCCGTCACTACGGCCTTGCCAGTGAGATTTACACCCATTTCACCAGTCCTATCCGCCGTTACGCAGATCTGGAAGCACATAGACAGCTTGCCGCAGCCATCGAGTACGAACCGCTGGACTCGAGTCTGCACAGCAAGGCGAAATTGGAGGGGATCTGCAAGAACATCAACGTGCGTCACCGCAACGCGCAATTCGCCGGACGCGCAAGTATCGAGTACTACGTGGGCCAAGCGCTCAAGGGACGAGTGGTCGACGAGGAGGGGTTCGTCATGAGGATCTTTACCAACGGCATCGTAGTCTTCGTGCCGCGCTTCGGCATTGAGAGCCTGATTAGGCTACGGGACCTTGCGACGCCAGAGCCCGACGCCGAGTTCGACGCCGAGAATTACGTCCTCACTGTTTCGGGCAGCAGAAACGTGAAGCTCGAGTTGTTCCAAAAGGTCATGGTCAGGATCAGCGACGAGCAGGAAGAGAGTACTGGCAAGCGCAAGATCAAGCTTGGCCTACTCTAGATTAGGCAATTCAATAGGACGGTGGAGATGCGATGGCCAGATGTTTTCCGCGCGGCATAGAAAATGATACCTCGAGCAGTTCCGATGAGAACATTATGACGGCAACATGATTTCGTGCTTACGAGTTCTCAATATTTATCCTTGTCACGCAGTCGAATAACAGCAGCTTTTCTCGCTACCTATCTGAAGATGTTCGGATGTTATCTCAAAACGAAACTCCGGAAACACAAGAGTAGCTCCGGGCACTAGAATGCTACGCGAGCTCTCAGATTAATCAATAGCAGCTTCGCAACAAGCGCTGTCGCAGTCAGTTGTTCAGGCATCCGAGGGGAAGCCCAAGCCTCGTAGACTTGCAGACAACGAGTCAGAAGTTGGGTTAGTCTGATGCGGAAGCGTACGGGACGGCTCGGAGCATGCGCGGTTTCGCGCAATGATATGCCTCATCTCATGCATCGGATTCAAGACCGTCGGGCTGGCGCTTGGTGGAGCGGGCACGAGAGGGTCCCAAAGGAGATCAGGTGGGATTTTCTCGCGAGGCATGACGGAATATTATCCGCCGTTGAAGGTGCACGCGCCATTCGAGCAAAGAGAGGAGAAAAATTGTTGCAAATCGTCTGCTCTACCAGGAGGCGTGATGATGATCAACGGGATTCGAAGGGATATGCGATCTGTCGCGCCGCCCACCGCTGCTCGCTCGCAGAGATCCTCGAAAGCTTCTCCTCGTCGACTCATTGCCGGTTGCGGGAAAGCTGGCAGCGTGGAGCAATGGCGCACGAGCGCTCATGCGGCTCTCTCCGCGAAGCAAGAAGGGAAAAGGGAGGCGCACGCGCACAACGCTCGGCCGGATAGCCTGAGCTCCGGAGAGGACGAGCGGTGACCCGGCAAAAAGGCTCTTGGAAGCGAGCGCACGCAGAAACAACGGGCTTTCGCAGGTGTCGCAAGTCTTACGACGATACGGTATGTGGGGGCGGGGTTCAGGAGCGAGCTCAAAAAAGAAGAAACGCGAGTACAAACAACTTAGCCGAACGAGCCCCAATACGCGGCCCGCCACGCTTCGGGCAATATCGCCTTGCAGAATGCTTGGCGGCTCGCACCAGAGTCACGATGAGTTTCAACGCAGAAACGGCGGCGAATGGCAGGAAACGTATTGATTGATGAGGGTCTGGGAGGGGCCGTCCCTAGTCGCGGCCGTCGTGAGACGGCAGTGGAGGCACGATGGGGGGATTTATTCTGCAGCCGGAAGCCGTCGGGTGTTGTTGCGGTCTGCGTCTGGCGTAGATAGCGGTCGGACTTACGGCGGACTTCGAGAAGGGTGGTGGTAGCGTGCCTGACTGCGGCTACTGCGTCGACGATGGATTGCATCTGACGTTAGGGTCGCGGAGAAAAGACGGCAGAGGGTGGAGCCGCGGTGGGATTATGATGTTCGGCCGGCGGTGCCTTCCCAAAGCGTGGATCGGCACGTGGGTATGCGGGGCTCGCGAGTCGTGCGCAGTCGAGCTTGCCGACATCATGACAGTTGGTGGAAGTACCCGCGTGGCGGCGCAGCTCTCCTTGGATGGGTCGTATCTCACGAAGTCTGGCCTCACTTGTCAGGCGCGCCTCGCGCCGGACAACAATCCGCTACCACCAAGCCTCAACGCCTCGACGTCGGGCGCTCCGTATACTGGACGCGTCGCCCTCAGCTGCGTCGAGCCGGCTGACACCGAGTTGGCGAGCGAGGCCATCGACTATCATCAACCCCGCGACGCTGGGGCGCTGCTCGACCCAACCCTGGTAACCGATGGACTGATCTGCTAACGTGAGTTGCACGGCGTCTGTGAGCAGCAGTCGTCATTGCTGCGGTGCCGGTGTCACGTCTGGTTGGAGCGATCGCGGTCGAGGTAATACGCCATGCTTCGCACTACCGTCGCACACGATGCGCCATAGCTGGGCGGACCGAACAGCGTCGCTGCATCCACGGCTCGGTCAGGCCAGCTAGAGCCAAGCGCGGGTTATTCAAATCTTGCCGGCTGCCGACAGCGATGCGAGCGAGGGGAGCCCATGATGATGTGCATGTCAGCCACGACGTTCTAGGCGGCACTGGGTTAGGCTTCTGACATGCGAGCTGCAGGCACGTCGTTAGTCGCGCGGTGGGCGTGTGACCACGGCTCGACTCCATTAGATTGCACGCCATACACCGCATCCCATATCTGCACGACACGGCTGTGGAGTCGCGACGTCCTGGTCTGGGCTCTGCGCGGCTGCAGTCAGAGCCAGCGTGCATGTTGCTGATGGGAGCAGTCAAAAAGGCGGCTAGCTCCCAGGAACTGCCCGGCTGGGCCTGCAGCTACTGTGCGACGGGGCCCACTGGCGGCACGCGCGCGGCGTAGGGCCAGTGGGTGCACCTCAATCTCGCGTGGGCGTCCAACGGCCCTTTTACCTCTCCCGCCGCGTCCGCTCAACCACGGCGCAGGCTGGCAGCCGGCGCGCGCCGCGCCAGACAGGCGCATCGAGGCGTCATGGCAGCTGCTGGGGGCCGCCAGCGCACCAGCGCGCAGCAGCAGGGTGGTCAGCAGCCAGCCGGGCGGCGGGGAGCAGCGCAGGCAGGCAGTGGAGGTTGTGCCCCTGAGATGCAGGTCCCTGCACGGGCAGGCATCACGGCCAGGAACAGGCGTCGATTGGGCCGGCCAGGCGGCGCCACAGGCTGTGGCTGACTGCCGCGGGTTTCATCAGACCCGACGCACGCCCTCCCGCTGTTCGGCAGGTTTTCCTCGCAGGGCGCCAGGCACGGCTCTACTTTGGGGCCCCTGCTCACACCCTCCGCCCGCCCTCCATCCGGCCAAGCCAAGCACTAATCCCGTGCTAACGCCCTCACCGCACATTTGCAGCCTCTCCAGCGTAGAGCTTGCGTTATCGTGCTAGCCGCCGTTTGGGCTAATGTGCGCGCGCGCTGCCGATCGGATCGCCCTGAAGTACCCTCGCGTCCCACCACCCTGCCATACTAAATCTGCTGTGTCTCCCGTCCTCTCCGCCTGCCTGGAGCCCGCGCCCCGTCCACGTCCTCGCCAACCTCCGTGGAACGAACGCCATGCAGCAGCTCTGCGCATGACTATCCCAAACATCGCCAATTGGCCTCGATGCTGACAACCTGCGACGCCTGACCTCTCCTTCCTGCTGCTCTCCTGCCCGCCCGGCACCGTCGGGCTGAGCGTCGTCGAGAGTTGAATCTCACTGGATTGTCCGGACCGGGTCTGTCCTTGCGGCTCTCTCCTCCACGGCCAATACCATTCATTTCTGCCTATCCAACCACAACCCATAGTCGGCCTTCCCTGACCGGCTCCACCTCCTCATCAGCGTCCCGCCTGCCCGTCCAGAGGAAGCCGGACCACTCACTCTGTCTCTCCATTCTTGCCACCTTCAGCCTGCAGTGCCCGCCGGATTTCCCGCTGCGCGACCACCATGCAGGATAGTCCGCGTATGCAACAGAGGTCCACCGGCGATCAGCAGGACTCTGCCGTTTCCGAGCACACCCGCAACCTCGCCATCATCCTTGGATCCGTTCTCGGCGGATGCGCTGCGCTCCTCATTGTCGGCATCGTGCTCTTCATTTTGCGGAGGAGGAGAACGCAGGGTTCTTCCATCATCTCCAGAGCGGTCACGCCATTGGACGACGCCGAGTTTGAATCGTGGCGCCGGCCGAGCAAACAACTCCAATGGCGCGAGAAGTACAACGTTCTTCCCGAACCACCAGCGCCTGCTCTCACGCGCATGCCAACATCCTCGCGCCGGAATCGCCACAGCCGACAACTTAGCCGACTCAGCCAGCTGACCGAGAAGGAGCTTGAGGATGACACCCCGATGTACTCATACCGGCCAAGCCGCACCCCCGAACCCGGCATGAAGGCCCCAGAACACGTCCGAAACAAATCCAGTCTCTCGCTGCAAGACCGCCCGCCGACACCCTACTCGCCGACCTCGAGCAAGGAATCACCCAAGTTTCCGACACAGCCAACACACACAAGACCGAAGTCCGTGTCGCAGCGCACCAATCACGTACATTACCCCTCCATGTCTGAAGCCTCGGATTTTGACTTTGGCTTCCAACAGAACAACATCAACCAATATGTCGACAAGATCTAAGGACAGCTGATATCTGAACATGAAATTCGCGCGCCTACGGAGCCGACCTTTGACAGGCGATCACGGCGCCGTGGTTTGTATTGTTCTCGCTGTTCATAAATTTCACACGGCCGTTATGTCTTTTAATGTACATACTTAGCTTATACCACGGGCTTATGGGATGACCATATTCTTTTTTTTATTGGCGTTTGTACGAGCGAAATGAGAAGATACCACAACAAGGAAGTTGAACCGATATTTCTCTTCAGGAGAGACTCGACGGGGGGGCATACACAGCGGAAGAGGAAGACGCGCAAGCTCCTGATCGTCGGATTTCGTCGTCACCACCTGCAACACATTTTCAAATAACCGAACAACATCTCGGCTCCTTTCTTTATATTCGATCCTATGTTCTATTGGCAAGTAGAAGGGAAGTGTCGTTGGCGGCTCGTCTCCTTTGTTCTTGTTCATTGCGGAACAGAAATCATTGGTATGGAACAAGACGGATAGTAGCAGCAAAACCGGCCACAGCGGCAACAGAATTTGTTCATCTGTGTAATTATTGCCAACCAAACAAAATTCAAACTCATATCACGCTGGGGACCGTATTTCGCGTTTGGAAACGGGAGGCCAGGCACGCCGTTTCCCCACAATAAAAAAGGTACCCGCTCCACGCGGTTTGCCTGGGTAAAGCCGCCCAGGGCACCTTGACACACGCCTTGGACAGATGCGGTACATTGCTCCGAACCTGAGGGAGATGGGCGAAATCTCGCGCGGCGCTCGTGACCAGCCTCGAGTTCTGTGCCAAGTGGTTACACGTACCGTCGTTAAAATGCGACTGTCCCCTCTCCCCTATCCAGATGCCTGGAGCACGGGTGGGCGTGGCGCCCTCTCGTCGAGTCGATTGCCGATCGCACCCTTGCCCCTCAGCCGCACACCTTCTTATTCCATCGTCAGCTCACCAGCAGCGGTCGTCTCATTTCGCGGTGGCCCCGGGGTCGATGGGGAACGGGTAGATCAAGCGAGCGAGTGCAGCTGTGCCAGAGCCGGAGTGGGTTCGGCGGCGGGATTGGAGCGCATCAGCGGTCCTTGGTTCATTTCGCTATGCATCATCGCCGCTGCCGAGCGATGCTGCATCTGATGAAAGATGCGGAAACAATGGAGATCACCAGCGGGACTTAGTAAGCACTGACGCTGCTCTCTCACTGTTATTTCAATAGCAGGCCTATCACAGAGCGCGGCTTGTTCAACAGTGCAATTTAACTGAAACGCAATCGATAAAAGCAGAGTAGCCAATCTTGCATGTTGTTGATTGGCGATTTTACGGCGCAGCTACCATTGGTTTGTATGTGCTTTTTCCTGCTTGGCTCTTTTTTTCATTTTTCTGGACCTGCTGCGTGAAGCCGGTTTGGTCCATTTGCTGGCCGGGGAAAAGGGGCGATTGCCCGTTTAGGAAGGCGGATAAGCAGGCCAGAAATAGGCAGCCTGCACACATGTAGCTGCGAGAGAGTCTAGAACTTGACAGCGCTTTTGTGTCGCGACCATCAGCAAAGGCCGTTGAGTTAAGAGATTCTTTGTGCGCCTCTGACGTCGGCGGCCTTTGTTGGCTTCAACAATGAGGCGATCCGTTCTGGCGGCGGCGTGCTCGTGCTGGCGCTCGGGCGCCAAGAGCCGGCCGGCCGTTTGTTCGCGAAGGGGAGCGAAGGGGGTGGCACGAGAATCTAAGGGTTCACGCGCGGAAGCTCCACCGCCGATCTCAGGATCAACGACCACGACAAACAACGCAACTACACACCGCCAAACACACAGACGACGACTCTCTCGTCAATACCACCCACTTTCGACCGACCGCGGGGCAACCGGCTTCCAACGGGCAACGCAACGGAAACCTATCCGCTGACGCAACTGCGCGCGCGAGCCCCCTTCGAAAACACCGCAACCCACTCCATTCATCATGGACGTCGTTCAAGGCAAGTTGCACCGCGTACAAAACCACACGTGTCCCCGCGCCGGGCCCGCGTTTACTAGTACAATCAGGCGTTCCGACAGCTAACCTGCGTACGCGCTTCTCCGCGTGTCTACGAAACAGATTGGGCAACGTACCTCCTCACACACCACAACAACGGCGATGGCAGCAGCGGCAGCATCCCAAACGCGGCACTGTCGTCGCTGCTGGCGCCGATATCGTCGATCGCGGCGACGCTGCACCGGCACCTGCTGCCGCTGATCGACCACGTCTCCAAAAACCCGGACATCGCGTCCATCACGCTGCTGGTCATCGTGCTGCTCGTCTCGCTCAAAATACTCAATATCCTCTACCGTGCCGTCGTCTTCTGGATCTCGCTCGCCTTCAAGCTCGTCTTTTGGGGTACAGTCGTTGTCGTCGGCCTGTTCGTGTGGAGCCGCGGCGTCGAGGGCGCCGCCCAAGACCTCACCGTCTGGGGCCGCTACTGGGTCGACGTGTGGACGAGCGAGTACGCCCGCTTCCAGGACCAGCTCGAAGACGCGCGGAAGTTCCAGATGCTGCAACAGCAGCAGGCACAGGCGCAGGGGCAGCAAGCGTTCGCACGGTGATGACGGCGGCGGGGATGTGGCCTTTGTCGGTTGTGCCGCTGCGGCGGTGACGGCTGGCATGGGTCCAACTAGCTGCTGCTTCTCCCGTAGGCTGCACACAACTACATTGGATGAAAAGGAGGAGGATGATACTGCACGAGAATACGGAATGACGGCCTTGTGATTATTCTTTTGGTTGTCCAGCGATGCATCAAGATGGACGTGTTTTGGGAGGGAGTTTGTCGGCGTTCAAGGGCGCGCAAAAAATTGAACTGGGACATTTGTGAAGCTCTGCGGTGAGATTCATCTTCCCCGCGGTGGTTACAAATCTTTCCATCCGGATAACGTTGTTCCAGTCGGGGCGAGCTTCGATAGTGCGTACCGGCTACATTTCTGTTCGGATCGTGTACAGTACAGCACAGCAGAGTGTGTTACATGCCATGGAATAAATGGACGAATGTGGAGGCACCTGCATATTTGGCGACTTGAACAACAGTACCCTGGCCGCAGTCCCAGAATAATTTGCTGGCCGCATATGACGCAAGACAGGTTGAACACCCGCTTATCTCCTTACACGAATTGTAGCGAGTTCATTTCGTCCAACATGCAAATCGATCCAGAAGGGAAATTCTTTAGCGATCGAAACAGGCATGCTCTGTGGCCGTCAGCGATTCCCCGCGCGATATCAGTGGTCGACAGAGACGGTGCCGATAAGTATTAACCCGATAGGCAGGCTAGAGCGAGCGAGAAGCTGCAGTAGCTAGCGTCGGAACAACACAGACGTCAGTGCTTGCTCTGCATCAACGAACTCCTGGAAGTCGAGCGAGCGAAGACATGAACAACGTGCGCGGCCGGCTGTGTGCCTCCGTCTGGGGCGTCCCGCGTGCCCCACGCCTCTTTCCCCGCAATCTGCCCATCGGCCGGCAATTGCACTTCGCTCACGATGGCAGCGCTGCCAGCGAATCCCGCGTCGCTCAGAACGCCTCCTCCGCCGTCTTGGACAACCCCTTCAGGCGGACAAGCAGTCTGCCAAGCGAGCACGCTGCGACATTTAGAGTCATCAACCCTGTCTCCCAAGCATTGGCACGCTCAATCTTCCCCAACTTTTTTCCAATCCCCCACATTGACACCTTGGCTTGTCAACTTGCGCAAGCAGAAAAAAAAAGCTGCCGGCAATCGGACCTCGGGAGGCGACTGCGGCCAACATGTTCCGGCTCGCCTCCTACTGGCTCGCAAGCACGCGGGCAGATAGATGTGCGCAGCCAAGCGTTTTTCATCCAGCGGCGGCGCTTGCTCTTGCCCATTTACACAGTACCTAGGCTGCCACGGCTATACCGGGCACTGACTCCTCAGAGCTGGCTGACCAGCCAGTCCTGACACTGCCGACAACTGCCGCGACTTTGCTCCGCGTTTCTTGTTTGCTTCAAACTCCTTCGCCGTGGCTCGTCGTCGAAAATGTCCTGCTTAAAAGGGAGCCGAAGACGCAGGGTATTTGACCGCTAACTTACCGTTCTGGTGCACGCACCGAGGATCATTTGCAAGGGAACAGACACCCCGTCAAAGCAGGTGGGATCTGGCCCGCCCTTCTCTTATACAATCAATCGTCGCCACATAAGTGACTTTATCCCCCGCACCTATCTGCTGGCCGGCTTTCCGTCCATCTTCGCCGTCGGTCTCAGTCCTCATTTTGCCCTCTAGGTGCGATCGTTGCACGGCGAGTCAGCATTCCAAAAAACTCTGTCTGGACGTGCTCGAAACCGCACTACTACCTTTCAACTCTCTGACTCTTTTCACTTTTTTGCTTTTTTACTCAACGCCACCTAGAGCCTTGACGGCTACGAACGTCGGCGGTACGCTTTCGCAACGCAGCCATTATGTCGCTAGAAAAAGCAGACTTCTCAGAGGCTGAGAATGCCATTCAAAGCGATAGGTCGTCGTCCGGCGACGCGCCGGAATCGGCATGGACGGAAGAAGAAGAGCGCGCAGTGAGGCGAAAGATGGATTGGAATCTGGTGCCGTTGGTTACGCTTCTGTACCTGCTCTGCTTCCTGGATCGGTGGGTCAAACCTTTTTCTGTTTTTCAATACTCTTGCCATGTTCCTCGTCAATATCTGTCGCACAGTTAATTCCATCCACTAATCGGCCGAGTAGATCGAACATCGGGTAAGCACACCATGCCTTTATCGCGTTTCAGCGACTTCCGAGCAATCAGTAACCCGCGACCAGCAACGCACGCATCCAGGGTTTAGCCAAGGATCTAAATCTCGTCGGGTACCAGTTCAACTGGTCTTTAACCGTATTCTATGTCACTTACATGCTGTATGTTGCCTGTCCCACCTTGAGCGTCGTTAGATTAACGTTACACAGCGTCGAGGTGCCTAGCAATATCGTACTCAAGAAAGTCGGCCCTCGCTGGTGGAGTAAGCGAATATCGCATCGTGTCGGTAGATTGCCGTGTCACTAATTGCATCCTTCGATAGTTCCTTTCCTGGTCGCTGGTTTCGGGCTTGTCTCGCTTTGCACGGCATTTGTGCATAACTTCTCACAGTTGATGGTTGCGCGTGCGTTCCTGGGAGTCTTCGAGGGCGGTACTATGCCGTGAGTTGTTCTCCAACCCGAGATTCTCCGGTGCAGAAGAGCTGACAGAGCCGGCTTTGCATAGGGGTATCGCTTTCTACTTGAGCTGTTTTTACCGCCGCCAGGAGCTTCTCTTCCGCATTGGTATCTTCGTCTCTGCCGCTTCAATGGCGGGCGCATTTGGTGGGCTCTTGGCAACTGGTCTCTCGTGAGTAGATCGGAGCAGGCAAAGAGGACGCTGATACTAACGAAGCAGGCGTATTCCTCACTGGGGCGTTGCATCCACGCCAATCCACACCTGGCGCAACATTTTCTTCTTCGAAGGCCTGATCACACTGCTCATCGGCATCGGCTCGCCGTGGCTGATGGCAACCAAGCCAGAGGAGTGCACGTTCCTGACGGAAAGGCAGCGGTACATCGCAGCGGAGCGGCTGCGTCAAGACCACAAGGCCAACGCCAACGAAAAGGTCGAGGCGCACCACATCAAGCGGGCCATCTTCAACATCAACAACAACGTGTGCGCGCTGGGCTTCTTCCTGATCAACATCACGGTGCAGAGCATCTCGCTGTTCATGCCGACGCTGCTGGCGGACCTGGGCTGGACGGCGACCAAGGCGCAGCTGCACACGGTGCCGCCGTACGTGCTAGCCTGCCTGGTCGCCATCCTCGTGGCGTTCGCGTCGGACCGCACGCGGCAGCGCGGCGCCTGGCTCGCCCTGTTCGCGCCCATCGGCATCGTCGGCTTCGCCGTGCTGCGCGCAGACGTCAGCGCTAACATCAAGTACATGGCCGTCTTCTTCGTCACCATCGGCGTCTTCCCCGGCGGTCCTGCTTTCCTGTCGTGGGGGTTGAACAGTACGTTTTTTTTTATCTTTCTTGCATCCCGCAGGCCTCAACCCTCTTCTCCCCGCACTTCATTCCCCCCCTTCATCTCGAATCCATCCAGAAAGAAAATGAAGAAAGTACTGACCTGGAACTCCTACTAGACGCGGCGGGCCCAGCAGTGCGAGCGGTGGCGGGCGGCTACATCCCGTCGGTAGGGACGCTAGGCGCGGTCGTAGCGACGTGGACGTACCTGCCGAGCGACGCGCCGCGCTACCCGATCGGCCACTCGATCAACCTGGCGGCGCAGGTGGCGGCCCTCTTCCTCGCCCTCGCCGGCATCGCGTACATCGTGTGGGAGAACCGGCAGCGCGCGCAGGGGCGCCGCGACCACCGCCTGGAGGGGAAGAACGAGCAGGAGATTGCGGATCTCGGGTACAGGCACCCGGAGTTCAGGTATATTCCTTAATTGGAGGGGAGAGAGTTGAGGGATCGGTGTGGAGTGTGTGCGTGTGTGTGGGTGGGTGCTCAACTCCCTGGTGGTGTGAGAGGAAGAGGTAGCGGAGGACGCGTGGGTTTCTACTACATGCGCAGGCAGTATGAATGATTCAACTTCATGACTTTAACTTTCTTGTTTTTCTTTTTTTCTTTTTTTCTTCCAGAGGAACAGCTAATGGCTCAAGAAGACAGGGATAAAATTTCTGAAAGAAAATGTAGGAGTGGTGTTGAGGGGGGAAAAAAAGAAAAGGGCACAAAGTCGTCAGACAGCGCTCGGGCCACAGGTTCGCTGACAACACGTGGAAAACGTACTGCCGCTATCCGCCCCCGCATCCGTTGGACGCCTCTTGCGCACTCCCGCGTGGTGTGCACACATTCAATTACGCTGGACCTTTTTTTTTTTTTTTCAAGCCCGACCAGCCAGGGGAACAGACAAATTGGAGACGCTCAAGCAGAATGGCTAGACGGCATTCGCCTCTTCCGCCACACCATTGGAGACCTTCGCCGGGGGCGGCAGACGCGTGCTACGCCGTTTGGTCGCTCGTGGTGCAAGGCACGTCATCCCGAAGCATGCACCCCCTCCCATGATGTGTGTAAGTGAATGCGGCGTACGATGTTGCTGAAGGGGGCGGCCCGAGGCTTTCCCCGATGTGGACGCCTGCAGGCCGCGCAGCCAGTCGTTGTTGCCGGCATTTCCCCGTGCTTGCTTGCTGCTTTGCACAATCCATTATAAACCGTTTCGCTGGGCGCGAGGATGTCGGGAATAGGTGTTGTTGAGGTGAGAGCATCTTTCTTAGATGGGGATGCTGTCTCGCACTGTGAAAGCATTCGTTGGTGGATTGGTGCAGACTTGTACGCGCAGTTTGATGGTTGATACCGCGGGGGTATTTGTGGCGGAAGGCTAGCGTGAAGAGTATCAGGGGTCTTAGGACAATGCCATAACTACGCTTCGGCTGTTTTTTTTTTTTGGCATATATAAAAAACAACATAAGTGGGCGGTTGAGGCTGTCATCCGGATGTAAATGTAGAATGCTTGTACTATTTTCGGAACAACATAGGGATTAAGCGGCACGCGCAGGCTGTAATCTAGGAACTGAGGTAGCATCCAAAATCAGACCCTATTGAATAGTGTAGCCGTGTCTTTGGAGTCCCATGTCGTCCCAGACCACGGCGGATCATGCACGCCGATATCGCCGAATGCGTGCTTTACTAAATGGATGGTAAAACAGAATCTGTTCGTAATCTCAACAGCGCATCCTGTAATGGGATAAAAGGAGCATTTGTCGGCAAGATCTTGATGGAGAAACCAAACGGCGCCGATATACTGGTTGACCCGGGATATCGACATCCATGTGTGCCGTGGAATGTCATTCTTTGAATGCCGAGCGTCATCAAACGCGAGAAGACATCGGGCTGTCTGAGCGGACCGTACGTTGAGCGTGTCTTCCGGTATCGTTCGTTGAAATCGTCAATTCGGGATAATCTAGCCAAGGCCTTACAGATCCTAGGGCCTGCTGCAGGAAGTTTTCGTACCATGTTTCGTCGGTACACAGGAGCTCTTTTCCGGTCCAGGAGGTGATGTCTCAAGTATACGTCTCCAGTACATCGGCATGAGGGGATTGCTTAGCCTTGATGTCTCGGATGGGTATGGTTTATTCGTACATGGAAACTAATCGTCCTGCGGTGGTTCCATATCTGATTCCATGGGTTTTGCCGTTCCCAATGCTAATGGTCCAAGTCCTGAGGCCTTTTTCTCGGTCGGGAGTGAGGAAGTGTTGACATTTGCTACTTCCCTGTTCCTCTGACATTCGGGAGCTGGAATCCACTGAAAGCCTTTGACGTGGTGGATCTCTTTCATGAGCCTCTTCAAATCGTAGAACGACCGAGAGGTGTTTGGGCAGTTAATGATCTCGCAGGTGTATGGAAAGAGCTGGACGTGTCCATACACGTGTTCTTGAGCTTGCTTAAGGCTGCGAAAATGTCTTTCGCAATTTTGGAAACAAAATGACTATTTGCAAGTCCTGTCGTGTATCACACTCATATGTATTGCTTGTTCGGCTAAGGTTGAGCAGGTTGAGGCGCAGAAGCAACATTCGTTTCGGTGGAACTCTTCCTTCGCGTACCTCGTATTAGCTTTCCATGTCATATAGGATCAGGTCTCTGGGGCCTCATCGCCTGTCTCAGCCTGGTCGCCTCCAGCCTTGGGCTGCCCCGTATCAGGCACATGGGAAACCAATAAAAGTCAGTATGGGCGTGAGTGGCTTGGTGGTGGGAGTTTACACACGTTGAGGTTGAGCGGGAGAGTGAGGAGCCGCTGCCTGAGCTGCGATGCAAAGATAGTTCGAGGAGAAGGCGAGCTTTCGGCGGTATATTTGGTGGGGTTGTTAAAGTTAGTGTATGGGAGCTCTCAGGTTCGGAAAGTTACGACTCCCAGTTTCGACAGCTATAGCGCTTATGAAGGATTAATCATATAACCGCCTGACACGTTGGCAATAAGGAGTGGTAAGTTGCACCCAACCAGGACGGCCCATGTACACCAATAGCACCAAAAACGTGCTTGAGTCGATGTAGAAGATAACAAAATCCATTTGCTATCTTGACGGCACATCCTATGACCGAGCTCAAAGGACAGTGCTGAGCTATGTCTGTATGCAGGTACCAAACGGCACCCATGAGCTGGTTGATGTTTGATATTGATGATTTTGAGTTCCAGAGGACAGTGCGTGCATACTGTGGGTATCGTTCATCCGCAATAGGCAGCGAGTGGATTGAGCCAACTGAATATTGAGTGCCTCCTCTTCCGGCACTTTTTCGAACAAGTTCCCACATAGCTGGATCCCCGGTGGAGTGCTGGGGACGGGGATGTGTGCTGCTGAAAATGGAATGTCCACTCATCATCGGTGCAAAGTAAAGTGTTTCTGGGATTGGTGAGTAATCCCTTAAGAATACCACCCCATTGTATCGGTATCAGGGTATCGATTACCTTCCGTCTCCCAATTCTGAAACGGAATACGGAATGAGGGAGGCGGGTTCTTCTCAGGTCCGAAGATTGCGTCTTCTTGAAACTGGTAGTTGGCGCTATAATGTCTCGATTCAGGTCCGGTGAAAGCTTCATATTCCCATGCATTATTGGCGTACCCAACAGCAGAAGTTCCATTCCCGGAGGAGACTGGTGTGTGTGACGAGTATTGCATGGCGGTCGGCCCGCCTGGATGTCCGGCAGCAGGAGTTCCATTCCCGGGGAGGACTGGTGGGTATGACGAGTGTTGCATGGCGGTCGGCCCGCCTTGATATCCAGCAGCGAGAGTTCCATTGCTATACGGGAATGATGCGGGGGTTGGAAGTCGGGCGGTTGGGTTAACGCTCGTCTCCGTTGTCGACGCCAGGCGAGGCTTGTTCTGGGAAACTTCATTGAGCTTCCGTCTCTTCGATGGCCGCGGGCTTTGTAGAGGCAGGGTTGTTAACTGCGGTCGAAACTTATCCTGGCCGCCACTGGCGTCGCATGAAGCCGCTGCCGCGTTGTATGCCGCCGATGCGCCGCTCAGCTCCATTGTTGCTTGTTCAAGTGCAGCCTTTGCTTTGTGGTACTTCGCCGATGCGGTGTCCAGGAAATTTTTTGTTTTGCGGTATCCATCATAGTTGAGCCGCAGAATCTGCACTATATACCCATCGGCTCGTTTGTTTGCAACATCCACTGAATTTATTTGCTCCGGTGTGAGCTCCCAGCTGCCAGTTGCCATTCTGTGTTCATAGATGGTGTGGGCTTTCAACTCTTTGCTTCGAAGGTAATCGGACTTGCAATACGATGCATTGCAGATGTATGGTCGAGTACTCGTGTGTCTGTATACATGGTCTCGCATGTTCTGAAGACTAGAACAGTTTGCTTCACAGTTGGTATACGTGCATACCCAACGCAGCTCAAAACCATGACTGATGATATGACGGGACGCTCCCAGCGCACTTTGGAGAACCTTGAAGCAGATCGGACATGGGTCACGATACCATTCTGGGTGTGAGTCGCTGTGTGTCCAAATCCATCCGCCCGCCTTCTTGTTCTCAAAAATTGTCGGCATCAAGAGCGAGTGAGCGAGCGAAAGAGAGATTTCGAGAATTGAAGATGGCGGGTAGAGGGGCCGAAGAGCGAGGGGAAGAAACGTGGAACGTCGAGGACGCTGGTAAAGGCTAAGATATAACGCGTCGAAGCTGACGGATGGCACGCTGCGCGCAGAAAGAGATGTGGAGTGTTGATAACGCTGGTGAAGGCTGAAATACAACGCGTCGAAGGCGGCGGATGGCACGCTGCGTGGAGAAGTTGGGGGGTGAGAGAGGTGCGAGAGAGAGGGGGAGTGTTGTAGCTGGGCGTGCGAGGAAGTTGCGCGCGACGCGCTTTCCATTTTAGATAGAGTACAAACAACATCTCTACCTTCTCCGTAGGCAGAAGTACCTGCGCTATTTGTGTATCTGCTGAGCTGTTCGCCAGCTCGACATCATTCTTCTATTCTGAGCTGAGCTCGAACTTGGGCAGTTGAAATACGGCGGGCACTCTTGACATGACTTTGATAATCGAGAGAACCTGGAGTTGCAACCATGTCCCTGGCATGGGCAGGGTCGACTTTGCATATATACTATCGAGCATGCGAAAGACAGTCGTGCTGTCTGGAACATGCAACCTTCGCAGGTGCATTCCCACATGACTTTAAGGCCATGCTGATCTCTGAGATGCAAACCCGTCACTATTGAACTCGTGCAATGAACGTTGCCGCAGACGGAACAGAGGTCCTTGTACCACTCATGCTTGGGATATGTTGTAGTGTGATTCCAAACTGCCTCATTGTGTTGTCCACTGGCACCCTCAGCCAATTCCATCAAAAGTTGGAGAGCGAGACCGAGAGGCGGGGTATTGAAGATGTCGGATATTCCGCTGGGGGGCAAGAGAGAGAGAGAGAGAGAGAGAGATGTGAAGCGTTGTAGCTGGGTGCGCGAGGAAGTTACGCGCGACGCGCTTCCCACTTTTGATAGAGTATATCAACCGAGATCAACATCTCTAGAAAGACACCGCGTGATAGAAGGCTGCAGCTCGTCCGTCTTGCTAACTGTCTTCGAGTAGGTAGACTTAGGTCTAAGGAGCTGACATGCGTTGCGCGTTGCGGCCTTGTTCAGTTCAACGCCACGGTCAAGGGGATCTTGTTCGGGTGGGAAAAAAAAATCCCAGCAGGATTTGTCGACAACCTCATCGGGACAAGCTAGTGGCTGAAAGCGACGAGATAAATCTTTAAGTGGCTCTCGCCGAGGAGAAGGCGGTATGGCAGGGCCGACGTGCACACCAGGCCGAGACTGTAATAGGCAGGTTCAACCCGTTACCTATAGAAATGGGAGCTGGGAATGGGTCAACAAGCGTGAGGATTTGCATGTGTGCGAGCCGGGTATGTAACGGATTTATGTTTGCAATTATGGAATCCATCCGTTGCCATGAGAGTCGATTGTGCAGTGGTAGCTATGATGATTACCGTTGCTTATTTTTTTTTATATGAAAGAAACCATTTTGGTGTTACTGTAAACTCGTTAAAAAAATCCGAGACAAAGTGGCAGCATGCATAGCTTCTAGTATCCTTTTGTAGGCGCGCTAGAACGTCATATTATCAACGCCGGACGAAAAGCGGCTATTCCTTATGAACTAATTAATAATCCACATCAATGGTTTTCTAACAAATCCTTATATGAGTGTAATTGACTCAGGTTACAGCTTCCATCATTCCATCACATCTTTAGTCTCAATCCCAACCAAAAATGGCCCCCAAAATATTCCTGTATGTACACGCCCATTTCCACAACTTCTGCAACCCCGCAACTAAAACACCATGTGAACAGCACTGGCGCCACGGGCTACATCGGCGGCAGCGTTTTCCATACCCTGTACACCGCGCACCCGGATTGGTCCTACACCGTCCTCTTGCGCACCGTCCCTCCCTCCTTCTCCGACCTCTACCCCGCCGCCACCATCGTCCGCGGCGACTACGACAGCCTCGATGCGCCCGCCACAGCCGCCGCTATCAGCGACGCCGACGTTGTTGTTCACACCGGCAACTCTGACCACGCGCCTTCGTTGCGTGCGCTGCTGCAAGGCCTGAAGAAGGTTGAATTTCTCCACCTCCTCTGCATTCTTCATCATGCCTCTCAATTATCTCATTCTTTCCCGCTTTTTCCTGAAAATAAAAAAAAGCAACAACCACTGACGCCATCCCCCCCGCAGTCCCCACCTCCCCAACCGCCGTCCACCCCGCAAAAACCCACCACCACCAAATACCTCATCCACCTCTCCGGCACCGGCATCCTCTCCGACTACCGCACCTCGGACCCCTCGGCCCCACCACCCGGCACGCTCAACCCGCGCACCTACTCCGACGTCTCGCTCGCCGACAACACGGCCATCTTCCTCCCGCCAAACGACGGTAGCAGCGACTGGATCGACCCGCTGCACGGCGAGACGGAGCGCATCGTGTACGAGGCGTGGCGGCGCGAGGAGGAAGAAGCGACGAAGGAGTCGAAGGCGAACGGAGGCGTGCGCGTCCGCACGGCCATCATGCGGCCGCCGGACATCTACGGGCGCGGGCTGGGCGTTGCGAGGAAGACGAGCGCGTACGTGCCGCTTTACGTGAGGGAGATTCTGCAGGGCGAAGGCGGTGGGGATGGGGATGGGGATGGGGATGGGGAGGGGATCGGCGCGGCGTTTTTCGTCGGCGAGGGGCAGAATATGAGGGGGTGGGTGCATTTGGAGGATCTGATGGGGTTGTATTTGAAGTTGGTGGAGAGGGCGGTGGAGGGGGGATCGGGGGATGGGGCGGCGGCTTGGGGGAGGGAGGTGAGTTTTTTTTTTTTTTTGCCTTTGGCTGCCTGTGCTTGTCCCCGGGACGATTGTTGCTGATTGCTGGTTTTACAGGGATACTACCATGCCACGACGCAGGAGACGACGCAACTTGAGCTTGCCCAGGCGGTTGGCCGGATTTTGTACGAGAAGGGATTGATCAAGGAGAAAGAGCCGAAGCAGGTGCCGCTTGAGCGCGTGGATGGAATGATGCGCTCGTACGGTCTTCCGCTACTCGGACGGTACTTGTTTGCGAGCAATTCGAGAAGCGTTGCGACGAGAGCAAAGGATGTACTTGGCTGGGTGCCTAAAGCACCAAGCATCTGGGATGTGCTGGAGCAAGACGTGGCGGATGCTGTTGAAGCGTTGGGAAGTAAATAACACGCATGAAGTATTGGGGAAATGAAAGGAATATCCAAGCAACTGTAGGGCTCGTAGACGAAATGATTTACGGGTCATTCAAGCCATAGGTCTCCCATAGAGAGCGCTACACTCTTTCTCCGCGGCCAGTCAAAGCAAATATCTCAACATTCATGTAAGCTAACACGCTCTCTTGACAAATCAGTTGTGCCTTCCGAAGTGATACCTCCAGAAATAATTAAGAACCCCTTTCTCCCCCTACAGGCGGCTTGCAAGTCAATCCCTTCCACCACCACCACCTACACTAACTCCCTCACCTGCTCCACCCTCATCCGCGAAACCCAACACCCCTCATGGCCCAGTCCCAACAACACGGCATCCGCCTCCAAATCCATCCGCGCCCAGCGCTCGGCGCCGCGGTAGTCGCCCGCCTCCTGCAGCGCGTACGAGGCGTCGCAGCGGAACCAGGCCTGGACAGGGCTAACGGCGCCGCCTTCGGGGCCACCGAGAAGCTCGTCTACCTGCAGCGCGAGCGCCTCGATTGTTTGTGCGCTAGGGCGGCTGTCGATGGCGGGCGACGGAGTGGGGGTACTGGAGGGGGACCAGGAGGGCTGGCGTAGGATGCGCCACGCGGCCCAGTGGAACGAGGCTTGGAGGCGGCGGGATTCGATGATGAGGCGGGCTGTGTGCGGGATGGCGTCGGGGTTGGCTGTGCTGCTGGCGTTGCTATCGGCGGCGGTGGCGTCCTTGCCCTTTTCGTTCTTGTTATCAGGTGAGACAGCGCCATCTGCGCCGGCGGGTGAAGAAGAAGTGGCAGGAGGAAGTAGCTGGCAGCACAGGTCGCAGTCGCACATCGAGATACCTCTCTCGTCCTCAAGCTTGCGCGCGCGTGCGGCATGCGTGAGCAGAGGGTAGTCGGGGATTGGGGAGTAGGTGAGCAGCTCGCCGCGGGCGATGGCGCGGGCGGAACGGAGGACCAAGCTGCCATAGCGCTCGTCGCGGACGAGGTTGCAGTTCGGAGCGCAAGATGGCCGGACGTGCTTGTGAAGGTGCGCATAGATGCTCGTGTTGTCCTGGTTGCGGGTGCCGGGGGCGTTGGGAAGGTGTACGCCAGGGTCCTGATGCGTGAGCCAGGTCGCGATGATAGCGTGCTCTTTGGTGCTTGAATCCACAACAGCGGGATGGGTTTCCTCGATGTTAGGAAACTTCTTCTTGATGAAGTTTGTGTTGGTGTTGTGGCCCATAGAGTCGTAGAGTGTCTGATCGCTAGCAGAGAGGGTGTCGTACTGAGCGAGGATGACCGTGGGGTCGAGAGGCAAAGGCAGATTGAGCCAAGCAGGCTCACGGTATATGGTGGAGCCCTTTGGAATGTTGACAAGAGCAACCGGGGCGGCGTCATCATCAGGCCTGTGGATGATAGGGTATTCGTTTGTGTGGGCGAGGGACGTGATGGCACGGGCGGTGTCGGTGATGTGGTTTTCAGGCAGAAATTCTACTTCTGCCAGAGTGGGAGGAGGTAGCGCCTTCTGAGAAGACACGAGCAGCTGCAGGTACTGCAAGAAGCGGCCTGTGTTGGTATCAATGGCTTCCGTAAGTTTGAGAACAATGACTTACAGTTCGAACTCTCAGAGGATCTCGCAGAAGCACCTTGCTCTGGAAGAGAGCTTGGAGTCACTGAGGAGAAGCCCTCCTCCCGACACTCCTTCTCCTTCTTACCCTCCTCGGACAGAGCAGCAGCAGCCGCCGCGGCAGCCAACTGTTCCTCCACCCAGACTGCGCAGACGTACGGCGGCGCGTTCATGGTGGTGTGCAGCTCGTCTAGAGCCAACTGGTTGTTGGCCTTCTCGGCCATGTGGTGGTCGTGAGCTTTGCCCAGCATGTCGTTCAGATGGGCCAGGCGCTGTAGAGGCCCTTTGCCGGCATATCCCGGCGCCTGCCAATGGCCGGCTTTCCACTTGCCGCTGAATGGGGCAGGGAAGGTAGTGATAGAAGACATGGTTGGAATAAAGGTGGCGCAAGGGAAGTTTTGGTGGAAGAGTTGGAGTTGGCGGAAGCTGAAGAACAAAGAGTCTGTGTGGGCTATGAAAAGGATCTGGGAAGAAATAGGCAGAAGCAAGCAGCCGTTGGGCCAGGTGGACATCTGTTGCTACGGTGATGTGCGCCTGCTCGCTTTCGAACTGCATGGAAGAGTGATATTGCCGAATCGGGAAGCGACACAATCACTTTCACCCAAAACACCAGACAATCGCATACGGAAGCGGAAAAACTCGCTCGGAGCAAGCAAGATATCTTTAGAAAAGGATGGAAGTATTGTAGCGAGATACGCAGAGCAGTCCACAGCTCACTATCTTCTAATATACAGAACAATTTTCCTCTGTAGGTATGCATAAGGCAGGAAAACTTGTAACCAAAGGGATTCCATGCCGGAGTGGAAGCTGGAGTGCTAAAGCAAATGTTTGCAGTGCATCATTTGTTGCGAGCGACTCCTACGAAAGCCCCATGGGAACAGTTTTCCGTATTCGTGGCGCAATTCCAGCTATCATTGAGAGATATCCTACGACTCAGGAGAACAAACATAGCGCCCTCAGGCGATAATGATCAGACACCGAACATTACAGCAGCGCTTCACCGGAAATCACTATGCGATGAGCGTTTCCACCGGCTTTGGCTTCTTCTCCTCATGAGAACGCCGCCTAATCCCGATGGCTTTGCGGAATCTTCATGGCATGGCTGGAGACACCAGTGTTTGCATGAATTATTGGTAGGGATAGTTTCAGAATACACTTCCGAATGACTTTGTGTAATTAAAAGCCTACATACTCATCTAGACACCTGCCTCAAATGCGCATGTAAGGGAGTCAGTCCGGCGTCTTTGGCGGAAATTGGAAATGCAGAATCCTCCTCACGAATGACCTTGTACGGGCTTCCAATGCTCAGAACCTATAGGATGGTGCGGGGAAGCGCCTTGCATGGACACCACTGACCTCGTTATCTTGAAGTGTCAGCTGAACTCTTGTCGGCATGGTCTTCGCATACTTTGCTTGCCTGCCCGTGGTGTTATTGTTGTCCAAGGCTTATATTAATTTTTGAGTTCTCCACTCGAGCATTGCTTGTCTGATATGGCGCTACAGGCGGGCATCACGATGAAGTCTCGGGTTGACGGGATTGAGTTTGATGGCGATCCTGGAGCACTGCCCCTTGAGGCAAAAGCGTGGTGGTGTGAGGCAGAGGTTCGGCTCGACGGCGTGATGGCGCGTACTCGGAGCGGCAGCACCCACGCGTCCGGACTCAGTCTGACGTGCATCTCTCCTGTCTCACCGCTCATTTGGGGAGCGTCGCATGATGAGGCAGGCTCGCGGCGATGGTTGACCGGTAGGCCAAACGGCGCCGAAACCGATCGTCTGCGCCAAGACTCGACGGGCCGCCGTTGCGGTGGGGAAGCTGCTACGGTACACGCGGTCAGACCGCCTGTCCGTGGTCGGAGATTTGTGTGTGAAGAGCAGCGCTGCGGTGCGCGCTGAGGTGCGCGCTGAGGTGGGGGAGCAGCGCTGCGTGTTGTCGAGCTCACATGGGTGCAACGGCCTCGCTAAGCTTAGGGGAGGCGACACAGAGATGAATCTCGCGGCGCTGAAACACAGATCTCCCGGCCATCTCACACACCCTCTTCATGCGCGAGACAAAGCGATTGTTGAGGGCGGGTGGTCGCACGGCAGCGCAGTGACGTCCGTCCCGCTCCATCTCCACAGCGGAGGTCGACCCTGCCCTCGGGTCGACCCTGGCCCCCGCCTCGTCGCCAGCCCGAAACCCGCCCGACAATGTCTTTCTCTCATTTCGCCGGCGAGACAGCAGCAACCACGCGGGCCCGCTCGGCCAGCAACGCGTGCATGGCGATCGACGATCTGACGTCTGCATCGCCGCGAGGCCGCGCGCGCACAGGCCCGCGCTGGAGCACGCAGCTGTCTGTCCGGCCGCAGGGCACACAGGCTAAAGGGCCGAACCGCAAGAAGATCCGCACAAGCCCCAGTTGCGTAGTTTGAGGCCCAGCGCCAGCCCGCCCAATCGCCGCGCCCCAAGCTTTTGCCTCGCCTGCCCGTCGACGCGGTGCGCGTCTGCCATGCACGCTGGCCAGCCGGAACTAGCTATTGACGCTTCTAGCGCGCAGACTTCCGTCGCCCGCTAATCGCCCTGATGACCGTACACCGCTGCTTTCGACGTCCATCCAACGCGCCTGACTGGCCATTGTGACTCGTTCCCAGCCGCCCGCTACCTGGGACCCGTTCCCTCCACCGCCTGTTGCACGCCAGACGCCCTGCCATGCGGTTTTGACGTCGGCGCCGCCGAGCTAGCGACCCCGCTGCTGCGAACGGGCCCCTCGTATCTACCGCGGCGCAGAAAGCTTGGGACGACTATCGCGCCTCCTCCACCGCGCGACGCGACTCTGTTGGGCCCGGCAAAAGGCCGGCCAGCAACTCCATCATCGTGTCCCATCTCCGGCCTTCTCCGTCCAATACGCGATCCTTCCTTGCTGATGCGTGAGCTGTTGCTCCTCCAACCTTGCCTTCCAACACCAGGCCAAGAAACGACGTGTGTTGGTACGGGCGGACTTTGCCGCTCGAGGAAAGCAAGAATTCGAGTGGATTCTATGATGGTGAATCACAGAATCCCATCATATGGCCATTTCGATGCGCCACTTGGCCGATGCCGAGTTCTGCCGGCGCCTCCGTCACCTGCACGAGACGAGCGCCCTGTTGGGCTGTCACAGTCAGTCACAGTCAGCCTGGGGTCCAACTGACCCACCCGCGTTCGACGGAACAAAATGAAAGCGAAAGGCGGGAGGCGCGCCTGTGCCTGTGTACCCTTCGTCCCCCTACTTGCATCTACGTGACCCGGGCGCAAGCGGAGAGACGAGAGACGCACCCAAGCATTTTGCCCTTGCCAAAGCGCCGACCACACCCTCAGCTCGCAAGTTTGGAACAGAGGAAACTTTGCCGGTGTCGATCGGGGAGCAACTGATTGCGTGTTTGCTCTCTGCTCCTCCCCCCGAAAAAGTGAACTGATGAGAGCACCACTATCGTCAGCAGAGAGGGCTGGACGATCACAAACCCCAGTCCTCTCGCTTCTAAGCATCACCGCCTTGTTCACCAGGCGGCTCCGTAACGCGGAAGATTTCCCGTTCGCGACAGATCTATTTTCCCTGCCGCGGCGCGGCTTTTGGCCACGCCTCCTCCCCCCCACCACCACCACCCAGTCGCCGAGCCTACCGTTTTAGTGCACCTGGTCTGCAGCCACCCGGGCAGCGCGGCCAAGGCGAGCGAAAGGCCCCTCCCCAAAATAATTCCGGCGCGTCTAGCAAGCGGGTCTAGCCCTCGGCGAAGGTGCCGCGCCTTGTTGCTCGCAAGAACCAAGAAAGCAATACCACCAGCAAGAGGGAAATAAACGACGAGGGAGGGACAATCCCGGGGCTATTCCCGAGTCATGGGTTGCGCGCGCGCGCGTCGATGGTGGCGAAGCTGCTCCTGCGAGCAACGAGCACGCATGCACACACACACACACACCAGCGGTAAAACATATTTGATAGTCTAACATCTCTTCTGGATAGCACACTTCGTCATCCCTCGGTCGCAAGCCACCCACCTGAAGCGTCAGCAAAGTGTCGGAAAAGAGTAACGTCTCGAGCTTATCGGGACTCTTTTCAGCTGTGCCTCGTGTTTTCCTTTTTCTTTCTGATATCCGAAGGAAGGATGGGGAGGATCAAAGGGACTAGGCTTGAATTTTGTTTCACTAGCCAGCTAGAGCGGCCTGCGCAATCCGGTTTACCATTTCAGCCCCGCGCGGCACTTCTGTCAAACGAACCACCACGCCGAAAGTGGTAGTGATGGCAGAGATGCCTGGTGGGTGGTGGCGCCGTCGTGATGTACAGACATGAGTCAGTCGGGCGTGGGGTGAGGTTCGAGGGCAGAAAACGTCCGGCGTCTTCTCCTAAAAGGTATCGATCGACGTTATACAGGAGCTCGTGCGGATTAGCAAAGGACCGGGCGACGAAAATCACCCGGAGGAGGGTGGCTGGTGGTGATGATGGTCCGGCCGCTTCTCCGCCCCAAAGAGCGATCGAGATTTGCTACTCCTCCCGCCGACAAGATTTGCTAGCGGAATCGCAAAGGTACGATGGGATGGAAAAGTGTGTGCGGTTTACTTTACTGTTCCCTTAGCGCAGCTGCGCGCGCGGGTTGGGCGCTGCGCGTGTGCCGTACCTTTCCCGCGGCTGGACGGTCGAAAACGGTTAAGGAGCTTCGTCGTCAGTTCTTTTTCCCTTCGCCGAGCCAGCCTTGCGCAACGTGCGCGTGCCGCAGCCTGGTCGGAAAGGACTGCCTGCAAGGATGGTCCCTCTCTCCGCCGTGTGTGAACCCCAGTAGGTATCGTGTTGGTCCTGCTCGCTCGCTCTTCCCATTCATGCTGCGCAGATGCGCAAGGAGATTACCTTTCGGTTTGTCAAACCGTAATTTGTCTGCCGGATGTCTGCACAGACAGGTCATGCTGCCATACCTCCGCTCCCGGCCCCACGGGGCACGTCTGCCGGCGCCTCTTTTTTTTTTTTTTTCGCAGGTGGTTTTCTGCTACTTCATAATACACAGCGTCGTACTACTCTTGCTTCGGATCGCCGAATGTGACACCAGACCAGACCAGACCCGCAGGCAAACTTGACTCATGCAGGTTGCAGGCATCAACTGCGCAATGACGGAGCCGAGACTGGGGTTGGGAGCATGGGGGTGGGATATATCATCCCGATACTTTTGTGCTTAGCACAAACACTAATCGCCCGGGGTGGGTGTGTGTGCGAGCGCGTGTGTGCCCATGAGCATCGAGGGCGGAGCCGCTCCCCTTCCCTGGCCGAAAGGCAATCTCGCGAGAGACGTGCTTTGACACATCTCGCGTCAGGAGGCAGGAGCTTAGTGATGATGAATATGATGGGTGTGTGAGGCGGCAGAGGAAAATAGGTGGACAAGGAAGGGCACGTGGAATCCGCCACTACCACCGTCACCATCACTAACCATCCCGTTAGTGGTGAGAAAGTGGATTAGAAAGCCTCATGTTCCTACACAGCCTTGCTTTATTGCTCTTTGACTCAATAATCAGTTCGGGTTCGTTTAGCGCAGGATCCTCTTATTTTTGTTTTTTCTTTTCTGTATGCGGTGGCGCTTGCTCACTGCTGCTGGGTTTTTCCCCTTTTCTTTGCTATTGCCCGTCAGCCTGGAAAGTGCTGACTGTGCTGTGCGTGAGAGTGTGGAGTGAGGATCCCTACATTGCTTTTGGGGTTGGCTGTCTGTTTTTTTTTTTGCTTTCTCTATGACGGCAGCCGCGCGCGGCGCCTCAAGCGCCGCCGCCGCCGCCGCCGCTCACGATGGGAGGGGTCCAGAGTCAGCACCCTAAGCTGTGTGTACTTTCTGCTACGCGGGGTGAATCAGGAGAGAACTCCGGTGGACGCTCAGCTGAGGGTGTGGGTGGGTAACGGTCATCTACGGTGGTCGAGCGAAGACGCGCCGACGCGTCGGGCGCGACTTTTTTCTTTGTGCGCGCGTGTGTCGTTGTGTAAGTGTGTAGTGAGAGTGTGTGCGTCGCGCTCAAGCCGCGGTCAGCCCATGCGCGCGGATTGCGGATGCGGGGAACATGGGGGGTGGGTGCTGGGCCGGGCAAGGGCAGCAATACGCGAGGCGCAGCGCCCCCTGGTCGCAAGAGCGAGCGAGCGAGCGAGCGAGCGAGCGAGCAGAATGCGCCCGGCCCAGACAGATGTCGAGCAAAGGTGTTCTCGTGTGGTATGTAGATTGCTGCCGGCTACCGCCGCTGCTGCCGGCGCCCTGGAGGTGGGGAGCGTGTAGGGATTGGCCCGGAGGTGTAGGGGAGGGGTGTGCGCATGAGAGCTGCTGGCGTGGGCGGCCCTGGGATTGGACGGATTGCCGGGCGGGTCGACGGGGATTGGATGGGTGCGTGCATGCACCGAACACCCCCTGTCTGGCTTCTTTTGGCCTTGGCTGGGTGTGTGTGGGCGCCGTCCATCACAGCCTGTTTGAGGAGCAGCGAGGCGAGCCACCATGGGATCTCCGGTTGCTGAGAGGCCCGCGTCGATGTATGTGTCTCCTGTCTTAGGCGGCACGCCGGGCGCTAGGTGAGTCTCGAGATCAGATCAAAGGGCCCGCCGACGCGACGGCGCTGATCGCAGTTTGCTGGTGCTGCAGGCCTTTCTTCGGACCCTCCTCTCAGGCGTTGTTGAAGATCCACGATGCCTTCCTTCTTGGGCTACCTTGCTCTGTCGAAGCGCTAGAACAGACCTGACAAGGATATCCGCTTGTTTCTTCATGTGCCCCTCCGCGGCCCGACCGCCAGCGCCGCAGGGATATGCTCTTCGCGAGAAGCGCCCGTCCAGTGGCTTCTCTGCTCCACCGAGCGTCAGGGTTCGGGCGTGGCAAGGGTCTAGGCTTGTAGGGGGGATGGGCATGACTGAGAGTGAGCCATGGTGGTAGAGGATGGGTGCTATATGGAAGTATCATGGATAGTGCGTCGTACCACGCTCCAGCCGGTGCCCTCCGAGCTGACAAGGCTGAGATGATACTTTATCACTTCTTATTGGCAACGTGCTCGACATCGAATGCGAGAGGCGCAAGCCCACAAGCCCTGTCACAGCCCTCTATTGCAAGCCACAGCACGGGATACGGGCTTGTTTGCCTTCTCGTAATGTAGTCAGTGTGCATAATATTGAGAGGATTGACTTTTCATCAAATAGTGAAATCGGCATTTTCTCGTATGCGCAGTCGCGGCCAGGCATCCGCCAAGTCCATGCGGATCAAGGCTTCAACTCCGAGTGGGCGTACCATGCGACTGACCCAGTTCTAGCTTTTGATCGAGCCGGAGCGAGTTTGAAACGACGTCCAAGCGACGCCGCCGGGATTACTACGCTGGCCACAAGGACACGACCCTGGGATGTATCGCTAATCGTGCAAACGACACTGGTTGGCCCGGTTTGCGAGGCCGGCCGAAGTGTAGCATCCGCAACGCAGGTCGCTGTTGTTTGCATTAGTATATGTAGGAACTCGTGCTGGATGATTGGCCGAGAGTGAGACTAGAGCGTGGGTGAGTAAGCAACAAAGGCGCATATGATAAATTCCCTAAGCAACCTAGGCTGCTTTGAACAGTGGTGGCAGGCTCCGGGCGACGGAGGTAACAGGTGGCTTCTTCCTCAGCCAAAATCTTACACTGCAAAATCTGGACCTGATGACCCGGATGTAGCGTCGCGGCTCGTTCGGAAGGCGTTAAGTGCATGGCATTTGGGCCCCTCCGCGTATGCGGTTGCGCGGTGGCACACCAAGAGACGCGTATATACGCGTCATATCTATGTAGGTAAACAAGTAGCAATACGAAGCGGCAAATTAATCGTTCATCCATGCAGCAACTCGGTTGCCGCCAAACCGAGCGGCGAAGCGCAAGCCGGACGATCCCATCGGAAAATAAGAGACGAGATACCACAGCAGGCAAACCAGCTGCACGATCGACGAGATGAGCGTGAGGATGGTGGAGTGTAGCTGTATCAGTCAATCACGCGCTCCGGAACTTAACACGAGCAATCGCATGTGGCGGCTAGCGTGGGGGAGGGGGGCGGTGGTAGTGGAGGTGGAAGTGGTGGTGGTGTAGGTGGAGGCTGCAGAGGCTGTGACAGGGGGTCGACGGGTAGGAAAGCAGGTTTATCGATTGCAGGGGTGACAGGACAGGGAATCTGACTTACCCCAAGCGAAAAGTACAGCGTCAGTGCGATGCTGCCAAAGTAGGTGGCAGTGAAGGGCAAGCGAGGCCCGGAGGTAAGATGTTGCACTGGGAACTTTTGGTCAGCGCCTGATAAGATGGCGGCCCAAAGAGGCAGAGGCTGGCTTACCATACTGCATTGGGCCCATCATGACCGCCCAGGAAGCTAAGAAGAGCACGGAGCCCATGGTCCACCTGAGGAAAGAAGATCGAGCGTTAGCTGCTGCGGAACCCTGCAGGACTGCCAGCTGATATGATTGGAACAGGGCTCGAGGGAAGTTGAGATTAGGTAGCGACATCTGCAGTGCACCGCAGGTCGCACCCGCATGATCGCTGGTTGGGTGGGACGATGTCTCGGAAGGGGAACGTGGCTCACGACGGCCCTGATGTAAGAGACGTCGCCATGCCTGTCAAAATGCATGAAAGCGGGCCCTCAATACGAACTTACAGGATAGCAAACTTCCTAGGCTTCAGCAGGAAGACGCCGGTGGGCATCAGGGCGAAGCAGACGACAAACATAGCAGCGGCGGCCAGGTTCAGGCCGCCAAAGATGAGCATTCGATCCCATCGGCTCACTGTGGCCAGAACGCGTCAGCAAGTGCCTGAAGACTCGTTTCTCGCGCGCTTTTTCGGAGTGGCAGAGGTCGCACCCGCTCATGCAACCCTGACGCACGCATACAAGTGCAATACGCAGGAACTGCACCCTCTCACCCAGATCTGCCCGGCGCAGGGTGCAGCAGTGCTGATTCCCGGACGGCTGGGCGGAGGACAGGCGGCAGGACGGGGCAACGCAGGCAGCAGGGCGGACTAGACTTACGGGCAAGCCATCCCTCCTCCTCCTCTCGACGCGTCGGGGCGGGCAGCGGCGCTCCCGGGCCCTCGTGGGTCGGCAGCCTCACGTAACCACCGCCGCCAAAAGGGTTGAGGCGGGACCAGAGCGGTGTCTGCGCAGTGCTCACGGGCAGGTCAGGATCGCGCCGGCTCCACCCGAGCGAGTTCATGGAGTCGCGAAAGTTCTGTGACGCCATGGTTGCGGTGTGCAGAATCAAGCCGCTGGAGCCGTTGGATCGAGCACCAGAACGGCAGCGGCGGGAGCTTGGCTGGGAGCAGCTTCCCCAAGCGTGCAACCCGATCGGCGGGACTCGTATAGAAGAGGGCCGACGAGCCTGCGGGTGTGTCTCGCGGCGGGCTGGTCGCGGCGAAGAGGGCTAGCGCGGGCGGGAGGCGGCGAATATCGCGCTGATTGCGTGCAGATGATCTCCGCGATTGCGCTTGGGAGGGCGAGAGGTTGAGTATCCAGTGACCAGGGTGTCTGGCAGGGTCTCAGACAGCGAGGAGACGTGTGATTCGATCGGGGTGCAACTCGGCTGGGGCAGCAACGGGCTGTCAAGGACGACGGCGGCGGGGCGGCGTGCGCGCTGGCGGGAGCGTGGCGCGGGCGCTGATTGGGCGGCGGGCGGCGGTGAGAGAGGCTGCGGGAGGGTGTGGTGGGAAGGGAGAGAGGGAGCTCTTTGAAGCTGCGCTCGCGATGTCTGCGGCTTGGGCCGATCGGCGCAGGTTTGGGCTTAGGCGCGTGTCTCACTCTGTGGCTGCGACGCGCTGGGGGGGCGCGCACTGCCGCGATAGCAGCCCGCCGCGCCGGGCGGCAGCTTGCGCGCACCGTGAGTCACTTGCGCGGTGCCTTCATCATAGCATCATCCGCGGCGGTGATCTGAGACTGCCCGCTCCGTGACCATCCACCACCCTAGACAGCGCAAGAGGGGGTGTGGCTGCGGGCGGCGGGCAGCAGCGCGAAGCCATATAACTGCCGCGCGCCCCTCGGGCCAATCCTCGCGCCTGTAGTCGTACCCCAGTGCCTCGATCTCGGTGAACGCTGCTTTCCTGTTGCGCATTCCTCGCCGCCGCGACCAGCATCCCCCACCGCCAAATCTGGTAGCCTAAGCCCCCCGCGGCCAGTCGCTGCGCGAGCCTCATCCCACCACGCCTGACCGCCTCGACGTCGGCCGCCCAACTCGAATTCCGGCGCTCTCGGCGGGCGACGTGAATTTACTCCTGTCAGCAAGACTGCACGCCCGAAGCCGGCCGTCCGTGTGCCCGCTCGGAAAGGCGACCCGTCAGCTTAATAAAGACCGCCTAGCACCCTCGCACCAGCGAGGCCCGGCTGGAGATCCTCAACTGAGCAGCGCCCGGGGACCCCGCCATCGTCACTTTTCACGTCCCACAGGCACCGCGCCGAACGGCCTATCCACCGCCACCCGAGGCGACGGCAACAGAGGGCATTGAGCCGCTGTCCGCCCGCCCACGACGCGCTTGCCCGCACGAGCAAGCGCTGCACCCGCGCCTCCAAGCCGCACGCTTCCGACGGCTTCGCCGCTCGACACCGCTCCTCTTCTCCCCTCTTCTCCCTCGACTCGCTCCAAGGCTCGACGCCTCGTCGCAGGTGAGTTCTCCCCACCCCCATCAGGTCGCGCCATCCACAGCCCTCAGCCTTAGCACTCCCAGCGCATGAAGGTTTCCACCTTGTGCGACTGCGTCTTCTGCTGTTGTGCCCGCTTTGGGACGGTTCAGACGGTGGTCCCCGCCGCTGTCGCTGCTTTTCTGCGCTGCTGAGCCATTGTCTCATTGTGCGGCGCGCGCCACCGCCCATGCGCGTTCCTCTCTTGGCCGCTCTCAATGCAAGCAAGCGAGCTAACACGTTCCCGCAGCCTCCTCCCCTCCCCTTCAGCGACACCGCACCCCGGATCTCGCTGGCTGCAGGCACAGTGTCCTTAGCAGCCCTCCTTCGCCCTAGCTCTCCGCTGGCGCCTGTCCCATCACCACCTAAACGGGTTCCGCGAACTTCTGGCCTCCTCGCGCAGTCAGCAGCAGCGACAGGTGCGTCTACCACATCCCACGGCATCTAGGCGTGCAGGCCGAGGCCTCTCTCGGCCGCCAGGTGCCGCAAAAACGGCTGGAGCAATGCAAAGCTAATGCTCTCATGCAGAACGTTTGACGCAAGCTCGACAGATTCGTGACGGTACATGCAAGCTTTGCCAGTTTCTTCCATGTCCGCCTAGCTTGCCTTACCTCTCTCTCACCAAACCGCAAATCCACCCATCCATTTAAGCTACGCCCGCAACGGTCCCGTGCTTCCTGTCACCACCGTTCGCATAGCCCCCTGCTGCATACCTGCGTTCGCAAGACCCAGGCTCGCTGCAGATATCGCAAACTCAAGCGTCAAGGGACCGACACGGAACCTTCCATCTAAAGAAGTCAGACCCGACCGATCCAGTGATGATCATAGGTGAGCAGCCCCCGAAGCATTGATTGCTTTTGCCCCACAAGCCTCGGCGGTGCGTGTTGGTTGCCTGGTATCTGCCGTCATTTGAGGCAGGAACCCTGGTGATGTGCGGTTGCCGCTAGAGGTATTCAGCTATTGTTGTGGCGGTGATCTTCGCCTATTGTGCATTGGGCGATCGCTCAGGCTTCCACCCTATAAGAGCCCCCGCTGACCACCCCTCCAGCCGACACCAAGATTACCCACTTCCCACCTTTCAGCGGCTACAACAAGCAACCCACTGGCAAATCAGACCTGCGACTCGACTCTCCGGTCCACGGCATCGACCCCGCCATGGCGCACCCCGGTTCGCCGGCTCCTTACATCAAGGAGGATCCCGATCAGTTCAACCCTAACTTCCACGGTGACTTTGACATGTCGCAACATTTCAGCAACAGCCAACAGCAGTACGGCGTCAACCCCAACGACCTGACCATGGGTAACAACTTCATCATGAACAACCAATACGGCTCAAACAACATGTCCTCCAGCTTCCTCGGCAACTCGAATATCGCCGATGACGAGCTTCGTGACCTCGTCGACGAGCCCGGCCACAACAATCACAATGCGGGTTACCAGAACTATGGCGATGGCCACAACGAACAGCAGCATCAGCAGGGCTACTACCAAAGTCAAATGAACAATGGTTCCATGCCCGTGAACGCACAGCCCAACATGAATATGTACTCCAACACGCCCGATGGCGCGCCCATTCAGTCCCCGTTCATGAACAACAACAACTTCAACTACGAGCACTTCCAGAACATGCAGCAAGGTCACCGGGTCGGAAGCATGCCCAACGGCTCCTTCGCCATGAACGCCAGGCAGCACTCTAGGATGGGCCTCGAAAGGCAACTGTCCGATTCACGCAGCCCCATGACGCCGAAGACGCCCGCCATGGCTGGCCTTCACCTGAGCACTCCGGATTCGGGCAGCTTCCCGGCTGCGCAGCCTATCCACGCCAGCCGCCCAAGCCACGGCCACCAGAAGAGCATGTCGGGCCAGTGGGACAACACCCCCAACAGCGGCGGTTCTTGGATCGATTCACCGATTGTGTCACCTCAGCAGGCCGGCATGCACCATGCTCAGATCGCTGACGTCCTCGCCTCGGGAAAGCACGCTTCGCTGCCCACCAAGGTCGAGAACAATGGCAATCCAGGTTTCCAGTCCCAGGAGGCTAAGCGCCGGAGGCGCCGTGAGAGCCACAACATGGTCGAGCGTCGCCGGAGAGACAACATCAACGAGCGTATCCAGGATCTCTCCAAGCTGGTGCCCCAGCATCGCCTTGAGGACGAGAAGGTCAGGAAGCACATCCACAACAACGGCCCTCTGTCGCCCTCGATGACTGCCACTGGCATCTCGCCGCCGCAAGCAACGTCACTCCTTGCCGGTCCTAACGGCAGACGTGCTGCTGGCAACATCACCACCGGTCTTCCCCTCGACGAGAAAGACAAGGGTCCCAACAAGGGCGACATTCTCAACGGTTCCGTCAGCTGGACTCGTGACCTCATGTGGATGCTTTATCTGAAGCTGAGGCAGGAGGAGCAGCTATTTGAGCAGATCCGCAGCCTGGGCGGCGAGATCACCTACGAGTACACGGAGGATGAGCTCCGCATGAAGTCGGAGCTTATCGAGGCGGTCGAGAAGAACAACTGGGAGTCTTTCCGTTACTCGCGCGGCCCTGGTAGCGGTCTTCGCGTCCCCAAGCACACCAACATTGCCGGCGAGCCTCTCCAGAACCCCATCTCGCCACAGAGCCTGAGCCCAGCCATCCAGTCTGGTGGTAGCGGTGCCAACTCCGGTGGCGCCGGCCAACCGAGCTTCTGGGCCAACCAACAGCCAACGTTCAAGGAAGAAGAGGAGTTTGGCATGGAGCTCTGATCTCCTTAATTCGAGCTTTACACAAGGTGCACCATCAGATCTAGAGTACGTCAGATTTCGGCAGAATTTGAGATACCCCGATCGCAGCGGCATCGAATCGAACGGTCTTCTTGTCCATGTCAGTGGCATCGACGACCGAAGGTTCGAAGATCACTGCGAGATGCACCAGCCTTTCCTCATTGGGATTTGTCGGATGGCGTTTTGTTCGGTTCTCGATGGATCTTTCATTAGCCTTCGGCTTTCCATCTTCCATCTTCTGCTTCTTGTTACAACATCATCTTCCACGGAGTTTTTACGGGCATCGTGCGAGGCATTCTACGGATCATAGGAGTTTTTCTACGATTGAACAGCAGCTTCTTCCAGCCTCTTGGTGTGGAGCCTTTTTCCCTTTTTACAAGGTCGATGAGATGATATCCTGTGGCTTCATTCGCGTTGTTTCCTGCTTCAGTTTCATACATACCCCGGCAACAATTGCAACACTACCACCTCTGAGCACTTTTGCACATGATGACGACGCGGACCAGCAAACAGGCATTAGACCTTCGGGGGTGATGGCTACATTTATGCATGGCCGCAGGGAATGATTTCTTTTTTTTTTTTTCAGGACCATCCATGCATTTCTTGGACTGGGTCGTTTTCTTGAGTTCGAGCATACAGGTCTCGGCTTGTCGTATCTCTCCGGTTTATGGGTTTTCTGGTTTCCATCTGCCCAGCTACGGCTGTTGGCTGCGCTAGCTAATATCCCCTCACATGCGATTTCAATACCATTCATACGATGTCTGCTGTGCCTTTGCAAGTGATGAAGTGCAAGACATGGATGCGATGATTCCAATACAAAAACCACGGACGTGCTAACCAAGAATCCTCACAGGCCTCGCTTGATAGGTCCGAATTCAGGGTCAAAACGGAGGGCATGCCGGCCCCCTTCGCTTTCCTGCCCTTCCCTTCGGAAACGATGCCGAGTGGAGCCAAGAAGGGAGCGACCAGGCTTTCCCGTCCGCCAGCGTGGGGAACACCACCACGAGCTGCATTATCCACATATTTTGTTGATAACAGATATACAGGACCAGACAGTCGGGAACTGCTCACCGCTGCCTTTTTCCAACGTTTAAATCATCGATGCACTCAAATCGTCACTCATCCACACGCTTTTGTCTCTCCCTGTTTTAAAGCAAAAGTTTGGATTCTGCACGCACAGGCATGCTCCGCTCCTCCTCGCGGAGGCACCGAAAACTGCCCCCCGACTACCAGCAGAAATGTGAAAATACTATTCCGTGGCCTCAATTTTTTTGGGTCAACACACAGACATTCCGCTTGAACTTCTTTTCCTTTTGGGCCCTTTTTGTTTCCCTTTTTCCTCTCGGAACACGCACCCCTTTTTTTTTTCAACCGCCGACGACGACCGCAAAGCAAGCAAAGATCATCTCGGTCAAGAATATGCGCGGAGACAGTTCCCCAAAGGATTGTACACGATGTCACACACACAAAGAAACGGGAAACACAGGGGTACGTTTTTTTCTGCCTATATCTTCTTCGCTACCGAGTGTGTGGGAAATAAGCTTTTTTGGTCGAGTACTACAACCCTTTTTTGACATTCGGCCTGGGCCGAAGAATGCGCTTCGTATATACGTCGGCCGGGGGGAGGGGGCTGGTGATGGTGTGGGGGAGGGGTGGGGGGTGGGTGTTGGTGGTGTGGTGGGTCTCCTCCCCCGGGGGTAACACGACCCCAAACCTTTGGATGGATTTTGATTACTTGTCCTTCCGCTCTCTCTGACTCTCACACTCTCCTCACGACTGACCCCGCGCTTCTGATCCCTTTTTTCTTGGCAATAATGTCTCGGGGCTGACAGGAGATCTGTCAGACAGAAAAAGGAAGTTCGGTAGACGGTTGAGGGGGGTGTTCCGGGGAAGGGGAACCATGATGATGAGATAGGTGGCGCAAATCGGCAGCCATCCCCGTCCCATCCCTTGCTTCGGTGACTCTTTTCTTTTTTTTACTATAGTATGTGATCGGCTATCGGCATGCTTCTTGCCCTGCGGGGGGAGAGATCCTTCGTCCCCATGGTTTTCCCGTGTTGGTGTTGGTACTTGTTGCCGAGGATGTTTATTCTTAGAACTATCACTATTTTCTGACACGGATGACGAAGAGGGGGCTGAGCGGATCGGGCGGGCCGGCGGGGGTGCCTTGCACTAGCTTCGCCACTACAGTCATGAACTATTGATGGAGTCATTCATGCAAATGGGATGGCGTTGGCTTGAGGGGGTGGGCGCGAGGCAGTGGCACATGTTCATGCGACTTTCGGCTCGTTCCGCACGGACGATGCTTGATTGGGGAAAGGGAACGCGCGCGTAATGTACGACGTGTTATGCGCGGTTGCGGCGGCTCGGTAGCGGAGGGATGAAGATGGGCTCGTTCATGCAGGGGCGTTATCGTACGTCTGTGGCGGCGATGTGTTTCGTGTGTCTGGTGCTATGCGCGGCTCTATTGTGGGGGTCCCTTGCTTTGTGGCTCGGGCGTGGGCTTGGAGTCGTCGTGGAATCCGAGGTTCTTCATCTCATCGGGCGCCATGAGGTTTCTGTGAGGGTCGAGGATCAGCGGCGGATCGGATCGGGCATAGCAGCCAGCCATGGTGTAGAATGGCTGATATATGCGGCGCACATATGTACGTACCGCTCCATCCGACACTGCAGGTAGGCTTTGGAGATCTGACGGCACTCGTCGTCGTTGGTTCCCTTGTGGGCGCGTATGCAGCGCAGGTACTGGGTCATGACCGACTTGCATTCGCCTGCAGCTCGTGCATCAGCGCACATTCCATAGCTTCCGTTGTGGGTATTCTGCTTCCATCCGCGATCGCACGATGGTGTCGGACGAGGTTGCGCAAGAGACAGAAGGCGATTGCGGTTTCATGGAGGCATACCGAAGTGATCGAGCGGGAAGGATCCGCGCTCCGGTCTGTAGGTGCAAGGCGTGGCGTGAGCTTCGCGGCCGAGGGCGCAGGGAATCAGAGTCGACTCACGGGATGGGCTTCTGGACCTGAGTCCTGCCGCCGGGGCTGCCAAAGGTGCTCATGGTGGGGGATGGTGCGCAGCGGGGACTGGAGATGGCTGTCGTGCTCGTGGTGTTGGGTTGCAAAAAGTGGTACGAACAAAGTTCGGGTGATTGGCAGCCAGTCCAGCCACACGAGCCACCCGATGACGTGCAGCGGCTAACCCCAGATTTTCCACTCTTTCTGCCTGACAACAAAGCAGAAGCTTTCAGGGGTCCAGCCCGCCATTGCGCCGTGCACCTCGGATTGGCTCGTTTGACGCACAAATCACCATTGCCCAAAAATAATACTGGCGCCAACGACATCAGAAAGACTGCTCTCTCCCATGGACGCCCAGAACTTCACTTCGCTCAATCGCAACTTCCCCAAGAGCAAGTGCGACAAGCACTCCAGATTCAGCGTCATTGGCTGCCCCAAACACCGACATCTTTCACTACGCAGGCTCCGTTGGCCAATCTCTCCCGACTAGGACGTACAAGAATGTGAGGCTGGAGTAGCGGACCGTTTAGGGTAGACAGGTGAGAGAGACCCACCCGACGCGTCCAGAGCAACCACACGCAGTCAGATAGGCGAGCTACCTTTTCACATCACCCGCCCAGATCAGGTTTAGCGTCGTTGCCCCGCCAGGTGATGCAGGTGATCGAGGTGCGAAACCTACAAATATCGCCCTCCTTCTATCTTCTACTTTCTTTCTCTTCAGTCCACTCTCTTCGCCTTTTGGCTTGGATCGAGTTCGTAACAAAAGCATGAAGAAAGCGACGGCCACGCGAACGGTTCATGCTGAGGTTTCTCAAAGCAAACAAAAAGTTACACTGAGTTTTCTGCCTCGGGTGAGCGATGAGGAAATTTTCCGAGCTCCCTTCGTTGAACGACTGGACTTGCTCCGATCTTCGAGGAAGGGAAAGTTGAAGAGCAGCTTCCCATGGATGATAGCAAGCTGTCTATTCCCCGCTGAGGAGCGACGGCTTGCTTATGCTTCGCTGGCGTAAAGGCCGATGTTGCTTCACCTAAGTGTCTCAACCTCACCTCCAGCTAGCTCCTCTCCGTTCTATGAAGCAATCCATTGCCCACTCCGCGGACCCTCACTTCTATCTCCCTGAGCTCCAGTACCCTCCTCATCCTGGCCATCCTCAAACTCCTCTTCTTTCTTCATTCCACTCCATCCATCAACATCGTGCACAATGGCGCGTCATATTCAATACGAAGACCTGGTGGTCTTCGTCGCTGACGCTGTCTCTGGCGACATTGTGGCGTCGCGACCGGTTAGATATACCGTCCCCATCAACATTTGCCTTGCTCGTCGCTCCCGCGGGCTCAAGATCACCGCATACGATGCATTGCTCTCAGAGACGACAGACTTTGTCTACAAGGCGTTGCGCTCTCAGGGCCTCGACCCGCCTTCCGACGCTGTGCTGGTCCGCTACGACAGACTCTCGTCCATTACGAGAGACGCAGTGCTTCGAACCGCTCTACATGTAATGTGGGCCGCCACTGGCCAAGCGGCGTTCTTCCTTTGCTCGCACAAGGACCTTGCTGGTAAGCTGGCCTGATTCATACCTTGTGGTCCATATTGCTTACATTGCTCCTCAGATCTTCAGAACCGCCAGCGACCGCCTTTGGGGGAATTGACAGTCCAAGATATTCCGACGCAGACCAAGCCAGACGACCCAGCCACAGGCCCCACCAGTGCTGCTGGAGTATCTAGCTTGTGCACCGCCGAGCAAACCACTGACCTTGCCGCATTATCGGGCGAGGATTCCAGCGCATCCACCACTAGCCAGACGTCTAACGCTGCCTCCGAGCAAGTGACTTCTACAAGCATCGCCCATTCGCCGGACGCCACCGATAGCGACGAAGAAGCGCCGTCTCTACACTTGGCCAGATGCAACATTCTATAATCTATAGAATATCGGTTCAACGAGAGCGACAACAAGCTCGTCTAGCTTTCGGACGTGCCAGCAGGCTCAGGACTCTCTTATCTTGTAGCGTAGGCTGCAGATACAAGCGTATAGCAGCAGAGCAAGTTGCTGTCCGCAACAGATAGCAACTTCGAAAATCAACATCATGACGAGATCACCTAATCAACGTAAGCTAAGCCCTTAGTTCTTTCCGTTTGGTATGATACTAATCAGCTACAGTTCCACAGGCGCTCTAGACGCAGCCAAGCATTTCGATAAAGAGCTGAGGCATTGGAGCCACCCTCGATACCTAAAGCGGTATGTCTTTGGTGCCTGGACACGACAGTGGTTCTCTACAGGCATAAGGATAGACAGTGCTCTCCGCGGTCAACCGCATCTAATTAGTTTGGCTGAAAATATTTCATTTGATCCTATGACTATGTGAAGACAATCACCAAGGCGCAGGCATGAGCCGCACCCAGAACACACCATCCCTGCCCAAATGCATGTCCAAGATACCAATGCAAGACCATAATCGCAAACAGTCCACTAAGAGACAGAGGGTAAAACAACCTAATATTCGCCGATGCCATCCGAACCCCCCATCCACCATCCCACCCATGCCCATACCATACCAAGTCCATGCCCATTGTCATAACCTTTCGTCCCAGTGCCCAGACAATCACAACTCCTCATCCAACACCTCGTTAACAATATCCCTCAACACCGGCTTGTTGCTCAGCAGCACTTTCTGTCCCACCCTTCCTCTCTTCTCCGGAAGCTTCAACCTCCCTCCCCCACCACCACGACCACCATTCCCGTTACTCTCCCCCAACACCCTCTTCTTTACCGGACTCCCAGCCATCGACTTGGCAGCCGCATTCGCATCCCGCGGCCTCAACGGGCCAATCTTCTTCGGACTCCTCGCCATTTTCCTCGGACTCGCCACCTTCCTCACCGGGCTCTGCCTCCCAACCGCCGCCGAATGAGCGCCACTACCATCACCGCCGCTCGTCCGCTGCGTCTGCGTCGCCCCCCACTCCTCAAAGACATGCGCCTCCAGCTCACCCGCCCTAAAACTGCGCACCCACCCCTTCTCCTCGCAAATATCCACCAACCCCTTAAGCGTCTTTTCCCCACTCCCCCCCAGCGTGCGCTTGCTCCCCACAACAACGAGCTTACTCCGCGCACGCGTCACCGCAACATTGACGCGGCGCCAATCGCGCAGCAAGTCGCCGACGAGGCACGCCTCGTTGCTGCGCACGCACGACACGACGACGACCTCCTTGTCGCGGCCCTGGAACTTGTCGGCCGTGTGCAGCTCGAGCGCCGGCGCGCGGTGGCGCAGCGCGTGGCGGAGCAGCGCCAGCTGCGAGCGGTAGAAGGTGATGACGCCGATTTCCGACGCGGGGATGCCCGCCGCGAGCAGCGATTCGACGACCTGGAAGGTGATGGTGCATTCGAGCGCGTTGACGATGCGGCTGCCGGAGGAGAGCGTTTCTTGCGATGCGGGTGAGAGGGCGTCCGTGTCGAGGAAGACGACTTTGTTGGAGGGGGAGAGGGTGTGGGTGAGCCAGCAGCTGCTTGAATCGTGGCCGGCGCACGCGGCAGCGGCATCACGCGGCGTCATGAACGGGGTGCTGGAGCGGTTGCGCTGAGGCTGAGCAGAGGAATGGTAGCGCTCAAGAGCGTCGATGTTTGGCACAGTGAGTGCGCGATTAGCGACTGAGTCGTTGCCACATTTGAGCCGGCCGTCGTAGATGAGCGTGTTGGAGAGCAACATGATGTCCGCGCACATGCGATACTGATGCTCTAGGCTAACAACTGCGTCAGGCTGGCCTTCCGACAATAGCTTGAACAAGCTGACATCAAGCCCGCCTTCCTGAGCTTCTTTGTTTTGGACAAGCGGCGGCAGCTGGTAATGGTCGCCAACCAAGATGAATCGCTTGGCCATTCGGATGGGTCCTAAGCAAACAGGCAGGGTGATTTGAGACGCCTCGTCGACTATGCAGTAATCGAACAGGCGGCGACGGAAGATTGGATGATTGATAGTCAGGCAAGTGGTCGCTACAACCGGAGGGTCCTTCCAAGTACGTTCCAGCTCCTCCAACGTATTTGAAGGAGTCGCGGCTACCGTTGCGAACTCGTGGACATCCGGGTGGATCTTAGCTGCAGCGCCAAGGCGCAAGATACCAATGCCATCGTTGCGGATCTTGAGCAGGATGTTGTCCACAGCGGTGTGCGTGTAAGACGTCAAGAGAACACTCTTGCCTCTTGCGACTAAGGACCGGATGATATGTGCAATAGTCGTTGTCTTGCCCGTTCCAGGCATGCCCAAAACGAGAGCGTAGTCTTCTGCGGAGAACACTTTATCCACCGCAGCCTCTTGGTCCGAATTCATGACCATAGACTGCGACTGTGCCCGAATTGAATATCCACTTGAACTTGGTTTGAACGTCGGGGCCTTCCCGTCGACAACAAGCGCGCGCAGAGCGGTAGATCTGAAGTCCCCATCGTTCATCAATTGAATGAGATTGTTTCGAACCAGAGCCATGCCGTTACTGAACTCATCTTTGTCCAGGCGGTAGAGAATCGGTTCGTCCTCGTATCCAGCACGCTTCGACGACGCAACCATCCCAGTGGTGGCGTCCATAAGACCTGCAAACGCTTGGTTGTTTTCCGGGTGGAAATCTGGCTCCCTGGTGCGGGCATTGTGGAGGCGCCTGTCTACGGCCACCGTGATCGATAGCTTTCGAACCGAGATGACGTAGCCGTTAGCCAAGGCGAAGTGACCCTTTTCATCTGAGATGACAATAGGTTCGCCGACAACGATCTGAGACTCTGTGAAAGAGAATCCAGCAGGAGCGTTGTGCTTGACGAGGTTGTACTGGAAGCGATTAATCTTCTGCCCCTCTGGCAACTCCCTGAAAGAACCGGGTTCAACCACGACATTCGCGAAACATCTACCCAGCTTCTCACGCTCATCGCTTAGCATTGTCCAGAGTTCACGATGGAATCTTTTCATCTCCGACTCTTCCCTGGTCAGAAGATAGTCCCACTTCCGGAAGAAGTCCTGGTGCGGGACTTTAAGATTGCGGACCAACTCTTCAAATCTTTTTTTTGCTGGCATTCCGAGTGATTCACCAGCACCATCTTCTGCAAGTCTGTGGTACAGGAAACACGTGTCCTGAGCATAACACCTGTTACACTGATGAGAGTCTGCTGTCATCGGTGGAAGCTGTAATCGCTCGCGAACGTAGCAGGCGAGTTCGTTCCTTTGAATGATCATCTGGCGAATCTCGCGGCGGATGGCTGGGATGCGCTTGGTATCGGAGCTTTCCAGGTAATACAGTACGCCATAGGTAACGTCCACATCTACTTTGGTTAACACACTTACTCAAGAGGCATCTTGATTCAAGAGACATACCGTATCGATCAGACATTAATAGTGTATACAATGCTGTCTGCGCCTGATGTGAGATGTTCACGGCCCTTCCTGTCTTCAACTCAAGCGGCACAGTGAGAGTCCTCTCTCCAGATTCGTCCCGCATGAATACTTGGACAGAGGCATCGACGTTGCCCTTGAGTCCGTACATTGGCGACCAAATGTGCTCCTCAACCTCAAGAAGCTTGTTGATGCTCATATGCGCCGTCTTTCCGTTTCGATCTCTGACAACGGCATCAGACTGTAAAATGTTAGCTGAGCAACAGGAGATGGAGAGACTGGAAGTAGCTTACATCTGGACGGGCTTTGACGAACACCTTAGCCCAAGCCTGGATATGCGGGATCTTGCTGACCAAGCGATCAACGACGTGCTCGACTGTGAGGCCAATCTCTAAAATAGTCTCAAACTTCCTGGGAATGATATGTTGGATCAGATCGACGATCCATTGGTGATCCCATCGGTTCTCTTTCAATGCCTCCTGGAACACCTCGTGCAGGATAGTGCCTATCATCGCAGACTCGTTTGCATCGCTGGTAGCTTTGACGCGATCTTGCAATACAGCTTTCCGCATGCAGCTAAAGGAGTCTCCGACTGTCGTAGCTGAAATGAGATGATCTGGATGGAGGATGATCATGTTGTGGTCATCATCTATTGTGCATTGACCGTCGGCTGTGAACGCCCCAATGACGTGGACGTAGGAGCCCTTGGTGCAGGGAGTATCGCACCATGCCTCCCGAAGAGTAATCGCCTTGATCTTCTTCGTTTTGTCATCCTCAACTACCAAGACCTGCGTAATGTCAGCTGATGTCCGCGATGAAGGGGTTACAGAATAAAGACCTTTTCTGGCAGCATGATGTCCCTTCCATTTTTATACTGGCCTTCTACGACGTCCACAACAAGATAACGCTGGATCGTACCGATGCATCTGCTGTGCTCACTCTCCAATAGTTCAGTTAATGCTACTCTGGTAAATAGGGTATTATGTACGCACAGATATTCCGCTAACCCCTCCTCCCTGCGTGGCTGCTTTTTCAGCTTCTTCGAAATCTTCGTCATCAAAATCATCGCCATCAAACGGGTCGTTGTCGTCATCATCTTGGATAACATGGACTTCTTGCACAGCCTGCCTCCCCTGGCCCGCTGGCGGCGGCTCCGAAGCGTGGGCTGTTGTTGGCCGAGATAACTGAGAATCTACATCCTTGATCGCATCTTCGAAGTCGTTGTCGTCGAGATCTTCAAACCCAAAGTCGTCAGAATCTTTGGTATGAGGATTGCTCTCCGTGACATCGGGTTGTGGAAGTGGCGCTGTATCGACCTGCGGCGGAGATGGCGCGTGATCAGGAGCGCTGGACGGCGGGTCTAGCATCTTCTGGGTACTACAAGTCGCAGCAACGGCAGCTTCGATAAAATCATCATCATCGAAATCCGAACTGCCAAACTCATCCCCCGAGTCATTACGCATCAGGGTGTCAGTGTCCGATGCGCCCACATTTTCGTGGTGTAGGCCTTCATCACCGGGTTCTCTCGAATTACCACGACCGTTCAAGGGTGATGGCGGAGGCGCTGAGGATTGCAAAGCAGGCAGTTCTGGAATAGGTTCGGAGCTGGAAGGGGCATTCTGCCTTGCAGGTTCTTCCAGGATCTGGCTGATTTCCTTGAGACTCCTTTGCCAGTTACTGCGCGGCCTGGGTTTAGTAATAGCCGCACCGGCGTCCCTACTATCATTTGCATTTGAGTGTGCGCGAAAGATGCCGCTCGTCCTTGATCTCTTCCTTCGGGCATTTGTGGTAGACCATTCAACACAGCTGTAGTACCTCCTCAATCCACTCACGGAGCCATCACGGGGTGACGATTCTCCTATGAGGTCGGCAGTCCTAGACATGCTAGGAGTTTCCGTGTTGAATGCATTCCTGTATCTGGCCAGTAAAGCTTGGCCGGGTTCTGCTCGTGGAGTCTCGGTCGTCATCTTCGAAGCAGGCGGCTCCATGGTGTCGCGCTGGGAGGAAACCGGCGAAGAATTCCTCCGCTTTCTCTTGGGATTCCTCTGAATCGGCGTGTGTTGGGTCTGAGTGGGAGCACCCCATCCTATCTCATCTGGTGAATGTGTCCGTTTGAGGGTCGAATCTGAAGGTTCGTCTCTATCACCTAACGGGTGCCTGGGGGCGGCAGGAGTCGCAGGGCAGGCCTTTGGCTGCTGGAGAGATGGCGCAGCAAAAGCAGAGGCATCTTCACCAGCATCGTGGTCCTTGGGAGGGTCAAGCTGAGGCATGTTCTCCTTCTCGTCAACGTATTCGGGAGCACCCTCAATGAATTGGAATCCCTTCAGCTTCCTCCTTGACTGGGATGACGCTCTGATTGGAGGACCGGTCATGGCAGGTTCGCGTTTGTCGAGGTTGGGCCTTTTGAACATATCATTTGCGCTGCGGGCACGGTGCCATTGGGGACGCGATTTCTAGAACATGTCGTCAGCGGGCTGCAGAACAGGAGCGCGAAGGAGGCGTTACCCGAGCGCCGTGCTCTTGGTCGAAGAAGGACTTCTGGCGGCTCGCCATGGAGCGGCGATGGCAGTCGGGGGCGGGGGAGCGCAGCGGAGAAATGCGCGTCGAGGAAGACGCGTCGGGGTTTGTTGCTGCTGGGGTGATGACGCGCGCACGTGCAGCAGGCCAATCAGCGAGCGCGCCTTTTTGCAGTTGCCGTTGCGCCGGACATCGGCTGCCAAGCATCGGGGCTCCGCTTGATCTTTCGAGCGCACGCACCAAACCCGCGCTCAGGCCCTCAAGATCCAGCGTCGGCGCCGCCATTTGCAATTGCGCGCTGTGTCTGCTTTCTGCCGCTCTGCCCTTGCCCGGTCCGGTTTCGCTCGCCTACATTTGGGGAAAAGGCATCATCCGTTCTCCACTCTAGCTGCCATCCGCCTTATCTTCCGCTTCCGCTCTTGCGCGCCGGTGCCGCATTTCCTCCACAACTTCCGCTGAACCCTTCTTTTGACTCTTCCACCTGCTACACCTCACCACACCGACGCCATGGCAACCGACAAGCCCCTCCCCTTCGTCTACCAGTTCGCCGCCGGTAAGCCACGCTCTTTGCGCCTTGCGACAACAATGGACTAATTTTCCGCGCAGGTGCGGTGGCTGGCGTTTCCGAGGTGAGTCGTCGCGCACGTTGATCGCATGATCCTAGGGCTAATGCGCGCTCTTGCAATAGATTCTCGTCATGTAAGGCTCTTCCTCAGTCTTTCCAGTGACATTGGCTGATGCAGACCCCAGGTACCCGCTTGACGTGGTCAAGACCAGAGTGTAAGCACGGAGCTTCCGGCCGACCGACGCGCAGACTTACTGAGACAACATAGGCAGCTTCAGACTGGCAAGGGCGCTGGTGAGGAAGCCTACAATGGCATGCTGGACTGCTTCAGGAAGATCATCAAGAACGAGGGGTATGGCAATAATTTCGAGTCGGAGAGAAGACCGCAGCGTTGACGTGTGCCCAGTTTCTCGCGCCTGTACCGTGGTATCAGCGCGCCCATCATGATGGAGGCTCCCAAGAGGTATGCTACATTTCCTCCGACCAAAGTGTGAGGATTGACCTATTCCAGGGCTACCAAGTTCGCTGCCAACGACGAGTGGGGCAAGTTCTACCGCAACCTATTTGGCCAGGCGCAGATGAACCAGAGCCTTTCCATTCTGACCGGCGCCTCCGCTGGTGCCACTGAGTCCTTCGTCGTCGTTCCCTTCGAGCTGGTCAAGATTCGTCTGCAAGACAAGGCCCAGGCCGGCAAGTACAACGGCATGCTTGACTGCGTCTCCAAGATCATTAAGCACGAGGGTCCCCTCACTCTGTACCAGGGTCTCGAGAGTACCATGTGGAGGCACATCTTGTGGAACGCCGGTTACTTTGGATGCATTTTCCAGGTCCGCGCGCTCCTGCCCAAGGCAGCGGACAAGACTTCGCAGATCAGGAACGACTTGCTCTCCGGTGCCATTGGTGGCACGGTTGGTACCATCGTGAACACGCCTATGGACGTTGTCAAGTCGCGCATTCAGAACACTCCCAAGGTTCCCGGTGTCGTTCCCAAGTACAACTGGGCTTGGCCGGCTCTTGGCACGGTCATGAAGGAGGAGGGTTTCGCCGCGTTGTACAAGGGCTTCCTGCCCAAGGTGCTGCGTCTGGGACCGGGTGGTGGTATTCTGCTCGTCGTCTACACCGGCGTTCTGGATTTCTTCAGGAAGATGAGGAGCGAATAGAGCGCTGCATATTTCGGCAATTGGTTGAGGGGCGTATGAGCGAAGATATCGGTAGATCTCTGCCTTCACGTAGACTGTACGACCATTGCGAGAGGCACAGCGGTTTAGGAGCGAAAATAGATAAAAGAAAAGCAAAAGCCAAATCACAGCACTCCTATGGAATAGCTGTAACTATAACCAAGTGCACAATGGCCATTGTCACTACGTAAAGAAAATACCGAGCTGCCGGTTGATCAACGTTAAGCGTCATACCCGGGGGAGCTCGGTCCCCACCATGCGCTCGCGTGGGTACCGCTCCGCATTCCACACCACCACCAAACGCACCTTCCACAGCAATGAATAAAACTTAAAATCTCTGGGCAGTACCTCAGCGGTACAATCGCAACGCCCACGACCCGATACCCTGACCACGACCGACACGTCCCGCCGCAAAACGCGACGCACGGAGCGCGCGCGAACGCAACGAAAACATACGCCCACGCAAACACACGAGAAAAGCGGACATGCCGTCGCCGAACATCCTCCCGCCGAACCCGTCGCTCGTCGCCATCCTCCTCGTGATCAAGTCGCTCTCGGGCCCGCGCCTGGTCTTCCACTACCCGCCGCATCCCGTAGGACCCGCCAACGCGACACCGCAACACCCGCAATGGTACGGCACATCCGGCTCAACGCTGACCGACGATGACGACGATTCGACGAGCAGCACGACCAGCAGCGGCTGGAGCTCCGAAGGCGGCGATAGCGACGCCGCCGGGTCGGACGAGGCGTCCGAGGCTGAGGGCGCGAGCAGGGCAGGGAGCAGAGGCACGAGTAAGGGTACGAGCAGAGGAACGGGCCTGAGGGACGGGCGGAGCAGAGGACAGAGGAGCTTGAGGTCGGCAAGTGAAGATGTTACGGAAGAAATTGGCGATGATGATGATACGGGTCTGAGGGATGAGGAGGGAAGGGGAGGTGCTGGAGGGTCGGGTCCGCCGGGGAAGAAAGGTGGCATTAGTGCGCAAGAAGATGGAGGTCCCGAATGGGAGAGCGTGATGGGATTCAAGACTGAAGGATTGGAGAAATTGCTCTGCCCTGGCAAATCGTTCAACAAGAGAAAGTTCGAGGTGGGGATGGAGGGACTCAGCTTCTTAGGCCATCCTATGTTTGCGAAGGGGAACGGTGCGTGGAGGAAAAGGAGAAGGAGCGAGAAAAAGCGCGAGGCTGCCAATCAAGAGGAACTGCGGGACAATGGCAATGGCCAGGAATCGGATGGTCATGAGAGTGCGCTGGCCGACGATGAAGATGAAGGCGTCGACGTGACTGGCCCTGAAGACGGTATGCCCACCATTGAACTTCCTCCAGGCTTCGAGCCGGGATACGGACATAGAATGTCTGACGAAGCTTCCGATGCCGGTTCAGATGCAAAAAGTGCTTCCACTGCTGGTGGAGATACTGAGATGACCATGTTCAATGTTGTGTTTGTGCTAAACCCTCCAGCATTGGAGTACCAGCTCCGGACCGGCGAGATGTATGATAACGTCATTCGCAAGTTTGCGAAGGACCTTAAATATGAGCAGGCTAAGACCAATTATGTATGGAGAGAATCGAAGATCATTCTCAACCTGAAGAATAAGGCGAAAGAGAACAGTGAGTGTTGAGAACAATATCATGTTGGGGATTGACGGTTAATTATCTGGCCAGGAGAACCTATGTCCATGCTTTGGCACAGCATCATCTCATCGTCGCCCTTAGCAAAGGCCATCGCCATCATTTACGATGCCATCTCCAATAACAAGATTGCACATATCAATCTTGCGACATTGGCTGACGCCTCATATCAAATACCTCAGGCTCCTTCTACCCCTTATATACCTCGACCAACGGAACCGCAGATGCCAGGACTATGGCTAACGACTGCAAATCTCCCAGATGAGAACACCGAAGCGGACCCTGCTTTTACCGTTGCACTCACGCCGCATTCTGCTCTTTTGCTGTTAGAAGATAAAGAGACTCTTCTCAAGGAAATCGAAGGGGATGCTAAAGAACACTCCGCACAACTGGCCTTCTACATCAGCAACCTGGAACCCACAAGGTCACTTCACAAACTCGCGCTTCAGAACAAGATCCCCGTAGCTGATCTAGAGTTCATCGCGGCACACCTCATCTACTGGCGCCGGGCGCGAGCCATCCCGCCACTTCACCACAGGGACATCTACATCGTCTCTCCTAACGCTGACATGCGGAAACTGCCCCAGGCCATTCCAGCATATGCGGCACGCTTTCCCACGCTCCCTTCGCTTCCCAAGATGCTCAGTTTCCTTTCAAACCAGTCACCACGGACGTACGGCACCATAATACCCAGTAAAGACCACCGTATTGCGTACATGGATATCCTTGCTTGGCTGATGCGCGGTGGCTGGGTGACCCAACTCCGTACCTTTGCCTGGATCCGTGTCTCTCCCGAGGTCCAAGCTGAGGTTGCAACCATCATGGAGCGCGAAGCCAAGGAAGCCGCGCGAGCTGCCATGCAGGCAGCACGGGAGAGGCATGCCGCGCTTGAGCTGCACTCGGACGACGGCTCCGACCGCGCCACCATAGCCAGCGACGACGTGCCTTCGACACCGATACACAGCTACCGCCGCGAAGAGCGCTCTCCGCGGTCGGACACGGCGTCGGACGGCGGATACAGCTCGCGGACTCAATTACGCGCGTCGTCGACGACCAGCAACCCGGGCGGCTCCTCGAGCCTGACGACCAGCCCGACGGCACACCGCAACTCACCGCTGTACGCCTCGGCGCTGCACGTCTCTCACTCAGCCACATCGCTGACGGGGCTCAGCACCGTCTCGTCCAACGCGTCGTCGGGCATGCCGCACGGCACCCCCAACACGCCCCAGCGCACGGCCAACTCGCTCCGCCACCACCTGCACCACCCACACCACCTGAACGGCGGCAGCGGTGGCGCCGGCGGCCCCGGCGCTAGCGCCTCTCAGCTCCATCACCACCACGGCGGCGCCGCGCTCGGTGGGTCGCACATGCACCACCACGCCGGTCATGGCCACGCGGCGTCGAAGGACCCGGCTGACTACGCACCCCGCATGATATACAGCCCGCAGCGTGCGAATGCGCTAGAGGCTCGGTGGATCGAGCATATCAGGAGCAGCTTCGTCAGCGACGAGGGCGTCGAGAAGGAGGTCAGAGACTTGTGGCCGGCGTTACTGAAGTATTTTGACGGGAGGCATGCGCTGGATGATATTGCGGGGAGAGAAGGGATAAAGAGGAAAAGGGTGTGGAGCGTGCTGGGCGTGTTGAGGGAGAGAAACGTGCTGTATTTCGTGAGACATTGGTAGTTGGTGCTGCGGATACCCTGGTAGGCGCGGATAGTGGTGTACATAATGGTACTCAGAAAGAACGATGGAATGACTCGTATCCGTATATAATCAACCTTGACAACTTTGAAGCTTGTTTGCATTTTTAGAACCCGTAAAGTAACAAATCACGACAGCTTATGTTCCGGTCGAGGCAAAGCGGCGCTAGTGTACTTCTGTGCTGTTGTAATTAAAGCGTCTTCATCATGGGAAATCGTAGGTTACGTTTAGAGCAATAGTCACATTGCTGAACAGTCGATAGAAAGGTATGTCTAGGCGGCCCTGGAATAATTTTTACTTCTCAACTAGAACGATAAATTCTGAATAGAAGCGATCTTGCTCAATACGACTTTGTGCAGTGTTAGCGGTTCACCAACATGCGAAAGTAGAATCCTACCATACAGTACCACTACTTAGAGAGGATTATTGCAGCCGAACGCTAGCGTGAATACCTTTTCGCTTGTGCTATGGGTAGTTAAATAACTACTTGCAAATATCATAAAAATCCATCTATCCTAGGGGGCCGTAGTTACCCCCTGCTCTAAGACCCTGTTATTATTCGCGCTAGCCTTTAGCTGTAATACCCCTACTATCGGCAAATGTGATGCACAGTACTAATACTGCCATAGAGGAAGTTTTTAATTAAGAAAAAGCATGATAACCGTCTCCAATATTGTTCCTACTTTGCTGTAATTTTTGAAGTTGAAGTTCTCAGAAGTTCAAATCTATTACGCCGAAAGTTCGCATGGGAGTCACGCCCACTCTTGACATCGCAAAGTATTTGATAAGAGAGGGCTGCACAAAGAACAGCTCATATGCTGGTTGGCTTTCCACCTTGTCACCGTTATTCACGTCGAGACGACCGCTGTAACTCCGCCCATGTGGAGGGGGACACTTTGTAACTAACAAAGCCGCGGGTGCTGGTGCGCACAAGGGAGATTCAACACCAGAATACCGTTTGACCAGTTGAGCAAGGAATCATCCAATCGATAGGGTTATATCTACCATCGGCGGTATAAACATGCCGATTCCCACGGCCGTTCACATTCCATCCACGAGCCCCGATCCATGACCATGTGAAGCCTCCCGTCCCTCTCTAAACGCCTTTGATATGCACCGCTCAAATACCCAAGTAGAATTTCCCGCGCTCATACACAAAGAAACTCGTCGCGGCCATGGGTATGACCTTGACGTAGCCGATCGTCAAACCGACAAAGAAGCCCCTCCACCCCCTTTCTAGCCAGATTCTCCGCGCCACCTCCCTCATGCCAAGCCTGTGCCCGTCACCCACCACGCCGCCGACCTGCATTCTCCGGCGGATGATTTCGAATGGGTACGAAACCGTTTGGCTGAAGAAGCCGGCCAACCCGCCGCTCGTCAACTCTGCCCATGACCTCAACTGTGCCGGTCTATGCCCGCCGCGCATGTCATCGGAGCGCTCGGTGTTCGGAATCGTCGTGTGTGCAGCAATAGAATGATGGCGCAGCAAATCGGAGATGGTGTCGTGCGTCAGGAACGAGCAGCCGGCATACGGTAGCATGCCCCACAAGGTGGGGGTGAAGCCGCGGAAGAAGTTGGCGAGGCCGCTTCGCGGTGTAATCCTTTCCACAGTGGTAGCGGCGACTGCTACGGGCGCTCCGACAACGCGACTGACGGTCGAGCCGCCTGTTTGAGGACTTGCAGGATGTACTGTGGACGATGTCTCGCGGTAAATCATTTTGCAGATGCCCGAGAGTGTTGATCGTGCATCCTGGCGCGTTTCGAAGGCAAGGCGGACGCGTATGACTTCTAAAGGATAGGTGAAGAATACGGAGACGGTCCCCGCCATGGAACCGCTAATGAATCTTCTAAACGGCGTCTCTTGTTCCTTGTTCTTTATGACTTTGTTTCGTATTTGCTCGTACGCGAGGAATTTGATGCCGGCGTAAGGGAAAATTCGTAGTAATGTTGCGGAGTGGCCCTTGAACAAGCCTCGCACACCATTCTGGTGGTATATGTCTCTTAATGCAATGGCCACACCGCTCCAAGAACCGGTGTATTTTTGAAATTGGGGGTTGGAAGCTTGGAAGAGGATCTTCACGCGATCCAGGGGTCCAACAACTGTTTTAGCCTGCAGCCACTGTTAGCCCAAATATGCGCTTGCAGGTGTGGAAAGGGGCGCATACCGCGCATCCGGCCACGCCTCCAGCGACGCCGCTCTTGATGATGTATTCCCAACTCCTTTTGTCGAGCTTTCTGGCGCTGGCCTGCGCGGCGGGCTTCCGGGGGACAATCGCATCGTCGTCTGTGGGACAAATGGCCGGACCACGGCCAGGGCGGTGGGATTCGGCGTGGGCGGCGGTCATCGCTGGCCGTTGGGAATGGATGGTGTGGGCGAAGTCGGTTTGGCTGGGTTGGATAGGATTATTCTGCTCTTCATGGCCGCGCAAGATGCGCTCTGGCATCCGATCAGGGTCTCCGCGCACACTTTGCGAATGCGGGGGAAAGGGTGGGGAGCGGTTGAGGAGGGCGACTTTGTTCGAGGCAATGTCGTGGGCTGGCAGGTCAGCGGTATTGCAGCGTTCGTCATTAGACCTCGGTCTGCGGAGCCCAGATCCGCCCCCGACCCGACTCCGGGTACCCCTCCAGCCGCCCCTAGCCGCCCCCTGCAGCGTCCAAGCTCGCGCGCGTGCCGAAAACTTCAACACTACATGCACCTCACGTGCGACTTGAGCCTGATCAACTTTTTTGCGGCCTCCAACATTGCGGTCTAGCTTGTGCGCGGAGCGCTGCGCGTAGCCGGCGGCGGGAGGCCCAGCGAGCGAACCGTGCAACTGCGGCACTTATAAATGCGTCTTGCTGCGCTGTGCTGCAGCGAAGTTTGGCCAAGGGGATTTTTCCCTTTCTCTTTTTAGCAGGCCGGTGTGCTCCTGGCAGCCGCTGCGTGCACTGAGGCGATCAGAGCTCGGAGCATGGGTGCTGGTTTTGCTTTCTGCTGCATGCGTTGTAGTGCTAAGGCTGCGCGGTGCCATGACAACGCGTCTTCCTCCGCGAGACAGACCCTTTCACAACTTTCCAAGATCTTCGTCACCACATCTCTTTCTCTTTTTCCTGTGCTCACAAACTCTTCTTTCTCGCAACAACATCGTCGGACCGGAAGCGCTGGCTTCGGCAGCTGCTGCCAGCCTGTCAGCTATCGCGTCAACGCTCACAGTTCTTCCTTACTCTACGCTGCTCTTCTTTCTCGCCTCGCACCTCACCGCGACGCGTTCGCGCGACTCCAGTCACCCAGTGACGGTCACGCTCAGCACCACACCCTTCTTTCATTGCCGTCAAGGTACATCCGCCGCACATTCATCGCGCCGGTCGCGAACGCCAAGATCTAGTGCTCGGAACCATGTACGGCATTACCTGGAAAAACAAGGACCTCACGGTCTTTCTGGTCGACATTCCGGAATCGATTGCCGCCGCGCAGGTTCTGAAACTTCAGCGTGTTACTTCATATCCAATTTCGATGAAGCCACAGATCAAGCCCTATGACAACCAACCAGTGGCCAAGACCGAAAAGGCCAGGAAGAATATGGAGAATCAAACAGACCCAAGGCTGAAGTTGGTCTTCGACGAGATTCGACCCTACGTTGTGGACGCTCTCAGCCAAATCAAGACCGCTCTGGACACCAAGCTCTGGTGCGAGGACCGCTACTACACTACGAAATCATTCTATAAGCAACGCATGGAGCAGCAGGAGCATGACCCCAATGGTGAGAAAGGCCATACGGTACGCGATTCTGCACACGATTCTGACACAGATGCTACTGATCGAGTCACAACGCTCAAGATCCCATGGCAATTGTTGGGGTTGCTGGTGCAAGGATACCCTCACACCCGGACCGCGGAGAGCCAAGATCTTCATGATGAGAAGCCGTCATTCCCCGAAAACTTCAGCCGCTTCTTCTACAATCCCAACGATAACATGCTGACACTCTCATACGTGCCCGATAATGCTGCTGCTGATCAGATGAGGGCCATGGGCCGGACGATGGCGTACGGAGAGGAAAGGCCACAGTATGATAAGAATCAGCATTTCTACATCCCACCGGATGCTAGCTTCATCCTTGGAGACTGCACGCGGGGCAAGGACCTCGACAATGCGGTGCAGTACATGCATGCAAAATACGAACACCCGAAGCAATTCGACTTCATCGTCATGGACCCGCCGTGGCCCAACTCCTCTGCGCAGGATTCTTCTTACTACCAAGTGTTTCAAAGGATCTGGCACATGGACAACATGTTCAATAGGATGGACCTCGATATGCGGATTGCTCCTGGAGGATTTATCGGAGTGTGGGTCACCAACAACCAGAAAGTCCGCGACTATGTCCTCGGTCCCGACGGCCTCTTTGCCAGATGGGGTGTTGCTTTTGTCGAGGAGTGGATCTGGATCAAGACGACAGTAGATGGAACGCCAGTGATAGACTTGGACAGCACCTGGCGCAAGCCATGGGAATGTTTCTTAATTGGTCAGGCTCCGGACAAGCGCAACACCTACTGGCCGCCAGTTGGCAACTGGCACGTCAACAAGCGCGTGATTGCCGCCGTACCGGACACTCACTCGAGGAAGCCGTGCCTGAAGCCGATCATTGAGAAGATTTGGCGGAAGTCCGAAGGCCAGTACTCTGCTCTGGAGGTGTTCGGTAGGGTCTGTATCTCAGGATGGCTTGTTTGGGGAAACGAAGCCACAAAGCTCAACTATTCAAGGTATTGGGTGTCGGAGGGGGAGAACATGGAAGGCGTGGAGAAGTGGTCCGCAGAGGAGCACTTGAACGCCTCAAGGGAGAACAAGAGCGAGGAGGAGATGGCGGCTGTTGCAGGGATGGCTGGCCAGAAACGGAAGTTCTCGTCCCTGCATTAGTCGTCGTCTCCTCCAAGCTCTTGTTCTCCCTTGGTATGTAGAGAATAAAGGAGACTCTCAGCAGAGAAACATGTTCCAAACATTGTTCATGCAAAGCAAACACGGCGCTAGTGAACGTGCAGTCGCGCATGATGGGGTGTGCTTCACGCATAAGTAAGGGGCCGTCGCATGTTGTCCATCGCACGATACGCTTACTGGTCTGTTTTCGGTTAATGGAATGGGGGAAACAACGGCAAAACAGGTGGGTACAGGTAGCCGTGCCCGGCCGTTTCGAAAACTACGCGAGTAATGAGACTAGCATGTGAAAACGGTGATGGCGTCAGGATTGCTTCTCTGACCGCCACAGCGTCCTGGCTCATTCTACAAGAATAGGTCGTTGGCCTGGGTACGACGTCCTTCTGCAACCTCGTCGAAACGAACCCCCGCGAGAAACGACGAAAATAGACAGCACGCTTACGTTTCAAGACATATTCGAACGTCTAAAATGTGAATCTGGCTTGAAAATTCGTGAGATTGCTCGCGGACCGTGGACGAGAGTACAAAGGATGACGTGAACTTTTAAGTCTTGTCTGACGCGTGGTCGCCACAGTGAAGCCACGGTCCCAAGTGCGAAAAAAGGTTGCGATAGGATGCACTCGTGAAAAGAGCTGGTCAGAAGATGGTGCGGGGTTGATGATGAAGAGTGTCAGACAAAAAGCATGTTTTTACCTGAGGTCACTTTCATGGGGTTGCTCGGCCCTTCTCCTGCGTGCCTAACGTGGAGGTTGTCGCAACACGGTCGGAGAGGAGTTGAGGTTTGAAATTTTCGTCTCTGCCAACACTTCATTCGTCGTTCTTCGTCGACCCCGGACATATCCATCCACATTGTGGAGATACGCACAACAGCGCAGCCGCCGGAAGCGCCTCCTCGGCCACAAGGAAGACGTCAACCGGTTATCTGTCAGGCTGACCACGCGCGCATCCCCCGGAAAATGCGGTAGTTTTTTGCAACTGTCTCCACAAGGGACAACGGGAATGCCAGTTGGGGAGTGATACTCCCGAACAGCTCTAAGATGATGACATCAATGGTCCGAGAAAAGGGCGCAGGGTGTGGCTGGTGGTACCCGCAAAATCCCCGCTGGCCGGGATGCCGTCGGATTATCGCCTGTCAGCGCTACATCAGGAACCCTAGCGCCACTGCTACCCGGGGCTGATCAGGGTCTTCCCAAGCTGTCAAAAAGAAAGGGAGGCTCACAGGAGGCTGACCGGCTGTGGATCTGCGTTATTTCTGCTCCCTACAGATCTACACACCTGCAGAAAGCACTGAAGCATTGGTGTTGTAGAAACTCGGAAGTACAAACATGATTCGCGGTTTTAAACTGCAGGGGGGAGTGCTCTGCGCCAAGTGGATTCAGATGACGGCACATGTGGATCACTGTGCACATTCATCTCGGTCAAAGTGTGCCGTTCCGAGCCAGAGGGTGGATACGAATAGGACAAAGTTCTCGAAGACGGTCGGTTAGGGGCGACTACCTAGCCGACCGCCTTGCAACGTGCGCCCAAGGATGCGCGGACGGGGACAGCCTGCTGCCTTTTGCGGTCCCAGGCGCGGTATGCGAAGCGCTACACCGCCGCACCATGACAGGCGACGGATGCAGCAGACCCTTCGGCAGGCGCGCCAGCTAAAATAGAGTTCTTCTAGAATGATTTGACGTGAAGAGGCGAGGCGGAAAGAAGAGCGAAAACATCGGCCGCGTGGTTGCCACGTTTTTTGAAACTCAAGCGGCATACAAGGAGCTAGGGCACCGAAGGTTAGAAAGGACCGACGGCGGTTTGAGCGGTGCGCCCTCCAACCAGTCGTAGCTGAATGTCAGCGTAACCCGAAGTTAAGCCCAGGCATGGCCTGTGTGACATTTTCGCTGTGCCCGCCGGGCTGGGCGGCGGTCATCCGGCGGCGGCATGGATCTCCCCGTGCGGCACCGCTCGCTCCGCGCGGGAGAGAAGTGCGGCAGCTAGTCCGTCGTCGTTTGGGCAATATTCGACGAGAGGTGTGCCTCATCTGGTGCCTTCACGGGAACACTTGCGCGACACCAATACGCGGCTGATCGCAGCGATCAAACCCGAGTGCCGCCTGTTAGAAGGCAGCGAGCACCACCGTATCCATATTTTCTCCGCAGCTCGTCATGCTTGTAACGCGCAACAGCGTGCGACCGCTTCCCGCCGCAGGGTGGGAGTAACGCACCGAGCGCTCAGGGTCGTAGATAGGTCCGGGAGGAATTTTGCCCTGCAGGTTGCGCACGTATGGGATACGGAACCCACGCCGGCTAGTTAGTGCGGAGCGGCGTCGCATCGCGGCAGGTTGAAAGGGACGGCAATATGCCATTTGTCCGCGGCTGATGGCTATCAGCCCTCCGGCGCAAAAATGCCCACCCGGGCGTGCCCGAGATGAGATCTTGTAGTAACAGCGTCATCGTTGACGGACCCCCACTCACAATAGCGCCGGGATCCACTGGTGCTTGGTCGCCTTGCTGGCAGCATGTGCAAGTCGGCAGGAGACTAGCAGGAAACCAGCAGCGCTGTGACAGCACTGCCAGCGCGCGAAGCCTGCTTGCTGATGCTGAGTGATGGTGAGACGTGTCAAGGCAGCTGAGGAGTCATTCCCGCGGCCAACTGGAGTCATCTGGGAGCCTCAGCCGCTGATTTTCGGGGCGGTGAAAGCTTTGGCCTGGAAAAGCGTTGGCCACGGGGCCGGGTTCCTAGCTGAGCGGTGAAGCTCCGACCAACAACTAACGCAGCACATCGCTCCCTGGACCGTAGTAAATTTTACTAGGCGGAACGCCACACAGCCCCGGTTACCGAGCCAGGGTGGGTGCTCCGCCGTGTTTGTTGCTCGTTGATATAATAGATGCACGCGCCTCTTCCCCATGATTTGATTCACACCCAAACGCCAGCCGATATCACATTCACGCGGCCTTTGACCACTCGTCCACGCGGGCACCCACCACGCAACTATATTGGTCGCTTCCGCCCATCACCCGCCTGCTTGTCGCAACAGCCTCGCTGCCACCACCACCGCATAACGACATTATGAATATCACGCCCAGCAGCTCCGCATCCTCTTCTCCTCGCTCAACCTTCTCCATGGCTTCCACATCCAGCTCCTCGTTCTCGAGCTCGCCTCGGGACATCTCGGGCTCGTCTCCGGCCGGCTACTCGTGCGCCTATCCCAGCTGGCCGACCGGCAACAGTTTCGGCTCGGGCGTCTATCGCAACAACACCCCCAGCTCCTACATCAGCGACGAGGATCTCTTCGGCGACGACCTGCTTGGTGGCTCTCCCTTCCTCGAGGAGGCCCCCGCGCCGCCCCGGATTCCGCAGATGCCGCAGGTCGCACAGCCCCTCCTGCCGCTCTACGCCACCCCCAAGAAGTCCAGGCAGCCGAGCTCCAAGAAGCAAAGGCGCCCGTCCAAGCCGATGAGCCCCATCAGCGAGTCGCCTGAAAAGCCGGCCGAGTGAAAGGCCGGTATTCTCACATCATCGATATTTAAGGTAAGCGACTCATTTCCCGATGCGGGTCGCCGGCCCTAGGGCCCACGATCCGAGGACATCAAAACCCGAGCAAGGCTGACTCAGTCCCCAGGATGATTCTTTATCCCACATCTCGGCCTTGACTGTTCCGGAGCGTTTTCCGATTTTTTACGATACCCCATCCGATACCCCATTCTTCATTTCGCAACATGCAGTACCACGACTCTAGCTGCCGCCACGCCCGCCGTGCCCGAGGGTTGCACGCTCCTAGATGAAAGCGTGCAATTCGCGACACGATTGTGATCAGCACAGACGCGGACGTCACTTGCACGGCGGCAGCGCCGCACACCGACACATGGCGCGCTGCGCGCGCTGCCCCATCCATCCTCCCATCCAGCGACACGATGCGCGCGCACAGCGAGACGCGCATCGCTCCACGCGCCACGCACACCGGCAGCACTGCATAAGACGAGGCTGCCGCTGTGATACGGCCAGCCCTCGTCGCAGTCATCCCGGCCCGGGACGCGGCTCCCGGGCTTTAGCTGACGATCTGGATCGCTCCGCCAGCGTTAGCCCTTTTCTATTTCTTTTTTAGTTCATAAGCATCGCCCAAAGTGGCAGTATCAAGGGATGAGCCCTGGACAGGAGGAACCAAGGAAGCCGGAGCTGGATTTCGGAGCGACATGTCTATCTTTATCATCTGCAATAGCGTGGAGAGAGTTCCAGAAGCATATGAGGAAGCCGTCTGGCCAGGCCACACGCGCTCCGAGGGGAAGCGGGACGAGTGGCGGCAGGGTAGCTGTTAGCCCGGGCGCTTAACGCCCTGTGAAATGCAAAGCAGATGAAATCACACACAATCTTCGCAACAGCATCGTTCGGTTCCTTCGTGATAGTGAGGATGATGGTGCGATAGGGATGACGGCCCCCATGCTCCGAGCGACTCATTCGCGGCCAGCTATGACAGAATCCGCCGCTCCTTTCCCCTTCCCCGCGGCGCGGCGCTTGCCCAACCGCAGCGCTTTGGCCTCGCTGCAAGTCACACAACACGCAGGATCCACAAGGTTGAGCCGGTTCGTGCCCGTGAATGAGTCGTTCGGAGCGGCTGCGCTCTATCCCAAACGAAGCTCTGATGAGGCGATCGGAGGGCCGGGTTCCTGATTACCTGCTGCTGGCGGAGCTGCAACCAATATGAGGGGCCAGTTGGCAATGCAGCGGACATGGTGCGGATTGGAACAAGTCGATTGGTACGATCCCGGCTCGCATGAAAGCGTGCTGGCCGTCCAGTCACCTCGCCTGCCTCCATTCACACGACCATGGCTGGCTGGGCGCGAGATGGCGGGCGGCTCTGGCGCACCTCTTCCCTCACCGCAAAATGGCGAGGCTCCATTATTCCATCTCGCTCGTGGGCGTTTACGTTGGGCGCTGGGCAGCAGCAGCACACGTCATGCAGCATGTGGACGGCAAGAAAACGGTTTAATGTGGGCAGCGGACATGGAGAAGCGAGAAAAGGACAGATCATGGTGCAAGCGAAGCCTGTTCGCCGGGCTCGCGCAGCCCGTGGGCTTGGGAAGGGGAGTGGTGGAGCTGCACGAGGGAAAAACCCAACGCGAGAGGTTGGGATTGTTATTACGGAGACGTGCGGCGCAGGCACGATCGACCGCTGTGCAACTCTCCCAGCTAGCGAAAACGGGGCGGCGGCGGGTGAGGTGGTTATGTTGTCTTGCTTGCGTGTGAGCGCTGCGCCACGGCGCGCGAGGCGCGAGAGGCGCGAAAGCCTCGCCGGAGCTTTCGCGTGCGGCGTCGGGATTATTATAACAATCGCCATCTGTCGAGCCTCACGCTGGGGGCCAGGGCGTGGCCGAGGGTGAACGGCGGGCTCTCTGGTCCTGATGGCTTGACGTGCCTGCAGCAAAGCCGTCGAATTAGCGGTAAGCAACCGGGATGCGGGGGGCCCAAGCTCCAAAAAGGCGTGGACGGCCAGCGGGCGGACGTGTTTGGAAACGCTGATAGGCTGTGTAGCCGCCGACAATCACAGGCTTGGCGTCTTCGCAGCACACACGACCCAGGATTGAATGGGATTACTGGAGGCACGGCGCGTGGAACACGTCCGGATCACCGTGTTACCGCCTCTCATGCGGCCCAGTGGGAGGCCCGGGAGCAACGCTACGCCCCGTTGCCGCTCGCCCCAGCGCATCCGTCGACCGCTAGATGGTGTTGGTTGCAGAGTTTGCAGGCGATTATTAGACGCCTTGCCTTCTCTTTAAAGAAGACCCCTGGTGTCGTGCGGTCACGAGAGAGTGGCTGCCAGATAGGCGCCGGCGATTGATTCGACTTCCGTTCATTGCAGGCCTGCCACCCCGGTGCTGCTTCTCCCTCTTATTCTGTCCCAAGCTAGCTGCAAGCCGCACTCTGCCGTACCTGCCCGCACCAAGCGGGCTCATGCAAGTCCGTCCACACACAGCACAGTCACAGACGCGTGCGAGCCACAGGGTACGTGCTGGAATTCCCCGACCATGGTATACAAGGCCTCGCCGCCGCCCTCGAGCCCCAAGACTTGTTCTATTTCTGGCATTTCGCTCCCTCCTCTCCACCACCGCGCTGCTAGATGGTCCCCCGTCTCAACCTGCTGCTAACCCGAGCTCGCCACCGCAGCAGCAGTCATGTCCGCCGGCCAGCTGCGACGACACCGCTCGACGTCGCGCAGCAGCTCGCGGCGTGACGAGCAGTCGTCCTTCGCGCCGCCTGCGCCGAGCATAACACCCAAGGCCCAAGAGTTCGAGCCCTGCGCCGCTACCGCCTCCTTCTTCCTGTACGCCCAGCGGAACGTCATCCTCTGCCTACACCACGACACATTGGCCATTGAACGCCGCCTGGCCCTGCACCGCGAGGACGTGGCGTGGATTGCCGTCGACAATGTGAGCGAGAGGGGGGCGGGGCGGTTGGTGGTGAGCTACGACGTCGGCAACACGGCCATTGTCTGGGACCTCCTCACCGGAGACGAGGTCGCGCGCTTCGCCGCCTACGAGCAGATCAACGCTGCAACATTCATGCGCAATGGCAACGTCGCGTTCGGTAAACAACACCTTGTGACGCATCACAGCTACCTAGCTAACGCGCAACAGGCAACTCGCAGGGCAACGTGATCCTCTTTGAGCCGTCGACCTCCGAGCACATTTCCGCGCGCACAATCTTCGACCCCATCACCGCCTTGGCGCCCGCCGCTGACTGCCGCACCTTTGCCATTGGGTATGATCGGGAGCTCTGACCTGCGGGTCGGTCCCTACGGGAGGATTAGTTCGCTAACGGCGGCTATAGCTACCAGAATGGCTCCATCCTCATCGTCACGCTGCAACCGACTTTTACCATCCTGCACACCCTCACCACCCCGAAGCAGCCCTCGCCCATCATCAACTTGGCCTGGCATGGCTCGTCGTCGAAGCAGAAGTCGGAGATGCTCGCCACTCAGACGTGCGATGGCGATCTTCGCGTCTGGAGCGTGCCCAAAGCTCCGAGTAGCGACCCGCCCTGCGTGATTCGGATTCTCAATCGGTCCGAGAACAGGGAATCTGGTCCGTGCTGGTTCGGCTGGTCCAAAAACGGACGCATCGTGCAGTACTCTGAAGGGTAAGACCTGTCTCGGTAGCATGCCAATCTTATGAAGCTTGGTGCTGATGCTTATTCTTTCTGACAGCGCCACCTACGCCTGGGACGTGAGAACTAAAAAAGTCACGTACGACATTATTCCGACCATAGAAGGCGTCACCGCCATCGCCAACTTTGGCCCGGGTGCTGTTCTGTTCACCCTGGGCCGCAACCACACTGTTCAGCAGTACGACATCAACCCGAACCAGACTCCCGTAATAGTTGCCAATGTCCAGCACGTGCCGGCGAATACACCCCCCTCGCCGCCGAATTCGATCGAAGAGAAGGAGCAGCAGAAGCACCACTATCACCATGAAGAGGAAATCGAGCACGAGCATCACGAACCTGCTCCAGCTTTGCCCGTCTATCTCGATGAGAGCAGCGAAGGTGAAGGGGCCGCCACCATGTCGCCCCTGCAGAAGATTGCGCAAGAGATGGATCAACTGGAGGAAGAGAGGCGGGATCGCGTTGGTCCCCTCAGCCCTGTGTCGAGCCGCGGTTCTACGAGCTCTCGCTCGTCCGGGGGATCGCGGAGAAATCTTTACCGATACGACAAGCCGTCTTCTCGATCCTCTGAAAGCTCGGACGGAACCGTCTTTTCGTCCGGTTCCTCCATGCGGTCTGGCTCTTCTTACAGGGCTCGTGAAAGCATGTCCATCCGTTCCGGCTCCTCTCTCGCATCTTCAAGACACCGTTCCAGGGGCTCGTCCTCGCTGCGCAAGGAAATGCTCCGGAGCCCAGAAGAGAGCACGAATACCTCGGAACTGGATCTTTTCCCCTTCACAAAAGCCAGGCTCAGCGATGTTCCGTTCAGGATGCCGCAGCCAGGTGCGGCGAAGAGTCCCGATGAGCTCAGGCAGCAAATGCTCAGCGTGGTTTTTGGCTGGGAAGATGACATTGAAATGTTAATTCGCGATGAGCGTAAGTTTTGTTACCCCGTGATTGTCGAGCTGCAGCTAATTCGATCAGTGAGCCGTCATTCGTCAGGTTCAGCTAGTAGTGTCCTACTTTCTAAATGGCTTGGTGACAACGGGGCCGATTTGATGGCTTCGATGATTGGCTCCGAGTCAATGACCTCTTCCGACTGGATGCTGCTCGCCCTGTGCTCAATGGGCCAGAACTCGCAGAGAAAGGTCGGAGAGGCGTTTGTGCAAAGGCTGATGGAGAAGGGCGACATCCATCCTGCAGTTGCAATCCTTCTCGGCCTCGGTGAGTTGAACGAAGCTGTCGAGGTGTATGTTGCTCGCAAATACTACCTCGAGGCTGTCCTCCTCACCTGTCTTCTTTTCCCTCACGACTGGCAGCGGCAATCCTTCCTAGTCCGGAAATGGGGTGAGGTCGCAGTTACTACTCGTCAGCCTGAGCTTGCAGTCCGATGCTTCTATTGTACCAGCATGGAATCCACCGAACCCTGGTCATCCCCCAAGGCACAAGACGACGTCTACCGCGCCCAACAAAGCCAGGCTGAGGCGCAGCTTAGCCCTCCCCTCTCTCCGCCTTCTGCCGGTCCGAACCGTGTCAAGCAGTCTGGTCTTAAGCTTTTCACCAGCTTCAACGACCATAGTAGCAGTGCCCTTTCTGCTGGCGGCGACCGCACGGCGCAAGGAATTACTCCCATCGCGCAGTCTGCGCTTTCTCCTGGTGGAGGAAACAACTGGTTGCATCCGGGTAGGAGCGCTAGGGAGCCATCTTCCGCCAGGACTGCGACCCCAGGTGGATACGGTCGAAAGCGCTTCCCATCCAAGCCTGACTACATGAGGGGAACTCCCATCTCAGAAACGCCAATCATGGGTGGCGGGGAAACACCATTCCCGACAACTGCGGTTAAGGAGCCGGAGTCTATCGAAATCAATTTCGGAGTCGAACAAGATTCCGTCCACTCTCGCCACCCCAGCATTGAGGTCTCGACCGAAGAACCGAAGGAAGCGCCGAAGGATGAAGAACCGATGTTGCTCAGTGCCGTTGCATACACCCCGAGCGATGCAAAGAAGAAGGCGTCCGATGCACTGCCATCTCCTGCCCACGCCGTTTTCGAACACCTAAAGCAAGAATCACGCCAGCGAAACGGGTCCAGAGACAGGAAACCAGATGGTCTTTATCTGGATGTGGTGGATACCGTTGAGACCAGTGATGCGCCTTCAACTGCATCGCAGTCTGGGTTCCTCACCGGTCGCAACGCTGAGCTTAGTCCCCCACTGACGAGCAACAGCGTCAAGAGCTCCAAGATCAGAGGCATCGACCAGTACATCAGCAGCTTGGATGAGGCCAACTACCACGCACGTAAAGCTAGCCGTTCTCGCGCTGGCAGCAAGGATCGCGCGGGAAGGAGCAGCAGACAAGGTGCCCGCGATGCGTCTCAGACTCGCGGACGCTCTGGCACACGCTACATCAAGCCCGCCAAGCGCTCCCCATCCTCGCCGGTTCCCATGTCCCCAGAGGAGGCCGCATTGTACAGCAGTGGCAACAACAGTGGAAACAACGACAGCTACGATGACGAACGGTATTACAAGGTTGCCTCGCCCATGGTGGCTTCCAGACGCGGACGCAGCCGCAGTGGCACCCGGGGTACGTCCAAGGTTAGGTCGTCCTCAAAGCTCGGCCGGCGCCATGAGTCCACCGAGCGCAGGTCTCGCAGCAGAAACGGACACCTGGGCAGCAGGGCGGCTAGCCGTCAAGCAAGCCGGGATGGCCGCTCCAACGGGGATGAAAGAGGGCGCCTCTCTCCCACTTCTCCTGTTCCTATGTCCTCGGATCCACTCTTCTACAAGAGCGACGGTGATGATGACGGCGCTTTCGAAATCGTGAAGTCGCCTGTTAGGACCCGCCAGCGGAGCTCAAGCCGCCGGCCAAGTGGGCGATCCAGACAATCCTCGCCTGACCGGCATGGTCGGGAGCGGTCGCAAAGCCGTAGACCTAGTCAGCAGGACATCACGAACATTCGTCCTGAGTCTCCAGAGATGACCAACGGCCGCCAAGCCTCTCGCCAGCGGATGCCGAAACTGCAGACTGACTTCTCGTCCGGAGCTGCCGCCGCTGCGCAAAAGATTCTCTCGCAGAAGGAACGGGCTGCTCGCGAACTCGAGGAGCGTCGTTTGTCTCTAGCCAGAAGGCCCTCCGCTCCAGTGATCCCACACCCGCAGGAACTGTCCCGGCCTCCGATCAGTGGCCGCTCCTTGACCGACCTTGGAAATTCGCCTACTTCTTTCATGCCACCCATGTCCTCGCACAGTGACAAGGGCTTGCCTCGCAGCCAGACAGTCGATCCTGAGATGATGCGCTACAACCCTAGACACACCACCGGGACCTCCACTAGGTCAACGCCGATCGGACTTCCTGCTACGCCACGGGCTCTGCGCCATCCTCGATACATGAGCTCTGACCCTGGCGACCGCGACGAAGTGCCTGCCGTGCCTCAGATCCCTCAGCATATCATCGAGGTGAACATCGACAACCATGCCGAAGTCCAAGATGATGTAGCTCCCCTGCTTCCAGCAACTACGTTTGGTCAGGCAGGACCCCAGAGCCCACAGCGCTCGGCTTCTGCACCTCCGGAGCACATCAACGGCGGCAGGCGCGGGTCAGCCAGTAGCCGTGGCAGTGGCAACAAACGCATCAGCCCCCCGCCAATCACGGCCAGCATCGATGAGACGTTGCACGGCGAACAGATCATCATCGTTGGTGAGCCCGAAGCGAAGGAAAACCCTCCCCTTCTCGCCGAGCTGCAGCATTTGGCCGCTCCTCCGCCGCCTCCGCCGCCGCCCATGTTCCATGGACACAGTCGTACGGGCAGCGGTGTCATCAACATTGCCATCGATGAGAACCCCAGCGGCCGCACGACCACTCCTGCTGTGCCCCCACCAGTGGACTACCCGATCAATGACATGCCGCCGCCGCCGCCGCGTCCGCATACCGGCTCGCCCCACATGCACCGTCGGGGCCGTGGTTCCGTCAGTGAGAGCATCGGCAGCAGGCTTCGTGGTGTGACTGAGCGCATGCGCAGCACGTCCCGCTCGCGGGCGAAGTCGCCGCCAAACGACTACAACCATGCTCCTTCGCCCTATGAGACGGTCATCCCGGGGATTGACTTTGGTCACAATCGCTCCAACAGCGCGTACCAGCAGCAGCAGCGCGCCAAGTCGCCGCTCAGCGAGAGTCAGAACTTCCTCGACCAGATCCCGCCTCCTCCGCCGCCGGCTCCTTCGGTAGGAAGCCCAATGATGGAGCAGGTCATCCCTCCCGACTCGAACGCGCCGAGCCGCCAGAACGACCGCGGCTACATGCGCCACCCGAGAGAGATCAGGGCCAATATGCCGCCCGAGCAGATTCAGGCCGGCGTCGTGCCTATGGAAAGTCCCACCGGCATGATCTGAGCGTTTGAGTGACCGTCTTTGGCGCGCGGGTGGCCGCATGGGTCGAGGCCTCAGCTGAAGTGCTGCTGTGTCACACGCCACCGCCTTCTTTCAGCTGAGACGAGCATCGTCCACCATTCCTTAATGGTCTCAGCTTTCATCTCGCTTCTCCCACTTGTCCTACCTCCGGCGAAAGGGAAATGTCCCTGGTACACAAAATCACGAAAACCCAAAAAAGAATCCGCGCTCGATTTTGACACATTATACCATTGAGATGACCTTTAACGACCATTTCTGTCAATCATCTGTTGCAACTTTTCTCGGTTCATCCCTTCAGGTCTTTGCCGAAGGAAAAGCATTACATAATCCAGGCATAACACCCACCTGCTCATTCGTGTTTGTACGCCCTCTGTGAGAAAGGCAAAAACACAATCCGATATATACCACCATCTCCACACACACGCAAACCTCTATTCTCTGTTTTGGATGCGGAAAGGGAACAAAAATTTGACACTTTCCGTCCTACCATTCATCATCATTGATACCTGATACCCTTCTTCGGAAACTTCTCTTCGAAGCATTCATGGTTTGTTCGCTTCGCGACTAGTTTGGATTTGTTCTTGCTATCGGCGGATTCTCTTTCTGTACTTTTCTTTTTTGATGTTGTAGCGGCTGGCACGAAACTTTTCTTTTCTTCCAAATTTGACTTGCAGTGCGTATTCCATAACTTTCCTTGAATATACTATTGAACTTTATGTTCGAACAGCTTCACTTCTTCCGAACTCTTTTGTGAGGGTTCTTGTACTGGACTAGCGAAAAGAAGGTATTTCATTGGACTACTTGACACGGAAAAGGGATCGAGAAGCGATGGGAAACGGGAAAAAAGAACATCTTTCCTTGAATCTCTTGCCGACTGTAACATGCTCCCCTTTTCCCTTCCGTCTCTCCCCTTGTTGTAGTTCTATAGCCCTCTTTTTGCTTGCCTGTTTAGCGAGCTCCTTTGGCTAAGACTGATTGATTTGGATTTGGATTACCCCTTTTTGTTCTTCGACTTTTTCTTTCCCGATTACACGATTTTGTTTACTCTCTATTCTAGCATAGCTATCCGACCGATATTGATCCGTGATTATGAGCGCGACTGAGCGTCAAGGCGAAAAATGGAATGTGAAGGAAGCATAGCTCCGCTTGTTTTCCTCTTTTTTTCTTCCTCCAATCTTGTCTCGTTGTTCGTTCCACCCCTGCAAGTCTGTTCGGTTCGTGTTGCTCAACAAGTCCTCGTACTCGGCGCGCTTGAAGTTTTCCGTTGGGAAAAATGGCTACCCTGGTGGTTGAGGTACAGAAACGTGCGTCGGAAACGGCACGCCATGCATGCAGGCCATGCATGCGCATGTGGACGCACGTAGTATGCTTGTTTTTCTTGTTAATTTGTACGCCCGTTATACCGCCTTTTTGCACGTTGTTCCGTCTTTTCCTTTTTGCTCCTGCATCTTCGTTTAGCATTCCCTGTTTTTTTGCTAGTTGCCGAAGAGTCGTGGCGAGGAGGCATGGTGGACGTGGATGTCACTATCTTGCATGGATGGAGGGAAAGATTCAGATTGCATACTCGGGAGCAGTGCCCCCGTCCAGAGCGAGTTGTACATGGGAGAGAGCAGCATGTCTAACATTCCTCCTCCCCTCTCATTTTTTTTTTTCGTTATTTTTGTCCACCTCCTTCGAGTTCGCGCACAAGAAGATACAGGATATTGCCTCACGGCTAGACACTCAAGTCAAATGCATCCGCTCTTATGGAGCCATTTGGAAGACAAAGGAAAGAGCAGCATCTTTTCGTACTTTCCTCTCTCGTTCTGACTAGCTTTTCCCTTGCATCTTCTGGCTCTTTTGATCTTTTTTCGTGTTTGGGGTTGTTGGCTAATCTCTCTCTTCTTCGGCTATCTTTCGTCCCTTCCTCACCCAGCATATCGCACCTCTTCGTCCTACGAGAATGAAAAATCCGGCATCTGATGATCTTCGTGAGATTGCCTTGCGGTGATATGACTGCTCGGTGAAAAGAAAAAACCATCTTTTTCCTTTCCCTCATTAAGAGCGCGCATGCCACGAGGAACCACCACCCATCGTACCTCTCTCCTCAAAAACCTCTGCAATCAGCTCCCGTTTCCTTCGATTGCTTAGAACCCCCTCGATGCAAAAAAAGACTAAAAAGACAGAGCTAGTTGTTGGCCTAGAGGTAGATGCCGGTTGGAGTCGCTATCACAGCACAAGGCCCCCGCAAACAAGATGCCACAGGGCTGTTGCACTTCCCAGTCCTTTCCCCCCTTTTCTCGCTACCAGCGCATCCCAAGGCCACTGATGTTCAGAGCTTTTTCTTGGGGAAGCTTGAGTCGGGAGGAACGAGTTGCTGAGACTTTTTTTTGACGCGGCAATCGCAACTGCAGTTGACCAGTAGCGGGTCCGAGAACCTCGAGACAAAAATCGCTGTACGCTCCTGTCTGAAGAAACAAATCACTGCCTCGAAAGCGCAGAAGGTTGTGTTGATCTTTTAGGACGGCGTATCAGCAGCGGCGGCCTGAGCCTTGGGCGCGGCAGCAGCAGCTGGGGCGGCAGCGTTAGCGGGAGACGCGTTCGCCCCGCCGCCGCCTCCTCCACCACCACGGCCACGACCACCGCGACCACCCCTGAAACCGGCCCGACCACCACTCGCTCCTCCTGCTCCTCCACCTCCAACCATCGGGCCACCGGCGCCGGCGGCGGGACCGGCGGGCGGCTGCACTCTGGGTGCACGCTGAGCGGGCGTCTTGTCCTTGCGCTCGAGCACCTGAACGGCGCCCTCGGCGACCTTGACGGGGCTGGCCTGGATGGCCTTCTGCAAGCCCTCGGGCTCCTTGAAATCGACGTACGCGAAGCCCTTACGCTTGTCGATCTCAACCTTGTCGACGGCGCCGAAAACGGAGAGCGCGGCTTCGATAAGGGGCTCCGTGATGCCCTGCGAGGGGTTGGCGTGCTTGAGGAAGGCTTGACGAGCGGTGCTGGCGACTGGTGCGGCAGCGGTTGGCGCGGCGGAAGCGTTGTTGTTGTTATTGGCCTTGCGGGAGGAGTTGGGGCGTGAAGTTGCCGGTGAGTTCTGCTGGGCGGCGGGGCCGGTGGGTGCTTTGGGCGGGGGAGCGTTGGCCGAACCGTCGTTGACGGGGGTGGTCGTTGCAGGTGTGGCCTGTTGGTTCTGTTGCTGTGCATTTTGAGGCTTCTTGAGTATTTTGGGTCCTGTGGGCGGTGTGGCAGCTGCAGCAGGCTTGGTCTGATCGGCAGCGGCGGCCTCAGCGTTGGCTTTTGCTGCCTTTTGAGCACGACGTTCCGCACGCGTAGGGCGAGAATCCTTCTTGCCAGAGCGGGATTCCGAGCCTGCTTTGCTAGGGTTGGAAGGGGGTGTAGCGTTGTTAGTAGCAGGCGAAGGTGAAGCTGGTGACGAAGCGGCTTCCTTAGGTGTTGCACTCTCAGCAGCTTTCGCGGGCTCTTGGGCAGCGTCTCGGCGGCCGCGACGGCCACCAGCGGCAGGACCAATACCCAGGTCTCTCTGAAGCATCTGCTTGGCAATGCTCGTGCTGCCACGTTCACGCTTGCGCTCTGAAGCTGGCGCACTGGGAGCAGCAGGCTTGGTCTCGTCCGTTTTTTCAGCATCTGCGTTCTTGCTTGCTGATCCCTTGTTCAGAATCTTGACCTCCTTCGGGGTGGACTCCTTTGCGGCCTTCTCAGATTTAGACTGCTTGCTGCTCTTCTCTTCCTTGGCACTCTTGCGGCTCTTCTTGTCAGACTTGGAAGTTGCCTTTTCATCCTTAGACTCTCCCCGTGTGTGCTTGCCCTGGCCCTTGGCGGGTTGTGGCTTCTCCTTGGCAGCCTTCTTCTCCCTCAAATGCTCAATCAGCGGGGTCGTCTTGACCTCCTCCTTCTTCACAGTCGCATCATCAACCACATTGTCAACTGGCGCAGGCTTCGGGGCCGGGTTGGTAAGGCTTTCGAGAAAGTCCTTGAACTCTGGGTCTTGGTCGATGAGGCCCTGGCGAGCATCGTTGCGGCGACGGCCTCCGGGAGTGCGGCTGAAGGGGGCGAACTCGACGGTGGGGGGACCGATCAGGACGGGGTCTCTCGTGGAGTTCTTCGCGTCGTTGAAGGCAGTCTTGCGCACCTTGTCGGCAAGAGGCACGACGTGGGCTTGATCAGTCAGGCGGAAGTAGGCACGAGATGGCTTCGAAGGCTTTGCCAGGCTGGTGCACGGGGTTAGAGCAGGGTGCATTCAGCAGCAATGGAGCTTGGAGCGCACTCTTTGGAAATCTTGCCGGCCTTGTAGGTGAACCAATCGACCTTGCCCTGGCCCAGCTTCCACTCGTCGCCCATGGCGAGTTCGAATTCCTGCTGCGTCAGGGCCGGGGCCAGGCGGCGCACGACAAGCTTAAGGCGCGGCTGGTGGGAGCGATTGGTGGCGGCGCGGGGCGCACCGTTGGCGGCAGCCGGGGTGGTGTTTTTCTGCAGAGCGGCGGCAGGCACGGGCAGCACGCCGTTGGCGCCCGGCGGCGGGGCGTTTGACGGCGGCGCCATGGGGGGCGGGCAGGGTTGGCAGTAGTGGTGTTTTTTCAGGTGGTGGTCGCAGGCGCGGGCTTATGACATCGTTTGCTTGGGCGCGCGGTGCTTGGACGGGGCCAGCGGCTCAGGCTTCGGCTGCGTCTGGGCCCTGGAAGCACGGGTCACTTGTCCCACGCCTTCACCACTTCACTCCGCCCACATCGCTGCGTCTGATCGCCGCGCCTCCATTCTGCCTGCTGCGCCGCCATGCGCTGTTCTCCCCAGTCTCACGCATGATTGCCCACGATCGCCATCCCCACCGCTCTCCCCGCGCATGATCTCCCGCCCACAGAGACCCCCAGTCACACGACAGATACCCATTGCTAAGCCGCAGGCACCGTGCTGATAGCTTCATCTCCTCTCAATCTCGCCGACTACACCCCGCAACACCACCACCACTCCATCCCGCCCACAATGACTAAGGACTATGACGTCCCGCAGCCGGGCCCAGCCCGGTTAAGCCCTGGCGCTGGTCCCGACGAGTGGCTGGACGCCGCAAAGCGGTGCAAGTACCTGCCCGAGGCCGACATGAAGCGCCTCTGCGAGATAGTCAAGGAGTGCTTGATGGAAGGTGCGCGCCGTCGTCTGTACGAGGGGTTGGCCCGGATGCTAATGCGCTGCAGAGTCCAACATCCAGCCCGTCAAGACCCCGGTCACCGTCTGCGGAGATATCCACGGCCAGTTCTACGATCTGTTGGAGCTGTTCCGCGTTGCTGGCGGCATGCCCAGCGACACGGTCGCGACCGCACCCACTGTGCCCACCAAGACCATCACTGCTGCCGATATAGAGCCGCCGAGCACCATCACCGACCCCAAGGCTAAGCGCAAGATGAAGCGCCGGTTCCAACGGGACGCCAACTACACGGGCACAAGTCCAGGCTCGGGCGCTGAGATCGAAGAGGAGGAGGAAGACGATGAGGAGGGCCGCGGCCGGAGCAGGAGCAGCAGCCAAAGAGGGAGCTTTGGAGACGGCTCCTCGGATGCCGACAGCAACCGCAACATCTCCGGCTCAGGTGGCAACGGCATGCAGAACTACATTTTCCTGGGTGACTTTGTGGACCGCGGCTACTTCAGCCTGGAAACATTTACGCTGTTGATGTGCTTGAAGGCCAAGTAAGTCCACGGCTGGTGAGGCGTGCGTCCCGGCGCATCTGACAAATGCTTCGCAGATTTCCCGATCGGGTAACGCTTGTCAGAGGCAACCATGAGTCGCGACAGATCACGCAAGTCTATGGTTTCTACGAAGAGTGCCAGACCAAGTACGGCAACGCTTCGGTGTGGAAGGCGTGCTGCCAAGTATTCGACTTCCTGGCTCTCGCTGCCATTGTAGACGGCAAGGTGCTCTGCGTGCACGGCGGCCTCAGCCCTGAGATCAGAACGCTGGACCAGATCCGGGTGGTTGCCCGCGCGCAGGAGATCCCGCACGAAGGAGCCTTCTGCGATCTCGTGTGGAGTGACCCAGAGGATGTGGATACTTGGGCAGTGTCGCCGCGCGGAGCAGGCTGGCTGTTCGGCGACAAGGTGTCGTCCGAGGTAAGGTGGTCGGAAAGCGTGCGGGAAGAAATCAGCTGACGGAGTGGATGTAGTTCAACCACGTCAACGGACTGCAGCTCATCGCACGAGCGCACCAACTGGTCAACGAAGGCTACAAGGTCAGTAGGCTCTGGACGGGTCGCGGCGAGGGGCTAACGGTGAGACAGTATCACTTCAAGGACAAAGACGTGGTTACGGTGTGGTCGGCGCCCAACTACTGTTACCGCTGTGGCAATGTGGCGTCGATCATGAGCCTTGGCGAGGACCTGAATCCGAAGTTCACCATCTTCAGCGCGGTTCCAGACAACCGGCGGGCGGTGCCTGCTGGGCGTGGCACGCGCGGCGAATATTTCCTATAGAGTGGATGGTGTGGATACATACGATATACGTCTTTCTGTGCTTGATATCCGGACTTCACGAGCTTTAGGCTAGACCAGGCGGCTGGCGAGAAGGAGGGCTTTGGGATGCATGCGAAGGTAGTCCACCGCACCGCGGGTCTTTTCGGGAGTGATTTGTTTCCTTAGTTGTGGGTGCTGCAGCTGCATGCTACGGGTGCGGGCGGGCGCACCAACGGGTCCTTTGGCGATACCGGGCTGTACTATATAGTTTTGACGCTTTTGCTTTCTGCATGACGAGAAACGGACATCGTGCTGTGCGTTGTGTGACGAGCGGGCGCTGGAGCTTGGGGTCGGGGAATTATGATGGGTATATAATGCTCGCTAGCGACGGTGAATTCTCGGCTGTAATGGTCATTCTCATCTGAGAGGTGCATTGAAACCGTAACCTCTTTCCCTTCCAATTGCCGAAGCGAGGGCCCAGTTCGAATCCGGTGGTGCCCGACCAACTCATGTGGGTAACCCATGATGAAGGCGGGCTTAAGCAATGAAGTCGACCGTCGAGGGAAGCAATTCTGCAGACACGGCTTCACCATTGGATGGCGGTGCTGGACTACCCTCGCTTCGGTTTGGGATAGGCGTTATGGACTGATGAATCAACCAGGTATCTCTTCTTTTTTGCCCTTTTTTTGCCCTCCCTTTTTTTTTTCTCCCTTTACTACTAGTAGCCGACTGCCCCTTTGGGGTGGTGTCGCTGGCGCTTCGCGCGCCTTTGGTTGCGATCGCACGACTCCTTCCTATCGAGTAAGTGTGTGTGTGCGTGCGCTGCTCGCTTGGGCGGGCCGTCCTTTTGAGCGATCAGGCAGCGGCATGCGGCTCGCTTAAACGCATCCTGGCGGTCTGTTTCCAGCTCAACGCCCTACGAAACATGCCCCCGTTCCTGCCTCGGTGCACCCTTGCACTGGCGTCTTCAAGCAACTCTTGGTAGCCGCCGCCACGTGTGTCATGTATATCCCCGCTGCATTGTTTCTACTTCCTCATTCTCCCAAGCGCCGCGGCTCTGTGCTCAGCGTCCGTTCGTCCGCCGAGGCGTCATTCGCACGGTCGATGGCTGCATCGTGAAAGTCCACCACTAGGTACCTCTCGCTTCAGTACCCCGCAAATCGTCCGCTTCCGTCGGCGCGGCGTGCCTTCTCCTAGCGACTCGACGCGTCCGAAAGGGAATAGGCCATGTCTCGAAACATACTGTTTCAGCGCCGCAACACCCAATCTCCGAGCAGTGAAGCCGCACAGCGCAACGCCCGCTCCCAATTATAGGAACCACCTGGCTCGGATCAGCGCGCATATGGCCGGGCCGATACCGCACAGCAGCCCTTTCCGGGCTGTGCCCTGTTTGCCGACGGTACGAGGAGCATGAGCGTGGGCGGAATAGCCGGTCAGTGCTTCCATATTCAACCGCTCTTCCTGAGCACGGCTTCGGTTGTTCCCACGCCGAAACGCTAAACGGAACACCCACCGGCCACCCCTCCAGCCAAGCCGGAACATGGGTCTGGCCCAGGGTTCCAGGCTCTTAGCTGTCTGCTTGTTATGGACCTGCACCTGGTGATAGGTGGATCTCGTTTCGAGCAGCGCCACTCCGCGTTTTGCATCCACTTCGCTGAAGCATCGTGTATGCGCCTTCCTCCCCTACCCATTCCCCTGGGAGAAATGTCGTATATAAGCAAAATAGCCGCCTCGGCGTACATAGGCTACTCAGTTTCTCCATTCATTCATCCCACATCCGCTCCGCTCCGCTCGGTGTGCTTTGTACCGCTGTTTCCTGTCTTTTAGCTATATTTACTTGACTGTAATCCCCGGCCTGGTGCCTCTGCTGTCTTTCCCTCCTTCACTCGATCACTCCACAATTTTCCGAGCAAACATGAAGTTCATCATTCCTTCCTCCATGCTGGCCTTGGCCGCCTCTGCTGTGGCTATGCCCACCAGCCAGTCCGAGAAGAGGGCTACCCCCAAGATCTACCTCGCCGGTGACTCGACCATGGCCAAGGCCGGTGGTGGCTCTGGCACCGAGGGTACGTTTATCACAACATTCATTCAGAAGCATAGCTAACAGGCTCTCCAGGTTGGGGTCAGTACCTTCAGTACTCGATCAAGAACGCCGAGGTCGTGAACTGGGCTCGCGGTGGCCGTTCGGCTCGCTCCTACACCGATGAGGGCCGCTTCCAGTCCATCATCGACGCCGTCCAGTCGGGCGACTATGTCATCATCGAGTTCGGCCACAACGTACGTCTCACCCCATCATCACTCTTCACGTGCCAAACAAGACACTGACTCTCTCCTCTCCAGGACGGCGGCTCCCTCAGCACCACCGACAACGGCCGCACCGACTGCTACGGCAGCGGCACCGAGACGTGCACGACGCCCGACGGCACCATCGTGCAGACGTTCGTCACGTACGTGACCAACGCGGGCAAGGCGCTCACGGCCAAGGGCGCCAAGGTCATCGTGTCGTCGCAGACGCCCAACAACCCGTGGGAGACGGGCACCTTCACCTACACGCCCACGCGCTTCGTCGAGTACGCCAAGATCTCGGCCCAGAACATCGGCTCCGGTGCCAGCTACATCGACCACGGCGCCTACGTCGGCGACATCTTCGAGAGCCTCGGCGCCAGCACCGTCGACTCCTACTTCCCCAACGACCACACCCACACCAGCCCCAAGGGTGCTGATGTCGTCAGCCAGGCTTTCGTCAAGGCTGTGCTCTGCGGCAAGGACGGCCTGAGCAGCTACGTGTCTAACTCGACCAGCAGCGTGGCCGGCAGCTGCTTGTAAGCGGAGATGATGAGGAGTTAAAAGGAGGGGGGTTTTGTTTCGTGTCTATATTCGTTTCTCTGTCGATATGTGGAATAGCTCCTTTTTGGAACCGCCTTGCATAAAATTATGATACGTTTAAGGCCACTTCGCACTGATCCCGTGGGCCCACCTCTACCTTACCCTCCTTGGTTGCCTGGCTTCATGCATGTGTGAAGACAAAAGTGAAAAGGGAAAGACATAATCTCTATTCCCCCCCTAAGCTTCGGCTTGAGAATTGTGCTGCTTCGCGGAGCCGAAACCCTGTCCTGTGTTCACAAGGAGTGGATGAGCAGAGAGGGTGGGCGAAGTTCACAATGGCAGTGTTGCGGATACACGTATCTCGCGTATCTTCTATGACTCCCTGGGGCTTCTGGGCTACAAGTATTGTCAGTTGGAACTACATGTTGATCACGGTCGGAATATGCAGTAGGATAACAAACGCATGGCGATCAGAGGAACTATCTACAGTAATACGACTGCAACTGAGACCTTTGTAATGGTTTCATACGCCAACGCCTTGACAGCCCATGCCCGCTTTCCATCAGTTCTCCCATCCATAACTTTCGCAGAGGCCGTCGCGATGGTGGAGATAAAGCCATCCAATCAACTCCGGGAGTGTCTCTTTGTTGCAAGTACCCTTTTTGATTTGTTCAATGTTCCGATGGAAGATATCTGCTCTCGGAAACAGCTCGACCAGCTTTTCCAAGAGGATGATCATGGCCTCCTCATCGCCATCTATCGATCCGTCGTTGCGAAACCTCTGAAACTCGCGCAAGTAGGCCCAAATGAACGAATCGAAGGATTTGAACTCGCCCGGATCCAGCTTGTACCATTGTCGAAGGTCTTCCGTAGCCTCGTCAAGGCAGGGTTCAGACCACGTAGCGGCGTCGTTGTAGACTCCGTGCAGTGCGTCCCACATCTCCTTGGCGGTTTTCAGTTGGACCAGATACCGAGCTATGGCCATGTCGACGGTGGTGAGGATGATATGGCGCGCTTGCATATCAACGGCGGAGTCGTCCAGAAGATCAGGCGAGAAGTGCATGGTGACGAGCGAGCGCCAAACAAGAAATTCCTCGGCGCAAGTGAGCTTGGGGACTGCGGAAGTGTTGGGAAATGTCATTGTTTCGTTCATTCTGTTGTTGCGAGGCCAATATTGAGCGGCGGAGAGGTGGTGATGTTGGAGCGAAGTGTGAACACAGGTTCGAAAAGCGCATTTTATATTCACTGCCTAAGTCCTCACGACCAAGCAGGGTAGCTTGTTATTTGCAGATATTGTTGGGACACAATTAGTGAAGGATCTCAGCAGCAAGTTCCCGTTATTGACCAAGCTGCCAGTGAAATTTGCGATTTGCTTTCATGCCTGCTTTGCGCATTATTGATGCAGTGGTAGTTCAAAATTACTCTGTTATAAACTAGAAGCAAACGTGAATCACGGTACTTCCACGCACTATTTGACGAGCTTTTTGGGCCTACCGTGTTCAAGTGCGTGAAGTGCTCTTCAAGACAAGCGAAAGAGAAGTAGAATGAAGAACTGGCGGGTTCTTTTCTGCTACAAACGCAAAGTTTGACACGTGAAAACTTTTTGCTCGTGTTGAATCCAGTCATCCCGTAGAACAAAATCCCCATAAGGCTAAGCTTCTGGACAGCAGGCACAGTGGGTCATGTTCTGAAAGATGGGCCAAGGCGTGCAGTACATGCCAAGCACAATCAGCAAATACAAAGATCTAGCAAGCAGAACAGTTTATTGGGAGTACTGTTCCGCAGAATGATGGTATTGTTCTTGTGTCTAAATTGCCTCCCATTGTAGCCTCAATTCTTGCCTGCCCGTGGTTGTTCTCAACTACTCCTTCCAACCGAATGCTTGACTCAAGACCCCATTGTAGTTAGTGTTCAAGAACCCAATCATCTCCAAAAGTGTCTTGTGCTTCGAGTCGCTGTCGATGAGGTAAACGTCCGTTCCCGCGGTCCTCGAAGAGAGTTTTGACAAGAGAGTGCTCATAGCTTGGCTCTCACTGACTCCGCATCCAGCATTGTTCAGCTTCTGGACTTCACCCACGAAAGCCCACATGAAGGAGTCAAAGGTCTCAAAGCGGGGCGGCTCCATCTTGTTCAGAGCGCGCAACTTGTCCTGATGGTTGATTCGGGTGGCGGCTCCGTCGTAGACAGCATGCAGCGCGTCCCACATCTTCATGGCGCTTCCAAGTTCGACGAGGTTCTGAGCGATGGTGACATCTATGGTGGCGAGGATGAGGTTGCGCACATTGATGTCTTGAGCCGCTATCATGCTGTTGAGATTACTGGGATCGTAGTGCATGGTGATGAAGGAGCGCCATAGGTGAAAGTTCTTTGCGCCAGTGAGCTTGGGCACCGTAGAAAGCTCAAGAAGGTCGGACATGATGTCGAGCTTTCTTCCCGAGTGCGGATGCTGAGTGTTTCGCCGGCGATGATGTGAGGAGGAAAGGTACGAAAGCAAACGCGAAGGCATTTTATACGCCACGCCTACCGTGACCGAAAGACTCGCACGTGCTCAGGTGGGTTTCTATCTGCTGGTGTCATGTGCAAGTGACCAGAATGGGAATGTCCTACGTCACCCTAAGTTATTGACGCTCTTACGTAGATTAGTCATGATATTGGAAGTTTTTTTTTCTGAGAGACGATGATTTTACCTTGTTCCCGAAGCCCTGCTGAAACGTAAGCACCCGTACTTGAACGTTTTTGAAAGACTGGATAATCTGACTTTTTTTTTCCAGGCCGAACTGCAATTGGAATCCAAGATATGCTTTAGATTAGGAGGACCATCCATACACACGGCGTAGTGTAGCTCGGTCATCCTCGTAAAGCTGGCCGATAACGTCGAGGAATAGGTATGATTTGTCGTGCGGGCTATTGCACAATTTCTCCCCCATTCTCTGGGCTGCAGCCTTGCTGATGGAGCCTGCGAACAGATTGAGCAGGTCTAGAGCCTTGTCCAACTCGCAGAGCTGAGTGAGATCTGAATTGCGAGTATTCATGTCGCGACAATCCAGAAGCCTGGTGTACTCGAGAAGAAAGTCTTTGAAGCTGTTGAACCCCTTTGGATCGAGCGTTTTCCATGCGTCGAGCCTCGGATCGGCAAGCAGGCTTTCGTGGAGGCGTACATGGTAATTGAAGAGCCCAGCAGCAGTGTGACAAGTTTTTTACGGCACACAGTACAGCCAGTCGATGAATGTTTCATCGAAAGTTTCCGTCAAGAGCTTAAATGCCTCCTTTTCTTTGTAGCACTGTTCATTGGGAGGCTTTTCTTCTGGGTCAGGCGTTCTGGTGATGCAGTGAAGAAGGCCTCGGATACTGAAGGCCTTCAGTAAGAGCTAGCGAAACAGGCAGAGGAGGAGTGTTCTCAGAAGGTGCGCTTGCAATAGGATCACATCTCAAGAATAGCTAAACATTCTAAGAACCTTATTAATCACGAAGGACATGTTTTTCTTTTGTTTTTTTTCCAAAAAAACACCCCCGTCAATGCTAAGTCTTAATTTACTCTACATTTCCTTTTCCAACAAGAGAACATTAAAGAAATTGATATCACGTTGCACATTTTAAGAGCGCGCTAGTAGTAAGAATTTTAAAGAAAGCCAAAACATTTCTCCATCGCTGTATTCGAGTCAGTTTTTTTGTCAGCGTTATTGGAAATTTAAATAGGATAGATGTGGGTTTGTAGCTTGTGTGTAGGTGAGGTAGAAGATTTTGTAGGAAATGGAAGACTAGCTACTTCGTTTTCTCGAAGCGAAAGCGGCATTCTCATCTTTTGGTGCTTCGATTGACTATGTCACTTGGTGAGATGAGTTTATAGTAGGCTGGGAGCCCCTGATCACGAGAAGTCTCGTATGTGCTGTGCCACATCTTCTTACTTGAGAAAACACGCAATTTCAGCTTGCCCTCTCGTTAGCTTTTTCATGGAAAGAGCAGTCTTTCATGATGTGGTAAATTTTGGTAGTTGAAGAATTGAGTGGTTCTGTCCATATTGCAGGTGAACAATCAATCTTAGCTTCGCCCTAAGAGTGAAAGCAACCATGGATCCTGTTTTGAGACTTGCCAAGTGCGGTGAGACATGGAGTTGGCGACGCCATCGTCATACGCACACGCAGAAACACAGCCCGACGATGGCCCCTTGACAACGATGAAATAAGAAGCGATTGCACTCATTGGACGTGATCACCCACACATATGCAACACATGATAGGGAAAAAAAAAGCCAAAAACGGGTGAAAGGGTTGTTTATGGGCGCATGTGATGTTACATCGTAGGATCTGGAAACGGACTTCGGGTATTCGTAGTTAACTTTTATGGGGCCCAGGAATGAATGAATGCAGGTTCAACCACGATGGAAATGCGCTCGTAGACGAGTTACGAAGGCTTCCACTATATTCGCTTTGTCTGTACAACAGCCCACGGCTAAGGTAGGGAGGTCGACAGATACGCGGTACATGACAGGTGGTGAGGGTCGTCCCCGCACCTGCGGGAGGAGTTCACTCCGCGGATCAGCTCCGTCTTTAACACGCCAGCGGCAGAGTGAGAGACGTAGAAACGGCACGCCAACTCTTAAACCCAAACTCTTCGCTTTAGCCCGCTTTTGCTTCTCATGAATTCGTCTGCTGTCACTTGCTGCTGGCGACCATGGCAGCTACTTCGAGGTCGCCTCATTCGCCCGGCACTCGCCGTGTGCGCATCTGATGAAGGCCAAGGCACTGAGAATGGCGTCCACTAACAATCACTAATCTAGAAAGTCTCCATCGAACTATCACTAATCATATCCATCTCCTGCCAGCACGAGATCAGCGCCATCCACCATAAGGGCTACGCATCGGAACCACTTCCACCCTCTGCGCCCGTCTCGCATATCATGTGTATCCTGCTACAAGCACCGGCGAACACTCACCAATAGACGCCCTCTGTCCGCCGTCTTGTTGTAATTCCAAGCCTGGCTGGTGCGTCTCCACATAGCCATGAACGCTGGCTGCCTGACAACCGGTACTTAGTTTACTTACCTACATTGCCGGGTTTTCGCTGTCGTTGATCGACTGATACGCACGCTCCTCCTCAGCAAAGGAAAAGAGGATCGTGGACGCAGCACCGCCGGGCTCGGACCGTCCCTAGACTTGCAAGAAAAAAAGAATTAGATCAGTGACTGACGTCGGGTCTGCTCACGTACCGAGAGTAGAGATGCAGAAATAGAGGTGGACCGTGATGTTTGCCCAGAAAGGGTTCCCGGCGGCGGATGAATGCCCGGTGCCGCGTTGGCGTTTGCGAGTGAATCTGCTTTCCTCTCCCTATCACTCCTGGACCCGTTCCTTGGTGCTCGGTCAGACAAATATCTTGGCCTGAAATTCATCATCCCGTCTCCGCCCATCTCTCTCTCCTCTTTTTGTTCGTCATGCAGTGAGGCCGTGCCCTTCTCACAACGAATGCTACCACCCACAATGGGCCGCGCAACCCCCCACTGACCTCGTCACCCGTCCACTGTCGACCCATTGCCGTCAGCCGTGCGATCCTATCATCATGGCAATAAGAAGTCCATCCCCATGTGCCGATGTACTGCCTCGTGCGGCGCTGGTCTCCCGCTCCTCACCGCGCAACACCCGAAGAACCCAGCAAGGCACATCCCACCGCTATTGACAGAAGATAGTCAGCCATCGAACCACACATGTCCGGAGATAGATGGACGCCCGCCCTTTGTCTCAGGACCCAGCCGGCCCCCCGAACCATACCACTCCTTCGCGAAGGACCCCGAGAAATGATCCCTGGCAGTGGATCGTACATGCCGTAGGAAACCACATAAACCGTACGAAGGGATACCGCTGAAGGAAATGATGGCACCGCGGCCAATACCTTCGCCCAGTTCCAGGACACCTGCTCCTGATGAGGGGCAGGTGATGGTAGTGGGACAATCGCTGGCGCGTCGTGGATAAACAAACCCTGACTGCATGAACAACTTCGTTCATGTAGCAGAGATTTGGATCAAAGTGCCGTCGGTGGCATCGCCGGCAATTGGCTGCGATACATTCTGGATACGGGCCACCACGGCTATGCCTTCTTCAGTCGCGTCTGCCTTCTGGTGTTTGGGCCCAAGGAGCGACTGCCAAGCGTCCGTGGTGAGGCCTCTGCTACCACCTCTCGTCCCCGGAGAAGACTTTTCATTGTTCCTGGATCTGGCGCCCTGAACCCTTGATGGACTTGTCACTCGTAAATGATGACTTTAGCACACGGTGGCTGCGGCGATACTACTTCACAGCCTACTTGGGCTGGCGCAGTGATGCCGATCTTGGCGTCCAGGTAAGTTCTACAGGGTGGACGAACGAACAAGTCGATGCCTGCTCTCTCTACTGCTCATCGACGACTGAAAGTGAGGGCAGCACGGGAGAGCGTCCCCGACGGCAGCGTGGTAGAAAAAGGCGTGATGGACCAATAAGCGCTAACTTAACGCATCTTGCAAAGCCTGCACGCTCAATGAGCACCGGCCAGTGGTGGCCTCGTGGCGGGCGAGCGAATTTGTCCTCAGCAGCAGCGTAGCGCGGCCGGGGGAGATGCGGAGAGGCATCGGGATGCTACCGGACTGTCTAGCAGTGCTTGGAGCTGACGGCAGGACGACGATAGGCCAGAGCACGGCCGTGATAGCGTTGACGGCGGAGGTGGGCGGACCTTCCGGATATGCAGGACGGGAGTCATGGTGAAGAGAGAAGGCGCGGGTCGGGCGAGTGAGCTGGGAGCTGGGAGACCAACGAGAGCTGGGAGGTCTTGTCTTCACTACAAGAGTGGCAACGCGGAGGCGGACTGCGGCTCCGACTGCTGCAGCACATGGATGGTACATAGCCCACGACCAAGCCCGTCGCCTCGCATGTGCAGAAGAGGTGGCGTTCTCCACGCATGCTGTCCAACGCGCCTGCCTTCCGCGACACTCAACATGATATAGCCCAGCCGCCCCGCCAGCTAAAGAGAGACCCCTCACTCGCTCCCTCACCGCCGCTGCCACCGTCAGCGCCGAAGCCCCCATGATGCGCCCGCTGCGCCCGAGGCCTGGCGAATTGCGTCTTTGCTCCAGAATCCACTCTCTTCCGCGCCATCGCCGCTTCTCATGCCCATCTCTGCGGTCTGGCCCATCGTCGAGCGTCCCAGAACCACCAGCCTACGCGGGATTCCCTGCTCCTGCCTGCCTGCTGCTTCCCCCCTGCGACCGATGAGCTGACTCGACAGGCACAGCAGACGGCCAGAGCTGCTCGAAAGCCTGCTTCAAGCATTAGTTGGGAAGAGCAAGGAAGCAAGCGGGGGCGAAGAGGCATAAAACCCGAGGCCCCGACCAATGGCCAAAAATCCTCAACCTTGATGGCATCCGTAGCTCCACTCCTGGCTGAGCCATGCCCGCTGGCCCAGGAGAGAGTGCTGTCCGTCTGTCAGAGCTCTTGCGGCATCCAGGCAGCCCACGCCTGCTACTTTGCCCAACGCCGCTGCTGGGTCCCGGCTCCTGCTGTGACGAGACTGCACATATGCCGTCGTGGGTGACGATTGGCATTGGTCTATCACGGGATTTTCCTTGGGTACTCTGACGGGAGTCTCTTACCTCCATGGGCGTGCTGTCATACTCGTTCTGCCCTAGCTGGAGACCCTCATCTGTTGCATCAATTGGCCAGTACGGTAGGTTCGGGTCCACGACGCTCCCCGCACTGGAAGGCGACGCCTCGAGCATTGCATAGTCGCCCGCATCGGAATCTTTCGCTACTATCAGCCTCCGCTGCGCTGGATCGGACTACTCGAAGCTACCTTTCGGCGTCTCATCCCTTCTGAGTGCCTGCGCAACTTCTGCAGTGCGCCGGAAGCCCTCGTCGGCCAGCTGTCGAGCAACTGCCGTGGCCGCCTCCTTGTCGGTCGCCGAACCGATGCTTGCAACAATATCTTGAAGGTCTCTCGTATGTCTCTCAAGATTGTGGATGCGTTGCTTCAACGCCGACGTTCGTCTCTGATCGCCTGCCGCATCGTATGCGCAGTCAGATCGCTTCCGCGCCACGCATTGCGAACATATGGGGCGTGCCCCATCACACTGGCCGCCGGCAAATACGTCAGTACCTCATCGCCGCCTGTGTCGGGGGAAACGAGCTTGCCTTGTGCTTTCGCTGCTGACATGGTTGGCAAGCCACGAGTGTGACTTTGCTGCGCTTTGTCGGTGGTCGTGGCGGCAGGGCTGGAGCCGAGTCACGGAGCCCTCCAGGTCCCACTACCGCCTCAGTCGACCCTGTTACCGGCGCGCAGGCAATCGGACGGACACTCCCACCACTAGTACCCGGTCGGGATGCCAGCTGGGTAAAGTGGCTGCTTCCACTGTTGGTAGACATGGCGGGGAGACATTACCATGCTCCAGCGCTGTTGGGCTATGCATGTTCTTATTGCCTGGCCTGGACCTCAACTCGCTGCTAGGCCTTGACGCAAGGCGACGACATTCTGACGCAGTGAACCCGTTTCGGACCACGCTTCTCACCAGGGGAAAATTGATGTCAGCATCCGACGCGGGTACTGATACTGACTGACTTGCTGGCCCCCGTTGCGCGCAAAGCGAAGATAAATCGAAGAGACGACCCTTCGATGCCACTAGCTTAAAACGACAGGCCATACAAGGCTAAAACGGATCTAGCTCCGGCCAACAAGTGCTGCCCAAGGCCTTCAGCAACCCCTACTTGGTTACACTACTGCACCGTAGTGTTTTTTCTCTGCTTGTCGGTGTTCGTATCGATGCAAATACCTCCAGAAAAGCGATCCTCAGCAGGAGAAGTGGGCCCTAACTTCTCAATCGTCCTTCCGTCTGGTTCGGTTAATACGCGCCACTGAGATTCCCAAGTCTGCTACGACGCATGTAGTAAGCATGGCAAGAACCCCGCAAGGGAACGGGAAGTACTTGTGTACTTTCGTGTGGCGCTGCTAACGAACAGGACTTGCCGTTGCAAATCTCAGATCCGCCGCATACCCGCGAACCGGCAGTTGCGGACGCGGGGGCCAGGGGGATCGAATCCATGGTTCTACCGCCACAGGTATCGTGGCGTGCAGGACCCTTGCAAGACCTGGGTGGTGATCTAGTATCCAACAGTACATACCCCGCTTCGTCGCCCTTTGTTGGTGAACGGGTCGATTTCATCATAGCTGTTGTCATCTTCTTCGGGCGCTGCCACCTGAGGCTGTGCAGAAGCGCGTCTGGGAAAGCTTTTCGGTACGGAAGGACGCCAGAGGTTTCATGGATTTTACTCGAACATCGTGGTTTTGCACTCAGAAGATCTGTGTTTTGAGAATAGGCGAAATTGGGGGATTTCACGTTGGTCCACACATTATCCAATCACGACGTTCGCCACCGCCCACGCAGTTTACTCCGTGTCACCCGTCTCCCTTCCGCACCAACAGTGATACTCGAAGCCCGCAAGCACCTGGGATACGCCAAACGCCATCCTTCTTCTCTCTTCCCGATCGATGGCGAAGACGAAAGACACCTGTATAGGCAGCAGTTGACCTACTTACCCGCATCTCACACCCCCTCGCAACACTTTCGAATTGCTCCCTCCGGTCACCCACACACACTGGACGTCTCGGTTCTTTTACAGGATGTGAAGCATCGCGCCCCTCGCTCTCGCACAATGGTGTTTTGCAGCCTCTTCCCGTCGGCGTCGATATACTGGCCTCTCGCTTTTCGGTGCAGCAAAAATACCTTCCGCGTTTTCATCATCCGTTCCAGTCGTTGCCCGCAAGCTTCACACGCCCGAGATCACCGCACCATCTTGACACACTGGCGACGATGGCACATGGTCAAAGCCGCTTAGCACAAGGAGACGCAGAATGAGATGCGCCATGCACCCGTGTTACCACTCGTCATGTTGGTGCAAATCTCCACTCCAGGCGCCGCCAACTTACGGTTCGCATTCGACAACCCAGTTCCGACCTGCCGCTTCCCCTCGACCGTTCACGCTTCACCGCCATACGTTTGCATAGATTCGCAAAAGGCATACAAAGCTTTGAGTTGGAACTCTGACATGGGCTGCACGCATACATACATACCCCTCGAATCTTCACGCAAGCAGCCCCCCTTCACGTAGTCGGCGCGAAGTGCAGTCATTGCCCAGCGAGTGGATGATAAGCTCCATGATAGAAAAATGTTCTGTGATAGGTCATACAGATGAGAGGTGAAGTTGCAGAGGAAGCAAGCGGAAAGAACGCGGACGTGGGGACGGGTCGGACCCTCTAGCTCACCCAAGGTTCAAGTCTCCCCCGCTAGGTACTCCGACCGACCGCACGCCCAAAGTTCCCGCCGGCCATGGCCCTCATCCGATATCTGCCCCGTGAACAAAGGGAAATTGGCTGAGTACTTCCTGCGTGCAAGCGGGGAACAGACGTATCAGACATATCGGAAGAGGGTTTTAGTTGAGGTACGAGAGCGGCGGGAGGAAGAGCATGTGTGAGTACCTGGTAGACTCATCGTTCACAAAGGACTGGCTGGTGCTACGCTACCGCACCGGCCCGTCTTGCTCATAAGTTGCGGGATGAAATTGATCGTGCCGGTGGGCCAACATCCACCCACCATCATTACCTTGCAGGACTAACCTTCACTCCCTCCTTCTCGTTTGCCTTTGTCGTCGTCCTGCCCATATTCCTTTCTCTTCTGCACCTTCTTTTCTCGGCTCTGGGGTCGTATATGTACTACAGGCACGCTGGACGGGCCATGCTTCCCCCTCCCGTACATTGCCTTGCCTTCCGATTCCCTTCCCTCTGCGCTCCTGACTGGCATTTGGGTGTGAATCGAATCATGGGGAAGAGGCGCGTGCATCTATTATATCAACGAGCAACAAAGACGGCGGAGCAACCTACCCTTACTCGTTTACTAGGGCGCTCGTGTAGCGTGTGGCATTTCCCCCTAGTAAAATTGAACCCTTCGGTTTAGGAACGATATGCTGCGTTAGCTATTAGTTAGAGCTACACGGCTTCACAAGGAACCTAGCCCCGTGGCCAACGCTTTTTCAGACTAAAGCTTTTACCGCTCCGACAATCAGCAGCTGAGGCTCCTAGATGACTCCAGTTGGCTGCGGGAATGACTCCTCAGCTTAGATGTAAACTGTATGTCAAAGAACTTCAAGTTGAAAAAAAAAGGTCTACAGGGTAGATATAACTCAAATAAGAATGAAAAAAAATTAAGATCAGGCTAGCTACTACGTTCCTCAATGCGATTGTAGGATGGTGGGGGAAGTGGTGGTGATCCACTTCAACTATTGCTTCAAGTACAGTACAATCTACGGTTCGCAAAGTAGCACTAGCTAGTCTTACAAAAAGTTTGAAAATTGCACGAAACTGTGTAACTTAAAGTCTCTATAACTCACCACAACAACAACAACATCAACAACCCCCCCGAAAACCTCAGGATATCTCTCTACCACAAACCCCCCCCACCGCCACAATTCTCCTACCCGTCTAACCCCTAACCCCTTACCCGTCACCTACCATTCCCGCGCTCGCGCTCATGCTCATCCATCACAAACGGCACGTCCTCTTCGGGCGTCGTCACCGCATCAATCTCCTCTTCCACTTCCTTCATCATCTCATCGAGCAGCACCTCCTGCTGCCCGCCAGCTACTACTGCCTCCTCTTCTTCACCCTCCTCTGCCGGCGGCTCGTCCCACAAGTCTCTGACCACGACGGGCGCGTCCAGCTTCTTGTACCGCACCTCCCACCGCAGGTCCTTCCAAGCGCGCGCCGCGTCGCCGACGTTGACCTTGACGCCGAAAGTGGGGACGGCGATGACGACGTCGGCGTCGGTGGCGGCACCTTCGTTCGTCGCCGTCTCCAGCGCTTCTCCTTCGGCGACGTCTGAGTCGAGGTCGAGGTCGTCATTGGTAGAGCCAGCAGCAGCAGCAGACGCAGCAGGGATGGACGAGGCAGGCGCAGCGATGACGGGCAGGACGAAGCGCGCCTTGCTTCTGGCAGCGTCGGTGCGCAGCGCCTCGAAGCGGGCGCGCATGGGACCCGTGAGGGCGGCGCGCAGCGGTTTGAGGTCGGACTGGCGGAAGGGGCGGATGGTGAGGGGGTGGGTTGTGGAGGGGTTGTGGACGCGGAGCCACCAGCGGCCGTCGTAGAGGGTGAAGGGGGATGATGATGACGACGATGATGCTGCGTCGGGGTCGGAGGAGTCCGGAAGTTGGGAGGAGGATGAGGAGGGATAGGAGGAGGCGGAGTCAACGTCGTCGGAAAAGGGAATCTCGTCGCCAGGAGCGAGGGATGAGGAGGGGGAGGAGGAGGGCTTTGGTGGGATGACGACGGTTGGGTCCTCGCCGCGGGGGTAGGGCTGCCGGCTCAGCATCCAGGTGTAGTAGGGGAAGTAGTCGTCGGGCGTCTGGACGCGCTCGAAGAGCACGCCGGCGGCGGTGAAGGAGGCCGGGACCTTGTCGGGCACGTCGTCCAAAGGGTTGTGGATGTAGAGGCGCGGGAAGAGGTGGCGCACTGCCGTCTCGAGCGAAGAGAGGTCGACCATCTCGCGCGGCGAAACGAGGTTGGCCAGCCGCCGGACCAGCATGGCGGCGACGATTTTGCATTCTTCAATGTTTACCCACTCGTTGCTGGGGTCGAAGAAGGGAGTGTAGTTGTCTGGGATTTTGAGCGTGTTAGACCTCAGACGCGTGGTATAAGTCAGGCGGCGCGTTATGGTGGGCGGGTAGAAGTAGCGTGCAAAGCGGATGGCGAGCTCCCCTGAGCGAAGGTCCAGTACGGCATCGAGTTTTTGCAGGAGACTTTCGACTTCCTGGTCACGTCCTTGGATTCTGTCCGCTGTGCGCTGCGTTAGCTGCAGCAGGGCCGGCTTGCTGATGGCTGCGGGCAGTCGATAGTTCTGATAGACATGTCTGATGGCATTGCGCAAAGTCAAGGTTGGGTCCTTGTTCGTTTCGTCTTCAACCCACGGAGTTCCCGAAGCCTCGCAAGTAGCCGTCAACCTAGCTTTGCTGAATGAAAGCAGCGGGCGTAGGACCTGAACGCCCCAGAATTCGACGTCGACGCGGCGCTGGGGTTTGGGTCGTGGTTGAGGCTCGTCGTCGGTCATCCATTCGGCGTGGCTTTGGTGGACGCCGTGCATGCCAAAACACTCTGGAATATCTCCAGCTGCTCTCATGCCGCGCAGGCCCATGCCTCTGTGGCCCTCGATGAGTCTCATCATGACGGTTTCTGCCTGATCATCACTGTGATGGGCAAGGAGCAAAGACTCGATTCCATGGTCGCGGCAAGCCTGACCAAGCAGGCGGAATCTAAATCTTCTTGCAAGAGTCTCTAGGTTGGTCAGGGATTTTGTATCTGTTCCTTCAGGCCATTGCATCTGGAGAATCTCAGAGGCCACCCCCAGCTTGTAGAGGTTTTCCTGGACTTCCAGTGCTTCCTCGCTGCTGCCCTTGCGTAGTTGATGATCGACGATGAATGCCGTGAAGACATCGGTGTCATCATCTTCGTTGATCTCATCTGATAGATCGGCACACAGGGTGGCGAGGGCCATGGAATCTACACCTCCACTGACAGCCAGACCTGGGGTCGGTGGTCAGTACCGCGGCATCTCGTGGGCGTCATTGCGTGGAGTGAGGAGCGGTTGACGGAGACGGACAGAGCAAGATGGAATTACTTGTTCATCCCCAAGCTTGCGACTCACCCAGACGCGGGCTCCGGACGCGGACGCGAGGAAGCCATATGGAAGCTAGAGACTCGCGGAACTCGGCGACGCTGACGGGCAACGCCGCAAGCAGGCGGTTCGTTGGAGCAAACATCACATCGCGGGACCGGGGCCGACGGTGGAGAGGGGGCGGTTGGCGCTATCGGGCCGGCGGCGTATCACGGAGCGGGCAATCGAGGGCGGCGGTGGTGTCGCTTTTTCCGAGGTCTGGCGCGTAGCTTCACCAGCGCCCGCGCACGGACTCCAGTTCTTCGAGAAGACTTTGGAACTTTTGGCTTCCTCTTCTTCACCACTCTTCCCGCCAGCTCTTCTCCTCCAAGCGCGCACCTCTCCTCCTGCTCCCAGCATCAATCCGCCGCCCTCCGCCACAATGGTACGTCGTCTTCCCTGCCCCGCTCCGCCGCACCCTGCTGATCACCTGTGCGAACAGTCGACCGCGATCAAGTCCGTCAAGGCCATTGCTCCCCTCCTCGACCGCATCCTGGTCCAGCGGATAAAGGCCGAGGCCAAGACTGCCTCTGGCATCTTCCTCCCGGAGAGCTCTGTCAAGGAGCTGAACGAGGCCAAGGTCCTGGCCGTCGGCCCCGGCGCCTTCGACAAGGACGGCAAGAGGATAACCCCCAGCCTCGCCCCCGGCGACAAGGTCCTCATCCCCCAGGTACGTTTGCGAATCTCGCGCCACAATACAGAGTTGGAGCTGACGCATCGTGCAGTACGGTGGCACCCCCATCAAGGTCCAGGACGACGACTACTCCCTCTTCAGGGAGTCTGAGTACGTATTCCCTTCGCTGCATCCTCAATTTTGGCGCGATTCTGACTCGCAGCAGGATTCTAGCCAAGCTCAACGAGTAAATATGGCTGTCTTGTACTTTTCCATGTAATACATAAAAATACCTCGAGACGTTCAATTGGAGGCCCGGCGTTTGGCAACCCTGCAGCATACTAAAGCGTCTGCATTCGAACCGTGTACTTTATGCTTTTACGAACTTATCTCCGCTCTAAAAAATTTCTTGACCTCCACGACCGATGCCTCAGCCTCGAATCTGTTGAAAAGCCATCGAGCCAGAAATCCGGCCTGCGCTATGCAATTGCTCTATATATTCATGAAACATTGCCAGTATTCTTACAAAATCCATCCTGCTTCATGTTTTACATTAGTCTGCTCCGCCAAGAGCATTGATGGTCCACTGGTAGCTTCCCAAGAAGATGGCGCCTCCCGTGCTGATCCAGAAGACTCTCGGGCCAATTCCAGCAAAGAAGGTCATTGGCCCGCTCTCCTTCAGTATTGACGTCAGCAGCGGCACCACCTTCTGCCGCTGTGTCGACAGCATCATGCGCGTCTTGAGCACATCGAGCGGCGTCGTGACGCCGGCGGCCACAGCACCCGCCACGGAGCCGAAGGCGGCGCCCTCGAAGGCCGAGACGCTGTCCTTGCCATTGGTCCTCCTGCTCCACTCCTTCATGCCCTCCCATAGCGGGAATTGGATCACGGTGAAGGGCACCTCACGCATGATGGTGATGCCCCAGCCTCTGTAGAGCTCGCGCCAGACGTGTGCCAGGCCGTGCGCGCGGCGCTGGCCTAGGATGTGCTGCAGCGAGGCCAGTGACGACGGGTGGTGGCTCGCCTGCGCGCGCTGCTTGACGACCTCGGTGGGCACGCGCACCGCGCACGCGGCCACCTCGCCCAGGCTTGCGGCAACCATGTGGGTGAGCGGCTCGCTCCAGCCGCTCTGCGCGGCGGGCGGCGTTATCTTGGTTCCATCGGCCGTGTGCTGCGTGGTGCGCTTGCGGTTGGACAGGGCGCGCTTGACGCTGTCGTAGGTGACGAAGAAGAGCGCGGCGCCCGGCGCGGAGCCGACGACGGTCGAGCCGATGCCGCGATAGATGCCACGGAAGCCGCCCGAGGCGATGAAGCCCTCGCTGGATTGCAGGCGCGTCTTGAGCGTGTCGAGCGGGAAGAGCGAGAGGTCGACGGTGGTGCCGGCCACGGCTCCGGCCTGCAGGATGAATCACAGAAAGCGTCAGGACGGGGTCATTGAGTCGCAGTAGGCGGTCGATGGACAGAGAGAGCAATTACCAGCAAGGAGCGCACGAAGGGCGACTCGACGCGCTTGGAGGAGGACATTGGACTGTGTGAAGCGCTGGCAGCGCATTTGCGCCGGCATCGCAGCTGCGACATTTGTTTGACCCCGCTTATCGCGATAAGGACCCGCACGTCATAAGCTTTCTGCCGACGCGTCCCGCGCCGCCCTCCACACACTCCCTGCTCCGTGGTATCCTGCTCCGATTGTGTCGCCAACCATGGCCGAGCAAGATACCGATCCAGTCGCTGCTCACTCTGCAGTCGACCCTGTCGTCGCCATGACCGACGCCGCAGAAGATCCCGACGCCCACACATACACTTCTACTAACGCCTCTGAGCTCCATAAAAAGGCAATTCTCCAGCGGCTCCGTGATAATGATGCAGCTTCCAATGCAACCAGTCGATCGGAAGAGAGCCACACTCTCTCGCCAAGCTCGGATCATAATCTCCCCCATCAATCTGGTCATGTTTTCGAGGGCATTGCTGCTGTTGCTGAAGAGATTGAAACCGGCCAGGTGCAAGGAGCCCCGGCTCCAGGCACCTCCAGCTCCAGCAGCAACTCTTTGCTTGAGGCTAGGGGTGCATCCCCTGCTTCGAGTCACCCGCACCTCCAAGAATCTTGCCTGCCTTACCCGTTCCGCAGTGGGCCATATCCTAAAGAATATCACGCCCAGAGCAAGGCTACTTGGTCCCCCGATGGCAGGTGCGTTCTGCAGCTGGCTCAAGATGGTTGCCTTAGAACACACATGATATCCGTAAGTTTCCCGCTCACTTTTGTAAGGATGTTTCGATGATCAAATCGAACACAGCCACCCTCGTCCTCCTTTATCGGCATTCACGAACCGCCTGAGTGTATCAGCGCTTTCGCTGCTTCTCCTTTCTTCACATGTACCAACCAAGAGTCCATGCTGGTATTTGCGTCTGTCAGACAAGAGCCAATTCGTCTTTTCAACATCAACAGTCCAGACTCCCAAGTACAGGCTTCGTACCCGCTCCAGTCTGAGACAGATGATGTGCTGCATATCCCAGTGGATTGCATCAAGTTCCTGCCGGATAATTATCATTTCATTGCCGCTGGTCAGAATTGCCTGGCCACCTTTGATGCTACAAGGTGCAATCAAGAGCCAGTGTCACAACTCTACACCCGCAGCAAGCATAGAAAGAAGGACAGGGGCAACCCCTTCGCTCTTAGCGGTAGGATCTCGGCGCTTGACTACCGTGCGGACGGATTACTCGCAGTTGGCACCTGGGGCAACAAGATAGGCTTCTATGAAAGCTTTGGTGTGGGCGAGGTCTTGGCGGTTGAGTTGATGGACAACATGCGCGTCTTCGGCCAGGGACATGGCATCCAGATGTTACGTTGGAGTCCTGACGGCAACTACCTATACATAGGCGAGCGGTCAACGGACTGCATAACCATCTTGGATGTCCGCATGTCGAATCGCAAAGTTTCTTATCTCACCGGCTGCAACAATAGGACAAGGCAGAAGCACGGCTTCGATTTGCTGGTCGATGGCAATGGCCATCGCGTTATCGCCGGTGATAGCGATGGTGTTGTGCGCGTATGGAACAATCCCACTACGCGCTCCGAGGAATGGGACATGGAGCCTGATCTTGAATGGCAGGCCCATGACGGTATGTTTTCATTATCTTTCACTCAAGATTGGCCTAACTCATCTTCACATTGTTTAGATACCGTAGCGGCTGTAGCTGTCAACCCCGTCTGGCCCGATTTCTTCGTCACAACGGCCGGATCTCGTCACTTCCCAACCGAAGAGGACTACGATACCAGCGACAGCTCGGATACAGACGAAAATCGGGTTAGGCATGGCGGTAAGAAGAAGCCGCGCGGTGGCGGTGGTGTAGAGGAGCTGGATTCTCCTGTGCCCGAAGGTTGGATGAAGGTCTGGCGCTGGTAGATGCGACGAGTGCTTCCAAGACAACACCCCGTCCATGCAGGATCATTCCAAACCAGAGAATGAAATATACAGCCTGCGTATTGGAAAATTTTCTGTAGGTAAACTCTCAATTTGGCCTACTTCTCCATAAACAATATGAGACTTGCCTATGAGTTCGCGGGAGAGAAAGAAAATCACTCTCTTATTCAGAAATTAGAGAAATACTCTTCCCATGACACTTGACATTGCTGTCTATGATATTTCTGCTGTATCATTCTCATTGTCCCACTCCAAGCCATAATTATAGTATGCTCAGCAATCAAGTTCACCTGCGTACTGTTTGTTATCATGACTGCAGTGTGTTGTGGAAACATTCGCCCTCCCATTTCTCTATGCCCCGTGAAGTTTTAACACTGCCCTCCATAAAATTGTCTTCGTACTCTGCAAAGTCCACGCATACTACCAGCAGCCCATCTTCTATCCCCACCGTAAACGATATGAGGACCACGTCCTCAACCAATCACGCCTTGTCCTCCTCCAGCAGGGCTAACAAGCCCAAACAAGTTGCCGCAATGCTTAATGGGGATGAAGCTCCAGACGAGAAGCAGGAGATGGTAAAATTGCAAGAGGAGAAGAAAGGAGAGAAGCGCCCCACCGCCACTCTCGCTTTCGCCAACAGCGAGACCATCACTTCACCAATAAAGAAGCAGAAGACCGCACTTCTTACTAAGAAACCGAAGGGTCTCATCCGCGGTAGCAGTAACAACGGTGGCCGTCGCAGTAACGGCAGTTCTGGCGCTACTGCAGCCAAATTGAAGCTTACTGATGCGCCCAAGCCAGAGCAGAAGCGCGGCATGGAGAGATTGCGTCAACGGAAGGCTCACCGGAACAAGGCATGGACACGTCTAGCAAGGAGAGATGTGGGATCAAGGGGCTGAACAGTAGTAGATGGTGAGTCTTAGATGTTTACAATTCTGGCGAGGACGCAGGGTTCCTAAGGCCCGTCAGACACCATACTTTTCATCACGGACGCATAGAAATAAAAAGACACATAGACTCCAGATTGGAAGAAAAGCTGAGGCAGTAAATGTGAAGTTCGATTACGCTGAGATATCCTTTTTTGAACCCTCCAAACGCCCCCGTAAGTTCTAATTCAGAACACCAGCAGCCAATGCCTCCAAATCCTCCAGCGTCTCCGGTTCCTCCTGAACCTTCTTAGCCCTCTTCTTGCCCTTCTTGCTCTTCTTCTTATCTTCAGCGTCCTCGTCACCGCTGCTCTCATCCTCGAACCACTTCTTCGGCCGCTTCTTCGCCGGCTTATCTTCCTCCTCCTCATCCCTCTCTTCCTCACCGTCACTTCTGTCTCCCGCGGTATCCGCCAAGAAGTTCTTGAAATCTTCGAACGCATTGCCATCCGCATCACCCAGCTGCACACCGCCATCGTCATCGCTGCCATCCACATCGCGGCCCAGTCTCTCCGCCCTCTCCCTTTCCTTCCGCTTGATCTTCTTCGCCAACTTCTTCTCCTTCGCCGTCTCCCGATCCACCACATCTGCCTCCTCAGCGCGCTGCTTTTCTTCCTCGAGGAAACGTTGCCGTTGCTCCTCCGCAGTACCCTTCGCCTTGAAAGCCTCTTCGTCTTCCATCTCGTAAAGCTCGTGCGGCTTGCCCTCGTCGTCGAAGACGACCCTGTGACCCTTGTCCTTGTACTTGAGCAGCTTCTTCTTGCTCTTGAGCTCCTTCTCACGGCGCTTGCTGTCGATGAGGATGGGCTCCTTAGCGCCAGGCACACTAACAACCTTCTTCCCTTGCGCCTCCAAGACTTCAGCGCCGTCATCATCGTCGGAAATGTCCTCGTCGACAGCAATGCGACGCTTGACAGCCATGAAGTCATCGTCAGAGTCACCGGCATTGGGAACCTTGTCGTCTTCGTCGTTCTCATCCCGGACGAGCTTCGTGTAGTGCTCGGAAAGGACGTCCTGGTTCTTACGCTCAAACATGCGGTCGTACTTCGTGCGGACCTCCTTCTCCTTCTTGGACTTCTTCTTATCACCTTCCTCGCCACTGTCCTCGTCTTCGGACGACGAGAGACCGTGGCGAGGTGCATTCTTGAGCTCCTTTGCGTTGTCGCCCTTCATGAATTTGATGCGCGGTGCACCAGGCAGGCCTAGACTTGCCGCAAAATCCTCCAGAGGCAGTTTTTGAAGATTGAAGATTTCCTTGTCCTTCTGAATGTGTATCGACTTGACATAAGAGATGAAAGCCTTCTGTCCGAGATACTTCAGCTGCGCATCCTTGAAGCACATGTTCTGTAGCTGGTTCTTGATGCTCTGCTGCTTCTTGGACCGTACATTGATGCGCTCGATGGGAATTTTTTTCGCCTCTAGACGCTTCAGCATGCCCTCCTCTTCACTGGGATCCAGGAAGAGCACAGCACGTCCGTCACGCTCATAACGAGCTGTCCGGCCAACGCGATGGATATATGTGTCGGCATCCTCAGGACAATCGACCTGGACGACCCAGTCCACGGCAGGGAAATCTAGACCACGCGCTGCCACGTCGGTTGCGAAAAGGCAGGAAGACTTGGCCGCTGAGAACTTCTTCGTAATATCCAAGCGCGCTGTCTGCTTTTGGCGTCCGTGAAGGTGCAGAAGGGGGATACCGGGCTGCATGTGGCGGAAGCCCTCATAAACGAAGCGCACCTGCTTTCCGGATGAAAGAAATACGATGATCTTGGACTTCTTACTGGCCTGGATGAAGCTCCATAGGGTATCCAGCTTCTCCGACAGAGGCGTGACAATATAATTCTGCTGCAGCGATTTGGGGGTCGCCGTCTCGGCGGCCTCGTGGACGGATACATACTCGGGATCCTGCAAGCTCAACCTGGCCAAATCCGAAACCTTCTTCGTCTGGGTTGCACTGAACAGCAGCGTCTGCCTCTGCTTAGGGAGGTAGTCGATGATAGCGTCGAGATCTCGCTGGAAACCCATATCCAGGATACGATCGGCTTCGTCCAGCACCAGCATCTGCAGGTTATCCACGTTGAAACCCACGGTCTGCGACAGGTGCTGCAGCATGCGGCCAGGAGTGCAGACGACGATGTTCATGCGCACCAGCGCGTCTCTCTCCTCCTGCAAACTCTTTCCACCAATGATCAAGCCGGCGGCAAACATGTGACCCTTCTTGCCGATGTTATACAGGACCTCAAAAATCTGAATGGCGAGCTCGCGAGTCGGGGAGATGATCATGGCACCAAGACCAGCGTCGGCGCCGACGCATTGCGAGCGGTACAAATTCTCGAGGACGGGAATCACGAAGGCGAGAGTCTTTCCACTACCGGTTCTTGCAGCACCTAGGATGTCGGCACCTTTGAGGGCTAGAGGAATGGCGCGTGCCTGAATATCGGTCATTGCCGCGAAATGGCATGCCTTGAGGCCTGCCTTGGTCGGCTCGGAGAGGGGAAGGTCGGTGAAGCTTTTGTATTCATTGTTCTTCGGGTCCTAGAGCCAAGACGTTAGGAGAGGTCGAAGCGCGGGCATGGAGATGCGGAACTCACGAGCTCGTCGACGGTCTGCTGGAGTTTCTCGACGTCGACATCGCTGCGTTTGCGCTTCTGGGTGCGCTGCAGCTTCTTGACCTTGGTCGGCTTGGTGCGACCGGTGAATGCGCCGGCCATAGCTGCAGAGACTGGCGAGAAAACAATCGGGGTGGAGTTGGATCGCGGATTTGGCTGGTTGCGATGCAGCGGCGCTCAAGAACTTTTGGTGCACGGATCGCTTGGCGGCAGGCGGGGGACGGGGCGCGGCCCCAGATCGATAACCGCGCCAGCCCTATCATCTGCCTTGCATTGCGCCTCTGAGTTCCCCATCATCCTCCGCGCCCGCTTTCTCACTCACCTTGCCCCCACATTCACACGCGACGCGTCTCTTCCCCCACGCTCGCTCACCCAGAAGCAACCATGGCTGATGATAAGGACGTTTTCGATTTGCTCGAGAAGGAATCCAAGGAATTCGATAAGGTACGCGCTCCACTACCTCAGTTTGCTCCGTGAACCAACCAGCTAATCCATGCCCCAGGACTCCGAAATTGACCGTAAGTCCCTCTCCACTGCGCCCGTCGCTCTCGCACGCGTCTCTGAGTGCGCTCGCTAACCCTGCGTTCAGGCATCTGCAATGCCTTCAAGCTCGACTCGTACGCCGTCATGGGCCTCAAGCCCGGCGTCCCCGAAAACGACATCAAAAAGATCTACCGCACCAAGTCACTGCTGATCCATCCTGATAAGACGACAAACCCCAAGGCGCCCGACGCCTTCGACCGGCTGAAGAAGGCACAGGAGCAGTTGATGGACGAGAAGGCGCGCGCCCGACTGGACGAGGCCATCGCTGACGCGCGCATGCTGCTGATCCGCGAGAACAAGTGGACAGTCGATTCTCCCGAGCTCAAGACGGAGGAATTCGAGGTAAAATGGCAAAACAAGACCAGGGAGGTGCTCATCGAAAACGAGCTACGCCGCCGCAAGCAGATGCAGGCCGCCATGCGCGAGGAAGGCCGTCAGCAGAAGAAGGAGGAGGCCGAGATAGCCGAGCGCAAGCGCAAGCGCGAGCACGAAGAGGCATGGGAGAGCTCGCGCGACCAGCGCATCGGCTCCTGGCGCGATTTCCAGAAGAAGGGATCTGCCGACGGCGAAAAGAAGAAAAAGAAGAAGCTTAAGCCCATCGGGTGAGCGCGCGCGCGCGCGCTCTTGCGGTCGCCGATCATCGCTTGCTTTTTTCCTGTACAAAGTACTCTGCAGGAAGGATAGGGCTGAAAGGCAGGGTCCATCTAATGGCGTAAGGTACAGGCGCAGTCTCTAGACCACCGAGCTGTCATGGCGTTTTGCAGGGCGATACCAAGACCCACATCGACTTCGATCCGATACTCGTGGGACCGGGTCCATTAAAGGGAATCAGCTAGTGAGTAAAGACAAAAGGGTTACTATACCAAGTAATTGTGCTCATTCAAACCAAGCTCCCCGAAATCCCCTCCAAAGTGTTGCATATCCAGGGATGCTTCCCGTGTTTGTAAGACCATGAGCTATGACATTTTATCCCGCCGTGGAGTTAACGCACCGTGTGGATTTTATACGTATTCGGATGAGCGCTGTTCAGCGTTCTTTCCCAACACTCTATTTGCAACGCCGGTTGCATCGAGTGAGATGACTCCCACTAGAAAAAACTATGTGTCAGACGGTCAATCCTTCCACGCAGCTCTGGAAGGCTGCAGATGCAAGTACCACCACAGTTGATGCACAACGAAAGAAGCCGCATGCGAACATCAATAGAAGATCCCAATTACCAGGTTGTCGTAAAAGGGGCAATCACCAATCGGCGACCACTCCCTCAGCCACACGCAAATGTTCACTCGCGCGCACCCTATCATCCCTTAGTGTCGGAGAAGGGCACTGAAACCACCGTTTCCTGTATCATAGTGCTTAGGGCAGCCAGACGTCGGCCCAATCCTCATCCCTTCCGTCCGCGCAACCGTTTCGCCAAACCACGTGGACAAGGTACCGTGGGCGCGCCTCGCCGGGAAAAGCGGAAAGTCTAATCAAAAGGATTACATAGCCCAAACTTCGCACGGCTCGGTACGCGCAACCACGGCAGCTTACGGCTTGCGGGGAGAGCGAACAAAAAGCATTTGATGCTATATTCGCCAAACTAAATATGGCGAAAGGGTGATCATGGAATAGTGAAAAAGCAACGGGCAGAGCGGAAAGAGAAGTGTACGTACCAATCGAAAGCGGCGCAGGTATTCCTACCGCCCGTCTGTTACACACACTTCCACACACGCGCTTCCTACGGTGCCCTACCGACCGCGACCACGCATATCCAATCACTACGATGCGCTACGGACGCAGAAGTGACGAGAGATAGAAAACAAAATTTAAAAAATGAGGTGTGGGCGCACACATGAACCACGCGCGCGTGCGCGGCGCGTCCGCACGGGAGCACGACGTCAACCGGCAATCGAATGAAAACTCCCTCTTGGGTTACTCCCGAGCATTTCGTTACCCTCTTTCCCCCCTCCACCCGCCCACCTCCCGCCCTCCGCACCCGCGGGGTCGAATGAAGTAATTGGCGCGGCCGAGGGAAAGACTGGGACGTATAAAAAAATGCTACCAACGACGGGCCAGTGAGGTGCCAGCGCACTGCTCTCACCGACTTCGCCGATTCGACCACCCGTCCAATCATTTCCCCCCGAATTTTCTTTCATTCACCGCCTCTTTCTCGAGCCAAAGCAAGGGAAACCCATTCACACGTCGTGCCTTGCTCCACCAAGCACGCACCCCGCACGCTTTCCCCGCTGCCCGCGGGATGACGTGCAGCCGTGCTTCCTGAACGTGAGAAAAGTTTAACTTGACGTCGTCCCATCTGCGCCGCGAAAGCCACTCGTCCCTCTTCCGGTTTCACTTCGAATATTGCCGTCTCTCAAGCGGCGGAAAGATGAGGGAGCGATTGTGTGAACCTGCGATGTGTTTTATATGGTTATTTTCAACCACTATGGACAACCCCATCTCCCCTTTGCAATTATCCAACCAAGGGTATACAACCGAAAGTTGAATGAATTAAAGACGACTGGTCAATGGCTGGAATCAAACTATCCCTTTTCTTCCCTACCCTAACCCCGATGACATAGGATGTTAAGAAGCGATCGTGATGCTAGTACACAAAGGACTTTTCTGTACAAGCGTGGTAATAGAAGGAAAGTACCGCCAACCAACAGGTATTGAAACATGGCTTTTCGCGAAAAGTAAATTAGGAAAAGGAAAATAGAACCATCTGGAAGAAGTTTAAAAGCAAAGAAAAACCCGCGCTTCCCGTACATCCAGACTCCTTGCAGAGCACGCTTGATTTCGGAATTTCAGGTATGATACGTCCAGTACGAGCCCATGCTGAATTCATAAAGCACGTTTACTTTTCGTCATATTCCATCCTGTACTGTGCGAATTGTTCCCATCTCTGAAGACCCTCTTTGCGCTGTAAATCCGACAGAAATCGTGTATCCGAATGGTAAAGTGTAATCCAGGAAATGAGCCCCGAGAAGTCCCAGGAAAAGCCTCCGAGAGTATGCTTGAGCCTGTATATGTGCAGCGAGCGACCGAAAACATTTATGAAGAACATTTCTACAAGAGAAAAAGGACGAGGACCGGATGTGTACCAGGACGGGCTTGGACCAGCCAAGGCTAGCAAGCATGAGTTTTTGAAAACAAAGGGGACAAATATTACCCATAGAAGACGAAAATATGTGCCAGCCAAGGTGGAAACCCGAAGTCTATGCAGTTGTATGAAAAGGTGGCCTAGATGATGTCTCGTATGTTCAATCTCCGCCTTTTGGACGGTTCCTCTTCGTGCGTCCCCTCTGATGTGCCTTGGCTGCGCCTTTCGTCCGATGAAACTCTTCGAACGGGAGCAGGAGCAAGGCCTTCTTGTTGTTGGACCGGATCCCACGTGTGCTGTTGTTCACCCCTCAAGCCCGGTTGTCTCTGGTATGCTGGAGAATGGTATGGCTGGGGTTGCCAGGTTCTCGGCTCGCTATGCCAGGAGCCCTCTGCTGGCATAACCTGGGCAGGTCTTCTAGGCGTCACCTCGTACGTGGGTCCGTGAGGCTCCGCACTACCAGCCGATGACCACGATCCACGCGAGTACCCATATCCAGCAGGAGGCACCTGTCCGTACGGGTATGTCTGTGCTGCCGGTGTGGGGGCGGCCGTCTGAGGAAGCGATGAGGCAAGATTTTGGAGAGAAAAGTATGAGGTGTATGGAGAGTGCTGCTCAGGACCTGCGAGCGGCGAGCTATGTCCGAACGGCGAATACGGGTATTCAGTTGGGGTCGCTCTCGAGGGCGGCCGCGATGATCTATGAGGGGGCACCGGTGTAGCGAAGACTGGCGGGTATCGTTGGGGTTGCTGCTGCTCAGTAGGAGTTTGTGGGAGTTGATTTCGGTCGAAAGATGGTAAAGTCAAGGAGACGAAGAATATCGAGGTCTTTGCAAGACGCACTCGGGCCCGCACTTCCTGCGGCTGCCCAAAAATAGAGCTGAATCGCCAAGTGAATCCACGGTCCGTATAGCCGTGGCTGATGCGATCCAAATCATCTTCTTCAATACCCTGAACTGCCTCCTGCTCTCTAGGACCAAAAATAGGCGGCATGTACGACGGCTCTCGCTGATCCCGCTCATCTCTCAGCTCACTGCGCAACCTCTGCACCGTCTCTGCGTGATGGGACTCGACAAGCTCGGAAAGTTCTCGTCCGTACAGGTCCGATCTGCCAAAGAGCATGTTGAAAGCCGAGTTGGTCTTGATGAGGTGGAGGTCTAGATTCAGCAGCGCCATGGGCGTCACGTAGGACGGTACCGGCCGCGCGTACTCGAGCGTCGGATACTGCACCGCACCCTCCTGAGGAAATGGACTTGGCGACAGACTCTGCACGGTCGACGTTGGATGCCGAAAAGTGGCCGGCACTCCGAAACTCCTTCGAGTGGCTCGTAGCGGGCGACCAGAGTCCGGCCGCACACCTCCAGGCGCCAGACCGGGCACTGGACTCTCGCTAGCAGACGTCGAATGCTCGCCTAACTCGTGGGCCTGGGGCGGTCTGCTCTCCTGGACGTCGCGGAGCCTGGGACGGCCCCTTTTCTTGTGCTGGACGTCGTAGCATGAGGACTGCTCGCACGATGAATGTCAGCCTTGCTCTGGTGCCTTGGGGGGGGGAAGCCGTTTCTCGTACCTCTTTGCCGGAAGTGACGCATCGCGTGCACGGCCGCTGGACGTCGCAGCTGAGATGGGCCCTCTTGCAGTTGACGCAAGCCGAGGCTACGTGAGCCTTGTTTCTGCGGGCGCTTTTGGTGTTTCGCAGCGGGACGGGGACCTGGCTAACTAGCGGGGCGGGCGGCTGCACAGCGACGGTTGGACCGCCATAGCCGGGGGCGAAGCTGCCAGATGCGCCGAAGGCGGAATAGCCGAAGGGACCCATCTGGGGAGACGGCTGTGCTGTGTCGGGCTCAGCAGAAGACAACGGTCGCAGCTCCGGAAGCTGTTCTGTAGGTCGCTGCGCTGAGCTGCTCGGCGGCGGCGGCTGCTGCCGTTCGCCTCCTTCATAAACCATCCTGCGCGGTTGCACTGCACCGAGCCGATCCGTGGAGCGGCCTCCGGGGCCCTCGTGCTCGGCGGAGTGGAGCTGCCGGCGGTCATGCTGGTCCTGGGGTGGGCTGTATTTTTCCTTCTGCTGCGGTGAATGCGTCCTCGCCCGGAGAGGTGGTGACGGCCTGTCTGACATGGGCGGGGACGGGTAGCAGGCGGCAAAACGGAGCCCGGGTGAGGCTTTCTCTCTGCTGCCCGGTATCTGACGGCGCCCAATTGACGGCGCGCAGGAGTAGCTCGAGCAAGGAGGAAGGGCCAGTCCATGCATAGCGCCTTCAGGCCGCAGGAACACAGCGAATAACGGTCGGCGCCCGGGGACGGCGTGGCTGCTTCAGCTGCTGCGCAGGCCCTGGGCGGTGGGGGTGTTCGTCCAGGTTGAGGTCAGGGAAATCGTATGAGCATGGGCGCGCCGCTGCTTGTAATATGTAATGTGGGCGAGGTTCCTGGTAGGCCGGATGTCTTGGAGGCGTGCCCGGCAGTAGCACGAGGAGAGAGAGCTGGGAAAAAGGACACACAGGCATGCACGCTGCAGGAGGCTTGGGCGAGCAATACCTGCAGATGACGACACCCGGGGGATTGAGGCTGCGGCGGCACCCGCGTGGTCTGCGAGGGCCAGGCGGGGGGGAGGCCGGGCGTTGGCAGAAAAATAAAAGGGCGCCGTGTGGTCTCGGAGGGAAGCTTGCTGCTGTCGTGTGGGGCCTGGGGCGCGCTTGAAGCAACCGGGCAAGGCGGCGCGCTCTCGAGACCCTGTGCTTGTGGTGATCATGGCAATAAGAAAGATCGGCCTCTTGGGCGCTCTGCGGATTAGGGACTCAGATCTCCCATTCCAGATCCCTGTTGACACCTGCATAATTGGACGGCGGCTTTGGCACGGGGCCGTCTGCCGGGTCGGTTGATGGCCGTGGGCGGGTGCATTGCGGCGCGGCGCGCGCGCATGGTTGACAGGCCTAGCTGATCGGCGACGTCGACCAAGGGCCCAGCGCCTGCGGGCGCCGTGGGGAGGTGTGCTGACGGCGTGCTCACGTCCAAATCGATAGCCCTCCCTCGAGCGGCTCCGGCCATGTTCCTTTTGCGCCCCTGCGCCCATTGGCTCCTGCTGTTTGGGGCCCAGCTTCTCCACGCGGCAGATCTCGGTCGACGCCCTCTCGAGGGCTCCAGCCGGCGCCCCACCGCGAAGGCGAGCGCCTGCAGCCACCAACAGCGGATGAGGCTGGCGCGCGGCGAGGTGACGATTCAGCTCGCGCTCGCGATGAAGAAGGAAGTGGCACCGCACCCATGCCCGCAACGGCTGCTAGCCGCTTCCGTGCTGGCTGGCGGATCGGTTCTAGGAGGGTGCGTGCTGCCCGCTGCCGCTCTCCGGCTGCCCTTGGGGAGGATAGGGCTGCGCTGCATGCAGTCCTCAGATGACCCGGCCGGTCGCCAATATAGTAACGCTCATTTCGAGCAGCGATCCTTCCACTCCTCCTTATGCCCGCTGCCCGCCAGCTCTGAGGCATGACTCTCTAGGCGCATGTGATCTCCGCAGCAATGCGCGCCATTACTTTTTCTCCGCTGCGCTGCGACGGCCGGCGGACGCGACGGCGCCAGCAGCAACCGTAGCAGCAGCGGCGTCGTCGAGTCGGACGTCCACGCCTCGCGTGTTCGCGCCGCCCGGAGCGCCGTCGGCAAGGCGGAACGCGACCCTAGCGAAAGGCACAGGGCAGCCCGCGGCGATCGAGCGCTCTTGCGAGCTGAGCGCGACTCGCTCCTCGTTGTGTTTGCGCGCGACCTTCGGGCCCCAGCCCGGCGTCGCTCACGCAAATCCGCCGGGATCGCGCACCTTAATTTGCATGCCCGATCGGGAGCCACAGCCAGCCAGCAACCGTGCCCAAACTGTACGGCATTGACCGCCAAGGAAGCGCGTGCAGCCCGCCCTGGTCCCTGTCGCGCACCAGCCGAACCGTCGTCGACCATCAGACGCCGCCCTCACACGTCGCTCCGCCGCCCGTCGTATCGTGAGGTAGCCGTGGCAGAGCAGCAGCAGCACCGCCGGGCAGCGTGCACCGCCGGCTCCCTGCGCGCTCCAAGCCCACGTCTGTGACGTGCAGCCGACCCTGGCCGGGCCCGGCAGCTTATTTGTATTGTCAATAATGTGCCGACGGCCATGCCTGCACGCACCTAAGCCAGAACAGAAACAGATGCGCTCCCACGGTCCACACGCCCGAAAGTCCCTGGCCCGGTTGCAACACCAGCCACACGTGCGCATCCTCGCGCCGTCCCTGGCGCCGGCCCTTTGTGGCGATCGGGGGCCAGTTTTCGCTGCTGCCAACGCTCAATTATATTTGGCCTTCGCTCCCAGGGCCCCGTCGCCGGGTACTCAACGAGACACACTGCCGCTGCCGCCTGCCGCAAAGCGCTGCATGTCCCCACCTGGGGGCCTGCCAGCTGCCGCCGCCCGCGCCCTGCCGCCGCCGCAGGCACACGCACCCGCAGCAGCCAGTCCTGACGCGTCCGGCGACTCATCTTCCCAGTGTTTTGTTTCTCCTGCCCACGGGCTCGATTGCGCAAAGACCACGGCCCCGGCCGCGCTTGCGGCTGATCCGCTCCGCTTGCCCGTAGTTCGGCGGGCCTGCGGTCAGATCGCAGGGCGCAGCCGCCGGCAGCGGGCCCTTGGAGATGGGGGCTGCCCGCCGCAAAAACAGGCAGGTCGAGCGCCACTTTCCCCGATCGCGAATCGTGACACTTGGGCGGCCTGCGCTTTTTCCCAGGCCGAGGGGAAAAATGAAAAACTTGTCGAAAAGCATGGACGGCCAACGTGGGTCTTCCGTGCCTCCCGCGCCGTACCCTGCTGCGCCAGTGCGTCGCTGTGCGTGCGTGCATTTGTGCCGCCGCGAGCACAAGGACGGAGATGGGGAAGTCTTTTGCTTGTTCGTGTGTTCGGCGTGCATCCAAGATTATGGTGGCGCCCGTTCTGGAAAATTAAGAAGCCAGAAAGGCAAGCCTATTCCAAGTCAATAAAAATGGTTCCTGTGCCTCCTCGGCTGTGCTGCAAAAATCGTTCGCTCGCTTCCCACCTTGTCTTACCTCTCGATCGCCGGAGCCACAGCTACGGAGAATTCTTTGGGACAGCCTATTTACCTCTACGCCGGTAGCGATTTGAGGCGTGCGCGGCCGTGCCTTCCTTCGGATGGCGTGTGGGCCTCGACGTCGTACGATCCGGCGTCGGCGGCGCAGCAGACAGTCAGCACACAAGACAGACGGCGTGGATGGTAGGTGGGAAACTTTCCGCTAACCGTCGCGAACCTGAAGTCGACCAAAGGCCCGAAAGAACCCCCTAGGAATGCCGCTAGCACGATAAGCTTCGCGACCTCGTGGGAACCACGCGGCTCGCTGAGCTGAACAACTAGTCGTTGACGAGATCTGCAATGGCTTGAATCGCCGCTTCTCAAATAGCGGAATCCTTCCGCCGGTCAGTCCAACGGCCGTACATAGATCGCGTGGAGAAACGAGGCGTTGACCCGCGCCGTCTGGGTAACCAGGCGTGCAGTCCTTGGGTCCGGCTGAATGCTCTGGCGCTGTTCTCGTCCTAATGTCAGCACGCGACCCGAACGGCCTTGGGGCAATCGTACGAGGTACGAAGGTGTGTCGTATGTGCAGAGCGAGTATACTCTGATCAAAATACGGTCCGAATACTGGTATCAGATTAGGAGCGTGACAAATGCACCAAATGGCCAAGTCCATAGCTTCTACTTTTGAGCCTTGGCAGCGAAAACGATTGGCCCGCTGCATGTCAGCCTTCGCTGCCCTCGGTTGTCGACTATCTATTGGAATAGAGTTGGAGAGTGTTACCGCGAAGCCCCTCGAACCGACTGCCCGGACACCTTCCCTGGACACTCTGCAAGTCGGGGCCGTCGCAGGGGCGGCCCGACATAGCTAATCTCCGCAATTAGAACTTCCCTTTCTTTGAAGGCCTTGCATTCTTTGCGCGGCGCTTTTCCTGAAGCGCTCTGCTCTTGCGGACATCGTCGACCCCCTTGAGCTCGCTCTTCGCCCCGCCGTCTGCAAACCTGCCAATGCGCTTCTCCTTAGCCGCATCCACCCGCTTCTTCCTGACATGATAGTCGTCTCTGTATTTGTCGGCCTCCTTAGGCGCCTTCACCATCTTGTGCTTGAACCTCTTGTTGGCACCGTGAGCGCCGCTGGAGGCTGCCTCGGTCTCACCAGCACGAGGCAGACGGCCGATCTTGTTCGTTTTCTTCCAAGATTCGAACCGTCCAGATCGGAAGCTCGCAGCGATCTTCTGCCCGCTTTCGCCACGAATATATTTGACCCCCTTAGATCCGTCCTCGTCATTTGCGCGTGCGACGTATTTCTTGCTCTTCTTGTCCCACCTCATCCCGCGCGGTTTGGATGCTTCAGCAAAGCCCTTCGACTCATCCTGATTAAGGTCCATTGCTGCACTTCGTGCCTCTTCAACGAAGTTGCCACTCCGTCCCTGATTGTCGTACGATCCGGAATGGACGCCATAGCCGCGGTTCTCCGCTAAGTTCAGCGTTTTTGGCGTGTAGGTCATGAAATGTTCTGGATCCTGCCAAGCCTCCTTCGAGTCTTTCTTATTGGCCTGCGAATCCGGGAAGGTGATCTCCAGCTCGTCCTCCGATGCCGAGTCCATATTGACATCGACGTCCATATCGTCAAAGTCCCCGTCCTCTTCGGTATCCCGTGCCGCGTCGGTGGTGTTGGTCAGGCCTGCAATGCTCCTGTCGTTCCAGGCCTTCTTGCCCTCTCCCTGTTGGCGACGTCGTGGATCGACCTTTTCCCTCCTCTTGCGCATCATATCAGCCGCCTCGTCACCCGTACCGCGTTTACCAATCTCGAAGATGGTTTCCTGCGGGCGGAACCCACTAATGCGCGCCAGCATTTTCTCCCTTTCCACTTCAGCCTTGTCGATGTCATCATTGAACAGCATGTTCAGCTCAGACACCGCCTCAGAAGCTAAGACATCCTTGGCACGCTTGGCGCTTTCCGATGATGCTGAGTTGCGCGTCCTCATGTAAAGCTTTTCACCTTTGGCGGCTACAGTGCGCAGATTGCTCAAGTCCTCATCGTCGTCAAGCAGTTTGCTGACCCATTCGCATGCGCGAGCCAGCTTGTCCCGCACAAATCCGCCCACAACCACGTCATTGGCGAAGCTGACGTCTTCGTCAGTTCTTCCCAGGATCAGCTTCCGGCTAAGGAAGAGCTGTAGGTCCAGGAGATACGGAACGTCCGAATCCCTCACCAGACTGTAGCTCCAACCCTTCCTTCCTGCTCTTGCTGTTCTACCGACACGGTGAATGAAGATCTTGGGCTGAGCTGGGAAATCGAAATTGATGACATTCGCGAGAATGGGAATATCGATACCACGGGCAGCGACATCAGTGACGACAAGGATGTTACTCATGCCGGTTCGGAAGGCATGCACTTGTATCTTACGAGCGGTTTGATCCAGCGAACCGTAGGCGTAGGAAACAGCATATCCAGCAGAGCGGAGCAGCCCTGCCAAATACTCCACGTGGTGTTTGGTAGCTGCAAAAATAATGGTAGAATGCTCGGTGGGTGAGTCAGTCGCACTGGGCGCATCGGAATCTCTCTTGCGCTTTTTGTTTTTGGAATCAGCCTTCTTGTTCTTGGCCTTGGTAGCAGCCTCGGTCTCTCCCGTGGGCATCTTGATGATATCTTGCAAGATGTGCAACAAAGCACCCTCCTTGTCGGCACTCTTCACTGTGAAGAAAGCGCTTTCGAGGTCTGGCGACACCTTGCTTTCAGCATCAAGGCGGACGAGCTTTGGTTCTTGAAGACCAGCTCTAGCGAACTCAACGAGTGACTTTGGAAGGGTAGCGGAGAAGAGGAGTGTTTGTCGGTTGGGAGGAAGAGCGTAAAGGATCTCGGCCAATTGGGCAGCGAAACCCATTTCGAACAGCCGATCGGCTTCGTCGAATACCACATAGCGGATTGTAGATAGGTCAAGTTCCATTTCAACCTTGAGGTGCAGAAAACGGCCAGGGGTTGCAATGATGATGTCCGGGTTCGTGTTCATATCGGAAAACTGTTCCTCCAGGCTATCACCACCCACAAGAAGCACAGTCCTCAGGTCTGTACCACGGCCAAGCTCTTTGACAACCTTCAGAGTCTGAAGTGCCAGCTCACGCGATGGTGACATGATGACGGCTCTTGCGCCAACCTTTGCGCTGTGCGCTTTCAACTTCTCGATCATGGGGATGACGAAGGCGGCAGTCTTTCCAGAACCAGTTCGAGCCATGCCCACAACATCTTGCCCGTCCAGCAAAAGGGGAATCGTTTTCCTTTGGATAGGAGTCGGCACAGAGAAGCCTTTCCGGGTGATTGCTTTGAGCAGGTTCGCGTTCAGACCCATGGCTTGGAAACCACCGCCTTTCTTCACGGTCCTCCCCTTCAGGTTAGACGACTTGCGGTTCGCCGCCGCCAGCTGACCAGCGATGAAGGCATCGTCATCGCTGTCGCCGCCGTCCTCCGCTCCAATGTTCAACTCTGCGCCGATATCAAAAGGCGCATTCTTGCGACCTTTTTTCGGTGCGACCTGTTCGTCTTCGCTGTCGTTGGCGCCGGCAAGTAGGGCTTTCGAGATATCGAATTCGTTTTCGGACAAGGCCGGGGAGACGTCGCGGTGCGGCATTTTGTCGACGTTTGTCGCTCGTTGTCGGCCGGCTCGTGGTGCGCGGCGAGTGTCGAGGGCAAAGGGTGTCGGCATGGGGCAATGGGAAAATAATTTGGGTCTTGGTCTTGGCGCTACTTGACTCGCAGCCGACGGGCTTATCGATAACCAGGACGCGCACCTGACAGCGGGGCGTTCGTCGCGTCGCGTCTTTGCGCGTCGTCCGAAACCATCGCCGCTGCCTTGCCGTCCAACAACATTTTCCGCCACACAACCCCAACCATGGGTCAGTGTGCCCCCCTATCTCAAATGAACTTAGCTAATGCTATGCGACAGACTACGGTAACTACGGCGATTACTCAACGACGTCGTATGGCGGCCAAGGCGGCTCTGGCGGAGGTGGCTTCCTTCCGATGGAAGGCAGCCAGAGCCCTGGCAGTGCGTCAAAGGTACGATGCCCGTCGACAGTATCTTAAGATATTACTGATTTTCAATTCAGGGATTCCGCAAAGATACCCTAAGGCCCGTCACCCTCAAGCAGATCAACGATGCTGTCAACACACAAGAGTCGGATTTCACCATCGATGGTGTCGAGGTAGCCCAGGTACGAGATGAGAAGCTATATCATGATGGGCGCATTGCTAAGCAGGCATAGATTACCTTTGTCGGGCAGATTCGCAACATCTCGCAGCAGGCACTCAACATCTCCTTCAAGTTTGACGACGGCACGGGTCTGGGAGAAGTCAAGCTCTGGATGGACGCCGACGGCCCGAATCCCCTCGAGCCTGCCGATGGCTCCAAGCCCACTCTCGTCGAGAATACCTACGCTCGCGTCTGGGGTAAGCTGAGGTCGTACGGCCAGAAGAGACATGTCATCGCACACATCATCCGCCCTATCACCGACTACAACGAGATCTCGTACCATCTTCTCGAGGCTACCGCTGTGCACCTGCACTTCACACGCGGACCCCCCGCCAGCGGCGACAGCAAGCCTGCGGCCAACGGTGGTGATGTGCCAATGGGCGGCTACGGAGATGCTGGATCAATACCATCCCACATCAGCGCTGCCGCGAAGAAGGTCTTGCATGTCCTGCGGACTGCGCCGCAAGGCAACGAGGGTCTTCACATGCAGGATATTGCGTCCAGGACAGGCATGGATATGGCGGATGTTGCCAAGGCGGGTGACGAACTGCTTACCGAAGGCAAGATCTACACAACGGTGGATGATACCACCTGGGCGCTGCTTGACGTCTGATGGCATTTATGGCTTACTGGCGCTACGGGAGGGTTGAGTTATGGATTTTACGGGTTTGCAAAAAGGACGAAGAGTAAAAGGATATCTATTCGAGATGCGAGTCGTTCAGCTGCTCGACTCATTTGACTTTGCATTGGTAGAGAGGAACAATATGCATGCTGCAACGATGGCGGTTGCTACCACGGTAAAGACCTGTTCGGGGTTAGAGCGGGTTGGGACTTTAATAAGCACGTCGCTTACCACTTGGGTCTTCCATCCTGACTGTACAAGCGCGCTTCTTCGACTGTACCGCGTGACCGTCTGAATATAGGTCGCCAGACCCGAGATAAGGCATGCAAGAGAGAGCAGCCAGAATATGATGCCGAAAGGCAGTGCCATCCGTCGCTCTGCCTGCATGTTAGCTCGCATTTCTCTTAACGGCTGTTACAGAACTCACCCAGGTCGCTTGGCTGGGCTTTGAGATGGAACGAGATGACTATAGCAACAGACACTATAGCCATGTATATGGAGAGGCGCAGCCATGACAAGAAAGCTTTCGCGAAAGGGATAGAGTTAGAGAGGGTCTCGGAACACGGCACAGCGACGATACGCACTTCGTTCATTTGCACAGTGGTCCCGGGCGTCGGAGGCATTATTGGCAAAAAGCAACGGGCCGCATAGGGGGCGCTCGGTGAAGACACAGCGGTTGTAGTCGTTGTCTCTGGGGGTTATGGTCAGACCGACATTTGCTCGCTCGATGTAGAGAACCTTGTCGCGACTCACTGATTCACGATGACCGGCTTCGTCGGCACGATCGTGTAGAGCGGGTTGTAAGGTTCGTGGAAAAACTGCTCATCGGCCGGCGTGCAAGTGGTCATGGTGTGCAGAGGCAGATAGAGTTCGTTCCGAGCTTAGGTGTTGTGTGTCTGGCAAGTGCACGACTTGTGTTGGACAGCGATCTCACCTCTCGCTCGTGCTCTAGTCTCGTGCGTCATGACGCACTAGCGAGTAATGAAGGCTTCCCCGCGAAATAAAACCCAACGCTCCGCCGTCTCCAGGACATCTCCCACGCAGATCCCTTCAAAATGGCTCTCGAGAGTTGCGATTTGTTTGGCGGTAGCCTGTTAGGGCCTTTCCTTCTAATCGCGCCCGAAACCACGCTAATGTTGTCAAAACAGGCATTGGAACGCCGCTGATTGGACGTCCTCCGACGATCGCGTTCGCGGCGGGAAGTCTCACGTATGTACTCCGTCATAGGCCGGATGGTAACGGAAAGGCTGACGCTAGATTCAGTCTTATTTTGACATCTCTGAGACGAACCCTGTGGCCCGGTTCTATGGCAATCTCGATATAAAGACTCTTGGCGGTGCTGGTTTTGCTAGCCAGCGCACAACCGGCGAGAACCGCACCTGGAACATTGACGGCTACGATGGGATCCAAATCGAGGTCGCCAAGTCTGATTGTACGTCAATGACCGAGTTGCTACGGCGATGGCTAATCGAGTGCACCAGCCAAGAAGTACACGTTCAATATCAAGAACCAGCTTCTGCCGCCGGATCCTAACACTGGAAGAGAGCAGTCTACCATTTCCTATGAGTATGACTTCTTCGCTCCGTCACCGAACGCTACAGGGGAAACCACAACCATCTTCATTCCCTGGAAAGACTTCAAGGCGACGTACAGAGGTCGTGAGGACCCTGATGCACCTCCTGTCGACCTGACAGACATCAAGAGGTTTGGCATTATGATGAGAAGGTAAAGATTTTCTTGCATTGAGCTCGAGTCCATCGTAGCTGATGCCTTGCAGCTTCTTCGGGGGCCAGGAGGGGAATTTCTCGTTGTCGATCAAGTCCATCTCGGCTGTTCGCAAGTGTTCCGAAAATAAGCAACTGTTTGTTTCAGAGAAGGATGATGTACATCCCGGCGATCTCGAAAAAGGAGTTCAGCCCCGAGATATCGAGGCTAGGGTGCGTATATTTCCCGGTCGTCTTGGAACAGTGTCTAACATTATGTGCAACAAAGGCTGTCAGTTCCCCAGCTACGCGCCGGATGCCGTCACTCTCAAAGGTGATGTACGGCACCCTGGCTGTGCTACTGGGCATCTGGGTGCTATACCCCGGCACGATCCACTTTGGTTGCCATGGTCAGACCCCCGGTCACTGAACAGTAGCATTGCGGGATTAGGTAGCAGGTCAATTCCAAATCACAAACAGTGTTCAGTTGCAGGGATCCAACAGCACGTGCAGATCGGAAGTGCGGAGGTCGATCAAGAAGTGCGAGCAATTTCTACCAATCAGTATCTGAGGGCTGGGTCTGATAGGCGGCCAAGAGAAGGATTCACCTCTGATCTTCACATGGCTCGTGTTACCAAGGAGAGCGAAAAATCTACGGGCTAACCTGCAGAAGTCTTGGGGAGCCGATTCAGGCATGAGTGCATGATCGGACATGCAGCAATTGGCCGGATAGAGACAATCCCTTCTGCTTGCGATCAGGAATACAACACGTCAGCAGAGGCAGGTACCATGGCCCTGGGACGGTGAGGCTGGTGCTAAAAATCCGGCGGAACATTTGTCCAGCAATCGAGTCTCGGGGCCTTTCTGACATCCAGCTTCTCTGGGCCAGAGCAGACACCAAATGCAGTAAGGCAGCCAGTGCTTGGGGCCAGGCCACTTGAATCATGGCGCCGCGAGCCGAGGTCGACGCGGAGTCGTACAATCACATAACCACCCCAGCAGGCTCCTCCAGGAATTGCTGCTGCAACCAGGGGGCCGATGCAAGGCGTCCATCGGGCTGATCAAGCATGCATGGTGGACGACCCACCACGCCGCCACGGGGTGTTTAGTTTTTCTCGAGGCAGCCGCCAGCAAATTGCCGAGGCAGGACTGCTAGCTGCCGGCGCTAGGCCCGGGAACAGCATGAAATCTCGGGAGCTTGGCCTGGGGATGCAAGCCGAAACGGGATCATCACGTCGAATCTTTCGCGACCCTCCTTCACATCCCTGCAGCGATGGCTGCGGTTGGCCGGCTGACGCACGCCTATCAGCCCGCCGTGAGGATCACAGCGGCTGCAGTCTCGACCTCGTATCAAACGACCAACAGCACCGCCGGGCCGCCCGCCCGGGAGATTTTCGCCCGGCAGGCGCGTGGACGGCGCGGCCGAATGAGCAAAAGAAAAGAGCGTTGCTGCCTCCGAAAAGTGGGTGGTGTGGTTGGCCCCTGCGGAGCGTTCGCGACCGTCGTCGGCTCACCTGTCTTTGTTTGCATCATCGCGGGCCACGCGGTCCCTGCAGCCCGGAGCTGGATCCTCTCCAAGGCGCGACCCGTCCGCTGTGGAACTGATGAGATGAGAAAAAATGGCGATTGCGCGGGCTCCACTCTAATCGTTACGGGCGTATCTGGCAGATAGCAGATACGCCTCGTCGTCTTTTTCTTCTTCTTCGCCCTTTGCTCCCTCTTCGTGTGGCTTTTCTGCTTGCTTGTGCCTCATCCGCCCTGTCGGTTTTTTTAATCTTGGATCTCGAGGCACAACAGCCATGCTTTTGCTGTCGTCATTATCGTGAACCCCTCAACCACACGCACATTTGCATCCCTGCCCTCTCCGCGCCCATTGCTGCTGGCCTTACAGCGAGTCGTATTCCACCAACTGTCTCACCACGCTGTTCGAATAAGCAATAACCGATCGCCTCCGCCAAGCCGCCACAACAGACGCGCAATGGCCGAGCAGAAGAAGTCAGCCGTGGCGTCGGCCGTGGACGTCGAGTCTGGCCAGGGTCCCGCGTCGATACCGCATTGGAGGCTCGTCGTCGACCAAGCCCTCGTCACCCCCGAGGTGCTGAACTGGAAGTACGAAGGCAGTGGAACCGCCGAGGATCCCTACGTGGTCAAGTGGATCGAGAATGACCCCAGGAATCCGATGGGCTGGTCCAAGAAATACAAGTACTGTCTCAGTGTGACTATGGCGCTGGCGACCCTGGCCGTGGCATTCTGCTCCTCCGCATATTCGGGCGGTAAGCATTCCCTTTGATGGACATGGTGGCATGATCGGGCTGATCCGTGGCGTCGTTGTCAAAAGCCTTGACCAGTTTGGTCATGGAGTTCGGCATGAGTCTAGAAGTCGCCACTTTGGGCATGTCGTTCTTCGTCTTGGGCTTCGCTCTGGGTCCGCTTCTCTGGGTAAGCTTACTTCGTGGCCGGATGACGCACATGATGAGCTGACTTGAGATAGGCACCGTTCAGTGAGCTCTACGGCCGCCAGATTCTGTTCATCCTGACTTTCGGCGCCTTTACCTTTTTTAATGCCGGCTCGGCGGGTGCGCAGAACACGCAGTCGATTTTGATCCTGCGGTTCTTTGCTGGCTCATTTGGATCGTCGCCCTTGACGAATGCGGGCGGTGTCATCGCAGACATGTTTAATGCGAAGGACCGTGGTCTTTGCATGAGTATCTTCAGGTAAGTCACTTCTCATTCACTTACTCACAGAGGTGCAAGCCCTTCGAATGAGCATACAGTCTTCTTTCAAAGCCCGTTGCATACCAGAATATTGTGGCGAGGGCATGGTGAATGAATGAATGATTGCTTCACCTTTGTGTGGCTGCTTTGATCTGCCGTAACATTGGCGATCGGCGCTTAAAAATAGGAGTTGCCAAAATTAGGACTTGGGGGAATGATACTGACTTTGATCGTCGAACAGCCTTGCGCCTTTTATGGGACCTGTCCTCGGACCCATCGTCGGAGGTTTTCTGGGAGAAACCGAGGGATGGCGGTGGATTGAAGGTCTGATGGCCATCTTCTCCGGTGCACTATGGATCCTCGGTACCTTCTGCATGCCCGAGACGTATGCGCCCGTCCTCTTGAAGAAACGTGCCGCGAAACTATCTCAAATGACTGGCAAAGTTTATCTTAGCCAGGCAGAGATTCGCTCTGGACCAGTCTCGCTCAAAGAAGCTCTTTCGACGAGCTTGTCCCGCCCGTGGATCCTGCTCTTCAAGGAACCGATCGTGCTTCTTTTGACCATCTACCTTGGAGTAATCTACGGCACGCTCTACATGCTTTTTGGGGCGTATCCGATTGTTTATCAGATCGAGCGTGGCTGGACTGCCGGTATTGCGGGCCTCCCCTTCATCGGCATCGCTATTGGCATGGTAGGATCGGTTGTGTATACCATCGTGTTCGACGACAAGCGGTATCGGCGCAACGTGGAAGAGCATGACGGGTATGCGCCTCCCGAGGCCCGTCTCCCCCCTTGCCTTCTCGGAGGCCTCATTCTTCCGCTCGGGCTGTTCTGGTTTGCGTGGACGAATTATCCCTCGCTGCCGTGGGCGGCGAGCGTTGCTGCGGGGATTCCGTTTGGCTTCTCGATGGTGCTCATCTTCCTGAGCGTGATGAACTACCTGATCGACTCGTACACGATCTTCGCGGCGTCGGTGCTGGCAGCGAACTCTGTACTGCGGTCCGTTTTTGGCGCTGCTTTCCCACTTTTCACGAAGCAGGTGAGTTTTCCATGGCTGGCTGGCAGAAAGTATCTTGTGCTGACAGGGATCATAGATGTATGCCAACTTAGGTCAGTGAAGTATCCCCCCGCTCGCCTTGCGCCATTTGACTACGACACGTGTCGAGGCGATGATATCAAGTGGATCGGATTGCGCGAGTATGTGCAAATCATGATGATCGCTAACATGGATGACAGGCATTCACTGGGCGTCGACTGTTCCCGCGTTCTTGGCGCTTGCGTGTCTTCCCTTCCCCTTCCTCTTCTACAAGTACGGCGGCCCGATCCGGATGAAGTGCAAGTACGCAGCAGAGGCAGACGCTTTCATGAAGAGTCTGCGTGAGTCGGCAACAGTCACGACGCCGTCAGGGGCGTCGTCGAGCAGAGGGGAAGAAGTGGAAGATGAGAAGGAGATCGAGACGCGCAGCGGCAGCAGCAGGGCGGGAGAGCAGCAGGACGAGGAGGCGAGGTTTGAGAGGATCAAAACGGGCCACTCGGCGACGACGCACAGGGAGGTGCCGCAGTACGAAGAGAGCCCGTTCGAGATTGACCGAGTGCACACACGGGAAAGCTTCCGCTCGCACAGATCCAAGACGGAGAGCTTGGCGAGGAAGATGAGCAGGAAGTAGTGTGTTCGGAACGATTCTAGATTTCATGATAGACGGTAGAGGTGCTTCGATCAGGCGTCCCGGGTGGGCAAGCAGTGCGCATCAGTTGGCAAACCTCGAGAGGCTTGTTCAAGGAGTTGAGCACTGGAGTTCAGCGCAGCCCTGTTCGTATACGGGTAATATAGCGAGTAATGAAAAATGGAAATGCTCTGATTGAGGTCGGGCAATATCGCGTATCGACGTCGTTGGGCCCCTTTTTGGCCGACCAGCCAAGCCCCGGATCTGCATTGAGCTAGCCGCCGGGATGCGGCGCTTGCAGGCGCAGGGCGTTTCAGCCCTCTTCTTAGCAGCAAACAACATCAACCCAGCTGCCCCGTACTCTCTCTCTCTCCCCTCTCTCTCTATCTGCTCACCCACGTCATTCTTTCTGGCTGGAGCACTGCACCCCACATTCATTTGGCTTTATATTTATCCGCGCTTCCGCCCAACTCGTGCTTCGACAGCCACTTGATACCCGGTCACCCAGCAAAGACTTCGACACTCACTCACCATGCGTCTTTCGACCCTCGCTACCACCTCCCTGGCCCTCGCGCCCGCCGTCGTGTCTGCCTCGGGCACGCTCGGCTTCTCGCTGGGCACCAAGCTGCCCGACGGTACCTGCAAGTTCCAGGCCGACTACGAGAAGGACTTTGACGCCATCTCGACGGCGTCCGGCAGCAAGCTCGTCCGCGGCTACTCGGTTTCCGACTGCAACTTCGCCAAGGAGATCCTGCCCGCTGCGAAGTCCAAGGGCTTCAAGGTCGTGCTGGCCGTGTGGTGCGTGCGCCCCCTTCTCGCGACGCGTGGTTTTAAGCATGTCGCATAAGGTTGTTGGGTGGAGCCACGGGAAGGACTAGTAGCGCTGACGCAACCCTTCCAAAACATGCAGGCCCGATGTCGACGAGTCGCTCCAGGCCGACAAGAAGGCCCTCAAGACGTACGCCACCGACGAGTACGCCGACCAGATCTACGCCGTCACCATCGGCTCCGAGACGCTGTACCGCGGCAACTTCACCGGCGAGGAGCTGCTCGAGAAGATCAACGACGTCCGCACCGTGCTGCCCAAGGGCACCAAGGTCGGCACTGCCGATTCGTGGAACAAGTGGGCTGATGGCACCGGCGATGCCGTCGTCAAGGGCGGCGTCGACCTGATCCTGGCCAACGCCTTCGCCTACTGGCAGGGCGCCGACATCAAGAACGCCTCCAAGGTCTACTTCGACGACATGTCCCAGGCCATTGCCCACATCCAGGAGGTTGCTGGCGGTCCCGACAAGGCTCCTGAAATCTGGAACGGCGAGACTGGCTGGCCCACCGACGGTACCCCCTCACCCCCCTCACACCCCAACACACAACCATGGCAACTAATATTCTGTCTCAGGTGGTTCCGACTACGAGGCTGCCAAGGCCGGTACCGATAATGCCAAGACGTACTATCACGAGAGCGTGTGCGGCGCTTTGAAGTGGGGAGTGAGTACATCCACGCCACCCCAGACAATTCTCCACCATTATATCGTGTCGCTAACCACAACAACACCATTAAAAGCTCAATGCATTCTACTTCGAGGCGTTCGACGAGCCGTGGAAGCCCGTGAGCGTTGGCGACAACGGAGAGGAGAAGGACGAGACCAAATGGGGTGCCATGACTTCTGACCGCAAGTCCAAGTTCGACCTCAAGTGCACTTAGAGGACGAGACGAGCGTGCATTGAGGAGTGGCTTTAATGCTTCGGCATGCTCCTCTCTTTCTTTGCATTTAGCGGCGGGTGTTCCTTGAGTCTTCGGAGCGAGTACGAGGGCTGGATTGAAGGATGGATTGTCCCGATTCTTCCTCCTCACAGCCCAACCCGGATACCCCTTGATTAGGATTGTGAATACAAAGATCCAACCATTCTTATTCCATCACTCTGTCTCAAATTCCCTTCGAATATCACTGTATTATTGCTCTAGATTTGGTAATTCTCTTCCACCTCCTCCTGCGCCGGTATAATTGTTCCAGAAACCAGAAACGAGACCCTCCCAGAATGGAGCGCCTATTTTTATGCCCAAAATACTCGGACTGCTATGGGCTGGTTTTAGATGCGGCGTGGTTTGTCCATGCGTGCGAAATAAGGGAGGTCGATGATTTGGTGGCCGACACGTGCCTGCCGCTCCTGCTGCTCTTGCCACTGGAGTCAACCCAACCCAACCCAAACCTTATCACCACCACCTACAAAGCTCGCGACACACCTACCAGCTCACACCGCACTGCCCACGACGCTCGGTACGCGAGGCCGGCATTGATGGTGAGCATAATCTGCCCTCTGACGTAGCATCTCCCTCACTGGCTCCGCCAGCCGTCGACATCACTGTGGATGGGTTGAAGACTACGCTGAAGACGCTGCTCGAACATCATACGACTGAGCTCAGCGCCGGTAGGCCCGGTCTCAAGGACGCCTGTGCCCTTTTTCGGCCGTTCCTTAGCAACATTGACTCCACCACCAACATGCCGACTGATCCCACGCTTCACCCGAGCCGTGAGCCCGACATCAACTTGCCAGCGACGCTGCGTGTCAATGATACCATGCTGGCAGCAGCCCTAGCGCTAGCAAGCACGAGCACGGTCTACAAAGCCCCACACGACAAATGCGACAGGTGCTCGGTGAAGGCGGAAGTGAGCAAGCCCGTTGGAGACGAATGTATTATCTGGCTGAACACCGATGGAAGGAACGTTCGCTTCTCGGGTATCTGTACTTCGTGCCTGGTCCTCCGTGGTGGAAACGTGAGGAAAGCTGGCAAGATCTGCTCTCTCCATGGTATGAGTGCGCCAGGCCAACAGCGGGAAATTGCGATTGAGGTGGAGGATGACGTCAAGCAGGAGCCGACCGCAGAGGAGCACGATAATGCTCCATTCGACCTCGACATTCAGGAAGTCTAAGAGGTTACGGGAAGTTAATATGGATTGGCGGAAGAATCTCTGGTGTGATTGACAGAAAAATAATGGTCTATTCAAGATAACGATATAGGCTGTGCCCGCCGTATCATGATCCAAACTTGTCTCGACACAAGCCTCAGGTACGAGCAACGGAAGCGGCGGACCTCTTCTTCTTCTTCTTCTTCACTCTCCAACTCACCAGCTTGCCTTCGCGCGAACTGGTCTCTGCACACTCTCCAACTCACCCGGCTTACCTGAGTGTGAACTTGTCTCCACACATTCCTCGGCTACGAGCGGCGGAAGCAGCCAACCTCTTCTTCTTCTTCTTCTTCTTCTTCTTCTCCACACACCGCTCACTCGGCTTGCCTGCGCGCTAACTTGTCTCCACACACTCCTCAGGTATGAACGACGGAACCTGCCAACTTTGCCAGTTTCCTCCCACTTGCCTGCGCGCGAAGTTTTCCCTACAGACTCCCCAGATACAAAAGCAGCCCCTCCCTACTCGTCGTTACGGCGCCCCTCTTGAAGACATCCCTCACGAAGACAAGATGGCACCGAAAATGGACGCGAAGGAATGGGTTCGATTCAAGTGTCAACACTGCGTGTTGACGTTCAAGAGCGAAGAGGAAAGGGATGATCATGAAAAGTCGCACACTCAGCCAAAGAGGTTCCCCTGTCCATACGAAGCATGCTCCAGCCGATTCAACACAAGCTCTGAATTGAGTAGGCACCTCGCGCTTCACCAACCAGAACAAAAGCATTTCAAGTGCCCTGTGTGTAAAAAGGGCTACGAGAGGAAGCATAAGCTAGGGGAGCATGTCAGGGCGAGGTACGCCGTCGATGTTCCGCTCGATCTGAGCGTGGATGAGCTTGTGGAGCTCGTGAAGGATGTGACATGGCGGTTTGGTTGCCCCAGTTGCGATCGTCGCTTCGCGACCAAGGAAGGCCTCGAGAAGCACTTTTCAAAGATGCATGACAATGACTACACCACTGGTACAACACAGACTGGAAGACAGAGGTCTCGGGGCGTCCACGGTAACATCATTTGCACGATATGCCAAGGAAAGTTCTTGAAGGTCGAGTATTTGCGCACGCACTTGATCAACGTGCACCACCGCAAGTACGAAGAGGCGAATGCTCTAGCCTCTAACAGTGGTGCAGCGGCAGCAGGAAAACAACCAACGCTGGAAAAGACCCAATGCCCTCAATGTGGCAGAGTCTTTGCCAACCAGGGATATCTGAAGAACCACCTCAGATCCTACCACAACAAGAGTATGGAGGAGGCATTTGGCATTGTCGAGAGCCAGGCTCTCTTACCCACCGATCAACCAGACCAGGCTCCCTCACCCACCAAGCAGCCAGACCAGGCTCCCTCACCTACCAATCTACCAGACCAGGAGGCCTTTACGAGAGATGAAGAGACAGGCCTCTACTCCACCATGGCAGCGAGAGAGGAGAGTGTTCAGCCTCCACAGGCCACGTCCAAGAGCTCATCCAGCCGGCAGTCGTCAACATCTTCAACGACAGAGAAGTGTGGAAGATGCATCCAGATGGGTACGCCGTGTTTGCGTTTCACGAACGAGGCTCCTTGTATGGAGTGTACAAATGCCAGAGTTCGATGCGTGCCAAAGAAGCATGAGGTGAGACTGGAGGCATTCTTCAGTCATATATGCGAAAACCCACCGGCACTACATGTCCGGGGTAGTGTTGATACCGAACTTGAGGTGTTCAAGAGGGGTCCAGGCGTTATCATCAATGATCAAGATGGCTGGGACTCTCTGACGAAGACCACGAAGGAGAAGATCACTCAGAAGTCGAATGAAATTGATTCATGGGTTGAACAGTCAAGATTTTCAACCGGTAACCCCTTCCTGGAAGTCGGAGACGACATTAGAAAAATAACATATGTAGGTAGCTGAAGCCATCGTCCGGACGTGTATGTAAAATTTTTAAATCCACATTCTCGTCCGGACGATAGCTTCAACTGCCCATATATGTCGGTTTTCGTAAAAAAGGAGAAAATGGCACATATCGTGGGTAGTTGAAGCGATTGTCCGGACGTGTATGTAAAAATTTTTTAATTCGGCATTCTCATCCGGACGATGGCTTCAGCTACCCACGTATGTTATTTTTCTAAGGTAGAGCTGGGGCTCTCGATCACTAGGAAGCTTCGGGCTACGAAGCAGCCGCGGCTGGAGTTGGTAAGTATCTCCCAGACAGAGAACAGAATTGCAGAATTCTCCGAGCGGCTAAAGGCTGACTATTTGTCAGTATCAAACGATTCCCCCAACTCCCTGCAAGTTCTGTCTACCGAGTCCGACCTCAACCATTTACAGCAGGTCTCCAGCACCGCAAGATGGGGCCGACGGCAGGCCCCAAGTCAATAATTCGACCTTATAAATGCTCATTCTGCATTTTTACCTCCACAACTGCAACGGAACGAGACCAACACCAGGCCAGCCATGTTCTCCCGAAACGCTTTCCTTGTCCACACCAAAACTGGTCTTCGAAGTTCAATACAACCAGCGAACTTACCCAACACCTCAAGCTCCACAAACCGGTCTCGAAAGCCCACAAGTGCTCGGTGTGCCGCAAAGAATATGACCAGAAGGAGAAGCTTGAGTTGCATGTGAGAAAGCGGCATGCACATGAAGCACCACACGAGCTCAGCTTCGACAAACTTCTAGAATCTGTCAAAGATCTAGAGTTAAGGTTTGGCTGCGGGTTCTGTGATCGATGCTTTGCGACTAAGGGCCAACAACAGGATCACGTCAAGAAGGTTCACACCAGCGACTCGGCCAAAGATGAAGCAAATATTGCCCAGAAGCGCTCACGAGGAATGCATGGAAAACTCTCTGTCCGATCTGTGGCAATAAATTTAAAGAGGTCGAGTACCTGCGTACACCATTGCAGAACATTCACCAGAAGAACTACAATGAGGCCAGCGCTTTAGTGGCATTTTGGGGCAGTTGAAGCCAATGTCCGGACGTAGATGTAGGATTTAAGATTAACACAAATGCGTCCGGATATTAGCTTCAACTACCCATGTAAGTAGAGTATTAATTTCTTATGGGTTGGAATTTCATATCCTCCGCCGTAGATGCACCTTTTGTCTGTCAAGCCACTGAGCAAGAGAATAAAAGGAAAAAGGCAAGGAAAAGTTCGTCACTCTCGTAAGCGGCTACTCAAGTTTTACTATATCAAAGAAATCCCCAAGCCAAAATCCAGCAATGTTCTTCCTTTAAGCATCTCTTCCCTGAGACACACCCTTGTCAAACATCGCCAATCCTTTCCTGGTCACATATGCATTGCCAAGTGGGATCAGCTAGCTTAGGCTACCCGGCCAAGCGCAGATCACCCGCCGGGTTCCTGGTTTTTTCTGATCGACTAGGGGAGAGAAAGCATGCATATCGCTGCACGCACGCGACAATCGGAACGGGGGTGCGTATCTTCCCCGGTCAGGGTTCCAAATCTGACTAGGGGGGGCGAGGATGTTCGTGAAGAAGTGGCAGGGAAGATGGAAATAGAAAGTTACTAAGTTGTGATGTGCAGATGAACAGAGAACACGTTTGACTCTCTATTGAATTTGTCACGGAATACCAAAAAGCAAGATTCAGAGTAGAATTAATTTTCATTTCCCTCGAACGAGCGCGGCTCACCTGGTATCTCATCGTGAAAGACAGAACATCATAAGAAAAACAAAATCTCGCTGATCGAACGCCTCAAGGAGGGCCTCCTCCCCTTTGAGCACCAGCTCTTCGCGGTCTGTTCAACAACCTCTTAAAAAAGGACTCGCTGGGCTGGGGAGAGACACAGCCAGAAAGATGCGTCAATTCCTCCCACTTCCTTCTCCTCCCTACCTCAAATTGCGTGGTATCTCAAACAACGGTATCGCTCTTAACCACTGCGCCCTTCTCATCGACGACAGCGCTCTCCGAATGAACCAGCTCATTCGCATCCAAGCCCTTGCTCTGCACAGCGGCAACCTTCTCCGAGAAGTTCGACTTCATGTTACCTGTCTTCCACGCCTTGACGCCAGGCTCGAAGACGGCGTCGATCTCCTCGAGGGTCTTACCCGCCGTCTCCGGGAAGGCAAGGAAGACGTGGATGGTGGAAGCGAAGCAGAAAACGCCGAAGATGATGTAGGTGCGCCAGACAATGTTCTCGAAAGCCGGGGGGACGAAGTAGGCACTGTAGTACAAATATTATTAGCACATGTCCCTTAGGGGAGGTAATCGTGTAACACTTACAGCGCGAAGTTGAAGATCCAGTTGGTGGCAGCGGACAGGCCGACACCCTTGGCACGCCAGCGCAGAGGGAAGACCTCAGAGCAGTAAATCCATGCAGCGGGCGCCCAGGTCAGACCGTAGACACCGACGAAGATGTACGAACAAGCGATGATGCCCTTGGCAGGGTGACCGAGAACCTGCCACTTGATGTTCGTGTTCTCGCCGACACCATCGACAGGGTTACCGTGTTCGGCCATGATGCCAGCAACGGCGAAGTTGAGAGCGGACATGAGGATGGCGCCATAGATGAGCAGTTGGCGACGACCAACCTTCTCAATGAAGAGAAGCGTGAAGCCAGTGGTCACCAGGAAGATGACGTACTGGATGGCTGACGAGTAGAGGTTGACGTTGCCGGTGAGGCCTGCCATGTTGAAGACGTAAACGATGTAGTACATCATGACGTTGCCGCCGAGAAGCTGCTGCCACAGCTGGACGAAGGTGCCGGCCACGGTGCGGCGCCACATCTTAGGGCCGAAGAGGCCGAGGACTGTGAGTTCCTTTGATTCTTGCGCAATGCGAACGGCTTCGCGGACTGGAGGGGTCTTATGTGAGCTCAGCCTCAATTGAGCGATTAGGGGGAAACGTACCCTCAAGATACTCGGCCTGAGCGACGGGGTGTTGCGGGTCACCCTTGCCGTGGAGCAGCGCGAGCACATTCAAGCTCTCCTCCCACCGATCCTTGCTGGCCAACCAACGAGGGCTCTCAGGGAAGAAAAACAAGGCGCCGAGGAGGATAAAGGCCGGAATGCCCTGGACTCCCCAAGCGATACGGAAAGATGCGGGGCCCTCGACCTTGGAGCAGCCGTAAGAGATAAGGTACATGATCAGGATGCCCCATTCAATGGCCCATTGCTGGATACCGACAACACGTCCACGAATGCGGCCAGGGGAAAGCTCGGCGAGGTATACGGGGACCTGAGAAGACATGATACCGACTGGGATGACTAGTTAGCTCGGTACTTCCCCTGATCCAAAGATGATTTTACCTGTGAAACCGTTGATGATACGGCCGACGATAAGCTGGGCGACATTTTGGGCGCTGCATTGAATAGCCGAACCGATGACCCAAATGACGGCTGCGATTTCCATTGCACGTTTGCGGCCGAGTTTATCGGAAAGGAATCCAGCTCCGAGGGCGCCAACGAACGAACCAGCGGACATGGAGGCCGTGATCTTCACGAATATCAGTTTGAAGCCCTGTGGCAATAAATTGGGGCAAATGGGCACTCACACCACCCTGGAGGTCGGAACTCGGATGATTGAAGTATTCAGCATACTGTTCGGTTCCAATCCACGCGCTCATGGAACTGGTAGAGTGTCAGGGCTGTGGTCTGTATATGGTTGGTATGACAACGGCGGCGCACCTGATATCAAAGCCGAAGAGGGCTCCTCCAATCGTTCCGAAGCCCGCAAGGGCTAGATGTTTTGTTAGCACACGGCTCCATGGAAGGGCTTGGTGGCGAGACAAAGCTTACCATAGATATTTGACATAGGCTTCACCATGGCGGGCGAGTGATGACCGAGTCCGCCTCTCAGTCAAAGGGTCGAATGGTGCGGTTACTCGAGGGCAAGACACTTGCGTGAAGAAGAGCTCCAACCTCACACGCGGCGAACGAGGACGACAACGCAAGGGGCATGCGGTGGAGATCAGCGTGCATATATACTCTGGGGCAGGCTCGCCCACAATACCCCAGTGCGCCAAATACCGGGGAAAGCCAGGGCAGATGAGACTAAACTGGAGCGGTCAGACACCCCAGACCGCAACGGCTCCATCTGAGCCCACTGAAAGGCAAGAAACGCAACAAGGAGCTTTCTTGCGCTGCTCTGACACCTGCCAAACCCCCGGGCTCCGGTGGGAGGGCTTTACCCAAAGCCGTATAGCGTCGGCTCAGGTTCCTACCGGGGGGCGTAGCGATGCCGGACGGGAAGGTCTGCGGGACATGCAGCCTGCCCGGTGCGGCGTTGGCCTGAGCAGACGGCAAACGCGAGGTAACATCGCGCCGGGCGTCTCAGATACGCGCAGTCCCCAAGACGGATACAGCAGCGGCGCAGCGCTCGGCCAGTAGGTGCGCCACGGAAGGCAGAGGCGCAAGGGAAAGGCGTCATCTTGGACCGTGGCGCCGCGGTGGGCGCCGGTGGAGGTGATCGAGCGCGGCGTAGGCCTGCGCGTGTCGACAAGCCTCGTTCCTCCAGCGGCCAAAGGTTGCAGGGACGTTTGCAGAGACAACGGGCGCACGGGGCGTGGGGCGGAGGCGGAGGAAGCGAGCGAATGTGTGATTGAGGCTTCCCGAGGGCTGCGGTGGATTGGTGGGCTGTGCGTCTGGGCCGGTGGCGGCGGGGGTGACTGGAGAAGGCGGGCGTGCGTGCGGGGAGCGACAGGCCGGTGGAATGAGTCGCAATCCCTGCCCGATTCCGCCCGCCAGCGACAAACCCGCCGGGCAGGAACGGGCCTGCAGCGGCAGAGGAGCGGCTCGCATGCTGCCGTGTCACGAGATCTGTGGCCGTCGGCCAGAGAATGCACGCCTCTTGGCCGGCTCTGGCCCATGCAGCCTCGCGCCAGACGGCGCAATTCGTCTCGACCAGAGAGCAATGGATGGGCCGAGAGCACGCGCCGTAAGCTTCACCCCGGAGCCGTCATGATGTTTGGAGCTCCGAACCGACTTATGACGTCGGGATCAGAGCTGGATTTATCCGCCAATTGGCAAGTGTGGGGCTCCGCTCGTATGACCAAACAGCCGTGGAGATTGGGGTCCCCAAAGGACAAGACTCGGCCGCACGGCGAAAAGACGGGGAACGCTGCATCGCGACAAAAATCAAGCAATTGGCCTTGGGCTGCTTTCCAAGCTTTCGCGGTGGGACCGCTCTGGCTTGGCACGACAATAACTCACACCACAGCACAAACATGCTATAGAAGTCTATCCATACTCGTCACTCTCCCGAAGAGAGCTAAAACCACGCATGCTTCAAATCATCCCACACATTCGCTTGCTGATTAATCACAATCCGCCTCCCGCTCACAACTCAACTCCGCTCCCAGTTCCATCTCCAACTCAAAGAAGCTTCAAACGGGGGTTGTTTCTTAGAATGGCTCCAGACACCGTATGCGAAGGAGGGCAGAAATGAAGAGATTCGGCAAGAAGAACGAAGGCCAAATACGGAACTGCGTACAGCCCGCTGAAACTGTATTACCAATCGTGCAACCGAGAAGAAAGCTGAATGCGCTCAAACAAAGTCGGCCGAGTACGAGAAGCCGCGGAATTCTTCTTGCATCGCCTGCGAAAGCACTGCAACACCGTGTTAGCCCATCTTGCATCCACCACTGCTTCTTGGTCCACTTACCCGACTGCACCGGCGTGAGCACTGGCGTGACGCTCGTGAACTCTTGGTCGAAGTTGCTCGTGTCCGTTGCGCTCGAAATGGTTGGAATGAACGGAGCTGGGATCCGCTTGTGGTACACGTCCTCCCAGTTGATGTTTCTGAAGAAGGCGTGGCTCATGATCTCCTGCGCATCAGTTGGCCCGCTGCCAAGGCGGAGCTCCGGCTCCCTCGTGAGAAGCTTCTGCAGGATCGAGACCGAGTCTCGCGGCATGTGGATCGGGTACAGCGGTTCGTCTGCAAGAATGGCGTCGTAGATTTCATCTTCGTCCTCACCACGGAACGGCGACTGTTGGAGAAGCATCTGGTAGATGAGGACGCCGAACGCCCACCAATCCACTGCCCTGCCGTACTTCTTATCCAGAAGAATCTATGCAAAGTCAGTCCAGTCCACACCACTCGTCGGCAAATTTCATACCTCAGGTGCCATGAATTCAGGGGTACCACAGAATGTGCTCGTCGTTGAGCCGTACCACATATCTTCTTTGCAAAGACCGTAATCCGCAATCTTGATATGGCCGTCAAGGGTGAGAAGGATGTTGTCGAGCTTCAAGTCACGGTAGATGACACCGTTCTCGTGGAAATACTTGAGCGCGAGGCAGACCTCGGCAGCGTAGAACCTGGGCAAGTTAGCGGAGATCGAAAAATTAAAGAAACTGAACATACTGTGCTCGCTTGGTACCGAACTGGCCACGCTGAATGTGAAGCATCAGGTCACCGCCACTGACGTACTCCATGACGAAGTAAACACGGGTTTCCGTCTGGAAACATGCGTGCAAGTTCAGCAGGAAGGGGTGTCGCTCCTTGTTTGCGATCAAGAACACACGCTTTTCTGACCGTGTGCTCTCGACTTCATCGTTCTCGATGATAAACTCCTTCTTCAAAACCTTGATGGCGTACAGCTGCTTGTTGCTCTTCGTCTCGGCAAGCATGACCTTACCGAAGTTACCCTTACCCAGAACAGCCAGGAAGTTGAAATGATCCAGACCGATCCGCCTGCCAGTGCCTTGGTAGTTGTGGGGAGGAAGCTCCTTCTTCTGGTTGGGTGGCTGCACGGCAATGGGATTATGCGGTGGCGCAGGCGGTTGGGCTGCTTGCTGAGGGTGGGGTGGCAGCGGTGTCGTTGGCGGTGGCGCAGGCTGTGGGTAGCTCGACTGCCTGGGCGGATGCTGTGGAGGCGGTTGCTGCGGGGGTTGGGATAGAGGTGGGATGGGGTACGAAAGCACCCCCGCATAGTCGGCCGGGTTGTAGGAAGGCTGCTGTGGGGATTGAGCTTCCGGCGACCCCTGTTGCGGGTAACCTCCGGATGACCGCGAAGGAGAGGAGGGCTGATAATCGGTCGAGGACCTCTGATGGTGCCCAGGCGCCTGACTAAGAGCCGTAACAGCTGCTTTCGCGGCATCTGTGGACTGGGTGCGCGGAGCAGTCGGCGGCCGTTGCTGAGTTGGTGAAGACGGGCTCTGAGCGTAGGAGCTTTGGGCGGCGTGGTATGAGTCCTTTCCGTAAGATAGCCTCTCCGACTGCACCGAATCCGTGTTGGAGGCGTAAGAACCGGAAGCCGAAGGACCGGATGGCCGGCCCGAGCCCGAGCTAGGTCGCAGCGTCCTCGAACTCATTGAGATTGATGATGTCTGGCGCTTCTTGGTGGTGCTGATTTCGGCCAGAATCTGATTGGCAACCTCCATGGACATGCCGCAGAAATCAGGAACGAAGTGCACACATTGTGCGTGACAGGTCGAACCACATTCCGAGCACTTCCTGCACTGCTTCTTGCCAAACGGAAGGACGTAACCGCAGTGGCAACACCAGTTGGCTCCCATGTTGGCGAATGGTTCGAAGCGGTGGGGGATGCGGTGGTTGAGCTTGGCCTCGTCCGGATCCGTTTCTGCGTTGGATTGGGTGATACACTTGGTGACCACCTTCTGGTAGCACTTCTTGTGGCACGTGTACTTGCAGTCCGAGCACTGCATACCGGCAGCGTACTTGAGGAAGTCGCCGCAAAGGGCGCATCTCATGATGTTATAGAACTGCTGCTGGACGAACTTGTGACCGTACTGCTCGTGGATCTCTTCCTTGCGCTGACGAATGGCACCCTTGCGGCCGAGACCAACGTCGAACGGCCGGCGATCCTTGTTTTCCTTGGCTGTGACACAGTCAGTTTGAGCCATAATACGCTCTCTCTACGAGACTTACCGAAGCTCAGTGTAAGTTGAATACGGCCAACAGGCTCGAGCGCGAACCACGCGTCGATGTATATCGGACCTGTCTGCGGCTGAGGGCCGCCTCCCAGGCCCTGGCCAGCTCCGGCGCCCGTCCCTCCAGGGCCGGTAGCAGCCTGTGGCGGAGGCTGGAATTGCATATCAGGCTGAGCGCCGCCTCCCGCGCCCATTTTGTCTGCTGAAACCCACATCGCGCTCGAGCTGTTAAGTTCCGTCTCGATCCTCTTTCGTCTCATCTCTTCGGCGATATCAGAAATGCGAACCCAGAGCATGCCGATGGGAAGCGGGTGATCGCCGGTTCGGTCGTACACCGTCAGCTCGACCTCGTTGGCATTGTCAATGGAGAATTCATGAACTTCGTCCGTCCACTTATCGTTCCTCGTAGCTTTCGTGCGTCCCTTGAAGGCGTCTTCGACCTTCATGATAACAAACGTCTCGGGGCCCCGGCTAAAGCGTCCGGTAGCGGCATGGTCCACGTCGGCCACTTGGTGAATTCGCAGTGTCAAATGACCGGTGAGCGGTTTCCTGGCGCTCGGGACGTTCAGGCTGTCATCTATGCGGACATTCTCAGCCCAATGCTATCTCACGCCGAGAGGAGCAACTTACCATCGGGGCCATCGCCGCCCTCGATATCAACGTGGAGATCCTCGTAGCGTTTGAGCGCTTGCTTGAGCAGTTGGATCTTTTGGTTGCTCTCGATGCGGCGGGCCTCGGCATCCGCCTTGCTCTTCCTGTCGCCCTCCATTTGGTAGAGGCGCACCATCTTCTCGATTCCATCCTTGTACTGTTTCTCCACACTAAGCTTGAACTCAAGCTGCGACAGCATAAGTTGGATCCGTGGCCCCAGGTGCGGGGTATCGTATTTGATCAAGTCTGCGCAAGATTAGTTCCCGCACGCGGGAGCAGCGTGAGGATGCTTACCGAGCTTGCTGTAGTTTGCACGCTGGCGGGGCTGGCCGGGGCCAGGGGCGGCATAGGGCGCCTTTGGGGGCATCAGGACCTGGCCGCCACTGAGCTGGCTGTAGCCTCCTGGAGGAGACTGACCGTAGCTGCCGCCATCAGCGTACTCGCCGGGAGTGTCCTTTGGAGGAGGAGGCAGCGGATTCCTCCTCTGCTCTGGCGACGGAGGGCCGTTGCTGCCGGAGCCGAGGGACAGGTTCTCGATGTCGGTGCCAACCCTCCGCATCTGCAGCTCCCGCGCGCGGCCCTCGAGGTATTCGATGTTGCGGCGGCCCTCGCGTATCTGGCCGTCGAGGCGGGACAGCACGGCGGGGTTGTTTGTCGACTGGCGCATGGCATTGGCGGCGTTGATCAGCGCCTTCTCGCGCTCGATCTTGCCTTGGACCGACCTGATGGCGTCGTCCTCGTTCATGGTGGCGGTTTGTCCCTGTCGGCAGGCGGATTAACGGGCGTGACCTCACAGGAGGGCGGCGGTGGGCTGGCGGCGCGTACTGTTCAGCAGTGGTATGATGACGCGGTGTGAAGCATGCGGAGCGTTGGAGCGGGGAGGACGGCGGGAGATGTCGCGTTGGGTGCGGAGCTTCGCTCGACGGCCGCCCGAGCGCGCGTCGCGGTGTGGGAGCGGGTGTGTCGCAGAGGCACGGAGCGAGCACCTTTGAACGTGGATGTCAGGCCTGCTGGCCGATGGTGCGTCTGATGCGAATGGAAGAGTTGTGAAATCGCTGGCTGCCCGTGTTTGCCAAGCTGCCCACCTGCTTCTCCCCTATTCGCTGCAGCGGTGCGCCGCCGCGCCCAACGGCCTGCCTGCCATCACACGCCGCCACAGTCCTGCTGCATCCCACAACCCGCCGCCCGAGCAGCCCTTTCGGGCACCGTTGCGACCGCGCCCTCCTGATCGGCCCAGAGCCGGCGCGCAACGCCCAGCGCGCTCATGCCCGCGGCCGGCAGCATCTCGCTCGCGCCCGCCAGGCCGCGTGGCAGCAAACAATGCCGGGCAGACATGTGCACCGTCGCAGCACGGCAGCTATATGGCTTAGGCTATGAGACTGTGTTGCGCTCTGAGACACGCGTGATTTCCAGGAAACGCAGGGAAACCGCCGCGGGCTGAGTTCCTGCCGCCCGCACGCCTACTAGCCCAGAGCTAGGTAGAAGCAAGTCAAAAGATGAAGATCGGCCCCTTGCGGCCACAACGCGCGGCGACCTGACGCCCGTCATCTCTTGGGCAAGCAGCGCAAGGCAGCAGACGGGTGTAGATTCACGTGCCGGCGAACGCCGTCTCGCCAAAGCCGTCGGAGTGTTGATGCCTGAGGCAGCGTGCGCCCGTCCGCTCTTGATCGGCGGGGCTGCCTGTTTCTTTTATGCGTTGCCGCTCTCGGCCGCAGCCGGATACCGAAAATGCGCGACGGGAGCGGCCAGGGACAGGCTGCAAGGCTGTCCTCCCGTGAGCTTACGATGATGATTCGGCTGCGAGGCAAACGTTACCCGGCAGGCCGGACAGGCGCTAGTGGCCGCGGCTTAACTCCACAGTTGCGCGCACTTGCGGTCGGAAGCATGAGCGAGCCGAGAGGTCCGCGGCACGCCGACCAGAGGGCAGCGGCGGAATTGTCTGAGCACACGGGGAGGGGCAGCAGCTGGCCGGCGCTAGAGATCCCGACTAGGCCGAAGCTGCAGCGTCAGCGCGGGCGGCTCAGACAGTCTTGTCTGAGCTGAGCAGACTCGGGAGCTGGCGCGCGTGAGGGAGCCGATGAGCCGAAGGTCGCGTCAGCCAAGCCCCCAATGGCAGACAGGGGGGGCTACATAAGCAGGCTTCAGCCGCAGTGCGGCGCAGTGGAGCGGCCGGGGAAGCAGCTTCGTCCGGCCGGTCTCGTATTGCCGAGAACGTGAGGTGATGATGGGGAGGTGGCGCTGACCCGGAAGCGTGGAGAGGGAGCCCACAGCAGCAGGTCGGGCCGTTGCTGCGAGAATTTGGAATAATTGGCCGGCGGCCGTTCCTGGGGCGTTGATGGCTCTCCCGCTGCAGGACAATGGGCTGGTTCGTTCCGAAAGCCCTATCGGGGGCGGGTCATCCCAGACGTAGCTGATCTCCGCTCGGCTTCTCTGGCTGACACGGGAACCGCGGAAGGCCGGCTTCTTACGATCTGCATGCCGGCAAAGCTGTGCACCCGGTATCCTACAAAAGCTCGTTCATCACCTGCCGCCGACCACCTCTTAGACTGGTCCCTGGATTCGCCCGCCTGTTGAGCCGACGCTCGAGATCCCCCGCTCCCGCTCGACATTGACCCCAGTACACCCAGCTCCCGCGCGTGATCTCTCGCAGATTGCGCCCTCCCCGCCGCCATCATTAATCACTCAACGTCCATCTCGTCGCTGCTCTCGCCGACTCCTGCCCAACACCAGCGGCCTCTGACCGACAGCCCGCCCACTGGCCGCCTGGAGGTTCCGGCTTATCCGCCGCCGAGTCAGCAGCCTCCGCCCTTGCCAGTCTTCACCCAGCAGCAGCGCCCGCTGCCGCCGGTGCAGACGCCTGAGCGAGCCGCGCCTGAGGCGGGCGCCCGGCGCTCGGAGCAGCCTCGCATGAGGTCCTCCATCGCCTGCGCCCGCTGCAGAAGAAGCAAAGTAAAGTGCGTGAACAATGGCGTAGGCACCACCTGCAGGGCCTGCGAGACCACCGGCCGCGAATGCACCTATCCTTCGCCTGCCGCCGGCGCTGGCGGCGGAGTGCCCGTGGCCCGCCGGGAGAGCAGTAGTCAGTCTGGGCATCCTGTCCTGGACAGAGTCCCTGCTGGTGAGGTACGTTCGTTTTCATTTTCGTAGCTAGATTCTCCCTTGTGCTTTCTTTTTTTTCCTATGTTTTACCGATGAGCCTCATCAGGGTTGTGTCTTGCAGTAGAACAGCTCCCTCGCAATTTATACGCTTTTGCCACGCCTTCGTCATGCTGTCCGTGTGAGTGTCTTGAAGTGCTTATTCGTTTGTGGCAGACTCCGCGGCGCCAGCCCCGACCCAAGAAGAGCTCTGCCTCCATTCCCGGCACCTCTTCTTCGAACAGAGACAGCCCTCACGCTCTAGTGGATGCGCTAGACCCAACAATCCTCACCCCCAAAGTCTGGACGGAACTGGTAAGCCTTCGTCTGTGACAACCACGGCTCCGCTGACTCCTCTACAGTTCGACATTTTCCAAACGCACTATTCCACCGATCTCCCCTTCTTGCACCCTCCGACTTTCCTGAAGCCTTTGCGCCAGTCATCGCTGCAGTCTTCCAACTCAGGCTTCGGCGATCCAGCAAGCGGGCCTCTTCCCGCTCTCTCTCCACTCCTCCTTCTGGCTTTTCTGGCTTTGACCTCGCGCTTTCACCCCCAACTGGTCGCCTACCATTCGACTTCTACCTCGAAACAGAACCCCCAAATCGCCGCCGAGTACTATGCTTCAGCATGCCGAAACCGTATCGCCAGCATGTATGGGGGCGACCCGGGTGTCCCCGACTTGCAGCGGATTCAGGCCATGCTAATGCTTGGGTTGCACGAGTGGGGGTCCTGCCAGGGCTCCAAGGCCTGGGTCACAGTGGGAATAGCGATTCGTGGCGCCCAACTGCTTGGCCTTCAATTCGAGGCTGACCTTGATGATATGCCCCTGGCAAGGTCGACTGCCATGGTCGAAGAGGCACGGCACCTCGGTGTAAACGTCAATCAGAGAGAATATGGGCTGAGCAGCAAGGGAGATGCTTTCATCGAGCAGGAGACAAGAAGACGCACTTTCTGGAGCTGTTTTATCATGGACCGCTATCTGAGCAGTGGGAAATACAGGCCGCAAATGCTCAACATCCAAGACCTGAGGATCCAGCTACCTTGCAGCGAACGCGCCTTCCTTTTCGGCGAAAAAGTCAAAACATTGATGCTGGGCGAAGAAATCCACGATGTCGCCGGCCGCGCCCACATTCAGCACCAGCGGAAGGCTTCGGTAATGCTGGGCTCGAAGTCGGGATCGCCTAATGGGGGTACTCCAGTCAGCAGTGATCGTTCTCCCGTCACGGGTACCGGGCTTGGCCGAGAAGACGAGGAAGACGGTCGGTGGGAGGTCGGCTCCGATGAAGGAATTCTTAGTCGCTTCATCAAAGTATTGGATCTGTACGGGCGTATTGTCAAATGGTCGTGCAGCGGGGGAAGAAGGTACGTTTCACCCGATGTGTTTCATCTGACTCGCGGTTCCAGATGTCGTCGCTGACTGTCTCAGACGAGAGCAATACCCACCTTGGGATGAGCGCTCGACATTCAGTACTCTGCAGCGGCTTCACAGCCGAGCTAGAGATGGCCTGCCCCGCGACATGACACTAACCTCAGCCAACATATCCGCGCACATTACGTCGAGGACATCGACGCCGTTCGTGCTCATGCACATCGTGCATCTCCTTTCTGGCATGATTCTTAACCGTGAATATATCCCCTTCATCCCGCTCCGGTCGCCCAAGCCGCAAGGACCCCTTGATCCTCCGGTATTCCCCTCGGATGAGTACACCGTTCCGGAAGGCTTTTGGGAGCAAAGCGCACGGGAACTGTTCAAATCTGCCAGGGACGTCATCGACCTTCTGCGTATTTGCCAAGAGTGGAATGTTCTAGTCGAGACGCCAATTGTCGGCTTCGCTGCTTACACCGCTGCTTTCACAGGTATGCCTCCATATCGCCGCAGCAATCCAATCATTGAAGCCGCTAACGCAAGGCAGGTGTTTATGCTATCAACTTCCCCTGGATGGACCCCCACGGCTACATGTGCAAAGGAACACAGTCTCGCGATCCCGTGAAGTCTGAGACAGGCGACTCTCCGGGCGCCGAAGCTGCACGGAAGGCCCTCGAGATCATAAGCCAGATGCGCAGAGCGCTGCACATGGCCGATGGCTGGTTCAGGACCCTCAAACGTGTGCATGTGTATTACATTCGGATCAAGAAGGACTTCCGCCGGAATGCAAAGGCGATGGCCAGCCTTTCTCCCGGTGCCGAGTCTCTGCGCAGCCTCACTCTTCGCGAAGGTGGACCTGGTGGGGGATTAGAAGAATACAAGCTATTGGAGAAGTCGTTACGGGAATTTGGCAGCCTGTGGGACGAGGGCGAGGATCTGGAGATGCTTGACGCGGGAGACGAGGAGCGCCGCCCTGACACCAGCTCGTCAATACCTCCCGGTGAAGCCATGGATACATCGAACGCTCCCGATGCCATCCGGCAGGAGAGGTGGAACGCGATCAATACCGTCGCTGCGGCTGCATCTCAGCAGAACGCAGCCAATGGGGCGACCACTTACGGACCGGGTCGCATTCCGATTTCAAACCCTTCCCCCGAGCAGCAAAAGCCACCTCAGCTGCCCGGACACTCCCCGATCCTATCTCCGCCCGGCTCCGCATCCGCCGCAAGCAACACCCCCTACGATCGCCCTTCGGGCTTCACTCCCATTCAGCACCAACAGCACCCCCACGCGAATCCTGCCGACTCGTACGGCACGCATCAACCGTCGTACACCTCAGCCTCGTCCTTCTCGCCCGCGTCGCAGGAAGCATGGTTGGACAGCCTCGACACGCGCTTCGGCGGTGACGACATCGCCGCTTTCGTCGCAGGAACCAATTGGGAAGACTGGGCAGCCATGGCGCAGCCCGGGGAGCAGGGCGTCAGCGGATGGCTGAGCGCTGTGTGGATGGGCGCGCCCGGCCCGCCACCCACACCCGGCAGATCCTGAACCTTTTTCCCCCTTCGCCTTCTTCCCGTGTCTCTCTCGTCCACCCACGCGCTCCCGAACCCCCGCGGGAAGGGGCTCACGCATCCCTGCCGCATGACCTGCTGCTCCACAACTTCCTCCCGTCCTTTCACCGCGTCACCCATCCCCTCCTCCCACCCCTGTTCACCGCGTGTTGCATGCATGATCTAGTCCCAACGCATCACACCCGCTTCGTGTGCGCCGGGGTTACCTCTGCTACTGTCCAACAATTTTTCTCACCCGATTCGGAGTTTTAAGGAATAAGGCAGGGTTCAAAAAAATTAAAGTTTTTTTTCTCCACATCATCGTTCGCATCAACCCTCCCCCCACAACCGGAACAGCTCTCTGATCCGGTCTATATCCGCCGTTTTAGCGGTTTCTTTCCCTCCCCAATTCTTGTGTGTCACGGCCTTTTCTTACCCCTCCACGTTTTCCTTTCGCTCGTTTCCTCGGTTGGGTTAAGGATGACGGTTACTTTACTTACCTTACATTGTTTTGTCTTCACTATATCCCTTCGCTTATTATTATATTTGGCTGCTGGGGAAAGAGGAACGGCGGACGTGTCTTGGTTAGTCAGTTAGGCAGCGGGCCCCGGGGGAGTGGAGATGAGTATCGGAAGGGAGGACGGGGAGGTGCGTGTAGGTGTAGACCATTGTAGGCGGATCGAATATGTGCGAATGAATGTCGGGTGTTTCCGAGAATAGCTGCGCGAAATGTCAAAAGAACGAGAGTGCCCTGGTGCTTATTCATTGCTTGTGTTTTCTTGGCACGACTTGTTTTTTCAAAGAGACTTAGAGCGTGTGTGCGTTGTCAATATCTTTTGTTCCTCTCTTTTGCCATTCGACCTGGATCGTCACATTAATTCCCGGAAGTGTACGGGTTCTCTTCTTCTTAAGGAAATGTGTTTATTATCAACGGGGTCTAGGAAATTTGTCACGCTGGCTGACGAGGGGAAACAAAACAAAGAAGAAGAGAAGCAGGGGCAAGCACGGAACGCAATCCCAAACGCCTAAGCATACAAATACCTAAGCATGCAACCATCCAGTAGGTGCCATGGCCAAAAGACACAGCCACCACCGCAGCTCGGCAAACAGAAACCCATCAAAACAATAGAACCATCCATCCAATCCGTACATCAAATGAACACGAAAACTGCCGTCAACCAGACCAGCGCGTTACGCATCCTCGAATTCACGAGGCCCTCCTCGTCACCAAGCCATTATCCTCGGGCATAGTCTCGCTGCCCGAAGCAATCGCATCCCTCCTGTGCATCACAGCCCCATTGAACGCATGCATGAACATAGCGGCAGCCCTTCTCGCCCTCTCCTCGTCCGCGGCAGCCGCGGCGTCCGCGCTGTCCGTCGTGCCATCCGCAGTGCCGTCCGTCGTGCCGTCCACAGCGCCGTCCACATGCTGCCCTGACGACTCCGCCGCCGGCTGAGCCTCCTTCCCCCACTTCTTCTTCGCCTGCGCCGCCGCCGCCTTCTTCTCGTTCTTCTTATGCTTCGTCTTCTTCAACACGGCCTTGGTGATCATGCCCAGGATAGCAAGCCCGGCGACGCCGCCTATGACGGCGAGCAGGACGCGTCTGAGTACTCGATCGTGCTCTTTCACTTCCCGGCAGTGGTCGTAGCACGACTCGTAGTCCCAGCATTCGAGGTTCTTCTTGGAATTGTGCTTGTGCTTCCTCCGCCGGTGCTTCTTGTTCTGGGACAACCACAGCAGCTCGGCCGCGTCGTAGCCGCGCGGGTCGACCATGTCGCAATCCGGATTCGACGGCGTCATTGTGCCGATCTCATTGCCAAATCTCGGGTCGCGATAAGGCACGGGCGTGTGGCGCGTCTGGTCGGGAATGCAGTCCGTTGGGTTGACGGAGAGAGTTGGCTTCGAAGTCTTCGGTGGAAGGCCTGTCTTGTCCTTGTCTTTGCCGGTGGGGCTCACGTACTGGCTTGACACGAAGTTGCTGACCAAGTCGAGATATTGCTGGCCAGGAACAGCCTCTGCGTACAGAGACGCTTGTGAGGCAAGCGGTATGTGCAGGCCTTTGCCGTCGCCCCAGTGCGGAAGCGTCCAATTGACCGTGGCGGTGGCAGTGTCCCCGTTTTGCCACCAGGTGACGGGTGGCAACATCACTGGTGTCATGTACTGGCGCATACATGTGTTCTTGCAGATGCCGCTGTGCCGGCCTTTGCCTTTTGTAGGGCAGTTCGTCTGGCTGAGGATAGGGCTGTCATCGGGGACCATGGTCAGTTCAGGTGGAAGGAATTGAAAGCTAGGAGAGACAGACGAGCTGCCTGCAGGGCGGAATGTCGGGGAGGCTTACTAGATCTGTGTAATAGGCTTCGGAGTGGAATACACGAAATAGCTGGTGCTTTCCGATTGAGCTGTGGCAAGGATCGGCCATAGTAAAAGAGCCGCCAAGAGCATCCTCAAGTCCATGATTGCGGTCACTGCTGGTGAAGCTTGATGTGGATTGCGAGATGCTGGCAGTTACGAAGTGTCGATGACAAGAGAGTTGGATTGAGATCTGAGGGTGTACTGGTCAGAGTAGGACACGACGGCAGGCACTCAAGTCAAACTTGCCGGTTTGAGAATGGAAAGCGCCAAATCCTCATTCACTGCAAGAATGAGGGCCTCCTGCCCAAACCATCTGAAACGTGATTGCCGCACCAATTTGTAGGTGCGCAAGTCAGTATTGCTCGTGACGGGGAATCGTGCCGTGTTGAGTGTATAGTCTTGAACTGATAGCCGTCTCCCACACTCTAGCTCAGTAAATCAAAGTAATCACCCATAAACATTTTTGTCCAGTTCCTTTTCGTCTATGTGGTATATAGTCATGAAACACCCGCTTTTCCATCTCATCATATCAGCTATCTACTCATCATCTGCATCCTCAACGAAACGAGCCTTGCTGTATAAGGCACGTGTCATGCCAAAATATTCACTCGTGTTTCTTTATTCTTGATCACTCCGGAGCAGACATTGCTGGTGGCATGAATTTAGCTCATCGACCTGAGCTTCTCCTGCTCCTGCGGCGTCAACGCCGCGAACATCTCGTTAAAGCCAGGCTTCTGCGCTGCCTCGTGGAAGAAGTTGGTGAGGTAGGCTTGGGTCTCGTCGTCACGCTGGCGGCCGCCGAAGCCGTCATCGGCGCCGTATGCCATGAGTTCTATAAAATCGCACAACTTTGTTAATCAAGTGCGCCGTGGAAACGTTTGCAAAGAGCTGCGTAGAGACTTACCAGCCTTGGTGACGCCGGCTCCGAGATCCAGCTCGTTGTCGTCATCCTCCCAGTCGTCATCATCGCTCACATCGTCAGGGAGGTCGTTGGCGCCAGCTGCGTTGACGTTCTGCATGTTGCCGCTGGCGGACAGCAGCTCCTCGACGAGAACCTTGAGGATCTTGAGCGTAGCTGGGACCATGGTGTACTGGTCGGGATCTGAAGAGAAAACAAATCAGTAAGTGGTGAACGACGCGAAACTACTCGTACGTACTCTGTCGGGCACGGGATCGGGTCATAATACGATCGCTCTGCGGGACAATGAGATCACCTTTAACCATGACTTGAGCCAAACGAGCGTCATTGAGATCATAGAGTTTCGAAAGGGCGATGACGCTGCGTCAAATTGGTTAGCGATAGAACACTTCAGGATCTGGTGACACATACTTCTGCCGGATTTCGTCGTAGCCAGCAAACATGATCGAGTTCTCGAGCCACTTGGCCATGACAACCTGCAGGGCATTCTGTTGACCAATCTGAGTGTTCGCAAGGAAGTCCACGACCTCATGAGCATTGACCAAAGACAGGCGTGCAAAAACAAGGGTTAAGCTCTGAATGAATTGCGCCTGCGTAGCACTGCCAAGCCTGACAGCAACAGCGTGGAGCAAAGTCATCATGTACGGTCCAAGCTTCTCGGATCCAGCTTTCTCCACCACCTCGGCAGCAAGCTCGCCGACTTCGGCAGCGGCGTTGTCGTCAACGCTGGGGCTGAGCAGCCGGTCGATGATCACAAGAACAACCTCGAGGCCACCCTTGCCAGTCTCGTCATGCCACTCAAACAGCTGGTGGTGGTCATGGATAAGAATGTTCTTGACAGCAGACGTGGCAGCCCTGAGCAGTTCCTCATCATTGGAGCCCAGAAGCACACGGTTCACCTTGGGCATGACAGTAGACACGAAGCCTTGCGGGAGGGGTTCGGAACCGTGCTCAGTGAGGACGGAGAGCAGCTCAGCAGCGAGGTTGGTAAGAGCATTCTCCTCGGTCAAAGTACCAACGTCAAAGGCGCCAGTGAGCGAGGGGAGGACCTTCTGGCACAAGCGGGTAAAGGTCTCGGGGCCATTGGCGGCCAGAGTCTCGGTGATCTCCTCGAAAGTCTCGCTGACCAGAATGGTGAGCTGGAAGTTGTTTGCTCCATGGCTAGCAATGGTGAAAAGAAGATCCAGACCAGATCCATTAAGGCAGACCTGGGTGTCGAGCAGAATGGCATCGCGGAGGGTCTCCACAAGGGTTACCATCAAATCGTCACTGTCGGCAAGTTCGCTCAGGTCCTGAGCACTAAGATAGGATGAGATGGCGTTGATGACTGCACCCTGCAAGGGCAGCGTGGCCGCCTGGGGAAGTGCCGAGAGGTAATGCTGGAGTGCTCTGATGCAGGCGACCTTGACCACATCCGACTCGTCATTGGTGATACCCTGAAGGGAGGCCTCCATGAACGATACAGCCATTTGCTGCAGCGCATCACCGGACGTCCTGGTAAGACTGCCAGCGACCAGATAACCGCGAGCACGCAAGAATTCCTCCTGCTGCTGCATAGCGTACCTGACAAAGTCGATGAAGCCGGTAGCAGCTTCGGCGCTGACCTGGCGGTCGACATCCTGGAAGTCGCCGAGCATCTGGTTGAGGATATAGAGCGCAGCCTCCTTTGCCTTCCAGGTCTGGTCTGTGGAGTACAGAGAGCGAGTGTACGAGAGCAGGCCCTCGACGGTTGCTGCGCTTTGCCATTCGCCAAGCTTGATGACGAGGTCTCCGCAAGCCGTACGGGGAGTGTAGTTAGCAGTAACGCTGGTCTCCTCAGAGAGGAAAATGTTGACATCCAAATTCCACAGACCCTCCTCCTCAGTAGTGATCTGAGCATATGCTACGGCAAGCTTCATAACCTCGGTAACCCAGGTCGCTCCAGTGCCGCTTTGCGCTTGCAGCTGGGACTCGAGCTCCTTGCGGACCGGCGGCGCCTTCAGGCATGCCTGCATGAAGTCTAGCTCTTCGAGGACAAGGAAGTCCAGGGTATAGGGGAGGCCGTCGGCATCTTCCAGCCTGCTTTGCCTGTCGTCCTCGATGTACATCTGGTGGTATGCGCCTTGCAGCGACGAAAGCTCATCCCACGTAGCGGAGAAAAGAACCGGGCTATGGGGCGAAAGGGTCGAGGGGAAAACGGAGCGTATTCTCATAAGTGCCTGCTCACTTCAGTATACCCATACATAACAGCGGTCAGCAAAAGCCAATTCCTACCTTAACAACCTGCAGCTTCAAAACCACGAGACCCCTCCAGATCTCGGCTGCTTCGGAGCTCTCATCCTCGGACGGCGCGTTCGGGAGCTTGGTCTTCAGAACATCAATGAAAAAGGGCAGCCACACGCTCAGCGTCTCGTCTGCGAATCCCTTCACAGCCTGCTTGTGGTCCTCCATCACCATCTCCAGAGTGTCAAAGCAGCTGCGGAAGACGGCAACGGCGAGAGCACGCAGCGACGGCTTCCGCTGGGCACTCGTGGCAACCGCGTACATGGTCTTGACGAGCTCGCCGGCGGACTGGAAGAACTGGACCTCGTTGAAGCACTCGTCGATAAGGTCGCCGAGCACCTTGAGGGCGCCGTGCAGCTGGGCGTCGGTGGCATTGGGTATCAGGTTCAACAGGCCGGGCAGCAGGTCGGGCCACTGGTCGGGGAAGTCGGCGGAAGCGATCTTGCTGACGACGTAGCTGGCGGCCGTCTTGATCTTGCGCTCGTCGGAGTTGCTGGTGGCCAGCTCGAGCAGCGAGTGCCGCAGCCGGCTCTTGGTCTCCTCGCTCGCGACCAGCTGGCCCTTGAACTCGTCAAACTGGGCGGACCATGTCGAGACGACGTATTTCCGCAGAGTTAGCAGGGCACACTGACGGATGTCGAGCGGGACCGAGTCGTGGGAGGCGACGGTGACGAGGCCGAGCGGGAAGGCCTCATTGGGATAGAGCTGCTCCAGCTGCAGCTCCGCCTGCTTGCGCGGAGCGTCCTGCGGGGATTGCGTGTCGGCAAGGAGACGGACGAGCTGCTCTTCCATGGTGACGGATGGGGGTGGTTCAGTAGGAGAGGGCGAAGGAGCGGCGCGTGAGTTGGAAGTGAGAGCACGTCGGCGGCGCCACAAACACGCGTTGACGTGGTTGTCGAACGGTGTTATTCTTTTCGCGGGGCAATTGGGTAGGCTTGGGCGGTGAGCGCGTCCACTAGGGCCAGGGATTGGGCCGGGCGTCACGCGGCGAGCGATCTGAACGAGGATGCTGAGTCGGCGGCGCTAGCACTCGAGATGGCCGAAGCAGGCATTTGATTTGTGTGAAGATTCCGGCGGAGGAAGGCACTTCACGCGGTGCCTCTTCGGTGCGGCAAACGTGACCGCGCGCGTCTCTGTCGCGTGCGAGCCACGTCCGACGACTCACTCTGCGACAACAGCCCGATCGACATGGATCGCAGCTGACAGCTGCCTCTCCCGCAAGCCCTGCTTAAGCTTATCCGGCAACCAGGGTACGTTGGGTGCCCCAATGCAAGTGCTCCCAAATCCCCGCCGCCACCGCGTCAATGTTCCTCAGACTCCACCAGAACTTTTGCTTGCTTTTTCTAATGTCTTAACCCAAGGTGCTAGTTTCAGCATTGCAGCTGCGGAGCTTAATCCAGACCGGTCGAGAGCAATCGCCGTGTCTCAAAAGAGTCTTCCGTATACGAAACCATAATACCACCGGTCCAGTAAAGACACCGCGGCCAACACGTTGAGCATCCGGAAAAGAAATCACAAACCATGCCCCAACCACCCACCCCTCGCACCCTGTCCTCCTTGATCGCCGCCTTCACCTCCTTCCTCACCGTCTCCATCCACACCATCCTGCACCAACGCTCGCTCTACCCTCAATCATCCTTCCTCACTGCTCGCGCCTACAACTACCCCGTCCGCCAATCCCGCCACCCGGCCGTCTGCGCCTGGATCACCGATGCCGTCGCCGCCGTCGAGGCCGAGCTACTACGCAACAGCGTCGCGCGGGTCGCGCTCGTAATCTACTCAGCCGGCATCAAACCGCTTGAGCGCTACATCTGGGACGTGTCGCGCTTCCCCGTCGTCGCGCGGCCACAGGACCGAGAGACGATGTTTGCCAGCTCGAGCGCAACAGCAGCGAGTGACGCGAAGAAGACAGCGGTGGCGGCAGATCAGGGCGAGGAGAACGTAGACCTGGAAGAGCAATTCCGCGCCGCGCTGGCTAAGCTGACCGTCTGCGGCGACGTGCTCGCGCCGCTGCCTCCTGGGTGCACGTTCACGGTGGCGGTGGAGATGAAGGACGAGGTTGATGTCGACCCGCCCGTCGGGCACCCGCAGCCGTGGATACCGGTGCAACCAGATCTGCAGGCCGTGAGGAGGAGTAGGATCGGTGAGGACGAGAATGAGCTAGGGCGGGAGCTGGGAGGGGCCAAGACGACACCCGTGCGGTCGGTGAGGGCGGGGGAGATGATTTTCGAGATGTGGATCGAGGAGGGGAAGGCCAAAGTGGATATGATGGAGAGTTCGGGGTCGAATGCAAGCTCGGTGGATTACAGGTAGCTGCTCAAATAATGAAAGATCATAATCCTCTACTCTGGCACCGCTGAAGTCTTTTGAACTACAGTCCCCTCCCGCAGCCGATGGCTAGCGTGGATTTGTTTCTTTGCTCATGTCATGGGTAGCTGAAGCCATCGTCCGGACGTAAATGTCGAATTAATAATTATACATATACGTCCGGACGATAGCTTCAACTACCCATGATATGTTATTTTTCTTTTTGGAAAGCAAGTCAATTCATCATTCGTGCTATGTGCTATCCATAATGTCAGTGAAGAGCCCGGGTTAAACCTCCATGATCGAAACGCAAAAAGAAAAGAAAAAGTAAGAGTCCAGCCTCCGTTTCCCCGTTTTCGCAGCGGTATGTAGGCTCGAATTTGCTATACTTCGCACGCCGGAGGCCGAAAAAAGAAGATTCCAATGCTTGTGGGGCCTAGAAGTCTCGAATACGGTTAATAGAGGCCTGCTCTTGTCGAAAAACGGAGGCCAATTAGTTCAGAATGAAGATCAGGATTTTGAAAACCAGAAAACCCGGTGTAATTATCAGAAGGGAGAAGCCGTTGGTGTGATTGAAAAGCCGAAGACGCCGAAAGCCGTAGTGACGCTGGAATGCTCCGGATGTTCGTAAAGAGGTGGGTAATCAACTGGGTATCGAATATCGTGCCATCGAGTCGAGAGTGTCCGTACTGGAGTCTTTCCGGTCGCAGCGGAACTTTTTTTTAGAGATCCGTATCGCCAAAGGAAACTCCCACAGAATATTGCTGTAAGAGCCTTCCTGCGTGGTTAGATGCGTAAATTGTCAGTGCAGTGCGACCCATTGCGAGGAGCTTTGGCTAGCCAGGGCTGTCGTCTTTGTATAAGAAACGAAGTCATAGTCGGCAATGTCGACTGTAGAGCCGCTGTACGGTAACTGAAGTCATCCGCTCTCCTCAAATACGGTGTGCAGTTTTAGCTTCACTTAAAACTGGCGGTGGTTGGGCAGACGCCCCATATGCTCGTATTGGCGCAGCCTAGCCAAATTCACCTGGTGCTCTTGTGCTATTTGCCGATGAGTCGCATCATCCATTGGATTGGCCAGGATACCAGGCCAGTCGTGAAGTTCTTGATGCGCTTGAGCTGCAAAGGGCCCCGCGCGAGCTGGGGCTGGAGCCTGAGCCTCCCGTTGCCGCTCTCGCTCACCGCGAAGGCCGAACCCAAACAGTCGAGCCGCTCCACCTCCAAAGTTATGCTCTCTTCCCTGGTCAGGCCGTCCAGGATTCTGCGGTTGTTGAGCTCGATGGCCGGGGCCAAGCCAAGGCCCTTCGCGGTTCAGCTGTTGAGGTCCACGAGGCACAGCATGCCCGTTTCCAAAGAGGTTCTGTGGGAATAGTGCATCAAATCCGAAGAAGTTGCCATTACGAGCATGAAAGGCCTCACGGATATTCAGGCGACGCACATTAGCTCTTGCGGCATCAATATCTGCCTGCTGTGGGTTGTTCACCTGACGCTGATTCGGAGCGGGGTTAAAAGCTTCGAAGTCTGGGATCTCTGGAATCGGGGCACCCATCCAGCGGGGAGGCATACCCAGCATGGGCTCTACAAGCGCATCAAGCACCATCGCATTTTGTGCACGTCTTCCACCTGCAGCTGGGACCGCAATAGGATCTCCCGGTCTGAAGGCTCGGAAGGGTCCGTGATGTTGTTGCCGACGGTCAGCAGCCGCAAGCCGCTTTTTCTCTTCTTTCTGAACGACATCCGAGAGCTTGATCTTGAGTTCTTCATCAGTAAGGTCTGGGTTGGCCTTCTTGACTTCCTCGAGGGCCTTGGCCTCTGCCGCCTTGACCTCATCGACGTGGCGTTTCTCTACGTTCTCGTCGTAGAGAGGACACTTCCCATGTGAGTTGTGAAAGTGTTCATAGCCGGTAACGCTCTTCGAGCATATGTAACTGTGGTGTCACACATTAATGTAAGAGGTGCAATCAAAGATGTTTGCAGGGGGGGAGGAATGAGACGTACCACTGCGTATGATGACAGCTTGCGCAGGTCATCTTATTGCACCCATCACTCTTCATAAATGGCATCTTGCATCCGCTGTGCCACGGTAAGTATCCGCGAGTAACGTACCGGAGCTGCTGGACTTACTTGCAAGTTCTGACCAGAGCCTTGGTCATGGCTTCTTCGATGTGATGGCGGACATTGCCACTGCGCTCCTTTCCGGCTTCTTCACACGTCAGAGGGACGTGGCTTTCGAGACGACACAGCCTGCAGCTCACAATCTCGCAATCGGCGTTTTGGCAGCGAAACTCGCGATCAACCTCGACGGGCTCGCACTCGGCCTGGAAATCGCAAAAAGGGCACTGGACCAGGTTCTCAATCCCGGCTTTTCGCAGATCGTCCTGTTGCTGCAGCTTTTCCATGCGACAGAAAACCTTAGGGTCGATGAAGGCCTTGAGCTGTGCGTTGGAGAAATCGGCCCCGCAGGTTGGGTCGCAGCATTTCGGGCGGCATCTGCCTGCATCAAGCTCAGCATTGACGCAGTTACGAGCACAATCTTGGCACAGGTAGTGGATGTTCGCGCCGTCGCAGAACATCATTCGATTGGTAGGGCCTGTGTCGAAGCAGGACATGCATTCCGACTCCTCGCCTAAAGAGCGGGCTTGGGCCGCGTTGCGCTCTTCCTCGAGGCGCTTCTGCTCCTCGTGCTGGCGTGTGACTACAAGTCCGTGTCAATGGTAAAAGCGCTATCTTGTAGATGAAGATATTGCATGAAGTGCTTACCGGCGTCCTGCCCCACCTTCTTCTTTGCTGCTTGAGACTCCTTGGCGATGGTCTGCATGGCTTCGGTAACGTGGGATTCTTGTGAAGCAGTGGAATGCAGAGGTCTGGTGTCGCGGATGCGGACTTTGCGATAAGGCCTTCTAAAGGGATCCATGGTAGAATATGTGCGATCTAGCTCCTCGAGACGTAGGAATGCTTTGTAGAAGGAGCCCTGCTCCTTAAGAACCTGCTGGATGAAGGCGACGGGGATCTCACGGTAGTGGTTCTGGAGGGTGTTGACGCTGCGAGTAAATTAGAGGTTTGGTGACCCTTTTGAATTGCGTTGGTGCTGGCGCACAGCTGGCCGCAGGAGGTGGCATCAAGATTTCTTGGAAGACTTACGCCGCATTCTGGTAGGCTCTCCGGGTGGCAAAATGCCCGCTGTCCATCGGGGCTCGTTCAAAATCATCATCGCTCGGCTCCCTTTTCCGCTTCAACGCGGCCCTCTTTGCCTCGCGCTCCGTCGGGTACTTTCCTTCATCAAGGATGCGCACAATGAGTTGATCGCACCATGTGCTGTCGGGGAGCATGCCCACGTCGAGGCCGCCACGAAACATGGCCCGCACGTGATCATGAGATATGTCGGGATATATCTCAAGGACCCTCGAAAGGCATTCGTCTTCAGTCATTGGGTGCGGCTGCTCCGCGATTGGCTCGTGGGCCGTTTCCTCGCCTTCGACCACGGCCATGATAGCCGCCCATTCCGCGTCGAACTCGGCGTTTGCAGCAGGGGTGGGTACGTCTGCGAAGGCGGTGCGCTGCGGAGGAGGAGCGATCTCCATTAAGTCGTCGTCACTCTCATCATCTGACAGGATCTCGATGATCTCACGCGGTGCCAAGAGAGGGTTGTTGGGAGGAGGCATGTCGAGCGATTGTGCGTGCACAGGCTAGGTGGATGGGCGGTGGGCGGTTTTAAAAATGGTGATGGAGGCAGTGGCAGCTGCCGGGACGGCGACGAGATTGAAAGCACCTGGGCAACGTCGGTGGTAGCCTCTCCACCGGCATCAACACAAGAAGCAGGTAGAGGTCGTGAGTGCACACGGAAGAAAAATGATACGTCGTCACCTCTTGTGGAACACCGAGGCCCTGCGAGTTTGCGAACTGAGGGACTGGTGGCTTTAGAGAGCGAAAAGTCGAATCATGGCACCGCACTCTGGGCACCTGCAGCCGCAATCACGGGTGCTGTTTTCTGGAGCGAGGGAGGAGGGGTAGCGTCAGCGCGGCTGCACAACCTGAGCCTTGCCGCCCGCGCCGCTTGGGGCGTCGTCTCGGAGTATCAGCGACCCTGCTGCGATTGAGAGTCGAGCCGCGCGGCTGGAGTCTGCACGCCGTTGGCGAGTGTCGAGTGGCAGTGTGAGTCGCGAGGCGGCGTTGAGAGCTCGCCGCTGCCAAAAGCAATGATCCTCCGCAATTACCCCCGCGAGCAAGGGCACCCGACTTACTGTGACGTGGGTACCTGAAGCTGTCATCCGGACGCAAATGTCCATTTAATAATTCTACATTTGCGTCCGGATGACAGCTTCGGGTACCCACGTCACGATAGAATATTTACGATAGCTCACCCACGCCTCGCGATGTGGCCAGAAACACGCGGGAACCGCACTAAGAAGGCTTCTGCGAGCGCGCGAGTCATTCGACGCGGCCTTCGCTAGCGCCTGCCACAGTCGCGCAGGCCTCGTCTATCTGCGGCTTATCATCATGCAGCAGCAGAGCCTCCAGCTACAACGGCGCTTCAGGAGAAGCTGGCCCTGGGGCCGGCATGTTCCTCTGGGCGGCGGGCTGCAATGATGGGTGCATGTCCCCTATAATGCTTCCACTGTCGGTCTGCACTACTGCGTAGCTGGCCGTGGGCCGACCTGGCTTGGCCCCTCCCATCCCCACCTCGCTGTAAGCGGCAGGAGCTGTCGCCAAAACGAATCTTCACGACGTCTCTCACCGGTGCGCGTCATGGTGCACGCCAGAACAAGCAACTCGATGCCGTCAGACGAAAGCCACCCCTGGCCGCTGCTCCACAACCCGCGCCCTACGCTCCTCCACATGTGATCTGCTTCCGGGGCTCCCCAGCCGGCTTGCCACGGTTCCCGTCGGACTGCCTCCAATCTGTGCGTTCGACTTACCTATCTTAAACCAGCCCAGGATGCGGGCACAAGGGGTCATTCGCTGTTCAGTGCAACGGCCTATGGCTCCGTCAAAGCCATCTCCGCATTCTTGACACATAAATACACAAGGCCCCGCCGCAACCGCGCCCGCGCGCTTTTCAAGCTTCACACCGCTGTATTACTATCCCTCACGACTCTTCCAACATGAACGGACACTCGAACGGATACGACCATAAGCTGCCTCCGGGCGACAGCCCCACGCTGGTCCTCGTGGAGCCCACTGAGGACGAGAAGGTCATTCAGTGGACAAAGAACGCTCCGGCGTGGCGGGGCGCCTTGTCCGTTGAGGCCTACATCCGCCGCGAGCGCTTCCTCTCGAGCCAGGACAACACCAAGGACGGAGGCCAGACTTGGTGGGTGCTGGTCGACGAGGCTGCCAGCGAACGCATACTACTGGCGGGCTGCGAGAGCTTCCGCAAGAAGGCAATCGTAGCGAAGGACGGTCAGATAAAGGATGTGATAACGCACGGCGTCGGGAGCGTCTTCTCGCCGCCGGAGCACAGAGGGAAGGGCTACGCAGGGCGGATGATGCAGGAAGTGGGCAAGAAGCTGCGAACATGGCAGACGTCGGAGAAGACGGATTGCCTGTTCTCGATCCTCTACTCTGATATCGGCAAGGTAAGTCCCGAGCCCATCTTCTTTCCAAGTCCGGATAATGGTCTGATAGATGCGGAAGAAATTCTACGCAAACCACGGCTGGGAGCCTTTCCGTTCTGCGCACATCTCGGTGCCGGCAGCGGCAGAGCAGTCGCCGAGTGCGGAGCTGCCGCCAGTGAAGGACCTTGGAGCTGCAGATCTGCCGGATCTCTGCGCGCACGATGAAAGCATGCTCCGCCAGAGCTTGAAAGACGGCCCGTCGGACGGCAAAACCCGAGTGGCCATCCTGCCCGACATCCACACCATCCGCTGGCACCATGCCCGCGAGGAGTTTATCGGCAAGGAATTCTACGGCAATCACCCGGTGGTGAAGGGTGCCATGATTGGCGAGGAGAAAGGCAAGCGGGTGTGGTGCTACTGGACGCGCATGTGGTACAACGCCGATAAGAACCAAAGCAAGGGCAACACACTGCACATCCTGCGCCTGGTCATTGAGGACGGCGTCGCCCCGGACACGGTGGTCACGTCCATCGCGGCGCTGCTTGCCCGGGCACAGCGCGAGGCTGCAGGCTGGCATATGGCCGAGGTGGAGGCGTGGAGTCCCACACCAGAAGTCGTCGCCGCCGCTCAGCTCCTCGAGCCCACGGCCGAGGTGATCGACAGGGACACGGAGAGCATCGCGAGTCTGATGTGGTACGGCGAGCAGCCGGCGGACGGCAGCTCCATCGCAGACGCGATCGAGTGGGTCGGCAACGAAAAGTACGGGTGGTGCTGAGGCTGCTGTTGGGTTCACGATTTGCATGACCGGCGTCCGCGCGCACTTTCCTTGGGCGGCGATACGATCCAGCGTAGATGTAGATTTCACGAAGCAAATTCTCATGGGTTCAAGCAAAATCTGTGCATTCAAAGTATCCAAGCCTACGTGTCCAGTCCTCCGACGCATCACCTGTACCAGAACCGCCAGTTCCATCAACGAGCTTCATTTTCTCGTAGCCTGTCAGACGTCCACCAACACCCACCCAGCCAGACCGACCGAAGTCAAGACG